ATTACTATTAATTTTATCATAGGATTACTACCATCAAGGGATTTAATCACAGGAATTGCCTATACTAATATAATCATTATTATGTATAAAATAACGAAATACATGATTATTAGACTAATGCTAGTAAACCTTACCACTAAGTAGCTAGCGCTACTAATGTTATAAGAAGTATTTATTTAGACAGGACTACTAAAGTATTTCATATCTAATAGAGATAAGTTATTCACATTAAAGTTTTAGAAAATGATTATAGACGCTAGTAGAATAAGTTAAGATATATCTACTACGCACCACTAGTAAACTAATAGATAATTAGAAAGGATGATTTAGTTAGTTAAATAATATTTATGATACTACCTTAATTAGAATTAGGATAATTAGGTTAAACTTTTACCTATAGCATAGTTTATAATTAATAATATAAGGAACATAACTATGAATTACATGCCTTATTTCACAAATTTAGGAAGAAATCTAAGGATATTATAAATAATCTTACTACTAGATAGAAGACCACTAGTAGCACTAATATAGGTTTAGTACTTAAGTATATTACATGACTTAATTATAAAAGATATTAGGTGGGCTAAAGAAAAAATAAAACACTACTATAATTTAAAGCATAGGGACACGCCTTACTTAAAGAAGGGAGAGAGAGTTTACCTATTATAATAAATAATTAGGAGAAAAGATTTTAATATTAAGAGTAAATAACTAAGTAATAAACTTAATACTATGAAATATAGACTATTTAAAATTAAAAAGAAACTTATAAATAATAATTATCACTTAATACTACTAATAAGAATATGAGTTTACCTAGTATTCTATATCTTATTACTTAAACTAATACTAAATCTAGAAAATACTAAAGACAAAGCAACTAATATTAATAAGGAGTTTAAAGTTAAAAAGATCCTAGACTAACGCACTATAAAGGGTTAGGTTTAGTACCTTATTAGATAGAAAGGTTACTCACTAGAGAATGATTCATAGGAACCTATCAGGCATTTAAACTACCCTAATAAGATTTAGGAATTTTAGTATGAAGATAGTTAAAGAAAGGGTCTAATAAAGAAGGTAATATAAAGGCCTTAGTAACTTCTATATTAAAAGCCGCCTATAAAGAACTTTTGCTATTTAATATAGTAACTAACTAACTCTTTTCCTTTTCCTTAATTTCCTTTTATTTCTACTCCTCCTCCTTAAGCCTCTTAAGCTCTTTAATTTCCTTTATATCACGAGAAATAAAATCGCTAGCGTGATAGCTAAGAAGTTATTCTTACTTTTAGATTTATTAGGAATGGGCTAATAGGGTTTTAATTTAGTCCTAGATCTCTAGCTCCTTTATATAAAGCTCCTATTAGGCTCTTACTAAACATTTCTACTCTACATTAGAGAATAAAGGTTCTAAATTAATATACTTCTAGCATGCCTTTATACATTCTTTATAATAACTCAAGTTTTTAGATTTAATGCATGTTTTATTTAATTAAGAATACTAAACGCATGAGGTCACTATTATGAAGCTATACTCTTTAATTTTCTATTTAAGATTCGCGCTATGACTAGATAAACTAGAAGATATAGTAATAGATTAGTTATAGGTACATAGTAAAGAAAAGAAAAGAGGATTAGGTAATAGGATCTAACTTATCTAAGGATACTACGCTACTTATATCTTTAAGACAAAGACCTTAAAAGAGGGGGATTATTAGAGAGCCGCGCTAAGACATGGGATGCTATCAGCTAATAGATTTGCCTAGTAAGATTATGGTATAACGGGATATCATGAGTTAACGTGATATCACGTTAATGCTGGAATGAAAGGTTAATCTAGCTAATCATATTAGACGATTTAACGCTACGACTAGATAGGGCTATGGTCATATTAGGGAGTTTAACAAGACATAGTAGGTGCTATAATGGGATATATCAGGCGATATGATGGACACTGTATTTAAGGACACTTATTCACGTATGTAATTAGTTTTAGCTACTATCTATTACTTTCGGAATTAAAGCTACCCTACCTTTTAGAAACCCAGTTTACCTTCTTAGTTCGTTAAGAAGTAGTCTTCTCACATTGATATAAGAATACCTTAAGCCCTTCCAGGCCTTAAGCAGGATCGGTTGGACTTATCTGACAGAAAGGTAGTAATAAGAGTAGATAGCTTGTCGTAGTAGGTTAATTCTAAGAATAAGGATCTTATAGTAGATTAATACTAAAGGTTAGAATTAATATTTCACAAGCAGAGGAAATCCTCTATAGGCTTAGTTAGCCCGCGGGCTGACTAAGGACCATGAGTTAGAAATATCTAAGTATATTCATGAGGGCCTTATAACTACCCCCCCCTTTCCAAGGCCTTGGTCCCTTAAGGCCATGCGTGATGTCTTTATAGAAGACTAAACGCCCTCGTGATACATATCACGTGGTAGGTAGCCATTAAAAGCTATATTATAGTAGCAAATAAACCTAAATATAAATGAAAAAAATCTATATAATAGGAAAAGGTACTCCTACTCTATCTTAACTCCTTATAATAGCTTCTTTAAGAATTAGCTATATATAAGCCCTTTATAAGGTCCTTTCCCTATCCTATAGTATTAGGATCTTTATAATACTTACTACTTACTTTCTTTACTATATAGTATTAGCTTTTATAAGTATAGAGTCTCCCTTCTCTTATATTAAGTATTAGGAGGTTCTCTTATAGGGTCTAGTTTCTTTTATAAGGGTCTCTTTAGGTATTACTTACCTATCTCTAAGGTTACTTTATAATAAGTCTCCTCCTTAGTCTCTTTTATTATAAAGTATTATATCTTTAACTCTTTATAAGGCTGTCAGAGAACGCGGGCATTGTCAGCCAATGGATCCATTGTGCCGCAGCCTAGCGCCATGACAACTACGGAAGAACAATGCGCTGAGACTGATCATAGTCGAGCTACGATGCTAGGCCGGATTAGGGTTACGGTCATAGGCAGGCTATGAGGAGCATAGGCTAACTATAATGGGACATGCTTGGGACATGACTAGATCATAGCCATGCTATGATCCGAGTATAGGCAAGCTATGATGGGAACTTAGTATTTAAGAACACTCGTTATTATATGTAATTAGTTCTAGCTACTATCTATTACTTTTAGAATTAAAGCTACCCTACCTTTCAGAAAAACCTAGTTTACCTTCTTAGTTTGTTAAGAAGCAGTCTTCTCTCTTGATATTAGAATACCTTAAGCCCGTTCGGACCTTAAGCAGGATCGGTTGGACTAATCTGACACTAATAAGGAAATAGCATCTCCCAGCCAAATATATGAATATTAGTTAAAAGTTAGTTTAATTAGCTACGCCGTGACCTGTACCTAGCTAGATATAGCCTATGCACATGGCGTACTATCCTGATTTCTTGTTAATCCGTTCACTACGCATATTAGGGCTGTAAATAAGGTTATTACATATCTTTATAACACCTGGTTCCTTGCCCTAGAATATAGAGGAAGCTTACAAGCTAGTAAGGTGTTTCTTACTACTATAGATGCTATATTTGCTAATACCCACGATTGAAAGAGCACTAGAGGATTCATCTACTTACTATATAGAGGTCTAATTAACTAGAGATCCTAGAAATAATATATTATGTCTCTATTAACTACTAAAGTAGAATATATATTAATGATTAAAGCCACTAAGTCATTATATTAGTAAAAGAGGATTTTTAGAGATATTAATTTTAACCCTAAAGAGGACCTTGAAATATATTATAATAATAGCTCTATAATTAATTTATTAAGCAAGGAGATAATAATGGTACATACTAAGCTACGACACGTTAACGTACACTGCGCCTGGCTATGTTAAGAGGTTTAACAACGTTGCTTACAAGTCACCTGGGTTCCTTCACGATCTATGCCTGTGGATGGACTTACCAAGGCTCTCCCAAAACTACTACACCAAGAATTTATTAAGATGTTAAATATAGTTAATATTTAATATCTCGAGCCTTATCGCGACCTAATTAGGAACCTCCAACCACTGAGGGGGTGTGTTAGCCGGAGCCCCTAGCTCTAGACCCCGCGCAAGCATTCCTCTCACCATTCCATTGAACATTCCTCTTAGGACTCACGAGATACAGTGATTGGAGCAGTAATATTAGATAGCCCCTGTTTCCTTATTTAGTTTAGTCGATTCCTGTGCTTAAATAGTGCTGTTTCCCCAGTTGAATGACAGACCTCTCAACTTTTCCAGATCCTCCACCTAGATCAACGGCCCGGCTGACAAGTTTACTGGAAAACCGGTCGTAGTCACTAGAAAGGAGGCGGTGAAGAATCCTTGGCTTTGAGCCATATGCATAGCTATTGTAGTTATTTTACATCGCTTAGGTATTAGTACTGCTATTATCTTCCTAAATAATATCTATTGCGCAAGTGTTATTTTTTTCTAGCCTAGAAATATCTATTTAGGTGTCTCACTGTTATTGCAAGAAGAGAACCGATCTTGGAGACTTCCATACTTGAACCCTAAAAATTCGACCACGCTGTCGCCTTCTTTGCCGGTAATAGAACCAAAGTGAGGATGCTCTATTGTAGCCATTTTTGCGGTACTTGACCTGGGATGTCGACTGCAAGAAACTCAAGTACTTGAGTGAACACTCTGACCGTCTGGCGACCTAGACGCCCGTCATGTTTACTCATATTCCCAACCGCGTCAAGGACATTCTAAGGAAACTGGGCACATTGTGCGCACTGGTGTAGCTATCCCCACTCAGACCTTCGGAGATGTCGGAAGTATCTTCGGAATTGATTCGTCCCCGAGCCACCTTGGTAGGAGCCTTGGCATTCGGTGGGGGTGGGTTCAAGGCGCAGGGGGCACGATCCTCGAGGCCTGCCCCTCATACTTTCTCGGAACCCCTTCTGGCTCGTCCCACAAAGCCTCGTTCGACTCCTCGTCCGGTCGAGGCGGCGAGAGATCTTGCAGAAACGGGCATACGCTTCTGGATATCATGGCTACCTATACCGTACCTCTCCTAATCGACGGTGTCGCACTTGAGACCGAAGAGACATTCTCTGTTCTTGATCCTAACGATGGAAGTGAGCTATGGAAGGCGTTTGGCGCCTCTGCAGTCGAAGCCCGGAAGGCCGCCGCCGCAGCGCAAGCAGCATTCCCCGTTTGGTCAGGCCTTAACTATCTGGAGCGTCGAAACCTTTTGAATAAGGCAGCCGACCAGATGGCCGAATGCCTCGACCAAATTAAGAACTACGCTACTTTAGAAACAGCAGCCGGTGGCCAATGGACCGCATTCGATTGCGAGAACGCCGTCCAGGTACTCCGGGAAGTTGCTTGTCGACAATCAACGATCCAGGGTAATTTGCCCCCTTTGCTGGACACACAGTCCACCGCCCTCGTTGAACATGTACCATATGGCGTGGTTCTTGGTATTGCACCCTGGAACGCGGCTGCCTTTCTAGGGGTACGTGCCATTGCCTTTGCATTGGCTGCTGGTAACACAGTGGTGCTCAAAGCCTCAGAGCTTTGCCCGCAAACACATTTTCTTCTGGGTGATTGCTTCCGCAAGGCGGGATTCCCACCAGGTGTTGTCAATGTCCTGGCACACAGTCCTGAGAAAGGACCAGAGGTAATCGGCGCCCTAATCAAACATCCGGCTGTGACGAAGATCAACTTCACTGGGTCGACCGCAGTCGGTCGCATTATAGCTGGTTTGGCCGCCCAGGAGCTGAAGCCGGTCCTTCTGGAACTTGGAGGCAAAGCGCCTTTGATTGTGCTGGATGATGCAGATCTCGAAGGTGCGGCTACCGCTACCGCTAGAGGAGCGAATCTCCATGCTGGCCAGATCTGCATGGCGACGGAGCGGGTCATCGTGCTAGAGTCGGTTGCCGCTCGGTTCGAGGCAATCCTCAAGCAGACCTACGCCAAAATATACCCTCCTGGCATCAAGCATCAGGCTGCTGTGCGACCGTCCGGTGCAAGAAAGGTTCGTGAACTCATTCAAGACGCAGTGGATAACGGCGCCGCTATTGTGGCCGGGTCGTCTGGATTCGCGGATTCTGCCAACCGGTCTGTGACGCCTATTGTCTTACAGAATGTTCAGCAGTCACGACTGTATCGTGAGGAGTCGTTTGGACCGGCGTTGGCATTTATCGTGGTCCCAACGGTAGAGGAGGCGATCGCAGTGGCCAACGACACCGAATACGGGCTCTCTGCGGCAATGTGGGGAAGCCTGCCCAAAGCCCTGGCAGTTGCCAGGAAAATTCACAGCAGGTGAGAAGTCTGATATCATTTTCCCCGCCAACTGACATGAGATGATGTCTATACTAACGAGGGGTGAAAGTGCGGTCCATATTAATGATTCAACGATCCATGACGAGCCGACACTGCCACATGGCGGAATGAAGTCGAGTGGATATGGCCGGTTTGGTTCATCTTGGGGCATCTCGGAATTCCTCACGACGAGAACAATTACATTAAAGGTCTGAAATGGAGGCCACCCCTAGAATCATGTATATAGGCACGATTCATGCTCTTTGGTGCATAACAGACATGAGAGATATACTGATTGCCCCGAGAGCCAGCCCATGTAAGATTTCTCATCATTTACTAAGTTTCGTAGTTCCCGATTGCGCCATTACCCCAGAGCAGCGATTCGGGGAAAAGTGGAGGTGGCTTGCGATTGTGATCATCCTGGAGTTCTCTCTGCCAAGAATAGTGACCTGCCAAACTGAAACGACCGCCCCGATACCATATTGAATGGCCATTGTTATCATTGATGGTCTCACTTACCATCAAGCCTTGTTCAATAATGCCAAGTATTGCCACAGTAGTCATACAAGTAAGATGCGGTGCAAGCACTCCCAGACCTTGCAATGGGGATCCCCCAAGCTCAAGGCCGAACCCCGGCCCGGTTCAGGCAGCCAATCAAGCAGCCCGCCTACCCCGCATTCCGCTGGGCCGGTACCTACTTGGTCCCCCTCTCTTTTTTCTTCCCCAGCTTTGCCAGGAGTCTTTCCGAGCGAAGTCTTCGTTAATCGAATGCCTTCCCTCCACTCCCACCTAGTCACCAAGCCCAGATATTGATCAGAGCAGGGACATAAATCAAATCTTCAATGGCCCCACCACAAGAAGCGTGTCAGGAAGTCCAAGCTAGACGTCCTGCCAAAGATGATGCGAAGACAAGCACACGGCGCTTCTACTGCCCAGAATGCGGAGCGACATTCGCCAGATCTAGCCACATGCGACGTCACCAAAGAACGAGTAGGTCATCTACTACTCGCTTAAACCCCGCTGACTCACGAGTTATTCGTTAGACCGCGCCGACAAGCCCTTTACATGCAGATATTGTCCTTTGGCCTCATCCAGAAAAGACGCAATCATTCGTCATACCCGATCCTTTCATCCTGGCCAACCTCTGGAGTCTAGCTCCAACGAAAACGAGCAGATTGACGTCGTCGATATCGAAATCGGCGCGTCGCATCAATCTCCCTCTGGTGATTGCATCATACCAGAAGACTTTGTTCGTATGGGAGGACCAGTGGCCTCACATAGCCCTATTATGGAGACTCAGTCATCCATTCAGGTGCCTCTTTCCCCCTCGCATACGAATTTGGGAAGCATAGCTCTCAGCTCATGGCTTCAATCCAACGGGGGCATCGCTGGTCTCACTCCAACTTCTCACGAGGATCCTCTCTTACCCGGGCGAGATACTCTTGGTTCGCCGCAAGTGGACTTTGGCCGTGCATTTGATCCACAATTCTTCGATTTTGACATTCTCGCACCCTTGGATCAGTTGGAGATATCGGAGGCATGTTTCAAGAGAAAGGTAGCGTTCAAACAGTGACGGCTGCCTTGCCTCAGACAGGTACATCTACTTCTTATTACGAGAGGCGAAAGGCTCAGACCTCTCTGGGAATTACATATGAGGCTCATTTACAAGCAAAGGCAAACCTGTCACGGATTAATGGACCAGAGAACCCTTCAAATATACACTTTCCTTCAAGACCTGCCATGGTTAGGTTTGTGAAGGCATACTTTACGCATATGGCCCCATACGTACCCGTGGTACATAGACCTACTTTTGACGTCTCTTCGCTCCCCCGTAAGTGATTCTGCAGACTTACATTGTCAAAGTTGCTTCGATGATAACTAATACTGTGAATCTAGCGGTACTGTTGCTGGAAATCATGGCCTGCGGTGCTGTGTATTCAAACGAGACAGAAGTGGCAATGGCTATGCATAATAATGTACTCAAACTCCTTCTTAAAGTGAGTGCCCATATTCGTGTTTCTTTACCGCACCACATTTTGAGATAGAGCCTGTTGATCAGGCGAATGGTGGCCCATTCGTTAGCGATCGGTGCCACCCGAATCTTCATCCCGAATTTATCTCTTTCAGACCTTTGCTTGAGTTTGTTTTTATTTCTTCGGTCAGCTCAAACTATCTACAGATGGACTAATGATTGGTAGAGCGAATTCACATCTGCGTGTGATGACGCAGGGATTGAGCTCAAACTGTCGCGACTTCAGACCATGCTGCTTGCAACTTACTTTGGACTTCTCAGCTGTGATTCGTACTTAGAAGAGCGAGCAAGGTTCACTTTCCATAGTGCGATTGAGGTATGCCCAGTCGAATTTACTACTCATGGCCGCAGCGGTAGCTAACGAATTGTTAGCTTGTGGAAGCAGTAATCGAGAAGCCTGCAGCTCCCACGATGGAGCCGCGGAGGGCCTGGATATATCAAGAAACTATGAGCAGGTAGGTACTACTGTTGCTTCATTGACCGGTTCCTTTCTTATAAATCCTAACATAATCTCAGATGCGTTTCTTGCAGTATAATAATAGCCTCGGGATACTTCTCAACATCGATGAAACGATCACTCAATATTCCGTACCTCGATTCCAAGTATCCACTACCTTGCCCTACCTCGCAGTGGTTAAGAGGTGAAGCCAGCGGGGATACATCTGAACCAGCCATCTACAACTCCGAAGTAATGGAAGGCATAATGCAGGGGAACAGGCCTCCTTCTGGACTCAGCGAGTACGCTTTTCTCGCCATTGTGTGTAATATACGTTGTCGGATTTGTTCATTCGAAGGCTTTTCCATCTCTTGCCATCCAAGACTGAAGTCAACATTTATTGAAACAATGGATGCAGCGATGAATACGCTAAGCCAGGCGTGGTCACAAATTAACTACGAGCACTCATCCCCGCTCCACCGACACACGAACTCGGCAATGAATTCGGCCTTTCTCCATCTTTACAGCAGTCACGAACTATCTGGCATGAAAAGGCTATTACGAAACCCTGAGGTGCTACGGGATCCACAGGAGCTGTCGAGCCTCTTTGCCAGCCCCTGTTCCTCTGAGCTGAAGAGAGGTCTAATTTGCGCTGCTAAAACATTACAGCTCGACTTCGAGACAGGTGTAAATTACTTATGCATCACTGCACCTTTACAATTTGATCCTCTAGAAATTCACGCTTTTTGTGAGAGTGGTAAGTCCTGTCATCCTGGGACTGCTTGCATTCTCAGAATCATTCAGATTGCTAATGCCGTCCGAGCTCTCCTTCTCTTCTGGTACCTCATGAGCAAGAAAATCAACCCGAAGAAATTCGAATGGCACCAAGACATCAGTGATACGGTAGAAGAAGTTCTATCCGAGGGTCAAGGATTTAGAAGTTGGGGGTCGAGTGGCGATCCTGCCCCTGGCAGCTTGTGCCACGATACTGGGTTCCTCCTCGGCAGTGTGGCGTCGTATGTCAAACTCGCACTCATCAAATCGTCCTGCCAGCTAACCATTGATCCAAAAAGTTCCACCTGCTGTTTGTCGAGATCTACAAAGGCTCATTGCGCACGTCCATGCTACCTATCAATCACCTCTGGATCTGAATGTATGAGTCAAAGTGTTAACGGTCTCAAGGACACAGAGCAGCCCAAACACTAGGTCCTCCAATTGGTCGAGTCACTTCCAATGCGCTATACTTAGCCTAATAGCTGCGAAGATCTTATCGTCATCAGTCGAGCACTTGTTGAATGTTTAAATTGTTACGATTAAAATTCATGCAGTTTTGGATGACTGAGCGCAACCAACGAAGTTCACCTTACCTCAACTTTGCCAGTTATAGTCTAATGCACTTGGTAGATATAGATAGCAAGAAAAGATGGGCGAAGATTGTTGGTGGCCAATTGATTCGGTCAGTGTTGATATACGCCTGACCAATGCCATGTGCTCTTTTGGGAGACTGAAACCCTCATATTACGGCAAGGGGGTCTCGGATGGCTCATGCTCTTCATATCGTTCATCCTCTCCTGGATCATGATCCTGAGGGTGGGCACTGGCTGCGAGACGCCACGAGAGAGCACAAAATCCGGCACTTATAAGGATGCCTAGAAATTACTACTTTCTTGGATGTTAAGTAATGGCGCAACAAATAGATCTTAGTTATGAGTATCACAAATTCTATGGCGCGATGATTAATTAGGATGTATTCATCCAAGAGAATCATGAGTTCGACATTATTCTGAGGGCCAGGCCCCTTTGGTTCCCGCCAGATACCAGTCGCGCGCTAACGCGAGGAGCACATCAACAACGTCCGTAAAGGGCGGATTGTGCGGGCATGTCGGTGGGGCGGACGATGGGACCTGGACGACCCCACCCAACTCTGCAATTCCGAGCACCTGGGCTTCCCTTTAGCTCACTACGTACCAACCAACATGAATAAGACCAGATCATCATCTCTTTCCTACCTACACACCGACCAAACACCTTTTCAAGACAATGCAATCCCCGCTTCACATAATAGTAATCGGTGCGGGCCTCTCGGGCCTCGCAACAGCCATCTCCCTCGCCCAGTTCGGCCACAAAGTGACAATCCTTGAACAAGCACAAGAACTAGCAGAAGTTGGCGCGGGGCTGCAAGTCACTCCAAACGCCTCGCGTCTTCTTAAACACTGGAATCTACCTGAGTCTATTTGGAGTTCTGCTGTTGAGCCCAAGTCGCTTACCGTGCATCGGTATACGGGCGACGTCCTCGCGCATGATGGGATGTTTGACGCGCGGATTCGAAAACGATATGGCGCGCCATTTATTGATGTCCATCGGGTTAATTTGCAACAAGCACTTTTTAACAGGGCGAAGGAGCTAGGTGTGCGTGTTTATCTTGCGGAGAAGGTAAAGAGTGTACAGGATAATTCCTCCTCCAACTCTTCTTCTTCCGGAAATAAGAATAGCTGCATAACGGCAACAGTCCACACCGAGTCCGGAAATAGCTATACAGGCGACCTTGTCGTCGCTGCTGACGGGTTGTGGTCCCGCTGCCGCGAGTGTCTGCTTGGCCAGAAGGATAATCCCCTTCCAACTGGTAATCTCGCATACAGAATCGTGCTAAGTATTGATCAAATTAGTGATCTAAAGCTCCATGACTGGGTACGCAACCCGCAGGTGCATTTCTGGATTGGGCCAGGCGCGCATGTCGTTGCGTATTCAGTGCGTGGAGGGGATATGATTAATATTGTGCTTCTTGTACCAGATACGCTTCCACCAGGCGTATCAAGGGAGGAGGGCTCTGTTGAGGAGATGAGGGCCTTATTCTTGGGGTGGGACCCTATGTATCCTTTACTCTCCCCTTCTATAGAAAACTATGTGGTGCGAGTGCTAACATGTATAGTCTTACACAATTTCTCTCCTATGTTGACAAAGTTGACAAGTGGAAGCTCATGCACCGTACGCCCCCTTAACCTAGCCATCTACCCTTCGCCGCACGAACTAACCCTAAGCTACAGACGCCGAAATGACAACCTGGATCAATCACTCCTCAACCCTCGTTTTCGTGTACGCCATCCCTCCTCCCCTTATACCCCCCTAACAGTTTACCATCCAATCTAACCAATACCCCAGCGGTGACGCCTGCCACCCAATGCTCCCATACCTAGACCAAGGCGCAAACTCCTCACTCGAAGACGGCGCCGTCCTTGGCGGGCTCGTGGGGCACATGAAGAGCAAGTCGCAGCTCCCCGCGATTCTGCGGCTGTATGAGACACTAAGGAAAAAGCGCGGAGAGGCTATTGTGAGGGAGACGTTTAAGCAGGTGAGTTACGTTACCTACTAGTTGTAGAGGAAAAGGAGGATTGGGGGCAATACTAATGTTGACATATTATGTAGCGCCATGACTTCCACCTCGCCGACGGTCCCGAGCAGGAGAAGCGCGATGAGATTTTCCGCGCGCAGTTGGACAAAAATGGGGAGATTAGCGGGGCGTTTCCAAGTCGGTGGTGCGTATGCTTCTCTTCTTTCCTTCTCCTTTAACTCCCATCCTTGAGTTTCATATATCGGAAAAGAGAATTGTGCTGATATCAAGTAGGACATGTCCCGAAGTCCAGCCCTGGCTGTACGGGTACGACGCCGTGAAGGAGGTTGGGGATGCTGTTGCGAGGAATCCGGAGTTGTTTATGTCAAACGTATAGATCGTGTTAGACCGAACCGAAGAAGGTCATAGTGGTTTCAATATATTATGCGGATTCTAGACTGGATAGTCAGCTGTTTGTAAGTGGGGCTTTCCAAATGACGACGAACACTCGTTCGTGCTCCAATTGATTGCCCACGAATAGCCAATTCCCCAATTACCACCCTCAATGCGGGTGGTCGTATCTATCATGACTTATCCCAAATGTGCCCCACAGCCCTAACAGCATTTATAGTGATTGATTAAAACTAGTCTCCTGTCTAAATCAAAAGGTAGCCACTATGCTAAATAAGTCTTCAAGCATAGGTCGCTGCACTTAGGGATTCATGGGTATTATATAGTAGCGCTACTATCTAGTAGTTAGGAGTCTCTATAAGAAGAATAAATTATAATTCCTATTCTTACTATAAGGATACCTAAAGATTAATCTACTTTCTTAGATATTAAGTAATAGCATAATAAATAGATCTTAGTTATAAGTATTATAAATTCTATAACACCATGATTAGTTAGGATATATTTATCTAAGAGAACTATATTTGATATTATTCTAAGGGCTAGGCCCCTCTTGGTTCGCGCTAGATACTAGTCGCGTTAGCACGCGAGGAGCACATCGCTAATGTCCATGAAGGGCAGATTGCACGGGCATGTTGGTGGGGCGGACGATGGGACCAGGTTTGGCCCGGGCCCCTCTACCTAAGACAATTTGACAGGCAGTTGGAGAGTGATACGAGTACCTGAACGGGCGAGGGGCAATAAGCAACCAATCAGGCTGGAGCAACTGGCTGTGTGGGCTGGCTGAATGCGGTTCGAGGCCCTGGCTGGGCGCTTGTTTGCTCCTTCCCAAGTCGACCCAGCTGAGATTCCAACTTCCAATTGATCTGTTGTTATTTTTCCTTTCCTTTCACCTCCTTTCTTTGAACCCGCAGCAGGTTTTCTCCCATTGAGTTAGAGCGGACCTTTGCCCTAAAGTCGGCCTCAGGACCGTGTCGCGCCATGGCTTATGAAAAGGACTCTACGGTAGTCCCTTAAAAAGTCGGCGAAAACGTTTACGAAGACACCGACGAGGGCATCAACCAGAACCCAAGCCAGAATTTCAACGACTTGGTGCCCAACGCCGATATTCAGGTAGCCTCAAAAGAGTATATATATGAGGACGACCAAGAGGACGTCTGGTCCTTACGCGAAGGACGCATTGCCGATACCCGGCTGAATCAAATAGCACGTACAATCAACGATGACAACGCCTTGGCCCTGAAGGCTCTGCTACCCACCGAATACAGTGATGAGGCATTCTTTCCGGGGTCTCGCGGCCCGCTTCTCAAAGCACCAGAAGACCTGACTTTGCAACGCGCCACTGCTTTGGTATGGGCATCCGCGGGCAGTGTAAATGTTGTCGAGGATCCTCTAGACAGAGGGGCAAATGTCTTGTCCGAACGAGGGAAAGTGTGGTCGGAGAAATGGCCCACAAACTACTGCGCAGCTTTTTATCTCGCAGCCATGAACGGACACGCACACATATTGAAAATTCTCTTCGAAGGTTATCCAGAGCTCTTGGAGGCTCGAACCGTATGGGGCCAGACAGCTCTGTTTTTGGCAGCGCAGGGAGGGAACCTCACTGCCGTGGAAGATCTACTTGCAAGAGGTGCGGACCCTGCAGCAACAGACCCTTTTAAGGAAATTGCGCTGCATGTTGCGTGCTCCGGTGGTCACCTGCAAGTGTGCCAGGCTCTTCTCAGGAGCATCATACGCAATGGGGGAAACTATGATCGGGCGACGGCTAAGGCAATTATAAATGCGCCTGCGGCAATAACAGATTTCTTTCAGGAGGAATATCACTCTACATTTCAGCTAAAGAAACGTCAAATCTGGGAAATCATATACGGCCCGCGACGCGTGAGAGTATCTTGTACCTTGAAAGAACCAGTTGAGCTAGTGGATACTTCGAGTTTTATTTTAACCACTATGTGACCGCCCCAAAAGAAGTGAGTGGACACAACTTGTTGCGAGGACACGTAATCAACCCCAATATAGAATCGTTGCTTCGAATCAAAGACACTAGCTCAAGCACGGAATATGAGCTTCAAGTAAGTTTCTATGAGGTGGCTCGGCATATATTATATAACAGAACATATTGCCCTCTATCATTGCACAAGATGCTCAAGTTTCAGGTCGCCTTTTAACTAGCAGGTGGGCAAGTGGTACAATGGGTTTGCGGCCAGCTGTCATTAGCTGCGTCCCTGGTGCATGATGGTGTATCATGTTTGATATCTGCGTTGTCTTGTTTTCCAGTCACTTTGTAAGTTAAGCCGAGTTTTCTTGAGCCTCCTAAAGGCTTATAACCATCCTATTTACATAAATCATAATTCATTACTACAAAAGTGTGTTGGGACAGAGAACAAATATACTTTTATTACCTTTATTCGTGTTTCTCACTATCACTAATGTAAATAACAATTACCCTGCGTAGGTCCGACTACCTTTCATAAAGAAGATAATTATTGTCTACGTATGTGTCCTCGACAGGAACATCCACGCAAGCCCTAATAAATAACCAAAAAGAACAATCTGTGTCGAAGGGCCGCTGGGCTCAAAGTCATGCGACTCCGGCCGGGTATTTCTCCCAGCCAGTGGCTCACGTGTTCAATCGACCAGGCTTTTCATCTCCTCCTCTAACGCGGCGCTATCATCCCACCTCTCCAAGACGCTTATAACTGTCTTACAAGAGAGCAATAAAAACATGCAAAAACATACAACAGTAGGGATTCGCATGTGGTCACCCACCATACTACTAACCTACCGGCGTGTGGCTTAAGTACGGCTGAGCGGACGGGAAGCCCTGTTCTCCACACCCTGTGGTCGTATGTAGTTGTTTTTGGTCGGAAGGAGGCTATAGAGATGCTAGATCCACTCTTCATCAACCTCCGGTCAACTGTGACGGGCCATTGAATTAACAAGCGGTGGGGAACTTATTTCCTGCTTCGGCCCTCAGTAACCGAGAAAACTATACTCATCGCCCTGATGTGCGCGCCCAGATATCACACGGAATATCACCATATCATGACGTATTGCCCCTGTACTTTGCCTCCGTCGATGGTTTGTACCTTTATACGTCTGGTTCTGTTGGTCGAGTTTTACAGACCAAGCTTCATTCCGTTCCGCTAGCGCGCGCCCCCTTTGCACGAGATGAAGCTTTCATCTTCGTAACAACCTCGTAGAAGGCCAAACATCTTCTCATCGGGCAGACAATAAGGCTTTTCGAGCTCACTCGGTTTCCTCTCCTGGTGCCGCCGCCTATCCGCTCTAAGCGGTCAAGTACCTCAGGATATGAAAGGAAGTCGCTGCAGCCTCTGCTTGGGAGAGCCACTCGTGTCCGCGCATGGCCTGGAACTGCTATATACCCCGAAAGTGGATGGAAACAACTTGAATTCCGCGTCGCGTAGCTCGGGGATATAATAAGCATAGGATACAAAAATCTTAGGAAACCAGACACAAGAAGGGGTAGGAAATATAGGACTGATGGTCCTTAGGTAGGAAAAGGGCAAATATACTCGACTCTAGTGCAACATAGGCACGTAGCAGCCTTCAACAGCGGCATGGACGCACTTCGTAACGCCCAACGGCAAGCCAAAAGTGGCGTCTGAAATGCCTCTCCTCGAATATTCACCGAAACATTGCATCAGTTATATCGTATTGTCTTCTGAATTAGGTTAATTTCTGAGCCAATTGTGAATGGTCACGGGTCCCCGCTGCACGAAAGCTCTGTTCAACTATATATTAGCCACTGCGACGCATGTAGAGCCCTCTCTCACTCACATCTTCGGTGGGGAATTTTTGTACTTGACGGTAGCTGGAAAACGAGGGTTCTTTGCTTTGACTCTGGCATGCTCACTGGTGATTAACTTGAGATCCGTGATTTCAGCAGTCAGTCTACTGCAGGTGGCTCGGAGCTCGGCATTGTCGTTTGTAAGCTCATTCATGGCGCTCTGGAGGCCATCCCTCTCAATACTCAGCTCATCCAGTTCTCGTAACTGATTGGATATCGTCAACTGTAACTCCGTGCTTTGGGCCTGCTCGTCGTGTAGGTCGCTCTCTAGGCGACGGACTTCGATGCTCATTGCATCCCGCTGGCCCTCTAGGGCATTGATCGTATCCTGCTGGGAACGCCGGCCATCTGTCAGGTTACAAACTTCCTCGGTCAGTGCTTGACACTTGGCGTCGAGCTCTTCCCTCTCCTGGCGCATTGTAAGTAAGAGCTCCGCTTCAACCCTAAATTGGACTAGGTCCCTCTCAAGCCGGTTGTTAATGGTTGTCAGCTCAGTGATTTGACTTCCCAACCGGCCTTCGTTATCGATTTTCTGCCGTTGCACCTCTTGAACTTGATTCAATACAGTGGCGAGCTCTGCGCGGTAATTGTCGTTTCTGGATCTCTCCTCAGTGACCAAAGAATTAGCCCTGTCAATCTCGTCCCTCATCCCGGTCAGTTGTTCCCGCATTTCGGTGTTCTCATTTTCCGCTCTAGCCAAGCTATGCAGCAATGTACGCTCCATCATGGAGTATCTGGCCTCGGCATCTGACAGCTCAATGCTTCTCTCGTCCAGTTGATTTGTCAAATTATTCATGCTGGCTATCTTCTCTTCGAGGGATAGTTCAAGCTCAGATACGCTTTCACGAAGGACTCGAATTTGTTCTTCAAGATTTTGCGCGTTGGTTTCTGCGCTAGCGCGCTCCTGCCGTAGGTCCGACAGTGCTGTGTCTCGCTGATTCTGTAAGCTTGTAATATCCCTCTTGCACTCTCTTATGTACTCAGCTATTCTTTCTCCTGCTCTTCGCTCTACTTCTGCCGAGTAGCGGCGTAGGGGTTCCAGGAAAGGGCGCAAAAGACCATCGTCGACTTCAGTCGGCTGGAGAAGCTCTTGAGTAGGACGGCCGTCGCTCTCTGTTTCGGGGAGCAGATGATCTGCCATCACTTCTTGGTTTTCCGAGGGTGAAAACGACCTTGGGGTTTGACTTGGCGTCGTATGGTGGGATGAGACTGGAGTGGGCGGAGGATAGACTCGTGGCATAATTGTACACATCTTTTCGCCAAATGTATACGAGATGACTGCTACGTCCGAAGGTATTCTGAGCCGGATCAACTTGGACGCTCCATTGCACCCTTTTATTATCTGCTCTTCCAAAGTAAGGCAGTGAATAGTAAGCTATATTGATCGTTCTGCAGCTGATCGCTTCACTTGTCAATTAGATCTTCGCGCTAAGCAGGGAACATTGCAATATCTACTATCACTGTCTTTGCACTCCCGTTTGGTGCATGGCAAAATGTTTTCGATGGGAAAAACGAAGCGATAACCGAGGGACACATGAGCCATCTTTGCTTTTACTGCATCAATGCGGCGGCCATTTGGATGGTCAGAACCCATGGGGCTACGGAGACAGGGGTCATGACCGCAAAATATGTTGTCAAAACCTCGCTTAGGATCGAGTACAGCCTTGCCGCGCCTGTGGAGAGAGCGAGGAATCTTTGTGCAACTGGTTGTGCATACCCCAGATCACATCGAGAATCATCCCAGGGAAGCCCCGGCGAAAGCCGCCAGTAAGATGCGTTTAAACAAAAGAACTAAGCACAGGCCCATTTGCAATAGTTGGAACGCATTGGTTCGACCTGCCAATTGGCCGCCCTTGTTTGGCCCAGTAGGAATCCGCACCAGTTTCTAAGTGGGGCTTTCCAAATGACGACGAACACTCGTTCATGCTCCAGTTGATTGCCCACGAAGAGCCAATCCCCCAATTACCACCCTCAATGCGGGTGGTCGTATCTATCATGACTTATCCCAAATGTGCCCCACAGTCCTAGCTCTTCTTTGCATTTACAGTGATTGACTAATTGGCACTTAATTTCGAGCTTGTATCTGAAGTGTGTACAATTCCAAATTTCAAATCAAGTAGGGAAATTCATATTTAGCTATTCTAGTAGTCCAGATATGATATACATGGCTTATTCCACATATATTCTGCTAGTTACCCTTCTCACCCCACGTCACCACAGTGGTAATATTGTTACCAACTTCTCGTCCATCATCATGATTTAGCGCCTAGCACCCACTAGAGTCAAACAGGCTTAGGAATCTTTCAATCTCTGAAGAGATGGTGGCGTGCGATAAAGGTGTCGCGTCCCCATTGCCGGCAGCCTTATTTGCTTTTTCAGGAGCCAATCAGCCAGCCGCCAAGGAGCAAGCAGTCACCTGGGCAGCCAACAGACAGCGTCCTGGTGAGAAAGCGGCCAAGCTTGTTGAGGGCCAAAGCTGTCGAGAACTAATGCAGCGACCAACCGTTCACTTGGACGAAGGGAACGCCCGTGGCACAGTCAGTGTCTCGTTCGGAAGGAATCAATAATGTTACCGCTGAGTGCAACCAAATTGGAGAGTCCGCGGACAAGACAAAAAGAAGGGCATTTCTATCATGCTTTTTTAACGAAACTTCAGAAAGCACGGACAGCTTGATGGTATGCTTGGTAAAGATTGTTCAAGGCATCTTGAGTTCGGAGACGGTATCTCAAGGCGCCCGCTCAGACATGAGCGCAAAGTCTGAGCTCCTCCCTATGCATTTTAGTTGGAACTTGATTCGCTCTAGAGTAAGGCTCCTATGATTAATAAAACTTAAGGTCCGTGAAAATCAGGCAGGTGAATCAAAATCGTAGCTTCCTGCACGAGACTCTCTGCGGTAGCTGCAAGTGCACTGTGCCGCCCAACCTTCCAGCAAACCCATGAGCCACAATCCAATCAGGCAGCCTCACAGCCACCAGGGCGCTGAAATGATTGGAAAAGCAGAGATTGTTTCCCAAGGCTCAAACCGCCTTGCCTCGCCTTTATTTCCCTGCTCAAATCGCGCAACAAGGCTAGGATGCTCAAATTGACGATGCGAGCAACTTACTTATTCCTGGCAATTCGACCAGCTAGCTACGTTGCCTAATTATCTTGTTATTCTACTCATTCAGCTGTACTATCATCATAACTACACGATCACATATCATTCGCAGCAAAGAAATGGCCGACACCGCAAACAATAACCAGAAAATCTGCTACGACTTCGCCGAGCGCGGATCCTGTCGCTTCAAACGCTGCAAATTTGCGCACGTTCGCCGAAACAACGATAAAGCCCATGGGCAAATTGACAGAAGAGGCCATCGGAGTAGTCCGCGCAACGATGCAACGGAGCTTGCTCTTTGGAAGCGACAAGTCGGCAGTCCTCAGCATAACCTCCCGCTGGGCAGACACCTAGGGCCGATATTCGCCAAGGCCAGAGAGCTGATCGAGCTCGATGAAGGCACACTCCAGGATGTAATCCTGTATCTTTCCAAAGAGGGCGGTCTGAGACGGATCCAGGAGCTGGTTCAGCGTGACTTTGGCTCGCTTCAGGCGTCTGCGACACGCGATCTGTTTGTCAACCAAATGCTGCCCTTCATGGAGATCATCACACATCCGAACGTCCTCGCCTCGCTAGTGATGGAGCAAGCAGTCGGCACCATATACAACTGTCTCTACGGGATCAATGGGCGCCGAGCAGAGCCTTTTTTGGCATTTTTAGCGAGTGCCATACAACTCGAAATTGAGACTGAAGGGAATGCGGCATCCGCATACCTCGAACAGTCCATCCTAGTCTTTTGGAAGATTGTCGAGGTCAACTCGACTGCTTTCATTCAAGACGCGCTGAAGACTGTTGCCCAACGATTCGCCGACCTGTTTCTTACACTTCATGCCTTGGACGGCTCCGATACCCTTCATCAATCGCGAGATTACCTGGACAAGCTGCAGCATCGACTCGACATCGGGCTTTCTCTGCCAACGGTGACAAAGACATCAAAGCAGCATGTTAATCAACAGCCCAGTGCCTTTGTAACGCTGAAAGAACCACCTGGAGGGCGCCACGACAATGACCACGCGGATATTTGCAAGATCAAGGTCATGCCGACATTTCAGGAAATCTTGTCACCGCGCCCCGAGTATCTTCCCGTCAAGGATCCACGCCAGTGGCATCTCAGCGGACTCGCCGGACTTTTGGATAGGAACTTCCGACTCCTGCGAGAAGATACGGTCGGCCAGCTCAGGGACGCAATCCATGCTGAGCTGCAAGCGGTCGGTCAAAAGAGAAGCTTGGCCCAGAATCGCCAAACTAGGACACACGTCTACAGGCAGGTAGTCGTCCAGGGAGTGGACTTTCACCGATTTGAAGGGCTGCAGTTTGTGGTTCGCTTTGCTCAGCCGACAACTGTCCGGGGATCAGCGAAGAAGAAAATACAAGAGTGGTGGCAACTATCGAAGCGTCTACAGTCAGATGCACTGGTTTGTCTTGTTGATCCGCGCGGGTCGGCGATCTTCTGCACAGTTGCTTCACCAGAGCGCCCAAGGCCAGGATCCGACGCAGCTGAGAAACCCCAAGAGAGACTGACAGGTTCCCTCTCAGACAATCCCAGTGTAGCTTCTGTTCTCCTGAAGTTGGTCCAGCCCGGTGAGAGCAGCTGGCAGTACATCCTCGACTGTCAAGCGTCCCACTTCAAGCCGCCATCCATTTCGCTTGTGGAATTTCCTGGCATTCTCTTGCCATCATTTCAACCTACTCTGCTTGCTCTTCAGAGAATGCAGAGAGCCGCAGATGTTCCCATGTCGGAGTTTCTTGCTCCCAGTGACAAGAACTCGCTGTCGATTTTGGCCGACGTCCCACCCCCTGTCTACGCAGCTTCCCAAGGCTTCAGCTTTGACCTGAAGTGTCTCATGAAGGATGATTCCAGTTTGCAGCTGCACAGTTCTCGGCCTTTTGACCTGGAGAAGCTTCAGAAGAATACCACACTCGATAACGCCCAGGCCGAGGCTCTAGTTCGCACCCTTCAGCGCAAGATTGGTCTGATACAAGGCCCACCAGGAACCGGAAAGAGCTTCACCGGAGTCGCACTGATCAAAGTCTTGTTGGCTAACAAGGCTAAGGTCAGAAAGCGTCTAGGGCCAATTATATGCGTTTGCTATACCAATCACGCCCTTGACCAGCTCCTGGAAGACCTGCTGGATAACAAGATAACTTCGCAGATTATCCGGATTGGTTCTCAATCCAAGTCGGAGCGCTTGCAGCCACTGAATCTCCGAAATGTTGTCCGGAATGTTCAAAAGACACGCCTAGAGAAGACTGAAACATGGCAACTGCATAACGCGCTTGATGAGCATGAGGCTCAAATCCGAAAGCTCAGACTAAACTCAGTTGGCTCAGATCATAGTCTAAAGTATTACCTTGAACGGCACCAACCAGTCCATTATAATCAACTGTTCGGCGAGGACGAAGATGGCTTTCAGAAGCAGAAAAGGAAGGACCCCGCCCACGCAATACAGTCGTGGCTAAGGGGTGGCAGGCATATCGCAGCACAGCCGCGGTCCCTTAGAGAACTTGCGCGGGTTCACGTCGATACCATGACGGCGTCGGAGCGCAAAGCGCTCCACACTTCCTGGATAGATGATCACAGGAAGAATTCCCACCTTCGGGCGCAGGCAGCATTCTCCGCCTATCAGGAGACCAAGACTTCCTGGAACAGGATTCGAGACGAGATGGACTTGCGGTGTCTCAAAGACGCGGATGTGATTGGAGTGACTTCAACTGGTCTAGCCCGGAACCTCGAGATGCTCCGCCGATTACCATCCAAAGTACTGGTATGCGAAGAGGCTGGAGAGGTATTGGAGGCGCACTTGCTTACTTCGCTGTTGCCATCTCTCGAGCAAGTGATCCTCATCGGCGATCACCAACAGCTTCGGCCTCAGATCCAAAACTATGATCTGTCGCGCGAGAGCAAGGCAGGAAGCCAATACGCGTTGGACAGGTCGCTGTTTGAGCGCCTGGTGGAGCCGGATGATGGCGTCGGGGTCCAGATTCCGTTCTGCAGCTTGGAAACGCAGCGACGAATGCATCCGTCGATATCCCAGCTCATCCGAGACACGCTGTACCCGCACTTGCAAGATGCGCCATCCGTGTCCATATACCCAGAGGTTGTAGGAATGCGAAAGAGACTTTTCTGGCTTGACCATCGTGTACCAGAGGGTAACGCTTCGAGCCAGGAGGCTTTGGCAACATCCCATTGGAACGATCACGAGATACAGCTGACAGTTGCACTGGTAAATCACCTTCTTCGCCAAGGGACCTACCAAAGCGGGGACATTGCTGTTTTGACTCCTTACCTTGGCCAGCTTCATCGGCTGCGTCGGAAGCTGAGCGAATCGTTCACTATCACAGTCGGAGAAAGAGACGAGGATGACCTAGTCAACGCTGGCTTCATCGAGGACGAGGCGCCCTCGGAAACGGCGACAATCGTTCGATCAACGCTCCTCCATTCTCTAAGGGTTGCAACAATTGACAATTTCCAGGGTGAAGAGGCTAAAGTGGTGGTGATATCCGTGGTGAGAAGCAACGACCAGAATCGCTGCGGCTTCCTCCGTACACCAAACCGCATCAACGTGCTTCTCTCCCGTGCCAAACACGGAATGTACCTTATCGGCAATTCCAGAACCTCGAGGGGTGTCGACATGTGGGGTAAGGTGCTGGATATATTGGAGAGAGATGGAAACATTGGTGATGCTTTGGACCTAACCTGTCCTCGACATCCCGAAACTCCAATCAGAGTATCAGAACCCGATCATTTTGTCCAATACTCCCCCGAGGGAGGTTGCAGTCTGCAGTGTGGCAAACGCCTTGCGTGCGGCCATCCATGCAAGCAAAAGTGTCACTCAGAACTACTCCATAGCGCGGTTTATTGCCCAGAGCAATGCCAGCGGCCACGGAAAGGCTGCCCGCATCCTTGTCCTAAGCGTTGCGGAGACCCCTGCCCTGAGCGATGTACTGTTAACATTCCTGACGCTCGCCGTCTTCTTCCATGCGGACATCCAATGGTCAATCTCCCTTGCTGGCAGGCGCAGGATCTTAGCCTAGTGAAATGCCCGGTTTTGGTCGAGCGGGAGATACCGCATTGCCATCACAGCTCGAGGTTAGCTTGCCATATCGACGTCAATAGCGCGGATTACCAATGCCGTCATCAATGTCGGAGTATCTTGCCCTGTGGCCACAATTGCAAGCGGCAATGCCTGTCATGTATTAAACGCACCGCTGACGGCCCCAAATTCGACCATGGTCAATGCACGCAGGTATGTGGACGCCTGTATTCAACCTGCGCACATGCTTGCAATGCCGAATGTCACGGGAATACTCCATGTCCGCCATGTACATCCCCTTGTGACGTGCAGTGCGGCCACTCGAAATGTCCGCGGAAATGCTCTGAACCGTGTGCTCCATGCGCGGTCTCTGAGTGCCTATCTTCTTGTCCCCATAGCTCATGCTCAATGCCATGTGCTGCACCCTGCGATCACGTCCCGTGCTCTCTGCGCTGTGAGAAAACCCTATCATGTGGCCATCAGTGCCCGTCTGTATGTGGGGAAACGTGCCCTCCAAGCGACTTCTGCCAGGCTTGTGCATCAATAAGCATCAAAGAGACCACGGTAGATTTCATCCTAGGAGAGCAGTACCACGAGGTGGACTTGACGGCGAACCCTTGCATATTCCCCCCCTGTGGCCACCTTTTGACCATGGAGAGTATGGATGCTCAGATGGACCTCAAGAAGCATTATGTTCTGGACGACAATGGAAGACCAATATCCATTGCTTCGTCTTCACAGCCATTCTCCATTGACGATATCCGGACATGTGCCATCTGTCGGGGCTCGTTACGCAAGGTGTCCCGTTACGGAAGACTTGTGAGGCGCGCATTATTGGACGAGGCAACGAAGAAGTTCATATTATATTTGAACCAGAAATACGTTCCCATGGCTCAAGACCTCCCGAGGTGCATATCAAAGTTGCAAAGCGAAGAACTGCGAGCAAGGGCGAAAGTAACCGCAAACCAGGTGTTCAGAGCCAGTGTCAAGACCCGGATCGAGGGCCCTCCAGAGCATCAGGTGCGATTGATGATAGGTCATGTTAGCAAGTATGACAAAGGGCGCTGGAAGGAACTCATCGCTCTTCGGGGCAGGGTAACTGAGTATAAAAGCAGGGTGCGGATAGAGGAGCAGCCGTTTGATCAAGTCCGCAACATGGTAGACGATGCGCGCCGGCGCAAAAGGACCCCTGGACAATTCGAATTCGACGCAAATGTACTTCAAACAAAAGGACACCTGCAGGCTACAGCCCTCCTGTTGCGCCTGGACATGGCCCTTTTGGCGGACTTTCTCTCCCTCCGCAAACTAGTACTACCCGCCGCCGCCAGAGAAAGCGACCTATACGTCAACTTGGGAGAGTACAGGAAAGAAAGTCGGCAACTAATTACTAATGCAGCAAGATCACGACGCATCCTACAAGAGGCAGAGGGGAACATCTTTCTCGCGCAATTCTGTGCACTCGAGCGACAGAATCTGACAGAGCCAACCCAAGCCGAGACTCTGCTCCAACAAGGCACAGCTGCAATTGACGAGGCCGAGAGGCTTTGTCACCTCCACGCTCAACAGACACGCGGCGTTCTGGAAGAAATCGAGGGAACCAGGGCAATGCTTCGTGGGTCCGAGTTCTATACACCCGTCACAAACGAGGAGCGTATGGCCGTGCTGGCTGCAATGGCGCGGGAGTTCCGAGGAACGGGGCACTGGTATTATTGCGAAAACGGACACCCATTCACGATTGGGGAGTGTGGTGGTGCTATGGAGTTGTCTCGGTGTCCCGAGTGCGGCGCGGCTGTGGGTGGCCAACAGCATGAAACGACTGCTGGTGTGACCCACGCCCGTGATCTAGAGAATGCTTTGCGGGAAATGCATCTATAGCTTGGCTTGAATTGTATGGGCAGTGGGGGTTCGTGTATGGATAGAGAAGACCTTTTGAAATGCTAATTGTTTATATACCTCACCCACGTTTCTGTTGGATGTAAGTCGGATTTGCGCTGGCGTGAATGGTGCAGGACCTATGTGGACGATGAAAATCTTACAAGATTTCCACTGAAAGCCCTGAAAAAATACGCTATGGCTTGATATCTACTGCCTGTAAAGTAGTTTGTGGTCTCACACCATATGTAGCACATAACAAAAGTCGTATATCTGAGGCATTCGGCCCTCACCCAATTTGTTGGCGCGAATCCTCACTGTGGGCGCACCAATCGACTCGACGGAACGGAGTATCTCAAACCCGGCCGCCCAAGCAACCACAACCGATATTACTAATACGCAAGCAGTCGCAGTGTAGCATCGGACTCGGATATTTGCTTGCAACTCTCATCGGCAATTCACATGGCGGCGAGCGCCAACTAATAACCGGATCTGCGCTTACTTACCCCATGCGGAAGAGATTGACTTCGAGGCGGCCAATAGTGTATGTGTAACGTAACGCAACTCAGTTTTGGTCAACTTTTGGGAGCAGGGGTGGAGTCGATCCTTGAAATTTCTTGAAATTCAGGTCGGGCGGCTGATGATGTGATTGGTTGGGTCTTGCAAGGGGGAGTGGGTTTTGAGGCGATCAGGCACTCAGGCTAGTACCAGCCTGCAACTAGCGGCCGATGACCGAGTCGACCGTGTTGATGATGATGAGGGATAGATGATGATTATTTCGAAGATGTTGCGCTTGGTGATATCGAGGAACTGTGAGTTGTAGAAAGGGCCTTGGAGCACTTGATCGCAGGAAAGACCAATCTAATATTGACAAAATCTTGTCGTCTGAATTAACGGCAATGGCGAATTCTGGTGTGGCGGGGATCCCGTAAGCCACACCCGCAGCGCCACAAAATATATATCGTTGACAGAGATATCAAGTTTGCACGCCCTGAATGTAAGGACTGGCTATGATGGTACAGGTGAAATGTCCTGGCATCAACAGTCATGGTTGATCTACAGCGGTTTTCCAAAGAAACCATCTTTACGCGCGCGGTATACTTTCATCTAGTAGCTAACCGCCAACCACCGCAGGCCGACGGACAGCTTCGAGGATACTGAACCATGCCAGAGACCAGCTCTAAGATGTGAAACCGTCCAAAGGTAAATAGGCCAGCCTCTCTACATCCCTGTACCAAGGTCTTTGTAAGTAAATACCCGTGTAACCGTGTTCCTGCTCGACATCCACCCCGTCACCCCGCACCCCGACCAACCTCGTATCCCATCGGCAACCCGACACCATCCCGATACACAGCCAAGCCCGAGAGCAAACGACAGCCGTTAGCTATGGATACTCACGAGCAGCGGCAGCAACGCATGAAACCACAAGCGATGATCCAGGATCCAGGAGCGAGCCACTGTGCGTCATGCAAGGTGTTGCCCCGGGACCCCGCAAGCAAGACGATCATTCTCCAGACTCCAGTGTTGCGGTGTAGACGTCGGAGATCAATGCCGTTGTTGCAACTTGCTGTCAGGCTTCTTCAATTGTTGCATGTCGACGGCTGATCAACAGAGTTTATCGTGGTGGATCGTGTCATGTTGTTGATCGTAGGTGTAGATGTAGATGTACTTGGGTAGATGTACTTGGTCGTGCAGGTATGCGCCCCCGCGAGTCGCAACCGCGGGGAAGCGCCTTGGGGCCTGAGTTGGGGGCCGTTGGTCACTTGGTCACCGAGCACTGGTGAGGGCTGTACCACGTCACTCGAGGGCTATGCTGTACAACGTATTCAGTACAAGGACAAGGGAGCTATGCGGCAAGCCGCAGGAAAATACTTGCGGCGGCAAGTTCCTGAATCGCCCCGGTCAGCCACGTTGTCATCGCTCGCCTCGATGTCCGAGCAGCAGAGTCGTGGGCCCGTTTCCGAGTCGATGATGGGAGCGGTTCCCAACGAAACAAGGCCCACGCCGCTGTTACATGTTGCAGCGAAGATGGGTCTGCTACCGGGTAACCATTGAAGCGGTTATCAAGATCATCGCCAACAATGCCGGGTCGGAGAGGGCTGTTTGATAAGTGGTCCACATAACGCTCGCACCGACACCCTGCGTCTGCATCTAAGCGAAGATGGGCGTGTGGTGAGTGGCCAGCACGTGGATGACGTTGGTGACTTGATGATCGGGGGTTGTCCGTCCACAGTGTTACTCAAGTCTCAATAAAATTCTTTCGGAGAAACTACGGGAGGGCCCCACTTGGCGTGTGGTAGCGCCAAGACCGGCCGCATCCTGCTGTGCTTGGCTGACGCAAACGACCCTCTCGGCCACTCGCAGCGAATTGCTCGCTTGCAACGCTGGAGACAAGAATTTTCAAGCACTGTGGTAGGCTCACGCCACAAGTGCTTGGACCAGCCAAGCGTCTTCCTTTTGAGTGTTGCAGCGTCAGTGGCGCGCGGCCGAGCCGGTTGCCACCCGAAGAATGCGGTGACGGAAGTCCGAGTCATTGCTTGCATCTCGGTTTTGGAGGCGCTGGTTCAGGAACAAGATCTTGCCAGGTGTCTGCTCTCCGCGTGTGGCTTTCACGGGGCGCGGGGTAGTGCGGACTGAAGGCGAGGGGGGCGACTTGGGGCGACTTGGGGAGACGGGGGAGAGGTCTCGTGGCGTTGCTCGCGTCTCGGGATACCAACCTGTTGCGTACGCCTGGAAATCGCTCGGAAAGTAAAGCGCAGATCTGGCTCGCCTGGCCTTCCCCTTGCGGCGTCAAGGCACAAGTTTGGTGTTGGTTCAGGCTCGGCTTATATGCGCCCAGCGGCAGTGGACCCCCCAAGAACGGCCCCAATCGACAAAGGTGTGGAGCCTACCAGCAAATGACTGCAGTTGGCTGCATCGAGTGGCCTTCGCAAGAGTTTCCTTGTGTCATTGTGGATCGGCGACGAGAACAAACCGCTCCCCGCCTGGGTCCGGCCAAGACATTTGCAGGGTACGGGGGGGTGAGATGGGGGGTATGGAGGAGGCATATAAGAGTGCGCAGCTACCCCGTCTCGGACTGACCTGCATTTCTTCTGCATCCGTGCTTTTCTTTCTTTTTCTTCTTCTGTCACCCATACTGTCAAGATGTGGACGGCAACAAGCGGACTCACGGGGCGCCCGCTCCGGCTGGCCATCACCTTTACGGCCATCATGGGTTTCTCTCTTTTCGGATACAACCAGGGAATGATGTCTGGTCTGCTCAACGGTGACCAGTTCACCGGCGAGTTCGATGCTCTGGCCATGCCCGAGAATGCCACCGACAGCCAAAAGTACCACCTCAACGTTATTCGCGGTGCCGTCACCGCTTGCTACGAAATCGGCTGCTTCTTCGGCGCCCTCTTCTCCATGTTCTTTGGTGAGCGATTCGGTCGCACTCGCATCATCTTTGCCGGTGCCAGCGTTCTGATCATCGGTGCCATCATCTCCGCCGCTGGTTTCGGCGCCCACTGGGGCCTGGGGCAGTTTGTCGTTGGCCGTGTCATCTCTGGTCTCGGAAACGGCATGAACACCGCGACGATCCCCGTCTGGCAGTCGGAATGTTCCGGCGCCCACAACCGCGGTCTCCTTGTGTGCTTCGAGGGTGCCATGATCGCTGTCGGTACCTTGATCGCCTACTGGGTCGTCTTTGGTCTTTCATACGTCCCCGACACCGTCCAGTGGCGTTTCCCCGTCGCTCTGCAGGTCTTCTTCGCCCTGATCGTCGCAGGCGGCGCTCTGGCCCTGCCCGACTCCCCCCGTTGGTTCATCAAGCGCGGTCACAACCAAGAGGCCGTCGACGTGCTCGCCAAGATCAAGAACCTCTCCCCCGACTCCAACGAGGTCCTCGCCGAGTACAACTTCATGAAGGCCGACGTTGAGATGACCACTTCCTCGCAGGCCAGCTGGAAGACTATCTTCACTTTCGGCAAGACCCAAGAGTTCCAGCGTCTCGCCGTCGGTTGCTCTGGCCAGTTCTTCCAGCAGTTCACCGGCTGCAACGCCGCCATCTACTACTCCACCCTGCTCTTCGAGGACAACCTGGGTCTCGAGCGCCGCCTGGCCCTGATCCTCGGCGGAGTCTTTGCGACCGTCTACGCCCTCGCAACCATCCCATCCTTCTTCATGATCGAAAAGGTCGGCCGCCGCAAGCTCTTCCTCATCGGTTTCGCCGGCCAGGGTCTCTCCTTCCTCATCACAATGGCCTGTCTCATCGAAGAGAACGAGCAAAACTCCAAGGGCGCCATCGTCGGCATCTTCCTCTTCATCGTCTTCTTCGCCTTCACCCTCCTCCCGCTCCCCTGGATCTACCCTCCCGAGATCAACCCGCTCCGCACCCGTACCGCCGGCGCCGCCGCAGCCACCTGCACGAACTGGATCACCAACTTCGCCGTCGTCATGTTCACCCCGCTCTTCGCCGACGTCTCCCCCTGGGGCGTGTACCTGTTCTTCACCCTGATCAACTTCATCGGTATCCCCTTCGGCTACTTCTTCTTCGTTGAGACGGCCGGTCGCGAACTCGAGGAGATCGACATCATCTACGCCAAGGCGCACGTCGAGGGCCGCTGGGCGTTCAAGGTCGCAAATGACCTGCCCAAGCTGTCGCTGGAGGAAATCACCCACCAGACCCGTGTGCTCGGCCTCGATATCAACAACACTGCTGGTCTGCACCAGGAGATGGGTCTTGGACATGCTGAGCCCAAGGAGCTTGGTGACAGCGGCAGCGGCAGCGACAGCAACGGCGAGAAGGGCACTTCTCAACAGGCTTAAGCCTAAATTTGATACCCAACTCAGGAGTGGAGTGGAAGTGAGGTGCTTTGCCCCAGCGGCAGCACTATGATTGTACAAACCCTTAATGAGGTGATACCCGGCGTCTGCCACGCGCTTTGTGAGCGCAACCAGCGCGACGTCTATGTGGAGAGATAGTGTTGTTGAGATGAGTCTTTGGATGGATGGTGCTACGCATCGTCATCATTCGATGTTCATGTTGATATTTTTCCTTGTCTTGTCTTTAGCCGGTCATGATAGATTCCTTGCTGGCAATGATATCCATACATATCCCATGTCATTATCTACAGGATAGATCGTTCGATAGAGAATGGACTCGATGTCTGTACCTACAACCGTTCCTCTCGTAAATTTCTCCCACCATAATCTGTGGATGATCTCAATTTCTCACTTTTCGTGATCCGCCCTCAAATGTCCCACGCGCAGAGTTTTCACATCCCTACCAGACAACAAAATCCCATGAATCCTCACCACAAGGCTCAAACGGAGTCGATTCAAACCCGAGGTCCCACATGCATATCCACAGCGCACCACCCGGGTCAAACATGCGTCGCACCGGCGCAACTTACGACTTTGAAACTTGCAGGCTGCAGGGATTTTGATAATTCTCCGAGATGAGATGAGCTGCGACTCGGAAAGGAAATGGGATTGCTAATGAGGTTGCTTTTGCGGCTCCGATTCTATCCGCACGTTGCAACCGCACCGCTGCCGCTGCCGCATGCGGCGAATTTTCCGCCTCGGAATCGGGTTCCCGTCGTCCAGGGTCAGGGTTGCCCCTGCAATGGCACATGCCAATGATACCCAAGAGTGGACGCTTACATCATCCTCTTTTTCTGGCCGAGGGTGGCGGTGGCCGCGGGCTCCGCCTGAACCGTTTTGTTGGACATCGACACGTGACGGGACATTTTGTCCAGGGGGTTCGTGCTTGATGTGATGTTGACTGTGACCAACATTAAATTGAGCACTCGATGCTCAAGAAGGCTTGTCAACATGTCCAATAGAACCATTTTTGTCCATCAACTACGCCTCAGGCACCCTCCGTTCCACCTTGGAAGTTCTCTGCCTGACCTTCCTTTCAGGGCAGGTACGACCGCGTTGTCTGTAGGACGTACCGGCCTAGCTAAATCACCCAGGTTGCTACCCGGGCAACCGATTGGATCGTTCTTTCCTCATCTGTTGTAGTTTGGAAGTGTCTCAGAAGAGGCCGGTGCGACTACTATGATGGTTCCTGTTGGATATATATATTTCGCTTAAGGGTATAGCTCAACCAAGTATAGATAGCTGCGGAACGAGCGAGATGAGAGCGCAGGGGAGGCACATTTACAATGCAATCTCCAACATATATATATACAACCTATCTATCCTCTAGTCCTACCTTACAGGTCCCCGAATTCCAAGTTTAACTATTGTGCCACAATTGTTCAAGCCACCATCCCCAGGCCCTGTTCCTCCGAATAACCAATCGAATTCATCATGCGTTACTCGCGCACGAGAAACTCGCCCGACTCGAGTCCTCGTGGAGGGCTTTGCCGGAGACATACAGGCCGAGTCCGCACTGCGTGCGCAACGAAGATGTTAGCAATGCTGCACCGAATTATCGGCAGAGGGATAAAAGGGCAAGGGTAGGCAACTCACGATAACGGCCGCCACAACAATCATGGCGACATTGACGATTGTAAGGAAGGTCTTCATTGGCGTGGAAAAGAATCGGCCGCGGTTTAGGTACAGCCAGAACATGCCGCTGAAGCCGTCTGTAGTGCGTATATGTTAGCAGTAGGCCTCCTCTTCGAGGTGGAAAGCGAAATATGGGGCAGAGGACGTACAGGTAAACCAACTCGCGAAGAGCGATGCCTGTTCAACATCAAATTGTCAGCTTGGAACCCTTCATCCGAAATTCAGGGTGATAATGCAGTGTGGAAAGAGGGGCATACGATGAGACTCAGCAGGTTATTAAACACGGGAATCGCCGAAGCAATCACCCACGCAATGACCCAGGTCACGAACAGAATAAGAGCCCAGGAGCCCACAGCGACAAAATCATTCTTGTGCATGCGATCCGTCTTGCGGAAGATGCGCACGTAGATGTACTTGCATGCCACGTGGCCGTTGACAACGCCGCCGATGATGATCTGGACACTTGTTAGTTGCACATTCCTCGTTCAATCTGGATTGAAAGAGTAGAGTAGGAGCAGGGGGATAAAGACGACATACAGTAGGAAGCGCAATCCCATACGCAATCTTCCCGATAATCGGACTGGCGGATCCCAGCGCCGGCGAGGTGACTTCTGGGCCTGCGTAGCAGTAGATGACGACTGCACTGACGATGTAGAGGATCGTGTCGGTACCCTGGAGGAGGAAGAGCGATTTGGGGTACTCCTTTGGGTCTTTCAGTTCGGAGATGAAGCTGAAGAAGGCGACGTGGCCGGCTGGAAACGGTCAGTATGAGCGGGAGAGGGTTGAAAGTAGTTCGGTGAGTTTGGCCACATACAAAAGGAGAAGACGATGTTGCACACGCCCAGGAAGGCATGGTACAGATTCGTATCAACCGCGGCCTCCAGGTCGCCTTTCCATGGCTTCTGGATTCCAACTGCGATCATGACGATCATGACGGCGGAGAAGACGCTGAGGAATGCTACAGAAATTAGTTAGTTAAACATACACCGAAGAACAACCGGGAGCACATACACGCAACAGAAAGGTACGAAACCTTGGCCGAAGTCCGCGGCAAGCAAAGCACGTAGGAAATGACCAAACCCACAACGCCAAAGACAATCGAACATGTTCCATGGTCTGTGATCGTGTTCATGGCCACAGTGAAAGTGAGAATATGGCTCGCCATTATGAACACGATCAATAGCAACTGGCCCATTCCTAGAAACTCGCGGCCGAATTTGCCTGCGAGCACTTCGCCGGCGTCGGCCATGCTTTGGACGTGCGGATAGGCCCATCGGAACTGGCCGATTGTGTAGCCTGTGTAGGTGGACATGATGCCGAAGCCTACTAGAAGGATGATCGCGCTGGAACTTGTTAGTTTGTGTTCATGTAGTCTTCGGATGTGTAGCTCACGGTACGAGGCCCAGCGCCGCAACGACAGAGGGCAGCGAGAGGATACCAATGGACACAGTTTCCGCAACCATCACTACAATGTATATGATTAGTTGCATGGCCTGTTTAGAGCAGGTTGATACTCACGGAAACCAGCTTGCCTAGACCATGTTTAGCTGTTGTCGTCATAGAATGTTGCAAAATCTGGGGTACTCACCACCAACTCAACACCTTGTACTTGATCTCAGCATCCTGCTCATCCCCAAAGACATCGTTCGGAACAGCTTGCTTCTCCTCAGGCTTCTCCTCATCTTCGACGTTTGCTCTATACTCCCTCTGCGGCACGACTGTTTCATCCAGCTCTGGCCAGTGCTGAAACTGAGTCATAATTCCGAGGCGCGCTTCGACGCGATTAACCAGGCTCTCTTACTCAAAGTCTCTCCGCTCCGCAGCGCTCCGCAGACCCAGTGTGAAACAGGATATATCAAGAGAGAAACAAGCGAGGCCGATGTTAACCGCTCACGCTTCACGCATCCACGCAGGAACAACAAGAACCGACCAACTCGAAGAAAACAGGCACAGGCGGATGACACATCGCTACCCCGGCCTGTCTGAGTCTGAGATTTCCAGTGTCAAAATTTGCTGTGTGTTCCATAGTTCCACTCTTCCAATGCGTTACCTAATTGCCAAGCGGAGCCGGCCGGGGATGCGGATGGGATTCTGTAGGCGAAAATGAAGACTCTGTCCCTGCATCAGGAAGGTGGGTACTTGTCCAGCTCTTCTCGGTAGGTAGGGCCAATCATAATAAGGGCCTGACTTGGCGCTAGGACAGGGGCGACTCACGCCACAAGAGCGAAGATGCGCCACATTCTTATTCGTGGCGTTGGTCCTGGCGAGAGTCATGTGACCTGGCTCACTCTAGGAGCCTGTTAGTCCCTGTGAATGCTTGAGGGATTCTCTAAGACCAGGAATCGAGGTGGGAAACGTAATATTGCAAGTTATTATCAATTTCGCAACTATAAGACCTTCAATGTATGGGTATGGAGAGAACCCTGCACCCTTTGGGTAGCATAAGCGCCCTAAATAATGCTGTGAAAGCATGTTTATCAAGACGATTTACAAGTATATCCCATTAGGATGGTAGTGAGGATGCATTTTATGAGAAGGAAAAACGCCCAACTTCTCTTGGCATCTCCAAGAAGCACCGTGTTGGCTAAGCCTTGCTTTCAGGCAGCTCCATATATACACAACGCCTGTTCCGCCTAGCCAACTCAACAACTCGATAATTGTGAGCCTCGTAAGCCTGGGGTAAGCAACTAGAAATGATTTGTATCTTTATCCTCATCTGAGAACAACCAGTCTGGATTTCGTTTCGTTACATTTATTCGGAGGATTCCACCATGTCAGAGACTCACTCCGGCGCAGCCGAGACTGCCCCACAGATAAGATACGAATCCTGCCTCGCATTCGAGCAAACCGGAATACCCCATGTTGTCTGGTTTGAGAAGGCCCTACGCCGCCACGGAGTGCCCACCGTAGCCTTAGACTTGTATATTCTTGTCTTGGACATTGAAGTCGCTGCCAATGCCCTCGTAGAATCTGGTTGGGTTCTTGACACAGTATCCCCTCGTCAAATTGGAGGCACGGTTGTGGAGATTTCGCAGAATCCATTAATAACGCCCGACAACCGGACAAGAACGGTCCTTCTTCTCGCATCAGGCTGGAGGTTCCCCCTCGCAACGAATCTACTTCTCGAGCATGTGCCTATGAGCGATAAACTACTCAGCGCAAATTTGTCGTTTCCCACCTCGTCAGCCTTACTCGATGCCCTGATTAAAAGCTATCGGGCCGGGCCGACTGTGCACCAGAAATTACTGCTCCACCCGAGCTGTTACTACAACTACCTCTACGAATACGTGCCTGCGGTCACAGAGCCATCATTTGCGGACTAGATGAGCTATGAAAACCGCCAATTTCCTTCGACGTGCTTGCAAGGATGTCATCTTCAGGATTTCAGTTTCGAAACCATCAACGCGAGATTCGAGAGGAGCTTCTGCAGGGTCGGTATGAGATGCAAGCATGCTCAGCACCTCGCGATAATGAAGACCTCTTTGTCGACTGGAGCAAGATCCGTCTTCCGGATATGGTGCATACTGACCCGGCCCCACACCAGGACGATGGAGTCTAGCGGTTCCCTGAATCTTGTCAAGCAGGCGTAGTTTAACCCATGGGTCCATCTATTCTTCGAGGGTGGAGTTGCCGCGTATTACCGACCTTCTTTGGTTGCTCTCATCCTAGTTTATACAAATCTTTTCGAGATCCTATAGATCGCAGGAGTAGAGGTAATCATGTAATGTAAAGCAATCATGCATGGCCACAGTTGGGAATTCCAAAAAGAGTGACTTGTGCTCTTCTCCACAAATAATGTGTCCTAGCTTCAACCTGCCTGGCCTTGACTGCTTCCAGCTCCGTTAAAAATCCACAGGAGTGCGCCAGTCTGCAGTAGCGAGGAGGCTTGTGATAAGAAACCGGTTTGTTGAATATTAAGCTAGTCTCTTAGGTCTAGCTTATATCCTTGCTTGCTGGAAGTCTTGGATCTGGATCTAATTGCAAGATATTGTAGCATTTTTCCGCAGAAAGCTGCTGGGCTCAGATCCAAAAAGAAAGCATCGTGAGCCCTGCAAGCTACAGCCTGGAATTCAGTACCAGGGAGACAGCTTCCTTCCTTCCCAGCGAATTCGCAAGCTCTTTCGCAACTGCCAGCGTCTTCTCCTCGCTCAGCCTTCTGCCAATAACCTGCACCGCGACAGGAGCCCCGTGATACGCCTGCGGGTCGTATTCCTCCTGCATAGCCTTGTCTAACTCACTCACCAGTACATACACCTGGTTCCTACGATCTATGCCGGCTTCGGCAAATCCCACCAGAACAACGACACTGATGAAGTCCAACAGGTTGATAAGAAACGAGTAGCCGAACCGTCCATGCCGAACAGCAGCAGCGGGGGCAACAGGCGCGATGATCGCGTCAAGCACTGTGCCCAGTTGGTCCTCGGCCTCGCGCCATTTCTCCAGGTACTCGTTTTGGTAGGCCCATCTTTCCGTTTGGATCTCCCACAGTTCTTTTATACCAATTGGCTGGGCACTGGGATTTATGAGGGTTGGATGTTCGGGATGATGGGCTCGCCAGATGCCTTGATATCTTTTAGGACGTCAGTGCTGGCGTCGGCCGCCCAGACTCTGTTCATCAACTCGCAGCCATGGTTGTGTTTGTACGGCTTCCAAGGCACGACTTTGTGGCCGTTCCTGTTCAGCGCGGCGACGGCTATTCCGATGCCGCGGAGTACGGGAGGGTGTGGGAGGACCTGACACTGTTAGATATATACGTGCCGTAAAGGAGCCAGTGACCCTACGTTGCAATCAAAGTTAAACACTCCGATTGTGAGTCCACCAGTTTGGATCTTGGCCCTGACCATGTCCGCCTCGCTTTGCCTCCAGGGCATCGGGATAACCTTGGAGTCAAACTTCCACGGCTCCTGCTCAAGGACAGCCTGGACAAACAGACGGAGGTCTAATACTGTCAGCATTATCCACACATATATAAGAGGGAGGAAATCTATACTCTCGACTGAATGCCCCATCGGGCCAACAACACTATGAACCGTCGTCTCCTGCCCCTCCATACTATTCGCCATCTTTGCATACGGCAACCTTCCATGACTCGACCTGAGCCCATACATTGAGTTGAACGCAGCGGGAACCCTAATGGACCCGCCGCTATCTGTTCCGACGCCGAGTACGCTTCCACGCATTGCGAGCAAGGCGCCCTCGCCGCCAGAGCTCCCGCCGCACGACCAGTTCCTGTTGCGGGGATTCGTCGTTGTCCCAATGATATTGTTGACGGTCTCACAGACCAATACGGTTTGGGGCACGCTGGTTTTCACGTAGAAGATTGCGCCGGCTTTCCGGAGAAGGTGTGTCATTACCGAATCTTCTTTGTCGTATTTGCCTAGCCAGGAGATATAGCCCATTGATGTTTCGTAGCCCTTATTTTGCCAGTAAATTGAATTCGATGCAATGGTTGAGAAAGATACGCCTTTACTCGTAGCTGATTCTTGAGGGAGACGGGCAACCCGTGCAGAGGGCCAACGGGCTTTCCGTGCTTTGCAAAATACTCCTCGAGCTCCTTCGCTTGTGAGAAGGCAGCTTCTGGAAAGAACTCGTGAACACAATTCGTCTATCAAACATTAGCCGGTCGATAGGTTCGATAATGTGGAACAGACGGCGTACCAGCTGCTGCGCGATCGCTGTGCGCTTGCAGAATGCCAGTGTCACTTCGACCGCAGACAGACTGTTGCTGGCGAGGTTCGAAACAAGCTGCGAAGCACACAACTCGGTAATCTCCAGCTCTCGCTTAGAGAGGATTCCCGCTGTCCTGGGGTAGTCGATGACAGAGTCATTGCCTGGCACCTCTCTTATCCTCCATTGCTGAGGAATGGTCTTCGCCAGACGCTTCCTCTTATCGGCCGCCAGCTGTTCCCAGTTTGAAGACATGTTGGGGTGAGCCATAAATTTGCGATATACAGAAGAACAATGACATCCGAAATTGTCTTTAAGAGATCAAGGATATTGTCCGACCCCGCATCTCTTTGTCCTACTTTCCAACGTAGAAAGGGCCCGAGCCGCATGCTTGATTGGTTGTGTTTGCCAAGTATAGCTAATCTCAGGGCTAATCGGCGGCTAACAAGAGTGATACTGTGATAATGCAGGCATTCACGCATAGCGTCTGTGCTGGGTGTTATCAGGGCAAAAGTTGGCGACTCGTCCAACCATTGCAAATTTCGTTTCGACCGATATCACTAACGTGGCTTACTTGGGGCTTCATCAAGTCAACGGCCTAAGGCGTCATGCACCGCCAATAACCCTGGGTAGTCCTCGTAATATGTAATTGCGCTTCAATGAGACGGGGGTGACCTCACCTTCATGATGCACTGTCGACATTGATACGCGCGCGTCTATCAATTACTTCCTCAAGCACTTGTCCAGATCTCCTCGCGTCTAAAGAATATTATTTCTCAACTAACTTGCCAGTAGCATAGCAGTTCAACACCCTGAACGCAAACAATTCTTCTACTTTGGCATCGGCACCAGCCAGTCTAAACTAGCCCCGGCGCATCCCTACGGAGACTGTTCTTTACCATGCTTGAATCCCCTCCGTGCACGAGTCCTGGAACAATAACTGTTGGTCTGCCTTGTATGGAATGTCTGTCTCTGCTTCTGAGGGAAAAGGAAGGGGGATATGGAGAGTACCCCTAAGGCCCAACACAGTGTCTTTGTTGATCCGATGTTTCATGGTTCACTTTCATTTGCAGGTCAAAACATGCCTGGCGAATCTCGTACCTGGCTTCGGTGGTTTTCTAGGTACGGCAGGTACTGAGTGGCTTTGTCTTGTTTGAGGTCAAGTGTGAGGGTGTTGAAGCTCTGGCCTATTAAACCTCAAATAGCTGAATAGCCCTACTACTCGTAATGACCCCCAGGGGACTGGTGCCAAGTGATCGAAATCTCAACATATGCATCCTATACCTGAGTGTCCTAAATATTCTGCTGAAAGAAAGGGTAGTCTAGCCAACAGCGAGATGAATTGGCGACTACAGCAATTGTTTTTATTGTTCTTTTACCAGATGAACCCTGCGCCACTGGACTTAGGACGTGCCAGTTTTCTATTGCTTTGTTACTTAATAGTCGGAATAGACGGGTGGGTTCAAGCAAGTACTTTGCCCTTATGGCCATCGGGGCGCGAAGAGACAAACCTGGTCCAAAAAGATTTAACTCCTAACACATAATCAGCCTAGCAAAATGTACGTACCCACTAATCCACAGAGTCATTGAACCTCAAAAGACACACTCCGCCCGTTTCGGACCCAAGGATAATCATATTCTCATGAACTGCGAAGCCGAGTTCTAATCTCGGACCTCCAGGTCTGTACGCAGGAGGAAGCCAAATCATTCTCTTCGCTCCTCTAGTTATCCATCGTCCGTCAACCGCTATATTTAGATTTGGGTAGAACGGACCCTTGTATAACGGCGTGATATCGAACGAGGCAAAATTTGTGCACAAGTATTGGCCGTCTTTGGAGAACCTGAGGGTCCAAGCAGGTTGATCAAGCTCCAAGTCGTGGACTGCACTATTGGTTGCAATATCCCAAATTATGATTTGGCGAGCAGTGGATGCAGCGACGAGGGTGCTATCTAGGGAGATAGCGACCGCTCTTACTATATTATTGTGAGGTAAAGTTGCTTGCAAACGCCCTGTGGTGGCATCCCAAATTTCCACACTTCCATCCTTCGATCCTGACGCTAAAAGTTTGCCGTCCACAGATATTTCCAGAGCTGGTACGCCGCTAGAATGGCCAACTAAGGTATTTTTCAAGGTTCCCGTTTCGGTGCCCCAGACCTCAGTCAACGGCTCAAATGAACTGGATGAGAAGACCCAACGACTATCCGAGGAAAATACAACGTAGCTGGGAGTGGCCGCAGTGTCTATGGCTTTTAGTAAGACACCGCTAGCCACATCCCATAAGTTGAAACTTTCTAAGCTGACATATGGTGTCACCGCCAGCAGCCGACAATCCGGAGAAAAAACAAGATTCTCAATATGGGTTGAAAGACCCTGCATAGTGTTGATAAGGGCACCTGTCCGTGTATTCCAGATCTTGACTAAAGATGCTTCGTCGCTCGAAGCTGCCAATGTTCCTTCTGGGGAGAATGAAAGAACCGTCTTGCCAGTGTGACCAACTCGGGTATGGTGTTCGTCTTGAGTGGTCAGAATACTGGAATCCCACAACTTGACACTGTTGTCGGCAGAGCCAGTTGCCATAAGCCGACCAGTTGAACTGAACCCCACAGCACGAACTGACGAAGTATGCCCCTGAAGTGTAGCTTGAAGGCGCCCTGTTCTGGTATCCCACAGTTTTGCTGTCCCATCCAAGGAAGCAGATAATAATTGCTCGCCAGATGGAGAAACTGCAAGTTTCGTTATCGGGCCGGAGTGGCCTTGAAGTGAATACGTCAAGGTTCCTCTTTCTGCATCCCAGATCTTGACCGTTTTATCACTGGAAGCTGACGCCACGAGCATATTCGTCGGGAAAAACACGACATCAAGGACTTAGCCTGAGTGGCCCTTTAAAGTGTGTATTAGCGAGCCTGTCCGAGAATCCCAGATTCTCACTGTATCATCCGACGAGCCTGACACGATCAGGGAGCCGTCCGGAGAGAATGCCGCCGAGAAAACATCGTCTGTGTGTCCAGGAAAGCTGCGTATCAATTTTCCGGTTTGCGTATCCCAGAGGCCCATTGCTTTATCCCCAGAACGGGATACTAAAGATTTCCCATCTGGTGAGAAGGCCACGTCGTAAACACGAGCGGAGTGCTGGATGCTATGCTTTATTGAGCCTGTGACCGCATCACAAATAATTACTTTTCCGTCGTGGAAGCCCGCCGCCGCAACAAAGAGCCCGTCTGAAGAAAACTGTACTTCTTGAACCTCATTGTCGAGTTGGATTAAGTGTTGCAAGGTTCCTGTTGTTGCATCCCAGATACGGAGCTTACCATCGCTACCGCCCGAAGCTAAGAGATTGTTATGCGAGAAATCCAGGGTTCTTAAGTACCACTCTTGTTGTTCTAGTCTGTACTGGAGAGCCCCAGTCTTCGCCTTCCAAACCAAAATTTGCTCCCAGCAAGCCGAGGCAAGGAGGTCCCCATCACTAGAAAAAACGATGTGTATAATACCGTGTGGATGGCCCTCGAGCGTCTGTACTTCTGGGCTCCAGTACTGTACTGGGTCCCGAATACATGAGATCCAGGTGGGGATTGCTTTTGCGAACCTTTTTCTGATAATGCTTTCGGTCGGAGCAAAGAGGAGACCGGAGCAGTACAATTGAAGGGGATTAGACTCGACCATCTGCATATTCCTCAGAGCAAATCGCTTCGTCTCCTCAAGAAAGGTCGCGTCTTTTAGACTTAGTTCACTCTATTACGACATATTAGCATGAGTCTACAACAAAACGACTTCTTGGCCTGGTGAAGGGAAAGTACCTGGAAGTAGGATTTCAACGCGTCGAGCATTTCTACAGAATCCGATGTAGATCCCAAGAGGCTCAAAGCTTCCAACCAATGTAGGTAATGTATGCTGAGGAATGAGATAATACCCTCTAGTCTGTGGCTGCCTGTCTTGCTCTGCACTAGATGATGGACCAAAACCGGCAAGCATACTCTAGGTCGGGTTGAATGTGGTCTTTGATTAGAGATGTTCCGATATCTGCTCGTTCGACAGCGTAATCCGGCAGGCTGCATATGTTTCTCTTCAGGCACTCCATGACCCTGATGCAATAATCCGCAATTTTACCATGCATCTCCTGTTCATCCACCCAGAACTGGTGTCTCTCTGTTTGAGAGGAGTCGAGCAGGAAGTCACGGAAGGACAGATGCAACGGACGGATGGCATGCAGGGGGTCAGCAGGAATGCTCAGGACGGAATGCAGCAACTTCAATCGAGTCTCTAAGATTTCCTCCATTTCACTGATGAGTTTTCCCGGTAAGCAGATAAGAGTAGCGAGAGATCTTAGCGATAGAGGTGTTTCGAGAAGGATGATGACGCCGACAATATCTTGAAACTCCTGGAGAATCTGTACCCTTTCCTCGGGGTCCGCCCCAGCAACAAGTTGATCGAGGATCGGCAGGTATGTCTTTCCCATCCTGCTCGCATACTTTTTCTGGCCCTGGAGAAGGTCCATGAGGCGTTTCTCTGGCTTGAACTGTATCGTGTCGATAAACCGGCAAAATGTAGCTGCAGAGATGAACAAGGGGCATGAGATTGCCGCAAGTGCCTGCAAGTTGGCTTCTCCGGGCCAGTCTGATCGAATGGAGTTTTCTTCTCGGATCCGTCCAAGCTTGTGCCTCAGGTATATCTCGATGTCTCCCTTGACCACGCCACTCTCGATCTCATGGAGGACAAAGTCCTTGTGGGAGTCGATGGACATCAATCGGAAACTTGGCTGGATTGGATGTTCCGGCCTGCTGGTCAAGAATATTTTGAGTCGCACGGTTTTGATGTTTTGAACTTCGGGCAACAGGCTGATTATCCGACGCACGTCATTTTTTCCATCACATTCGTCCAACGCATCAATAACGATGACTACAATCCTCGTTGAGTCCTTCCCCACATCGTTCAAGGGCTCGACGAGGAGCTTCTTAAACTGATCCTGGAGCAAGCCGGTGCAGATGCTGAATTCCTTTTCGATTTGCTGCTTCACTCGAGGAATCATGTCCGGCAGATGGTGGACGAGCTGCCGTACGATAGTGGTGAAGAGCTTCTTCGCATTCCCACGGTCGCCCTCACCTCTCTTGAAAAAGAAGCTGGCTCCAAGCATACCTCGTTCCTTGAAATTGCGGGCGACTGTTCGAGAAATAGTCGACTTGCCTGTCCCGGCCATACCATTTAGCCAATAGATACACGGTGTGCTCGGGGCAGACAATCCCCACTCCATTATCTGCTTGAGAAGATCTTTCCTAGTGCCTGGTAGACACCCAAATTCATCATCATCTACCGTGGAATCCAGAGACGAGGAATCAAAGGACGCGTATTCTGCCACGGGAAGTTTAGCCAGGGCATGATCTTCATGAATCGCGTTGACTGGCGCCATAATATCACCCAGCCGTCTCAAGAGCGCCTCAGCCTCGGCTCTATGGGCTAAACGCTGATCGAGTTGGTCCCACCGGGCAAAGGTTTCCTGCTCCCTTTCTATTGTCTCGCGAAGAACCCGAAGCTGATGTTCTGTCGATGGGGTGGCTATCGAAGAGATGCGTGCTGCTGAGAACGACTCTCCAGCAGAACGAGACTCTGCCGTGTACTGTAATATCGCTCTATATACCCGGATAATGGTGCTTTCAACTCCGTCTCTGGTGTTGGGGCAGTATTCCGGAACTTGCTTCTCTATGAGGGCATATCGCGCAAGGATATCGGCGAGGAACTCGGCGGATTCAAAAAGCTCGACCTGCAGATCGTAGTAGTTCTTGACTATCTAAAAAACCAGCTCATTGTCAGTCAAGCCTACAGTTGGGGGGTTTGGCCACCTACCGATAGTCCCTGCGAAACGACCCTCCACACCTTTGTCGCGAGACCAGTGGGGTCAAATGCTGTGGCTGCACTGACTATATCTCGATAGGACAGGACGGCGTTGAGGATCCTGACAGAAGTGTCGCGGACGCTGATTTCCCGCCCATCGAACCTAGTGATGACTATTCTCTTTTCTTGCGATATCTTATACCGCTCTTCTGTCAGTTCAATGACATGTTCGAGCACTCCTATTATCTGGGCTTAATTCTGGACGTCGCCGCGCTTGTAAGCCGGGCCAGCGGACTCATCTTTGAGAAGAATATCTTGCTCTCTGGGACTCAGTTGTTGGTAGGCCTCTGCCCATAGATCTCTCGGCTCATCTTGTTGCGTAGCGGTGGACTGCGTGGATAAGGCTGCATCGGACTTCCCCGCTTGCCCACCTGTCGGGGGTTCGAGTTGCGTTGTTTTCGTCTTACTCTTTTCTCCGGCCTTCTTCTTTCCCGCCAGTCGCCTCAGTTTCCTCTGAAATCGATCCATGGCCGCTGCCCTCTGGAAATGATTCCGTGTAAGCGATGAGAACGAGGAGAGGAAGATGGAGGGAGGAAATGTCGGTTTACGCGCCCAGGAAGCGGGATTGCGATCTCGGCGCTTACATGCATGCGTTTCAGGTGACTTGGTGGCGGAGCTGCCGCTGCAAACCGACGAACACGATGCGTTCAATGACAGGGAACGGCTGATCGGCGAGAAATCTAGAACCCCAGTTCTGGATCTGCCGTTTCACAGCTCTGTGGGCCGCCCTCACCACTCTCTCTGCGGCAAATGAGAGTTTCTGTGCGATAGGAAGGACCTCGGGTTGATGGCCCACGGCTGGGGGTTGGGAGTGTGGCCGTCAGAAAAAAGCAAAATGAAGGCCCGGAGTCTCAGCGCTTCGATTGGCGCCGCGATTCTGCTCATGGGCGGTGCCAGCACATCTACCTCGATGTTTCGCTGCTGTGTGGATTGTACAGCTCTCGGCTGGGATGTCTAAGGACTTGCTTCCCAATGAAAATACTACCCAACTATCGAGGCTCTCCATTGGTCGGACCTTGCGCTTACCATGCTTGCCTCTCGTTCTTAGTGAATGTAGCAACCCAATAGATCCAGATATGAAACTAAAACAATCCTAGAAATGCTTCTGATAGAAAAGGTACTCTATAATCCTCTAGCAACGGGATTGTGATCAGATAGTTTATAATGGTGTCACAGGTAGTGAGCCAGCGCGGCACCTGGCAAATAGTTAGAACATCACCAAATCCACAACCCCCAGCACCTCCCGTGGAACCAAGATAACTTTGACGCAGAGAGCATAACCCCATAGAGCTCGTTGGATTGGGCGCTAAATGCACGTATTACAGCGCCTTCATTAACCCCTCATGGCTCACCACCCAACTCCCATCTTTCGGAAAGCCTGGAGCATGTCCACCAGATCCAGCCCATCCGGCAGCCATGTACGCGACTAAACTGTCAGAGCCATCACTGCACTGGATTTAGGAAAGATAAAGACATACCAGCATAAAGAAATCCGGCATTTCCGGGCATGAACGGCGGCGGCGTCCCACCTACAAAGAGAGTCAGCATTCACTACACACCTACTTTGTATAATTTCGTGTCGAGAGACGTCTAGAATGCAAGGGGTCATACCATCACCACCACGAATCGCAAAGCCTACACGAGTTATCAGCAACAATACGATATCTCTCCACAAAAAGAGAGAGCAGCATAACATACCTGCGCCATCAAACTTCCACCAGTCAAACGCTGTTAGGTGATAAACAGCGCGTTCCGGATCCCCAATCCTCGCCGAGTTGATGGCGAGCACAGGCCGTCCCCACCCGCGAATATCCTCATCCGGCCAGATCTCCCAGACCTTGTCCGCCGTCTTCTTTGCGACGGTGGGATCGACCGCCGGCGTGTCGGGTAAGATCCCCTGGAGCATGATCAGGCTGCGCGGGTCGTCGGTTAGGCTGTAGTCTGACCACCATGAGGAGTTCAGGCCGTCATAGACTGCGTACAGGCCGTCGACTATGGGGACAGGAGCAAGGTGCCGAGAGACGGTGACCCAGCTGTCCGGAACGGGGCGGTGCAGGCGTTTGCGCCAGGCTATGGCTTTTTCGAGGGCGTAGTGCCAGTATGCGGTCTGGAGTTAGGGTTAGTTCGGAGGGGAGGAAGGAGAGAACTGGGGGAGGTAGACTTCGTAGGCTAGATTGCGTGTTTCGAGTGGCGGGGTGTTTTCTGTTACGCCGTATGATCTGTAGCAGGTCAGAAGGAGTCAGGCCTGAACCGGGTGCGGTGCGGGAACATACGGCGGTCCGAGATCATAGTATCCTGAGCTTTCGTTCTTCCACGCGTATGATGCCAGGTAGTCCGCTGTCGCAGTGAGGACTTCATCCCATTTCTCCAATGTACGCCGGGTGGGAGAGGCCTGGTAGGCGAGTTCCGCGAGATACATCGGGTGAGGCTAGTGATATCAGTCAGAGTTTATTACCACCGAGAGCGAGATCACTTTTGACTTACCTGCTGCCACAGCAAATACCCGTTGATCCCACCAGGCGAGCTGACGCCCGTATTTGTTTCTGTCATTTTGGGCCATCTACAGTGATTTTAGCCCTAAGCGCCCTAAGCGCCCCAGCCTGGCCGATTTTAGGTGACGTACCTAGCCCCCTCCCACCCCATCTTGCTTGCCCGCTCTAGCGAAGACGGAAGCAACGTCTCATAAAGCGCGGGAAAGATCCGATCAAAGAACTCCTGACGACCCCATGTCGCCCAGTGCGCATTGTGCCATATGAGCATTTCCATGTGGAACTTGCCTAAGCAAGGTTAATCAGACATCATGAGCAACGACGCCTATCATCATTTTGATAATGAATACGTACCGTACCACCCATTATTCATCAATCCGCTCTCCTGCGGCGACTGACCCGTAGCCGCGCTATTCACGCGGACATGGTACTGCGAGAGGATAATGCGGCGCTGCAGCTCGTCGGCTGCGGGGTTCGAAGATTTGGTGAGGTCGACAAAGCCGCCGTTGTTCCAGTACCTGTTCCATCCGGATTTGTTTCGCTGCTGGATTACAGCTGGCGGTTTCGGAATTTCGCGATCGGGAGAAAAGTGAGCGGCAAAGGTGAGGCTGGATGAGGCGTGGGTTGGACTAAGCGTGTAGCGGTGTTTCGCTATACCGGTGCTGTTCTTCGCCTTGGATAGACGCACGCCCGACTTGGACGGCCAGCGGAGATTGACGAAATAGGTGGTCTCCTGTAGCTCATGGTAGATGTGAGCAGTATCGCTTCTGGATGAGGGAACAATGGACGTGGTGTGATTGTCAGGGAAGTCGTAGACCCCAACGAAGACTTCATACTTGTACTTGGTCGAGTGAATGGGGGGATATGGGAAGTCGAGGGTAACTGTCAAGTCTCCGGAGTGGAGAAGATCAGACTTCACCTCGAACGTGACGGCATCGGAATCAAAATCGCCCTGCGTCACAACCTGCACGGGTTTGCCAGCCACCTTGAACGTCGATATGATGACTCCATTCCAAACGTCGAGCTGCTGCCTGGGTTCAGAAATCTGGGATGCAGAAAGATATTCACCGCGATAGGTAAGCCCTATCCGACCGAGATTGATCCGATTCGGATTTCCAATGAGCCATTGCGAGACTTCCGGGAGGTCGGGGTCGGGGATGTCGTATGACACGTTGCGGCCGTGGGTTAGCTTGGGGACGCCGGTGTAGTCGCTGAGCTTTTCACTTTACGGACGGTCAGCCTCTGATGTTCTAGCCAGTGGGGCGGCCGACGAACCCATTAGTCGGCAAGGAGTCGTTGTGCCACGCCCAGCTCGACATGGTGTTGAACGGGTGAAAGGACTATGTGTGTCAGTAGGTATGCGGCTCGTCAGTCGGCAGGGCGCGCACCTGCATCCCCGTGTTATCGACGCTGAACGCAAAGTCCCCGTTTCCGACTTGGAGAGGGGTCGTTTCATTGTCGATGAGGTTGGTCCGGACAACATTGTATTTGGAGACAATTGCTTGCCTGCGAAATGAGAACCAAATTCTTCCAATACGAATAGAGCTTCAAACCTATCAATACGCGCCACCGCCAGGGATGGCAGGAGACAAACCCAGAGATACCTCGGAGAAAGCATCTTCAAGATACGCTGGACATCAATTGTGGAGAAGAATATGAATGCGGGGACAGAATCCCTGCTTTTTATCTGCCCTTGCTCACCCGGCCTCGGGGTAATCGGGGCCGATATCCTGGGGTAGAATCTTATATCATCTGAAACTAGCCGCTGGCGATCCTCCAGTTTATGCACCAATCGCCGTCATCAACCCCGCGCTTCTCCAATTATCCCTCACTGAATCTTGCCAGGCGACATATTTTAGGCAAAAATTGACCAAAGACAGGGGATTCTGCACGTTGTACCGAGGTTTTGCAGGGCAGCTCATTGATACTAGTGCCAGTGTAAAGGCCCGTCTGCAGGCTGCGATATTCCGTCCTGCAATCAATCCAGTAGAAGTGACATGGAATATCAAGACCAGACCAACGATAACATGCTAACAGACTATTAAAACCCGGGTCCCCAATCCTTCTGCCGAGGCAACCATCAACGCACACTTGAAGCAACAGCTCTTGTCCCCGCCAGGCCTCCAAACAACCGCATTACGCCCTGTATGACAACACCAAGCCCTCGCAAAGACCTCGCTCTCCGGACCGCCCCTCGCATTAATAACCAGAATCGCCGGACCGTCATCGTTCTGTTCCCCCCACTTTGGCAGCCGCTCTAGATCCTCTACGCCACGGACGCTGAAGGTATAGTGACTAGCCTTGTCTGGATTCACGCGGTGTGTGCCGCGACACGGCGGCGCAGCGATAAAGACGCTGTTTGTGGTCAGGGTGAATGTTGCAGCGGTGTCTGTGTGCGAGAGGTGGAAGTCGAGGCTGACATTGTAGGTTGGTGCGCGGTTCGTGCTTTCCTCCGTGTCCGCGCCCATGTCACCGGATTTGGTGAGGTGGACCGAGTGCAGGGATACTGGATCGCTGTCCTGTATACGGGGGATGAATAGGTCTGGCGGGGCTTCCAAGGGTGTCCAGCTGCTGCTGCTAGTATTTGTGTACTCTGCCCCATTGAGGTGATGATCCCGCTCTCGCGCGCTGCTGTCCACTTCCTCGGACCCAATGTCGGGGAACGTTGGTGGGTGCGCCGTGACTGAGATGAGCAGACCGAATGTAGAGTCAGGCAGCGGCTCCTCGGACGACAGACAGGGGCCAATCCAGCCACCCAAACAACGGACACGAAACCGGTCCGTCGCCTCAAAGAGAGATAGCGGAGCCAGGACCTTGCCGACCACCGACCTCGCATGCCAATACGACGCCCGCGGAAAAACAATGCCGTAATTCCCCTGGCGAGCATGGACAACCCGTGTAGGCGCATGGGCTTTCAGTGTCTTCGAGAGATTGTACACGGAACTGATCACTGCAAGCGGATACGTTGCCCCCGGGAGGATGAATCCCGCCACCCAATCCATGAGGGAGATGTCGAAAGTGGGATTCTCTCCGCGGAGCGGGGCGACAGCCTCGCGGACCTCGCGGCCGAAAGGCCACTGCATTTCGTCGACGAACGTGAGCAGTCCATCGAGTTGCTGGTTCAACACGTTTGGCGAAACCTTGTACCCCGCGCTTCCGGCAGCTTCGAGGATCATGTTGCGAGCCCACCTGTCGGCAGCGATCATGTCGAAGAGGACGCTCAGGCTGATTCCACCGTACCAGCGTCGGCTGTCGCGCTGGATGCGGAGGGTTGCTTCGCGAGCCAGAAGCATCTGTCGCATGAAGTCTCCGAAGGCGTAGGTAGGGGATGGGTCGAGTTTCTCATGGTACGCGAGGTGCGTGATGCTGCGGTGGACGTCGAGGCTGGGCACGACGGACGTGCTTATGGCTCCGAGCAGGTCGGTGATTTGGTGCCTGAGCTTATATTGTTCGTCGGGATCTAGCCATGCATAGCTGGAGGTGTTAGTGTCAGTGTGGGGTGTGGTATCTTGAATTAGGAGCATACTCGCTCGGCCCGATAAGCTCACGCACAGCATCAAACCCCTTTCTCTCGGTAAACTCTTCAAGGCCATTGAGAAGTTTTCCCCACGCCTGGTCGATAAAGGATCCCAGCAGTGGCTTCGTCTGCGAGCGAAGCCATGCGTATCGGGGGTCCTCGTTGGAGTCGGCGTTGACGCTGCAATGCTTTAGCCAAAATGTCACATCTCTACCGTAACCAGCGACGGATGTTGATCCGGGCGACCATCCGGCATATTTGCTGTCAGAATCAATCTCAAACTCAAGTAGAGGCTCTGCAATGCGTGATATACTTTCTGGAACGAACTGCGATGCTGGGTGAAAGCATCAGCTGGCGTGTTTCCGCGCAGAGAGAGCGGGCAATTCTCACCAAAGGCAGGATGACATACTGGCTGCACTTCGGACAGCTCTGGGACCTCTTCCACTCCTACAAGGCGGGGGTAGCTTGCCACCGAGTTGGGTTTGTAGTACCCCTTGTGTATGGCCAATGCCCCGGTATCATCGTACGAACCGGAGGTCGGGATTTCACTCGAGGTATGCACCGCTTGTAGAACGTCCCCCTCACTCTCACTCTTACTTCCCCTCGAGAGCATCCCCATACTGAGGAATGCCGTACCGGCAATAAGACCTCCCATGTCATCAGCAGCCGCGGTGACCCCGTTTGCTGTGCTTGCGGTCTCCATGACGCCGTGCTGTAGTTGGAGAAAAGGTCACACCGTGAGAGGCTCGTCCGATCGGGTTTTCTACTCCAGCATCTGGCCAAGGGTTCTCCCATGCCAAGCACCGAGCCTCGTATCGTGCCTCGTGTTCGGGGCGCAGCAGCAACGCCCCGCGCGGGGTTGCCCGATAATTTGAGCCGCAGTAAATTAAACTCTGGTCTCAGCTCGCGGGATAAGGCCTTCTTCTTCCTCGCCCCATTCGTATTCACCGGCCACCAGGCAACATTGAGGGACGTCAGTCCGTATCAGATACGGGGCGGGGCAAGGGGTTAAGGGCAGAGGGATGACCGGATAAACATTGGAGGCTCCTCAAGGGGTTATTAGCCTCCTGTCGCACGGCGGCACAGTTTGTCAAGAGTTGCTTCTATCTATCGCACTTGAAGATGCCTCTCCCAATGCAAGTTTCGCTTCCACTGGCGCTGCACCTGCGTAGTCCCGTTACATACAATTTTTTACTAATGAACACTGGAAGCCTGGAGAGGTACGCATACTCTGTCCCAGCCGCATATATTGCCCCACCCCAGCCGGCTTCTGCATGTGTTTGTACTAATCCGTTTGCGCAGAAATTCGAAGAAGGCCGCACGCTCAACGACTTTTTCTTCCTGGACCGCCACTCAGGCCGCGGCAAAGCAACTGTCCTCTTCGCCGCTATCCTACGGGCCATATTCAACCACCCGGACTGGTCGCAGCTGCACGAATTCTTCAGCACACGGTATCCCGAGGGCGAGGAGAGCGATAGCGACACTGATGCAAGCACTCACCCCGAGGCCGCTGCACGAACCCTCCATCCCTTCGACGACTCATACCGTGACCATAAACCTAGCATCGTGCACTTTCGAACTGACCTCGAATCCGTCAATTTGCCCAAGGATCTGCCTTCGCTCCTCGCAACAGCCGGTCGCACCTCGCGGTCTGGCATGCTCGGCCCCGATCCGCAGCCCGCCGCCATCGGTCCAGCGATTAGCCTCGCCTGCGGCGCCGGCGCATACATGGACCTCATCTATGCAGGCCAAACCCCAGGCTCATACCACGAGCTCACCTCGATCAACGGGAGCCTGTGCGGGTGGGAGAATGGTACATTCCGCGCCCTGACAACTCCCCTCGCCGACCCCAACCCTGTCAGAAAGCAAGGCGGGCGGGGCCGGTACTGGGCCGAATGGGCCGCTCTCTGGCGCGCAATCTCCGACTGGATCTACGAGCACGACGTGACAGCGCTGCAACTTGGATTTATATCCACCTATAGCCACAAGTACCGGCTCAGCAACGAGGAAGATCGCTCGTTTGACCATTTCGGCAAAGTCCCGCGGGAGTTTTTCGAGACGGACGCGGTTAGCGCGGCGGATGCGGTTCGTGATGTCTTTACTCAACTTGCTGCCGAGCCCGGGCGGTTTCAGGGTATTGAGTGGGCGTACTTGGAACTTGATACGCCGGAACGGGTGAGGGAGGGGTTTTATAGCCGGTTTGGCTGCGATCCGGGTAGTGTAGGTGGGGCGTCGATGAGGTTTGCTGAGCTGCTGCGTGTGACTGGGGGACAAAATACGCTTGTTTATGATGAGGTCAGTCCAGCGGCGTTGAAGAGATGTCCGGCCACGGTTCATGGGGCGGAGTGGGAGGCGTGGCTGTTGAGTATTGAGGGGGGAGATGTGGTTATTGTGGAAACGATGTTTCAAGCGCTTTGGGCTGTTATTTTGTTGGAACAGCTACCGTTGGACATAAGGATTCTCAAGGGTGGGAGTATGGTTCCAAGGTATAGGGAACCGACCCATGTATATCTGTAGTTATCTCAACCTGGGCAGCCATAACATCTACTGATCATATACTATCTACACCGTTGGGCTAAAAGTAGTTCAGCCCCTTCCAGCCACCCCGTCTGCACTCCTGGCAGCGCGTGCGGTACTCACCCACGTTACCACAGTATCTCGCGTGCACCGTGATCCCCAGAAAGGTGTTGGGTTTATGGCCCGCCTAGACCGCGCCGCTATCGTTGGAGATGAGCGGTCCGTTTTCCTTGCCGTGCCCTCAATATGGCTAAATGCCCCAGTGATGGCGTTGAACCCCGTGGCGCAGATCAAGATGTCGAGTTCAGGTTCCGTTCCATCGGAGGTCGCCAGGCCTCGCTCAGTAGCCTTTTGAAATGGTGCTTCACGGAGGATCCGGCAATGCAAGCTTCCTATGCGTCCTGGTTCCAGAGTTTCGCCAGAGTGAGAGGGCTGCAGGTCTTTCAGCACGTCGGGCGGATCGTGGCACGGATCTGGAAGGAGGAGGCGATGGCGGCAGGGAGGAGGATGGCTTTGGACGGAGCTTATGAAGCGAGCACAGCGGCTTTCAGCTGAAATACCTTGTGAGAAACAGAGGTGAGGCAATTAGTCCCTCCATAGATACTCACTCCTAAACAAACCCCTGCAACGGTGTACTGGCCTGGAGATATGGACTGCTTATTGCCTCAGCAATGGTATTAACATTCTAATCTAATACATTGACACTGTTTACATACAATTGGTCCTTGGTAACTACATAGCTGCCTCTCAATTCCGCCACAACCTCTCGCAAAATCAGCCCAGCCATAGCTTCCTACCGCTGCATCGCCACACTGGCAACACTCGGTCATTCACTTGCCTTCGACACACCGCTACCACCTCCTCCCCCGATACCTCCCACCACCCCCACCATACCCATACCCATACCGAACAGGCCTGCATCCCCCACCGCCCATATGCATCCGACCTGGCATCCCCATTCTGCCGCTGACAGGCACAGCCACTACAGGTGCGCCCCAGCCTCCTCCGAATCCTCCGCCGAATGGATGAGGGCGGGCAACCATCACCGGTCCTCCCATCATCGGATGGTGTCGGCGGGGAAAGCTGAAGCAGAGGCCCATGATTTATGTAGGCTGTTCAGGGCTGGTGTAGGATGGCGAACTTGTGCTTTGAGATGAGCTGGGGAGGAGAAGCAGGCGAAGAGATGATGCAGGTGGTGAGCTCTGTGGACGGGGTACGCTTGCCTCAGCCGACGGAGTTCCTTGAGTGGAATTGCTTTGACTAGTTTCGAGTGTGCCAGAAATGGGAAGACAACGTATATTGAAAAGTCAATAGGTACTTATCGATTATTTATCATAGCCGGAGGCAAACTGCGGCGGAAAAAGTCGTGTCGTCATCCCGCCTGCTCCAACCGAATCCGAACCACGAATCCCAGCCGAGGACTCTCCGCAATTTTATAATGTAGAGTATGGATAAGTCACAGGGTTGCTTATCAAAGCGCTAAATCTACTCCGGTGAAAGCGCCAGGACCCCGATGACCCCAAAACTATCCAGCTCTACCTGCTACACTACGGAGGAGATCCATAAATTCTATTATCTCCTAGAATAACAATGAGAAAGGGATAATATCGCCAAGGACGTGCAGGTGGTTCTAAACGAGTGCATCATAGATAATGGACTTCCGCACGGAACCCTGGTCCATAGTACTCAATGCACGGTCATGGTTTGCGTTCGCTGAGGGCTAGAGCCTATTTCTGGAGAGCAGTCAATTATTAGTTAATTTGCACCAGGATACTACGATTGGTGGATACGCTTGGTTGATAGCTGCATATAATAAGTCCGAGTCTTATCCGCCCACAATCAGGTCTGTACTATCAAATAAGTCAATTGCGCACACTCTAAAGCTCCAAGATGTGGATAGTGTGGTGCAGATCAAGCAAGTTAGGAGAGTAATTCTACCTACATGGCAGACTGGAACACGAAACGAAACGCCGAAAAAAAAGCCAAAGCAAGCGTCTACCCAGCGCACTCACGAATTACGCGTCCCTTCACATCTCGGGGTTGTAAGAGGCGAACGCCAATGCAGTCCAGGAACATGCATGGGAAGAAAGGAATGCCCTGTGCAGTGGGCGTAGCGATGATGCTGGCCCTTCACATCATGAACCTAAGACCGGCCGTCTCCTGAACCGATTCCTGGCGTGAGAGGGACGACACAGGGGTCAACTGTGCTGCCTGCCTGATTATTTTGTAGAGAAGGGAGATGATCTTCCCCTGTTCGTTGGCGTTCCAGCTGGCTTTCTCGATATCCACCTAGATAAGTTAGCCCGTGGGATCGAGTATGTTTCTTCCGTAAGGAGGCGGGTATCCTACATTTCCCCTGGCGTCCATCCGGACGAACTCCCAATCCCCGCCATCTGATGACACTCCATATATTGGAGTTTCCTCCCGACCGGCTACCCTCCGTGCGTCCTGGATCAAAGCTATCATTAAAAATCAGTACGCAGTTCACTATCAGCGTGATGGGGTGAATGGTGCCTTACCCATGTACGACATAGCCTGAAAGGTCCCGGGCTTTACCTGGCCGGGGGACTTTGCTTCCACTACGGCCATGTAGGCCTCTGCCTGTTCGTGTGGGCCATACCACAAGGTATAATCCATTCTGCCGCGGTAGTTCTTCTTGCCATTATTTGAGTTGAAAACGTACTGGATTGGCGTTTCTAACGCCAGCTTGATCGACTTTCCGGATGCCGTCGAGTCCCTCGACGTCCTCTTCCCCGGGCTCTTTTCGTCTCCGTACTGGCCTAGCTCCAGTTGCTTGATGGTGGCCATGACGTCCAGAAGGATGGCGTCGATGTTAAGACGGATTACCGCCTCATTCTGATTCGCTTCACCGTACGCGAGACGTATATTGTCGAGGGTTTTCCCTGGAAATACTCTATTAGTAGATTCTCATTATACCATGGTTGATGAAAAGCTCTTACGGAGATGGGGCGAGATGTTGCGCACCTCGGGCGGAGAGAGGTTCCAGTACGTGGGGGGGCCATGAGCTCTCGATTCGCGACTCAATTTGAAAGTGCTCGTGACGTCCGTGACCTTGATGTCTCCCACGGCGACAGATTCGATTGGCTTGGCCGTCTTGCCGAAGCCCGAAAAGCCCTTGCTCTTCCCCGTGGGTTTCTTCTGCTCTGCCTCCTTCTTGCTCTCACCCCGCGCTCGATTAAAGGCCTGAGTCATCTTCGCCTTGAAGTCACTCACACGGCCCCCTGCTTCGAGCCGCTGAATGAACTCTTTGTAGTCGGCCTCAAGCTTTGTGAACCACTGCATCTTTGTTGTGTTGTCTGTCCTTTGTAGGTAGGAGGAAGGCTGAGGATTCAAATCTGTAAGTACGCTTAGTTTCTTATGTTGATGTGGAAATTGGAGAGTTAGAGAGTTGCGGCTCTGTAAGAGAGAGGAGGCCCAGATGGGCTTGATGTACTTACCATCCTCATCCTGACATTCACCGTGTATTGAATGGTCCAGCCAGTCGTCATCCGCGCCCTCACCCCCATCCCATTCACTCAGACAGCCACGCCATGGTGCTTCCCATGTACTCGCCATAGTTGACCATTCCGGCGTCCACGGCAGTCGGTTCTGCTCTGCTTGTTCACATGTCATCTTCACTGTAACTGCACGGTCCAGGATTTTACCGATTAGACCGACAATAGCGTGTTGTTGAACTTCACCCTGCAACCAATCCAAGCTCAAGGACGAGTACTATCCACCCAGCGTTAGCTTTACTCTCACGAATGGGATGAGAAAGGTACAGACCTTGTCCTCCTTACCGATAAAGAAGAAAAGCCATCGCAACCCGTCAGTTACTATTCCGTAGGTATCTGCAAGGGCAGGTTGCGTGTTGCGGTTGTGATGCACCATCGCTATAGTCCGGTAAGCATCCACTTGACTCCGTTTCGGTTATGTAGGCACGTAGTGACTTACAGGCAGCAGCAAGCCCACACAAGCAATCAACAGTATGCCCCGCAACATGAAGCGGTTCGTCCACGCGAATCACCACCAGGTTTGTTTCCAGCTCACCCGGATCCCCATACCACAGAACATAATGTATCGCCGCGTGCCGAATCCTGCAGTTGCTCCAAAACGGCTCCCCTAGTGAGATGCCTTGGTCGTGGCCCCAAAACAACGTCCGCAGACTATCCTCTGCTGCAGAGAACTGGCGAGCGTTTGCGCGGTTGAGTACTTTCTTCTTCGCGAAGGCAAGGGACATAACAAGTATCGCGTTGATTTGGACCCGGGCAGGGAGATCGCTAACATCGCCTGTAAGTGTGACCCCCGTCGCGTACACCTGTAGCAACGACGCTGTAAAGGCGAAGCGCTCTGGTTCGTGGGTGTATCGCCAGATGCTACGTATCGGTTCGTTGCTTGTTGTTATATCGCACACTTTCAGGAAGAGGCTGTCAACGTTAAGGGTAGAAACGGGATTCATGGCGTCGGTGGTGTTTGCTGCTGTGTAGGTGGTGGTGCCGTGGGGAGAATTGAAGCGGGGATATGCTCTGGTGAGCTTGACTCATCTTTTGAATTTTTCTGATTAACTTTCACTCAGGTGCTGACTCCGGAACTCTATCTGGTCCATTTCTGTCATTGCCTAGTCTACGTAATTTGGAACGTAGTAGGCGGAAGGCCGGGAATAAACTCCGTGTGCTTACACATACCTGGAGGTCTCGATGCCGGTGACCCCAGAATCCGTCCCCAAACAGAATCTTGACTACTAAGGGGTCGGTGAGTGGATCGACAACCAGGCTAGAAGGGTTACTACTCGTGCCGCGCGTGGCTGATGGTTTGTACGCCACATAATCTGATTTCGCGAACCATTCTCGAGGTTGCCTACGGCTTTTCCGGACCCCCAATCTGACTACTATACAGGCGAGGTTAATCCTTCTGGCTTAATCGAGCACCTGGGTTAGATTAATGCCAAACGTCTATTCAATGATCATTCTAGCTCTATCTGAGTGTCCGCATCCAATTCATAGACAGACTATACCAGTGAATGCCTTCCCATCCTCCTGACACAGGGTCTTCTTGCGCTTACCATCACGATCACAGGAATAAACACCCCCGCCCAAGTCGGTGAGGAAGATATCCCCGGACACATGGTCAATGCTCAGCCCAATAGCCTCATGAAGACCACGCACCACTATCTCGGGCTTCCCCACAGGACGCCCATCGGAATCCAGTTTCACTCGATAAAGCGCATTTCCGAAGGGCAGCTCTCCTCTATCCGTCCAGTACAGCTCCCCCCTTTTCTCGTCGATCTCCAGATCAATCGGCTCCGGCAGACCGCTCAGAATACACAGTTCATGATCCTGGTCATCTCCCGACACCACCTGGCCAGGTGTATTGTCTCTTTCAGTGCAGAAGATCCTCCCCGTGCCGCTCTTGGGCGCACCCTTTTGCGTCCAGTAGAACTTGTTGAACCTAGGCGAGACTGTGATTCCAACGCACCAGTCCTGAACGTCGCCTGAGGGGTCCTTCTGGTTTGGTTTCCGTGAGATCATCGTCTCGAGGTTCGATCCATCCAGGTTGCAGCGGGACACCGTGCACCCCTCGCGGTCGCAGAAATAGAGCTTTTGTGCCGCGGTATCGAGGGTGATCTGCTTAGGGGTGTTGATTGTGCCGGGTCCGAGGAGCGTGCGCACGTCGCTACCGTCCAAGGAAGCAGAGCAAACGGTTCCGTCATTTCGACCGGGAATGCCCATGTTGGTCCAGAATATACGGTTCGTCGCGCGATCGACGGTGATGCCGTCTGGCAGGAGTTGGTTCGAGACCACCACGGTCTGCTGTTTGCCGTCTCGGGTGAGAGAGAGAATTTGGCCGGTTGGAGTTCCCATAGAAGAGGTCGCTGTATCGGCGGCCAGCCCGACGTCGAGAACCAGTAAGCGGCTCTGCGCCTCGTCTGCTGGTGCTGGAGGGTAGAGTCCGCCTAAAGCGCACTTTGTGCCGACTTTCCCCTGCTCAACGTAGTTTGTCGTAAGGTAATCGACAGTCTTTTCACCGGAGAGACCGCGCTCCTGTATGTAGTGCTGCTCAATAAAGGCGACAGTGTCAAGGCCAACCTCTGCATTATGGATGATCGATTAGCACCCTATGGTTGAGGTGAAAGAGACAGAAAATCGACCAAACTCACGATCCATCGTCCTGCACGGCAAAACCCGCCCCTCAACAAACATCGTCTCCCACATAGCGTCGAGCTCCTCAGGCACAGAGACGCCCTCCGCCAGAATCGTGAGGGCCTCCCGCTTAACAGCGGCCCAGAGCCGATTGAAGATAAACCCCGTCGACTCCTTCCTCGCCACGTACGGCTCAGTCGCGCCCTCGCGGCACCGGTCTGCCATGAAGGGGAAGATGGCCTCGTGCGTGAACCCGTCAGTCATTAGCTCGACGATCATGCATTGCGGCGGCATGTAGTAGTGCATATTCAAGATGCGAGGCTTGACATGGTCCGGGACTTGAGCGAGCATCTCGGATGATTTGTAAGACGAGGAGTTGGAGGCGAGGATGGCGTCTGCTGGTGCGTGAGTCGCTAGATCTGCAAAGGTAGTGAGCTTGAGGGGGAGCTTTTCGGGAACGGCTTCAATGACGAGCCATGCGGTGGAGACAGCGGCTTTGAGGGTTTCGTGCGGTATGGGCTTTCCGGGCGAGCAGCCTGTTTTGGTCGCATATGCCGCCACTTGCTCTTCAATGTAGGCAATGCCAGACGCGACCTGGTTGGCATCGGGATCCCGAAGGTGCACATCGTAGCCCGCAGACGCCCAGATACAACCTGCAATAGGCGTCAACAGGTCCACCATGCCAAGTACCAGACAGCGAGTAGGTATTGTGAGGACTTACCGATCCGTCTTCCAAGGACTCCGGCGCCCAGCACCGCGACTGGGCGCGTGCGGTAATCGTGTGGTGGTGTCCAGGTTGAGTGCATTTTCATGAGAGAAAGGTAAAGTGACTTGAAAGCGTTGCAGATAATGTTCTTGCGAAGATGGGATTACATACGTATAGAGTATCCTATATAGCAGCCATCTCCAATCTGGCCCGCTGTATAACCCCACTTGCCGATGCCCAGCTTGCCGCGGCACGACGATCGACAATGACGCAGTCGGCCCTTCCACGGATCAGTCGGCATACCGTGACTGAAGCCGAAGGGTCTTTGAGAATTATTGTAATTGCTTAGTTGACGTGGTCCCGAATGCTGGGTCTTGGGCCGTCTATTACCGTAGTTGCCGAGTTTTCCGCAATATGCACCTAATGGCGGCATACACGGCACGAACTTCCTGATCATGGTAAGCACTTGGATGTTTGGTTGATTTCATTCCTAAATTTCTGGATAGTCCCCAGTCTAGTGCTGTGGATTTTTGAAGCCACTCAGGCAAGTAGGAAGGCCTATTGAGTCACCACAAATCATCCCCACTCTGCTGCGAAGAGATACTAGCAATACAACCCCCAAACAATCACAGAGGGTGTTCGTCCAAGTTGCGATTTGCACCGTCTATTCATTCTTGCTTCGACTGCGCCGTTCCACGGTGTCAATATTGCATACCTTGTCTTGAGTATAGATAGGTCACAGTGGTACGAGTACTGCTACTACGAATACTACTGCTATAATGGTCTTAAGGTTATTGAAGAAGAAGAATGTGATTCTAACTTATGCTAGGGATGCGTATAGGCGGGGTGTGTTGATTCCATGCCCATTGAAGTAGGCCCCCCCTCACTTTGTAGACTTGCGCGGCCACTTGACCCTCCGCTCCGCACGCACATACAAATTATTCGGCCTGATCAACTGAAACATGGGGTCATACTCAATCGGTCCATCTCCCTCTTTAATAAAGTTATATCTGTAGATCAGCTTCGGCAAGAAGATCTTGACCTCTTGCAGGGCGAAATTGAAGCCAATGCACATACGCGGGCCCATTGCAAAGGGAATGTACGCCGCCTTGTGTCTCCCCTTCACTTCAGGTGTATCCCACCGATCCGGATCAAACCGCGCTGGGTTCTCCCAAAGGTTGGGGTTGTTGTGTATATGGTGCAGCGCTGCAATCACTACTGCATCCTTTGGGAGCTTGTAGCCGCCCGGTAGGATCAGGTCTGCTTTTGCGGTGCGCCCGGGCTGGAAGGAGGGGTTGTGCCGGCGCTGCATCTCCTTGATGTACTTGTCCTGGAAGACGAGACGGTCCGTCAAGTCCGCCGTCAGCTCGGTGTCTTCCGTGATGTCGTTGTCGATTAGTTCTTGAAGGAGCCGCTCTTGCATCCCCGGGTATGTGACGAGGCCATAGATTAGCCAGGAGAGGAGGGAGCTGGTTGTGGTGAAGCCGGCGCCCGTGGCGACGACCAACGCCCAGACTAGGCTTGTTTTGGGAAGCTTTTCGCCTTTGTTGTCTGTGGCGCGGATGGCGTAGTCTGGGGAATGCAGCGTTAGTTGTTGGAGGAGATGAAGATGGGACGTGACGGGGAGTTGAGGCCAACGTACCAACCATGTTCGACGCTTGAAGCGCCGCGTCCTGCAACGGCAAGTCACCGACACCACCCCGTGCTGCCCTTTGAATCGACTCATCAACCATCTCCTCAATCCGCGCCTTCAAATACCTCAGTCGCTGTGGCGCTCCAAAAGGCAACTTGGCATACCAATCACCTCGGGACGTAACCTGTTTATTTAGGTTTAGCAGCTCCGCGATCGCATGAACCATCTCATGCACCGGCGCATCTGGCGAAGTGAAATGCTCAAAGTCCAGCCCTAGCGTCAACTTCCCAACGGCCTGCGACCCGAGCTTTAACATATACTGATACACGTTCCAGGCCTCGTCCTTTTCATCAAGAGCATCAAACACCTTGTATGCATCCTCCACAGTCCGCTGCATCGTTGGCGCGTAGTGCCGCACTGCCTTGGGTCCAAGGGCCGGCGGGAGGAACTTGTGCGCGACCTTCCATTCCTCAGTATCTGTATCACCAAGAAAGACACCAGCCGCAGGGGTCTTGAGTGCGGCGAGCGGGTGCGCGGAGTTAATCTTCTTCGAGAAGAAGTCCGACTCGGCGAAGACGATTGCCGAGATCTGTGGATCATTGGTATGGTATGTTGTGCGGCCAAGGTTGGTGGTTTTGAAGATTGGTCCGTACTGGTCAAAGAGGCGCTGATGGTTGCCTAGATGGTCGGGGAAGACCTCAAAGTAGTTGCCGACGTATGGGATGCCCTTGGGACCGTCTGGGTCTCGGACGGCGTGGCCGTCGATTGTGATGGCGATGGGTCCTTTCGCAGCCACAATGTCAGCAACGTCCATGAGATGCGCGTCGTCCGTTTGGAATCCAATCCCTTGATAGCAGTCAGTATCAGTACATCTGGCAATAACGCGAGACTAACCAGACGGTTCCACAATTGCAAAATGGGCGGCCACCAGGTGCTTGAATTGATCAATATCCAACTTGGCATCAATGGAGATTTGCCTCGCCGACGCGGCCGGCTCCCCAAGGAGATGAAATTGTAGGCTAGACATGACTGTTGCAAGTCCTAAACTAGTTGCATATGAGCTACCGAAGGGAAAAGTACGTGTGGTTAGGTTTTTATAAAGGGTCAATGCCGTGTAGTCCGAGACTAGACCGATGCAACCCATCCTGGTGGGTCCTCGGAAGTGCCGCGGCAACTTGAGATGCCGAGGATCCCATTGGTCCACTCCACGTAATGCCGCGGCAGGGATGATAATTCTAGGTTCCGCTTAGCACGGCTGGGACGAGTGCAGAAAATGCATCAAGTCAAGCTGTGGGATTTAAAAAGGGTCTTCGGACGAGGGTAGGAGCACTTTGCTTTCGGTCACAAAGCTCACCCCTCTTCACGATGCAAGACCTACCGGAATACACCGCACCGCAGGTGGCGGCACACAATAGCAGGAATGACTTGTGGATTGTTATCCGTGGGAAGGGTAAGATACATTCGACATAAACCAGTGAAAGTCTAATCGAGACCTTTAGTGTACGACATCACGTCCTACGTGAGGGACCATCCGGGAGGTGCTGATGTTCTGATTGAGAGTGCTGGGACCGACGCGACCGAAGCCTATGAGGATGTTGGGCATTCTGAGGTGCGACAGGAACATGCAGACAAGGTCGAGAATTTTCAGCTGACCGTTTTATTTTTACAGGACGCCGATGAGATCCTTCAAACGTACTTAATCGGGACCCTCAAAGATGCACGCAAGCAAAGCCGCCCCCAAGCCGTTCGAATAATCCAGCCTCCACCCCCTGCACCAGCAAAACCATCTGCAAGCAAGCTCAAGGCTTTGGCCTTGGCTTCATTCTGCATCGGTGCTGCCGGCATCTCCGTCTACTTCGGTCGTCGCATCCACACAACGCTACCGGTGTCATGGCCTGGTGGTCTCAAGCAATTCAGACAATGGCCGCGCGCACTGCCCACACCTGGCGGTTTCGCAACCGGATTCGCCGCTGCGACAATTATTTCCACTGTTATCGGGTCTATTGTCGCGCGGAAGCTGTCTGCGATGACACAGATCGCCTCGGGCTTCACGAGATACCCACCGCACGTGAAGAGTCGCAGGGGTCCCCGGAGCAATCCTCATCTCGTCAAGGGATTCCTCGACCCCAAGGAATATAAAAGTTTACCACTAATTCGCAAAGAGGCTCTGTCATCGAGCGTCTTCAAGTTCGTGTTCCAGCTTCCAACCCCACAAACCGTCATCGGGCTTCCCATCGGGCAGCATGTCGCAATCAAGGGAGACATCGATGGGGTCGTGGTCTCCAGATCATATACACCGACGTCAAACAACCTTGACCGTGGAGTTCTGGAGCTTGTGATCAAGTGCTACCCCGATGGACTCTTGACGGGTCGGTATCTCGCCAACCTCCAAATTGGCGAGCACGCTCAGTTCCGCGGACCCAAGGGAGCAATGAAGTACACCAAGGGCCTGTGCAAGAAAATAGGGATGATCGCAGGCGGGACTGGAATCACTCCCATGTACCAACTAATTCGGGCAATCTGCGAAGACGCGACTGATTTGACCGAAGTGAGCCTAATCTACGCGAACCGCTCTGAGGAGGACATTTTGCTCCGGGAGGAACTGGAGGCTTTTGGGCAAGCGAATCCGCGAAACCTCAAGGTCTGGTATATGCTCGATGTCCCGCCTGAGAACTGGACTTATGGAACGGGATACGTGACTGCGGAGATTATGAAGGAGAGATTGCCACCTTCGTTGCCAGATACCAAAGTCATGCTTTGTGGGCCGCCAGGGATGGTCAATGCGTCTAAGAAGGCCCTCGTTAGCTTGGGATACCAGGCCCCTGGTGCTGTTGCGAAAATGTCTGATCAGATATTTTGTTTTTAACTTGCATCCTCCGTGGTTTCGTGTCATATATTTCGCAGCTATAGACTCTAGGTATCGACTTGCTTTATTTCTGTCGCCTTTACAATTCAAGCTTCTCGTAGATGGGAGCTTTCTTATCTAACGGCATATTGGTACATTTGTTTTTAACTTCGAGAGCGAGATGAGGTCCTTTTTGAAATGGATAGACAGGACTGATGAGGATGGTTGAAATTAGTAGTTCGGATCGCTCGGGAATAAGTACGTTAGTCATCTCGAAGAGATCGACGTGACATGGCCGAGGTCTTCCCGCGGCATTTTGCCTCTCTCCTCCTTCACCCCATCTTCAATATCAGTCCGCCATGTCTGCTAAACGATATCGGTCTACGATAGCGTGCCATTCCTGCCGCTCGCGCAAGGTACGATGCAGCATCAATGCCACTGGTATCCCGTGCATCCGCTGTGCCCAGGACCATGCGGAATGTGTCGTTGGACCGCCAGATGAAGCGTAAGATGCCAAGTCGAGCCAGCTAGAATCTACTAATTCTGCACCTAGGACTCGAGCAAGTCGTCGGAGTGGACATACACGGCAGCGTCTACGCGCGGCAACCAGCAGCCCTTCTGCTCGTCAAGACCCTACTACATACCGCACCCCAGTCTCCACGCGCCATGTCACAGATTCACCAGGTGCTGCAGCGGGCGGAGGCCACGATGATATCCAAAACGAGGAGCGCAATGGGCTGGAGATAGCTGCCGCTGCCTTGGGCACATCGGAACGTGCTGGAAATGTTCCTTTCTACACGGGTATGCTGGTTCCCTCATGCTATTCGGCCAATGCAGCCTAACAAGATAAGGTTACCAAACTGGGCCAATATCCACCTTATCCCTCGTTTCCACGGGCGGACCTTTACCACAGCACCTCCTCATTCCCTCCTCCGTGTCCAACCCCCTTTGCGAGGATGATCGAAGCTACCTCGCAAAGAAAGGCGTCTTCAGCCTCCCGAGCCATGAGGCCTGCAAGGTCCTGCTCCAGGCATATTTCCAGCATGTGCACACCGTTATGCCGGTCATCGAGGCGGATAAGATTCTTGAATACTTTTATGCGGGACGACTCCGCGAGTACAAGTTGCTGCTGGTGTGGAGCATGTTCTTTGTGGCAGTGAATGTATGATTCGACTAGAACCTGAAACAGTGCACGGCTAATGCTCGCTACAGTTTGTCCCGTCCAGCATCTGTGAGCGAGAAGGATATACATCGCGAAAAGCAATGAAGGCCGCCATGTACACCCACGCGAAAGTAAGCTGCCCCCTTCCGCCGACTGCTTATAATACCAGACCGTCAGCTAACCCCAGAAAGTGCCTTTACAACAATAGCGGAGAACGCGACAAGATCGTGCTCTTACAAGCCTCTTTGCTACTCGGGTTCTGGCACTCTGAAGTCGATGAGCATGGGCAACCGTGGTACTGGACCGGCGTCGCGATCAGTCTTGGTCAGATTCTTGGTCTGTACCGCAATCCCGACGCTGCACGGTACAACGCAGCCATCACAGACCGACAACGGCAGCTTTGGCGCCGCTTGTGGTGGACTTGCTTCCTTCGCGACCGCTGGTTGAGTCTCACCCTGGGACGACCACTGCGCATTGATCTTGGTGACTGCGATGTACCCCCGCCGTCTGTGGCAGATATGCTCTACGATTTCCAAGATGTGCCGGTGTTGGTTTCCGCTGGTTTTATGCCGGACGATCTGCCTCTGCTGGCTGGATACTGGATTCGCTTGATTGACCTCACAAAGCTACTCGGGTCTGCTCTGAGCATAAACTATAAGGCGTGCACCCCAAAAGCTTTGCCTGACCAGGTTGACGCTCTTGAGGCGGAGATTATACGGCTCAAGCCAGATCAAGTTCAGCCGGGCAGTAGTCGTGGCGCTACATTCTACCTGCATCATCTGCAATTACACTACGAGTACGGGAAAACATCTACCACATCAAGAATTGAACCTGCTAACCTTCGCAGAGCACTCCTCATCACACTATACCGACCCTACCTGACCGATCTCTCGGACGACCTCTCCCCTGCCCAGATACACTGGCGAAGGCGTATCTGGCGTGAAGCCGATGCGGCTGCATCGCGAACCAACGAAATCCTCGAGAGTCTAGCGCGGGAGAATATCCTCGACCATGCCCTGCCCATGACGTGAGATATACAACCATTACTCTTCCCCTGCTGTGACATACTAACAACGAATGCAGCCCACCACTCCTCATCCCCGCAATGCAAGTCCACCTTCTGCGGTGCCGGTCCGGCAACGCCCTATCTAAGCACCTGCGCCTCAACAAGCTCAACGCATGCATGATGGTCATGGAGGAGTTTCAAAAAGTCTACATCGTGGCGTCGATCTACCGCGCCATCTTCGCCAAGGCTATCCAGATGGTCTGTCCCGAGACGCGGAAACGGGATGCGAGCCAGGCCCCGGGTACAACGGGGCTCGGAGACCCTGTTACCCAGCAGCAGCCCCTGGAGGGGCAGCATGCTGCTGCACCTCCCTTTCCGGGACCCGATTTGCCGGATATGGTGGATGCCCTCATGGACGAGTCGCTTCCGTTTAACTTTTGGGAGGCGTGGAATGATATTGACGGCTTTGGCTCGGTATATCCTGACGCTCATGTTGCGCAGGGGCTTTGACCAGAATCACCTGCGCAGCAATTTGGTAATGCTCCTAGGGAGTCTCCTCTGCATTGGATTGGACGCTGGTCAATCTCAACCACCTATTGGGATCCCTGCCTAGATGATAGGCCAGGTCGTAGTGAGGATTGCATGTGAAGCCGGAGAACAAAATTTATGGCCGTGGACACTTGGATGGATGAGGATGGTGTGCATAGGGGGTGCAGCTCCACCTGACTATTGTAGTTAGGAGGAAGAGATCGAGGGTTCACTTAGGGCCTCATCTAGGCGCTCACGAAAGCTGAAATAAGGGTTTACATTTATATTCACTTGTCGGTGAATCCAGCGAGCATAGAAGGCCGATCGGGCCCATTGTCGAGCCTTCTATTTTGTATTGCTCTCACATTCCACAACCCTGGGCATCACCTCACCATACACGAACAGATGACGAATTATCGGATTACACGGGTCAGTTAACATCCCTCACAATTCTCAGCGTCCACTGCTTCCTTTATCCGGTGGGGACGACGACTGATCGACTTTGCAGTATAATCAAACTGTCCATCTCATCAGGCAAGGTATTTAGATTGAATATGAAAAAAAATAGACTCGTTGTCATCTCATATTTCTCTGGAAAGCAAGGTCCAGCCTAGTTTCCACTATCCTGTAGGTGACATAATTATAATGTCAGTGCGCTCGTGAAAAGTGTCTAGCACTTTCCTAACCCAACCAGAACCCTCCAGTGGTCGTTATGGTCCAGTGTCCCACGCACATCTCCACTGTGCATCGAACACTCGTTTAGAATAACCTGTGCGCCGTCGGCGACGTTATGCCAGGAGGGGAGGAGCCTCTCATAGTCATTCTAGGCAAGAAAAAAAAAGCAAAGTCAAAAGTTAGCCCTGCTCTAGAAGCGGATCAGACAAAGGTAAAAGGTAGGTACGGTACTCACATCATTGCACCACATAATCGCCGCGCCACGCTCGCACGCAACGGTGGCGCATTTCTTAGAACCAAGATATGGCCTCATATTGGACGCGGCCTTGAGCCGGAGTTCCTCGACACCATCGCGTATCAGCGAGGTCTTTGTCCAGGACCCGTTGGTGCAGTCGACATTGTGCTTGACGGCGCGGGATTCTAGTTCGTCGTGGATTAGTCTTGTTTCAATGGGCTTCCCGGGGAGTTTCGTGACTGTGCCGACGCGGATGGCGCCAGCCTTTGTGGTGGGAATTTCGTTGGTTGTAGGGAGCTGTAGACAGTCTAGTTAGTTCAGTGTGTTGGTTGCGGATGGTGAGTATACGTACCGCGCATGCCACCAGGGCGAACGCTGTTAAAACGATCCAGAGTTGAGAGATTTGCATTTCCGGGGTAGAAGAGTAAGTGGAATGGTTCCGGGCCGAACAATTCGAAAAGTGGTATGCAGATATTGATCGGCGCATCGGGGAGTATTTATTCGCTAAGCTTCTTAGTTGCAGGCAGCGCATGACAGCGAAGTCTTTGTTCTTCGAAGTACAATGGAAGCTCGGACATATCGGGTTTGGAAGTTGTGTCTCCGCATTGTTCGATTATTGGCAACGTACAATGGGCCTTTTGATCGTCGTTCCGAACAGAGCCTTGTTCACCATTAGTGGCAGCCACGCTGGCTTTGGTGCATGAACGACTGGGGTTTGATCAGCTGCATCGGCCATTGTATACCGATCGAATACTAAGAGGCCTCAGGCGACACACTGTATCAGTTCCTAAATATCGATTTGTCGCCGAAACAGATTCCGCGCCATCTAAAGATGTTCTGGGCCTTTTGTCCATGATTATGTTGCCTAGTATCTAACAAAAAAGGTATGACAAATGACACAAAGGGTGATTTAAAGTTGAGTTTGTTGAGCCCCTAGCACAGATGATCCCACCTCCCTCCTGAGGAAGGATCTTATACGCCCCATCGAGGCCTGATCCGTGAATCTAGATATGCTGAGGGCGGTGCGGCCGTTCTGCTATGGCCATGCTGCACTGACAGCTGGAACCCCACGTGCCACTAGTCAACACCAAACGCATAAGCCCAGAGCCACACCCGCCGTCACTGTGCAGCAAAAGTGAGCCTTCCTTACGGCCAGTCGCCGCCCACCGCTTACGACCGCAACTTCCTCAAACAACCAAGTGCGGAGCCCGGCTGCATGGGAAGCAAGCATTCAATGGCTGCGGATTACGATTTATTTGCGCATAAGATTGTATGGGCGCGTCGCCGATGACATGTATACCACACAGTCCTAAGCTGTAGTACAGCCTCAGGGCGCTACGGGAATCCCGTGCCCTAACTGCACCGGGGAAAACGTGGGTGATAGCGGCCATATTGGTAGGATGAAGTCCCATGTGGAGTCGAATGCAGATTGCTTAGGGGGGTAGAGCGATGTACGGCATTTCGGAAGTAAAGGCATACATGAAGCGAAGAGGTTGCGTACTCGCCTTCTCCACTCCGGATGGGTCATAACCTGCGGCTTTTCGAGTTATCCCAGAGACCAACATTCGAACCTACTGTCGGAAAGGCCGTTAACAGCATTTCACAGTAGGACTCGACCGACGTATGAGGTTAGGCAAGCTCAGGTCCAGGGGCACAACCGTCCGTGCCCGTGTTGAGAGACCACAAATCCCTTGTATCTATTGCTTTTGTTCCCGGTCTCTGATCGTCTTCGACCGACCATAGAGCTCTGCCCATCGAAGCCTCGGAGTTTGCCCGGCATGGTCTACACGGTTGCATCGGCGCATATCGTGTGGGTCAGCCAAGGCTGCCCCCGTGGTCTCACCAGCCATGAGTCACGGACCCTAAGGACCTGGCCAAGGAGTCTGGTGTTGAACTTGCCGCCTGTCTGTGTAATTTATCGTGTAGGCGGATCCGGTGCGGGATTAGAGACCCTTTCCAGGATTCGATTGTTGAAAGATGAAGGCGCCGTTGCCTAAAGGCACAGGGGTGGGGAGCCCGATCCGCGCGATGAATCTAGATTCACTTCGGCATCCCCGTCGGGGACTCGAAAGGTTCTTCAGGGGGTGAAGTGGGTCTATTGTTTCTTGGTTGTTATGCTACTGCAAACACCGACTTCGGAAACAGACCAGACCGATTCCAAGTGCCGAAAGCCGACCTCGCAGCAGAACTCCATTCAAGAATGCAATGACTGAAGGCGCAGTGAAGGCCTGAAGCACTATCGCCGTGGAAAGCGTGCGACTGTCGTCGTTGAAGAAAGGGGCAGAGTGGATCCACACGGGTGTGTGCGATTGCGAGGCTCGGGGATGGCACAGCAGCCTTGACTGTCGAGCGCGGAACCTATGCCTGCCCTGTAAGCAAGAGAAAACCTCGGCTTTTGGTGGATTATGATTTGCCTGGGTAATCTTTCTTGTACTCTTGTTAGTCATTTCTACAGAAGTGCGGACGAGTTGTTACTCCTTGTTGTTCCGAGCAAAACGATCGAGTTATATATATATATATATGCGTGTAACAAGCTTCAGAGCACTACGGGCTTTTTTATCGCCAGCCGAGTCGGGCCTTTGATGTGACCACATGGGACAAAAAATAAATCCTTTTTCTCCCAGGCTGGTTCTCATGAGTTGTTTGTCCGGGTTGTCTGGAAGAGGAAAGAGGAAGAATTTGGGCTGGAGGGGGCGGTGGGGTGCTTTAGAGTCCAGGACCGTTCAACATTCCAACCAACTTCCCCTCCACTTGCACAGGTCCCCTCAGAGCCAAACACTCCTGAGTATTAGATTTGTGACTGTTATTTCCCTCGGTCGGTTGTTCAGTAACCAGGTTCATGGTCAATCATAAGATGACCGACTAATAAGACGCCACCCGCTCATTGACGCCATTGACATCATCCTTAATATCGGAAGGAACGACCCCTGCAACCGCCACCCATGCTTCTTTCGCCGCAGGATCAACTCCAGCTTTACTGCGACCTCACTAGACACAAGCCAGCAGAGGATTGGCCAGCCATCTGGGTCTGGTCATTGATGGCTCGGGGCATACTCCGGGCTTTGGTTGAGTTTAGCCGGTGGTCAGATCGCTGTTTCCATCCCGCCTCCAGCCTCCAGGGCATGTGTGACATCGGTGTCGCCGACCTGACCTCCCCTCTTCTTGGCTTCTTTGCCTGCTTATGATCGTTGGGGCACAAAGTAGATTCTTGCCATCGGCTTTTGTATTTCTTTCATGACAGTTGGCATGTACATTCCTGTCCGTGCTCCATTTACCACGTGGTATTGTTCCAGAATCGCGTCTATCGCGAGACGTGAAACATCAAGTCGCAGAAATGTCCGGAGATCGAGTATCAAGGTCACACGAGCCTTGACAAGTGACTGTCGCAGTGAGGGATTTTCATGGCGACGCTGGGAGAATGCACGCTGCGTTGGCCGAGACACCTGTGGACCAACGAGGACGCACCGCATCTGTTGGACCAGACAGACCATGTTTGCGACCGACCGACACATTGCTGAACCAGGCGATGATCATCAGCAATGACGCTGAAAACTTCGAACAGCCTTGGCAGCTGGCGCTTGGCCCCCCAGTTTTCCCCGGAACCGGGGCCGATGAGTGGGCGGACTGGGCTGGGCAGCGCTGGGCGCCGAGACTGCCGAGAGCCGCCCCGACTTATGCGGCATCGGGTGTGACCTGCACGCGGCTCCTTTGGCTGTCCATCTTTGTTCGTCGACGGCTTCGTGTTCGGGGTAATATTTCTGGAGTAGCCGCTCCGGGGCGTCTCCCACCGGAATCGTCGTGCCATCTGGGGCTCCTTCGATGACGACAAGGCTGGACATTTGGATCTCCACGGATGCCACCCTGAATGTCTCCCGCCCTCTTGGCATCTCCTGATGCCTCTGGTTGAGTTTGCAGTTTGGGTTCTCTGTTCCCACTTGAACCAGCTGCGAGTGCCGTGAGCATCCGCGTAGGGTCGGCGCACGGTGAAGCCAAATCTGATATCTCGCGTCTTGACGATCACAACTGGGGAATGTTGCGTCGGAAGACCTATAAGACTGGGCCATTTCAATGTCGCGCGCCAAGAGTCGGCACTGTGACGCTAGGGGTTGGCGCATCTGCAGACCAAGACGTCCAAGACCCGCAAATGTAGCCTTCCTCTGTGCTCCTGGCCTCTTGGCTCGGCCCCCATTCACAAAGCATGACGGCCGAGTGTGCAGTCATGGCCTGGCCTGACGCTTCCGGGGAAGAGCCAGTCATATTGCGGGGAGCAGCGCCATTGGCATCAGCCTTTCAGTGCAACCTTGCAAGTTGCTCTCCCCCCGGTCGCCAAGGTGGAGACGTATTTGCCCAGGTCGCTGGACGATAAAAGGCTCTGCTCTCCCCGTGGGGGGAACCGTGTTGACCCAGATTTCTTGGACTCCCTTGCATATTATTTGCTCAAAGCATTCTACTGCTGATTAAGTAGTCTGCAGTAGACTGAACACTCCTGGTCGGGATCGTGGACCTACACAGCAAGGTTACCATCGCCCATCATGGTTGAAAAGAAGTACGACATTGAGGCTCCTGAGCAGTCTCACCACATCGAATCCTCCAGCTCTGCTGAGAAGTCTGATGCTGAGGTTGCTCGCCAGTGGACCGACGACATCAAGCGCAAGCCAGAGCCAGAGGCTGTCACCAGCACCACGAAACAGAAGAATCCCCTGGCGGGCCTCACCACCGAGGAGCTGTTCCAGGATGTCGAAAAGTTCGCCAGAGAAAAGGACCTCGAGCACATTTTGCCGGATTTGAAGAAGGGTGCTCTCGTTGCGCAGGATCCGAAGCGGTTTGAAGACCTCAGCGACCTGACAGAAGAAGACAAAGAGTTTCTTCGCCGTGAAAAGACACACCGATGGCATCAGCCGTTTATGATGTACTTCATGACCAGTATGTCCGCCTTGGCTCTGATTTGAACCACAGTGACTAACAGGCTGTAGTTCTGTGCGCCGGTTCTGCTATCGTGCAGGGTATGGACCAGACTGCCGTCAATGGAGCGCAAGAGTATGTAGCTCATCCCCCTCTTGGCCGCGCTCACTAACAACTCAGGTTCTACTTCGAGGAGTTCAACGTGACAAACGAATGGCTTCGTGGCCTTATCAACGGTGCACCATACCTATGCTCTGCTCTCATTGGTTGCTGGACGACTGCGCCCCTTAACCGGTACTTTGGCCGTCGCGGATGTATCTTCATTTCCTGCTTCATCTCCTTTGCTGCCTCCTTCTGGATGGCTGCTGCGCACACCTGGTGGAACCTCTTGCTCGGCCGTTTCCTCCTCGGTCTCGCTGTCGGTGCCAAGTCCACCACGACTCCTGTCTACGGTGCCGAGTGTAGTCCCGCAAACATTCGTGGTGCCTTGGTCATGATGTGGCAGATGTGGACGGCGTTTGGTATTATGCTTGGTATGACTCCTACCAGTCCCTAACATGGTTCATGTTAACGAGGACAGGATACATCGCCTCGGTTGCTTTCATGGACGTCCATGTTGATGGTCTCACCGGTTTCAACTGGAGACTAATGTTGGCTTCGACTGCCATCCCGTAAGTGACCATGGCGCCATACCCGGCCAACTTTGACTGACGGCTTCAGCCCCTTCTTTGTCTGCATCCAGGTGTACTTCTGCCCCGAGTCGCCCAGATGGTACATGATCCGAAACCGCTACCACGAGGCATTCGACGCCCTGTGCAAGCTGCGGCCCTCGCAGTTGCAGGCCGCTCGTGATCTGTACTACATCCACGCTGCGCTCCAGGTTGAGGAGAAACTCCGCGAGGGCAAGCGTCTGTGGCGCGAGATGTTCCTGGTTCCCCGCAACCGACGTGCCGCCCAGTCGTCCTTCTTTGTCATGTTCATGCAGCAATTCTGCGGCGTCAACGCCATCATGTACTACTCCTCGTCCATGTTTATTGACGCCGGGTTCAGCCGACGCACTGCTTTGATCACCTCGCTGGGCTGCGGTATCACCAACTGGATCTTCGCCCTTCCTGCAGTGTACACCATCGATACCTTTGGTCGCCGGAACCTGTTGCTCACCACCTTCCCACTCATGTCTATCTTCCTACTCTTTACGGGATTCTCTTTCTACATCCCCATGGAGACCCACGAAACGGCGCGAGTCGCCTGTGTGGCTACGGGAATCTATCTCTACATGATAGTCTACTCCCCCGGAGAAGGCCCCGTTCCATTCACATACTCAGCCGAAGCATTCGTGAGTCCCCAATATATCTCCCCATTCCTATCTATTCAAGCCCTAACCCTGACTCTAGCCCCTCTACATCCGCGACATCGGCATGTCCTTCGCAACCGCCACGACTTGGGGCTTCAACTTCATCGTCTCGCTCACCTGGCTGCCCCTCGTGAAGGCGTTTAGCTCACAGGGCGCATTCGGCTGGTACGCGGCCTGGAACGCATTCGGGTGGGTGACGGCCTACTTCTGTCTCCCCGAGACGAAAGCGCTATCCCTCGAGGAACTCGATCAGGTATTTTCTGTGCCCACGCGCCAGCATATTGCGCACTACGCGGAGATGCTGCCCTGGTACTTTAAGAAGTATATTGCGCGCACGGATGTGCCGCCGCAGAAGCAGCTGTATGATTACGATTAGATGGGTTGATGGTTCGTTTTGGAGGGTTGGACTGGAGATGAGGCCGTTCGGTGCATGATAATGGGGAGAGTTGAGGGGAGTGGTAGGTTGGTAAACTACTAGATGGAGGATAGTGAGGGGTAGGTAGGGTTCTGTTTATTACGATTTCGATGGATGTTACGTGTTTGTGATACCTAGGATACTCGACTCTACAATTATTAGGCTTTTATTATTACGTTAATGGGCATGGAGGACCTCTGGGTCTACGATACTCCGCGTCCCATATTTAGATCTTCCAATGCTATAAGCTGGGGCCTATAAATGATTTTTGTGACGAGTTACCTATGTGAGCACCGATATAGATTGGGCGGGTCATGACCCGATTATAATAGTGTCATCGAACGAGCTACAACAGCTAGTCGCTTCGATGACGTCGAAGGGTGAATGGACCAGCTGTTGTCTACTAGCGGAATCCGTACATGGTTCTCCATAGTGACTTGGGCTAGATTGAATGGCTAGACTGAATGCCGTGCACGGGATGCACAGCATGGGATCTGGAAACTAGGGGTTGATTGATGTTGATTGACAAGAGGGTCTAATACGCACATCACTTGAATGCGGCTTTCCGGACGGTGGATGATATGTTGTCAGCATAGGATACATAGTAAGCATGTTTATGGCCACCGGCTGGCGGAGGGCATGGTATCATTAAGGTACGATAAATAGTATACAATGGATCACCCATCCCATCTCCTTGGAACCTACACCATATCCCCCGGCGCAAGGTACGAGTACTGCTTCGCCGTCAAGGCCTCGATCCACAGATCCTCAGCGGACGGTACCCCAGGCTGATCCGTATAAAAGAACCCCGCAAATATTCCCATCGCCTCGCTCCAATCCCGGACTCCCAGAAACTCTCCCGTCTCCAGCAACTGTGCCAAAAACCACGGATGCAGCGTCCCGCCCCTGCCCCCGGACGCCATCCCACCCATGAACAGCATCCAGAGCGTGAGTTCCGGCGCAACGCTGTGCAGATACAAAAGCTCCGAGGCGAGATGTTCTTGCAGAGATACGACCACGGAATCGAGGATCGGTAGACCCTGTAGGTGCCAGACGCGGAGGTTGAGGTAGAGGAGGAGGCAGAGGCGGAGCGGTTCGTTGAGGCGCCTTTCGTCGGCCGTTGAGAAAGTGAGCGAGAGGAGCTGGTGCTCTGTGACGACGAAAATGTCGTTGTCGGTTAGCACGCCGAGTTCGGGGTGGAGGGATGCGTTTTCGAAGTAGATGATTAGACGGCGGACGATTTTTATGGATGCCCGCATTCGTCTGTCTAGTGACGCGAACCAGAAGCTGGATGTGAAGCGGGAACCGAGGTCTTTTAGTGCGGGTGGCGTGGGGAGAGGACGGTTTGTTTGGAAGATATCGGATTCGTGGCAGATTTCGCTTCGGAAGCGTGCGGACATGGGGAATATGGGTTGGGTGTTTCTTAGGACTGCGCTTTTTACATCACATCTGGGGAAATCTGTTAATTACGATTCTAATGAGGCCGTGAAGCTGAACATACTGGTAGAGCTTCGAGAGTGTCATATGTGGTAGGGCGTCAACGCCCCCGAGGAGACGGACGATGCGCCTTAGGCCGGTTTGGTGGGCCATGACTGCCTCGACATTTCCCATACTGGACTTTCGTAGATTTAGTCAGAGAAACCTCTAGTCAGTCATGACAGCGCCATACCTCAATTGTGACAAAGCTCGCAATAGCATAGATGGTTGTCTCCGCGACAGCATTATCCGGGTCCCGCATCAGATCATTCAGGTACTTCAGAACATTTCCTCTGAACTGAAAAGAACTTTTGATGGACGTTTGGACAGACTGTGTTTCACCATGCGCTTTCGACTCGATCATTGCGACATGCCTGGCACTGAAGAAGCAAAAAATGTTGACGAGCGCTGGTATAGTTACGATATTTCGCCAGAGATATTGGCCCATCATTGTCACATTCAGCGGATATGCCGCTCCAACTCCGTGGATTCGGACTGGTCTTTATGTTAGGGATTTAAACGCATAGACGCAGGTTGGTGGAGTTGGGGGGCTGAATCTTCCACATACAGTGATTCAGATACCGGTGCATGGAGTCCGTCATTGAAACAGCGTACGAGTCAAAAGGATCTTTGAAACCCTGGCTCAAATACGTCGTGGATACCCACGAGCTGCTTGGAACGGACTCCTCATCGTCGCCGGACGGACGCTCTTCCAAGTCCTTGTTCTTATTTTGTCGCGCAGGCTGCAAGGTAGGCCGATTCAACAATACGACCCTCTTCTCAGAAGGATCCGATTTCGCTGTTTTGAGTCGCTGGATGGCCGCTTGCTTCCTCTCGCGATGGTACCGCTTCATGAGAAAAGCCTGTTTCTGCTTGAACTGGGACGAGGTCTTGCCGTTATCTTTCGGGTCAACAAAGAAGAATTCTGCCGGTTGCGAATCGCACTCGGGGGTGGGCTTTTCCGGAATTGACGGCTGATCTGAGTACGCCGAGTCGGGTGATGAGGCCTCGGATTTGCTGGACCAGCCATCCTGGGACGAGTATGTTGAACTGCTTGGTGGGCTGGAGATGTCCGACATGGCAAGTGCGTGGTGACCGTATACAGTGCGTCCCGGAGTGGACGAGATGCAACTGTCGTCGAGCTGCCCCGCGGATTGCGTCTCCAGGTCATGAAAATTCTAAATTTGGAGGTGCGCTTTGTCAACGAGTAGTAAGAGGCGCTAGCCCGATCATAGCCACCAACCACAGCAGTTGGGCAAGCAGATCTGCATCTGCATTGCTGGAATTCGCGTGCTTGTCCTGTCCTTCACTGCAGTCGAGGAGAGGACAGGGTGGTCAGGACTCAGCTGTATGATGGAGATGTACACTGCCCGTGCCTCATCCTGCTGCATTATTGCAGTTGAAACAGGACGAGGGTTTTCAACATTTGACCGGCTCTTGCCGCCAAGGAGTACCTCCAGATCTCCCCACAGCTGATGAGTATGTCTCAGCGACTGCATGAATTGACAGGAACCGATGAAAGCCAGCTCGGTACTCAAAAGGCCTCCCACTACTGTCAATCAACGACAGTCTGTAGCTTCATCGTGCCAGATAACAGGCGTCAACGTTTCTTGGTCAGCTCTTAGTAGGGAATCTGTCAGCGATTACTAATCTTCCCCACACAGTCGAGTGACTAGTCACCCCTCTTGTGAACGAAAACCGATATGGATCGGTTTCGGAGTGTCAGTTCTTTTGACCGAGCCGGGAGGATATAGGGGCGGGCGGTAGACGTTTGAGGGAATCCAGGTATCAGTCGTAGGGAAGAAAGTTCCGTCGGTATTGAGGGCAAAAAGAACCAGAATCGCAAGCGGGAGCAATCGAAATTAAAAAGGACAGAGGAGAGAAGAGGAAAGAGGCAACCCAGACGCCAGGGCCAGAGGTTGCTCTTAATATATCCTGTGCAGTGCGCACTGGTGCAACCTTGACTAGATATTGAACCCTTTCGTTGAATAATCATGGGCAGCTGCTGTGCTTCGTGCTCGACCAACGGGAAGCGATCGAGGTATGCACCAGAAACAGTTAGCGCAGCTTGATGGCTGGAGATTGACTGATAGCGCGGCCAGTTATCGCCCAGAAAGCGCAGGGAAGTCTGGTCCGGCCCGCGCGAAGCTTGAGCTCCCAGTTTCTTGGTATATTATTAGCTAAATTAATAATAAAGAAATCCGAGCCTCGTTGCATCTTTGATTATGCATCCACACATTTAAGCCAGCTAGCCTGTACTTTGGAGTGTGGCCATGTATAGCAGGCGATATTATCGCTGGCCCAGCTTATCAGATGGGAGCACCAACCAGAGGGACAATTCTTAATTACTAGCGCTTCACTCCAGACGATTCGAACGACCTTCCCACTGCTATATTGCCCCATCTGGCCGACGTACACGAGTAAAGTCACCTGTATGATATAACAGGGACGGGGTAATTGCAGCTATTTTCCATTTCCCATTTACTTTGAGGAATTGCTGTTCCATGAAGCTTCTGCCATCACTGGCTTCTCCAACCTTCCCAATTGCGCCTCGACTATCACCCTCCCACCTGGCGTGACTGGCAAGCTGTTGCCATTGCACTGTTATCGCAGCCTCTGACACGGACGTAAAGTAAGGCTGGCCAAAAAGGTGTTGAGTCGCAAGGACTGGGTTCCCAAGTTGGTCTTTTGCAAGCCAGGCGCTTGCAAAATCTGCTGCTGAATATGTCTTACGTCCCCACGCAGGAACTATCAATGAGTAATCGACTATAACTTCTGGGGCAACGGCTGCTAGGACGCGTGATTGATCCTTGAATGGTCAGAAAACTTCGACTACAGCAAAAGACTTGGGTTCCACGGAAGAGATACCTTCTTATCGTAGCCATCAGCCAATACTCTTGCGGTCTGTACAATCGCAATGTAATCTGCGAACGACAGGTTTTCAGGAATATAGATGTTGAAGTCAGACATGTTATATTTTCCTGTTTTATGCGGGTCTAAGTGGATGGATGTAGGTTTACGCAGTTGCGAAACACAAGAGACTGTCTTCTCTATAAGAAGACGGTCGCGGGTCGAAGTGGAGGAGCCGGGGTGAGGAGCCGAACTGGTGCTTCAAAATGTAACTGGCAAGGTAGCTGAAGGAATTTGCCTCTGCGTCGCTCAAACGCTGAACCCGCCATCCGGCAATGGAACCAACCCGAGTGTAGGCAAGAAGGTACTAACGAGATACGATCGGTGCGCCAATGCTCTACATCTTGGACCAATCCTGTGCAGAGTCCACCACACAAGCTTTGATAAAGTTACAAACTGGGTGCGACTGGCCGTGTAGATCTATGCTCTCGGGATGTGGACATGGATTCACTACGGCATCATGACTAGTGACGCAGCCTGCGTCGAGGGATACTATAATCAGTATTTAATACAATGAGGCGGTTCTTTACCCTTTTTTTTTTTAAGTTTTTAGTTACTTGCGTGTAATTTCCGGTGTTCACTAATAGCAACCAAGCATCTGGTCCACTTCAACTAGTCTATCCCACTAGGCCCAGCAATATTTCGGACTTGATTACAGCGGCTAAGGATAAGCGTACCCCCTGGTGCTAGTGGCACTTTTTCATATCTTGACCAGAGACTAGTTATTTAATGATGGGACATGCGAGGCAGAAGTTCGGTTCGTGGCTTAGATAGGATGGGAGGAGCCTTGCCAGCGTGAGAAATAACCTGGTCCCCGGCGACCCAGGGCATAATGCCGCCTCGTGCCAACTGTGTACTGATTGAATTTTTGTATCCGGAGCATGGCCCTCCTGATGAGAGACCCACAAGAGACCCACAGCTGGTACCACGGGGTCCTGCGCTCGTAAGGCGTCTCAACTTTCGATTCTTATAGACAGCGTCTGCACCTGCAAGAATATCCTGCAATGGGACACGTCGGTCCGGCGCGTGGATATAGTATACATTGACCTGGGGCAGATTAGCGAATTAAAACGTGCACAAAACATTTGTACCAAGGGATGTCTTACCTGCTCTGTCTTCAAGGCGTTGAGGCTCTCATCGGCACTAGCAATAAGACCCTCCTTACTCGACGGCGTTGGCGCAAAACCACCTAGGTACTTTGTATCGATCGAGAATCGGCCAGCAGCACCCGCCTGCCCCGGGTAATCCTCGCTATCGGGCTACATCCGGGTGGTGTCTATAGTTGTTACTCCCCCTGCTTTGAGCAGCTCCAGAGCCCCTTTGTGGCTTTGACTGTAGTGAACTCAGATTCTACTGCGGGGCCGAAGGACGCACCTCCGAGGATAAGTTTGACGGGTTGCGAGGACATGGTGCTTGGATTTGCCATGTTATTTGTTGATGAAGACCTTTCTGTGCAAAGGCCGGATGGATGTGCTGTGCGATTGTGATGATGGAGAGAAGAGTATTATCGACCAGTTATACCACCCGGGTCTTCCACATAACTGTCCATGTTTGCAAAAAGATCTCTGAGCGAAGCAGTCGGAGACAGTTCTCTGCACAATCGGGTTAGTCCGAAAGACAGTGTCGGGTTTATAATCAAGATATGTGTAGTAAACTAACTTAGCAGGGTGGCGTCTTCAAAACTGCAGCAACCACGCAGCTGACAGTACTCGTGACTGTGGAAATAGGTTCCGCTGTCGCTGCATGCGGGCTAATCCGGTTTCAATGGCGTGCTCCATAAGTTGTATTAGCCTCCGTCCATCAGTGGTGGGGAAGAGGTCAGCCACTATAGCCTTCTTTTCCGTTCTGACAATAATGATCGTGGGCTGCAGTTCGATGTTTGCTCGGAGCAAAAGCGGAATTTCCGCACTATCACTCATCACCTTCTGTGAGTGGATGTACATCTTCTCAATTGCGTACTTTTCTGATCCGGTTCGGGAGAGGAGGTGCCTATTTCGATTATTTCTGCGTGGGGATCCGATTCAATCTGCCATCCGTCCTCTTTCCTTCTCTTCGTAAGCCATTTTACTAGCCAGCCGCCGTTCTCACCCATATCTGCTTTGGTTCTCCGCCAGAGAACATGATTCCACCCATCGGTGAGGTCGACTCATCCCGCCAAGATTTGCGCAACGTCCAAGCCTTGGATCTCATCCCCTTCCACCCCACCAACCATCAATCCCTCCGCCGCCAAAGCCCTCCCAAAATCCGCCTTCACCTCATCAGCACTCCCATACCCATACTCCCAGCACTTTGTCATGATCCTATCTAACTTCTCCTCTCCCAATCTTGGCCATAGCTTATTCGTTAACATAACCCCGACCTCATCAAGACCTCGTTCGTTCGCAGGGCAAGCCCCAGTCAAAAGCTCATAAACTAACCCTGCCCAAAGAAATAAATCTGTCTGTACAGTTGCTAGATCCCGATCCCACCTTCCACAAGGACCATGTCCTTTGTTAGGAATAAGGCTAGGATGGAAAGGGAAGTTGTATTCACAGCCCCAGGTATCATTAGTAAATCGCATGGCGTACATTGGCTCCATGTATACAGCGTCCAGAAAGCCAAGGATGCAGATTGAGTCGGGGGATTGCATCCAGCAGACGTGTGTGTGCAGGTCGCCTAGGATCACATCCTTTGAATGAATGAAGCTCAAACCCGTCAGGATTTGTAGCGCCCATTGAAAGATTAGCGGGCGGTAGACTGGTTTCAGATAACTCCTACTTCCGCCCTCACCCCTGGGAGCATACATGGCATCATGATGCTCCTCAAGAAACCCATCCAACGTACTCCACGGCTTCTCCAGTATCGGAAGCGCAGTCCAAGGATCACGACCAATGAACCTCACAAGATGTGGATGATTCCAATAATTTCATACACACGGATAGTCTTCCAGGCGCGGTGTTCCTCGATTCCTGAACCCAGATTGCACATGTGGTTGTCATCCGTGTAGTGCTCCAGCGGGCCATCAATCTCAGGATCCAAAGCACTACTAAACCCATCTGATAGAAGGACGACTGTGCTTTCGTCGACTTGTTCGGCCAAAATGCCGGAATTGCCTATCTCGCATTGGAAGCGCTGCTCAGGGGCGATTTGCTCTCGCGATTGGAGGATTTTGTTAAAGAGGTCTGCGGGACGCGAGCCCGCAGCTGGTCGCAGTCTTAGTCGGAAAACCGTTCGGGCCATCTTGGCGGCGTATGTAGGGACAGAAGCTGAGAAGAATGAAAGTAGAATGGCGATGGGAAAGCCGGTTTGAGGGAAGGAGGTGGTTGCTTGTTACGTGGCAAGAAGAGCACCCGGCCCTTATCATGGCTCAGGCACCAGGTCGCCGGTCTCACGTGGCCCACAGGGATAATTTGGCTCTCCGTATAGAGTGGAGAATACTAAAATAGTCTTACAACACACCTCCAGACTTTCTGGATGAGCCGCGCCCTAGCGGCTCCGTGCCTATTTGTCACAGCTATAGTTCGCGTTGCGGAGAGCCAAAACAGCCTCTTACGCAGCGATGCGGTATCCGACCTGCGCGACGTTCTAGATTTCATCATCGCCGCGGAGCATGTCTCGTTTCCTGAACTTTTACCTCTCTTGCACGCCACAACACCCATACAGCTGAAGCCCCGGAAAACAAGCCCTGGGCCAGAGCCACATTTTCCGGTCAACACAGCCGAGATAATAAACGAATCTTGCAAGCTAGCAACGAAGATATATTAGTTTATCCTCCAAAGCAGCACGCACGCAAATTGTACATGGACGGCGCTCGACCCAACGATTCCACGAACAGGGATAAAAAGTCTGCGCTATATGCTTCAGAAGCTGGACATGGCCTCGTGGAAGAAGAATTCGCCAGAACCGTATTTGCTTTACGGCAGCAGCAGCCTGTGATAAGGCAGCAGGCCGCGTTCCCTTCGCTACGGCGGTGACGCCCATCCTGAGTGCATCGGATACGATGGAACTGAGCCATGCAAGGGAGTGTTGGCGGTATTATAGATGGTTGAGTGGGTTTACTTGCTTGCGTAATGAGGATATAACAGGGGGGTGACGGAAATATCTTGCCTTGCTTGAGTCCTTAAGGGTGGTTGTAGGCACAGCCGAGAATTCAGTGGATGTATGGGTTGGCTCTTGGTGAGATGTTATGGCTCGCTAATTGTCCAGTCCGTGACCGAGATGAAAGTTCACTTCGCCGTCTTGAGGCTAAACTCCCAACTAGGGGCTATGTGGCCTTGACATGTTATCATGCGAAGAAAATAGCACGCGGTTCAAGGAAAATCATAATATGAACTTGGCGTACTATCAGCCTTGTACAAATTACACTGGCCAACCAGGAAAGATGTCGAACAAACTGACACACCATCCGGTCGTCGCCTAGTATAAGACAGCTTAGCCAAAGCGGGTAGGGCCATTCACCTTCTCTGCATGTTCAACAACACAACGTTAAATCATTATTCATAAGCAGTAGCACGCAGTCACAGACTACACTACATAGATTCCTTCTTGTCCCCCAGGGTAAAGGAGGTAGGGCGAGGCTTCCCGGCCTGATCAACATATCCGTACTTCTTCAACAACTCAAGTAGCTCACCATTGTAGCCATAGATGGTTGTTTGCGCATCCTCATACGGACTCTTTCCATTCCGATCCTTAACATAGATATCAACTCCGCGTTCGAGAAGCAACCGGATGACCTCCAGCGGGGCACCGCCACGCATAGCGGCGTTGAGCGCGTTCTCCCCTACTGCCGTTACGAGGTTGGGGTCTGCGCCCCACTCCAACAACACCCTTACGGCCTCCGCCTGGCTCATACACGCGGCTTGATGTAGTGGGTATTGGCCGCGGCCCTGGTAGCCGTTGTTGCAGTTGGCCGGTATGCCCGCCCGGAGTAGCTGAGTGATGATCTCGATATTACCCCGCGAGGCGGCCGAGACGAGAAAGGTTGGGTTGTCCGCTACTTTCTGCAGGCTGCCCTGGCGAGCAAACCGGGCGAGAATCCGTTCTATGATCTCAGGCCAGCCATGGTGAATCGCAGAGTAGATCAGGCCAAACTCATCATTGGGCACATATGTCTTGGGGATCCGCGAAACATGATTGTAAAGCGCCGTTGTGATGCTCTGATGGCCTTGTTCGGCCGCAATCCGGAGGGCACGCCCCAGTTGCAGCCCACATCCACCGACTCGACGCCCCTTCTCGCGTCTGGGGTTTATAAAGTGGAGCAGTGCATTGATGATATCTTCGTCGCCGCGCTCCGCAGCCAACTCCAGGCTTGACGGTGGGACCCCTTTCCAGTCGGCTTCCGCGTCGACGAGAATTTCCACCACTGCGGTATGGCCGTTCCGGATTGCAGTGAAGAGTGGAGTCGCTCCGTCAGTGTCCTCGACGACAACGTGCACTTTGTGTTGTAGAAGAGTCGTGAGAATGGATGTGCGCCCCAGCGCCGCGGCAACATGGAGGAGCCTGGATCCGTCCTGTAAAGGTGTATTCCAGTTGTGTTTCTCCTCAAGAAGTATGGAGAGAAGCTTCGCGTCATTCTTCTCAATTGCAAAACGCGCTTTATCCCCTATAATCTCGAATTCTTGGATCTCGGCTTCGGTGTATGTGGGTGCGGTTTTTTGTGGCTGTTTCGCTTTCCGTTGTGTCGCTGCCGGTCGCTGCCCTTGTGTACGTTTCGGAACGGATGTAGTTGGGCTTGTGGTCTTCTCCTTTGAGGCTGAAACCACCGGTTTATCGACCGCGTTGCTTGCCCCCCTTGAATCCGTAGCAATGACGGCTGCATCTCTGCGAGGCGGAGGCTGAGCGTCTGTGGCTGCGCGAGCATCGCGTGCCCGCGCTCTGGGCACAATCGCATTGAGGATGCGACCGGCAAGCCCCACCCGCGGTCTCGACAAGGACTCGCGGATGCGAATATCCAGAGTACGATAACTGGGTGCGGGCGACGGGGGGCGGTATTGAGGAGGGGGTTCGCACTGATCCTGATTTTCATTTGTCGGTCTCGAAGGCATGTTGCGACAATGAGGGTTTCGTTATCTGTGTGTGTGACCGAGGAGAATTTCCTGGGCGAGCCCACGGGGGTCGGGCTGTGCCTGCCACTTTATATGTGCAGACCAGGTCAACCTGGCTCCTCGATCCAGCCTTGCGACGCCTGACAAGAGATAAGACTAATCCAAACCTTAGCAGGTTTTGAGATCTTAGCGGGCTTTTGGGATGGTGAGGGGGAGGGTGGGTGGGCTCGTATTCAGGGTGGCGCAGACTTCGAGGTCGGCTGCGCCCATGTCCTGGGCGCCAGCGCGAGCAGGACTGAGCACAGCCTGGTTTTGCTTTTTGCCGATTTTGAGGGGCAACAACAGGCGTTCTGCCCGGACGACACGAAGAGAGACGAAGGCTGAAAACTCAGGGTCCCACGAGACGGCAAAGGACTGTGTGAGGTAGGTATGTATGCCCCTGTTCCCGCATAGTCTACGTTGATGAGCGAGAGATCGAGGCTGGAGACGGTAACATTCCTTATCCGTTCCATCGGTTTCTCTCCCTTTTCCTCCTCACATACTACTTGCAGTCAAGCACTTTACATCTCCTTGATGCCAAACACTTGCGCCTCGGCCATATCATGTGGTTCTGGCACATTGCGGCCCGGCGCGCTTGCCAACCTCTGCTTTATCCCCGGTTTATTCCGTTCTATTATACACTAGCATGAGTTATACTGTAACATAACTCAATAGTTATTAGTCTAGAAGGTCTGCCACTAGTCTTCAATCATAGGAGTCTCTATCCAATGCCTGGACTGCTGCATCATCCACTTTAAACAAGCTCGTAGTCAACTACATAACTATATATATCGCTCCCTCCCGGTTACCGGCCGCTCTATCCCCGAGCTCCTCATTTCCCCCGCTTCTTGCTTATGCCCTGCCTTCACCCACAATGTATCAACTCACGGACTGGGATCTAGACGAAAAGGTAGACGACGACGACAATCCAGCAATTCGTGCAGCCGCAAATCCCAACTCCGCGGTGCTCGAAGCTCTGTTGGCATATTACAAATCTCGCTGCGACGATAAAAGTCTCAATGACTACGAACAGAGATTAATTACCAGATGTTCTCCCAGCCCGACCATAGCGTTTCGTTCACCGATCAAAGCCGCCATCAGCATCAACTCCGCCGAGAATCTCCGACTTCTCCTGGCTGCGGGTGCGGATCCTGATGGTATCCTCCGCTGGGAAGCCGCAGATTACTCAGTCCGATTCATACGCGGTCGTTATTATTCAGACAATTTTAAATATTACGCACACTGTGATGCACGGTCCGTTGTCCTGGCAAAGGCGCGAGAGCATGGGATTGTTCACCCCGTCTGCCCGTTGACCGAAGGCGAGCTGGATGAGAGGCGCCGCTGGTTTCCCATGTTCTGGACCGAGTGGTTCGTCCCCGGTCGGAGCTTGCGGAAGGGGAGGGCTTGGACGGCTCTTGAGGAAGCCGCGGGGTATGGACGACCGGAGCTTTTCGATCTTCTTCGAGCTGCAGGCGCCGACGAGTCTGCGTGGGTGCAGCAGTCCGAGTCCGACGATCCTGAATCGTGGAACTTTGACGAGAGCGCTCCGGTTTCTTTTCTGACGACGAGCTCGCCTCTCCATGAAGCCCTGTACTGGGGTGAACAGGCGATGGTCCGGCATCTGCTTTCTACGTGTGGGCATTCGCCCAACTACCGACCTCGAGCAGCCCCTACCATGGCTCTCCCACCCCTCTCCCACATCCTTGTACGCTGCGACCTTGATGACGAGAACGTCCATAATTGCCTGGTAGACCTTCTCGCACATCCACGACTGGACCTTAATCTCCGCACTCCCGTCTTCGGCATCCACCCACTGCACTTTGCCACTGCCCACCACAACCCCAAGCTCCTCACTTGGCTAGCAGGGTTCATCCCCGGTGGGCTTGCCGCGGCGCGGACTACGGCGCTAGGCCACACGCTGCTCCATATCGCCTGTCTGCCACTAATTCCTAATCAGATTGTTGCCAAGAACCCAAATGTGCTCAAGAGCATCCACTGCATACGCACAGTCGACTACCGCTGGCACCCCCGAGCCAAGCTCCTCCCAAGTCCCACCTGTGGGGAGGTTGCCACCGCAGAGGAAATCGCGTCCATTGATCCCCAGCCGTTGACCGTCGCCGAGCAACAGGCGCAGCTGGCGACTATCAGGGTGCTGATAGAAGCGAGGCAAGGACAAGAAGAAGTGGCCGACGTCAGGGCAAAGGATGTCGACGGCAACACTGCGTTACACTACCTGGCTGGAACATTGAACACGTCAGATGAAACTATCGAGTTGGTTCGGGGGTTGGAGGGAGGTGAAGAGGCTTGGTGGGAGGCGAAGAATCATTGGGGCTTGACACCGAGCCAGCTTTGGGGCGAGTGAGATATTTCTCATCGGACCTTGACTTTGATTTTGTTTATGTTAGGTACGTCGATTGTTCCTCGTGTATCAGGGTATCAAGGGTTGATTTATACTGTCTGCACATCCCTCGTGCCATGCAAGTAGTCCCCCGTCCAGAACCATTCATCCAGGTCAAAGTCCGCAAAATCCGACGCCTCGTGGATATCCTCACTCTCTATCGAGCCCACCGGACTATGCTCAGGTATCAGCGGACCCCTCTCCATACCCACCGACCCAGCGCCCCCCCGTTCAAACTCAACCAGGTACTCCCCAACCGTAACCCCCATAACCCGCTTGAAGACCCTCGACAGATAACTAGGTGAAACACCGACCTCTCTCGCAAGATCGCTCACGCCCATTGTGTCCCTCCTCGCCTTCCCCACTTCAACTCCATCATCACCTCCTCGCATAGTCGCGAGCGAAATAGCCCGTCCAACAACCTCTTCCGCTTTCCCGCGGAACCCACTCTCATCAGGCCGACACCGCTTACACGGTCGAAATCCGTCGCGGCGCGCTTCTTGAACTGTATTGAAAAACACGACGTTTGCGCGGCGCGCGAGACGCGCTGTGCAAGTGGGGACACAATAGATCTTCGTAGAGCGGACCCCGTAGATGAATATGTCTGATGCTGAGGATGAGCGGCTTTGGAGGGTGCGGTAGCGGGCGTCGACGTTGGTGTTATGTTTTGTGATAGGTAAAGGAGGGGATTGGTACAGTGATTGTGTCTGAGGGCGTATGTTTTCCATGCTAGATGGTTGAGAGATGTGGTGTAGGCTAGTTGAGTGGGGTTGAAGATGCTGAGCTCCGACGATGGGAGATGATGCAATTTGATGTCACCGCGGACAGGGATAGTTATATTACTAAGCTCTAGGCACTCTCTGCACCACAGTATGCGCTATGCATTCATCCTCGGACGCGATAGCTCTTTATCTCGGCTCGGATGGAGAATCCGAGGGCAATGTCGGGACGGGAAGGATCTTGAATTTGCCTTGGTCATGACCACGTGGGTTGGCTTGCATGATGGACCTGGAACAGTCCCATATCCAAGATACCTATGCCAATGTGTACTCCGATTGGCCACTTATAGTTCAGTCTCCACTTTGCCTCTACAGAGTATGAGATAAAAACGAGGGAGGACAGAAAGATCACAGTCTTCCTCAATCATACTTGGATAAAAGAAATTTACCAGCAATGACTTTGACATCGGGTACTGAGCAACATACTCCTCCGGCATGTCCCTTGCACGCGCACACCCCAACCGACACAGAATCCCTCTCGACAGTGAGCGAAACAAGCGAGATTACCTACCCAGAAGGTGGCCGCGATGCCTGGCTTGTTGTCTTTGGCTCTTGGTGCGGCCTCACTGCCTCTCTGGGCATTTACAACGCCTCTGGTGTTTTCGAAGCCGTGGTATCCAAAGTGCTCCTACCCGACACCGCACCCTCCACCATTGGCTGGATCTTCTCCATATATGCCTTTGTGACCTGGTTATGTGGGGTACAGATTGGGCCAACATTTGACGCGATGGGGCCCCGAGCACTCATGATTGCTGGCTCAGTTTGTACGCTGGGTGGGATATTCGCGCTGAGCTTCTGCACGGGTACGTACGCCTCCCATACATTGAAACATACTTGCGCTCTAACAGAGATACTGCATGTAGAGTACTACCAGATCCTCCTCTCCTTCTCCCTCCTCACAGGGATTGGCTCTTCCCTTCTCATAACGCCCGCCATGGCTTGTGTGGCACACTGGTTCATGGCCCGCCGCGGTCTCGCAAGCGGAATCGCATTTATAGGCAGTGGTTTCGGCGGCGTCCTCTTCCCGCTGATGGTCCAGTCCCTTCTGCCGCAAGTTGGCTGGGTCTGGTCCCTCCGGATCCTGGGGTTTACCCTCCTCGTCCTTTGTGGCTTTGGCGTAGCATTCTGTCGCTCTCGCGTCCCACCCCGCAAAGGGAGCCAGACGACCTGGCGCGATACATTCCCCGACCCGCGCATCTTCCTCGATGGGACGGGGGCTATGGCTGCTACAACTGCGGGGGTTCTATTCACGGATCTCGCGTACTTTATCCCGATCACGTATACGCCGAGCTACTATCTGGATCGCCAGGGCCTTGCTGCGGGGACTGGAACAGATGCAGCACTAACCGGCTCCGCGGCGCTGGCATACCAGCTCCTCGCGATTCTGAACGCATCCTCGTGCCTCGGCCGTCTAGTCGCGGGTCATCTCGCCGACCTCTTCGGTCGCTATAACACGATGATCATCTCGCTGCTCCTCTGTACCCTCTCCATAACATGCCTCTGGCTCCCGGACATCCTCACTCCACCCGCAACCGCAGTCCCAACCCCAACCAAAGGCTCGACTCCGCCACCGCTCTTCACTCTCTTCACGATCCTCTTCGGCTTCTGCAGCGGCTCAAACGTCAGTCTGACACCCATCTGCCTGGGCCAGCTCTGCGACACGCGCGACTACGGGCGGTACTATGCGAGCTGCTATACCGTTGTTGCGTTTGGGATGCTTGGGAGTATACCAGTTGCTGGGGCGTTGTTGGATGCGGTAGATACCGAAGGGAGGGGGAGGTATGTGGGTGTTGCTGGGTTTGCGGCGGCGTGTTACGTGGTTGCTTTGGGGTGTTTTGTTTGGGTTCGTGGAAGTGTCAAGGGGTGGGGAATCAGGGTGAGGTGGTGAGTGATTGGTCTTATGTCTTTCACGCCCCTACGAACGTATGAGGATGGATTCCTAGCACAAGGAATCTCCTCCGATTATCGCGACTGATAAGTTGATTCCGTGGTTGAGAGTGGAAGATTACTGCTTGAAGCTAAAGCAAGCAAACAATGCGATGATTATTGTTTACGATGTACTTATTTTATGGTCCCTTGGAATGGCTAATTTCCTATTTTAAACCTTCTCATCGAGGGGTCTCCTCCAACCCACATTGTACCATATAACCGACGGCTATCCCCGCCCCAGTCTATCCTGCACGTCTATCTCGACCAACTTTCTTTACCAACAATAATTCTCTCCTCCACCAACCGCTCAAACACCCGAAAATACCCATGACCAACCGGATACTCTTCCCTAAACCCCAGACCCCGAATCTTATCCAGGCACATCTCCCGGTCCCTCCCCAAAAAGGTGAAACCTGCCGAAAGCGGAATCCAAGTCTCTGAAAGAATCTCGCGCGGGCGCAGACCATAGTCTTTGCAAATTTTCTTGTAATCGTCCGCGTGCGCAATCCACCACTTGTCAATGTCCTTCCAGCCTTTGTCTTCAGGGCTCGAGCCTTGAGCGGTAAGGTCAAAGTACTCGCGCAACTGTGGCCAGGCAATAGTCCATGGCGCTGGGGTTGGGTTGTCAGCTGTGTTGAATGCTTCCCCATGCGCCTGATCTGGCTTCTCGATCGACAGGTATAGTTCAGAGCGCACAATGATATCCTGCGAGGAGGGTGTGTATGTATGGATGTAATGGTTATACGATCCCGGAAAGACAGCGGTCGCGCCAGGCCCCTTCACGTAGCGGTAGAGCATCAGGTAGAGTGCCAGTGGCTCGACGTATGTCATGTTTGTGGGGAGAGGCACGTGGCCTGGCCCGCAATGTCAGGATGGTCGAACCCAAGAGAAAGAAGATTACTGCTAAGGAGGCGATGTGAACGCCCCAATAATCATATCCGGTCGCACCTCACACCACCTCCACAATTTCCCCTTATTAGCTTGCTTCAGCAGGTCCACCTGTGCGTAGTAGAAGATCTCGTCGCCCCAGGGCGAGGGAATGCGTAGGTTGTCCTCGCGCAGGGGAGGAGTTATCTCGATGTGTTCTTGGAAGCGGAAGACGGCGACTCCGTAGTTCTGCGCTTGATTTGTACAAGTTATCGCCATCTTATTGGAGTGCGTTAGTGGTACGTGCATTCGTCCCAGTCTGAGGCACGAAGAATCTTAGATTCTTGCATAGTTCGTCGACGGCGCGCACGGCGTTGTAGGTCATTCCTACATTGATATCGCGGATTGCCATCACGCCGACCGAGTTGGCGGTTGCGTTCGAGTAGGCTGATATTGTCAGCTAATGTCACGCATCTTGCGGTTGTCTTACCGAGATAATACACATGAGTAACATCCTCGAGGTTCGGGACCGTCTCCTGCAACTTGGCCAACACCTCATCAAGGCTCGCTCGCAGATTTACTCTGGAGTAAAGCTCCAGTCGAGGGTCATGGGGTAATCCACTGCTTTCCAATGGCAATGGACGATTTGTCAAGCCGATTACCCTGGCAAATGTTGTTGCAGTGGGGTAGGTTAGAGCGCATTTGGTGACAGCCCAGCCCGAGATACCGCTGGCTCCGAAGCTCAACGCAACATTCCTTGGTTCAGTCATTGCAATTGTGTGGCCTTCCAGGTACTTCAAGGAGACATCCGGATGTGTGGGGGATGAGGTCCTTATCAGGGTGCTTTGACAGGCGGGGCACATTCAAGTGAAGGTGCCACGGCGGCTTCCCCCTTCCTCTTTACCAGTGCGGTTGGCCTGCTGAGTTAATCCCTGTCTCTGGACCGTGTTTCACACGGTCTGGTAGGGGCTGCATCATCTCGAGCGGTCCAAGCCTGTCGCAGAATCATGATGGTCCAACCATGATTCGGGAAACTGAGTCAGTCATCCCCTAACCAAGGTCCGTGCAAGGCCAAGTACCTGAGCTGTCACGACATGAGCTTACAGTTCATTGTCCCAAATGGATACCTTTACTGTCTATGATTATCTATTGTTATGTTAGTCCGTGCTGTATGATTAACCCAAGGGTTCTTCTGAATGGTTGTCACCAAGTCAAATTCTTCGGCTGCCCCATGGGTCTTCGGGCTCTCGAGTGGCATGTTTTGCAGATATATATCGTGCAACGCGCTTATGCTGCGGCAACTTCCTAGTACCTACATTAGAATAAGAGAACGCTCAAATTGGGTCACTAGCAATTTCGCGAAGTTTTATTCGGCTCTTAAGCTATAATTCGGACGTACATATATTGAACAGTGTCGATAATGCATGGAAATAGGGTTGGTGTCAGTGTTGTCTACTAGGAAAATGATAGAAGCGGAACTTGTAGGAAACATGATACAGTAAATCATTATAGACGCACAACAGGAATTGAAGCTAGAAGAAGTATAGTAACGAAGATTTGGAACCTTTCCACCTCCCTACTTGACTGACAACCTCCTCGTGCGCTGACAAAAGTGCGGAAAATCTCCCGCAATAATATCGAGGCCCGCTTTCAAGGTTCTTGAAGAGACATCCATCATAGTACGAGCTGCCCTGGAGATATCCTGGTCAGAATTGGGTTATATTGGGATACCGATATTCGTCCAGACCATGTATAGGTTATTGTGTTAATAGACAACCAATCAACATTGTACCCTCAAGGTAAAAGGAGCAGATATACCCCAAGCCCCGCCCGTTCTACCTACATTGAGAATCCCAAGTCACATAGGGGGAGGCTTTTCTGACCAACACGAGAATCAGGGACTGCCTGGGCCCTGCATGCGAACTCTGAAGCGCTGGGTGCGGACTGCAACTTGGAACCGGGTTCCGAGCACCTGTTGGAGTTTTATCACAACGCTCGAGCCAGTTATCGATGGAGTCGGATACAAAATTCCCCACACAGTGTGGATGTTCAATATCAGATTGGCCAATAGTCGATCCCTATGCAAATGGTCTCCAATTAAAGCCCATCTATTCTTGGCGATGCCGAGGTTTGTTTTGATGGTTTCGAGGCTGTGTCGCGCTTTCGCCAGGCAACCACAATTCGACCTCATATGTAAATAAACGCGAGGAAGCCCCTGACCAGCGCGCTGGGCTGCCAAAACAGAATATATTTCTATATTTTAACTCCTTCACCCCTCCGTCTTACACACCTTCCAACGCCTGAGCAAGCCAGCAATGCCCGAATTGCCTTATAGAGACTCCGACTCGACCACCAGTGCAGACTCCTCCACCCTCCACGAGATGAATTCCCTCCCTCGCTCTTTCACTGGCGTACGTTCTCATCTTTGTAGTTGCACTTCAGTCACGTCTAAAAAAATAACAAACCACCAGTACGCCGCCGTCCCCCAAAACGACCTCACCGACGAGGAAAAGCTACAACAGCAACAACAAGGCCATGGCCATCGCTACCTAGCCGGCTTCACCTCCAACCCTCTCCCCTCTGAAGCAAGCTTCCAATCACACACACACTGCGAGGCATGCGATGCGTTCCTGGAGCGCCAGCACAAGCGGCGCTTCGCGATCCTGTTAGCGTGGATCGCTGCAATCATGTTTGTGGCGTCTTTGATCTTTGGGCTAGTCCTGGGGATTGTTATTGTCAATGCGAAGAAGGATAGTCCTTATTACCATTAAGGACTAGGTTTTGCATCTTCGGGTGCTTTGTGGTTGATTGGTTTCACAGGAGTTATTGGGTGTGAGTTTTGGGCTGTTTCAATTTTGGCTCATGCAGAAGTCACGGTGCGCAGGGCTGAGCCCCGTTCCGCTCAAGTGTGTATACAGAATGGACTTTGGATATTATATTCATGCGACGAGCAATACTACAATTGGCGCTTGCGATTGCTTTGCTGACCAAGTAGACCCCTCCCACACTGGGGTCCGTCTACTTACCTTGAGCCGGGCGAATACCACTGCGCCCGCTGGTAGCAAAACATCCCAACATGCAGCGTCAGTATCTGAGCTTTGGCGCGGCTGGAGATGTTTAAAGGATGCTCATCAAAACCAGTCCTGTGGTTAGCGACTGCGATACTAGACGGATATGTGCCATTGGCGAATGATACACCGGCCCCAAGAACAACACTACCTGGGGTTGGGGTGCCAATCTACAGGGACTCGCAGACCTCTACCTGTTTCTCAATGTGTCAAAGAAGAGCCCATCATTTGAAAACTCCATATACATAATACCGCCCTCCCCTGGCCTGAAAATGAGAGTACTACCCATCACTATGTACCCCGTTGTCAAATAGTTCCTGCCTGCCCCCCCTTCCTCGCCCCTCCTCCCTCATAGCCCCCTGGTAATGTTTTGCTTCTATTGAAAAAATCATACATCAATCCGTGTGAGGTGCTGGTTGATGTCTACAACAACCTGGACCAGTTGGGAGGGCGGCCGCCCTTTCCCGGCTTAGCATGAGGATCATGCTGTCGTTTACGGTGCTTGTTTAAAGCACTGCGACTCAAAACTCGTCTAAAGCATAGTGGACACTGATAACGTTTCGCGCTTAATGCCCGGTCCGACGACGGCAGCCGTTGTTCACTTGGCGCCCGGAGCATTGTCCGCAGTGAGCTCCGATTTCCCCGGTCGCCTGCCTGCTCTCGTCTAGAGAGGGGCTGGCTTGACAAGGGCAGGGGGGTTTCGTTGGAGCTACAGGAAAAGTCATTAGCGGAAACATATTGGCCGCGCGTGCCGTGGACACTTACTATATGACACTCGGGAGCAGTGTAGGTGAGAGCCGGAGTGAAGCTCAGAGAGGCGGGTTGGTCGCTCATGTGGTCCTCGAGGTAGTCGCAAGCTGCGTGCGACAGTGGATTTGGTAGCACAGGTCGAAGAAGAAAGGCGTCGAATGAAAAGGAGTTGTCGCCCCCGGCGATTAAACCGAATAGCATAGTACAGTGAGGTACTATAAAATGGGGAGGCCTCCAAATCGGCAGTATTAGCAGCGGCTTGGCAGGCCTTTCGGGCAAAGATCAATCAAACGCACTCTGTAGTATATATGCATCTACCTACCCTACTTCTGAACAAGAATGATCCCCTCACCCGCCGATCCGGCAGGCGGCTGATAACAGCGCACATCAGTCAACCCCACATCCGCCAATAGTTCTCTCCACTGCCCCTCTGTCCTCTCTCTCGCCCCCACCTGAAGCATCATCATAGCGCTGATACAAGCTGTGGCGAAATCACAGCCCTTATCGTGGATAATCGCCTCGTTGATGATGAGTCTCGAGTAGCCAGGTTTCATGGCTGCACTGATGTTCGAGAGGATATGGCGGGCCTGCGGGTCGGCCCAGTCATGCAGAATCCAGTGGAGATAGTAGGTTCTTGCTCCTTTTTCCAGTCAAGGGTATTAGAGCGGGTTATTCCTGTATACAAGGGGGTGAAGGAAGAGGGGGATAATAATAAAAATGGGGATATTGTACCTTGAACAGGCTGAGCTGTGAAGAAATCATAGGCCATGAGTTTGGTCTTATCTGGGATATCGGAAACAGTGTCAATTACATGCGGGAGGTCCTGGAGTATCCGCTGACCGGGTGCATGAGGGAACCTGCGGTTGAATGCATGCAGATAGTGGCCTTCTCCGCCGCCGATGTCGACGACTAAGACGGGCTCTGCCTGCTCTTCCTCCTCATCGCCAGACGATGATCCCTGCGTGTTGTGTTCTTCGAACCCGTTTAGAATCAGACCCTCTACATCGAACCAATCCACCCAATTCGGCGACGCCTGCTGCTTCACCGTCATCCAGGCCTGGAAGTCCGCTGCTAATGACGGGTTCTCTACTAGCCAGGCAAAGTAGCCAAGCGACGTGTTCTTGGCAAGCTGGAAGGGGGTCTCTTTTGCGGATGGGGGAAACGCATGTTTATGCTGCCGGAAGTACTCTGGAGCGTAAGTTGTCGTATAGTTTCCTATATCGAAGCTGCGATGCAGATTGTGTGAGATTATATTTGAAGTTGGGAGTACAAGCGCAACTGGGGCAGGGATGGCGTACCATGCCCTTGTCATTGCGATGAATGGAGGTGCTGCCATAATCGCGGTCAACGGCGATGGCTTGAAGGACTGTACACCAGCCTCTAGGATATACCCTGCTGAAGCCAGCACTCGCAGGATCTGGTCTATTTTAGTGTTAGTAACTGTGGGCTCATGGCCTAACGGAGGATACAAACAACGTACCAAGGAGAAGAAAGCTGGCCCCTGACTTTTCGGCAATACTCTCAGTAGTCACTTCCTCACCCTGGCCATCGCAGATCGCTTGGAAGACGCCAAGGTCGACGCCTACACGCATAGCCATGAGGAGAACCGGGCTCAAAACTACATCCTGGATGGCGGTCTCTGGTGGGGGAGTGATTGCGTGTAGGAGGTCTCGTGTGGCTTTTAGGGCTCTGATTCGGGACTCAGGGTTGAGCAACCCTGGGTCCGATTGCACCTTTTGCGTTAGAGCTGCGATCTCGTCTTCGAAAGACTGAGACATTGTTGTGGTAGAGGAGTCAGCGAGTCAATCCGGGGGAAAAAAAAGAACGGTTATATCTGGTAAACCCTCTGCTAAATGGACTCTGCCAGTAAGTCCAGAACACAATCGCAGAGAAACCACGATTAAATCCAACAAGCGAACTACCTGCCGTATTAATATTAATCTAATATTAATCAAATCCATATGGAGGACGTGGGGTCCAAAGAAAAGCCCCACTCGTCCCATTTAATTTAATCTCGATGAAACTAACGAGATTGTCCGGTCCAGGCGCATCGAAGTGCTCGGACCAATTGATCGTACGACAAAGCAGTGCTGTCACTAGACCCTTGTCTAGTAGTCTCTTGAGGCCGCGCTCAGGCTTGCGCAATCTCCTCGCAACAACCGCGGCAGTGAGCACAAGGTGGCTTTTAACGGAAACCCGCCACGGGTCTGCTTCCGGCCTATTTAAGATCCGAATCGCCGATTGTAATGTCTTAATTCTCGGATTGTTCTGCCCTGTCGCTGAACCACTTGCTTCCCATATTGGCCGACCGCGAGAGATGAGCAATTCATTTGGAGGTGTGGACACGGTGGACACCTCGTACTGCGGTGATCGACTCCTTGGCGTCTCGATCGCCATCGCAGTTGTTCAGATCGTTGTAGTCCCTGCCCGGTTTTATACGCGGTATATCCAGCACGTTACGTGCACTCTTGATGATTACCTCATTATTCCTGCCTTGGTGGGTCGCTATCTTTTGGAACCAGTTATGAGTTGTGCTAAGAAATGTGGTTGCGCAGATTGCAAGCCTGGGGCAATCGGCGTTATATATCGTATGTATGTATCCGATATTTCATCAGACATGCCGGAGTCGGGTGGTGACTGACCGTTGTGTGTTGTGGATGGATAGTGCTCCAGGTCGCAGGACTGGGATACCACTTTAAATATATCCAACAAACGCCCGAAAAGCTAATCGCTTTGCAAAAGGTCTCGCTCTCTCCCTTCTCTCCCTCTTTCTGAACCGACTAGCGCCAGGAACACAGCTAAAAAAAGATGTATATGCCTACGTTTAGGGTCTCCTCGCAAACCAAATCCTAGACTTTCCATTCACCGTCACCCCAGCAAAATTGTCAATTCTGCTCTTCTACCTCCGCATCTTCGAAACCCGCTCTTTCAAGATGCTATCCTATATCGTCGGGTCCCTTGTGTTGTGTCACGGAACCGGCGTCTTCTTCGCTGCAATCTTCCAGTGCTGGCCTATACAGTACACGTGGGACAAGAAAATCGTCGGGGGATCGTGTTTCAACCAACAGGCATTTTATCGATATGTATCGCTGCCGAACATCTTGACCGACTTTGTGATTCTGATTATGCCGATGCCGCTTGTTTGGAAGTTGCAGACGAGGTTGACGCACAAGTTGGCACTCACTGGGGTTTTTCTTCTAGGAGGATTGTATGTTCCATCCAATGCCCCTCGTTGCACCTTGCAGGACTCTCCTGGCCTGGGAGGGGAATAATGCACAGTATTTGTGATAGATGGCTGGGGCTAAGACTGACCAATTCTTTATTTCCTTGAAACTAGGGGCCTAGTAACCAGCATCCTGCGCATGGTGATCTTCTTTCAGGAGAGCGCATTGACTGATCCAACCTGTACGTCTGACTCTCTTCCCTCCATCTATCTGGACCTGGGTTCCACTAACAAAAGACCAGGGACCTCAGTTAACCTCGGCATCTGGACCGTGCTCGAAGGAGGGATCATCATTATCGCGGCCTGTCTCCCCTCCATATGGCCGTTGATTGTGCGGTTCCTCCCTAACAAGCTGAGGAGCAAGAACCGCGGTACTTCCGGGGCAGCTTGGGGGAAAACATCCCCGGGGGCAAACCACCTGACCCCGAAACTGAATGGAACTCTGGGCAGCAAGTTTTCTAGGCTTGTAGAGGGTGCGAGTAGAGGCGGGCGGATGGATGGGGCAAGTAACGATGGAGAAGAGTCTATGCACAGTCAAGCAAGAGTGATGCGCGATAATATTTCGCTGAGGAGCCTGAATACGGATCAAAAGGAGGGAGGGACTTGGAAAGATGGGCCCGTTTAGAAAATATACTCGGCCTAAATGTAGCGAAAAAGATCAGTCAAATGGCGGTCGCCGCGATCCATTGTTATATTGGTTCTTCCCTCAGTCCCTTTCCAATTTATCAAGGCACAAATGTTAGAAAACAAAACCAAAATAACTAGACTAATCTAGGTCAACATATGTACTCCGTCAACTCTGAATAACGGGTGAACCACAGACAGAGCAGCAAGATGGAACCAGCAGTAATTTTTAAATAATAAAAAGCGCGCATGGTGGAGGTTTAGATATCAGCAGCGCCAAGCGAGCATATTAGTATTCTTTAAATCTATAGGCTTTTATAACCTTTTTTTAGATATTCTAGCTTTAATTCTATAAATATAGGCATAACTATATAATAAAAAAATAGAGATATTGGTTCCAACCTTTTACCTGTGTTTCCAGTGTGCTGAAGGGGGATAAATTGTCTGCTCGCCTGGCTGGTTTCAACTTACTTCCGGTCCATTCTTCGCGCCTGCCCAGTACACCTTCTTCAGGAGAATCTAAACCGGGCATTCTGCTGGCTCCGGATATTTTGGAGACTTCTGGAGAATAATTGAATGAGTGTCGCCGATCGTGGGGTGAGCATTCTGGCTGTATTCGAGTATTCAAATCTGGTTGTGCCTCCGGAATCATTTTCCTCGATTTGACTTAGAAGCCTTACTAAAAGAAGTGATGTGCAGCGGAAGCAGACTGGAGGGCAGGCAGGTGATGAAGGTCGCTGAAGAGGCAATACTGGTTGCTGTGGAATAGTACAGGTCTGACCTAGCTGCAGGTAAAGAAAGACCTTAGTTTCCACGTATCATGTGATAAGAGAGCTAATGGACCCCATGACATATCCGTGTCATCTCTTGTGTCTCTCCGGTATTGCGGAGGTACGGAAAGAATACATATCTACTAGTCATAGCATATTCCATCTAGTAAGCTGTAATCCAGGGGACCGGGGAAGACATCGCGGTTTGTAATTCAACTAGTTTGTGTCACCAAGCAGCTGGTTGGTTTAGTGCGTGTTAGTCCAAAATAGTATGTCTCAGACTGCGCAATAGCAATGGGATAAGGGGGTATCAATAAGGAATACACGTACGGGATATTTAAAACTATGGGCAATATATCAAAAACCTTCAGAGTATGCATGCTGAAAGCTATCTAACCCGCTCAACGCTCGGTGCATAGCCATCTTCTGTTGAAGAGCACGCCACCCGTTTCAGAAGCACATGATGTCGAGGAGCAGATCCGCTTGACGGACGACGCATGGGTTGCACTGGGTAAACCGGAACGCGAGATTGGCGTGAAGTGGTGGAAGGCCATATACAAGGATCAGCTCGAAGTGGTTTCAACAAGAGCTCGAGCGTTCATTAGTGCGTGGTGCAATGAAATGGCCAAGTACTGGGCCACTCGCACGGGGGATACCGCGAGGGAAGTGATGCAGGCAGTGAGCACGTTGAATAGTTCGATGACGGACATCAACCAAACCGTCTGGTGTATTAACTGGGTGTGTTCACCAATCCAGTGAAAGAAGCCGATATAATGAAGCTCCTATGCATAACACTGCCCCTTATAGTTTATATAGTTATAATCCATGACAGTTGTGTAGCCCCGTTGTGAAAAACTCGATGACCGGAGTCATATCACGAGAGCGATCACCCAAGCCCTTCTGGATGCCCTCCACCTGGCCAAGCCCCCTCTGCCGTAGTACTTTCGCGAGGCTTCTAGAGAGCTCAGCGTAGATCCCAGGGCACGAAACCTTGGCAGGACAGATGTATTACTAAGCTAGGCGACTTTCTTCCACCCCGCAGCGTCTCTCCAAACATGACCTCCTTTTGACCGCTCCTGCTACTAATCATTTCCGTCATACCATGATGTCCGTCAAGTCCCAACTGGAGAAGCTCGCCAGCAAGGTCGAAAGAGCTGGAGTCCCCTGGGGCCTGGCAATCTATCGCACAACTTACACGCCTTTTTCCAACACTCACTTTGCCAACGGTATTAAGCTCATCACCGCGCTCGCTAAATATAGTGTGCAGAAGTTCGAAGACGCGTCTCCCAATGACTCTAGAAATGAGACTGCGAAATTATTCCTCCAAGAGAGATATGAACCAATAATCATGAACAATAAGTTTGAATTTGACGGGATGTCCCTCGACCAGATCCGTGCCCACCACCAAGCCCTGGTTGAACGCCCTGTTGGAGAGCGATTAATCACTAACGAGTGGTTCTGTGTACTTGTGGATGAAGAGGTCATGCAGACATTGGCTGGTGCTGACCCGGCCACCCTTATCACGACGCAGAACATTTCGGATGACTACAACAAATACTGGCTTACGGCGGTGGAGTCCGACCCGGAGGATGAGGATGACAAAGGGTGGATGAAATGCTCAGTTTATGGGGTCTGGAATTTGTGGGTTGATATGGACGGGCACACGCCAATGAGTTCCTACGAGGCGCTCTACCCCCGGGGCCCCTATCTCGGTTAAGCTAGGGTTGGATCTGTGACCTGGACAGCCAGAATCTCGCATGACGGTGTGCCCTCGAATGTATGCAAGAGCTTAGAGCCCGTCTACATGTCTGCGGGGCTCTTCGCAGGGCGGAGAAGCAGCTACGTACCAAGCGAAAGACGCGATTTGATAGATAAAGGGATCAGAGTGTGAATATGTAACTGCGAAGTCTTTGTTGATTCTGGGGCATCTCGGAAGACTCTGATCTAGTGCAATAGTGGTTGAGAACAGGCGGGTGTAGCTTATCGCAGGCCAAGGGGCTGGACAACTGTAGTTCTTGTCACATTTACTCGTTACTCGGGTCATTATCCCAATGGTCAATTGTTTTATTCATCTGTACGATTCCGAAAATTCACCATTAGTTCTCACTTTTCACCCCCTTCAATTCGTGTAGCTCCACCATATGCATTCCGTCCCAGCTAGACCACGACTCAGGTACGCGCCGCAACCTAAAGCTAAGCAGCTTTGGAAACTCCGTGAAATTTTCCGACGAGTGCTCGCGAACCGGGTCGCGAAAGCTTTTATCGAAATTAGTCTCCCCCAATGCATCGAGGATAAGCCCCGACTCGAAGAAGGGAGCGAAGAGCAGCTGGAAGGGACGATGGTACATGTTCATCTCGCGGATATAAATCAAGTCGAATTGTTCCGAGTCATACGTCCACGGAAAAGTCACATTATCTGTCTCGAATTGACAGTTCGGGGGGACAAGCGTAGGTTGAATGGGCGAGAGGTCTGCCCCTATAACTCGAGCAGCTGGAAATTTATCACCAACGTCTCTAAAATATATTAGCACCAGGATACGCAAAGCGACTTCCACATATATGGCCCAGCTCCCAGTGCCTGTCCCTACATCGAGGATAGCCTATCTAAATCAGCCTCTAGAAAATAACAGCAAGAATCTTGATTACCTGTGGGTTAATGACTGGTGCTAGAAAGAGACGATCCTCGAAGGTTATATTGTACATGTGATGCGCTAATCTTTGTGCCTCTATGCCTGATCATCATTCGGGCCCTAAGCAAAAGAGGTTAGGTATAAACTCTAGACTAGGGCCCATCTTACTAAACGAAATAGCTACAAACCCAGTATGCACCATGATGCAAAGCATGGTAGCATCGCCCATTCTCAAAGCGGCGATAATCAAATACTGAAGGTGACAAGCTCTGGGTCGAATCTTCAGGGCTACCAGAATATGCAGAATTGTTATCATCAAGGTGTTCTTCCGGTAACTCACGAAGAGTAGTAGAAAAATCCGGTGTGGACTGGCCTGACAATGCTTCGAGGACGGACATCGACCAAACTGGCCTGGGGTATTAGCTCTGCCAATCTACATAGTATAGGCACTGGCAACGATAGAGATGCAGAAGTTTCATTGAACTGACCTCTTTAGAATAGAGAGAAGCGCTGTAGTTGCCACAGTGGTGGTAGAATCTGAAATTTCGTCTTATTGATAGGGAAGTCAAGCCCTCCTTGACCCCTTAAGCAGCATTTCCTTGATCCAGCATTCTCATGCCTGCTGGCCCCGAGCGACGCCTTGGTATGGAGCCTTACAGTGGGTGATCACCTGACCCCTGATTTCTCCTTACTGTTTTTTTTATAAAAAAAAAACCAAATCTCAAGCACTTATATCTTAACTAATATGTCTTCAATTAAAGTATTAAATTACTTCATATTTAATATTACTGGTGGTGATGGATCGGGCGTCGGGTGATCACCCCACTGTGCCAAGCCTGGCGATTTTTGTCCAGCCGCCCATGGTGCCTCCAACTTGGCTTCCTCTTTACCCCTCCCCTTGTCTTTTACATCCATTACAGTGACAATCATTTCCACTCTGACCGGGCTGGCCAGGGACGTTGAGAAGAACAATGTACCCTGGGGCTTGGCGATCTATCGCACAACATACACTCCTTTTTCCAACACACACTTTCCAGAGATCCTTGAGCTTATTACCACCCTCACTAAATATAGTGTACGTGTATATGAAGATACGACTCCACATACCCCCAACAAGGATGCTGCCAAATCTATACTCCAAGAGAGATACAGCCCTATTATTATGAATAACAAGCTAGAATTCAACGGGATGACACTTGATGCCATCCGCGCCCACCATCAAGCCTTGGTTGAGCAGCCTGCTAGAGAGCAACCCCTTACCAACGAGTGGTTCTGTGTGCTTGTCGACGAGGAGGTTGTGCAGACACTGGCTGGGGCAGACCCGGCAGCCCTTATTGCCACTCAAAACAGCTTGCATGATGCCAACAAGTATTGGGTAAAGGTTGTCGAGTCGGACCCGGACGAGAGTGACAAGGGTTGGATGAAATGCTCAGTTTATGCCCTCTGGGATTTGTGGGTTGATATGGATGGACTCACGCCGATGGCTGGATATGAGGACCTCCATGGCTGGGGGGTCTATGGCGGCTGAGCTGGGCCTGCCATCTAGTCACGAGCTTGCATGCTTAGCTTTGGCAAATATAGTGAGTTGGCTGTGAGGCGGAAATCGTATGCTTTTTGGTGGCAAACTGCCTTATGTTCTTTAACCAATGCTCTCTCTTACTACCCAAGGAGAATGCCGCTTGTCACGCACGACATCCAATGTTCGTTGATGTCTCTGGTATCTGCTAGGAGCCTGCGTTACAACGCTTGATGTATATAACCCAGTTACTGGCTCAGAAATTGTGCCAGTAATATCTTGCGTTTTATTACTATTCATTTAACAGGGTTGCCATATAACACCCTCTCACAATTCATGATTCCATCACTCTGCCACTGGTAGTCCTACCCTGAGACCTAGCATCGCTGTATCACCAGCCACCCACCCTGATAAGAGCATATAGTGGTTATCATCGTGGTCCACCTTTTCCAACCCATGAAAAAAAAACGTCAATCCAATCAGCCAGTAAAAGGACCATCATTCATGGCATTCCAAGATGACATTCCCGTTATGGCATCCATATCAGCCCACAAGGTCCACAGCCGGTAAGTAGAACACTTCATCCACCCTGCATCATCTTCCTCTGCTGGACCCGTCTCCACCACCTTGACCCAGTATGCAGTTTTCTTGGCGACGAATGTTCCCCTGGCACTCAGGGCAAGCAGCTGCTCCTTCTCAGCCGTAGCCAGATGCTCAACGAGTTCATCATCGATAACAACGCAGAAGGTCTCGTTCGTCAAGGGTCGCCCCCTCTCCTCTTCCGCGGGGACAGCTTCGAGATACTGCTGGTAGTGCAAACGTACGTCATCGAGAGACATCCCATTCAAAAGAGCCTTGTCCTCATGCACGAGGGCCTTGTAAGACTGCACTCTTGTCGGCTTCTCTCTTTCGGAGGTGCCATTGGAATCCCTATAGCGGCGCACATCCTCCTTAATGAGTAGTTCAATGAACTCCATTATCTTGGCAAAGTGGGCGTCGGAGAGCGGAGTGTAAGTCGTGCGGTAGATAATACACCCCTAGTATGCGCTGGTTTGCTGGACGTCGGTGGTGAAGGTCGAGCAAGGGCCGGAAAGACATGTTCAGGTAGTACATTAGGGAAGAGGGTTGAACAGGAAATTGACGCTTGCCAATTGGCAGGCGAGTACGGAGGCCTATCGGGACAAATCTGCAAAAACGAAATTTTGGTGTTTCGCGCTAGGATTCTGCCAGCAAAACTTCATTAGAACTAGCTAATTACGTACACAAATGACTTGCTTAGTTTCACTAAATGGTTACTTGTCTCGAGCACCAACGTAGAGGTGCAAGTCTCGCTCAAGTGTTGTACACAGGGCCCGTATAACTAGGTAAAGAGAAATCCACGTACCTGATTATACTTACCAAGCCAGTTTAATTCATTGAAAAGTAAAGATAGAATAAAATAAGGTACGTACCTTAGAGGATAATTAGATTACCCTCTTCACCCTTATCTAGATCTAAGTTAATTAGATTTTCCTCACTATCGCCCTCCTCTGGGTCTAAGTTAATTAGACCAGGACGGTGTCCTTGAATCCCCCTAGGTTGACTACTAATTATAGGTTGTACATGACCGCCAGCCTAACCTTAAAGGGAGCACTAGAGTGCCTTATCTTGCTATTTATAGTTAGCGTAGCAGCCCTCGAAGAAGCCTGGAACCTAGCGACATTTAGGGAAGATAGTCTAACCTACACGTTCCTAGTAGAATGTATAAGACTAAGCACAGACTATCCCCCTTGACTAGATAAGCAAGGCGTTGATGTACGAGTCTCTCTTACCATGGATCTAATAAGTATTGACCCTACTAGGGGTAAAAGCCATACCGCGACCTAGAAGGTCCAGCAAGCGCCTCTATACATTATTTTTCACGTACTCTACAAGAAGATGACCCTAGACGGGGAGGATAGGGTCCTAATTCACTAGAGTGCTAGTATATAGGCGAATAAAAAGCATCTCTAGCTCCACCAGGCTCATGGGGCGATTAGTGGGCACGTTAATAGTATTTATATTTAAATAAAGACTATAGGCTTTGTACGAGACGCTTAAAACTCATGAGGAATCGCTCGTTTCATATAAAAATAGGTTAGCAGAGGCTTTAAGAGGTAGAGAAGGTATTAGAGATAGGATAAGCTCGTACACCATAGTAATAATAATAGTAGTGTTAATAATAAGGAAGATGTAGAAGAAAAGTAAGATAAAAGGTAAGAAGTTCTAAAAGGGCTTCTACTTTGTGTTATTACTTAGTCATAGGTGAATTAGTGATAGAAAATTAGTAATAGAATACTAAAGGCAAGCCACCTTACTAAGCTACGTACATGGCTATGAAGAAGTTTATTCACTTTCTCTTTAGGTACAAAGCAAAACAAGTTTAAAAGTAATTTAAGTAAGTATTAAAGCCCTCTATACAAGCCATTAATTCCTCTAATAATCGAGCGTTAAAGCTCGTAGACAGTTAATAGTCAAGCGTTAAAGCTTGCTGTACGAGCTATTAATTCCTCTAACAATCGAGCATTGAAGCTCGCAGATAGTTAATGATTAAGCATTAAAGCTCGCCGTACGAGCCATTAATTCCTCTAACAATCGAGCGTTGAAGCTCGCAGATAGTTGATAGTCAAGCGTTAAAGCTCGCCATACGAGCCATCTCCTAGTTTAAATCTTCACGCTTAGCTAGGATTAGGATCCTAAACTCTATAGAGCACTTAATATCCTCTAGTTAAATAATATGATGCTTTCTTATATAATAAGTAACCCCATCCTTCTTCTTAAGAGGAGTAGATTAGATATTTATATTCTTCTCTTCCTCTTTAATCTTTAGCTCCTCCTTTAGCTACTTATTTAGCTCTTCTTTAAGAGCTACTAAGAATGATTACTTTTTAGTTACTATTTATACACCTAGTATTAGCTTAGCCTGAGGCTCTTACTTAATCTTTAGCTATACCCTAGGCTCTAATATAGGCTATTATATAGTAGGTTGCTTCTTTGCTTTAGGCTTTACCTTAGTCTTAACCTCCTTTTTCTTTGGACTCTCGGGCTCTTCATTTTATTAGCAAGTATCCTCTACTATTATACGTTTAATAATAATGTAGATAGTAAGCTATTTATCCTTCTTAGTATATGCCTTATATAGAGCCAATATATCTCGGGTTGTTTATGGGATATTAGACGATTAAGGTAGATAGATTAGTGTAAGGTTTTACTTAATAGTATAGGCAAGAGAGAGCTTATTAGATAGCTTAATCTTAAATATATTAACCTTATACTTAGTAAGGAGACAGGCTAAAATAAAGTCATTATATAAGTAGATAGAGTGAGGATATATAGTTATTCCTATAGTACCTAAAGATAATTAGGTTAGTATATATATATATATGAATAGATTAAGCTTAAAGCTTAAATATATAAACTTTAGTATAGGATATAGGCTTTAAAATACTATCTATCCACTTCTAATATAGAACCTAAAACTCTAGCTTAATCCATGTCCCTAGTATCCTCTCAAGAAGTTTTTTATTTATTCGAGTAATTAAATTATTCTAGTAGGTCTCCGCCGTACGATTAAGCTAGGAGAATTAGGTATTTAACTACGTACGAGTCAGGGATCAAGCTGGGGATGGTGTAGGCTGTGGAGGGGTAAAGACTTAATTTACTACTAAAGGACTTGAGGGAGTAGATAAGCAGAGATTAATAATTAAGATCTCATGGCTTCATATGGGGCTTGGTGAAGCAATTCGTGGGTATATAGTGATTATACGTGAGGTAGTAGCAAGGCATGAGGCACATAATAATACATCACCATGTTCGTGGCTAGTTTATGGGTAGAATCGTAATAATAGTATTATATAAGAAGTTTTTGTAGTTTTATTTTTTTTTACTAAAATCTTAGAGATAGGAATATTATAATTCTAAAGTAGTAGTTAAGAATTTTCTTTATATAACGCTAAATTCCTTAGTCTATCCTATTCTTCCTAATCATACTCCACTTTAACCTCCTCAATTCTATCTTCCCTAGCCGTACGAGCCTATGGAACCCAATCAAAAGCACTAGTTAGTGGCTAATATAGTATAAGATATAGTTAAACTCCTTATTAAATATAGGCCTGGGTCCGGGCACGAAGCTAAAGGTATATTATATGGAATAGGATAAAGGCATGGTCCCTAGCATCCTTTAGAGGGTCTTTAGGATTAAATCCTAGCTCTAATAATTAGGTACGAGTCCAATTATAAGTCTCTAGAGGGAGATATTTATTAATATCTATAAGATATTAGTAAATATATAATATAATATAAGTATTTATACTTACCCTATTCTTATACATCACTTTGAAGGGTTTGAAAGAGATCTCTATTAAAGAGAAGCCCATGATTTTGTATACCATAAGGTGGAAAGTTATATAGTATATATAGCTTGCCTGGTATAAGGTGTGAGCGATTATTTTGCTTTTAAATTATATAGATATTCCATGTCTATACAAAGGAGTTGATCTAAATCCAGAGGAGAGGCATATAAACTATATATAATATAATTTAGTTAGAGAGATTACTATTTAAGTAGTTTCCCTCTACTAAAAGGCCTTGGAAATAAGCCTAATATCTTATTAGTATATTATATGAAGTAGATCTACTAGTACTTACCTAATATTAAAAGAGGAGCCCACGGGTTAATTAAAGCCACCATGCTTTAATTCATTAATTTATAGTACTTGTACCATATAAATAACACTCCTAAATTATAATCTTAGGGTGAAGGGATTATTAAAGTCTATGCTATGCTTTAGCAAGTAGGATAGTCTCCATGCCTTGATTAGATCATATGAAGCGAGGCTGTTATTAAGTAACCTTAAGTGTATCTAAGAACTGTCGAAGTACACTTATAGCCGTGCGAGCAGATATACTAATATAGACCCATATAATATAGCGAGAATATGCATTAATAGCGCCATATATCTTAATACCGTACAGCGCCAGCTTTAGGTAGCCATTAATTAACCAGATAAAATTTAGCCTAGGTACAATATATACTCCTTAATGGCGTTGAAGGTTATGTAGTCGTCTTTGTACAGCCTCTAGTGCAAGCTCTTGATATATTAAATATAGCTGATCTCTAAAGGGGACTTAGTATGCATGTAATTACATATATATTATTAAATATACCTTGCAATTTGAAACCCATTACTTTAAAAATAGTAATAAAGCATTCATCAACCATAGCCCTTAAGCTAACTATTTAAAATCTCTATACAAAGCTTTTCAAGGACCTTCTCAACCTATTATTACTCAAGAATTAGGTTAGTTGTATATTATAGGAGTCCTAGTTTATATCATACATATTTATATGTACGAGGGGAGAGTTAGAAGCCTTCACGCTAAAGAATATCTATGATTTCTACCTTATTAAGGCCAACCTGATACATAAGAACCTTAATACAAGCATGAAGAGCAAGGTCCTTTATTACTATACAATTCTACTTTTTAACACCCCATCTACTTAGGCGAGCCCGAATTGTACGCTCACTAATTTCAAGGTTATATTAGTTTGCGAGAATCTTAATAATGGAGCTTATAGATGAGCTAGTTTAGTAAAGATTTAATATCTGGTCACGATATAGCTTAAGATTAATTATTAGACGAGGCATCTTGATAAAGGTGGTGTACGAAGAAGTAAGGAATAATTTTAGGAGATTTATTTATGTTATTAAGAAGGGCGGATTGTAAGGCGGTAAACACCAAAATTTCGTTTTTGCAGATTTGTCCCGATAGGCCTCCGTAGGCGAGCTTACTAAGCTACGCGACTTTCGTTTGGTTGCCAGCGCCTGCTCAAACTTTTGACTCCTTTTTACCCCTCACACTGCTCATTACCGACATCAATCATAATGTCCTTCTCCCCGCTGGTCAAGCTCGCAAGGAAAGTTGAACGGGCTGAAGTCCCTTGGGGCTTCGTGATCTATCGCACAACCTACACCCCCTTTTCTGACACCTACTTTACTGAAATTGTTCAGCTCCTTACTAGCCTTGCTAAATACAGTGTATGCAAATGGAAAGATTGGAATCCTAATAACCCCGCAAAACTTTCTGCCAAAACTACCCTACAAGAGACATACAAACCAATTATCATGGATAACAAGTCTGAATTTGATGGGATAACCCTGGACGCCATCCGTGCCCACCATCAAGCCTTAATTAAGCAGCCTGTTGGAAGCAGAGAGCGACCTATTACCAACGAGTGGTGCTGTCTGCTTGTCGACGAAGAGGTTGTGCAGACACTAGCTGGGGCAGACCCAGCTGCCCTTATTGCCACCCAAAACATTGTCGAGGACTACGATAATCATTGGGTCAAGGCCGTTGAGTCAGACCCCGAAGACGAAGATGACAAGGGCTGGATGAAGTGCTCGGTTTTTGCTCTCTGGAATCTATGGATTGATATGGACGGCGACAGGCCGATGAGATCGTTTGAGGCGCTCTACACCCGGGGACCTTATTGTGGCTGAATTCGGGTAAATGGAATCGGGCATCAATGGCCTCGCTCTGGAGGAATAGATGATGAATGGCTAGGTTGATCTACGTGATTCCAGCACGAGACGTGGATTATGGAAGCCTCAGTAGAAAGGTGTTACTAAAACGACCACCGCCTGGGCTTGGGGTTTTGCTTCAAGTTAACCATAACCAATTCCCTCGGAGGCTTCTGAACGTACAGGAGAGATCCACCCCACCTCCGGGTCACGGGTAGTCGGGTCATTCTATTCACTTGCTGGTTCGAGACGGCCATGTATTTCGGTTTATACTTTTTTATCAAAATGATGTGACGATAATCCTTGTCAGATACGACCTTTTGAATGATATATGCACAAAATTTCTCGCTGCCAGCGAGGATCGAGGAATTAGGGTGTATTGAAGTTTGATCTTTGTTAGCAACAGGCAACATGTTGACAATATACATTCCAGATATTTATATCAGCACACAAGACAATCAGCCTGCCATAATGGAGGGAATAAATCCACATATAGATGATCATAGCCAACGCCCGAGTTATGGGAAGGATCTTAATAAATAAATTGGTGCTATATATAAATAAACACCCGGGCATTGCAACAAACTACGACCAGGGACAGCGAGGAAAACCCACAAGTGGAAAATGCCAAGAAGAAGAACCCAGCGTGTCCTCAAGTGAGATCGCAAAAAGTGGTGTCATTGACAACATCCCCAAGCCAGCGCTACGGGGACCCATCTGCCCCGTTTGCAATACAAACGACGGGAAACCTGTGGATGTACTTGGATTATTATACGTAATTCGCTCACTTGGTTGCTTGCTTGTTCACTGTTGGCAACCTCGGCGGGGCGACACCCTGAATGTACCTGCTCTAACCACTGCGCACAGACAGGGTCAGGATCATCAACCGTTCTTATCCGTGTGATGCGTCACAGATGCAGATCTGATGGGTGCAAAAGGCAATGACTTCGCCGGGCATGCTGAAGACTTGCGCGTTCAGGGCAGCGGAAGATAAGGCCCTTGTCGAGTCTATCCAAGGCGTCTCCTCCGACATAATTCAGGAGTCCATTAACGATTCTATATACTTCCGCATCAGGGCTAGAAAGGCCCTTAACAACCTTGTGCAGGATCCGGCGGGATAAGCTACCCACCCTATAGTCCTTCTTGGGAGTGCACTTGTGAGTAACGAGATGCGTTTTCCTCCGTCTTAAAACAACACTCCTGACAGACACTAAAAGCTTAACTAGGCTTTTGGTGCAAAATTTGAAGTTCTCACGGCGCATAAAGAGGGACTCAAGACTCTCGTGTCAATGATGGGCGGTCTAGATGACCTCGAGCAATTGGTGTTGTCTATGATATATCAGTAGCTACCCTCTCAGCTCTTTGTATTCATCACTGCGGCTAACTTCCCTTTGGGGTGCCCTTATACTAGTAGTGCTTTAGAACACTGAATCCATTTTCCCGATGCTGTAAAAGTTCCGTCATGGGATTTCCCATGCATCGAAAATAGTTGGCGGGGAGGGAATCCCGTACAAGGAGTGCATGATCCCTACATCATTATCGTCTCTTGGCATTCGCTTCACCACTGGGGCCCTTGGCATGCACAGCTCCATCCAACGCTAAAGTCCCTCCTCGAAGCGTTTCGACGTCTGACTCAAAATTTCGAGATGGGAACTCTCTTCCCCGAAGTCGCTGCGCCCACAGACAATGACCTTTTTGTCATAATTCAGCACCAACTTCTATCTACCCATTACAGCCACACGACTAGTAATGAAATCGAAAAAGGCCGGCGCCGCCATCACCCCAACGTAAATGAACCTCTCCGCCTCTCCCTGATCATTTAGCTCTACACACGCGTCTCGGACTTCCAGAACCTACCAATAATGCGCTGCATGCTCCAGACCTTCAAACAGAGCCTCGAGGTAGCGCTGTTGTGGATGTCTTTATCATCCTTCCATGCAACAGCACCAAACCTGCTCTTCTGGCTCCTCTTCATCGGCGGAATGGCCTCACAGGGACATAGCTCGCACTCCTGGTTCGTGGGCCATCTCACGCATGTCGCGGGTATTCTAGCCCTGGAGAATTGGACGACGGAGGTGCGGCCCCTGATGGGCGAGATTTTCTACATGGACAGGCCGGCGCATACGGGGGCGGAGGACCTGTGGAGTGAGGTGACGCTTCTGTCGAGTTCGTACCGGTATATAGCGCCTAAGCCGCGGCTTATTGTCCTTCAAATGGCTTGAGCGTGTTGACGACTGCGGAACGGAGCGGAATAAACACGCTTTTCATGGCATAGTGGACAGTTAAATAGTTACAGAAGTTTAACGCGTGTGAAATGGATAAAGGGTGACGAGAAGACTGCCCAGGAATTACGTTAATTAAGCCCATATTGGATATCTTCCTCTCCCGTGGAGGTTGGTTCTGAACCTTCAGCGTAATTCTACTATTCAATCCTGGAATTAGGCTACCACAACCGACAATTTTAATCCTCATTAGTACCGTTCCCACTACTCTCAACCCTTAGAAAAGCCAAGGACCTTATACCCTTGTAGGTAATATTATTTTTTAAGTGCTTACCACTCTTACCTATAGTAGCCTATACTTTAGCGCCTGTTACGTACAAACCGGTAATATTCCTGGGGATTATTTAACTTCTAGCCATGTTTACCAGTGTGGCTTTGCATTGGTAAGTGGACGGGTAGCCCTGTTCTCAACACCCTCTCGTCGAATCTACCAAAAAACGCCTGTGCTACAACCTATAGATCCCCGTCTCTGCTCTCTTGGAGATGTGCAGCATTCATATCAGGCATGATGACAGTGTGGCGTGTCATCTCCTCCAGAGCTCAAAGTTTAGAAGCTCGTGCCCGAACAAGGACGCGCAGAGCAAAATTTGGAAAGTAGAGTGGGTCGAAATCGAAGTCATTCAACACCAGAACTTCCGTTAACCGACCACGTGCAACTCTTGGAATCGAGACGTTTTATATCTCAGCGCTATCCACCATAGCCCATCGCGCCTTCAACCGCTGGTATGCCTTCCGCATGGACCACGCCCGTATATCACTGGTCATGCTGATTATCCCCACTAGTGAATCCCTGTCCTCTTGATCCGTGAAATATTCTCCGTACAAGGTAATCGCAATAACGGCATTGACTAATGCGGGTTGGATCTGGCGATGGCACAGAGCAATTCCGCATATCTCTAGGACGATCGATCGGACCTCTGCTTCGGCTTTTCGATGGGTTGCTCGATTGGCGGTCCTAAAGAATCCCCCGCAGTCAGAAGAGAAAGGAATAGACATAGTTTTCGGATACTGTCGAGACGCACTCAAGCTGCGGGTTCTCCGCGGTCAGGATCAGTTGGGCGAGTCGGAGATGCTGGATCGCTGTCACTTGGACGTCGAAGCTGTACCAAATCGTCGGAAAGACCTCGCCGATTGATTTCTTTGGTTTGAGATCCAGGAGAGGCTTCAACTCTTCCGAGGAATTATGGAGCAGCAGCTGTTCTTGGCCTTTGAGACGCCCTTCAAAGTTGAAGTGAGGATGTTAGCCAACAACCGCCAGATAAGTATGTTCTTTGGGTTTGGGGCCATTCTCACACCACTGTTCCGATGACTTCTCAGTCCAGCACCATGTGGCAACCTGTCCAGCAAACAGAATCATATCATCCGCGATGGAAGCATTTGGCCAACGATCCGAGTCGAAACGCAAATGCGGAACAGTCTCTCTCGTCAAGGCATAGTATGTTTCCTGCCGGATGGTGATCCAATAACAGGCACGTGCAAGTGAAGAACGAATTGGAGATGTGCTCATCGCGTCAATGATCGTCTGCGTGATGCCCAAGAAATTGACCCGTTCGAAGGAATGATGATGGGTCTCAGTCCTCATGTCATCTCCATCATCATCGACATCCTCTTCGATTTCCTCATACTGGCGCAGTATGACGGTCGCTGCCATGATATTCTCCTGCTCGACGGGATCCTGGATCTTGGGGAACTCGATCAGGTCCGGGATGCATTTTAGCATGTACTCCAGAGCGGTAGATTCTTTGAGCTCGTGGAGCAATTGGCCGCAGTATACAATACCACGATCGGTGCGGTACTGTGGAAGACGGTAGAGGCGACGAGAGGATGCTGCGAAAATGGCGTTTTGGAGAGTGGGACAGTGCTGTGCCCGACGGGGAACCACGAGTTGGAAATGCCGTTGCTCGTCGCAATGGTCAAACTGTGTCATGTTATTCTCATCCTCAACTGATAGAAAGAGTTATCCTACCCATGCCGACAATTCTTCAATAAAGTACCGTAGCAAGCAGGATTCTTGGATGTGATCAAACGCTGTAGGGGCCTCGCCGGGGGATCGCGCAGGGGGACGACGGGCCTCAATTCCATTCGCCCTGGGAGAAATTTGATCCAGGGAGCAAATCACTTGTCCAAGGTTAGTTTGATCCTTTGTGCTGTAGCCCGCGGATTCCGTTGGCACAGTATTGTACGGAGCACTGTGGAAGCTGGTTGGTAGAGATGCCGGAGAGGAAAAGTTCAGTGCTTCAGTGGCCGCAGGCGATTCTCCTTGCGTTTGATGAGGGACGGCAATATGAGTAGTATCAACTGCATTGTAAACGGTGCTATTACCCGCCCCCATTGACTCAGCCTCAAGGGGTGAAGAAGCATGAAATAGTGTCCGGCTTCCCACAGCCGGTTCGACGTCTATGGGCGCACGAGGTATCCGATCTCGATCTCCGCCTGAGCCAAGTGGCGAGCATACTGCAGGCGGCGATGCATTCGCAGTCACAGTTCGCTTTGGTGACCTCCAACCCCTTGGCTTGCAGTTGACCCATGTCTGACTCCCCGGAATACCGGCTTCAAGTTGTGTAGATCCACGGTGATAGAATCTGTTCTTAGGCGCAGGATTGCACTCAAGTCCCTTGACCTCACATCGTTTGCAGACCGGGCGTCGCTTATCACCTGTATATAAGATTCGTTAGCATACTTAACTCCTAGGGCGAGGCTAAGGGCCGTCTGCTACATTTCTGGTGACTTGCTGTACGTATCCTGTTAGCCAACACACACACAGATCTAGGCCTTGAAGGGGAACGATGGCATTACCTCGGCAGTTCAGGCACGGGGTTTGCGCCGGAATGGTACTTGGCGACATGTCTCGCTGCAGAGATGTCGACTGCAACCCTCATCAGAGCGGACGACTGTAGTGTGTTGCAGGGAAACGGTCGGGCGGCAGCATCAAATGGAAACCGTTGGGCCCGGGGTTCCGCAAGCTTGCCCCGCGCAGTTTGGCTGGAGAACCCGCATCCAGGTCCCGAGTCCGAACTCGGACATCCTCCGGCCAGTCGTTTGCTTGACTCCACATCGTTGGTGGCTGGTGTCCAGTACTCCGTAGAAGATAATGCACAAGGGTAATTTGGTTTGATTCGGGCTGTCTACACTAATTGTGACGCATACCCGCAAAGCCTAAATTATCTGGTGGCAGTGACGCGTGACCGTAGAATAGAGTTCGCCTTGTGGGGACAACAAATTGGAGTGAATCACAGTGATGACGCTCTGGTGAGAAGGATCTTGGTGGTTATCAAAGTGGTTTAGCGAGATCGAGATTTTTTATCGTAGCTGGAGGTCCTTCGCTCCTTCCCCAACAATACAAAGGCAAAATCTCTGTCTCGAGCCAAGTCACCCATTGTGAGTCCCACTTATTCTTGGCAACTACGAGTTTACTGCGAAAATACTGCATCTGAGAAGTCGATTTGGATCTGCAGCTCTCAAAGAGGGTACAATCTACCCAAATGAGTATTGAAGCATAAACGGGAACTTGTATACCATCTGGTCAATTCAAGTATGTGGAGCACCTGGGCTAGTGGAAAGCATTCAATGTGCTCTCAACCAACGGAAGTGAACAACAAATCACGTTAGACCTTCTGTCCACCCGCCACAATTCCCTGGCTCACTGTCTCAATAGCAGTTCTCATGAGCTCTCGCTCGTACAGCTCTTGGCCATCCCCGAACTCCTCATCCATTTCCTCAAGTGTCTTCCCTTTTGTCTCCGGGACCAAGAGGAATGCCCAAACGCCCGCTAAGAAACACCAAACCGTGAAAAAGATGTACGTTCGATACCCCTGCGTCTCCATCATAGGGGGTGTAGCGACTCCGATGACGAAATTGGACAGCCAATTGATGCAGGTTGCCAGCGCCACGCCCTTGGATCTCGACGCCGTGGTGTACACCTCCGAGGGGAGCGTCCAGCCCAAGGGTGAGTACGAGACGCCGAAGATGAGGATGAACAAGAAGGCAAATGCAACGCACGCCCACCCGGCATCCGTATGGTTAAGCCAGTCGTCCTCGAAGAGCCCGCTCAGGACGGCGATGACGAGGTAGCAGGTCGCGCAGCCAAACCCACCGAACATGGCGAGCGGACGACGACCGACGCGGTCGATGGTCACAACGCAAATGAAGACGCCCACAAGCTGCAGGACGTTGAAGACACCAGACAGGATCAGCGACATCTCATCGTCCTGACCAAGTGACCGGAAGAGTGTTGGCGCGTAGTAGATGAAAGCGTTGATTCCGGAGAACTGCTGGAAGAAGCATACGCCGACAGCCACGGCTGTCCGCCGCCAGTTCTTTCGCTTGAGCAGGTCCAGCCAGCTGTACACCTCGAGCTTCCAGCCCTTGACACCCGGATGCGCTCGTTCTTCGACGAGGCGCTGGAAGGTGATCTCCGTGAGGATGCCCCGGTATTCGACCTGGACTCGCTCGTCGGTGGCGGGGAGGCTGCGGAGCCTGGCTAGGCTGATCAGGGACTCGTCGGAGCGGCCTACCAGTGCAAGCCATCGTGGAGAAAACGGGAAGATGTGGATACCGATTCCCAGCAGCGTCGAGCATACCATCTGAAGGCCAAGAGGGAGTCGGAAGGAGATGGAGCCGGGCATGAGTCGAGTACCAAATGTGATCCAGTATGCGACGACGACGCCGGTGACGAGTGAGACGGATTCGAGGACCAGCAGTGTGCCACGGAGGTTCGGAGGGGATATTTCGGAGATATAAAGAGGTGCTGTCTGCAGAATCAAGTGAGTAAGGGGCAGCAATGGTGAAAACGTAGATGAACAGGGGACGTACCATGGCCAAAGTACCGACGCCAATACCACCAATCGCCCTCCCAGTGACCAGCATCCCATAGTTCTGCGCAGCCGTCTGAATAATCGCACCAATGTTGAAGATGACGACCACAACAGTCAACGCATATTTCCGGGAGATTTTATCAGCCAGATAGGGCATGAACAAGCACCCAACAAACGCCCCCAATAACAACATCCCCGTCATGAACCCCGTGCCAAACGCAGTCTCAGTCTCCGGAAATGTCGAATGAAACTGGTCCATCACGTTGATGATCGAGATGACGCCCTGGTCGTATCCAAAGGAGAACCCGCCCAGGGATGCCACGAATGCAGCGCCAAACACGTAGCCCGATGAAAAGAGACCGCGAATTCCGTTGGGGCCGTATGCGACACTGGACTGACCGATCTCACTGTGGACAACGTCGGCTTTCAAGGTCGTGTCGACCACTTCGGCGTGCACTAAATGCCCATGTCGATCTGTCGCGGGCTTGTCGACGTCTGTGCCGGTGCCGGTGCCTGTGCTTATGCGTTCGCTCATTGCTGCGCTGAGACTACAATGAAGAGGTGAGTGCTTATCGTGATAAATTGTATGGATTCATAGACGAGGCTCCTCGCAAGCACCCCAATCTATCCTTATATAGCATTAGTGACATGATGGGGAGAGAGTCCGGGGCCCCGAGATCCAGCGATGGAGTTGGAGTGAGCCATTTCTTCCGGCGATTTGGGGGATGCCCAGAGTACCAAGTGGTTGGGGGATCGAACGTGGGGAATAAAATCACCGTTTGTGGACAGAAGCGGCGATGGAACTTGGCAGCAAGAAATTACTCGATGGAGAAACCAGCGGCGATGCTGCTCTATTGTGGATTTGGAGATCCTTGACGCAGCGTCATCCACTGCATTTCCGCCCCATCCCGTCCCTGCCGGGGCCCCGCCGACGAGACCCTTTGAGAGACCATCGCCGACGGCTTGCGAATTGCCTCTATCTGGCACCGGGCCAGACACCTTGATATGACCTTCGCTGCGGGGAGCATGTCCAGATTGAGCGAGAGAATATGAAGTTGTGAGCTGGGTAAAAAGCCAAAGCCAGGGCATGATTTAAGAACTTGTGCATTCCTTGGAGTACTCCAGTCTCTGGTTCGTATATCCTTGCATGCTACCTCATTGTTTGAAACCATCTCATTAGCCCTACTACGATGTCTCCAGCAAACCGCCGCATCAAATTCGCGCTTTTTGGCCTTGGCCGACTGGGAGCACTTCGCGCCCGCATCCTCGCCTTGCAGCAGCCCCGGATCGAACTTGTCGCTGTGTGCGATACAAAACCAGGCACAGACAAATGGGCCGCAGAGAACCTGCCACCAACAGTCAAGTACTTTTCAGACCCGCAAGAATGCTTGCAAAACTCAGGCGCTGAAGCCGTCCTCATCTGCACTGCCACGGCAACACACGCGCCGTTGATTATTCAAGCCCTTGATCTGGGCTTGCACGTCATGTGTGAGAAGCCCGTCTCTGTAGATATTGCGACCACCCGGCAAGTTGTTGAGAAGGCTGCTTCGAGACCGGATCTTAAGTTTCTCGTTCCATTTACTCGTCGATGTAAGTAGCACTATAGTGCCGGCCGTGTATTCCTGAAATCAGAGACTGACTTCCGTCAGATGATAAGTCCTACCGCCAGGCAAAAGCCCTGGTTGAGAGGGGCGACCTCGGTGAAATTCATGCTGTCGAGACGACTGGTATTGATATGGCAGACCCCAATGGTAGGCCCCCGCCCCAAACCCTTTTTTTCTGTATCGTCTCCAAGACCCGAAAAACTAACCATCCATGCCGAGCAGCTTTCTTCGTGTCCTTCTCCGAGCAGTCCGGAGGCATCTTCCTGGACTTCGGCATCCACACGGTTAGTCTCAGACCTTGTCCCCACCCCGTCTCACTGCCTTGTCCACTAACATAGCATTAGGTTGACGCCGGACGCTACCTTCTAGACGTAAAATCCAACCTCTCCAACCCAAAGAGGCAAGTCAACCGCGTAATCGCCTTCGGCCAATGCGCCGTCTACGCCGACCTAGCCAAATACGGCGATGCCGACAGCGCCTGGGGCCTAGTCGAGTTCGCCAACGGCAAGATTTTCAAGACATACCTGGGTCGCACCCTCACAAGCGGGTTTGAAGACACGACGCGGCTGTGTGGGACAAAGGGACATTCTATTATCAGCAGTGCGAAGAATTCGAGTGTAGAGATTCGCGACGAGTTTGGTATACGCACACAGTCTGTGCCGGATGCGTTTACGTTGTTCGATGAGACATTTGTGGCGGACCTGGCGGAGTTTGCAGATGCGGTGCTTGATGATAAGGCGATGACTTGTCTGCCCGAGGATGCGTTTGAGGCGGCCAAGATCTGTGTTGCGCTGCAGTATTCGCTGAGGAATGGGGTGCCTGTTTACTTTGATGATGACGGGCTGCCAATCATGGGATAATGTACGAGGTCGTTGGGTATAGTACACATTATAGAGACAATTGAGGTCAGGAGATTCATCGCAGAAATGCAACGACCGTACGCAGCGTACATTTTATGTTCACCATAGCCCCATTCAGGCTATAGACAGCTATGGAGGTGCTCATGGTCGGTTGTCATGAAAGGTTAGGGCGGCACTTTAATTGTCATGTAACAGCGGAGGAACAGTCAGTTGTCCCTTGGTCAATAAGTGCTCTTTCTCAGTCGGCTTATAGGAACTGGCCTGAAACAGTTGCTCAGCCTGAAAACCTTCAGCAGTTCACAGCCAAAGGCCTTACTAATTACGCCGGTGGCAGGCATATAGTTCTGGATATAAAACATATTCATGAAATTGTCTGAGTTGAATTCGCAATGCATATGAGCAGTTAAGTGTTGAACTTTGGTGATTAAAACCCCCGACGCTATGGTGGGTCCGAAGGTCGTATACAGAGCGATGAAATATATTTTCAACATGCTTGGTGTTGGCAGCCAGTTTTGAACCGAATTTTGCAAGAACGTTTAAGAACCAAGCCAATTCAGCTCTTCCTCCCCCACTGTTCCTGTCGTGAATTACTACACTACTCTTACTACTCATTTGAGTTCTCACGACGTAGTTTCAGCGGTCGGCGACCTAGCTAAGTGGGGATCGGGAGCCCACACATGCGAACGGCCTTTGGATGGTAAGGGACTCCCCGACTGCTCCTATGACGTTTATGTTGCTAATGAGCTGGTTTATCAGCATTGGAGCGTTGGAGTTTCAAGTGGTGGCAGCTGAGGCATTTGTGTGGAGGTGGCTTTGTTGGTCCTGGTCGGTGTCTGAGGGAAAACATCGGCGCTGTCGGAGTTTCGCCGACGTTTACCAGAAAAAGCAAGATCAGCATCACGCTGGCCGGCAAAGTGGAACCCATGAACGCGGCGACGGTTACTTGATTTGGAGATTCGAGTTGACCCCAGCGTTCACACCACCTCCCCCAGTTTTGGGGCTTGCAGCCTGGAGCATGGGTATCAGTAGATATATAGGCCCTTATGGGAGTCCAAATGGTGATGGCGCAATTAAGCAACTCCATAGTATTCATCCTCGCACAAAGCCAGTCTATGAGCATTGTCTAATAAGCACTTTTTTTTTCCAGCACCATTCCGGCATCAAGACAATGGCCCCTTACATTGAAGAGTCCGCCGGCGTCGACCCCGTCTCCAAGGCAGACCTTCAGCCCGATAGCACACCATCCAAATATGACAAAGTCGCAAAGCCCGTCGCGGATGATTTCATGTACGATTTCAAGTACAATCACAGTCTTCCAACCACCGACATTCTGGGGATAGATATCCCCAAAGACTGTGATGCCAGGAAAGAGGCCGAGGGCATTGTAGCGCGACTCGCTACATCCACATTGGAGGCGGATGCTCGAGCTTTCGCTGACCTATTCCTTGACCACGGTGAGACCTCCTGAGCATCTGGAAGGAAAGAAGATTTTGCTAACCCTGTCTGTACAGGCGTTTGGCGCGATAAGCTCTCCTTTACATGGGACTTTCGCACATTCAACTTCAGAGACGCCATCCTGAGAGCGGCAACCGACCTCCTGCCTCAGACCAAGGTTCGAAACTTCAGTTTGCTCGCGCCCGCACCTGTGGTGTGCCGCCCGTACCCTGACTTCTCTCACCTTCAATTCGTTGTATCTTTCGAGACGGAGATTGTCCTTGCCTCGGCAGTCATCAATGCAGTCCTCACTAAAGATGGCTGGAGGATCTACACCATGCACACTGTCGCCGAGAGCCTCAAGCAGTTTCCTGAGCTCCCTGCATCAGACGGACACATGACCGGCATAACCAGCTGGGAGAGCCAGAGACGCGAAGCCATAAACAGTGTTGAACCTGAGGTACTGATCATCGGTGGTGGTCAAAAGTAAGAACAATGCATGTCAGCGGGAATTATACAGCGATATACTAACGTGTCCGTCGTAGTGGTCTTGCCATGGCCGCGCGTCTCAAGCGCCTGGGCATGGAAAACCTAATCATCGAACGCAGCGATGAAATCGGCGATATTTGGAAGAAGCGCTATGAATACCTCTCACTGCACTTCCCACATTGGCCGGACGCCTTACCGTACTTCAAATACCCGCAGCACTGGCCCACATATACCCCCGCGCAGAAGCAAGGTCTCTACATGAAGTGGTACGCTTCTGCTATGGAGCTCAATGTTTGGACCAAGTCCGAGGTCGTCAAGGCCGAGCAGGACGATAATGGGCAGTGGAGCGTTACCATAAACAAGGAGGGCGAGGAGACGCGTGTGCTGCATCCCAAGCATGTCATTATGGCCACCTCGCTCTGCGGAATGCCGTACACTCCAAACGTTCCAGGCATGGCTGAGTTCCGCGGCGTCATCCGGCACTCCAGCGCCCACAACAGCTCTCGCGACTTTGTCGGGAAAAAGGTCTGTGTCGTCGGGACCTCATCCTCGGGTTTCGACACAGCGTACGAGTGCGCGCGTCTGGGAATTGATGTCACACTCCTACAGAGGTCGCCGACGTATGTAATGTCTCTCACGCATTCCGTCCCGCGCTTGCTTGGAGGTTACGCGCCCGACGAGAGTGGGAACCTTCCCGATACTGAGGTGCAAGATCGGATCAATTTCGCTATGCCGGTTGGACCGGGCGAGGAACTCGCTAGGCGTACGGCCAAGGATCTGGAAGATCTCGATCGCCCACTGCTCGACGCCCTCAATGCCCGAGGCCTGCGGACTTGGCGTGGCCAGCGCGATACGGGAAACGCTACACTCGGTCAGACGCGGAACGGGGGGTTCTACTTTGATGCTGGTGCGTGCGAAGAGATCATCAACGGCAACATCAAGGTTGAGCCGGGATTTATTGAGAGGTTCACCGAAGAGAAGGTGATTCTCAACGGCGGACGCGAAAGGGAGTTCGACTTGGTTGTTTTCGCGACTGGATTCTCAAACATGATCGACTCCATTCGAGCGACCCTCGGCGAGAAAGTCGCGAGCCAGTGCGGGCCGATTTGGGGTATTGATGAGGAAGGCGAGTACAAGACGGCGTATCGGGAGACAGGAGTGCCAAACTTGTGGATCATGGTTGGATTTCTTCCCATGACGCGGTATGCCTCTAAACACCTGGCTTTGCGATTGAAGGCGCTGCAAGAGGGGATTTCCCCTCCCCCTTACAAAGCCTAGTTTCACTCTAGTGAATATTATAGAATGACGATTCTTATGTTCGACCGTATTTACTGTAAAACGTCCGGCCTTTGCATCTCGCACTTCGTTTCTAAATGCGAGGAGGTGCTTAGATACTATAGAAGCCGTGTCGCGATGGCGACTTCCTTCTAGGCTGGATGTTTACAATTGCGATCATGAAAGGAACGAGATCTAGATTATCAAATGCGGAAGGTACGATGGGTCATTCCTGCCTCTGGGGACGGATGGTGAGGCATCCGGAAGGCGCGATCCTTTCTTTCGGAGGGATTGATCGCAATGAGGAAGGAGCGACCTTGAGTCGATCAAGCGGGGAAGTTACCATTGCCCCCTCCTTGCTTCCAGTGGCGATGAACAGACTTAGAGAGACTTGCGCAAAGGGAAGGAGCAACTCTTACGGTAGCCCTTAGGAGTTGGGTCGGTTGGCCACTGCATTAATAGAAACACTGCGAGAGGAATATTAACCACTTCACGGGCATTCTAGTGGAAGAAAGCCCGCCTGTGCTCGCGCGATGAGTTATAAGTACGTGAGATATATGACGGTCTGGACTTATTTGCTACCGACAGTTACGATATGTCAGGCTGTTGCATGGAGTGAGCCCCTCGGCCCGTAATGTGAATATTATCAGAGGCCGAAGAGGCGAGTATTTGGAGCGGTATGCTTCTTGACGCGTCGCTACTTTTCACCTCGAGGGCTGCCTGTTAAAATTACTAGATCAGGAAGGATGCGGCGCGGGGCCATGTAGCCAGTGGATATTAAACCGACCCACCCGGATATTACTCGAGTCAGAACCATGCGGCGCAGATTACAGATGTCGGGGATCCTGCATGTGGAACCTTGAATCATCTACAATTCCCTGGTTTGAAGTCAGTAGAGAATGAATGTGCTACGACGACCGAGTACAGACACGTTCGTTTTTCGGCGACATCTCCCACTTACCACTCTGTGACCCATAAAACTAAGGCCTTAACTCGGCCCTTGATAGACTACGAGATGGGGGTGCGGGGTATATAAACCCGCGGAAGCTCTGATCGTGGGCTTAACGACCACCTTCCCATATAAATAGTTCTCCCATCTACGGCCCTTATTGCCAAGTTACACGACCCGTTCTTGTGCCTTGCTTGATTTATCCGAAAAGCCTCCCATCGTATACCAGACTCACCATGTCGCTCCCCACACACTTCAAGCTCAACACCGGGGCCAGGATTCCTGCAGTGGGACTCGGCAAGCGCTAACGATCTTTGTAAACTACGTGTATAGCTAACAAGATATACAGGCACCTGGAGATCTGAGCCAGGTCAGGTCCGCCACGCGGTCTCATTCGCGCTTAAGAACGGATATCGTCACATTGACGCTGCACTGTAAGCCGTTGGCATCTTCTTCCGTGCGCGCAGGTTTTACTAAATGCTACATTGCAGGATATACGGTGGGTTGCAGCAAAGGACAGCGAAGCAATAAAATTCGAATCCCTAACAGAACTGATAGGAAACGAGCACGAGGTCGGCCAGGGTATCAAGGACAGTGGAGTCCCTCGGGAACAAATATTCCTCACTAGCAAGCTATGGAATACGCATCACCCCAACGTTGCGGAAGGTCTTCAGAAAACACTTGATGCCCTAGGGACAGATTACTTGGATCTTTATGTAAGTGAAACAACCTCCCTCTCCTGCGGGTTGCGGAAGCTAGACTAACGTGACTATCAGCTCATTCACTGGCCCGTCCGGCTTGTTCCTGTCAGTCTTTTCAATGCAGTCCCTGTACAGAATTTGGAAGGCTAATCCTACCAATAGAACGAGTCAAGCGACCTTCTCCCCGTAAACCCCGACGGCACACGATCCGTCGACCGATCCTGGGATCAAAGCGAGACCTGGCGGCAGATGGAGGAGATATACAGGGCCGGCAGGGTCAAGGCAATCGGTGTGGCGAACTGGTCAATTCCGTACCTCGAAGAGCTCAAGAAGAAGTGGACTGTGGTCCCCGCTGTCAACCAAGTTGAGTTGCACCCTTTTCTTCCCCAGCACGCACTGAAGAAGTGGTGCGATGAGCATGGCATTCTTCTCGAGGCGTATTCGCCGCTTGGGTCGCAAGGTGAGCGCTGTCTCCAAATTCACCTGCTCTTTGCGTGCTTAAGCACCAATAGCTCACATGGTTTTTGCTAGGCGCCCCGCTTGCTTCAGATCCCGCAATTCAAGAGATTGCGAAGAAGAACAATGTCTCCCCTTCAACGATACTCATCAGCTACCACGTCAACAGGGGTGTGGTTGTGCTCCCCAAGTCCGTCAATGAGGATCGGATCTTGAGCAACAACCAGATCATTCCTCTTTCCCGGGAGGAGATGGATGCACTGAATTGTCTGGCTGCACAGGGCAAGGCGAAACGAATCAATACACCGCTGTTTGGATGGGATCTTGGTTTCGATGACTGGTACGAGCAGTAAAGTTGGGAAAATCAGATGTAGCAATGTCCCCCACAGGGGAATATAGCCGGGAATTAGATAATACTTGGTCTAACATGCCACCTGAAATGATATATTCACTTTTTGCAAGTATTGAAGCAGGCACCATAATATATCAAGCATTTTAAAAGGCAAGTCCTGGATAATTCTGGCAGTGGTGCTTTGGCCATGGAATTCTGTTGTACTAGGGGTGTCCTGTTGTCATGTTGTTGCTTCGTCGCACATGAAGCTAGAATCGTAACAGTAGAATGTTCGATGCAAGCTGGACAAGTTGCCGACACGAGCTCTCAGCCCGGTTCCCCCCTTGGGCCCTTCAGTAAGTTAGTACTCTTAGTTTCGTGAAGCATAAGGCTACGATCTCAAACAGATTGTAATGACGACCACAGGAGCCTAGGGACTGAAAGGTAGGCATCATCGGTCCGCTAGTATCACTCCGGCATGTCCAGCTGTACAGATTGCGGATACCGCACAGTAATTGCAGCTCTATGATGGAAAGTCCAGACTAAAGGAATTCACCTTCGCAAGAGTATCTTGTTTGACATGTTTGAAGTCATAGCTGACTACCCTTCTCTAATCTGAATGCAGTTTCTGCCCGGTAAACCGCTTGGACAACATCTAGTAATCGGTAGGCAAGTCCCATTGCTGATGGCCAGGTCCAGATACTCGTGAGTGTATATGAATATTACAAGGCCATGTACTCACCACAGAAGTTCTGCGTGGGCACTAATTAGCACTGGCGCGTTGAGCGGGCTATCCGGATGGTGATGAGCAGTACGGGCGTGTCTGCCCTTATCGCCGAGGACAAAGTTGATAATATCGGACGCACCATCAAGGACCTGACGACAATCATTAATAAATATCGTACATCAATGATAAAAGGGTTGAGGGTGGAGAATACCGAGGGAGAATTCTGAAACCCTGGTTCAGAGTTGACATGTCCTTCTAGTCGGATCATGCGCACGCGAGATAGATCCCCACTGCTTGCCTGGTGCAACTGTGCAAGTAGATTCAGAGCGCAGATTTTCGCCGCAGCTGCTCCCTGGCTGACAGTAAGGCCATGTTGTCCGCTGCCCAATCTGCCCTCATATGCCAGCTTGCCCTCAACCCATGGCAACTGCAACGATGTCTCTACGAGGCCTGTTCGAGTCACCATGAATGGTTCGTATTGACCCACAGCGGGGGGCGCCACTGGGAGTGGAAGACCCAATGATTGCAAGCGCTCATACGGAGTTGGTGCAAACCATGAGTTGATGCGGCTCTCATTCTCGTGCATCCAGCGCAACGCTGCTTGTCTGGGGCTTAGGCCATCTTTGCAGCAATACCAGTCCATGAGCGAGACGGCTTCATTACCGAGGGTGATTCGCTGCAGTACGGCAAGTGCCTCGTCAGTGAATTTGGTTCTCGCTGAATTGTGTATGCAAATCTGGGCGTCGTCGATACCACGCAGCAGGCCATTCGGCTCTTTCAAACTGCGTATCTTGTATTTTTTGTGCAAATATTGGGGATGCCAGAGAGGAACCACCAGCCATTCTGTAAGGTTAGCAAGGGAGATTCCATAATTGGTTGTGCACAAATTGCCGCCGACTTACCACTATTTTCGTAAGCGGCTTCGAAGCTTTCAAAACAGTCTGCCTGGGACCCATGCTGGAAAGAATATCCCGCCTCTGCCAGTCCATATTTGTCGATAATCTCCTGAGATTGATTAGCTACCCTGCGTTTCCCGTGGGTGATATACAATGAAATGAGCCCGATTACCTTGGAGAAGCGAGAGATTCCAGCTCCTGGATTTATTCCTTGGATCTGCTTCCGCATTTTGGCTGCCACATCGGGTTTGAGCAGGTCTTGTATAGTCTGAACTACAGTCTCAGGAACGTAATCGGGAACTCCCCAAATGCAGTATGGCGAGTAGATGGCGTTGCTGAGCACGGTAACCTCTGTTCTGTATTTGTCCAAATACTGCCCTGTTGTGCCATAAGAAAGGAACTAAGTTTTTCATGTCCCATTGATTGGTTGTAGATTCTCACCATGGGAGCCTTCTAACCAAGCAATGAGAAAATCCACCTTGGCCTCCTGATGTAGGGCGAAAGCTGCTTCGTGCGGCGCTGACTCAACTTGCACGTTGTATCCAAGTCGCTCAAGCACGAGCTTGACGACCTCGCCTGCCACATGGTGGAAGCTGAGATCAATGCGGCCTTGCTTAATCGTTGTCATATTGAAATTAATCTTTGTTTAGAAGATCTGTTTCCCACTTTTTGAAAATGTCGATGTGCTCGTGGCTTTAAGAATTGAGTCTTTGACAAGCTGACAAATTGTGTCTCTGACACCGGCTACTAATCTAAGCCATGAGGGTCAGTGAATATTAAGGACCATACAAAGTGTCCATCATTGTTAGATTAGTAGCATTAGATTATAAATCAAAATATACCTGGCGCAGTACCCCGTCCGATTAGTGTAAGCGGCAATCACATAGCAGCGTCCGATCCCTTTAGCAATGCTTCGGAGCTAGGGGCCTAGGAAGCTTTTAGGAGGGTGGCTCTGACACCAAATTCACCGCGATGTCTTGAATCCTGACCGAAAGTTTCTAGGTGGCTATCCTACCTGCTTGACCGGCCAGGTGGATGACGCGAGGGTGGGCCAAGTTTTGTTAGTATCTGTGATGATTACTTATCTTGCAGCGCGTTTCCATGGACTAGATTTATCAACGTATATCACACAATACCTGGAATTACGATCCAAGATGGTCAATCTGGCTCTCCTAGGCTCGAAACCCGCGATGGACTACCTACAGGAGGGCAATAACTGAAGTTGTATCGAACTGCTACTAAACAGGCTGGGCGCATGGCACCAGGATCCCCCGTCCAACCTACATCTGACGGCATTGAAAGATCTGTTTGGTAACTGCTGCGATTTCTGGAGAATACGTAGCAAAGCCTAGATTTATAATCCCAATAATAGTATACCCGACTGACAGCTCTAGACTGAAAGAAGACTCCTTAATTGCATATGGAATCCCAAGAGTCATTATTTTATCTAGAAAGAACATATTCGCTGGTGTCCTTGATACTTCGATCAAAGACTCTTAACAGATCTATACTAGTATACCCTGCTGCCGGATGGGTTGCTTGAACTATGCCCGAGCGTTTGGCCTTTATGCCAGTTGCCACTTGCTCCGTGCGCCACCGCCTTGGTGCTTAAGTACAGTATGTACACAATCAGGTCCATCCCCGCCATCTGACTACCCCTCACTTCCCAGATCAATCCCCAACTCGCCACTACAGCCACCATGGTATATACAATCGTTGTCCGTATATATTCTCCGTCTCTTGCCTTTGTTCCTTCACAACATCGCAAGACCGCATTTACCCCAGCCCAGGACCCCGCTAACCTGGGACGTAATCCTCCACGGCAGACATGGGCGCCAAGCCCGATGAAGAGAGCATCTCTAAGCTGGCCGCGAAGCTGCAAGAGGCGTCGGCCATGTTTCCAGGGACAAGGAGACGCTCTCGTGGTTCGTGATATAGTCAGCGCACGACAAGCAAGATTTCTGCATCATTAAGTGCTACCTAAACGAGGCTCGCAGAAGTAACAATCTGGAGAGCCCGTACTGGAAGACGTTCGACCCCTATGTGATTCCGCTGCTGGAGAAGCCGATGGATCTGCGGCGATTCGGGTATTTTCATGAACAGCCATAGGTGAACTGATTCACTACAGAGGTGGAAGCTTCTTCTATTTGAGGAATGAGCGATAAACTCCAGGTGTCCTAGAGCTGATGATATATAGTGTTCTCACACGGGAGTCCCCTCCAAAGTACCTGGCAAAACTTCAATAGGAGCGCTATGAGGCGTAAGTTGATCCCTCACCGGGTTCCCTACGGGTTGGGATACAAGCAGTGTGTGGATAAACAATTCAGCTGTTGAACAATCATTGGATTGAAGCACAAGAGACGACAGCTACGTTGACAAAGAAGACGCCAGGCGCGACTGTGGGGATCTGTTACAACACATAGTCAACCATTCTCCCAAATGGAAAATTTCATTAATGGATTTTACAGTGTAGGTGAATTCATGTAAAATGAGTCGAAAGGCAAGGGATTTTCTGAAGTGGTGAGGTGTAGCGCATCTTCAACGTCGCGCATTCGAAATGCTGGCCCACGGCCAAAGCAGAGGGGACCGAGAGAGAGCACTGCCATGTGTCAGCAACTGAGCTGTAAATATTAATCCGAAAGTCTCACGTCTGATGAAGCCTAGCACATTGAATTTCGCCTGGGAATCGGATGGCGGACTTGAACACACAGAGCCAGTGTTCTGAATGTTGATGCCTTTCCGGTGCAAAAACCCCTGCACCCCACTTGCGTCGAGCCATTCATCTAAAGTAGACTGGATTTCATTTTGCCTTGTTTTGGATGAAATCATACGTTGTTCTGTAGAGTAGCTGTTATTCTTCGAGCGGAGAGAACTGAGGAATGTAGCATGGAGCTTGATTATGTCCCCAACCTCGTCGTGCATGGCAGCATAAAACGCGGAAATCATGTGGTTGCGCTCAAAGGTGGTCAGTTGTCGGCCAAAGATTTCCTGAATCGTTGTGTAATTATCAGGTGAATCCACTAGCAACCGATACCCATTTTCGTAGCATTCTCGAGCAAGGCTATGTGAGAACGTCCACCCTTGCTTCGTAAGATTTCCAAGAGGTGGGATAGGCAGTGCGTTGTATAAAGGGGGGCTTGAAGTTGAGGTTGGAACAGTAGGTGATGGTAGATCGATCTCGAATGGGAGGATGGGTTGTTCTTGATAGGGCGGCGTTAGAGGTAACTGTGACTGAGCTCTCGTGGCGAGTGAGGACTGAGTCTTGTTTTCAATGACAGGCAAGGTACCGTGTTGTGCGAGGTCTGGATGGGAATCCAGATTGGTATTTCGCGCAACGCTTAGCTTTTTCGGCAGGGGCGTGTTTGTGGCGTTGTTTCCAGCGCTCGATTGGTCGTGGTCATCATCGCATCCGCTTTTGGCGAGCGACACGAACTGGTGCCCAATTTTGTGCAGAGCGGAGGTCACCCGTGGGTGTTTCTCGAGTATATCATTCTCGAGGAGAATATCACTGAATGACAGGAAGGACTCGCTAAGCTCTTCGATGCCCGATTCCAGCTCTTGCACGCGGGTTTGTAAATTAGTGATCATGATTTCCTTGCGCCGGCGATACGTCTGCTGGGCCAGGCGAATCTGCTTGCGGCGTCGCTGTCTAGAATGAGCCGATGCACACTTGATATGGTCTTATCAGTTTACCTACCTCCTCCGAATCCTGCTGCTCGTCCTTCATGGTGCGTGGGCGCCCCCTTTTTCGGGGCCTGGGCACAGCAGTTTTGGCTTCAGCCATTCTTCGTTGGTTTTCAAGTATTCGAACGCGATGATTTTCGTGCTATGCGGACTATAAGTAAAGTTCTGGAGGATCTCGGAAAAAGGCGACATCGTGGCAATGGATTAATCATCACCCCCGAGGTAACTAACCATCGGATTGTTGAATAATCCAATTAGTAAATACTTTGAATGATTACGTCGCGAGCCGTTGGTGCAGCGATATAACATATACCTCAATAACTTCGAATTCCTATAGATGACCACCTCGACGTCGGTCTTTACGTACTCAAATTTCTTTGAGCAAATCGAAGTTGAGGCCATTTTACCGCTCTAGGGTACTACAATATGTCTCCATTGTCAAAACGGTCAATTCTTATTACTGGGTTCGTCACTCCAGCGAACATTATTTCGGTTGACTCCTCATTTCTCGAGAATAACTGGAGTGATGGATATGTTCCGAGATAGCTGCTCATCAGGTGGGGTTGGCCATGCGCTCGCTCTGGAGTTTGTTTCCCACAATCCTCGCGTCTTCGCGACCGCTCGATCTACGAAATCTCTCTAAAGCCTGGAAGCAGCAAGAGTGGATTGTCGGAGGTTAGGGTGTCGAATTAATACCTGACTGGAAATGAACCTTGAATCCTTCGCTAGAACCACTATGTCTGATACAAATAAAGTCGGTAATTCGTCCTCCTGTGCAGTAGTGGTGCCCTTTGGGGATCCCTAGTTTAGAAAGAGGCTGTTTGCTAAGGATGTACCTCCTCTCTGTGTCAACGGAAATTGAAATTAAGAGAAACTGTTGCGGCCGTCCGTGATAGTTGCGGCAAGGCTCGCCGCTGGTCGACCAAGGATCTGTTCGACCAAGTCTGTACATCGATCATAACGCCCTGCGGCATGGAGTGCCACCATAACTAGAATATGCTGACGAACGTGGTCCGGAAGTCCAACCTTTTTAATGGCTTCCTCCTGCCAAGTGTCGAGTGGAACGTCCACGTAGTCGATAGAACGACCTAACGCAGTGGAATACTCCTCCGCAAGATCGTATATGTCAACGGAACGCGGGCCAGTAATCTCCAATGCCCGGCCAGAATATTTCGACGGTTCAAGTAGGATCTTGGCCGCGACTTCCGCAACATCATTGGCAGAAATCGGCGACGTGCGGCTACGTCCGAATGGCAAACGTATCGTCCCTGAATTTTCAATGGACTGGGCCGCAAACCGCCAGAAAAGGGGATTTTCTTGAAACACCGTCGGACGCAGATGGGTAACAGGCACCCCAGACCACTGGAGCACCTGCTCGCTCAGCCATTGAAGCCTATGCTGGGTGGAGTCGGTGACATGCATGAGGTCCATCTCCGAAACGGTCATCTGAGACATGTTGACGAGCAATTCAATTCCAGAGGTGGCTCGCGCTGCCGCAGCCATCACCGTAGATGCCTCGAGATATTGTGAAGACACACTCATGTTGAAAAAAACACGTCTACATCCCTGGAGAGCTGGGAAAACCTCTTCCGATTTCGTGAGATCGGCGACCACAACTTCTGCTCCGAGTTCTCGAAGGCGCGCAACTCGCTCATCATTCCTGCGGACTAGAGCACGGACTGGGACACCTGAGGCTCTGAGTAGTTCCACAACACGGCCACTTACTCCTCCAACTTGGCCGGCAGCGCCAGTAACCAACACTGGTGTCATCTCGTCTGGCATGATGGTCCGTCGACTGTAAAGAAAAAAAAACGAAACAGAATAAAGTAAAGTTGAGATGGCAATATAAAACTATAATGGCCGGACAAAGTAAGAGGCAAGTGGACGAGGAATAGTTCACGACAATAACTAGTCATTTACCTACGAAAAAGGCATTGACCCTTCGGAGAGTCAAGCTGGCACTTGCCGTTCATTAATAAGCCACATTTGTACCACGGGGTTGGAGTGCTCGGGGCGAATTACGATTAGTGAACACCCCGACAATGTTCGGGTTGATCACCTCATGCTCCACAGAATCAAAGTACGGAGTAATCTTGCCGAAGACCAGTATCCATGTTGCCCTACTTACTTAACCAGAAGGTTAACCAAAAGTTAAGTGGGGCGACGGTCGGATACAGATAATAATCAAAAGCGATCAACACTTTGAACGGGATACGCAGACGAACTGACGGCCCGGGAGAGACATGCAAGCCGAGCCCCGAGGAAAGCCGAGTATGACCATTGAGGACATGTAGGTCCACGGTGGATCTTCAATGACGCAATTAATTGATTCTATGTAGTAGGACGGCGGGCTCAATAGTAATCAAGCCGACAGTAGAGACTCTGGGAAGAAATTCCCGTGGAAGAAGACCGAGTGCTTACATCATTCAGGACAGAAGGGTTCACGCGGATCTTGAAATGACACAGCGAATTGATTTAAACTATCTTACTAGCCTAAAACCGGATGAAATCATTCTTTAGGTAATGTATGTATAAGGCCGACCACCCATTTGTCCATTGGGGACTTGGTTGAGTATGAATCGGACGACAGAGTGACCCTCTTGCTCATCAATTCCAATGCTGCTGAATATTGGCCTTGCAGGGGACGTCGCAGTAGCTCATACAGATGAGCCAGAATCCCCGTCAGCCTCTAATTCTCCTTCCTCGTCCGCTTTCTCAGTACCCACGCTACCATGTCTGGGCATTTTCTTTGACCGAACCAAGCAGTCTAACAGTCCTGTTCCGCCTGCAGCATCTGTATATCCCGTGGCCATGGGCCCGGTTGCTTCGCCACCGTGCGAGGTCGAATTCTCCCAGGCCGCACGACTAGCGCTCGTCCGGCCTCGAGTCTTCCATTCATACACTAACAAAACCTCGAGGCCGAAAACCTCGTACCAGTTCGCCTACCCCGTGGTCCATACCTGGCACAAACGACTCAAGCTTCGGCCGAAGCTCCTTATGCAAGTCCGGCAGGTGTCGCAAACGGCGCGGCCCTTGCCCATCTTAGACGTTCAACAATCGACATTGTATTTGCCACATTTTGTTCAAAAGTTTCCAGCCATGTTTTGCCAGAAGAATGGACAGGGCGCGAAGGGCTTAAACGTTGTGAGGAATGAACTATATACTCGCACGGTGGCCAACATCCCCGAGAAACATATAAGTTGTGAAGGAGAAGACGAGGACCACCGCCAAGTCGTGGCCACGATTTTCCGGGTGGCCCAAGATGGAGGTCTAAAAGGGAAGGCTAAGATCTGTTTGAATTTTGGGCCGGTCTGGGAAGCGACTCCTCTGTCCAGTGGCTCATATGAGTTTGTGGCTCCCAGAGACAATGGTGTGCAAGTCATGCGATGGGCCCTACGCGGAGGGAAGAATTGAGGCAGCTCTGCAGTCCCGGTCACTCAACCGCGCCATGACAACAAACGATTCACCTTCAGCGTCATCAATCCCAACGCTCGTCGGCATCCGGTGATCGCTTCCATGATCAAGAACCAGCTAGAGGTCTATGATGGATATCTTGTTGTGGCCTCCCCTAGCACCGGCCCCATAACCCCGAGCTTGGGCATACCCGTGGTCAGTGACGCGTCCGGTGATGCAGCAAGGGGGGATACCAAGAACACAATTATGCTCGATGAGGGGCTACGGACACTGATCGTTGTAACCGGGGTCTGGGTCGCTTGCTGTGAGGGTTGGTTGCAAAACTTTAGCTAGGGCCTGTCTCTGCGCCCAGCGGCAAAATCTCGTTTCTCCAAGCACGACGGCACCAGCCTAGGCAGGCAAATCTTTCGGAAACATGTCGAGGCGCTCCAATTGAACTGGGGCCACATTCATGGACTGAGCCAAGGGACGACGCGCGTCGGGGGTCAGCAAATCACCTCAACCGGCGTAGCATGTCCACTGGTACAGGTGAGAATGGCCGCGATATCATCGTCAACCGTCAACCGTTTCCGCGGCAGGATTCAGTTGAACCCGAAGGCAACTCACAACAACCTTAGCGACATGACCACCCCAATCTCAAAGCCAAAGCTCAGCCAGCCGCTGATAACTCAAGTCATTCTTGAAACCAGAACACGCTCCAGATTTCGGCCGAGATGGATTTTCCGAAATTCCCTCCAATGATTTTGACACCGGGAGACTAGACAACACCAGCTCGGCTCTCTTTTCACGTTTTTCACTGGAAATCCGAGGCTCACTGATCACTCGCTGCACCCCTGACCCACCACCTGTATACTGTCATATGTTCTTTGGATTCGACTCCATCTAGCTTAGGAGATTCCCTTTGCAAATACTCAGACCTGGAGTAGACCACAAGGTAATAAGCTGGTAAGGTTCTACCATTGCAGGTAAAATTTGAATCGCTGGATTCTAAGTTAAGATGAGGGCTAAGTTAATGTTAAGGGCAACGCAACTTTGCCCCAGCTGGGTTATATATTTCTCACCGGGTACTAAGATCCAAAAGATTTTCTTGTGCCTTCTTATCCGGCGTGTTAGAGGACTCTGGGTCGGGCTCTGCATGGGCTGACAGACGATTGAGAAATTTTGCGGTTTTTCTTTTTCCCGGCAATTGCTGGGTAGAACGTGAAGTATAGAATCCAAATTTCTTTTATCCGCTTGATAGATGCTCGGGAGGAGTTGGAAGGGTCAGAATAGCGCAGACATCTATGACAAGCCTGATTTCCTTAACGGAAATGCCACAACAGCAATGGTGTTTTCTCCAGAGGATACCCTCACCAATCAATATGAGTTTCCTCCTAGCAGACTACCGCGGAGCTCTGTAGATCCCTTGAATCGTTGCAAACTAAGCTCCCTGGCAAAACAAAGAGCTTATCTGTCCGCGGACCAGCCTAGAGAGTAAAGGGTCTCTTGACGGCCAAAGCTATGCGCAGTGAGACCTGGTCTACGTTTCCCAGATCCTAGTTGCCTCGATAATTGCTTGCCCTGAGTCTGTGTATTTTTCAATGAAGCGAATAACAATAGGTGTACATCTAAGAACCAGCCTAATCTATATTGCAAGTGGCAATAACCACGCTGGCATCACACCACCAGCATAACAGACAAATACCATATCCACCGTGTTGAATCGGCCGGCAACGTCCAAGTGTTGTGACAAGGAATACAGCTAATGCTCAACCTTCTTGCTCTTCTTCGTTCTCAACTTCATCAAGAGAAACACCAGAGCATAGCTTGAAATCACGTAGATGACGACTATCGCCGCATCTCCCCAGCCATAGTAGTACTCGTTAAGGTTAACAGTGCGCAGATAATCGCTGCCGGTCTTGTACTGGCACACTCGGCAATCAGAAGTAGCCTCCGGGTTAAGCAGGTTCGAACCAGACCCCAACGGATTCTGCGAGTACGCAGCCAAGTACTGACCACAGGTTTGGTTGTCCGGGGGATTGAAGACTGCAAGCTCACTATCTCTGCACTGGACTTGCATGTCGAACGTGGTGAAGACAAGAAGGGAGCCGATGAGGTAATTGAACGGGTTGATCCAATACAGCCAATAGCGCCAGAAGGAGGTGATCTGTGAGTATGGCACAAGGACTCCGCAAAAGCCAACCAACGTGAAAATGATGAGAGGGTTGATTAAGGCCGCGGCTGTCGCGTTTGGGGCGTATGCTGCAATGAACTGGCCGATGCCGGTGTAGAGGAATTCATACATGAGCATGACAAAGAAGACGGCACCTGCTTTATCTGAATCGGCTGGGAAACCAACCGTATAATAGAAGCAAAAGAAGAACAGGATGGCGCAGATTACCAGGTAGGGTAGTTCAGAGATGACGAGGCCCGTGACGAAGGCTTTCCAGCTGTACATGCGCGACTTCTTCTCGCGGGTATCGTAAATCTTGCGTTTCTCGATGAAGAGAGGTTGTAATTGGGCTGTTTCCTTGGGTGTTAGCTGGAGCAGTCTTGAGAAATGCGGACTGGATCACTATATCAAGAATTACCTATGACACCAGGGGCGACGAAGATGAAGTTGAAGAGGGCAAACGTGCGCATCTGTAGCTCGGTGACGCTGTTGCCGACCTGCCAGTAGGTGAAGCCGGTGAAGAGGCCCATGATAATGTGTAGCGCAAATTTATTGTTAACGTACCCAACATTGCGGTACATGGATTTGACCAGGCGGAGGGTGACGATAACGATTTGATCCCTAAGGGGCATCGCAAATTCTCTGTCGTCATTGCCGGTATTTGCTGGTTGTAAGGCTGCCTCCTTAACGATTCGATCAAGCTCTGCCAACATGGCTTCGTGTTCAGGCGATTCAAGCCAGATTTGGTGCCAGTCCTTGCGCCGATCGGAGACAACGTCGATCATATGCTCGGCGGGGTTCTTTTCTGGTGGACAGTCCGAATTGTAACGGCTAAATTATGACTTTAGCGTGGATGCTTGGTATCCAATATCTCCAAAGTACACCGTCTTTCCTCCACGTGCGAGGAGGAGCAACGTGTCGAACTCGTAGAAGAGCTGTGCACTGGGTTGATGGATAGTAACTGGGATAGCCTGACCGGCGGCAGCTAGCTTTTTGAGGAATCGCACAATATTAAAGGCAGCCTGCCCATCAAGCCCTGATGTGGGCTCATCCAGGAAGATGAGGACACTGGGCTTCGCGACGAGTTCCACTCCAATGGTTAAGCGCTTTCTTTCTTCCACTGAGAGACCATTCCCACCAGCGTAGCCGACGAGGCTGTCCTTATTATCGTGCATTTCCAGTAGATCCATGATGGTGTCGACATATGCCAGTTTTTCAGCCCTGGGCGTTGACTGCGGCTGTCGTATCAGGGCGGAGAACTCCAGGGCTTCCCTAACAGTGCTATAGAGAGGTCAGACATAGCTTCACCCATAAGCACGGGGAAAGGTATCACGCGAGAACGCGTGTGGTGAGTGTGTGTATTTAGGGATGTGGTCGGAAGAATGGCTACTCACGTCAATGGCTCATGCACATCCAGCTGTTCGCAATAGCCTGCTGACCTCTGAAAACTAAGCGGAAGAGGTCTGCCGTCAACCAGGGTATATCCTTTGATTGTTCCCTCGGTCTTACGTTGCGCTAGGACATCCTGCAAGGTTGTTTTGCCCGCCCCCGAAGCACCCATGAGGGCGCCCAGCATGCCCGGCTTGACCCAACCATGGACATTGTTGAGCAGGACACGAGGTCCGTCCGCAGTGTCCACCGTATAGGCCAAGTTCCTCCAGGTGAGTATAGATTTGTTCTGGATTAAAGAGCGATCCACCTTCTCTGTGCCGCTGCTCAGTGGGCTGGAATGCCCCGTCATCTCGCCATTAGTTTGAGCTTGAGCTTCCTGGTCCCCTGGGATTGCAGGCTTTTTGGCAAGTTCCCTTGGGACTATCAAAATCCCGTTCTGGCCAGAGGTATCCTTCCAGAAGGAAGTTGCAATGATCGTCAGCACTACATACAGCGCCCACCAGGCCCTAGAGCAAATCATTAGCCAACACGCAGGCGGTGGCGGAGGAAAAATAGAGTACTGACCATACAATGCCGACGTTGCGCCACACATGCGAGTGGCTGTAGGTGAGACTCCCTAAGTACTGATCGCCGTTCACCACGGTTGCGCCGGGGAGCGCACCGCGTACTCCTGTGCATGCTTGGTTCGCGGTTGAGCCGTATCCAGGACCGTTTGGCACAAGGTTGGGCCCGACGCACGGGATGGTAGTGTTATGAAGCTCGTTGGAAACCAAGGCATCATAAGCATATGCAAGGGGATCGATCCAGAAGATCCTGTAAACAGTCAGAACGATTGTCCATGCAAGGAATTACCCAATCAACACGTACCAGACAAACCAGGGGTGCATGTCATGTTTAGTGATCATATACCCGACGTACAGTAGCAAGGCTGTGACAGAAACGCCTGAAAACTTGCTCGCGTCGTCGAAAGTCTTGAAGCCAGCACCGACTGCTCTGAAGAAGGCCGTTAAGCACATCGTCGCCGACAGGATGATGAACCAAAAGGTAAAAAAGGCCTCCGCAGATGATCTTAACCCGACCAAGAAATATATAACCACGGAGAAGACGCTGACCTGGAAGAGAATGATAGGAATGTCGGTAATGATCTGTGCCAAACACAAGGCTGCTGGGTGATGCAGTGCAAATTTCCGATGCTTCGCCAGAACAGGCCGCCCGAAGAAAGAGTCTGTTACCTCTGATTGTGCCACAAGGCAGTTGAAAAGGAGGGCAACGAATATGCCACCGGACTTAATAAAAATTCCGGTAGAGGTATCGGGGGCATTGTAGAATAAGGAGCCTGATGTTAAAGCCTGGATAAGATTTGTGCCTTGTTTAATGAATAGAACAGCACTGTCGCCGCGAATTATCTGATACTGTCGTTGAATAGATGTAGTGAGCTGCGTACGGAATCCGACAGTGACCGGTGACCGCTTTGTCAAGACACCAGGGTGTTTCTCTTCCCGGATTGTGCGCTGAAACTCCGAAGTATTGTTCTTTGCCTCCTCGGTAGCTGGGTAGTCGTATTCAATTTGCATTCGGTGTTTGATGTCCGAGGTGTCGTAGCGTTTTAGAATTTCGTCCGTAGTCCGGGGAAAGGTGGCTTCATAGCCCTCACGAATCTTCCGCTCTGTCGGCACTGTAACTCCTATAGTTATGTCGAGCATTAATAATACCCCAGTAAAGAGCGGGTACAAAACAAGACAAATACTAACCCGCCAGGAAATCAGCAATGTTTGCGCCATCTGCACAAATAAACCCCAGCTGCTCCATGAATGGCCGTGCTTCCTTCATAGGGCCATAATAGATCTGCTTTCCCTGGTCGAGCACGAGCACCTTGTCAAACAACTCGTAGATACCGTTGCCGGCTTGGTAAAGGGTAACAACAGAAGCCAGACCAAATAGATCTGTCATTTGGCGGACAACTTTGACGTATTGAAGCGCAGTGTTCGCATCTAGACCCTTGCTTGGATTGTCCCAGCAGTAAATACTGCCACGAGTTGCCATGGCTTCTATGATGCTGATGCGTTTCCTTTCACCACCGGAAACACCGCGAATGAACTCGTTGCCTACACGTGTATTTGCCGTATGAGAGATGCTTAATAGCTGGAATAGAAAGTCCCGCGTAACTATCCTCGCATCCTCGCGGGATTTGTGTCCAGACGGCGTATGATTCGCCACCTTCATTCGGGCTGCGAAGTCCATCGTTTGCGCGGCGGTCAGGGTTGGAAAGAAGATATCGTCCTCAGAGTTGGTGATAATCTGGCCTCTATACTTCAATGCTTCTTTGTGGTCCATTGAACCGTACTTGACTTGTCCTTCAATCTGAGTGTAGCCGTCTCGTTGATTGCCCAGAACATTGAGTAATGTGGAGCAGCCAGCCCCCGGTCGGCCAAGGACAAGTAGCATTTCTCCCGGTTTCACGCAGCCATGGCTGTTGCTGAGGATCGTCTTGTTGGTCGGTGTCGTATTGCCTCCTTTCAATCTTGCCGGGAGAAACTGCGAGACCACGTTCTCATGGAAAGAGCTGTCCGCTCCGAGACCAGAAACAGTAAGGTTTGTCCACGTCAATCCCAGTTTTCTGTGTACAGGGGTGTTTTTCCCGAGCGCCTGCTCAAGCATCTGCACCTCAGGCATTTTCGCCCAATCCAGGTCATTGCCAATTGATTCCTCGTTTTCCGGGATGGTGCTCGTTCGGGCGATCGAAGATAGGCGGGTGAGGGCGCGACTTAGGACGTTGCTGTGACCCTCGGTGGGAGTCTCATTGCTCTCTGATTGGGAAGCCATGATGTCGATTGCGGGCATTTGAGAAGAGCTTCTTTCCAGTTCCTCAACCTAATCATGTTAATTAGGGCGGAGAAGCAATCATACATTGGCTGATTAGAAATTCATCATCTTTGATATTGAACACGTTCGGGGGAGCTCCCCTCATCAACCCGAGCTGCTTGACCCGTTTTTTTTTAAAGGAGGTTCACTAATCACTCCGATACTGTAAGCTTAAATTTAGTGATCACGCCAGCAGTTGTAGTCAATTTCGTCACTATCCATACGACCATTCTTATTTGTTCTGATCGGTCAGCAGCTCTTACCAGAATGGATGGCTGCATTGCCAAAAGCGAGAGTCTTCGTCACAACAGGAAGCGAATCGCGCAGGTCTGGTAGCATGATTGGTCTTTGCGGGGGTATGGGTTTGATTTATTGATTACGGATCACGCCGCTGATACACAACCTTATCATTAACTGCGGCAAGGAAGGAAAAAGCAGGCCTGCTGGCTCAATAGCAAGTAATTTCGGTCGGTCCAGCTCGCTTAGGAGTGCATTAACTACGGTGGTTTGGCGGGCTGGGTATCTAGCCCATTCTCGTGGACAAGATATTTGAGGCCCCGCCAATAGTTGGAGCACAGTTCTGGGCAGATCACGAGAGATGCAACGTTTGTTACTTACCCTGCGCACTTCCGACCCATCGTGATCATTGATCCGGGTCTGCATTAACTTCTGGTAATATCCACGGAGATTTTTCGAATCCGCTTCATTAGCCAGTCGTCAAACGTGTATACTTTGGTTGGTTTGTGCTGCAAGAGCAGTTCAAAGGTTGGCAGAAATGGTTCCAGAACCCAGTCGTGCATGCCTTGCCATGCGTCTCCCTCGCCGGATTCGGATTTTCCTTCTAAGCGCCCAAGTTGAAGAAGGAACTTTTCGAGTGAAGAAGGAGATGGCTGGAAGCTGTTATCGCACAGCCGGATGATGAAACGATTGTTCAAGACATGGACAGTTATTCGAGCCGTCCTTTTCCTCTCATTGAAAAGAAATACACCCGTCTCGTAAGGGCACTGCCCTATGGTTATAGCAATGGTTTGAAGAAAAAAAGTTTGAGTTATAGATGGTTAACTGATGGGGAAGAACGTGATGGAGAAGAAGGTGACTGTGATATTTTCAAGCATACAGGAATTCTGGGAGCGACGCCACTATTTAACTTGGTGGCACAATCGAAATAATTACGCCAAGAGCAGATAAAATCAAGATCCTGGGGCGCGTTGTTGGGTATTTGTCAGGCTTTACCGCTCAACCTCAAAGAAATCCAGATATTTGTCACGTGGGCACCTGATGCTCTCCAGAAGGAAACGGTGAGAAGGAACGTGTAGCGTAATGACTGTAGTGGATTGTAGCTATCAGGGAAGTTCGTGGTGTTGACGGCAAGAGAGAAAACTCTGCCGGGGGGGAGAGCACGTGCCACGACATGCTCAATTAGGTAGTCCCTAACGGTAGGATCTCTGATGAGTCTGTTGTGCTAGAACATAATTCGGATCTGGAGACTGACTTCTTACTACGGTGTCATGATGCTTGGTGAAGGTACGTGGTGATAGACTTGAGTTACCGGTGGGTCTTGTTCGAGTTTGTACCAGATGATACCGTGACGAGTGGGCGCCTAGGCAGGAGTCCGGCCACCTACTACACGCATGTAGTAGCTGTAGAGTAGTCTGGCCGACTGGAGTCTAGCAAAGAGTTACTCTGCAATGACAATGTATAGATTGTTCGCGAACGACTAAAAGTAAACTAAGTACATGTGCGAGAACGAGCGTCCTTATATCATCCTGATGGCTACCAGTAGCTGTGGTAGGGCTACTGTTTCGTCCTCAGCCAGAAGAGCTCCACAGAAGAGAATCCGGTCAATAAGATCGAGATGAATACTATCCACCCTTTCCTTGCCCAATCGAGCTGAAAACGACCGAATCGGCTCTGCCGGTGACCTCGAAGAGCGGGGATTAAGAGATATAGGCTCATAGTTCAATGTAATGCTGACATTCAGCTTCGCTTCCTCGTTGATTGGCGGCCACTTGATTTTCGCAATGCCTCGGGCCAGCGACGTTCTTCTGTTTGCAATCGCAACATTTCTGACCTGTTGCCTTCAGATCATTGATATAGCATTCGTCATCACAACATAGCCCAGGACCAGCGACGTCTATAGCGGTTCTTACTTTTCCACACATATTCTTCCTTCCGGTCTGCGGGTTGATCATAGCTTTTGGACAATGTAGAGGACCGGGCAGCAATCGACGATATCCGCAACGGTATACCCTATACCGACGACCGCACATTGGGACCGCTTGAAATGATTGTTTCAGCGTTGGTTGAGGTGGCAAGGACTGCTACTAGCACAGATGACAGGATGGAACTTGAATAAAGGACAACTTGGGCCCCTGGCTTGATTTGTATCTCCTCCAGGCCTTCAAGGGCAATAATAAGCAGGCTTGCTCTAATCCAATCCTTATTTTCAGCGTTGAAAGCTTCAGCAGTCTACAACTTTCCGAACATCCTGCTACAGAAATTGTGGGGCTTGTGGAGGCTCGGCGCACCGAGCAAAGAGTGCGGTAACAACTTGAGAATGTAGACTTCCAGATGACCATGAAGTCTTTTGGAAAATGAAGAAAAGAATTCAAGAATGCTTGAGGTAAGAATTCTCTTCGCACTTGTTTGCGAGCTGATCGGCCGCAGATTGCGCACTATACTGACCCACAATGGTCGCGAGTCCACCAATTATATGGAAGTCACCTAAGTTACAGACTGTAACTCAGGCCATCCCAAGAAGCACTTCTTACAACACTGCTGGGCTAGAAAGTCCACTGTGCGAGGAACCTCTTTTAATTCCATACTTTTTTCCACTTCGCGGTGTCAACCGCATTTGGCTCACCCTGGTGAGCAAAAGTGGGCTGCTTAGCTGCGGCTACATCAAATTTCTATTTTGTGCTAGTTGTACACAGACTCGGCTTGCCCGTTGCCTTATTCAGCGCATGATCTAACTATTCGGCAACAGTAGACTCGGCCCAACAACATCTGACTGCGTCAACCACAGTCACCCAACAACTTCGCTTGCTCGTTCATTGCGCGCGCAATTTTCCTTATCATTAGGCCAGGGACGGTGTAGAGCCGCTGGGCAAGACATGGTGTTCTCTGTACTAACGTGATGCAGTTTAGATGCGGACCTGGCAACAGAACCTATTGCAATCTAATATGTCCGGTATTAGTCCTATTAGTGTGAGCCAACCAGAGAGGTTCTAGATTGGTGGCACCTGAGGCATTTAAGACGATAATAAAGAGGCCCCCTAAATTCTACTATATTATGGTGGTTAATCCATACCCCTCTTATTAATATGGCGCGGAGAGCAAGAAATTTAGTAATCTTTATTCTATACTAAATCTAGCTTTTCTATGTAATGCAATATTAGCTTAACACTACTACATACGACCATAGGGTGTGGAGAACAGGGCTTCCCGTCCGCTCAGCCGTACTTAAGCCACACGCCGGTAGGTTAGTAGTATGGTGGGTGACCACATGCGAATCCCTACTGTTGTATGTTTTTTGATTTATTTTTTATTTTTATTTTTATTTTTTTTGATTTGACATGGATGGTTTGTCTATAGCTATCTTGTTCGTCAGCCGTATATAGTTAGGACAAAAATCAAGCCGGCTTTGAGGACCCTCACCCCTTGCCCCTTCCGAGCCATGAGCAGGCTTACATTAAGGACAGCAGGGGCATCTTCATTATACCATGTCTATCTAGTATACCAGACCACAACGGTGCGTCCATGACTCAGGTTGTCCTCAATGCAATCTTACATTACTAGTTAACAACCACCAGGACTTGATAGTGGGGATGCGGAGATTGTCCCGGGGACGCTTGGGTAGTTGTTGTGTTTGCGGACCTGAGTGAGCTTCGCACGTGGCGTGGAGGAATTCTTGGTGCACATTCCTGCAGAGGACTCTTGTTTAAGCATTGTTGCTTTTGCTCCCCTTTATTATATATTATTGATACGCCTCTCGCAGCAAGTGCTTCTGCATATCGCCCGGAATTACTCTCCCGTTTCAATATACGCCCAGGCCTGCCTTTTCTTTTATTCCCCTTGTACATGAAAGCCAGATCTAAATAGGGCATAGCAAGCTTCATGCAAAATCCCAAGAGGAATCGCGCGTGTCTATCTATCAGGACTATAAGTCGCAATGTGATAATCTCGCCTGATTCTCTTAGTAGTTAGTGGCCGTTTCTCGACTCCGCCTACGGAGATTCCAAGAAGACAAACCCCCCACCGATCACCTGCAGATAAGCCAAGCGGGGTGGTGCCCAGGTTGCAGATAACTGCGTTACATCAACCAATCAGAGTGGGACAATACCACGTACCCCTCACATCGCGGTCCTTGCATATTTGGAGTCACCGCCCATTGCGACCCTACGCTTTCAGCAATCCCTTATTACATTCATAGCTCCTCCATGATCTTTCTTCTGGCAATACTGTCATCTCCTCGACATCAATTCTTCCGCCAGCCCAGCCACTTTTTCACCATCGCCCACCATGTACGCCCCGAAAATCGGCGACACCCTCGACGAGCTCGACACGCCGAGCATGATCGTCGACCTAGACCTCATGGAACAAAACATCGCAAATCTCTTCTCAACCCTCCTCCCAACAGGCCGAAACATCCGCCCGCATCTAAAAACCACAAAAAGCGCCGCCCTGGCGCACAAACTCGTCGCTGCGGGGGCAAAGGGGTGCTGTGTCGCCAAAGTCTCCGAGGCCGAGGCGATCACCGCGGCGGGGTTCGACGATATTCTGATTACCTGCGAGATTATCGGGAAGCAGAAGGTGGAGAGGCTGGTCGAGTTGTATAAACGGCATCGCGGGATCCGGATCGTGGTGGATAGTGTCGTTGGTGCGACGGCTATCAATGATGCGCTTCAGGCGGAGGGAATTATGGAGCCGATTTCCGTCCTGGTTGATCTGGATGTCGGGCTGCATCGCACGGGCGTGGCCCCTGGTGAGCCGGCGCTGGCTCTTGCTACACATGTCAGCACACTCCCCATGCTCCGCCTGATCGGCGTGCAGGGGTACGAAGGGCATCTGCAGCACTTGCACAGCCGCGAGGACCGACGAACCCAGTGTCTCGAGTCCATGAAGACTCTAACTGAGACAGCATCCGCGCTCCGAACCGCGGGCTTCAACATACAAGTCGTAACAACCGGCGGAACAGGCACGGCCGAATTCTGCGCGACCGTCCCGGGGGTAACCGAGCTCCAACCGGGCTCCTTCATCTTCATGGACACCGACTACCGCAATGCCGTGGGGACATTCTACGCGAACAGCCTGACGATTCTCGCGACGGTTATCAGCCAGCAGGGTGAGCGGCGGGTCACGATTGATGCGGGGCTCAAGTCCCTAACGACGGATAGTGGGTTGGCCGAGTGTAAGGATCCGAGGTATCGGCATGAGAATCTGGGGGATGAGCATGGGGCGTTGAGTTGGGAGGAGCGGACGCCGGGTTTGGTGATTGGGGACAGGGTGGAGATGGTGCCGAGTCATATTGATCCGACGATTAATTTGCATGATGTTTACTATGCGCATCGGAGGGGGGTTATTGAGGAGATTTGGGCGGTGGATTCGAGGGGGAAGGTTCAGTAATGGAGATAGTCAAAGCATATACAAGCAGCAGAGATAAAGCTATAGAAAACCATGTTCATCCACTTCCAACAAGAGAAAAAGACAAAAGAAAGTAGTCAGATGACAGTATAAAAGCACCGCTCCGAGCACGTCCTTCCCTACATCCCAGCCAGCTACCCAGCTCAGAGCAGGATCTCGCGCGCCACGACCTGGCTCAGAGTCACCGTCCCCCCAGCGACCGTCAGAGCCACACCATCAGCAGACACATCCGGGAAGATCAGGTTCGAAATCACAGCCTCTCCCTCGCCCCCAAAGACCTCGATCGAGCACGTATCAACCAGGACACGCAAGTGGACCTCACCATTCGCACCAGGGCGCACAGTCGCAGTGTGGACACCGCCAGCTGCAGAATCATACGAGGTATTCCCGCTGGCGTTGCGATCGACCGAGAGCTGGTTGGAGCTCTGCACGTACCTGACAAGGGTCTGCTGCGAGCCTCCCTTCCGGACGGCCAGGGTGAGTGTCGACCCGGGGGATGGTGTAAAGGATATTTCGATATCGAGTGTTCTAGCATGGATGTTGGAAAGCAAAGTCTGGCCTGGGGCGAGGACTTGGTTCTCAATATCCGCGAGGGGCCACGCGTGCCCGTTGATTTCGTCCACGGGCTGTTGCAGGAACCGCAGTTTGCCGTTGGACTGCTGGAGCTCCAGCGTGCGGGGGAATGACACCATACCCTTCCAGGTGTTCGTCGGAGGGTGTCCACCGTAGCTATTCATCACGGACGCGAGAATCACCCGGCCATCCTGGGTGGGAACATTCTCCCACATGAGCGCTCCGTCAAAGTCGCGGCCGTAGTCGAGCCAGAACGCGCCTGTGGCGGTGTCAACGGGGTCTGCTGTGAAGACAGTACCGTCGAAAGACCCTGTCACTGCGAAGACGCCGTTGCCGCCAGCTGGGGAGCCAGTCGCAGGAGTAATCATCAGAACCCATTTCTTCTGCGTCGTGCCTTGGATGGGAAGCTCGAAGAAGTCTGGCACCTCCCACCCGTTGATTCCGCTGGGCAGGTTGGGGATGTTGCTGGCAGTAAAGTCACTACGCCATGTCCAGTCAATTGCATTGGTGGATGTCCAGAAGGTGAGTTTATTCTGGCCACCATGCGCAAGAATCATCACCCATCGACTCGATGGAGCATGATAGATGACTTTTGGATCCCGGATTTCCAGTCCTTGAGTGACATCGTGCGGCGCTTCCTGGGCTTGTGAGATGATGGGATTGCCCGCGTATTTGATCCATGTGACGCCCTGGTCGAGACTATATGCCAGGCGCTGATCCTGGACGCCCGTCGAGGGGAAGTACCCAGTATAAAACGCGAGATAGGGCGGGTTTGACGATGATCCCAGTCCGGAGAGATTCTGCGAGTCGAAGTACGCCGTTCCAGTGAATGCCTCTATTCCATTCCCACTGGAGATTGCAACTGGCTTGTGGTCCCAGGATACAAGATCCGTGCTTGTCGCATGGCCCCAATTGAGATTGCCCCAGAAGTTTCCAGTGGGATTGTGTTGGAAGAACAAGTGCCATGTGGACCCGATCTTTATCAGGCCGTTGGGTTCATTCATCCAATTCTGGTCGGGTACAAAGTGGAAAACAGGGCGAAAGTCGACGGGAGTCGTAGCGGAAGGCCGGGCAGTGGTGCTTGTGCTTGTGCTTGTCGTAGTCGTCGTCGTCGTTAATGTGGTACTCGTCGTGGTAGTAATGCCGGTCGTACTGCTGGTGCCGGTGGTGCTGCTGGTGCTGCTGGTCCTGCTGGTAGAGCTGCTGGTAGGCGGACCATAAATGGACCCCAGAACCTTCGCATCAATCGTGACACCACTTGTGCTGCCCCCAGATGAGAAAAGCCGGACGTCAACACCCGAGTCCTGGGGAAAGATCTGCGCCGACAAGGTGACCTCTCCCTGGCCGCCAAAGACCTCGACGGACGAAGAATCAAGAAGGATGCGCAGAGTGACCTTGCCATCACTGCCAGGTGCCAGCGGCGCGTAATACGTGTTGGAGAATGACCCGTCAAAACCAACGTTCCCAGACTTGGTCCGATCAACAAACATCCTCTTTGTGCTGAAGTCGTACCCGATTCGGGTCTGCTGTGCCAGGTCGGAAGTTGCTCGGAGCAGAAGGCCGAATTGACCGGTGGCCGAGGTCCGGTCGGAGAATGTCACTGTGATATCGAGGGTCTTGCCCGAGAGCGGAATGGATTGCGTGCCTTCGGCGACAGTGCTCAGAGCATTGGAGTATGTTCCTGTCTGCAGATCTGCCCAGTTGGCCACAGGTTGCTGGATAAGGGTTGGCCACCCGTTCAGCGTCTTGAGGGACAGTTTCCTCGGGATCGAGAGCATGCTGCGCCAGGGGGAGGTCGGAATCCTTGTCGCGTACTGCCAGTTGTTCAACCAGGCAATGTTGGTGCGATCTTCTGCGGGCAGCCCATTGAACGGTGCCGCAGCATAGTAGTCGGGGCCCCAGTCCATCCAGTTGGTCCCCCGCGGCTCAGTCGAGTCATCCGAGAAGGAGATTTCATCCACCAGGATATGGCCCCAGCCGCCTGTGCTGGAATCGACAATCTCAATGACCGCAGTTTCACCAATCAGCGCTGTCACGTCCCAGCTCCTTGGCGCGAGCTGTTCGCTGTCGCTGCCCGTGGCTGTGCGGACAACCTGTCCGCCGACTCTTAAGGTTGATGCACTCCACGCCTGGAGCATTTCCACCTCCAATGAGAAAGTTGATCCGCTTCTGGGTGATGGTAAAGGTGGGCGAGGTTAGAGTGCCAGTAGTTGAATCCTGCGCGTAGAACGTGTTGACGAAGTTTCCGCGGTAGCCAGACACGGTTTGCTGGCCCGACAGGGTCCCCTGGGCCGGGCTCTTGCCGACAAGATCCCCAGTTGCAGTCCACCCGCGACTCGCATAGGTACCAGTCCCATTGAAGCTCCACACACCGTCGCCGGTAGGCGGTTGAGTAGGCGGTTGAGAGGGAGCAGTGCCGGTAAAGGTGATCTGGTCCACGAGTATGTGTCCCCAACCGCCTGTCTGGGAATCCACAATCTCAAGGACGGCGGTCTGACCGATGTAGTCGGTAACATCCCAGGTCTGGGGTAGAAGTCTCTCCTCATTCTGGCCCGTGGCAGTCCGCACAGCTTGGCTCTGTCCGTTTATCTTCAAGTTGATGCATTCCGCGCCTGGTGCGTTTCCACCGCCGATCAGGAAATTGATCTGCGGTCGAATGATGGTAAATGGCGGCGAGGTGAGCGTGCCAGTGGTGGAGTCTCCACTCAGGAAGGTATTCACCAGGCGACTGCCAGCATATCCAGAGACGGTCTGCTGTCCGGGAAGGGTGCCCTGAGCCGGTGCAGCCCCGACCAGCCCGCCTGTGGCCACCCAGCCGCGCGAGGCAAAGTCGCCAGTGCCCTCGAAGTCTTGGAAAGTCACATTTCCAGGTGTTTCAGTTCCACTGGGGCAGTTGCAGCTAGTAGATGTCTGCGTCGCAGTAGTGCTCGACCCGGCCGTGGAGGTTGAAGACGGCGGCGGGGTGTTGCTGTCCGCAACGAATGCTGTGCCATCGAAACTGCCGACGATGTACTGCGATCCTGAGCCCACAACTCCAGGTGGTCCGCCGGGGTTGAGTCCAATCTGCACAACCCACTTGGTCTCGGCTTCGTTGCCGTCGAGGGCCAGAGGGAAGATGCTGGGACACTCCCAGACACCACCAACTGCGTTCATGGGGCCGAACTCACTGGCGTACGTCCAATCCTTTAGGTTGGGCGAAGTGTAAATGAGCAACTTGTGAAGTTGGGCTAGCGAGACAACCGACACCCATTTCTGGGTTGGTGCGTGCCAGAATACAAATGGGTCGCGGAACTCACGCCACTGATCTGCATAGGGTGCTGGGGGGTTCAGAATGACTGGGTTTGCAGCGTCATAGGTGGTCCAGGTCATCCCTTCGTCTAGACTATACGCGATTGATTGAGCTTGCTGTCCACCATTGACTGACTTCCCACTAGGAAGATTGCGTGAACCGGGGTACTAAGTCAAAGTCAATAAACGGGACCACGGTGCCACGGTATGATTTTGCAGAACTCACATAAGACGTATACATTGCCACAAAAGGAACAGTCCCATTCACACCAAAGCCACTCGTGTTCTCAGTATCCGCAACAGTGGAGCCAGAGAAGAACATCTCAGTGATGTCACCTGGATATCCACGCGCGAGCAGGGCAACAGGCTGGTGCTCCCAGTGGGTCAGATCGTCACTGGTGGCATGGCCCCAGGACATGGCTCCCCAGGTGTCTCCGCCTGGGTTGTACTGGTAGTACAGGTGGTAAACGCCATTGTGGTACAGAAGACCGTTGGGATCATTCATCCAGTTTTTGGCCGGGGTGAAGTGATACTGTGGTCGGTAGAGCTCATTGTAGGTTTGGGCACTTGCTGCCTGGAGGAGAGAGAGCCCGGCAGCTAGGCCAAGGGCCAGGAAAGAAACCATTCTGAAAAGATGGAGGCCTCCACAGTTCCAAGAGTGAGGCCGCTGTGAAAATGAAGCTGGTTATGAGTGGAAAGTGGTCCAGTCCATGCCGAAGCACAGGCTTTATATACTTTCAGGCTGTCGCCTATTCTGTCCACCGTTTGCCTTCCTTTATCGCCAGGAGTTAATACTGTATGAATCCCAAGACCTAAAGGCTCACCGGCGTGCTCTTTTCATCTGCATTCCTCTGTGGCTTCGCTGATTCTCCGCGAATGTGGCGCCATGTCGCGCAGGGGAAAAGACACTACGGAAGGACCGCTGATTTTCTGGAAGCTGGGATAGAAGGCGTGTGATTCTCGCTGCATCAAGTGATTGGTCAAACTAGGCAAATGTGGAAGCGGGGAAAGCAATATAGCGCCGTCTTTCGGTGGCATTGCATGACAGATTCGCGGAGGTCGGAAATGAAAGCGATAGTGTGGTGCTCGTGTGGCGAAGCAAGTCGTCGGTATTGAGGCCATTGTAAAGAGGCCCCGTGGGGAACCACCCCTGGAATTGGCGGAGTTCCTGCAGCAGTCGTGGGGAAAGTCAGGTCCCGACTACCGGTTGCCTAATCGCGTAATCTTCACTGCGTCGCGGAGAAATCCTAGTCTCCGCGAAGGGTGTACAAGCGAACGCCTATACTTGATTGACTTCGGCACTTGATCCTTCGGCTTTTCCTTTGCCCCGTGTCAGCAGGGGCAGCCGGTCATTGATTGGTGGAGTTTATTTTCCCCGCCCTGCACACTCGGCTCACACGCATAGCACACTCCGACCAAGGCATCCGAATCTGAACCACCTGGCTCAGCAGCCGATTTGCAAAGTATGGCTCAGGGATGGTCTTTTGCTAGGGGGCGGTGCGACAGACTGCTGTTGCCTGCACTGAGGAAGTAGCCAGGGTCATATTAGTATCTATATCCAACTTTCTGAGAAGCTGTACTATAGTCCCCGCCGCCTGGACATTCCAAATGATTTAGACGTTCCTCTGGGCGCTTCGGTTGTCCGTGAACCACTACCCGTGCGTCTCCGCCTGCGCCACCACCTCTTTCCTCTTCGCCTGAAGACACTCCAAGACCAGAACACCAGGGCCACTGCTACGCCCTGCCCCGCAATCCCCCGCGGAATATCCTCCCACACCGATGTACCTGTCCTTCAACCATCCCCGCCCAGTTAAGATGGAATAGTTCGCAAACGTATTAACCAGCGACGCCGCAACACCCTCATGCTGCAACGGCATGGGGCGAGTCATAATGATGGACGCCGCGGGGAAGGACATGTCCCTCCCCCAGCGGAGGAAGAGTATCCCGACGAACGTCTGCGACCAGTAGGTTTGGGGCACTGAGGCGGTTGCGAGGAGGATCGCCCCGGTTAGGAAGGCGGTCATCGCGATGAGGATGACGGTTGAGGCGCGGAGGGTTTCGAGGAGGTTTATTGCGTAGAAGACGAGGATGCCAAAACTGGACCACCCTGTGCTAATGCAGGCCACGGTGAAGAGGGTGGAGAGGTGGAGAGGTGGAGGAAGCCGGGTGGGATTAGTTGGTGCGTGCTGACGCGCTTTTCCAGGAGGACGCAGACTGAAAGAGCGCGATCCCGGTGATCATGATGGTGTAGGTGTATCGCGTAGGCCACCCGACGGCGGGGCCTTGGTTCTAGGCGAAGTTGAAGAGTAGGAGGGCGGATACGCCAGCCATAAAGCTAAATATGTCGATGCGCTGCCAGTTGCTGTTTGTCCTAATCATTTGTCTTACACTGCTGGCCCTTGGCCCTTCGGGCTCGGAGTCACGTGGCGGCGCGGTTGGAGGGAGCCAGGACGGCAAGCAGAAGACACGCGAGGCACAGGACTCAGTAGGACACAGCGCCGAGAAAAAGCCGAAGCCGCCCGGGGCCGTAGCCCCAAACAGGCTCAAGATCAAGTTCGGGCGGAGACCAGAGTCATAGCAGCGGCAATGATCGCGATGGCATTGGGCAACAGGAATGCCGGGTCAATCCCCTGCATCATGCGGCAGAAGATGAAGAAGCTCGATGAGCTACTCCACCCGGCGAATCCAGCTACGGCTGACAGTAGGGCGGACCATGCGTAGCCGCCCAGGAATGCCAGCTTGTGGCCGAAGGCATCGCCGAGGCGGCCGGCAATTTGAATAAAGGTGCCGACGTGGAGCGAGTACCCGGCGGAGAACCAGTCCAGCGTTTCAGGTTTGTCGTCTACGCCGAATGTGCGGCGATGACCTGTTTTGGGAGGATGCTGAGGAGAAGGGAGGCTTGTGTGAGCAGTTGGGAGGAGCAGTTGACTGCGACAAACTGAGCTTCGCCAGCAAGAGGTTGCAGACCTTGAGCTGTAGCATCAAAGGGTCGAATCTCATGGTCTGTGGTGTTGACGTCGTGCAACTGGATGCATTCGCGGCTCTCAGACTCTGTTCCTGGTAAGGTATTCTTTTCGATTAAAGAGACGGACAGAGATTTGTGGAACAGCTTAGGGCAGCTCACGATACGACATGTACTAGAGACCCTGATCAGCCAGTATAATGTGCCGCTGTGGTTGCTATATTTAACTCCGCGCTCTCTCGAACTTGAGAACGAGTCCCTGTACTAATCCCTTGACTCCTCTGTCTGCCCATTGAAATTACTAATTCCGAAGTCTGGATTATTTACCGAAGTCTGGCATGGTCATTGCCGCTTCAAACGTCGTGCGGGCCAGTGCGCCTATTGCGGACGTGGCCCAGGCTGGCTCGGGTACTCGGGTCTCTGCGGCTGAGCCATAGACTGTGTCAGCCGGAAATCCGAGCTAACATTCAACATCAGTCTGTCATGGCAACTTTTTGGTCGACTGGTGAAGTTGTAAGACTGGCAGCAACTAGTCCCAAACGTGCATTAGCCCCTGGGACGAGGATGAATAGTGGATTCAGGCTCTCCTAGCCTAAATGTCGCTCCGAGGTTCTATCCTCCTCTTGGTCCACCGGCGATGGGGCGATGTCTTTCAGCTTCTGGAGTGATTCCCAGTTTTATAATGTCTATCTACGCGGAGACATCCTTGCTATCTCTTGTTTGTGCCCAGCCAGCGGGTGCGTGCGGCCGCCACCTAGAATGCCGCAGGACCGCCATGACCATTGAGGCCTGCTTCGGGCGCACTGCCTAGATATCTCGCCTCTCCGCTACGGCGTCACTCAGGTACACCAACGACATACGCTGATGTATAACTAGTCCTGGAGGCAATGGATAAGGTCTCGAGAGTAAATGGGTCCGATATCTCCGCGACCCTGGTGTTGGTCATATCACAGAGTACGCGTCCAAGAACATCCTACCCCTCACAGAATCCAGAATCGACAGATCTCTTCGACGACCGAGCTCACAGGATTGTCTCCAAAGTCCTTTTCCTCACCCGTTCATCTTACAACACTAAGCACTTTTGCATCTCACTTAGCTCTGACTATCCAGCTAACGAGGGTCTTACATAGATACTTCTCTGGGAGCGCACTTGGACAACAAAAGCAGCCGCGGAAACACACAAGGGCACGGCGCATATGTTCGGTGAGTGGGGCGGCCACGCCCAGGGCATCCACCAGATTCTGGTCGCGAGGTCTGGACCGCGTCAGAACTCGAAGGGGTGGGAGCTAATCAGTAGCACATGAATGGCATTTGGCTTGTCGAGGCGACGATCAAGTAATTCGCCGGTGTTTCTGGGGATTGGCACCTCAGGGTACACCTGAAGCACGGAGATGGGCGCGTGGCGTATCCGGAGAAGGCGGCGATGTTACCGGTTGAGGAGGCGTTGACGGTGCTTTGATGGAATAGCACGAGAGCGCTGGAAGCATCGGGGTGCGACGTACAGTGCGTTATTCACTGACTATACCTGCCCTAGGCTAGTGACGCCTTCAATACATTAATAATGAGATCTAATTTGGCGAAGTCTTGGAACCTCGTCTGTCATGAATATCGGGCCTATGTTGGGCAATCCTCCCGGACAGAAGATTTACGCCACCTCATCAGCTTAATGGACTGTCGCACTCGGTGTCTACAATGAACCATCGGGAGAAACAGTCGACGTGGGAAGGACGAACCCACTCCCTGTCCTGATATAGCAAACTATAATATTGGATAAGAGAACATATGCTCCAAAGCCGCATGAGTTTTATTGTTTGGTAAAAGATATATAAACGACTAAATGGACAGTGAAGCGAGAGTGACACCGCTGAAATTCCCCAGTTGGCCCAGCTGGCTACCTTTCAGCGACTAATAAGAAAGCATGACATGACAATCGTGATTCCCCCGTAGCTCGTGGTGCTGCCCGGAGGTGCAAAAAGTGCCTCCTTGAGCTGATTGCGGCCCATAGGACTTGAGAAAGCATCCACCTCTTCTGCCGCTCACGGTCTAGACCGTTTAGGAATGAACATCCTGGCAAAGAAGACCGACGCCAGCCTGTACGAGCACGCACAATGTGGTTAGTGATGCGAACATATTCCCCTACCCAAGACCACAACCCTTCTACAGGCTCGATGGGACTCACAATAGGGACAGTGCAGCACTGCGGCTTTCCTCCAATGGTCCCCTCGCACACGTCTTCAGCGGTTACGCACCAGCCCGGGATGTTGCTCGCTAGTGGTGCATGGTGTGGTTAGCGAGGTATTATCTCATGGGAACAAAGTACGCGAGCATAGGACAGGAGAAAATCTTACGGGGCTCGCAGTCGATGGATACGACGCCGCCCAGGACGCGGGTGACGCAGCACTGGAACGAGGTGTAGAACAGGCCGGCGTTTGCGCAGAATGCCTCGTTGGGGTTGAGGATGTCGGAGCGGGCCTCGACAACGGTGGTGTCGGCGGGGAGGGCCATGGCAGTGGCGGCAAGAGCGACGAGGGAGATGAATTTGTACATTCTTGCGGATGTGAGAGGGGACTTTGGGTTGGGCTGAAGATGGATAACCGGAGTAGGGAAGATCAATCGAATTTGAGATGGAGTGCTAATGGTCTGGAGATGCTCAGAAACAGGCGTGCGCCAGCCTCTTTATAACATTTTGATCGGGGGGACAGCTTATGATCGATGATTTTGCACGTCCAAGTACTTCTGCTCGTTGCTGAGGGTATCTTGTAGCGATAGGTCTAAGTTACATTGTAAGCACCCTCGTGGAATACAGTTTGCACTCGAGACGCCGCCAAGGGCTACATCTCCTCGAGAGGTGAAAATTACCCTTTCGATAGGGCCTGGATTCAATGTTGGCCGGCTCAAAACTGACAAGGAGTGAAAAGTGATCGGGGCCACTTTCCCGTTGGGGTGCTACACGCAGGATATTCACTGTACACATGTAGCGATAGGTTCCGAGCGGAAGTACCCTGCAGATCGACCGCTTGATCGAAGACGAGGCAGCGGCTCAATGGCCCGACCAATCAAACAGTCGTACCAAGCAGGGGCAAAAGCGGGGGTTCAGCCCCATCCTGCGGGTGCTCCCGCGCCAAGTGCGCACAGCAGCCCAACAGGGTATCGCAAAGCGAGCGTGACTGGGATCTTCGATCTCGCGGGGACCAGCCACCGATGTCACGGTGAATTCCTGCATTAAGACCGAACGCCTAAATGGAGCTGCCAGGGAAGGATCCTGGTTGACATGCTCCACCTGAAGCAAACATCAGCTTTTCGACCAATGAGCCCATCGTCCACTCTGCCAAGAGTGTGGTCTTCAGGGCAGAAAGGTGGCAGGTGGGGTTCTCCGAATGTGACAGGTCAGCTCAGCTGGTTTACTGGTGTCTTTGCCTGAAGGATCTCGATCGGTCGGTGAGCACGCAGATCGCCTTCGATTCCCTGATTTTCTTCCGCCCCCAATGCGGAACCAACACGCTAAGGTTCGAATAGGTCCATCACATTGGGCTGGAGTCCAGTATAGCAGTGACATGGACAGAGTCGCCTGGACCAACTACCCCAGCGTACGGAGTACGATTTGGTTGGATTTGTATCCCATCTCTGATCTGTCGACAAGTTACTTTGCTTGCACACTCTGGATTACGCAGTCGCATGTCAGGGGATAACAGGAGAAACGAAGACGAATTGTGACCGGAATCTGCTACATACTTTAAGCTCTCCCTCACAGTCGCTGGAGCGGGCGACTGTAACACACCAGCGGCGGGCCCCAGAAACAATCCATGAGATTCTTCAGTTGCCGAGCGAGTAAGAGCCCTTGGTAGCCGAGCACGTTAACGCACATGCATAACCCAGAGCACACGCAAGTACCCCAAGGAGCAGGGATACGATCAAGGCTGCGTTTTCGACACCATCCTGCAAGGCGCCTCCCCCTACAGAGAGGCAAACAATTCTTCGTCCGAAGCTCAGTCACTAGTTAGAGTTACAGAAGGAATTCGATGCTGATAGTACTTTCACCGATCTTACATAACTTCATCTCGTAAGAACTACACATAGATGTATGTAGTCAGAGATACTCTGGCCGAGGTGGACACAGATTTGGGCAAGTGATGACGTACCACACTAAATAACCATGCTGTGTGTCTCATGCATAGTTTTAAGAAGATTAGAAGAAGAAGACTCAGGTATTCAACCGCATATCCTGAGGGGCCCTCAATTGATAATGCATTGCTGCCTGTATCTCAGCCAGTGGCTTCCTCTGCCCAAGTTCAATCTGTCAGCCCATCCTTTCAAACTCCTCAGGGCACGTCTGCCAAAACCGCCCACTCCTACTCACTCTCTAGAACTCCACATTAGAGACCTCAGAGCCCTAATCAACCTCCATTAATAGACCCTCAAAGGCACGCGCATAAACGGCAGGGCGAGGCACCTGAAGGGATTTTCTCCAATTGATAGTCCAACCTCTCAATCGAACATCGTTCAACAAGTGCGAGGAGCGCGGCGAAAACGTTGCACAGGATCGTCTTGGTGGTTCTGCTGAACGGAGAGAAGAGAGTGAACGAGTTGATAAGCAAAATGTACGAGGTCGCATCTATATCGCTTGGTCGAGGTAGGTATTGCAGCTTAAAACCCAGGACGTGTTAGCAATTGATCAAGATGCCTAGTTAATATGGCCATCATTAGATCGCTGAGTCATCTTTATGCACACAAAGCCGGAAATGGCAGACCGCATCATCGATTTCCGAGGTGGCCACGTGACCCGCGAAGGGTTTCTTTGTTCTTTTGTCTCGACGTCAGGGGTGGAATGCCCACCAAACCAGCTGTGACACGCGTTATTAACTGCTCCTGCTAAGCTGGTACCTGCTATCAATTCCAGGCCCTTCTCATTGGTTCCCCCCTTGGCCATAGTAGAGTCTTAATGGATCGGGTCGAGAGACGGAGCCCGTACGGGCTGGCGTGCATGAACTGTTTCAAGACCAAAAGCAAATGCGTCGCCACGCCGGATGGCCGGAGCTGCCACAGGTGGGGGGGCGGATCATGTCCCATGCATGTACCAACCATTGCCATGCTAACTATTGGCCAGATGCCACCGGCTCAACAAGGAGTGTCTCCCCTCCAACTCGCTGAGGAAGCGATACTCCAAGAAGGCTCTCGCTGAACGACTCGATAGCCTTACCGCACTGCTGGAGGCAATCCAGGCGGCGTCTGGAGCCACCACTGCTGGAACTGGGGGTATCCCCCATTCGCCCTCCTCAACCACTGGCTCGGCCTCTGCCTCTGCTGCCTCGCACCCGTCGCCCATATCCGCGGACTACTTTGCATCTCCTCATGGAGCCCAGTCCGCAGAACAGTCTTTTGCAATCTTCCGCGACCAAATGTTGCCCTACTGCCCGTTCATCTACATCCCCGCCACAGTCCCCGCCCAACAACTACAGCGCGAACAGCCCTATCTCTTCCGCGCAATCATGGTCGTGACTATGCGCTCAGTCCCGGAGAGGGCCTCGCAAGGCAGCACGCTCAAACGGCTACTGTCCGATGCAATCGTTGTCGAGGAGCGCTCCGACTTTGACCTGCTGCTGGCGGCCCTGACCTACGTCGCCTGGGGTCACGACCAGTTCACCAATGGGCCCGCGACCACACCACGCATGATGGACCTCGCCTTGTCGATTGTCTGTGGTCTCCGCTGGAACAAGCCCCTGCCTATCAATGCACATATGCTCCCGATGATGGGTGTCCCCAGCTATCCGGGGCTCAGTCCGATTGTCTGCTCCTTGGAGGAGCAGCGCGCTGTCTTGGGTTGTTTCTTGTTAAGCTCTTTGTAAGCTGCCCCGTCTCTCCCTTCCATCAATAACTATCGTATCGCTCCGAGGAAATAAGGCGTGGGGCTGACGCCCCAACTTACCTAGTGTCTCGACATACTTTGGGCAGATGGAGTGCATGCGCTGGACGCCGCAGATGGATGGCTTCCTGCAGACCATCGAGGCCAACACCACGTGCCCAAGTGACCCCATGCTAGCTGTTCTCGTCAGGCTGCAGCGAGTCGTGCACGGTGCCGAGTGCACGCGTGATGTGCACCAGGGCATGATGCCGATTGGCCTCTTTACCTCGTCGCTCCTGTCGCAGGTTCGCCAGATCGTCGAGTCGATGCCGCCGGAACTGCAGATCAAAGGTTCTTATTTAGTCCCGTCTATCTACCCCATTGCTTGCTCAGCGGAGAACCGTGCTAACTCGAACCGGGGAACTCTACAGAGGTCTTCCGCCTACAGCTCCACTACACCGAGCTCAGCATCCACGAAACCGCATTCACCGCCAACATCCATCCCACCAACCTCAACCTGCAATCCGCCCTCGACACCAGCTCGGGCCCAAGTCTAACCGAAGACCAAGTCGTCTGCATGTGGAGCTCCCTCCAAGCCATCGAATCCTGGGTCGAAGTCCTCTTCCGCATCCCACCAATCGAGTACGAGGCATTCCCAATCGGCATGGTCGCGCAGGTCGGACGCGTCCTCGTCACCCTCTACCGGCTGTCAACCCATCCGAGTCCAACATGGGACTGTCTCGAAGTGTGGCGGACAGTCGACATCGTCGACGTCATTGGGAAGATTACATCGAATATGCAGTCGATACCGAAACAGGGGGAGGAGAGTGTGCCGGCGGACCCCGGGCAGGAGCTAAAATGTGCACGGTTCTGTAACTCGATTCAGGCGATACTGGAGGGGAATGAAGATGTGGAGGAGCCGAGTCCCGCGGGCGTGGGTGAGACGGGTAGGGGCGGCGCCGGCGTCGGCGCGGGGGGGTCCGTGCAGCAACAGTACTATCAGGCGTCTGGGTCCAGCCTTGGGAGTGGGAGCGAGGCTAATACGTCGTTCATCTCCAGCTCGGAGACGGACATGCCGTTTTCATGGACGCCAGACTGGCCTGGGAGGAGTTTATGAGGCCGAGTCCCTTGAATCTAATGCGTTTCTTGTTAGCTAGTCCGGGTCTTGGGCGTTCGTGGAGTATATATAGTGCTTGCTTGGTAATGGTCAATAATCGCGGAGTCTCGGTTTTGTAACAAACACTGTGTCAATGACACCATCAAGATCTCACTATACCACACTGCAATGCAACCTTTCGGCTACTGTCTACCTCGTCAGCTCCTGGCCAGGCTGCTTGGTCTGTGGGCATTGTGGTTACATTGGGATTGCGGTCGTCGGAGATTGAAGTCCCAATGAGGTTATATATACGATATGGAGTATGAGGCTACCTCTTCTTCAAGAGACACGTGACAGCTACCATTATCCTATCTAATCGACTATCATGTCCTTGTGGGATCCCGCAGTTTGAATCGTTGTTTGCCACAATCCCGAAGCGGTATTCTAACGTTATTTGAACAGTCTGTTTGCTTCTTCTTGGTATCCAGCAGGTGCTGATCGACAGTTGGAATGGAATTAGGCTTACACTGGCTGCACACCGATCTATGCAAAAATCCCCGCAGTTACAAGTACTAACTTAGCTGTCAGTCAAGGTATTTCTTTCCGTACGGAACGACAATTTTAGGTGGGCTGTGCTTTGGCTACCAAGGGAGCTGTATTCGGATAACGGGGTCATTAGTGCCTTGGCAAGGGAGTAAATTGACCGGTTTCATGTCTGTGCAGCGTACGCACGGAACGCGCATCCTCTGAGACTGGCATTGAGCGTGAAAAATGTTATTGGGTAGGGTAGTTGGAAGGATCATCCTCAGGGTGGTTCAAGTCTCTGCGTCATCATCCCTCACGTGATTATCTAGTGCAACCCTGACGGTCCCCCGTTCCAACCTTACCGTACCAAAACGTACATCAGCCCAGCCTAGTGTGCAGGAGGTTGCAAATGGTACCGTAATATGATAAGAAACTCCTCGCAGAGTCCCCGCAAGGCGTTGTGGATGGCGTCAGCGGCATTGTGAGCTATGATAATGGCCAATAGAGTTCCACTGGATCCAGAACGCCCAACAGAAACTGACTCTAGCCTTGACCTTCGCATATTAGTATGGGGCTTGTACAAATGCGGGCGTATTGTGATAAGCATTCAACAACAGTAACAAATATGACAGACTTGGCAAGAGAAACATTATGTTTATGATAAACTAGTCATGAACACCGCACAATAGCTCCCAAGACCGCGACCGCAAAAGCCTTCTCCTGCAGGTCACCAGAGGCTGTCCAGATGCCAATTCCGAGAAGCTCCTAGCACGCTTCAGCTTAACAGTCAGTGGCGGCGCCTCGTTGCTGGCCGCTGCAAGGGGGACCCCAGCCTCAAGCGCAATAAGACGCGACTCGAGTTCCGCAAGCTCTCTCTCCCTGGGCTGCAGACCGACAGCGATACTATCGTCTTCTTTACTGTCTGCCTGTATCCTGTTTTTGGGGCGGTGCAGTTCGATGCTTACTTCGCGGGCTTGCACCAGGAATGCGCGTGCCTGTTTCAGGAACGGTTGAAGAACATTGGCAGTAAGATCCCCAACCTGCTCAGTTCTGATTATGTGCTCGCCGCCGGCGATGTAGTGATCCGCAAAAAAAATCAACATGCCAAAGTCTATAAGACCATCCCACCGGGAGACATTCCACGCCGAACGAAGGAAGAGTATTGTCTGCTCAAACTTCCGGTCACGGAGAGCTGTATCGGCTTGGAAGACCATTCCCACGTAGAAACGTACCCTGTGGTTGCCAAAACACCAGGATGCTGCATCAGCTGATACGAGCCCGGCGGCTGACTGGTGCCCCATTGCAGAAAGAGAATCCGCCAAGCGGCGGTAGTAAATGACTGTTGTTAGCGTGCGGTTGGTATCACCAAGCAGGATGTCAATGGCCTTTAAACAGAGAAGGACACGTTCGCAGCGAAATGCAGGGACTGGGGGATCTTCCAAATGCGATGCTTTGTGTATCCACCAATCGGCATCCGCGGAGGCGTTTCTTGATTTCAGCTCCTCTGCTTTTAAGAGCGACGCGGAGCGCAGGAAATCCCTATAGTCAGACTTTATGATGCCCATTGCTTCCATTTCGTCGGCCAATGGTTGGATTCGACCAAATGTATACGCTGCTTCGTCCTCTGCAACATTACCAGGCGCGATGGTCTTGCGAAGATATCTAGTGCACTGTTCGTAGCTACCCGTGAGAAGCAGAGTATATGCAAGGTAAGGGACGGCATCCAAGCTCTCCTGGTGCTTGCTGTCGTCTACAGGCTGTGCACCGTTGGCGGCTTGAAGAAAGGCCGCCTTGGCCTGGCCGAAGTTGTCTAACCTGGCAAAACACCAGCCCATCGTGCTGTACGTCTTCCTTCGATACTGCATGTTCAGGCTATCCTGGTGACTTGGAGGCAACTTGTCCAGGAACTCCGCGAACCTCCGGCAGCAGGTAATGCACCCTCGCATGTCACCCGCATGGTAAAGTGCGACCCTCTGTTGGTCAAAACAATATTGCGTTTGCAATGTCGGCTGATCCATCCGGGGGACACCGTCTAGGATAGCCAGAGTCCGATCCATTAGCTCAGCTGGATCGGTGTGCTTTCCTTTCTCGCTATACGCGCAAGCAACATTCACAAGGCAGTTCATTCTCCAGCCTAGCCCCCGTCTCGTCCGGGACAACGTCTCGAAGATGCGGCTTCCGCTCTTTGCGCGCTTCACCCCAACAAGTCTCTCCAGGGAGCGCAGTGCACCTCTCGCTTCTTCGTCCCGCCCCTGGAGTATCAGTGATATTGTAAGGGTTGTATATGCGTCGAATTCGATTGCGAGGAAGTGCGGTTGCGACTGGACTCGAGCAGTCTTCCGAATAGCCTCTCTTGCTAAGCCGATTGCCTGTATGTGATCTTCTGTGGCAGTACTGAGAGCCAGAAGACTCAAGCATTCCCAGAGGGTGTTGTCACCCCTGGTCCTCCTGAATGCTGTCTCAGCGAGCATCTCCGTTGATCCCCAGTCTCGTCGTTTGACAGCCATTGTGTACATGAGCAGGACAAAGGGCACGGGTAGGACATCCGGTGAAAGCGCCATAAGGTCAAACGTCATCATTTTCAGGTTTGAGATTGCAAGGCCGCGGAACACCTTGTTGAATGTCAAAAGAGCCTGGGGTATTTTCTGTCCAGCGAGGACAACATTCCCCTTTAGGCACTTGGTCAGCATAGCGGGGAGCGTTCCTTCCTCGATCAGCCTACCAGCGCGGCCGGTCACACTTCGCACGCTTTTAGAAGCAGTGTCGGGTGGACTGATGCCTATACAATACGGATAAAACATGACGGCCAGCGCAAATACAGATTCCAATACCTGGTACCGCGAATCCTCAAGCCCGAAACAGCCCAGCCGCCGTCGTAGCTCTGTTTCGTATATTGAAAATAGTGCCGTCGGTCGCCAATCAAACTTGACAGATGCCAGTTCCGACCAGTAGTGAAGGTGGTCCACGTTTCTGTGCCACTGGTTGCCTTGGATGGTGGCCAACGCGTACTCAATCATAGCCCATGCTTGGGGAGTTTTACCGACACGGCGGATCTCTGAATAGCCCCACGCGCTGTCACCATAGAGGATGACTCTGGCAAGGAAGTAAGGAAGCAGCGAAGTTGCGTAAGAGAAGAAGGGATACTTTGATGGCAACGTCGGTGCACCACCGTCTGTTAGGGGGTATCCCAGGTCAAGCCACTCAAGATACTTGACGCAAACTGACGCCATATGCTTGTGAGCATCTGAGCGATTGATTCGAAAGTACTCTATATCAGCATCCTCTGCATGCCACTCTTCCGTTGGCCTAGTTAGGAAATCAATCAACGAGGCGTGAATCAGATGGTAACGGCCGTCAGTGAGTCGCAAAAAGTCTCCGCAGGCGTCTATGATACCGTCAACAGGTATGAGGCTGTCTTCAATCCTTGACACAGTACTAACATGGGTTGCATAAGCATAACGTAGTTCATCCGCAGTTAATGGCTCGGGGGAAGCGATGATTGACGTGAGGAGAATGCGTGCTCGATTCATAGACGCAGAGGGCTTTGTCCGTGTGCCACTTGTCCTCGCCATTAGCTGTTGGAAAAGACGGTGGTATTCGCGGTCAAGCTCATGGGGAACTTGCTCCAGAGTTTTTGTGATTTCCTCTGTGGTGTAGCACCGCCTGAGTTGCTTCAAGATAAGGGTGGTCCATAGGAACATGACCTGCGACTGCTCCTGAAGACTCCTCTGGACCATCTGCTTGGCCTCCGGAGCTTTCAGAGTCAGCAGATGGTCCAGCTCGGCAGCTATAAACCTGTTAATATCGCCGCGTGTACAGTCCTCTGTCACCTCGAGGCTGAGCGTCGACTCTTTCAGAAGCGTGCGAATGGAGGGCTCGCGGCCTGCGACCAAGAGATGAATCCCAGCGTGGCTCTTAACAAGATCGAGGATGATCTCAAGACAGCCCTGGCCCCGGACATTCCAGTCATCGACCGACTCGTCCACTCCGTCCACCAAACAGTAGAGATCAGTCGCGTTGGCGGCCAGAGCTTGGTTAATGGCCGCAAGGACGTTACGCTCATTGATGCTGGATTCGGAAATTAACTCGCTTGTAACAACGCGAACTTGGCTCTCGGAAAGAGAACTCAGAAGCTGCCAAAGAAGCGACCGTAGAAAGTCTAGGAATTTGCGTTGGGTTTCACTGCCAGCCCAAAAGGCAAAATGCGATACGTGTTCCCCCCGATGCCTAAGATGGTCAGCGATGGATTTGACCATTACCGACTTTCCACAGCCTTTGGGGCCGTAGACACAGATTATGCGACCTCGAAAACCGGTCGATGGTGACGCTGGCCTGTTGATCCAGGGTGTGAACGCTGGATGCGACCAGATCCACTCGCAGGTGCCATCCAGCCGCTGGGGTACGAAGTTGTCGCCCGACGGTCGCAGGAAGGTACGGAGGGTCAATCGAAGGTCAGAAGAGGAGATTTCGCGGTGTTCTGCAAGTGGTCAGCATCAGCACAATGAAGAGTGCCGTGGCCCTCCCTACCTTGGGCCAGTCTGTCATGATGGTGGGCGATGATCAGGATGAGCGACGTTTTCACTTGGGTGACCCGATTAAGCGACTCCTTTAATGTTTTATCGAGCCTCGTGAACAAAGGAAGCGCTCTCCTCAGAAAGCTGGACGGTTCCTTTGAGAACTTGATCTGCAGAGTTGCTTGAAGCGACGCAAACTCGGTCCGCAGCTGCGAGAGAACCGGTGCAACTCCCTGCAGTTGGGATTTGTTGGTGGGATTCGACTTCCATCTCTGCTGCACATCCTTCAGAATGTTCTCAATCTCTGTGAGCTCCGAGAGGAGCTCCCCTGCGACTTTTACGCTGGATCTCCTGTTGCCCAGCCCCCGCAGCGTAGCAGTCACTTCGTGGACAATGTGGATAAGGCCAGGAATTCCGGCGACGACACCGACAATTTCCATCGTTGATGGCGACGCTCTGGGTTGCGAGGAAGATCTGAGCGGGGACCAGCGGGGGTAAAAGCGCCTGGGGGGACTCAGCCGCTCAGCCTCGTTGACTTCCTCATTTGGCCGGGACACCTGGCATGCAGCATGCTAGTCCATTCCAGGCCACGCCCAGCAGCTAAGCCAGGTTTGAAATTTGCCTAGCCCTCCATGAACCATGATTGGCTCTGTAAGCGCTGCGAGGCATAGCTGCGCAGAAGGCGTGATGTCTCGCGCCCAGCAGCACATGTGTCTGAAGGATGGTCTGGCATTGATGACGCTTTAATGACAGCGAAAAAGTCGCTGGGTCAAAAGATATGACCTTTGGGGAAGGGGCAATGTGCCTCCAGGCTCAGGGGCTGCAGGCCTAACGCCGGCCGGGCTACGTCTTGAGAGCAGACAAGTATGCGGCTTTGAAGCACGTAACAATGTCGAGCGAAGGGGCAAGGTATAGATCAATTGGCCCTGGAGATGATACAGAGTCTCTGACGTCCTGTTGCAAAACAGTGCCCTCGAAACCCAACGCCGGATACTGCTGCATATTATCCGCCAATACAGGTAGCGGCTTGGCAATACAACACACTTGGGAGATATAAACGGCAAACTTCATAAACAAGGTCTTAGGCACAAGCCACTACGCGAACGGCGTGACAGTCGGCCTCACACAAAGCCCCTCAACACAAACATTATTATAGCAGCAATTCTCATCTGCAAGACAAGGGCCCAAGTCCTCGGAGCAACCAGGCCAGTCCTCATCCGTCGGACGGCATCGGGTCGCAGCGCAGTACCCAGAGCAGCAGCCGGGGCCCGAACCGAATGTGCATTCACCTGCCAGTATCATGTCAGAAGGTAGTGTCCTGTGGGGTGCATACTTGGATAGGGTCGTAGTAGGGCTGAGCATTGGTTATGCTTCCAGGAGATTTACGTACCATAGACTCCGACACAGGTTGGGTACGGCACACAGGTTGTGATCACAGTCGAGGATGGCGCGGTGAAGGTTTTTGTGGTGCAGAATTCGGTGCCGATGCAGCCATCGTACTCGCCGCAGCCGACTGCTGCCACAGGGGTTATATCTGAAGAGATCATGTAAGCAAGAGCGTCATGGCGTCTTGTTGGGTGGGAACGTACAACCCAGTATGGGCAGGAGAGGACTGAGGACTTGGGTGAGGTGCATACTGTCAGCGTTCGATGTAGTCTAGTACTAGAGATTCTGTTGATCTGAGAAGTAGGACCGACGAGAGTCCCACAGGACCAGAACAAAAGGCAGATTATATGTTTCCATCAAACAAACAGAGTCCTGCTTCATGTCTCATTCCCGGACACGCGATTGGCGGTTGCGGTGCAGATGATCGTCGGAATACGAAGCGCAGCATCACCTTGACATATGAACGGGCAAATGCGGTAAGCCAAGACAAAAGCATGATGAAGGTCTCAGATTCAGGATTGCAGGATGTGAAGCTGAGGGTAGCGGTGTGGCCTCTGGTTGGGTTCTCATGTGCTCTGAGGAAGGAGGGCTGTCTCAGAAGTTAGGGCTGGGATTGGATCGACCGAGGTGATTCGTGACACCGAAGGAAGTCAATGCCCCTGACGATAAACGATCACCGTATTAGCTGAGGAGGACATGACGTATGACGCGTGCCTTTTGGCCCATATATTCAATGTCAAAGCAAGGGTACTTTCAGGGAAGGTGCTTTCGTTGGTGAGTTGAGGCTGGGGAGAGGCTGTCGGTCATCTCGGTGAAGTACTTGAAGGTCGTCAAGATCAAGCTTCTGATAAAAATCCTCGTCGAAAGGGGATATTCTCGTGGACTTTCAAGTATGTAGAGCAGTCTCACCTCCTCGTCTGACCCAAGTCGGCGATGATGCTCGCTTATCGAATACGAGCTGTGGGCCCAAATTCCACCCCGCATCGTCAGGCCAGCAGATCTTGACCTGACAACACACCCACCGCATGGCAGCCACGACCAGATATCATAGGCTTGAAAGCCTTCCGAGACATGAGGTCCGCATCCGAAACCGTTGAGCTGTCGCATGAGACTGATAGCGTCAGGTCGAGAAGTTGACGAGGAATACGAAGAATATTCGGAACGTGTCTGTTCTCTCATTAGGTGCCATTCCTTCTCCTCTAGCTGCCCCACTAGTTATGTTATATTCATCCTCCAGCAGGGCACCAAAAATCGAACCTGGCGAGTCTTTTCGCGCAGAGCGCTTCTGATGCTGGTCGTGATGATGGAGCTCAGGACACTGATGACTGCGACACCCTCGCGAAGCAAATTGTGCAGTCATTCTCCGTGAAACTCGAGGCAGCGAACCAAAAGAAGCAAAATCAGAACGGATATCTTCTCAACCTCATCACGGACCCTGACTGCCCGGTCCAGCCCCAGGCTGCTGCATTAAGCCTGCGCATCACAGACGGCGCTATCATCGTGCTGGATGCTGGATTGCGAATATGGTATGTCATCCTGTGCAATGTGCCCGTATTTTATTAATTTAAATGTAAAACCAAGGTCCCAAGCAGAAGGACTTCTTTCTACGGCTATATTAGAAAGGAACAAAGTTGTCATCCTGTTGGACATCGAGTCGCTTCTTGCCCGACGCCCGAGCAAAGAGGATCTGTATCAGACGCTTAGCGCTCAGATCCGCACCATCAATGCCATTATTGAGAGATCCGGGCAGTCCCTCGGTCAGGCGCGCATAGCTCCGGTGGTTGGGAATGTTGCGTTTTCCTGTCTTGCTCACGGCTGGGCAGTCAGCCTCCCCCAGTTTGCGGCTCTATGCAAAAAGAGGTTTGGCATGCCATCTGAGAACTTGGCTGGGCGTCTTTGGGTACGTCTTGTTATTTTTTTTGCGTGTTTTTGTCCGTTGGTGGCTCATGCAAAGCAGGGCGACAGCTACTTCGACTCTGAGCGCTGCGTATGGAGCCAGGAAGCAGGGTATGACGGGACAGCATCCGACCGATCCTTCAACGCATTCATCCTGGGCCCAATTTTCGAGATTTACGACGCATACAAGTCAGACGGTCACCGAGTCCAGGATATCCTCGACACGTTTGGTATTACCCTCGACGCAGAGCAGCAATTATCAGGCGAACGCCTCCTCCAGGCTGCTATGCACAGGCTATTCCCTGCATGCGACACCATCCTCGAGATGATATGCACACATCTCCCATCGCCAGTATCAGCTCAACAATACCGCTCAGAGTGGCTATATCAAGGCCCCCTCGACGACGAAGCCGGGGCTGGAATCCACACGTGCGACGAGAATGGACCGCTCGTGCTCTACATAACACGGTCCATGCCTACGGCAGATGACAAGAGCGTTTACTTCCTCGGTCGCGTTCTCTCAGGGACAGTCACAGCCGACCAGGATGTGAGGACACTTCAGGGGCACTGGAGATCACCGCGTGGGGGGAGCATTACAAGAACAAGTATTATCGCTGGGTTGGCAGCGTTGACTGTTGACTCTGTACCCGTTGGCAATATCGTCGCGGTTCAGGGCAAGCTCCTGACGTCCTCTAGCAGCCAGCAGAGCGAGAGTGAGCCCTTTACGATTACAGCCTCGGACGTAGCCACGAGGTGCAGGGATATGACTTTTATGGATATGGCTGCGCTGTACGTCACCGCGGGAATGAAGGACGAGGCGGATGCGCCGTTTCTCGTCCTTGGTATCAGGTCGCTGTCACGGTCAAATCCGTATATAAATGCATTTGTCAACGACCAGGGCCAATATGTCATTCATGGCTTCGACGAGCTCCAGGTGCAAACGGCCGTTAAAGAGCTTCGAGCCCTCCTCGGCGGACGACGCATCAGGATATCCGAGCCACTCTTTCGCTACCGAGAAGGCATAAAATCCCCCTCTGAAGAAACTTGCATGGCGCGATCCCCAAACAAGAAGATACGCCTCTACGTCCGCGCCAGCCCTCTCTCTGAACAGCTCACAAAGGGAATCTCCTCGGGCGAAATCCCCACTGTACGCGACTCCGACCGGCGCACTAAATACTTAGCCAACAGTCACCGCCCTGCCTGGCCCCCCGAGGTCGCTGAGAAGATCTGGTCCTTCGCACCTCTCGGCAGCGGGCCCAACATCCTCGTCGACTCAACAGTCGCCGTCCAGTACGTCTCGGAAGTGCGGGATAGTCTGACCTCTGGGTTCCAGTGGGCAGTCCACGAAGGTCCTTTATGTGAGGAACCGCTTCGCGGGGTACGGATTGACGTGGTGGATATTGTGATGATGACGGATGCGCGGGGGCGCGGTGGGGGCCAGCTCATACCAACTATGCGGCGTGCGGTTTATGGGTCTGTGCTCAGGGCAAGCCCGTTTTTGCTTGAGGGGGTCTATGCAGTTGAGGTGCATGTTTATATTGAGTTTGTGGATGTTGTGAGAGGGATACTTGGTGATCGAAGGGGAGTCGTCTTCAATGACGGATTGGATCCCTCGGGCTTGCATGTCATGCAGGCGCACATCCGTTCTGGCCAGGTAGTAGGACTTCAAGAGGCGATTATGTCTGCTGCTGGTGAGTCTAGCTACGTGTGTATATGGTGCGATCGTTGGGAGGAGTTCGAGGGAGATCGAGAAGCGCTCGTGCGCAGTATGCGCGAGCGCAAGGGGCTGTCGCCGGCAGTACCTTCTTGGGAGACTGTGAGTTCCCTAGTCCCAAGCCAAATCTCTACTAACATTCTATAGTTCTGTGGATCCGTTTAATTGATTGGTAAGGCCTCATACAACGGCTGTTAGCTGATTCTAGTCCTGTGAGTGGATACTAGACTTTACTTTCCTCCACGAATACATTCTTACATAGTACGAAAGCCCCAGGCACGACGCATCCATCGTGCGTACTAGTAAGGTTAAACCCCGACAGATTCATTCCCTCCTGTCTAAGCCCTGCCTGAATGCAGATCTCTGGTTTCAAGATCGCCCCTTCTTGGCGCAGGCTGTACCATCTCCGTTGTGTAGCCACTGGAGAGTTAAGATGGACCCTGCATGCCCTGCCCCAGTGGCGCAAGGGACCGATCATTGATCCACAGTCCATTATCCCATTTGGGACAGATTTCATGAGCGTTATCCAATCAGACAGCGACTTATTTTCGACGTGCTGGAGCTTGCGAGGCTCTTGGCTGCTCCGCCCTGCTCGATCCGTCTTGGCTGATGTCCAAAACGCCGATCCCCAGCTGCCACTGCGCAGTGAGAATGTTGAATATTTAAGCTTCTTACTCCCTCTCTCTCAGGAACAAACTTGATCTCCAAGCTGAACCACTCTCTATTTTTTTTCAAGATGAACTCCAACACTCCGATACCATCCCCTTACTACGCCAACGACCGCCACAGAGTCCTCCTCAGTCTCCGTGTGCTGAGCATCCTCACCTCCCTCGCTGCCTTGTCCACGTTGGCCTGGACAATCCCCGCCCATGAAAATGTCAGCAACGATGGCGTCGGGTCGGGCGTTACGCCCGGTGTCGTAGCTTCTGTACGTCTCACCCACACTCTATCTTACCCTCCTCAACACCTCCAGTACTAACATCTTCTTTCATTCTTAGACAGCATACGCCTTCCTCTGGTCCAGCACCGTCCTAATCCTCCGCTACATCCTACACACGCCCATCCACCCAGGCGTCTACCTCGCCTTCGACTTTATCGCGTTTGGCCTGCTCGCCGGATGCACAATCGTCATGGTCATCATGATCGAGCCGTTTTTCAACTCGTCATACGCCTGTGCGGTTGGGAATAATTGCGATGGGGGACTGCTGGCGAGGGTCGAGTGGTTTGGGGCGTTCATGGGGCTTGTTTGTTGGTATGTTCTTGCAGGATGATTTCGTATTCTGGTCATAGTGGATGGGGATAGAAAGCTGACGGCCTGTTCTAGTGCAATTCATCTCGGTCTGTTTGTTTGGGCTTGTTGGGCGACGGATAGGGAGAGGAAGATTGCGAAGGGTAGGAATGTCGTCGCTCCTGGGAAGGAAGTGGCCTAGATGCCTTCCAGGCAGCCATGAACTAGATGAGTTGATGAGCAGATGATGATGGTATGATTGAAGGGGATGAACGAGCTGAAGGGAGCTCGTGCACCTGGAATAAAACTCGGCGTGGTGCTGGACACAACGATGACGCGGATTTATCGATTCGGCGCTAATGTCTAATATCTAATATCGCTTGTACAGTTAATACTATACACCAACGACCCTGTAAGGCGACAACGTTAATATCTAATGAACAATCGTCACTGCTTTTTTCGTTCAGCTGATCCTCAATTAGGGTAAGATTGCGAACGGTTTGGGCATCGTATACACCTGCCGGATTCACAATGCGCGGTCCACCAGAAGAATAGGTACTCGAATTAGAAGGCACTTCTAGCCAACCCAAAGCAAACCAGGGCAATATGGCTCTCACAAGGGCATACCCGATCAACGACGCTCCAGAGCCCCACGAATTCCCCTTTCTAACCTCCAGAATCCAGAATACATCACCAGCCAAAGAGCCGCAGCTCAGCCGACAGCTGAACGAACCCCTGTCGCTCGACGCCACGACCCCGAGCTGACCACAGCACTTTATATTAACTCCCCTCCTTGTTAACTGCCATGAATGCTTTTTGATGCTTGCGCGCTCTCGGCGCAGCCGAACTAGCGCCGCGGACGGACGATCGTTTATCTTGTCGCCTACGCGAAGGATGCCAGGGCAAGTTAGCTCGTGAAATTAGCAAACTTCTCACCAGTCAGAACCGCTACTTGAAGAGGCTGATGTTGGGCTAGGAGCAGTACGGACACGGACACGGACTCGGTACGAGCGGACCGTATGCGGGGGAGAAGATAGGCGCCAGCGAAACCTGCAAATCAGTGGCGAAATTGAGAACCGAGAGTATACAAGGATGTCAAGGCTGATAATTTATGTATACTATTCCGACAGCTCATGCATCCTACGAACCGATGCCCCGCGGATCCCCCCACCAGCGCAATGCTTCGAGTCGTCGAGTGCATGGATGTGTCCGGCGTCCCTCCGCATCTGCTCGCTAAGCCCGGGCTGCCGTTGGTCCGCTGGAAATTAGGCTGGTCAGAGTGGGCCTGCGTGGCTAGTGCGCCCCGCCCGTGCAGGGGACGTTTTCGCTTGCCTTGGTCGCTTGGGGATGTTGAGGCGGCAGATCTGTATGACGATGGTATTGCTTTTGGGAGGGTGAGGATGGGGATGTCGAGGATTGGAGTGGGTATATAATCTCTGGCATTGTCCCGCATCGCACTGCCTTTGTGCAGTACAACAGTTTCTTTCCACATTGTGCATTCTTTGTTACTCCTACTCATCCTACATACCCTGCTCAACAACCTCGTATCCAATAATTTATCAACCCGCACAAGCAACATGGGCTCCATCCCCGCAACCTCAACGCCAACAAGAACACCGTACAAGAACTGGCCCAACGATGCCGCCGTAAGCCTCCTCTTTCTCCCATCCGCCAACCATATACTAACAAAACCAGTTCGAAGCCCCCACCACTTCCGCAACCCCAACCCCCCTCCACATAATCGGAACATTCCCCCCCTGCGTCAGCGGAACCCTCTACCGCACGGGGCCCGCGCACTACAAAGTCACCACACCAAGCGGAACCTACGCGCGCCACCACTGGTTCGACGGCTTCACCATGATCCACCGCTTCGAAATCACGCACGACAACGACAGCAACTCCACAAAGGTCCTGTACACATCCCGCAGCCAATGCGATGAGCTCCTCGAGGAGGCCCGCAAGGGCAAGAACATCGATACCTACGTCACCTTCGGACAGAAGCGGGATCCCTGCATGAGCTATTTCGAGAAAGTGAAATGTCTATTCAAGCCCGCGGATCCGGGCCATGATCGTCCGCGCATGCAGAGTGTGGGTGTGACGGTTCGGCCCAACATGCCGGGGTTCTCGAAGGGGAAGGTCACGGCGCTTACGGACAATGACGTTGCGCAGGTCATGGATATGGATACCCTTGAGCCGGTGGGGGTTACGAGGCAGAGTGGGTTGCATCCAGATTTGAAGGTACTCCATTTCTCGTTTGGTTATACTTTGAGGTAGAGGAAGGGGCTGCGCGACTAATCAGTGGATCAATGTAGGGGCCCCTCTCCTGCGCCCACGCCGCCTACGACCCGGACACAGGCGACCTCTACAACTTCAACCTCGATTTCGGCCGAACAGGCACATACCGGGTCTTCGCGACGTCCGCAGCCACCGGTAAAACCAGCATTCTGGCCACGATCACGGGTTGGAACGTGAAACCGGCCTACATCCACTCGTTCTTCCTCTCGGGCGACTTTGTCATCCTCTGCGTCTGGCCGTTATATTTCCAGGGCCGCGGGACGGCGATCCTCTGGGAGAGAAATATCATCGATGCACTCAAGTTCAATCGGGCTGCGAAGTGTCAGTGGTACGTTGTTGATCGTCGGGGTGGGAGGGGGGTTGTTGCGACCTTTGAAAGTCCGAGTTTTTTTGCCTTTCATACCATTAATGCTTTTCAAGAGAAGAGAGAAGACGGAGAGAATGTTGATATCTTCTGTGATGTCGCGCAGTTCAAGGACGACTATGTCATGCGGAATCTGTACTATGAGAACGTCCTCTCGACGGGGTCCGGGGTTGCACCGCACGACGGCGCGAGACCAACGATCGTGCGGTATAAACTGGCCAACGTCCCCAAGACCGGAACGAAGAAGGGTGTCTCGCCCGTTGAAGTCATTACGACAATCGAACAAGCCGTCGAGTTACCAACCATGAACCCTCACTACACGACCAAGAAGCAGTGCTATGTATACGGGATCGCGGACCGGGGATACTCGTCCTTCGTGGACGGGCTGGGAAAGGTGGATATGGAGACTGGGTCGGCGACGTATTGGGGCATGGAGCCAAAGCCGCATACGCCTGGCGAGGCGGTGTTTGTGCCGGATGGGACAGATGAGAGTGAGGATGCGGGATATCTGTTGAGTGTTGTGTTGGATGGGGAGAAGGGGACGAGTTATCTGGTTTGTTTGGATGCGAGGACGATGAAAGAGGTTGCGAGGGCGGAACTTGATCGGGCAATTTCGCCTGGTTTGCATGGGGTGCATATGAAGAATAGATTGTAGATACATACTGGGTTAATCTAAGTGTCATATATTCAGCGGTTAATTCAGGGCCTTGATGGGATGCGCTGAGAATGAGCCAGCACCATTTCATAGACTCAGTGGCGGAATAACTGCAGCTATCCCGCACAAGCTCTTTCTGAAACCACGATGGACTCCGTGACTCGGCAGATAGTAGTGTAAATCCGAGATTCCGGAGTTCGCAGTCGCAAGTTGAAACGATGATGGAGTAGGGTAAGGGGTGCATGTGCTGTGATTGGCGGAAATGGGCCGGCGGGAGTATATCTCAAACAGCAACTCACCCCGCCGCTTCAACTTGGCACATGGCCTCGTCAGCGCTTCAACTTGTTCGAACACAGGCTAGGGACGGACCTGAGGATTGAAGATATAAGTAATTCGTTCCCAAGTTCGTCTGGTTTCACCTCCTCTCAGAATCGTCTCAACACCTCCATCACCGCTTCATTGACTGGAGCATCCTCTCTTTCTCTGCGCTGGTCGCTTACATTCTTTGCTTCACTTTCACTCTCACTCTCACTTTGACTTCCCATAAACGTCAAACACTCGCTAAAATGTCTCGAATCTACCTCTCCTTTGCTTCCCTCCTCGCGACCGCCGCCGCCCACGGCCACGTCACAAACATCGTCGTCAACGGCGTCTACTATGCCGGGTGGGACATCAACAGCTACCCCTACATGGAGACCCCGCCGGTGGTTGCCGCCTGGGGAACTCCCAACACCGGCGGTGGCCCCATGGACGTCAGCTCAGGCTACACGAACCCCGACCTAATCTGCTCGCTCAATGCCACGAACGCCCAGGGCCATGTCACTGTCGCGGCGGGAGACAAGATCAACTTGCAGTGGACTGAGTGGCCGGATACTCACCACGGACCTGTTATTGACTACCTGGCTTCGTGCAACGGTGCGTGCGAGACGGTTGACAAGACGACGCTCGAGTTCTTCAAGATCGATGGTGTCGGACTGGTTGATAACTCTGCTGTCCCTGGTGTCTGGGGCGACGACCAGCTCATCGAGAACAACAACAGCTGGATGGTGCAGATCCCCGAGTCGATTGCTCCCGGCAACTATGTGCTCCGCCATGAGATCATCGCCCTGCACAGTGCCGGGACCGAGGGTGGTGCGCAGAACTATCCTCAGTGCTTCAACCTGCAGATTACCGGCTCTGGAACTGATGAGCCGACTGGAACCCTGGGAACGGAGTTGTATACCCTTGACGAAGCTGGTATCCTTGTGAACATCTACGCCAGCCTCGACTCGTATGAGGTCCCTGGACCTGCGCTGTACAGTGGTGCTTCGTCGATTGCGCAGGCTACTTCGGCTATCACTGCTACTGGGACTGCGGAGACGGGGACAGGCGGTGCGACTGCTACTGCGACTGCTTCTGCCACTGAAAGTGCCACCGCGACTGCCACTGCTACAAGCAGCGCAACATCCACATTCTCAACCTCGAGCATCCGCTCCTCTGCCTCCGTCCCCTCGAACCCCTCGACAACAAGCACCGCTACTAGCGTGCAGACAACCCAGAGCGCGACAACAGTAACAACGACAACTCGCACCACCTCCGCCCCGGGAACGCTGACGACCGCTACATCGTCCGCCACGTCTACTACCGTCTCTGCTCCCACGACTGCCCCGACAACATCTACCCCTCCTTCCTCTGGTGAGGGTGGGGCTCAGGCTATCTACCAGCAGTGTGGCGGCATCAACTACAAGGGGGCTACGGCTTGTGCGGAGGGTTCGTCGTGCCATAAGTATAACCCGTACTATTCGCAGTGTATTCCTGCGTAGATAAACGTGAATGGATGGACTGATTGGGGTTGGAGATTTTTTTGTATAGTAGCCGAGTATAGAGCCGTCAATATAATACTGTACTCTTAAACTTATTCGAGTATAAATGCAAGTCGTCAGTAGATTGCACTCGGGACTCTTCGTGCTGTACATCAACGTACCTGTACTAGTAGAGGCCGGGGTGTAGTGGGTTGTGATGGCAACTATTCAAAGTACTCGTATCCACATTATGGACAATATTCAGGAGGGTTCCTCAAGATATTACCAAACAAACGACATCGAGTATCAAAAGATTGTGGCACTTCTATGAAATACATAGTCCGTCTCCTGGGGAAATATATACTTCAGCTGGTCCATTGCGTACACAGGATATTAATATGCAGAGCTTCCTAATAAAGTCTTAATAAAATAAACCCCTGCCGCTACAGCTCCTAGTCGTCAAATTAGCATTCTCCTACCTGTGAACTCTATGGTGCAGATGCAAAACTGGCCGCTATACTTCTGGTCGTGGCTGCACCGGAACAAGGTAAATCCCGCCCGTTGTAGCTGCCGATTGCCGAACGCGAGACGCGAGATTGTCGAATCTCACTCGCCAGTTTTCGTCCTGAAGATCGCGACGCCTGCGGATCCCCTTCCCCTTCCCCTGACCATGGCCCCGGTCAGATTCATCGGGCCTCCCGATCTCTCCGGTCGCACGCCCATCTATCGCCTCGCGAAAACTGTCGTGCCCCCGGCTCCTCCGCCACATCCTCCCTCACAGCCGCAGCCGAGTCCCTCGCAAGTCAACAACGCCGCGCACCCGCACCCAGCTCCGTACCAACCGCCCTACCACCCTCACCCTCACGCGCCTCACGCGCCTGCCCCTCCTCCTCAGCCTCAATCGCATCCACATCCATCACCCTACAACTCTCCCTACACCCCCTCAAAACCCCCTCCGCAGACGACACCACAGGAAAACAAAGAGAATGCGCCGGCGCCAACCCAAACACCACAAGGGACACCAGCACAAGGCACAGGAACAGGCACACCCGCCTCCTCAGCGCGCGGCTCCCCCCTAACAAAGCGGCGCGGGCGCAAGCTGCAAGAAAGCGAAGTGCTCATCCTCGTCAACTGCTGCCTCGAATACCAGAGCATCTTCCACGACAACCCGGCGCGCTTCTGGTACTGCGTCGGCGTGAGCCTGAAGCGCCAGATCAAGCGCAATTTCTCCTGGCAGAGTTGTCGGCAGATCATTGAGGAGTTGGTGTCGGAGCGCCGCGAGCGGAGGCGCGATGTTGCGGCCGGGAAGGTCAAGGAGCAGCCGATTACAGAACTGGTTCTTGCGACGGATAAGTGGATTTCGGTTTGTGATGCTGTCGGTGGTGCGCCGGGGCTTGCGACGCCGGGGAATACGCAGTCGTTAAAGAGGCCGGAGCAGCCGGATTCTCCTGGCGCAGAGGCGAATAGTGCGAACTCGGCGAAGCGGCCGAAGCAGAATGAGCAGGTAGCTACGAGACCGCCGCCGCCGCCGCCACCAACACAGGCTGCTACCGGGCCACCAATTCCGTATCCTCCATATCCTCCGTATCCCATGCCACCGCATCATATGCCGCCTGCGCCCATTCCGACGATACCGAGCGGGCCTACAATGGCGGAGTTTCAGACGTTGAAGGTGGATATCCAGAGCTTGAGAATGGATGTACAGAGTATGCGGAGGGATATGATCGAGGTTCGGAACGATATCAATGCGAAGCTCGACTTGATCTTGAAAACGCTTCAAGAGGGCAAGGAGACCAAGGAGGACAAGGAGGACGATAAAGACAAGGAAACATGACGACTGGTCAGATGATCAAGTCTAATCGAAGAGACACAGTGCGAGTTGAACAATCGCAAGTTGAGACAGCCATGTCCGCTCCAATCGCATTCCGAGGATTCGGCGCGTCGAGGGCCAGGACAGGGCCAGACACTCCTCTACCGTCGCCTACGGTGTACATCCCGCCCGGTGCAGTGGCCTGCGATGAGCATAAAAGCGACTGGCGTAGAAGGCCCCGTCCAACGCAGTCTCTGATACTGCATCCACCAATATTCAGCGTAATCTCTAATTACCACCCACGACGCTTTGCGTCTGTACAATCAATGCCTCGGCATCAGCCGATGTCGCTCCACTGACCTCTGATTTATCTTTCTTTAAACCTCCGGAGTACGTCTGCCAGGTTTCGGATCTCGTTACCTCCGCACACTCGCACTAATTAAAGCCTACCGTCTACCGTTGCACTCGTAGCTCGCTTGTTCATCCGCCTCGGCCTGTGACTGCCACTGACAGTACCTGCTGATCCCCACGTGTCGCGATACCTGGCCCCCAATTCCTCCGGCCCTAGCGCTGTGATCGTCGCCCTAGCGCTCTGTACCTTGTTGCCCAGCCCTCTCTGCAGCTTATCCGCGTCATCTTAAGCCCGCTTCGCTTCGACCGAACGGCACGGGCTCCGGGTTCAGGAGACCTTCGCCCTTCCAGATAAATTCTGCAGATCACCACACGCTGCGCGGAGCCCTTTCCTTGCATCCCTCGACTCCAAAGCAAAACCCGCCACCTGACTCGCAATGCGGCCTACTCCTGTTCTCGCCCTCGCGCTCCTGCCGCTGGCCCACGCCATCGACATTGTCTCCTCCAATGACGACGGCTGGGCAGAAGCCAACATCCGCTCTATCTACAGCGCCTTGACTTCCTCGGGCCACTCGGTCGTTGTATCCGCCCCGGCAGAGAACAAAAGTGGATCAGGTATGCGCAGCTTGAATGATACTACCATCTACCTCGAACCTCGAAGTAAACTTGAAGAGAACAGCCCTTTTAACAGCGCACAGGCTCCCGCGACGAAGAACCCACAAACCGCACAGAAGCATGCGAGTTTGATTCCTGCCCGGCGAACAGCGGTCCAACCGGCCAGAATGCAACAGACCCCCGCCTAAACTGGGTAAACTCGTACCCTGTAACCTCAATCAAGCACGGCATCGACACGCTCGCACCGCAGTTCTTCAACGGTGCCCCCGACCTCGCCGTCACGGGGCCCAACGTTGGTAACAACCTCGGACTGACCGTGCACATCTCCGGAACCGTCGGCGCAGCAACCTACGCAGCGGGGACAGCGGGCATCCCCGCGATCGCGTTCTCGGGGGAGTCGGGGGAGCCCACGGCTTGGGATGCGGCTGTACCAGACTATAGCAGGATCTATGGCGAGCTCGCGGCGAGACTCACCGACCGCCTCGTCGCATCTGGCGCGCCGTATCTCCCCGAGAACATCTGGTTGAATGTGAACTTCCCGGCTGTTGATGAGACGTGTGCGAGTGCGGATGACTTTAGTTTCGTGCTTACTCGCATCTTCACGGCTCTCCCGCTCATTACAGCGGATGATGTCGAGACGTGTGGCGGTTCGCGGCTGCCGACGGAATTCTCTACCATCCATTTTACGGATGGATGCTATGTCAGTGTGTCTGTGGGCACGGCGGACGATAAGGGTGATGCCGATGCGGCGGCTCAGGGCGTTGTTTTGGAGAAGTTGGGGGATTTGTTGACTTGCCTACCTTAGCCAACCACCCATTTACTTAGTCCTCACTACTTGGTCAAACCAAGGCCCCTCCCCATCTCAGATAGCGTTTCAAGGCAGCGAGTGCCCTTCGCAAGTCAGAGTCTGCAATACTACAACACTGCACTGCAGCAACGGAGTATATCCATTCCTGGGGTAGCGCCCTGCACGGTAAATGAACCCGCGTATTCGAATGCAACGACGCTAGAAGCCGAACTTCCCGCGCGCGCATCCCCTCATCCCCTCATTGCCGGATAATCAGGCACGTTTCGCCCCGGCTTTCTTGGCAACTATACACAACCTTGTTCTTGCAATGCGAGTGCCGTGTCAAGACTCTGCATGCATGCCGCTATCTTTTCCGTATTGCGTACTCTATAGGCTAGTCTGTGTTTAGTCTCGTCCCCACTGTCGTGATCGACATTCCGGTCCACTCGCTGAAGAAACATCTCCGAATCGACTCCGGACATTGATGCCCCTCACGGCGACGGTGCGCGACGCGTACGACGTACTAATATAAATAGAGCAGCACAGCTCTCCTTTCACTGACAACAACCCCAGCTCCAACCCCAACACCCTCCAGGCCCAAGTCCAACATGTCCACCCGCACCCTCCTCCTCGCCCTCGCCGCCTCGGTGGCTAGCATGCCCGTGTCCAGTTCCGTAACGGATACTGTTGCGCCGCTAACCAGCCGCGATGTAATCGCCCACGACGCCGTCGTCGGGTTCCCAGAGACAGTCCCGGACTCGACTCTCGGCCAGCTGTACCTCGCCTACCAGCCGTACCTCTACGTCGAGGGCGGGTGCGTGCCGTTTCCGGCTGTTGATGCCGAGGGGAATACCAGGTTCGTTGTCCCTGCCCTCCACTTCTCAACCCCGAGTAGGCCCGAGTGCAAGGGAGATGTACGAAGCCTGGTGATATGCTAACGATGTACGCAGCGGCGGCCTCGCGCCAACGGGCTCACCGACAGGCGACTGCTCCAGCAACACCGGGCAGATCTACGCGCGAAGCACAATGGCCTCTGGGACAACATCCACCTACGGAAACGCCATCATGTACTCGTGGTACTTCCCCAAGGACTCACCAAGCACCGGTCTCGGGCACCGCCACGAATGGGAGGGTGTCATCATCTACCTCTCTGACGCGTCCTCGACAAGCGCGGACAACATCCTCGCCGTGTGCCCCTCCGCGCACGGGGACTGGAACTGCGATACGGAGTTCTCGGTGTCAGGGACGCATCCGTTGATTCGGTATTACAGTGTATGGCCGGTGAATCATCAGATGGGGCTGACGGACACGGTTGGTGGAAGTCAGCCGTTGGTTGCGTGGGAGAGCCTGACAGAGGCTGCTAGAACGGCCTTGGAGACCACGGACTTTGGGGATGCGACGGTGCCATTCAAGGACGGGACGTTTGCGGGGAATCTGGGGGCTGCTACGTATTAGTATTAGGTCTTATATATGCAGTTAGTTGGTATTCGTGGGAACTCGGTTTGTCTGGGGGAAGAAGTACCTAGACTGCCCTCCTGCCGTCCGCGAGATGAAATAGCATTGCTTCGTTTCAGGACATTGCATATTGACTTGAGACAGTAAATGATAAGACACGGAATACCCCGAGGTTACTCAGTAGTCGTATACATCAAGCAACCCGTATGAGGAGGCTGCGAAAAGGAGGGGTGCCAGTGGCTATTCCCCTGACTAAAAACGGAAGGCACGATTTTGGGAGGTTCCCTCAATTACACCTTCCAGATACGGAGCTGTACTGCTGAGGACGGAGCCGGGGGTACCTTATAGCGCTACTAGTAGGGCAGCAGGTATTATTTGCCGGCTACGGATTCGTTAATCGACAACTCTGTCAATGGACTAAGCTTTCGTTAATGAATCTCCAGCAGCGCTGGCACTACTGGTCTGGGCGGGCAGTTTCTGAGGTGGAGTGGGAATTACAACGTCGATTTTGAGTGGGAATGATTTCCTGTTTGGCGATGTCGTGGTATGTATACACACCTTGTCTCCTCCCACACTTCCTCTCTTGGCCGTGATCTATATGTGGGAAAGCACTCGCTAAGAAATCCTACTTCCTAGCGCATAATATCTAGTCCAACAAACTCATGACGGAGCTGGAGCAGACGGGCAGGTGGACGCCCAATGCCGGCAACCACCTGGCCGAGGGCTGGGAGGAGTGGGCGGCGCTGATTCCGCTAGAGTATCAGGACGAGCCGGGGTTTGACCGCGGGATTAAGGATAACCTCCAGCAGGTGTCGTCGTTCCATTCGAAGAAAGAGGGGCCTTTACCAGATCGCCACAGCTCGAGGAAAGAGCTCAGCCATGCATTCAGGGATGATTTAGGCCATCTAGTTGGGAAGCTGCAAGATATAGCCAAATGACAGGAAAAGAACAATGTGTGCTATAATCTTCTATGAATGACAACGCAACCTTGGGCTATACCTATGAGCTTCATTGGTGCTCAACCTGGTTTAGGCTGACCCTTGCCCGCTATCGCGGTATCGTTGCTGTGTTGTGCCATAGTACGCCATAATGACTATCTAGCCACACATGTATCCCATTCACAGTCTTTCTAAAAGACTAAGTGGCCCCGCGCTCGAGACCAAGCCTCTGGAGCGTTAGCATATCGCCAGCCTTGTGAGCTGTAACTATTGTCAATATTATGAATCCAAGGTCGAGAATAGAATAACTCGTCTGAAGCGGAGACGGATCCCGGTTAGTACATTCCAACTGAGTAGGCTGTGCCATATAGCGGAAAGTACTGTGTTGTCAAGTAGTGCGTCTATATTAGTCTAGCAATCTATCTGTGGAGCGACATATCTCTATATGCTGAGTCTATGATCCCGTAAACGCCAGCAAGGGAAAAAGCAAGAAGAACAAACAAATTGTACACACAAGCAGCTCGGAGACCTCCAATCCCCTGTTATTGAGCAACAGCTGCGCCCTCACTCCGATCGCGCCTCCTTCGTCTTCTTACTCCTCAGCTTCATCATCACAAATACGAGCATGTACGATGTGATGCAGAATAGCGCCGTGATACCAGTCTAACGTGGCAATTAGCATCCGAAGCACCATGTATCGTTCAAAGTAAGATGAGGGGCACTCACGTCTCTCCACCCATAATACTTCTCCCGCAGGTTAAATGTCTTTGCATAATCCGCGCCAGTCGAGTACTGACAGAAAGAGCACGTTGCCGTCGCGTTGGCATCAAGAAGATACCCCGGCTGCGCAGCGAGGAAATCGGCCATGTACTCGCCACAGGTCTGCCCATCCGGTGCGCTGAATGTGAGATACTCCGAGGGATTGCATTCGACTTTGACATCCCAGAGGATATTCGTCAAGAGGCCGCCGACAAGGTACGTGAATGGGTCCAGGTAGTACATCCAGTAGCGCCAGAAAGGCTGCATTGTGTCGTAGGGTGCGACAACGCCGCAGAAGGCGATCATGCCTGCGCCGATGACGATGGGGTTGGAGATTGCGGCGAAGTACTCATTTGGTGCGTAGGCGGCAATCGCTTGACCGATAGAAGTGTAAAGAAATTCGTAGACTGTGGTAATTAGCATTTTCAGGCTCATTGCGTGTATAACTGGGTGCGGACTTACAGATCATCTGGAGGTACATGTGGCCCGAGATGTCTGCGGCAACAGGAAGGCCTGCTGTAAAGTACCAGCAAGCGAAGTAGAGAGTTGCACAGATGATCAAATAGGGGATTTCCGAGATAGCCTGTGCGGCAATGAATGCGAGCCAGTGATATGTTTTTGACTGCGTCTGTTAGCCTGATCCAGCCACTCCCCTGTTTAGAAAATCAGCTTACCTTTTTCTCACGTGTTTCGAAGATATCCCTGTTGTGCAGGAAAAATGGCTGGCTTTGATTGATACATCCCGGTGCCACGAAGATGAAGTTAACTATAAATATTAGTTTCAGACAAGCTATTGTGGGGATGGTTGTAGGGCCATACAGATAGCAAAGACCCGCAACTGCAGATCAAACGTGCTGTTACCCATCTTCCAAAAGGTAAAGCCACTAAAGAGGGCGGCGAAGACGTGAAGGATGATCTTGTTCCACATATAATCCGGATCCCGCCAGATTTGGGTCATCAATCGTTGCAGGACGAGCTTGAACTGATACCATCGGGACGTGGCAAAACTGGCCGTGTCCTCTTCACCCGGGTTTGCTTGGCAGATACGGTTCAGCTCCTCGAGTTCGGCAATTGCTCGCTCGCGCTCCTCGGACCGGTTCCAGACGTCAACCCAGTCGATTTTCTGGGTACCATTGCCTTGGATTACCTCGACGATGTGCTCGGCGGGATTGGTGTCGGGTGGGCAAGGAGCGCCGTTCTGTGCGAAGTAGCCCAGCACCTTCTCAGAATCTTGGCCAGCTGCTTTTGTTAATGCCAGACAACATAGGGAATGAGGCATCTAGTACTTACTCTCTCCAAAGTATGCCATCTTTCCGCCCTTTGCGAGCAGGAGCAAGGAGTCAAAAGCTTCGAAGAGAACGGCGGACGGTTGATGAATGGTGCACTATGGATTGTTAGAATCGTTTCTCCTGGGCCGCCGCGCCGAACATACCAAAACAGCCTGGCCACCATCAACCAATTTCCTCAAGAACCGGATGATATTGTACGCTGACTGACCGTCAAGACCTGAAGTTGGCTCATCCAAAAAGAGTAGAGTTGGCTTCGCAACGAGCTCAACGCCCAGTGTAACCCGCTTGCGTTGTTCAATGCTAAGACCGGCGCCAGGAACTAAACAAATCAGCCCAACTCACCAGAATAAGGGGGAAAAGATACCTCCAATAAGAGCATCTCGAATATCATAAAGCTCTAAGAGATCGATGATATGGTCGACATAAGCAATCTTCTCCTTTTCTGGAACACTAGCCGGCTGACGAAGAAGAGCAGAGAACACCAAGGCTTCCCGGACAGTAGCCGTGCCCTCGTGGACGTCCATTTGCTCGCAGTATCCCGTCAGGCGCTGGAAGCTGATACCCTGCGGTCTGCCGTCGATAAGAATCGAACCGATAACTTCACCACTGTCCTTGCGTTGCGCCAAGACATCCAGCAAGGTCGTCTTTCCTGCACCGGAGCAGCCCATCAATGCAACGAGATTTCCTGGTTTCACATATCCGAATACCTGATCAAGTAACTGTTTCCTCTGTCCGTGGAATGGAACATGGTAGTCTAGGTGGTTCCAGGTAAACGTGGACTGCTTACCAGACTGGGCTAGTACGGCTTGGTTGTTTGATGGATCCGGGCGTTCCTTCTCGGCCTCCGCTCGCTTGCTCCCGCGCTTATACAGCAGCACCGAGGATCCAGATTGACTGTTGCGCAACTCAAATCCGATAGCTGTGAGGACGATGAAAAAGGCCCAGAAGCCGACTAGCACACCAAAGCTGCGCCAGATGTGACCCGGTGAATAGCTGTACTGTTGCTTCATGTACGCGTCACCAGAGATTATGCCCTGTTCGTTGCTACCCGGGACGGTGCAGCCTCTGAATTTGGATGCGGTATCGGAGTATCCGCTGCCGTAGGGAATGTAATCTGGTGCCACGCATTCCAGTTGCAGGCCTTGGAACTCGTTGGCCATCAAGGCTTCGTAGGCGTAGGCGGCGGGATTTAGGTAGAAGATCCAGCGGAACCAGGGGTGCATTTTCTCAAAGGGGATCAGGTAGCCTGGAGTTGTCAGCTCATGTGGTAATCATTTTGAAATAAGTAGAAATACCTCCGTAAACAAAGCAAACGGTCGACAGCAACCCTGTCAGCTGACTGGCCAACCCAAACTTCTTGCAGAGTGCTCCAATAGCGCGGAACATTTGCATCGAGCACAAGGTACTAGCAATGACAATGATCCAGAAGGTGAAGAATCTACCCGCGTCCATTTGCAGAGCTGCCATGAAGTATAGGATAAGAGAGAAAACTGAAATCTGCACTATTGTAATCGGGATATCCGTGATTGCATTCGCGATGCAGAAGGCCGTAGGGCGATAAAAGCCAAATCGTTTCTGACGAGAGAGGATTGGACGGCCCATAAACGACGCCGTAGTCTCGCTCATCGACTCGAGGAGGTAATACAGGACCGGGAAGAACAAGGTGCCGGGGCGGAGAAATATGGATGAGCTGTCGAGTTTGAGGTTATAGAACAAACTCCCGCAAACCAGGGCTTGAATGATTGAGGATGCAATCTTGATTGCGATGGACAACTTGTCGCCGAGCAGGATTTGGAATTGGCTGCTATTATTAGCTCAAATTCATCAGTAGCATCGACCACATACCGGATTGTGCAAGCGATGACTTGATTCCATAGCCCGGTTGTATAAACGCTCTGGGTCCGAGGAATATGGTGCTTCCGCTTCTCTTGAGTCACAGCAACAGCCAGACCCTCGTCTTCTGATACGAGCTTCTCTGGAGGCACAATGGAATCCATCGAGTCGCGGTAGATTGAGCTCTCACGGTACCGAGCGGCAAACTCCTCTGGAGTGCTCGGAACCTTCTCCTCCATCCCTGGGGCCACAATACGCTCCGTGAGAACGGTGACGGAAGTAAGGAAGTCAGCAATGTTAGCACCTTTGGGACATACGAAACCGAGCTCCTCGAAGTAGGCGCGAGCCTCGCTTCGAGGTCCGTAGTAAGTAACCAGCCCATCGGCAAGCACAAGGACCTTGTCGAACTCATCATAGATCGCGTTTCCAGCTTGGTACATTGTGGCCACCATGGTCTTGCTGTTCTCGTCAGCTTCGCGGCGCAGTAACCTTGCGAACTCGACGGCAGTCTTGGAGTCCAGGCCTCGCGTCGGGTTATCCCAGAATTGCACGGGACTCTGTATTGGTACTTAGTGGTCGAGTCCGGTAAGTCTTTAGAAAACTGCCTTACCTGACCAGCCATAAGCTCCGCCAGTGAAACGCGCTTCCTCTCGCCACCCGAAACACCACGGACAAACTCATTCCCGACCAATGTCTTCGTGGTATGCGGAATACCCAGCGAATCCAGTATTGAGTCCTTCTGCTGTTGAATATACTCTTTTTCCGTGATATTCTCAGGGCGAGACTGCGGTACTTTGTTGCGCAGCGCAAATTTCATCGTCCGGTTAACGGTCAATGTAGGAAAATGCACGTCATCCTCAGTGTTAAACATGATCTGCTGGCGGTACCGCTTCGCCGCGTTATGATCCATGCTTCCGTATCGTGTCTCACCGCGCACTTCATCAAATGCGGCGCGGTCATTGGAGAGGACGCGGAGGAATGATGTGCAGCCGGAGCCTGGGCGTCCGAGAACGAGGAGCTGGTTTCGTTAGCTGATTGTCTGTCATATCGAGACCCTCATGCTAGGTGACATACCATCTCACCCGGTCGAACCTGACCGGTCAGGTCTTGCAGAATCGCCTAGTTCCGAATCAGTGGTGCGTCGCAGAATGGGTTCGTAGTGTATGCCCTACCCTCTTCGGCTTGCTGCCACGGCGAAACCAATCCAGCACCTGGCGCGGATCCGCCACAGACCATAGTGTATCTCCCAGCGCAGCATCGGGCGCCGTAACATGTACACTGAGGTCGCGCCACGTGAGCGATAATTTCTTCGTGATCCCGGAGCCGCCTTGCTCCAGGTCAATTGTCGAAGAAGACGACGGTGTATCCATCGTGGGACAATCAAGCTTGTGACGTCAAGAGTGTACCTGGAAGTAATCGTGACAAAGAGCTTACCGAGAAACCTTACTGGCGACATTTCCTATATATTGACTCCCCTATTTCCCGTGAATCATCACAAAACACGCCCTGTAGAGAGGCAGATGTCCGTAAAGCCGTACAGCCGTATATCCGGCTCGGTGTCGGAAATCTGGTTCCTGGTAGCCTGTTCGGATGGCACGGCAGAGCTGACTATTGGTTGAGAAAGACGGTTAGATCCACTGGAGGAAGCTTCTGTCACCTGTGACAGCCCTATCAAGGATTCACTCCCTGGAAGCTCCGTTTCATTTGTCATGGCGGGAGATTTTTTCAGCAGGATGGAGTAGTTCCGTGGCCTGGGCCCGTCGATCAGACAGGCTTGTCGGAACTGAAACTTTTATCATGCATAAGCTAGCATCTAAAATCTATTCAGCTAAAATTTGATGGTTCATAAAGAGTGTTAAGAGGGTATCTCAGGTATTCAAGGTACGCTCATGATTCGCTTCAAGTCATGAAGCGAAAGTGGCTTCACCAAATAATCGTCTATACCGGCGGCAAAGGCCTGCTCTTGCGTTTCGCTAGAGGCTACGCCGGTCACTGCCATGATTGCAGATCGAGGGAGTTCATGCTCCTCTTCGTATTCTCGGATCTTGCTGGATGATGTAATTCCGTCCATTACCGGCATGGATATATCTGGAGGTGTCAGTAGGCTAGTTCATCCGGGAAAGAGTTAGATTTGTGCATACCCATCAAAATGTAGTCGAATTTCCCGTCAGACTGCTTATATTGTTGCAATGCCGATAGGCCGTCGGATGCGGTTTCAAATGTACAGCCGATCTTCCGCATAAAGGTGGATAGGACCTGAATCCCGTTAGCCTTCATCCTCACACGTCGAGATGCCACACTTACTTTGAGGTTTATGTCGTTATCATCAACAATCAAAACATGAAGCCTCTTTAGCAGCCCATCGGCCGGTAAATGTGTATAGTCCGAAGCGCTCTGCCTTATCGCTGGCGGTGAATCCAGACCCTCGGGCTTATCGAAGGCCTTCGATAATGGCGGGTTCCGGGCCGGCATGGGCGGCGTGAGACTTTGAACCGGATTGCCAGCATGAGGGTTGGCGATCGGCAGTGATTCTGCGATGCTTTGAAGGGCCTGGATGACTTTTCGCGGTCCGATGCTGAGCTAAGTTAGTACATGCGTTGGGAATTGCCACGGAAATGAACGTACGGTTGTGGGATGTAGAGAACCTCTACTCCGGCGATTCCAAGAGGTTGGGGGGGCGACTTCCCATTATCTGCAAGAACAACGGCGGAACGAACGTTACACGTGCGAGTTTCAAGTGTAGCGATGGACCTGAATCTCGATTGCTCCATCACAACTATATCTCCAGAAGACGTGTCCAGTGAATCAGCAAATGAGATCTTCCAGCCCGGTTGACGTAAGACAAGGCTGCTGATCGCGGTTTGAATGGCGTTTTTGCGCTTTGTGTCACAGCTTAGACGCTGGGTAGTATCGTGGGAGGCGACATCGGGATCCAGGCCAATCAGACAAACACTGCGAGGTGTCTTGGTTTCCAGATTGGCTTCCTTGTCGGCACCGTCGGTGAGTGGGCTTTTCTCAACAAAGTCAACAGGAACGTAAATGTCAATCTGTGTCCCAGCTCCTGACTCACTCTTGACCAGAATATGACCACCCAAGTATTCCACTAGCTGTTGTGTGATGCTCATGCCCAACCCAGTTCCGTCAGTAAGTACGGACTCCTGCGAAAATGGGGTGAAAAGCTTGCTGTCGAGATACTCTTGGGAAATTCCGCATCCAGTGTCTGTAATGGTGAGATGTGCAAAACTGGACATACGGCCATGGTGCTTTTGTTGTAACTGGTCCAAGGCGACCTCAATCAGCCCAGAACGAGTGAACTTGAGAGCATTCCCAAAGACGTTCATGAGTATTCGTCTCCAAGCACCGGAAATCGAGCGGATCTCCCAGTCGGTATGCTCTTCAACTCGGACAACGACAGAGAGATCTTTTGACTTCTTGTCGTATCCCACTCCGCGTTCGCTTAATTCCCTTGCTTCTGGCGAGCGGCAGCCAGATCTAGCTGATGCGTCAGCCAGTCTTTGGTGACCGGCGTACACAGAATCGGCCACATCTTCCACCAGGGCGCCAAGATCGAATTCTGTAGTCAAGCTGTTAAGATGGGCGGACGTATTGATAGAGCCTTTGTGCGTATGCGTAAGATTATTAATCTTGGCGAAGTCAAGCCTTCGATCGGGTTAGTCGTAGCCCAAAAGAAAATAACAAGGCAACAAGCACTTACAGGCAGTTCATAGTATCTAGAAGGGTCTCTCCACATGTTTCAACCATCTTAACCATATCCCTCTGAGCAGCGTCAAGATCAGTAGACTGCAATAATTCTGAGTTGGCGAGCATTCCGTGAAGAGGCGACCGTAGTTCATGGCTTATAGATTTGAGAAGATCAGACTTTGACCTGTCGACTGCGGTATGATCGATCTGAGCGATTTCTGAGCCAATCACGTCGCCAAATGCTTTACAGTAAAATAGGTCGTCGTCTTCCAATGAACCTTGGGGATTGCAGCTCCAGGCGATCATTGCAGCTAGCCATTTAGACTTATCGTGACTCCATATTGGGAGGAATATGAGTGAAGATGCTTCCGGGATTGCCGCAGAGAGCCCGCTCGTCATAGCCTGATTGATTCGCTCAGTGGAGCTGATGTCTGGAATTGCATTGATGACTTGACCATCAGGAAACGCCGAGAACAAGTCGTGCACCAGGCCCTCGTTTATTGTAGTGCTCGGCATGTTATGGTTTTTCACAGAATACCGCTCGGAAAACGCAGAGCCCAGGGCGTCGCACAATTTCGCGGACGGGTGGCGATTAGAGGCGGTAAGTTTCTCATTCTCTTCTACCTCAGAGAAGCTAGAGCAGGACGACCTATTTTTCAGTGAGTTTAGCCCGACTAAGGACTCGCAAGTATGTTACGTACCTTCTAGAGTTCAGTCGAGAGCTAAGACGCGGAGCATCTACAAATATGGCGCCATCAAAGTCCATGCCGGCTTGCAAGAGTGAGGCTGCATTTGCATAGACTGAGGCAACATTGGGAAGGATCGGACGTTCTTCCGGCACGGCCACCCTATTCTTCAATTTCCCAGAGGATTTCCTGGCATGTCGGTGGTGACCTTCATATTCTTGCCCTTTCGTGGGAGGATTGTGCGAAACTGAGGCGCCGGCCTTGTCGTTCGGACTCGCGGTGATGGATTGTTCTTCTGTACCTGAAAGATTCAATCTTTCAATATCGGGAGCTGGCGAGTGTGGAGATACGCATTTTGATCTGCTGGAGCTCTTTCGGGGTTCTCGATCCGTTGCTTGAAGTCCATTCTGTCCTCGAGACATCGCAATCAATGCTTCAAGCTGCCGCTTCGAGTGAGCGTTTTTCCGCCGCGTCACAACAGCATCCAGGTGTTCTACGATACTCTTGGCAACCTCGTGTAAAGCGGCTAGGTCATGACTTGAAAATGAAGTGTGAGGTTTTGCGTCAACGACACCATATGTGCCAATCAATCTCCCAGAACAGTCATGGAGTGGAACCTCTGCGTAGAATCGAGCCTGCGATCGCTCTAACAGTGGTGTTTTCCGAAGACCAAAATCTTCTTCCCTCATGTCCCTAACGATGCAATGGTCATCACAAAAAGACGCATCAAGATCCTGGAATCTCGAACCATCTAAGCCCAAAGTGACGGTGTTTATGAGGCTAGAGGGATCCGAGCGTTGGTTATCAGCTGCGAGAGACTGCGGCGTCGCTTCTGCAATGACACGAAAGACATCGCCTTCGGAGGTTGCGGTAAACGCGTGATCACATCCTAATCGAAAAGCGCCAAGTTGCGTGAGAGCCGATAGTATCGAGTCGGTTACTTCGATTTCTCCCGCTGCTTGCGTGTCATGCCCAACTCTGGCGAGATCTGGACGCTCACTATGAACGAGGTCATCCTTGTCATTCTCCGCGCGCCGATACGAGAGTCTGTTGAACGGTCATTAGTCTTAGCCATCGCTGTAGCCACCAAAGGTCCACTAAAAAAAATGCTCACCTTGCGGTATTCGACGCCATTTGCGGAAGAGAAGTCGAACAAGGATTATACAGTCTTGGATCCAAAAGGACCATTCCGGTGTGTTATTGCATCTCAAGAGCGAACAACCCTCTTTGATATTGAGAAGAGATCGAGAAGCTCTTCAGCTATCGAAGTCGAAGGCTCAAATCGCACATTCGCAGCGCACGACACTAGCCTATAAATACTCACGAAAAAGTGTTCCGGGGGTAGCCATGGTCAGGGTCGCACAGTCTTGCTAGATCGAGACAGCCGGGCTCCGCGGTCTACATCGATGTAGGCCGCACCGCGTTTCGAGCTCCTGGTGTATGGGGTAGCTTGAAGTGGTTCCTCCAACGATAGAAGCTCGCTTATGGAGTAGGATATCGGTTCCACCACTCGTGTCCCACGATCGCCCGCTTCTGGGGACCCTGACTCGCCACAGCCACCCGGCCGAAAGTGCCCTGGCAGCTCACGGTCGGCTCCGAAGAGTCTAGGCATTAGGTGTGGCGGAAACATCCTAGGTAAATCATAGTGCTACTATGATCGTGTTTCTCGCGAAGCTGCCCAAACAAGCTAACCGAGGTAAAGGTGGGGATGAAGAGTTTGTGTTGTCACTCGGAGTGGATGACATGACGATGCCAAGCAGATGCAACCTCAGTTTCAGGGCGGTCACGTGCCGGTCTCTACATTGGCTCGGATAATGCTTCCTGTCGTCATTCAAAGAGGGACAAGGGGTGATTGGGTTTGTTGAACCTTGGACCGACTGTAGTAAGGTTGCATTCATTGACAGAGTCAAAAGAGTTCGGGTAGGTCGGCACCTTGAAACTCGGCTTGTTAAATGCAATAAGAAGAGATTTCACTGTAGCTATAGATCTAGAACAAAATTGGATGAGATACTTTGACTTGTTGAAGGACCGAGGATGTCCGCTACAGGGCATAATGTATCAATCAATCGCGGGCCCACAACGTCACAGTATCTAGCATCTCACCACATTGTAACTAAAAACGTCCAAGTCCTAAACGCCAACTGGAGCCATTATCCAACTAGCACTTGTCCTTCTGCACAACTGCTCTCCACAAATCAGGGTGATGCAGTGCGCCAGCAAATCTCTCCCTAGCGTCTTCGTGGCCGCATTCCCTGAAGATGACCTGGGCTCCGTCGGCGATATTGTTAAACGAAGGGAGGGACCGGGGCTTGTTATCCTGCGCGAGATGTTAGAGGTAGCGTAGGGGCTGTCGGAGAGGATATGTACTCACATCATTGCACCAGTAGATTGCGGCGTTGTAGGAGCAGCTTACCCTGTCGCATTTGCTCGGGCCCGCGCCGAGTCTGGGATGGCCCTTGACCTTGCGCAAGTATTTGATGCCTTGTCAGACGGTCAACCGAGGTATACCTTGTTAAAATACGAGAGGGCACATACCTTCTTTAATGTAGTTGCCAGGAACCGCGAGGTGAAAGGTGCAGTGGAGAGTATATTCCATAACATGGAAGCCGTCGAGGTCAGGGTCTTTAGAATCGGAAACGTCCTCCCAGTCAGCGTCGTAGTTGGGGTTGATCTCAAGGAGCTGAGCGTAGACCTCTTCGATAGTGCCGTTAAGAACGAGCTCTGGACCGCCGATGAAAGCCTGGACATAGGTAGACATGTTGCCAATCTGGTCGGCGCTGATTGTGGACTCGGGGATGGTGGGGGTCTAGTGTATCAGACAGTGAACGATTAGTACAAATTCGTTCCAGAACTAATTATCCCGGGTGTACATACGCCTGCAGCCATCAAGGCAAACAGAAAGAGCAGAGTGACGGTTGAAAAATGACGATGCATCATGGTGGCTGGTAAGGTCGAGTGGTGTTGTCGAGGTTGACGGAGTAACACAATGATGAGGGTGAGCAAGAACACCCGTGGTCAGGAGTCGAAGTAAAAGGGAGAAGGGGTAGACTCGCAAGTGTGAGAGATCAAGGGAAATAGCAGTATTTATAGCCAAGGATATTGTGGGGATTCTTCCAGAGCTCTAGGGAAATGGTGTGCCGCGCTGTCTGGTGATATGCTAGGGAAGTGAAGACACAAAAAGCAGGAGCCAATAAGAGGCTTGTAGGAATGATTCTATGGTGAGGAGCAACTTTGCATGGAATCTTGTATGTGGGTACGACTGCCTGCAGTGGGCAGTGCCAGCTGTATGACTTGACCTTAATTCCCTCTAGTGCGCTCAATCGCGCTGCCAGGGCTGGTGACGAGCTCGCGGGGCCATGCAGGATTATTCTGCTCCTCTTCGAAGTTATCTTCTCATGTTGAATAAAAAAACTAGTATGTATACTGGCTAAAATATCTTGGCCTGCCTATTTGCTGAGCACCTACAAGCGGGATGTCTACTTACGAGACGCGATTTCTCTCGGTGTTACCACTCTACTTTCTCATTGCACCGTCCTCATCCTCTCGAGCGTCACCAAGCGCCTTCAGCGGCATACCTAGTATACCCAGCATTATTATTAGCTTAACACACTGTCAACTATCATGAACTCAGAAACTTGAAGTCTTCTCCATGCTATTTTTATTCCTTCTCCAGTTCCTCAACTCTGAACTTGATGGCACCATCTGCGGTCTTCCTAGGTTCCTGACCTGAACCTCTTTCTCTTGGATTACATTGACTACATCTTCTCCATTTTTGTCCTAGAAAGGTAAGCAGTCTCCTGGTTTCTTTACCACGCTTGCATTATAATATGCAGCTCATTGAACTAATCACCACCTGCTCTCCTGCTTCAGACCCCGAATTAAGCTCTCGCCGATTCTACAAAAGCGCCACGCAACAAACCTTCTTGCGTATCACCTGCTCAGACGCAACCGAAAGCCTATGTTCCCAAGGCGCGCCCCAAATTCTCTGCAACAACGACCTAATCCCCCGCTCACAGATTATCCGTGTCAAATCTCGCTCAAACACAACGAACCCTGCTGTTCTAGCATAATCAATACGTCTGTTCCTTCCTTGGCCTTTGAGATACACACACGTTTAGTCGCCTCCGTCATTCCCCCCAGAGCCCTCCATCCGTGTCCCAGAGCACCAGCTCTCCAAGCTCGTACCGCAACCATCCTCAGCAAAGTCAACTACAACGTGCAAGCATAAGTCAGGCGAACATGATACCCGTGATGGAACAAGCCTTCGCTCTCCCCGCGGGGACAGTAATACAGATCCCCGGGGAAGAGGCCCAGCTATGGTGGATCATATTCTCTTTCCTGTTCCTCCCAGCGATGGCGTTGATCTTCCTGGACTGTGTGATCGGTTGGGTCCGTCTCCTCGATCTCGCCTTCTTTTACAGCAGGGAGTCTCGCATCTTCGCGGCGTTTGTCGTCTTCGTGCTTTTCCACATACTGTGTCACAATGGTGCTCTTCGGCTTCGGACATTCGAAATGAGCCTGGTGCTGGTGTTTGATGTTTTTGATTTCTTTGATATCTTCGATATGTGATGGGAATTGCCTTGGTAAATTCTGTTCTCGGCTGATCTTACTTACGAGGCGGTTTTCCGGTCTGAGGCTAGTTGTATGTCCTGAAATACTTGGGGGACATGCCTAGTACGCACTTAGTTCAGCTTGCCATCTAGTCATGATTGATCTATGCTACCTGCAATGCTCATACTACTCGGCGATATTTACCTCGATCATGTCCTAAGAAGCTGTTTATGTATTAGGGCGACCCAAGATATCCTGAGGGAAGTAAATAAAATTCAAATACGCGGAAACTAAACCCTTTATTCTACCCACCGATCCCTCTAGCCTCATCTATATGAACCACGAACAAAAGAAAAATGGAAGCAAAACCCTTACAACAACGCCGCTTCAAACGCCGGACTCAAGGACAAGAACGCGCCAAGATCCATACTCGAAAAGTCAAAGTCGAAGCCCATGTCCGACTGCGTGAAGTCCAGCTCGTCGGTTGTCCCCACGCTCCCCGTCGTAGCTGGCATGTGCATTGCCTGTTCTAGTGGATTACCCTGGAAGTCGAAGAGCATATTTGGGTCTTGGCCAGGGAAGAAGATACTAGTTGCAGAGAGCGGGTCGAATCTGGGTGACGTGGTTGCGGATGTAGATGTGTTGATGGTGCCGGGAGTAGAGGTCGATGGGAAGAACTGTTCGGTGGGATAGGGTTTTGATGCTGGGAGGGTATGCTGGGGTTGTGAGAACGATTGAGAGCGCGATTGTGGTTGTGATTGTGTGGATGGTTGGTGATGCGGTTTGTTCGTATTTGTGTTGGTGTTCGCACTCGGTGGGATCCATTCGTATGCTGGGTTTATTTGCTTAAGAACGGTTTGGATGGCTGCCATCGAAGCTTTGGTAGGGTCGTCCTGGCGCATTGTTGAGATGCCGCGCAGGGAGGCGTGGACCCAGGGGAGGTGAGTGCAGGCGAGGTCTTTGCCGTGCATGAGGTCGAATATGAGGGCGAAACAGGAGCTGCCGAGGAAGTATGAGTGGTAGCGGATTTCCTAGGGTTGTGAGAAATACATCAAAAGACTAGGTAGGAGGTGCGACATACCCTGACGAGCTCATTGGTGGTGTATGATTCGCAGAGGAAGTAAATTGTCCGGCATGCAGCGCTGAGCGCGTAGTCACAGGCGTCATTTAGCCAAGACGGTGCTTCTCTTTTGACACCAGTGTTCCCGTTTGCCTGAGATGCTTTCATTTCCTGTCTCCATCGACCCCGGAATATAAGGAATGGCCGGAATGTGAGGAGGATGGTGTGGTAATAGACTTGAAAATTAGTCACTCGGCCCAATCGGTGGAAGAACTACTCACGAGTGTTGAATATAGCCTGCTGAACACCAATCCGGCCTGGCTGGGGCCGTTTATCGAGTCCAAATCCCAAAGCGCGCTGCATCTTAAACTCGAAGGAACGCAAATCATCCCTTACAGACTTTGCAATTTTCCACATCTCGAGCAACGAATCATGATGCCGGCCATATAATTCGTCCGCTGAGCGAGCAATGGCGTCTGAGAGAAATACGAGACCATGCAAAAATCCATCGTCTGGAAGTGCAACATCGATATCCCGGCGCAGAAGCGATCGCGGTCGGCCTAGATGGAAGCAAATCCAGCTAACATGATGATTAGCTAAGGCTTGTAGATTTCTAGTGGGGGTGTTACTCACGTTTCGTAGACGTAGAGGTACCAGAAGGTCCTACGTCTTTCTTCAATGTACTCTAGTGTGTCTCGACTCCCACTGGGCGACTCCTTATGCATTCCAGCAGCCAGCGCCTTACGGGCGGCGCACCCCAAGTGAAGAAAACATGAGTTCGGCCGGGCTCTTTCGTTGGTATAGTGGGCGTGCTTAGCGTCAGCAGGGTATAATTAGTCAGGAATGAGGGAACGTATCATAATCAAGGAAAGCTGGACGCTTTGAAGTGTGACGTTGTCATCATATGGATTGCAAGTAGCCTTGACCCGCTCATATAAAATATCGCCCCACGCATGGTGTTCAGTCACACAGGAGCCCATGGCTAATGCCATAAGCAATACACCGTCGGACTGATCAATATTCGTGGGAGCTCGCGTATCATACAGCTGCTCGAGACGCCGCTGAAAGGTTTCATCAGACCAGATCGGCATCAATCCATGTAAAGAGTAGAGGAACCCTTGTAGAAATTCGCTAGCAAGGTGGTAGGGCAGAAACATGAGCTGGGGGTCTTTCGTGTCCGGTACAGAGGGAGCATTCGAGTCTAGAGGAATGCCAAAGTATATGCAACGGAAACTGAGCATGTCCAGCCCCGCTCCGGCTTCCTCCACGCGACCCTGACCGGGGGCGCGGATAGCAGGATGGGCGGTCAGATCCCGGTGAATCTCATTGATCAGTGCAAAGTGCGATGTACTACCGTAGTACAGCTGCACCTTGCTCGAAGGCGACGCCATATGCGTGGCTGAGACGCTGTTGTTGAAGCCCAGTGGGGGATCGGGTCGGTGGGACGCGGGCGGCTGCAGAGACTCGGGCCGAGAGGGCCCAGTCGGCCCTGGAGCCTCACTGGTGCTTTCTCTCTCTTCATAATGCTGTTTTCTCTTGCGCGACCGAGTGACATCTCGGTATAGACACGGTGTGTTGCGCAGCTGGCAGGTCTTGCAGGGGGTTTCGCCGTTGCACTTTATCTTGCGTTTCCGGCATTCTTGGCAGGCTTTGGGGATGCGCCACCCAGATTGCTGTGAGGGGGACTCAGTCTCGACCATATCCGAGGGTTGCATTGAATTGCAATGTCGGATATAACTGCGAGGTCGTTTAGTCGTCGATGCTCGAGGTCGACGACTCAATCGCTGTGGCTAAAGCCGGAAGTCCGGATCGCTGCCAGGTGGAAGGTCCATGTGTCTCGGATATACGTCACGTGCTACATCCGTAATGCCGAAGAATCCACACCTATATATGGGTCCCACTCTTTCGCAGCAAAAGAACGGTTGAACTCAGTCTCCAACGCCAGCAATTCCCCCAAAAATAGAGATGATTGATATACATGTCTCGTAATAGCCACGTATGGCCAATGAGAATAACGGCACCTCTCCTCACGAGTGTTTTCGTTGCTCACGGCGGCTGCGTAGGAACTCTTCGAACGGGATATCTAAAAGTTGCTATATACAAAGTAATATAGTAAAGGTCCGGAAATATGTAACTAGATCAATGTACAATTCAATGCAGATTACACGCAATGCAATGCGCCATGCAGTTCCCAGGTGCAATAATAACCCGCCGCTAATGTACAGAAAACGCCAACCCAAATTTCAAAAGAGATGATTGCGACCCGTTGACCAGTCTGTTGCCGGAAATGTGGTAAACATATTCGCAGCCATATTCGCAGCGGTTGGGTCAAGCCGCGAGACGTTCTCGTGGGTAAGTGCTCCGTTACTCATCGTCAGAGTCTCGCTATCCACGGTTGTAGGTGTTGATTCTGCAGACGTCGGTACCATATTGACGTCCACATCGAGGTCAGGGAACTCGGCGAAGAACTCAGGGGTCATGCACCAGGTCTCCAGATTATAAAAGTATTTGTTGTATGCGTCGGAGAATCGATAGAGGCCAGTTTGGCCTTGTTGCACAAAGACGTCGTGCAGGCGGTACGGCCAGGAGAAGCGGAAGCAAGTCCAGAACATGGACCAGAACTTCTCCGAGCAATGTTGATGTGGGAAGAGGATGAGACGCTCACGAAGTCCGGGCCTGTAGTGGGTTAGTATAGTCGGCAAATCGTCTACGGAGACACATACCACACAAGAAAGTCAATCAGTGGTTTATGTATGATGCGAGTTTGGGACGGCCGTTGCCTCATAAACCTAGGAAGCTGACTTAGGTTCGGTTCCGATGGGTCTGATAGGTACTGTGAAAGTGTTAGCCAAGGATAAAAACAAACAGATGCAGTACGTACGCGAAGCATCAGGCTCACAACCCGGATGGTGGATAGTCGTTCCAGAGTACCGCAAGTACGCCAAAGTCCCTCATCAGCCGCTCGAAGCATGTTCCAGATGGGGTCAAGCGGGTACAAGTGAGTGACTGCATCCCACCCGTGGAGAACGGCGCGGATGGCGATGTCAGCATCGCGGATCCCTTGGTCTGCCATGGTTCTCGCGCAGGATAGTGCAAACCGACCGAGCATTTCGTTCATATACAACAGCTGCTTGCAACAGTCACAGGGAGCTTCCGTAGAATGTACTACAGACTGGATAGGCACAGGTATGTCCAGGGGAAAAGAGTGCAAGGTGCTGTTGAATGGTGTTTGCACATCCGACGTTTTCGCGAGTAAAGCGTCAGGTATATTCATAAATGCCCCATTCGAAGAGAACTTGTCGAGCATCGCGGTGGGCTCGTCAAAAGGCGGACTCGCGGATTGCTGCGGAAGGTGATGTTGGATTGGACCGACGAGGCTCGAGTGTTGAGCGACATCTTGGACGCTGCCACTGCTATCTAAGTGTTTGCCATTCTGCCTGTCAGTTGAGCTAGAATCATCGTCTAGTTCCTTTTTGGCGGTGTTGTAGTTTTGAAGGACGGTGTCTAGATGAAAGAAATGTCAGCGCAGTCCACGTCCATAGAAGAGGCGACGTACTCGCTTCAGAAAGACCAGTGTTGATGGCCTTCTCGATGGAACGTAGTGTGTTTCGTAGTGCTTCGTTTGCTTTCCGCTGTGTTTCTAGCTCGTCGATTAATTCTTGGACATTTCCGCTGTTGTGAAATCGAGTCAGGGTTTCTATGCGCGACTCTAGATGTGCGATGAGCTTCTTGGTCTTTTCTCGCGCGCTCCTCTGGGCCTGCCGGTCCTGTTCGCGCTTTCTGGCTGCGCGATCGCCGGTGAGCTTGGTTGTTTTCTGGGGTTTACGAGGGGTCTCCATCGCGGTGCAGAGATGCGTGCGTGAGAGCAAGGATGCCTGGTCTGGAGCAGGGGAGTGGGTGCTCACTACCCCCGTAAGCACGAAATAGCTGCGGCTCGCGATCCTCGGCCGACCACGATATTCGGTGAAGCTGCGGTGAAGCCACGAGAGAGGACCGAAGGAACAATTCACATGCCAGGGAAAGCCGTTAAAAGCCGGCGATCGATGAACCACCAAGAGATCTCCTTCCCCGCGACTTTTAAGGAGTTAGATTAAACGCCAGGTGCTAAGGCTCACCCCCCGCCCTTTCACGCGTGGCAGCGCCCCGAGCTTCGGAGGCAGCCGGTTCCACTACGGATGCGTGCCGTTGTACCCGAGGGTTGACGACTTGACAGGTTATTCGGGGACGAATTGCGAGACAGAGAAAGCGTGGGAAACAGCCGTGGGAAGGCTGAAAATAAACAGGGGAGCGACTGGAATTTGAAGCGGGGAAACGAGGTCCGGGGGGTGGTAAAACTTGGAATGGGGGAAGCGTCTCGAACTCCAAGCAAGGGCTGGACGTGGGGAATGATGGATGTGGCCGAAGCTCCCAAACAAATCCCTCGCGCGCAATTGGCCCGAGAAAAGGCTTTATGATCGGTCGAGATGAAGAGTGGACTGATTTGGTGGAGAGGGGAGACGGTTGACAGGGGAGTGGAAGAACAGCCGGACGAGGCGCGGCCACTGGGCGTTGCGCGTAGCGACGGCTCGGAAAAACAACAGCAGCAAATCCGGCCGCTTCCAGTGCTCACGCTCAGCTCCTCCATAACACTCGACGGTGACTACATCTACATCTACGTGCTTCAAAGACAATTCATCAATGCTCCAGACTAATCTGATTGGACTTAGATCACTCTTGTCAGACATTATGATTAATTTCGTTATCCTCATTCGCAGAAAGCCGCTACCGTCGTAGCAACACCAGGTGCGTGTCCTCAGTCCCGACCTTAATTCCACACGCTTACATGGTCCGGGCACAGCTAGATGGGCTCGGCAAGAGCAGAAAATAGAACAGAGAGATCGCCGACGGTATCCACAAACGTCGCGTTTCCTCCCCGTCGTTATCTATCCAAATAGCGCGCCTAGGAGTGCCGAAATAACCTGGGCGATAGCGGACACCAGCTAGAACCTGGTCAGCGCTCGTCAACCAGTCTCGATTTTAGCCAAACTTACCGGTGCAATATCGTTGATAAGGTCTCTGGTGTTCTCGGCAAAGTCCTTGGTCAGGAGGATTGCAGCATTGTCCAGAAGCGTGGTGAGCTTGTTGAGAGTCTCCTCGGTGAGAAGACCGCCAATCCCGTTAAGGAGACCCGGGAGCTGGTCGAGCAGGTTTCCAATGGCCTCACCACCGAGAAGGTCGGCAGCAAGCTGAACCAAGTTCTTGATCTGGCCGGTGGTGGGATCTGAGAGCAGGTTTGCGAGCTTGGTGACGACTGTGTTGATGTTGTTCAAGCTCTGAGGCGAGAGGAGATCCTTGATGGCGTCGAGAGCCTCGGTCAAGTCTCCAATAATACCGCCCAGATCGAGTTGGCGTTGCACGAGAGTGTTGTACTCCTCCACGCTGATGGTGGCCGGGGCAGCCACAGCAGCGGCCTTGGGCTCGGGCTCCGCAGCAGGGATGGCCAACACGGTCACTGGCAGCAAGGCCGCGGTAAGGTACTTGAAGAACTTCATTATGGTGGTGGAAGAGGCCTGAGGAGAATATTCTTTCAAAACTCGAAGGAAGTACTGGAGCGATGTGCCTTGCGGAAGTAGATGGACCTGGTTATAGTAACTGGGTTGGGAACATTCCGTCTACACAGACGGCCCTGAGGCCTTTATAGTTGACTTGATCCTGCTCCCCTCCGCTCCCGCCAGCAGCTGTCACATTCTCGAGTCAAGGCCGATCGATCATTACCAAGGGTCTATCCTTGCGGTTGCGGAGTTGACTTGCGGGGTACAGGACCAACCAGGGTACCCTGGGGATATTGGAGTGGCAACCATCATCGTGGTTAATGAGAAGAGAGTCAAGAAATGAGGTTCATGCACTGACACGAATGTTCCGATTCAGCGGCCCTGACTCGGGAGGCGGAGGGCAGTGGTGAGATCTTCCCTCATTTGAGCTTCGACGGCGGACCCTTGGGCCACGATGGCTTACCTAGCTTGGCCTCGAGAATGCAAGCCCGCCCTACAGAACAGCTGACATAGCTTTCCCGTACCTGTCGAGTCCTCAGTTCCGCCCCGGGAACCTGCATCATGGCATGGGGACAACAGCACGCCTTCAACACACTATGCTGAATGCCAGGCACTCTTTCGGGCTCTGACTCAGTGGTGGGAGCAACTATTTTTAAGAGAAATCCATTTGTTGCCTTCGTTCATATGTGCTGCCACACACATCATTTTGGCGGATCAGTCCCGATGTCTCACTTCAGCCTGTTTTGACCCCATTGCGACGGAGAATTCAGCGCCACCCTCGGTCGAACGAACCGACTCGACCATGCCCTATTGGAATCTTGTGAAATTAAGGTGTCATTTGATGTACCTTATGCAGCCATGCGGTCGGTTGGCCGCTCGGGTTCCACCTCCGCATTCGATTCATACGGGCCGAGTCAGATATACTTCCCACCAGACAATCGGCCAATCGCATCTGTCGGCCATAACAGCCTCTGAGAAAACCTCCGAGGTTTGACGGCGGCTTCGGTATACTGCTGCCCCAGATTTCCTGATGGGCCCTGACTCGAACGACCTTGAAGGGGCCCATTCGTCGACTCGGCCGTGTTTTCAGATGCATCTCCCCTGGCCGCACGGAGCCTGTCAGATCATTGCATCCCCACATTTCGATATAAGGACATACCGAAATCGCTTTTCGCCGGCAAAAGTTGGATTGCTCCTGGCCTGGCTGTCTTCCCTCTCAACACTTTGTTTTTGCTCACGGCAAGATATCCGCTAGGATGCATTACCTTCGCTATATCGCCCTCGTGCTCATGAGCACCATGGGTGCGCTGGGAGTCGACGTGACTGCGACAGTGAACGGAACCGAGATTCAAGTATGATGAGAATACCTTCTATCACTCAATACTGTGCTAACAAATCAACAGCAAGCAGCGTAAGTCTCTGTGGCCGGTTGATACTGGATTCCGACTTACCATAATGCACAGTGACCAGCTTCTCTCCTTCTTCCCTAGCGCAACCCCATTCACGGCTAACTTTACGGCCCCTGGCGGAAACCTCATCCAGCCACCTTCCTCTATCATCAACGACATCATTACCGGAATCCCTCCGACGGTGCTCGCCCAGCTCCTGATCCCTACTGCCCGCAGCTCGATCGCCTCGGAGTTCCAGGCCGGAAACACTCCGGACTGGTACAATGAGCTGCCCTCGGAAGTGAAAAGCTATGTCGCTGCAATCAGGTCCCAAGTAGGAGCCGGAAATGTCAATCTTAGCGCCACACCAACCCCGGCGCCCTCTTCCTCTTCTGAGGATAGCGATAGTGGCGACAGCGGTAGCGGAGACAGCGACAGTGGCGACTCGCCCGCTTCAGAGACATCTTCCGGACTGGGTGCCCGTGCTACTGGCGAGGTTGCCGCCAGCCTGGTCAGCATTATTGGTCTTGCTGGAATTGTGGCGATGCTGTAGGCAGCCTCTGGCGTGTTTGGGCAGGTGCATGTATATTAGCAGAGTTTACCCGACATTGCATCTGTCAAATTTGTAATGAAGACATGTGGATACGATACCCACACGGTTGGACATGATCCAGGTCATTCCTCTCAAGTTTTCACAACACATGCAAGCCCAAATCATGAGGCCTTGTTATCTACGATCGCCTCCATAAAGCAACCATGGCGATGACGTTTGACCTGCAGATATCAAACTGACTCAGACAACCCTTCTCCGCACTTTATTCCCTTTGATATAACTGGTTGACGATGCAGCCTCCACAAAACCCCTGCAGCGCCAAATACGAGAACAGCTTAGCCGATCCTGGGCACGTTGCTCATTGACCACTCGCCTTCGCCCGTGGAAAAAGGTCCCGAGCGCCGTGGACACAGCATCATCACAGGTCCGCATCTCCGTTATTGTACCTGCCCTGGGCGGGGAACCTTGAGGGCGTGCCTGACTTCGGATTTCCATTCTCTCATCAATCTATCTGATGCTCGTCAAGGGTTCGCTTGTTTTTGCTTGTCCAATTGATTAACGAACCTCTTCAGCCCATGCACGTCACGTTGGAGACCTCGTGCTCCTGGAAATCTCCGAGTCCCGGAAATGAGCTTTTTCGTCACTTGACTGCTGCGTCGTTCCTGCGCATCCCTGCGCCCACGTTTCCGTATGACGAAGCCCGCAGGAACGTGATCCTTTCGATGGGGACAGGAATACGTAAACCTGATTTTAGTCACGTTGTTCGGGGATTCGAGCTGAAGAAGCCTTTATCGCTTCTCCCCTGGGAAGGCTGGGAAGGGTAAGCCGTCTAAGATTTGGCCGCCACTGGTTTCCTCAGATTCCTTGATCTCTCTACTCTTCCGCATCATAGCAGGACACTTCTTCACGAGTACATCCAGAAATAAAGGCGCAATCAAGCTGCAAAGTATGTCAGGAATCCTGCGTCCATCACTCAGGTCCTCGCCCGTCGAGGACTACGCCTAACAGCGCAATCAGTCCCCAAACACACCAAGTCACGCCAACCACAACTCTACACTATCTCAGCCTCCCACAATTAACCCCCGATCATCACCTCCTCATCCCATCTCATTGCCCTTGGCCTGACATCAAAATAACCTTTTGAACCCACAGCCCCACCCGAAACACGTTCACGCGCCTCATCGATCGCACTTGTTCCTCCCGCACTATCAGATCGACGCTTTACTCCCCTGGAAGACCTGGAAGCGATCCAATTCGCGAGGAGGCCGAAGCATCTCGACCTGCGAGTGGGTATCATGGCTGCATATTCTCTATGTTCTTCGAGATCGTGCCGATGTCATTGGTGCGCGGCAGGCTGGTGTACTTTGCGTCGGCCCGAGGGTGGGCCAGGGTCTGGCTAGTGGGCAGGATCGCTTGGTGTACTCAATTGAGTATATCGTGTTCCTCGGGCCGAGCTGTAGCATGGGTGATCTAGACTGGTACTGGAAAAGAGGTTGATTTCGGTTGATTGTGAGGTAGGTGTTCTTGCTGGGTTCTTAGGTGCTCAATGTAAAAGTATACTACATATTTGCTGTGTCGAGGGACGCTCATTAGTAAGTATCTTAACTAAAAGCAGAACTATATAGCCCCTAGGACAGAGACGTAGCTTGTGACTTCTGGCAAACGAGCGGTGTATCTCACAATCCACCCGGTAATCCCTTGGGTATGCGGAGAATCATTCTATTGCGGCTCGTAACCAGCACTCAACTCTTTATGCCCGACGGGAGCCCGGGCGGCGGCTGGCATTGTAACATGGCCAAAGGATGCAGACCAGTAGTAATAATGGTTGCAAAAGTTAGTCTCTCTCTTCTGGGTGCCACTTAAAGCCCCTTCAGCCCAGCCTGTTATACGAGCTAGGGCTAAGCAGTGGTCTCCAGCTTGTCTTACCCGTGAGCGACGCTGATGCGCGCACTCTCAATCTTTATATATACTCCGGTTAGACACACGAGTTATACATTCTAGCTCTAGCTGATACCAACCTATCAATGCTTCCTACCGGTAACCTGATCCCAAACAGCGTCGTGGGTGTCGATCTTCCTGTGGGAATCGGGCGCCTAGTTCTATTTATGGAATCGGTGTTGGCCCTGCGAGCTTGAGCATTGTGCTCATGAACCGCGAGCTTAGGACCAGATAGGTAGTGCTTATGAGGGAACCGTGGTCGCATGGCTGCACCTGCTGAATAGTTTATAAATGGTTTCCGTGGAGTCGTGTATGTTCAATTCATGTTGGCATGTATACAATCGAATAGTTCAGTCTTTTTTCCTATATCTATAAATAGATGCATCAGTTCGATATACACGCTCGAGACGCGGACAGCGTGCTTGTCACCTGTTATTGAAGCAGGAAGCTGTTGTATAGTACGTGGCGGAACCTGGGACTCGGGTAGCAGGGTTCTGTCTATGCTCGCAGTCAGTCAAGGCGTCAGCAGAACATTCCAAGATAAAAAAAAACACGGACAGTCCAATGGGCCGTCAAGAGATCTCGTTAGGCTAATTGTAGAACGTAACAGCCATCCTGTATTCATAAGGGTATCAACTAGTAAACTCCAGTCTATGTAACAAGTAGATGCAATCACTCTACCAACGCACCCAAAATGCAGCAGCTAGCAATGTCGCCACCAGGCCCGAGTGGCGTCAGGTCTCGGTCGGTACCAGTCATGCCGATATTATTTTTGCGACGCTTGTGCAATAAAGTCGGCCAAGCTAGGCTGTGGCCCCGGGGTGTCGGGCTTCCACGTATATGACAGCAGAGCGGACTTTGCGGCCACTGGGTGTGCGAAACCCTCGGCGCGGCTCAACGAGTAGGTTTGGATATTCAACTCCTCGTGAGACAGGCTGACCTTCATCTTCCTGCTTTGGCCGGCGGTGTCGACCGCGAGCAGTTCACCATGGTGCGGGTACGCCACTTCCCAGGATGCCTTGCCTGAGCCTTCCTGTTTTTGAAGAGAAATCGCCGCGGCTACATCGAGCATAACAAAATGCGTAATGGCCTGTGCCACTTCTTCTTGTAGCCCAACGCGGTTAAGAGGTTGGACTTCGGGAAATTGCGGGAGGTTGACAGAGATGTCGTAAAAAGTGCCAACGGGGGGTATAGTCGAGTTCGTCCTGATCCGAACTCGGAACGAGCTCTGTGGTGTGATCAGGGTACCTGAAAAGGTCGACTCGAATGGTGCAAGAAAGACTCCAACCAGTGATTCGACCTTAGGGACCAAATGGCTGGGCTGCAATACACCGACCGACGAAAATTGAGTAGCACTAAAGTCACATTTGATCCCGGCAGCTTCTAGAACGCGCCGTAACTTGGCGATATATGTTTCGAGCGACTGTATATGTGACTTGTGTTGTAAATATGCCATAACCGGTCGGAGGATCTGGTATTCAGGAGTAGGTCGACGTTTCGGTGCAAGTGGTGGCGGCGGCTGAGTCCTGCGTCGAAGGTTTTGTCGGTGGGCAAAGGTAAGAAGAATACGAATCGAATGGGAAATTGCGTCGGCAAGGGCGTTCTGCTCGCTTGAGGAACCCGCCTCTTCCGACGCGTGGTCCTGATCCCAGTCCACCAGATCCAACAATAACTCCTGCTCCTCGGAAACGGGCACCTTGACCAGGTTTTGTCGCGTAGTGACGCCTTGATTTCCTAATATCCTAGCTTCCCTCATCATTTCATGGAAGAGTTCCTCCTCGAAGAGCGTATCACGCGCCTGCAAAATCCGGCTCTCGATTGATTCGGCGTCTTGAGACGGTCGACACACTTTAGAACAGCCGATAATGCGATCCTGATGTTTGATTCTTACTCGGACACCTTGTGCCTTGCGTGGTATCAAGCCATTGTCGAGCACAAGTTTTCCATCGTCAGCTCGTCGCAGAGCAGCAAGTCCTCGATCGCGGAAAATCGGCGTAGCTATCGGAAATTAGCGACACCCCGACAATAGATAGTAGGCCTCACCTTCCAAGAATCCATACTGTACTCCTAGCGCTTGTCCATCCCGAGGGAGCCTGCACACCTTCCAACCCTTCTCTTTGATTGCTAAAACCTGATCCCAATACTCCTTCTCCGCATCCACCTCAGTGTCTAGTCTTGCGCCGGCGTTGAGAAGCTTGCTAGCGGCGCTGTTGAAATTCTGGAGCCTCCATCCCCTTGAAACAGACTTTATGTCTTTCAGCGCGGTATCCGGTCTTGGTGGTGGGTTGATGACCTCCGAATTGAGGGAACCGAGCGGCGCGGCGGTCTTTAAGAAGGGGGACATGGACGTCTCGGCCTGGCGGGGGTTGTATTTGGATAGCAAGAGCGAAACAAAGTCTAGGGCAAATGAAGCCTCCATATGAGCCTGTCTGAGAAGCATAAGTAAATCGTCGCGGTCGCAATTGGTCGCCAAGTATGCAGCTTACAGGGCAAACTGGATGATCTCCGCACGGCGTTTATACAATTGCTCCATGCGCTCCGAAGTGTCCAAGTCAGCTGCCTCCTTTTCAACCTCATCTTCCTCCTCCCAAGGATCCTTGTTCTTGTCCGCCTCGATCTTTTCCCGCAAGCTCGCCTCGCTGAGCTCCCGAAAGGAACCCCATTGCGCGTTGATTTGAGCGATGTCCCTCGACAGGGAATCCGGACGGTCGCGGTTCTGAATAACGGGCCGAAGCGGAAGGTTGAATGAGTCTGCCATGATGAAATGTGAGCCACTCCTCGACGAGTGGCCCCATGTGTTGGGTGAGCGAGCAGACCGAATGGAGGAGCAACGGTCGGAGATGAAGGCGGAGTGGAAGCTCAATCAAGCCTGGACTCCGAAAGCTCCAAGCACGTGACTGTCTATATATCTCACGTGATCTATCCATCAAAGAGCATCAGCGTCCATCGGTGGAATGAGCTGCCGGTGTCCTAAACCAAGAAAACTACTCTGTACAGAGACTTGAATCTCCGGTGATCATACCCGAGCATCCCTCGCGAAAATTTTACGGGACAGGCTCATGCAGGCCAACAAATGCGTAGCTGGGCAAGGAATCCTGGAGGTATATAGTTTCGCAACTATTGGATGTATTGCTCGGCGTGGCGTTACCCGAAAATCGCAGAGCAGGCAAACCTGTTATTTTGATGAGATTCGAGTGCATCGTGATCAATCATACCATGTCTACGTCTTCTATTCCCGATATCTCGCCTTCTGAAGCTCATCATAGCAGGGTCTGTATACCGTCGCCAGCCAATCGAATTGTCACATGGGCATCAGAAGCCCTACCCTACTAATAAGGCACGTGATAGCTCCAGAACTAGGCCTAAACAGGCTTTCGTGGTGCCACTCAGCGTGGCTCGGTGACATCAGCAGATCATCAATTTACGGCTTGGAGATGTATACAATCTGACCTCGCTCGAAGATAGGGAGGAAGGGGCGAGGCTGCTCTGAAAAAGCAAGTTATACCCCTGTTGGGTGCTTTTTTTGAGCAGTATTTATACCACTGACCCCCATTCGAGTCGTATATGCTTATCTACTCTGTTCTCCCATCCAAGTAACACATCAAGTCAGTGACGTACCTTTACCCGCACCCGCTTTTTCTCACCGGAACCTCGGACGCTCCCCCACCACGCACCAAGTTCTCTCTTCATCGACTCACTCTTTCGTCACTGCTTCTCCTCTCTCTTTTATCTGACCCGCCGCTGTGTCGCCTCCAGCTCGCACGATTGAGCCGACACTTATACGCCCTGGAGATCGATTTACCGAACCCGTCACCACCGTGATGGCTACAACACACATCCCCGCAGCCCCTCCCAAGCGCCGCCGCATTGGCGTCCTCACCTCCGGCGGTGATGCCCCTGGTATGAACGGCGCCGTGAGGGCCGTCGTCCGCATGGCCATCCATTCCGACTGCGAAGCCTACGCCGTCTTCGAGGGATACGAAGGTCTCGTCAATGGCGGGGACATGATCCGTCAGCTACACTGGGAAGATGTTCGAGGATGGCTCTCACGGGGTGGAACACTCATTGGATCCGCTCGCTGCATGAGCTTCCGCGAGAGACCTGGTCGCCTGCGCGCCGCGAAGAACATGATTCTGCGCGGAATCGACGCCCTCGTTGTCTGCGGTGGTGATGGCAGTTTGACCGGTGCCGATGTTTTCCGCTCCGAGTGGCCTGGACTTTTGGACGAATTGGTCAAGACAGGGGAGTTGACCACTGAGCAGATCAAGCCTTATACCGTTTTGAATATCGTCGGTCTTGTGGGATCCATTGATAACGACATGTCCGGCACGGATGCCACAATTGGGTGTTACTCGTCCTTGACTCGAATTTGCGACGCTGTCGATGATGTTTTCGATACAGCATTTTCCCACCAAAGAGGTTTCGTCATCGAGGTGATGGGACGACACTGTGGTTGGCTTGCGCTGATGGCCGCCATCAGTACGGGCGCGGATTGGCTCTTCATTCCCGAGATGCCCCCTCGAGAGGGTTGGGAAGACGACATGTGCGAGACTATCACAAAGGTGGGCGATCAAGTCCTTCTATCTGCTCTGAGGTGCTAACACGCTCTAGAACCGTGAGGAACGGGGCAAGCGTCGAACAATTGTCATCATCGCCGAAGGAGCACAGGATCATCAACTCAACAAGATTTCTAGCAACAAAGTTAAAGATATTCTTACAGAGCGCCTTGGCCTGGATACCCGAACCACTGTGCTGGGACACACGCAAAGAGGAGGACCCGCTTGCGCCTACGATCGCTGGCTGTCGACCCTACAGGGAGTGGAAGCTGTGCGAGCTGTGCTCGACATGACGCCGGAATCTCCTTCTCCAGTCATCACCATTCGGGAGAACAAGATCATGCGCACACCATTGATGGACGCTGTCAAGGCTACACAAGAGGTCACCTCACATATCAAGAACCGAGATTTCGCCACGGCGATGACGTTGCGCGATTCCGAGTTCAAGGAGTACCATTACGCTTATCTCAACACAGCCACCCCTGACCACCCTAAGCTAGCCCTCCCCGAAAACAAGGTACGGAAACAACCCCTGTGATAGATGGTCTAGCCGCTAACTCAGAGCAGAGAATGCGCATCGCCATAGTCCACGTCGGTGCTCCGGCAGGAGGCATGAACCAGGCGTCTCGTGCTGCTGTCGCGTACTGCTTAACTCGCGGCCACACCCCCATTGCTATCCACAACGGATTCCCCGGTCTGATCCGCCACCATGCAGATACGCCCGTGAGCTCCGTACGCGAGGTACGCTGGGTCGAGACGGACGCGTGGGTGAACGAAGGTGGTTCCGACATTGGCACAAACCGTGGCCTCCCCTCAGAAGACATGGAAACCACAGCAGAGTGCTTCAAGAAATACAAGTTCGACGCTCTCTTCGTCGTCGGCGGCTTCGAAGCCTTCACAGCAGTTAGCCAACTGCGCCAAGCACGCGAGAAGTATGACGTCTTCAAGATCCCCATGGTCGTGCTCCCCGCTACAATCTCCAACAACGTCCCCGGAAGCGAATACTCCCTGGGCAGCGATACGTGCCTCAACGCCCTCATCGAATTCTGCGACTGTATCCGGCAATCCGCCTCGTCATCACGCCGCCGTGTCTTCGTCATCGAGACGCAAGGAGGAAAGTCAGGTTACATTGCCACGACCGCCGGTCTCGCCGTCGGCGCCGTCGCAGTGTACATTCCCGAAGAAGGAATCGACATCAAGATGCTCTCGCGCGACATCGACTTCCTCCGCGACAACTTTGCCCGCGACAAGGGCGCCAATCGCGCCGGAAAGATCATCATGCGCAACGAGTGCGCCTCCTCCACATACACCACGCAGTTCATCGCCGACATGATCAAGGAAGAAGCCAAGGGCCGCTTCGAGTCCCGCGCCGCAGTCCCCGGTCACTTCCAGCAGGGCGGAAAGCCCTCGCCCATGGATCGCATTCGCGCCCTGCGCATGGCCATCAAGTGTCTCATGCACCTAGAAACCTACGCCGGCAAAACCAAGGACGAGATTGCCGCCGACGAGATGTCCGCGACCGTCATCGGAATCAAGGGCTCGCAGGTCCTCTTCTCGGTCATGGGCGGTGAGTCTGGTCTTGAGGCCATCGAGACGGACTGGGCCCGTCGCCGTCCGAAGGCCGAGTTCTGGCTCCAGCTGCAGGATACGGTCAATATTCTCTCTGGCCGTGCTGGCGCAAAGGCGACCTGGTCGTGCTATGAGGATGATGATCAGACTCAGGCGCCTTCTCCGCGGGCTTCGCCCAAGAAGCTGGTTTAGAGTAGAGATCGGATTGGATAAGACTACGTGATCTGAATTATGAATACAATTTCAATTAAAACTACAAAATCCCCCGCGCGCGTAAATTTTGTATGTTCCAGCACGTAGTCTCATGTCTCATTCCCCGCTCATATTAACGTAGCTATCAGAACTAATCAACGTTTCTGGAAACTTCCAAACAATCAAGGCACAATGCTGGCTGGATAAGAATAGCTCTGGCCCGTTCACTCCACGGCCAGACTAAACTAGTAGTGAACATCCCTGCAATAATGCAAACACCAAATGGAATTCTCACACTAAACAAGTCAGATTGGCTGCCGAAAAGCAAATTCAAGAGTCACTTATGATGCAGGTGAATCAGCAACCGGATTCTGAAGACTATCCAGTTCATCAAGAAGAACAACCGTCTCCGCCGGACTCGCGATCCAGGCCGTTGTCGAGGCGAGTCGGGCCTAGACGGAAATAAAAGATCAGCCATGTTCGTTCTCTCCTAATAGCTCCAAGAGCATCACGCAAGCAAACGAGGGCAAACGAACCTTGAAATCATTCGCTCCGGCTGACAAAAACTGGTCTCCGACGTGGAGTGTGTGTGCAGCATCAATGCCGCCGAAGTAGCGCTGGCAGGCACGCACACCCCACGACTTGTCGCCGATGTCGACGAAGACGTCGTTGCCGCCTGTTGGATGATGGATGTTAGTAAACTTTTGTTCGTAGATAATGCTTCGAACCGCGGTAAACAAGAAACGAAAACCAGGAATCCAGAAAGGAATAAGATAAGGGATCATGTAGTACCGTTGAAAGCGCAGAAGGGAAGGTGGTTCGCGACTTCGGATCTTTCGACTGTATTTTGCACCACAAGCACAGTCTCCTCCAGTTGCTCTCGCAGCAGCTGACCCTTTTTCTGCGGGAACACGCCGACCGCGCGATCTTTTCGGAGCACCGAGACTGAGAGGTTAAGATTCGCTACACAAGCGCGCAGCGAAGACTCGGCAATATCCAATAGTTTCGTAACATGCTCCTGGTTCCAGGATTTCATCTCCGGGAGGAGCCAGTCTTCCCGATCGACGTGCTTCAGCTTGTGCGGGGACTCGGAATCGTAGCGGAAGAGATAGTTCGCTTCGCCGCCCATAACGACGAGATTGGATCTCTGTTTCTCTGAGAGCTCCGTGGAGCTGTGCATTACATCAAGTAGACCCTTGAGCCGCTCGTAGTACTTTGCAGCGTCAGTGTAGCCGGCAGCAGTCACGATCGCGACTCTGATGTTCTGACGGAGGAGTCTGAGGATGCGTGGAATGACGGGGTTATCGTCGGCGAGACACTCGCCGTCGTCGTAGAGGGTCACGTCTCCATCAAAGGTGACGAGCTGTAGCCCCTTGTTCCGGACGAGACCGAGCAGCTGGGCGGAATTGAGGATTAGTCGGACGTCGTTGAAGGAGGGCGCAACGAATCGGCGTCGGCTGATGTAGCGCTGGCGGTCCTGGTACTTGAACGCCTCTTCGAGGTAGAGGTTCGTGAAGAACGTGCCAACCGATGGGACAAGGAGTCTTAGTTTCGATTTGCCGGCGGCTTCTTCTCGCTCATGTTGGACTGGGCGTTGTCAGCGACGATTCTTAACAAGAATTAGGGAGGCCATACTGTGATCGTTCAGGAGACCTTCGACATCCCTGAAGATCTCTGCGTAGCGCTGATGAGTGTCTTGAGCGACTTCGGCGAGGCGTTCGCCGTGCTCCAGTTGGATAGTGGTGGGCTGGGAGTGTAGCACAAAGGGAACCGCCAGAAGGCCCTGGAAGCTAGATCAGGACGGAACGGCGGAATTGCGGAAGTCGACGGACCTTAATCCACTCAATCTGCGAAAGTTAGCATGGACATCTTGAACATCACCGAAGTCTTGTTCTTACCAATTGGTCCCGACGGTGAGACTGCAGGAAGGTTAGCGGAGGGTATTTCCTCAGGCACATGGGCACGTACCTTGAGGGCGTCTGTTTACGTTAGCTTGAGCTCTCAATTGGACTGATGGAAACCTACATTCAACGCGATACCTGGTAGTCATGATGGTTTGGAGATGATGATTCAGGGGTGTTGACAGTGGTAGATATGGAAGTGAAAACGAATGGCAGGAGGACTGGCGCTGGCAGATCCCCACTTAAGATGGACGATAATAAAGGCCGACGTGACACAAACAAGGGGTGGATGGAAGGTTGATGAAGAGTCTAAGCGTTGGCGATAGATAGAGAGATACAGGACTAGTCTAGGTAGTGTCTGCAGGCGCTCTTTCCTCGAATGCTTCGGTGAAGCTTGAGCTTTGGCGCCATCAGCAGCAGACTCCAACCCCGATTGGCTGCTGCTCGCTGGTGCCTGCAAGCTGAGGCCGCAAGGAGGGGCAGTGCCGCCATAGCTGGACTAGCGCACACGAGAATCATCTGACTGGATCACGGGATCCGCCGCCTCTTGGCTCGAACAGGACTAGCTCACGTGTCGTCGGTGAGCTCCGATGTGCCTGACTTTTGTGGCATCCAGCTATCGTCAACAAACACAAGGCGCGCATTGAGATTTGAGGCAGCACGAGGTCGTCATGTTCAGAACCCAGTTCTGCCACCTCTTAAACTTCAATCCGGACTGACATCTCGTTTGTTTGATGAATACCATGGACAAGCCAATGAGGCTCTTCCGAAATCTCATCGTCGCTCCAATTTGCGGGGTAGTGGGGAAGTTGTCATGGGAAGGATGAGCCGAAGCATTCCACATCTCCCTCTTCCTATTCAGGTCAACGAGACAAGACCGGATAACGTCTAGGGACGCTGTACTGCCCGATCCAGAATTACAGCGCTCGAACTCAGATTAACCGAGTCCTGCTCAATGACCGCCGACCGTGTCTACCCCCTTGCTCGGCCCAAGGGCCACAAGCCGCCGATGGAAAGATGGAAGCTCGAATTCCCAGAGAGCCAGGCCCAGATACATACCGCATATATAGGCGTACAGCGACACGACTCGAGTTCTAGCACGAGTACCTCGTTCCAGGACTCCATCGAGGCTATACAGACTTGGCTGGACACAATCGACCTTCATGAGCGTCCCGCTGTCGAGAAATTCGAGTTCCTCGAAGGAGATGACGAGCCTGAGTCCGTAGTTTGGGTGTGTTATTGGCCGGACTCACTTGTGTACGAGAACTGCATCCAACAGCTTCGTTTGGCGGATATATACAACAGCATCGAACGACCCAAAGCCGTAGGACTCTGGCTCGAGCAGTTCACGACGCAGGTATCACGCCTGGAAACAAACTATTCTGGCCTCGACTACCTTCCTGGTCTGGCGAAGCTCCCTGGAAGCAAGCCCGTCGAGCATACGTTGACAGCATACTGGGGCGCTGCTCGAGATCGGATTCCGGATTCAGGGCATGATCTCTTCTCGCGGCAGAACGATGAGGTGATGGCGCCTCCTGTGAAAATCCCAGCAGGGCTAGGACAGCATCTCTCTGGAAGCAATGCATACGACAATCTCGTGCACATTCGCTCCGGCCAGTTCTGGGAAAACTGCTCAGAAACTGAATCGTTCGCCTACGAGAACACACTCCAACCAACCCTCCACGCCGGCCTCCGCTACCTTTGGGAGAACCGCACCGACTCAGGCGCAATGGGCCTGCGATTCCTCCGAAACTTGCACACCAACAACCCAGGTGCTCATCTCAATTCCTCCGGAAACGGAGCCCCAGAACCAGAACCAGAACCTCAACGCGAGCCAGCAAAAGAAACCTGCGCAGCCGGCTTCTTCCGCAACCTCTCGGACCTCGAGAAATGGGCAAAGCGCCACCCCTCGCACCTGGCCATCTTCAACGGCGCCATCGCGCACGCGAGAACATTCGGCGAGAATCGCAAGTTCCGGACTTGGCACGAGGTCTCGATTCTCAGGCGCGGAGAGGCGAGCTTTGAATATGTCAATTGTCTTCCGAGGACCGGCGTAATCTCCTACTTGCAGCTTGATAGGCGGGATTTGTAGCTGCGGAGAATGCTAGTAGCAAGGTGCGAGCTTCACCGGGGAGGTGGACCGCTGCAGTGGGCAAGAGGGTGGAGTGAAGTTGGGGGTGATAGAGGAGAAAGATGGGGATGGGGTTGGATTGTTAGCCCGTCGTGGCGTAGCCTATGCCAGCTCTCGGAACTTGACCGAGCACTATCCAGGCCATGCCATGCCGTCCCCTGCTTACGGCACGGCCTCAGTACCCTAATCTCCCTAGCTCGCCACTTGCGAATCACGGCATTGCCATCACTAATTTACTCTAAATCTGACAACTTTCGCCGAGGCGCATTGAGACATTCGCTCTTGGCAGCACCAGCGGACCCGGATATCGGGTTATTCTGTAGGGAGACCTGACCCAGTCCGAGTGGCTGATTGATAATTGAGTCCGCAATCAGCAATCTATTCCACCGGATTACGTTCAGCCCGCTCCTGCCGTGTCTGTGGGCCAAGACAAACTAAGTTGAGGCATTTCCTGGGCCGGCGCTCGGGTGCGGAGTGCGGAGTGAAGTTTGCTTGAGGTTTTGAGTTGCGCAGCCGTGCACCTCTGGATTATTCGTCCGGGGAGATGGTGGTGCGAGCTCTCTGGAATCCGTACTACGGGTCGTGGGTAAAGTGTCCGAGCTTGTGAGAGTGGACTCGGCTGGAATAACGCTTCTCGAACCTTGGGGCGTGCGACGGAGGAAAGTATACAATTCAGACAAGCTGTGATTGAACAATTTGGAGAGGACCAATTGTGCAGTCATGACATTCTTGCTTCTGACTATATGGGGTAGCCAAACTATATCCAGCAATACAGCAGACATATCCAAACCTTCATCTCGTAATCATGAACATCACCAAAACCGTAACCGGCTCACCAACGCCCCAGACTATCCCATCTCAGCCACCAGTAGAGCCATGGAGAAAATCAAACCCTCTCAACAGTCTCAACCCGCCCCTGCACATTCCCCATCTCAACCTTATTCTCCGCACTCGTCGCCAGATCCCTCTGCTCCGCATCACGGTTTCCATACAATCCAATCTTATACCACGGCAACTGGAACAGATTCTCCATACTCTCCAGGGAGCGTCCCGCAGTCTCGGGAATAGAGAACCAAACCCACGCCCCGCCGATAATCGTCACGGCAGCGAAACACCAGAACGTGCCCTTGGGATCAATTCCACCGTCTTCAGTGGGGAGGAGCATATTGGGCACCGCGCGGGCATTTCCATATTGGTTCGCAAAGTGGAGTGTCATTGCGGTGGAAGTCGCAAACGCACGGATCCGGAGCGGGAAGAGTTCGGCCGTGAGCAGGTACTGCATGCTATTCCAGCCGAGGGCCCAGCCCATGCCGCTGATGTAGATCATGGCGATTGCGCCGCGCGAAACACCCTTCTTGTTCTCGGGGAGGACGAAATCGTCGTCGACGCCGAGTTCGGGAACCGAGGTGAGGAAGGCGGCGACGTAGATCATCGAAATGGCTTGCATGGTGATTCCCAGGAGGAGGGCGCGCTTGCGGCCGATGACGTCGACGAGGAAGAGCGCGCAGATAACGGCGGCAGCGAGTTTCACGAGGCCGAAGACGGCGGTCACGAGGAGGGACTCGTTGTTGCCGGTGATGCCGAGGAGGGAGAAGAGCTGCGGGGCGTAGACGGTGATGGACCCCGCGCCGGACCACTGCGAGAGGACCTGGACCATTGCGGCGAGGTACAGACGGTAGAGGTTCGAGGGGATGAGGACGGCCTCCTTGAGGACGCCAAGCCAGCCGAGTCCCAGGGTAGCTTCCATCTCTGCCTGGTGCGAGGACTGGATGGCGGTGATTTCGTCGATGACGTATTCGTGGTCGGGGGGCAGGTTGCGCATACGCGAGAGGTTGTTCAGTGCTGCTTCGAAGTTGTTGCGCTTGACGTGGAAGCGCGGGGACTCGATCTGGGCGAAGGAGAGGATGAAGATTAGGCCGGCGAACATGATGTGCAGGCTTGTGGGGACGAGCCAGCGGTTTGCGCCGTCGGGGATGTGTAGCTCGCAGCCGTAGTTGGCAAAGTAGGCGAGCACGATGCCCAGGTAGACGAAGCCGGTGAAGACGCAAGTGCAGAGACCGCGGACGGCGGCGGGGGCCACTTCAGCGAGATAGACTGGCCCAACCACGACTGTTTGTCCAACACCCAGGCCAGCAATGAAGCGTCCAGCATAGACAGCTCCAAGCGAGCCATTGTGTCCCATGAAGATAGCAATACCCAGAACCCAGAGGACACACAGCTCACGCGTAGCCCAGAGGCGTCCAACTCGATCACAGACAAGGAAAGCAAAGAGAGCACCAGCAATAGATCCAAGCTGGACCATAGCAGAGACATTGCCTCTGATGTTGGCCTGCTCGACAGCATCATACGAGTCAAAGTTGATGGTGCGCTGGAAATCCACAGAGTCAAAGGCTCCCGTGATGAGACCCTCGTCGACACCACGGGCCGCGCCCATGAGGCCAAAGGAGAGCACAGCGAACCATAGTCTCCAGTTGAGGATCTCCCTAGGGGCCTCGCCTGTGCTGAGGCGGAAGACGTTGAGGGGTTGCTTTGGACCACCGGCCATGTTTACGGAGTGTAGAGAGCCCGAGGCCTAGAGTGGGAGCAAGGGCAGAGAGGAAAAGAGGGGAAGATAAGGAGGAAAAAGAAACTCAAGAGGCGACTCGATGCAAGGGCTGGTCTGGTCAGCTGCAAGGATTATGACGCCGCGACTTGAGGGAAAAAGCAAGCCCCTTGGTGCGACTGAGGGAGGGGGTTCTTATAGCCTTTGCCCAAGGTTGACAGCTTGACACACAGAAAGGGCGCGATGGGAAGCGGGAACCGCAGCGTCGCATTGAGAGTGTAATCAAGGCCATGGCCTGATGGGCCTCCCCAGCCAGAACTTTTCCTCTCAGCTGGGTGAACTTCGGAAGTTGCCCGTCATGGACGGTGACCCCGGACGTCTCCAAGGCCGGAGCAACACATTTTTGGGCTGGTCCAACGCCAGCACCAGAGGAGACAGTGTGATTGGCCGATGGGGATGGAGACGCGGAGAAGGGAGGGCTCAGGTGTGGGCGACTCAAGGGCAAATCGAGGCCGATCGGCGCGCGGGGTTGCGAGCAGACGACTCGGACTTGGACCGAGCGTGCCGAAGAGTTTTGTTCATAAATCGACTCAAGTGCGACTCGACTTGCTCACCGGGGATTCTTGTGATTCTAGAAGAGTCAGGACAACATTCAAGTACGACAAAGGGGGAACCCACCTTGGGCCAATGGAGAGTTCGCTGGGCATTCTCTTGTCAGGGCTTGTGGTGTGCTTGTCCCTCCGGTTGACGGCACTTTGGGACTTGGCAAAAGCCTCCCAAGGCTGCTTGACTCGTCGCCAAGTCGTGTCATCAGTCATCGGGGGAGGTGGTGGGGGGAGACGGAGAAAATGCTCCGGCACGTGTTGGACTCGTCGAAAAGGGAAGCTCCCATGGAAATCGCCATCATACGGAAACCTTCCCCATACCCACCCCGAAAATTGCGGGAGAGATCAAGATGCAGCGTTTGCTTTCGAGGCCGACCGGAGCGGGCGAAGAGCACGTGACGGGAGGCTACATGATGGAACAAAACCCAGGACATCATCCATTACTTTCTGATCCAAAGTGAAGCTAACAGAATCTCACTACACTATACATCTCAGATTCGCCACTTGAAAGCCGGGTTGCGCCAGTCCAGGTCCTGGATCTGTCTCTGGTCAAGCCCAGCCAGCGCCTGGTCAATATCCGTCGCCTCCCGCTTCTTGTTGTCCCGGTTCATCCACCCCCACAAAAGAATGCTGAGAATTAGAATCAAGCTTGACGTTGCGAGATTGAGCCCGTTGCCGATATGGTAGTCGGGCGCATCGAAGGACAGGAATGACCAAGTCGAGATCAACCCGCCAACGTTGCCGAACATGACATTGCAACCAATCGCAGCAGAGCGTGCAGTATCAGACACGACATTGTTGCTAACATGAGCATTTGTAAGTGCACCAAAGGCGAAGGCACCGCTGGCAATCAAAAAGGTCGCTCCGTATCGGACGTGCCCATCTGAGGTGGCCAGGAACATAATATAGCCGGTCATCATCAGCGGTGGTCCGGCGACGAAGCAAGGCATCCGTTTATCGAGACGCATAGAAATCCAGGGCATGAGAAGTGTGAAGAAGGCGCCCACAATGTACGGAGGCACTGTTCTGAGCTGCTGAGTGACAACGGTAGCATCAGGGTAAATCGTACGGACGATCGTAGGCGCGAAGAACGCAAGACCCTGAACCGTGATGTTGTTAAGTAGGAAGATGAACGACGTGCCCAATGTAATAGGGTTTAGGATACCACGCATGAGTTTCTTCGTGTCGATCTTATCAAGCACTTCAGTTGTTCCCACACGCTCGGACTTGATGCGTGCGATTGCGAGGTCCTTTTCTTCCTGGCTCAGCCAGCGCGCGGTTTCCGGTCGGTCCGTCAAAGTGAAGAAGCTGATGAGCGCCAAACCAATCGTAACAACGCCTTCAATGGCGAAGATCATGCGCCAAGTGTGCAGGCTGCCGAAGTGGTCCAGCGTGAGGATTGCCGAGGCAAGGAGGCCGCCGAAGGCACCCGCCAGCGGCGCCATCACAATGTACATTGAAAGCCGAAACGCCAGCTCGCTGCGTCTGTACCATCTTGACAAGTAGTAAGCAATACCCGGCAACTATATTTTAAGCCGTAGGAGTTAGCTAGAAGGTCTAGAGATGGAGTTGAGATCAGGTATCAGAAGGGGTGGGGGTGCGAGCGGCCTGACGGGAACGAGATACACGTCTGGAAAGCAAAAGGGCGAGGGCTTACCATGCCAGCCTCAAAGATACCAAGCACGAATCGAACTCCAGAAGCCTGATGGATTGTATCGACAAAGGCTGTAGCGATGGATGCGATGCCGAAGAGCAATGTTGATATCGGCAGGAACCATCCGGGTCCAATCCACTTGCAGCACAGGTTGCAGGGAATCTCGAAGAGGATATACGAGATGTAAAAGACCGAGAGGACATGATTGTAATCGTAGCCGGTCAAACCGAGGTCTGTGTCGAATCCAGCGAGCCTCGCGTTTCCTAAGGGGGTAAGGGGTGAGTCACGTGTTCAGAGTTGGTAAGGGTGAAGAAGTGACTTACCAATATTCGCACGGTCAATAAAGCAGAACAGATACAGCAGAGCGACTGTAGGCATAAGGTATAGGTCCATCTTCCATCGCAACTTGGACTCGGCCTTTGCGTCAAATTCGAAAAGGGCTCGTCCGTACTGATCCGTGGCGGCGTGTCCACGGCCAGCAATCTGAGTCACATCCTCGACGACTTTCATAGTCTCCTGGTGGCCAGACAATGCCTTCTCGTCTGCGACAGGTTGAGGAGGTGCATCGGTCGCCATGCTTGCGGTGCAGAAGGCGAGAGGTGGTGGTGGAGGGAAATAAATGGGAAGGAGCGTAGGAACCAGCGGAGATTAGAGCTCCGCACGCGTCTTTATAGCTTCTCAGGATCGGCTGCGCGACCAGGTCGGAAATCCCGACTAGGACAGACGGGAAGAGGACTCGGAAGGCGAGGAGACTCCACCGAGGAATGCAAGTCTGGGGTATCCAGATCCCAGGATTGTGGGGTGAGATTCGACTGGTTAGGAGGGACTGGATGCCATCAACAACTGCGGGTGTTGGAAGTAAACCACGGCAATTCCGCTTGCTTCAACTGCCCTGGACCTAGATATGATTGCACAAGGCCACGTCTCGTATTTCTCACCGGGCCGTCAGCCACGCGAGGGACAAGGCCAGCACAATGACAGACCACGCTCCGACCGTCAACGGGATCCTCCTGCATCCCTGTCGTTTCAAATCTAGGCTAAATGAGCTCTTATCTGTCTGTCGACTGCTTTTCTCCCGCTCAACGCGCCTTTCTGGACTGAATCGCGGATGCTTTCCCTCACAGCGACCGTCAGCGACGGCTGTTCAGTGCTGGCAGGATGCCGACCTTGGCGTTCAACCATTGCTGCTTTTGGAACTTTTAACGGAGACTTGGCCAGCTGCCAAGGGGGCGAAATGAAGGAGCTGGTGCTGTGAGTGGCTGGACGAGCCTGGGCCTCAAGCCACCGGGGTATCATGGCAGGCCTGGACCAATGGAGAGCGAGGCAATCTCAGCACCCCGGTCGCTGACGCTTCGAGCTTTGCAGACCGAGGAATCACGACAAGAGAAGCTTGAATCTTTTGATATTATTTGGCGATGGACAATGAATGACTCGTGACTTGTGATTGGGCTTAACACTGTGAGTGGGAAAAAAGAGGAAAAGTGCAGGGGGAGAAAAATGCCAAGCGCGGCCTGACCCCGCATTTGCCAACCCCGCAACTCCGTCGTCGACTCTGTTTCCTCCAGAATCCAGTGGCGATGGTCCCACAATTCGCTTCACCCTGTGACCAGGGCTGCTCTGTGGGGAGGGAAACCTCGAGTCAGTACACCATCCGTGTGATCTTCGCCTCTCCTTTTTAGCCTTTGACATGGCAAGCTGGAGGATTTAGCCTTTGCAGGTTTGTGGGGATTGCAGCTGCTGGCAGCTGCCACCCTGCCACTCCATCACAACTTACAACCCTTCCATTTCTCCGAACAAGCATGACTGGATTCGAAACCACGCGTGCATGATCAAGCACTGCGGCTGTAGCTCACTCTTGGCAGAGTAAGCTCCTCACATCTTATCTCATCCTCGCCAAGGAGAGCCCAATGGCATTTTCACCGAGGCAGGCGCAGCTATCAGTATGTACATTTACCGAGAGAGCTTGCCGTGTATGCTCGCAAAGCGCGTGCCCAGGGTCATGGCACTTGGCGCTGATTCATCTCTCTGGCTGACAGGTTGATGGGCAGCTACGCGAGACGCCTCTTTCTTGTCTATCCACATCGGATGTGCACGTCGGAAGTCGGAAGCTTGGAGCCAATAAGCGAAGCGTAGCCAGCTTACTAGTCCGTCTTGATGCTCGTTTCGAGGGAATGGGGGATGAGCTATCGGACACGGAGTGCCCCACGTTTGAGCTTCTGCCAAGCACCCTCGTGGCAAGAGGCCTCTGTGGGAGAAGGACCAGTCGGGGGTTGCCATGATACTCATATCCTAGCTAACTACATACACACCCCTCTAAGTCCTACTAGGTTAGAGCATGCCTTATATAGGTATCTCTATAAGCCTATCGAGTGTCATTTGGAATCACCATGGCTTCTTGTTCAATACGCATCCGATGGCTGCCATTTTCAAAAGCCCAGCCATAAAACGGTAGGTACACATCTGAGCCTTCCCTGAGATCTAATTGATACTTATCAACGCTGCCGTATTCGGTAGCTCCATGCGACAGCTTATATTCACACTGAGTGGCTACTAGAAATCAGGCCTTGGCGCGACTATAGGCAAATGGCCCGTTCATCCCAATGTCAGGAAGAGTCTAGTTTCTAGATTGTAGGTAGTCAAGGGACACTACTTCTAGAATCTCTTCTTAATACTCCACTGCCGAAATTCTACACAGAATTATTCGTCCAGTACCTTGATAGGCACTAGGGACAGACATGTCGATGAACCGCAAAGCTGCTAACTAAGAAGAGAAGCGCAGAGTTGTTCTTAAACAAAAGCGGGACTCGGGACAACTGGTCCTGGCTTTGTAGAACGGGTGATATGTACCGATATAGCCTTCCACTCGACAGATCACATTTGTTTTGCCAGATAGAGACCTTCTGCCTCGTTGTCACTACAGTAATTCGTCTACACATGGTACTATCGGATCTTCTAGCTACCTCAATATGAGACTTCAATGTCAAGCTAGATCAGTCAAGGTACTCCCGTCTCGAATAAGAGGCGGATTATGAGGCACAAAGTTCAAGAGTATGTGAGGGAGCACAGGACGACAGCCACCTGCGATAGATGTAATGGCATTTGTGAGAGAGAAAAAGATGAGAGCATAATCCAATTATATAAGAATTATATTAACACTGCTCGCCATCTTCATAGTCATTTATCTAGTAAGACATCAGGGAATCATTATAATAATCCATAAATAAGAAGCATAAACACGAATAAGATCAAATTATCAACCCTGAATCATCACCATGCTCCAAGGTAATTCCATGTCGCCAAATGTAAACCGCGCTGCTGAGGTATCCATAATCAAGTTTACCTTCATCAACCGTATCTTCTCTCATACCTCAAGCTCAAGGCTTCGGACTCACAACAACAGTCGACATCTGCGGTACCTGCGAGCCCGGATCATTATATCGAAACTCCTTCGTTGTCCGATCATACCCAGCCTGTACCGGCACCCCGTTCTCCGCGGTAACGGGCCCCTGTGGCGGCGAATGCAATAGCGCCCCGACGACCAGCCCCGTAGGTGTCTTTGGTGGCTCGATCCAGAGGATTGTCGTGAGAAGGACGATAACGACGCCGGTTGTCATAATGACCACGCCCAGAATGCTAGTGCGAGACTCGATGCCGAATTTCCAGACCTGCACCGTTGCCCAGGATGGTAGGAATGATTGGAGGAGGGGGTCATCTTTGACCCGCTGTTCCTGTTCCCCCCGTTCCTGGGCCGATGAGATTGTCGCAGTGTCGTAGTTGATAAAGGAGAGGACTTGGGCGCTGGACCACGTGTGGACTGAGCTGAACATTAGGTTAATTCGCTCGCCCTCGCGCTCGGGCGCGGTTGCCTCCAGGAAGGCCTCGGAGAACCGACCGATGGAGCCCCGGGTGGGGCTTATCTCGCCTCCGGGGCTCACGGACCACGCTGCGAGGACCCAGTCCGGGTGGACGGTGGCTACGGCTCTGTTGTTGGACTTGGGGTCCGCGCTTGGGTGGCCGTTGAGGATGCTGAGCTGGACCAGTCCGAGGTAATTGGTGAGTGGGTTCGGGTCTAGGGTGTAATCTGCGAACCCGAGGTGGGCAACGTTGTAGCACCACACTGTGCTGGTAGTGTGCTCAGGCATCGAGTAGATGTAGGTCAACTGAGGCCCGGAGATGTTGAACTCGTTGGGTGCGGCGGGTTCTTCGAAGATCTGGTCCCAGGGGCACGACCCGTCCGCCCAGCAGGGGTAGAGGACCCATCGGGCCATGGGTGTTGCGTATATCGTGACAGTCAGGTCGTACTCCGCGTCGGTAATGTTTGGCATGGTGAACTCAACCGAAGTAGTCTGGGGGCTCTCCTTCCAGCCAGAACCCCAGCGGATGCATCTTCCCTGGTCCGGGTTCGGTACCCATGGGTAGCAGTGGACTTGCCTGTCCTCTGCGATCTCCCATATGTAATGCTCGCGGTCCACTTGGCACTCCGAAATCATCCCCAGAGCCGGACCTCTCCGCTGGAGCTGTGTCTGCAGCGCCTGGCTGAACCGGTCGGAGTCGGGGTAAAGGATAGAATCCTGCCGGTCAGGTTCATATGTAACATGGTAGTAGTTCGTTGCATCGACCGTGAAATCCCGAAGGAGCTGCCTGTTTGGAACCCACGAGACATCCCCGTCATCGTCCTCGGTCCTATTGAGGCTGAAACTCAGTGCATCCTCTCGAGAAACGGGAGGCAGTACTAGTCCAAGGGCCCGCTTCCGGTACTGCCAGGTCGTGGAGACTGCCGACTCGACCAGCTCATCCATGCTGGACGAATAGGCTAGCTCAGTGCAGCTGTATCTCCGACTCGTCAATTCACCCTCTGGACACAGAAATGTATCGTTTTCCCTGGGAGGCGCAGAGGCAAGCAACTCTCTGAATGCAAGGGAGTCATTTTTGTTGATATCCACGAATTGCAGGGAAGGAATGGCCAGAGTAGCCGTGGCGACACCCATTAGGTTGGCTATGATGGACAATGCTGCAACGAGGAGGATGAAGAGGAACAGGACGGGGTAGACGGGCTTCGTAGGCCCTGCCGCATATCTTCGGTCTCTAGCTAGCTCTCTCGCTTTTACCGCCAGATCCTTGAGGAAAAGAAGGTCCATAAACTCGGCATAGACAAGGAGAAGGCTTATCGGAAGCCGCCGGTCTTTTGCAGAGAGGAAGAGCACACTCCGATAGACAAAGCTACCAGCCACATACATGAACCAGACCTCGAGGGCTTTGGCAACAAACTGGAGGGCTCCCAGCACATTACGGTTTGTCCGGTCGAGTCTCTGGATGAACCGGACTCGGTCGGTGGAGTAGGGGTTGATCCGACATCCCGGGCAATTGAGACCAGCTCCGATGATGTGGCCTCTGAAATTGAGTATCAACAGAGCGAGGGCTGGCGCGAGCCAGAGGAAGCCGAGAAGGTTTCGAATGTCTAGGAAGCGACGAAGGCCTCTGTTGGGTGGCTGTGGGTTGGGTTGAAGCTCGGGAGGGGGCGACGGCTGGACGGGGTAGACGTGGGTCTGAGGGGAGAAGGGGCCGGGAGGTACAGCATCAGGAGGGGCAATCGTGTCCTGGCTGGGTAGACTCGGCGTGGTGACGAGGGGGGGTAGTACGCTCGCCATACTTGCAGAGTACTTTGACAGCAGAGGTTGGAAATTCAACTGGCACCCAGCAGCAGGCCATGCGAAGTGAGATGATCGGGATTAAATGCACGCACGACCACAAGAGCCTCATGCAGCCTGACGGACGAATGTAGGCTAAAAGGTTCATATTACTGGTAATATTGTCAACACCATACCTAAGTTCAGCCACTAGTAGAAAAGTACAACAATCTTCCTGTTACACTGCCCGCTCCTCTTCGTAGTGGTGTGCACCACCACGGCCGACCACCTTGCCCTCCATTTCCATATCGCTCGCGTGGCCAAGACAATGATTTGCAACGACAGCCAGAACAGACAGCGCTGTCTCTCTCTCAAAGTCTGGTGTTGGCTGTCTGTGAGGTTCTGGGTGTTGACGGCGCAATCGGTGACGGGCTTCTCCCGTCGTGTGTTGACTCGGGGAAAGAGCGCCACTATCAAGGGCTCAGAGGAGGAAAGAGCGATTATTGAGAGCAAAGTCGTTTTGGACCACAATCCCAATGTGATAGCTCACTCGATTGTCAGCCCAAACTCGTGTCTGACCTCCTTCACGCGGTGCCCAGACGTCTCAGCCTCTCGCTTCGATCCTTCGCCCCAATCTTGCCGTGGACCCCACCACCGATATTGATTTCGGCACACCTTGGACCCTTGGTTTTCCAAGTTTCCCGCGCACTACTGGCTCTCTAAGACTGCTCGCTCGCATTTCGCAGGCCAAAGTCCGACAAGATTCTGCAGCGCAACCGCGTCGATGCCGGGAAAGCAATCAAATCTGGCGGAACGAACCAGGGCCGGGCCCTTCCGTGGTTCCGTGCCTATTTCTGGCCAGAAGAGCCTCGTCGACGATTTTAAGCGGACGAGGTAGGGATCTGGGTTCGGAGTCCGCGTAAGCCGGTGTCATCTTCACTGGCACACATGCCAGGGTCTGCCTGCACATGCCGATCGGATTTATGGGAAAGAATCCCCTCACGCCAGCTTTGTTCATCAAGTCTCAAGGTCTGAGAGACAGCCATTGGTAGCCTCCGACTGGCTATTTCTTCCTTGAAGACTTGACGCAACAAGGGAGCCCCAGATATCGCAATCCATTGTGCAGCCCTGACTCACAAGCCTGGCTGACATATATACTGAGAAATGATTCCATGGAATGTTTGTTTCATTTTTTTTGACAACAGCCAATCGCTTTATTAACTATCATGAGCGATCCAATCAACGTCTCACGGGCGAGGCAGTCTGTGTGTTGCGATGCGAAAAAGCCCCCAAATCTGCAGGCCTGTTGCGGCCGGTAGTGCAGTCCAGGCCGTGCACAGCCCTGCAGAGTCCTCAAGGTGCACAGACCACCCAGACATGCAGGTTACGTCCGTAAAGTGTCAGTTGCTATATCAAAAATAGTATCCAATAATTTCGGGACTCCAAAACTCGATGCAGCGGCCATCATGTGCTCTATCCTCGGATCTACGGAATTAATTCCACTGGGGTGAGTCTCGAAATCAAGCAGTGCAACACTTGTGCTTTCCATAATCATTTCTATCAACTCCTATCCAAATAAGACCATTCTCCTCCATGACTCATCCCCAGGATGCGTGCATGGTGCCGACACTCTTACTTGTTAGACTTTTGGCTTATGACTCGATTCCGTCCAAGACTGGAGCTGGGATTAAATCATCGGACTAGAAAGAATCCCAAACTTCGGAAGCTGCCTGTGAAGCCCACATTGTCGCTAGGTAGCTGATTCTTTATGCGTTAAACTGACAAGGGGATCCCCTGCTCATAGTCAACATGAGAGACCACTAATACGAAGCACGAGAACTGCTAACAATTGGCTCCCCCATACCGCAGTGAAGAGCCATGCTCTGAGTTTTTTTGACGCCTGGAAGTGTCACTACCACCAAGTTACATTAGGGTGCCTATTTTGATAATGAGACTCGCTACTCAACATGTTGGCATATCATGAAGGGCCACACAAGGCAGCGCAGCCTGGTCCGATATAGTCCATGGTACCACCATGTTATATATAAGAATTCATGTGGCTGGTTACTTCATCCTCGATTTCTAACCAATTTCACCACTGCCTCTGAGTTTGTGCGGCGTTGGGCTCTAAGTATCGCGCATCCCTCGGAGATATAACTCGCTCGCTGCAAAGCGCATAATCCTGAGACCGCCGTATGAGATAGACTCAGATAGAGTTGCTTACTCGTGTTCAAGCTCTTAAATTATCCAGCTGGTCAAGGATCATGGTGCCCGGAGAAGGGCTAATAGTAGATATTTTTCACATGTGAGGCTCACAAGGCAGACGGCGAGTGGTTTTAGACTGCCTATTCTAATCTACAAACGTCTGAGGAGTGCAAAAAGATTCTACGCTCCAGGCATATTCACAAGCCTCACTTGTGTAACACAGTGCGGCCGGAAGGCTAGGCTCGAGCCCTTTTAGTTAGTCCTTCGACCCAGGAGTCAGCCAGACTATCAGCGCAACGGCTTTGCGTCTCCAAAGAAAGCTCATAGGCTCCACTCATATAGGCTCAACTCTTCCCCCAGGACTATTTTTGAATGTGTGAGGTTACCAGCGCTGCCTTGACACCAAAACAATATTGGAGTCTCGAGCAAGGCTCCTGAATTGCGACTTGATTATCAGCGGACCTATTATACTGGGTAGATGTTGGATCGCGACTCTGCTCATTTGTTTGGTAGAAGAAGTTTACTCAGCCTCTATCTCTCGTGGTGAAATTACGAGCAAGATGAATTTCTATACGAATCAAGCCTATACATTGCCGTCATTCGGGTTGGATGGTGGTAGATGAAGTAAGTAACAATACTATCGAGGGCCACATCCACATCCATCCAGGTATCAAAACCTTATATCAGACGACTCGAGAGATATCCCTGCCCGCCTCCAACTAGGCAATAGCTCCAATAACCCATTTAATCCCAACCCAGTAATCCCCCATCAACTCTGCAAATCCCCACTCACAAAAACAACCAAAACCGCCACATACCCTGCCGACGCAGCAAAAATCTCTGCACGGCTAGCGTTCGTCAGAAGCCCTACGCACAGCGCAAACGCTACAGTATACGCCGCTACCATGCTAAGCCTCTTCTTGGGGTCCTTCACGTAGTAGAGGTTGAAGATAGGTCCGAATAGCATCGCTGCGGCGACGAGGATGTTTAGGATTGCCGCGACGACTGCGATTCGGGTCGAGGAGGAGTAGACGAGGCCCGATGAGTTGTTGGTGGTGGACTTGGCTGTGCGTGCTCTGTCTAGGAAGAGGAGTGGGCAGTGATCTCGCAGAAAGGATGAGATAGGGTCCTCGGCTGGGGGGCGGACGAGAGCGACGAGGTCGTCGCGGTCGTTGTAGAGTGCCTCGCTGTTTCCTTGCAGGACTGAGACGGCTTCGCTCGCTGGGGAACCGTTTTTTATTCCATGAAAGTGATTCCGGACTGCTTCATATGTCCGTTTCGATGGCCTCGGCATGGAGAGAAGGGCCGAATCCAGCATGATAGTCTCCTTGTACTCCCTCAACTTCTTCCGTATCGCGAGAGCGAGGCCCATCCGCTTTTGGTCTTCCGGTGAGAAATCACTGCCGCTTTTCGGGTCTGCCCTGCTCCTGAACTTCTCCCAGTCCCGCCGGCCTTCCTTTGCCTCCCATGATGCTTTAAAGTCTTCTCGGTCGTACTGGTCTTGGCGCGCTTGAAGGTCCGCGAGCTCGCTTTGGAAATAGAGCAGGTTGCGTGCGGTGAGTTCGTCGAAGCGCTTGAGGATGAATGTGCTGTGGTCGTAGTCCCTTGCGATGAATTGGGCCAGTGAGGGGAAGCCCTTGACGTAGTGGACTTCGAAGCCGTCGTGCTCTGAGTCCAGACTCATTACTGAGTAAAAGTTGGAGGATGCCTGGAATAAAGCGATAAAAGTTCGATCCAAGAATCGCACAGGAGAATCACAGCCATGAAATAAGGTGCACTCACGAGACGAATGTCTCGCGTCATAGATCTCACATGCTTGGAGGGGCCTGTGCCGGGTGGCCTCGGGAGTGTGGCAATGCTTATCTATCCATGGATGATGATGATGGTTCCCCAGTCCGCGCCAAGTTGGGGCAGTGCTTATCTATCCCTTGATGATGATGATGATGGTTCCCCAGTCCGCGCCAAATTGTGTCTTAAATACCAACTAGGCCAAACATGAAGCAGCGTATCTCCTGGAGCATCAACACTGTCCACCATCTTGTCACTGGAATTTTATCAACATAGTACTCTCTAGTCTACACCTTATCAGGGTGGGCCAATCACCGCAACAGTGACTTGAATAACAATAGAGCACCATAGAACCATTCACTTTGGAGTAACAGCGAAATTTTTCGGTCTCAACCTCAGTCCCATCCGCCATTGAACAGCAGCCAAACCAAGACTGGACGCCGTGCGACAAGATGCCGGTACGCGAAGGTCCGGCGATACTTAAGCCGCCAGATGAGAATGAGCCCATGGACTCTGGACCTATTGATGTTACACTCGAGACCGCGGTATTCCCAGACCAACGGGAGGACCCAGCGGACTTTATTGTCGACGATAAGCCGTTTGCGTTCTCCCCTGGCCAGCTGAATAAGATGCTGAATCCGAAAAGCCTTGCGGCTTACCAAGCACTTGGTGGGCTTGCCGGCCTCGAAAAGGGACTTCGGACAGATCTTCAGTCCGGTCTTGGAATGGATGAACCAGGTTTGAATTTTGAGGATCATAAGGTCCGTTCAGAAGGAGGCGCGCCGATTGCAGGCACAGCAGCAGCGGCAGCAACGGCGTATTGGAAACGGCCTTGGGGCAGCCTTACATCATCTGGACTTTTGAGATCAAAAGCAGGCACTACTACGCCAGGTGCCGCAACCGCTGGCGCAGCGCGTTCGGACCGGAAGCGAGTATCTGGGCAGAACAGGCTACCTGAGAAGCGACCGAGGAGTTTCTCCGATCTCGCATGGATGGCATTCTATGACAAGATCCTGAGGCTACTAACAATAGCCGCGACAATATCACTTGCGCTGGTCGGGGATATTCTGCACCTTGAGCCCGGAGACATTGTGCCCGTCGACGGGATCTTCATACAGGGACAATCGGAGTACGGATGGAATGACGATCCACAAAAAGGCCCCAACAGGGCAGAATACACGGGGCCGACCATGCATGGGAGGTCAAGATTTGTCCTCCCGCTGCGAATCGACAAGACTGAAGTAGACGCCATACCAGACACCGGGGCGGACGAGAACGCCATGTCGTCCGCCTGTGCCCGCCACCTCGGAATCAAGATTGAACGCGACCTCAGCTGCAAAAGTAACAGCTCCGCATTCCGCCTCGCCAACGGCCGAGCATTCACGAGCTGTGGTATCGCAAGTGTTCCATCACTATCCTTTGTAAAGGGGAACAATAGCTGGAAACTCTCCAAAGATCCGGTTTTCTTTAGAGTTTTTGACGCCCTCGCCGTCCCCATGATTTTGGGCCGGAGGTTCCTCAAGGAGACCGAGACGTTGAGTCGGTACACGGATCGCTTGGAAACGGTGGCGGTAGCAACAAGTCCCGCATCCTCTTCCGTTCCTCGCATTCTTCACATGAATAGCGCCAAAGAGCGCATGCTCTGCTATGTGAATGGCGTCCCCGTGCATGCCAATGCCGACACGGGCGCTGAAATGAACCTGGCCTCGCCGGAGTGGGCTGCGCGACACGCCGGCGCAGCTATCCAGCAGCCTGGCCGCGGTTATGAGGAGGTGATGCTGGCGGACGGAAGTCGTGCGGGGATCCTTGGACAGTTCGATGCGCGGTTCCAGTTGTATGATGATGCATCAACCACGGCCGGGAAACAGGGCCGTGCTATAACGTCAACCAGGCGGTTTTTTATCCTTGATGGCCTGGTGTCGGATATTCTGCTGGGTCCCGACTTGCTGTTTGACATTGGTGCGTTCAAGGAGCACCAGGAGTCATTTGTTGTACTCGGCGCTCCGACCTCCGGCTCGATCTCGGATGTCAACTTCGTTGCATGGCTTTCAAAACCGGAGAAAGTATTGCTCGGGCTCTTCAGGGGCCGCAGGGAATCGAACACAAATACTACAGGAGTGCAAAGCGAAGCGGACTTCCGAGGAAGACTGGATGACGAGGATGCCCGTGAACAGCAAATCCACAAACACGCTGAAGGTATGATTGACCAGCTACCCGAGCCGGAGCGGTCCAGGCGTCTCGACGCGGAAAATAAGAGACATCGGCAATATCTTGGTGATCGCGAAAGGAGAGAACGGGAGTACTCTACCACGGCGAGTGTACAGCGGAGGATGATATCATCGGCTTGCTAGGTCGGTGGGCCCTTGTCGGCCAGAAGCAAGGAATCGGGTCAACTCCCTTCATTCACTGTCTCCGTTTTCAGTCTACTTTCAGTAAACCATACATTGTATATCGGGCACGCTACAGGTTGGCACAATTTCGAGGTCGTCGACGGAGAATCAACGTCCTTGACCTACTGCATAAACGCACTTCTTTCACTTCGACTAGATCCTGGCGACATTTGCGAGTTTAATAACAAGATAGAAAAACACATCATTGCAATATGCAGCAAGAGATTATGAATGAGATAGAGAAAGAAAAAAAAGATTAGTCACGCCCGGGATCGAACCGGGAACCGTTCCGGCATCTACGAATTGTAGAAGCAATCAGATAACTGATCACGTGTTAACGGAAAATCATGACCATTAGACCACGCGACTAATTGTTGAAGAAGCCCATTCGCAGTTGCGCTTATGTAGCAATTGCACAACTGAGCAGGGTCGGTTAATCGCGGAGCAGCTTGGGGAGGATGAGACGTACACGACAGGCTACAGACTGGGGTTCTGCGTTTAGTATAGTGGAACACGAGTTATTTACATCTTTCCTGTTGTTTCGTGTGCATTTTGCGAACCTAAGATGCCGATATTGATAGAATCGTGCGCAACCATTTTTCAAGTGGGAAAGATATATATAATCCGTAGTCCGTTGGGAAGCAGATCTAGGAAGCCTCCTGCTGAATCACAAAAGGAAATAATAGTAAATAGTAATCACCCCGTCTCCGAGCGAAGTATTAGCAGTGCCCATGGAAAGGAAGATCCTGCATTAAAAGGCGTCTCTACCTCACTCGGAGCCAAAGTGACAGTAAAGGTGCGCTGTACCTTCCAGGTACGTGGATACGAAAGGCTCCTGAGGCTCTGCACAAGACAAACATGCGAACATGGCTGCGGCGCGAAAGGCTGAGGGATTCTCCTTTAGTCTTGATAAATCCCCTGGTGTCCCGGATCTGCGAGGAGATGCTCTTTACAAACATGCGCACCACCACGGCACGGTGAGCCATTCGTGATCCAGCCCAATATGCTTGTCTTGACTAATACTAAACTCTAGAAATGGAGGGCTCAACCATCTCCTCTGGACTTGAAGTCGTTTCTTCCCCTTCCGGTCAATACTCGGACCTCGAGCCGGCGAGCCAAAGAGCCCTATACCTGCACGATGGCCTGCACCCATGGAATCCCCCAGCAATCGAACCACAAGACGTACCAGAAAGAGAACGGATTGGTGGAATTAACAAGAAAACATTCTGGATCCTGGTAGCCGCCGCAGTCGTGATTCTAGCTGCAGCGGGACTGGGAACAGGACTTGGTGTTGGGCTGTCGCACAACTCGAACGAGGCTGTCACGGAGACTACAGTCATATCAGAATCTGCAACGCCGTCTGCAACACAGACACCACCGACACCGGCACCAACAACCCTCTCCGAGACACTCGTAACCGCCTCGCGTGGCACAATCAACAACGAAACCGTCGTCCTCTACCGCGACTGCCCCTCGTCAAACAACACACTGTACTCTGTCACCTTCGACTCAACAGCAACATACCAGTTCCGAAAAGCGTGCAACGCCCGCGTCGTGCACGAAGCGCAATTCCCAAACCTCGTCAACCAGGTCGTGGCTAGCTTGAACGAGTGCATGAACCTGTGTGCGAGGTACAACAGGTTCAACACGACCACAAGCACGGAAATTAGAAAGGGTCGCAACATTCTAGAATGGTTGATCTTCCTTGCAAAGGAAGAGAAGTAGAGCGGGAGCTTACCCACTGGCAAAAGACAATGAATTTTATCTCGTGTTGCCAGGATGATGGCTGTTTTTGAGAAGAGTCGATCAAACCGTGCTGCCAGCGCTTTTTGACGCTGTTTAACAGTAGTGAGAAAGTCTACCAAGTGCATATTAGACGTAGCATAAAGCATCTTTGTGAAACCACTCATCCCTAAGTAACTCAACAACACCATACGTTCAGCCCACGCGCGCTAGTATCAGTATGTAAGCGTATATCGCCCCTTGCAATAGGTGGATAGCTCTGAATAAGACTCCCCTTGACAAAAGTTTCCTGTCTGGAAGGCTTTGGAAGATGGCGACGATTGTTCCAAAGTTGAAGTGCTTTCTGTACTTGTGCTGTCAATGCTGACTGTCAAGCTGGTGTCATGAATGATGGAGGATTCTGGGATTGTGCAATATTGTTGGTTCAACTTAGTATTTCTTTTTATGCTTTGTCTCAAGCCATGATGGTTCTGACACTCTTTGCGCGTGAAAAATAGAATAATGGTTGTTCTCCTTTCTCTAAGTCTAAGAGAGAGATTTTCCTTTCTCACGCCCCTTAAAAAAGTTTCCCTAGAGCTAATTACAATGTATTCCACCCTCTTTGTTCCAGATCCGTCCCTTCCTTGCTTCAAAGCATGGAAGGGGCGCTCGCATTACTGTCTATTCCAACAACGGCTGGTTCTACACGCTATAACTCTCCAGGAGAGCACAATGCAAGATGGACGCGGCGTTAACGCAGCCAACCCTGAGTAAAAGATTTTGATCAGCATATAGCAATTCCATTATTTACTTAAAATCAAGATGACTGTGCCACCAAAGACATGGCATCACTTTACTGGATCCCTCGACTGTCACCCTGCATTGCTATCATGACGAAATATGTATCTACTTGAACACTTAAGAGAGAAACTGCCCAACAATTCAATTTTAGTAAGACTAGTGGAAGCTTTGAGTCGATCTAGATGAGTGGGATATTTATAGCAAAGTGGCTTTGACATCAAATCCCAAGGCACCTTAGCAAAATAAATCAGGCACTGGGAAAGAGCAATGGCCGAAACAACCGATGGGTCACGGGTGCTTCAGTTCCGATATATTCCCATAAGAGAAAGGATAAGATCATATGTTGATTGGGGGTGAACTCGGAGAATTATCCTCAGCTGGCCGCCTCTGTTACTCTGCAGTAAGTTGGACTGCCTTGCTTCAACATTCGGAAGATTGGCCGACAGGAAAGTTCTAGCCCAAGCAACGAATAGAGTGGTCTATCTAACAGTGGTAAATAACAGCCTTTTGCCGCAGGATATGTGTGCCAGTCATTTATTTAACAAGTGGCCGTTGGCATTCATTTCACAGGGTTGCAGCAGGAAAAGAACCAATCAAGTTTATCTACAAAGACTTTTTTTGATTTCCTGAGTAAACAGATCATCAATTACCTACAGGTCAAATAAATTTGCTCCACTGTTTTTTTTGGGTTTCTGTAGGCGTTGCAATCTGCATCTGTACTCGATGACGACACCACAAACTCTACCGTTACGCTCTTTATCCCACCTCCAATATTTAGAGTGATCTTTAGGCCACACCCCATCTTTTCTAACACTTGTCGCCTCTACCGCCCCTTGACGTGTTACTTATTAAAATGGCTCCCAAGGTCGCTATTCTTTTTGTACGTGGCACCGCGCAGCCCTACTCGATGCTCATAATGGATGAATACCCCGCTGATTCTTGCATGTACCTAGTATTCGCTTTATGGCCATATTGAGAAGCTGGCCCACGCCGAGCTCAAGGGTATCCAGGCAGCTGGCGGCACCGCCGATCTTTATCAGTATGTTTCTTCAATACACAGAAATTGACTCTTCTTGGACTTATCATCAGTTATTAGGATTGAGGAGACATTATCAGACGAAGTACTTGCCAAAATGCATGCCCCGCCCAAGTCCTCCGTCCCTGTGCTAAAGAAGCCTGATCAGCTTCTTGCATATGACGCTGTACTCTTGGGCATTCCAACGCGCTATGGTAACTTCCCCGCGCAGTGGAAGGCATTCTGGGATCGCACGGGTGGCATCTGGGCCTCTGGTGGCTTTTTTGGCAAGTATGCTGGTCTCTTCGTCTCGACTGGCACTCTTGGCGGTGGCCAGGAATCGACCGCCCTGGCTGCTATGAGTACACTCACCCATCATGGATTTATTTATGTGCCGTTTGGCTATAAAACTGCGTTTCCGCTTCTCTCCAATCTGGACGAGGTTCATGGTGGCAGTGCCTGGGGTGCGGGGACTTTTGCAGTACGAGGTTCACCTCTGTTCCATTTATAGAGCTAGCGTTGACTTTACTTTTCTCCAGGGTGCCGATGGCTCTCGTCAGCCAAGCGAGCTCGAACTTCAGATCGCTGAGACCCAGGGCAGGTCATTTTGGGAACATTTGTCTCGTGTCAACTTCGAGTGACTGCATGGCAGAGAGAAGGCCCATACTACAGAGCCGCCAGCGCAACATCAGAAGACAGCAAGGACAGCTACGGAAGAAAATGATGACCACCAGAGGGGACCATGCGGACTTCCCAAGAAGTGTAATGTGCTTTGATCACTTGCTTGTGTAACCATGTTCTGGTCGTCTTACCAGTCTCCGGTGGACATGATGTTTATCTGGGGCAGTGTCTTGCAAGAGTGATCCAGCTCTTGTAATGTCTATTAGAAGGGTACACATGCAAAGTCTGGACCAGAGAATTGAGTTCTGCCTCCTCCTGCTCGTAGCACCTGTCTTTCAAAGAATTCTAGTGTTGGAAGGAACGACTAGCAACCACACCCTGAGAAGAAAATTACAACAATGCGGAGGATCCCATACATGGAAGGCACAATGGGTATTACTATCCAGGCAACTATCAGCAAATGCCTCTCTAGAAGGCGAAGAGTTTGGGAAGGTGTGATGTGGCGTGGCCCTGTACAAAAGCCAGGAGCACTATTACCAGGGTACACATACATTAGGTAGTCTGTAAGGGATGCATCGCGCCCGCCCTATGGTAGATTTAACAACACGCCAGATTTTATTAGTATAGTAGTATAGTAGTATACCGATCGCTTGGTTGGAGCAATGCTAGTAGTGCCGGCCGTAAGAATAATACCGGACCAGATTGATGATCCGTTTTGCTTCCTCCCTAACGCCTGGGTATTACTTTGACATGCAATGGTGGCACATGCCACAAAACATACGCACGGTGTGCATCGATCCAGCTCTCTTTCTTACCTTTGATAGACTCTTTATCAATTGCCAAGTCATAGCGCCACAGCAAGCGTGCCAGGATGAGCTTCATGCTATCATAGGTAGACTTCTTCCCTACATAATCCCAAGGGCTCATGGAAAATAGCTAGAAGCTATCTCTAGAAGTACTAGTAAATCTCTCGTCTCCCATCCAGCGCTCTAGGTGGAAATCATCTAGGTACAGGAAGTTGGCGGCAGAGTAGTATATAGCCTAATAGTGGACGTTGACCGTTGTCTAGAATAGCAAAGATGGATATTTAGATTAACAGGGGCAATTATAACTATAGATGGGATTTCAGGAATCATAAGTTACTCACATTTTGGGGTATATCATTTATTAATAATAGCACCGTGGGGTGGCGTCTGGCGCGGAAAGCTATTGGTAATGGGAGGCCGTAAGCATAGTGTCTCCTACAGCACTACATGCAGAAACTGCAACTGGTTGACAGAGAGAATCATGATCTTATTCTGGCGCGTAAAGTGCTCTGCTAGCTATGCGCGCAGGTTGTTAAGGGTCTCTAGATGAGTCAGGAGGAAATACGTAGCATGGGCCAGGGTAATTAAGGTTATTTCACTACTAGTAAGAATAAAGATACTCGCCTGCATCTTAAGCTCTTTACTCGTGATACTTCTAGCCTCTATAGTTCGCTGAATAGAGTAAATCAAATCATGCTAACTAGTCTTGGTGGAGGATGTGCAAGCCCTCACCTTGGTAAGCGCTATCTACATGTGTTGTTCCTTTTTTTTGCATAACTCAAGACGGTAGTAGCATTGCTAGAAGCCTATTAAGGGCCTGGTAGTAATAAATAACCTATAGTAAAGGAAATACATGAATGTATGGATTTGTAACACATAGAGTGTGCGTTTCAGCCCTACAGCTACTAGTAACTGCATAACAGAACATGGTCACCAGGTCCTCATCCAATTTAGAGTACCATATTAAAGCAGACCTCAGATGCTGACGCCGATGCCACTGGAGCAACTAACGAGCACGGAGCTGTCAGCTGTGCTGAGGCCGCTTTCCCCGTAACCTCCTGAACCTTTCTTGCCTCCTTTGCCGCCGCGATACCCGGCGGCGAGACCCACCATCATCCCCATATTTCCCAGCGCGTCTGCAGTCTGGAACCATTCATTGGGAAGAGCTGCAGGCGCGTACACTCCTGGCTGGACGGCCACCATATTTAGTTTTTCTCGAAGAACCGTGTCTGCGTTCTGTAGGTTCAGCGTGCCGGATTCCAGTAGCTTCGCGATGGTATCAATACTCTTGGCATAGTACTGCTGGACCTCTGATGCCGTTTGAAGGCCTTGGAGCTGAAGATCAAAGGACTCCTGGTCGCGGGGACCCCCTCCAGGTGTGGTTGACGTCGAGGGACCCAGACCCCTCTGCTTGACCAGGGTAGCCCGAATGGTCTCGCTTATGATCCCAGCATAGACCTTCTCAGTGGACATCGTCTTCAGGAGGGCATCATTGATGCTATAGTTTGCAAAGTCTACCCCGCGAGTGAAGTAGTCGAGTACATGGCTCGTGCCGGGCTGGCTCGCCAGACTCGCGTAAACCGGTGCCAGGTATGACATGAGAACAGGGGCGATACTCTGCCGCAGGGCCAAGAGATACGCATCCTGGAATTCCACAATGGTCCTCGCCGGGTCACCTTCTTTTGGGCATGTTTTGGTGATGGCTGATTGAATGACAGTAGGCCAGTCGATGATGGGGTTCTTGGCTGGTTCTACCACCTGATGCTCCTCATTCAACCTGGTCAGAGAGTCCATGATCAGCTCCGTCGCCTTGTCGCGCAGTGGCCGGCCTACAACGTCGAGGATTGCATCACAGGCCTTCTTGACCTCGTTGGACGTATGACGAGCAGTCACCCGTATCGTTTTAGTCTCGATTGCAATGATCCCCCCGGTCCTGCCACCGCCGGAAGGCCATGGCGATCGGCCAGAGCCTCCACTGGGATCTTGATCGGGATCCTTTCGGTCGTCGCGACGATCGGAATCCGCCATTTTACAGGGCTCCAGCGCCTTGAATTTCTTCTCCTTCAGCCACTCTTCCTCCAGCTTGAGAATGCGCTCCTCCGTCATATCATCAAATGCAACGTCCTCGTCGGATCGGACGAGGACGACATCGTGCGGTGGACGTGCTGCTTCGTGATTCTGCCGTATAATCCGCATCGCATACCACTGCGCAGCCCACTCCATAAATGTGAATCCTAAGCCGGATGCGATATCGAACCCCGTCGCCGGACTTGACCCGGGGGGCCCGTTTGGAGGAGTTCCAAAAACAACGTTCTGTTCCGGTGGAGGTGTGGATGGTTTGTGGCTAGATATGAATTGGTTGACCATGCGCCCAAAGAAGCCACCAAAGCTGGAGTAGAGATCGTCATCCCGAACCCCTTCGATGTCCAATTTCTCGGAACCACCATCCCCAGCCGTGATTGTACCAGCGAACTTGAACGGCTGTGCCGCATCCGCAAAGTCCACCCAGAATCCGAGGTTGTATCGAGGTCCGTTCTCAAGGCTGGTGGCTGTGGATAGTCGCCAAACCTGCTTGGGATCGCTCTCCAGGTAATTGTCCGCCCAGTGAATCTTCGCTTCAGCTACCTGGTCGTCGACGATGAAGGTGCGATGGTTCCAGCCGGACTTGTGTGGCCGTATTTCAAAGAAGCCCAGGGGTTCAACATCGCCTGTCTTATCACCTAGTCTGCTGATCCTGTAGAGCCCGACCGGGGCTTTGATGGAAAGTTGAGGACTTCCAATGGGTTCAGGGGCGTCGTTGGTGAGACCCGCAGTCGACGAGGGGGTGCCAGAGTCCTTGTCCAGAAAGGCCGGTAGGAACCCAACAGCTATCCATGAAGCTTTCATAAAATCCTCTTCCGTGTAGCCGAGCTGGTAGACTGCCTTGAGAAGGCCTTTGATGGTGAAGGCATTGTTGTTCTCGTCGGGGGTGGCGAATGCCCTCAGAAACAACTCTGGCTCTTGCTGCAAACGTCTGACGAGGTCCTCGGTGGACTGGGACATTGTGCTGAAGATCAGAGAGTTGGGTTTATGCTACAGAATAAATGGTCGCTCTGGAGAGGTTAAATAGCCGTCACCTTGTGAATGATGAAAGGGAACAGGCAATTTCGAACAATCGCCCTCTTGTCGGTTAATTTTGCATACTTTCGGGTGGCGCCGCTATGTTCTGCCTTTTTTGCTTTGAGGCGTTGCGGACAAGCAGCCTCTCTCGCAGCCTCTCCAGGATATCTTATCATTGAGGGCCAGCTGAAAGTCACAGGGGCAATTTTTGTTCCATGGCAATGTTTGCCGTACATGCTCCGGCGCTGATTGGGCAAATTAATTAAAGTGCCGTCGCCTAGAACACTATAGCGCGCGAACCCAGATCATGTGCCCATAGTACAAACTATTACCAAGCGGTGTGCGGATGCTGCCCCTGTTCCTCAGCCCGCCACAATCCTTCAATGTGGTAGTGCCTCCGGCTTTTTTGGCAGAAAATGGCGATGCAGACAAAGAGCAAAGCTTAACAAGGTGAGGGCGAATCTAGTCTCACTGCTATCGCCAAAAATTGCTGGGAATAACGAGTTCTGGTCAGTATGTACGGAGTCCACTTTCCACTTGTAGAAGCAAGAGTCGTGTCCACTCAGTAGTCGTTGACTGCGGACATATTTTGCAGAAAAAAAAAAACATATTAAAGCTCCTGTTACAGCCCACCAAATACGATATGAATGCCTCAAGTCGAGCAAAGAGTCAAACCACATCAGCTCGATTTCCTAGTCTCACAAGTGACCGACGACAGCCAGCATGAGCGCATTCCACGACGATAATTTCTCTGTGACCAAGGGCCCTTCGGGGACCACACTGGTTCTATCTGCCGATGCCCATGCGCTGCTTAGTAGTAACGTCAATGTCGACACGCCCAAGCTCGCAGTGTACGCAGATACCATAGCGCTTGAACCTGAACTCACGAGCCCAGGCAAGACCATCCATCTGCATTGCAACAGTCTTGTGCTCGGAAACTCTCTGTCTCTCAACGTCGCAGGCCGCGCCGGTCTTGAGACGCCTGACTCCACAGATCCATCCGCGGCAAATGGGGGCGCTGGGGGGCACATTGTTTTGCACGTCCACAATTTGCCGCTATATCCGGGAACAGATTCTTTTGCCTTCTTCGAGAAGGAGGTCAAGTTCAATATAAACGGGGGCCCTGCTGGGAAATACAAAACCCCAGTTGCTCCTGACGGCACCCTGCTCGATTTTGCCATAGGGGCTTCGGGTACGTAACGATATTCTGTTACAGAACTGGCGCTATGAAACAGACAGTCAGCTCATACTTACAAAAACCCAGATGTGCCTGGCCAGGAGCTGGTTGATCACGTGAAGAAGGTGGTTGATGACATGAAGGCGGTGGTTGACAAGGCGGTGTTGGTGAAGGCTCCAGGTACGTAACATTCATCCCTTACAGAACTGGTGCGATCAAACGTACCGCTCATACTTACAAAAACCCAGATACTTCCGGCCAGGCGATGCTTAATGGCATGGTAGGGGCTTCAGGTACGTAACAATACTCCTTTGCAGAACTGCTAGACTCAAACGTACCGCTCATACTTACTACCAATACTAGGCTCTCTTCGGATATTTTATAGCAACCCAATGCTCCGTGCTCTGTCCGCCACCAAAGAGATACACGCGTCGAATGATAGGTGAGCCCGCCAGCAAACCTCGCTTTCTGGGAGCACTGGCTTCCTAGGGTTACGGACGGCTAAACGTTGCAGCAGTTTACCGAGGCGTCTAGCTCTCCTTCGGACTCGCTGCTTACCGGCGCTTGACAGTGAGATTTCAAAGACGACGAGTCAGTGGGCTTCCTCATCGTCGAAGTTGTCATGGCTCAAGCCGATTACAGACCGGTGGCGAGCTGATTTCCTCGCAATCAAAGAAGAGGTTGATCGCTCGTTTGAGTCTCACGTTTTGTTTGTTAGGATCGCAGAGCTTTTAAGGTCTCACACACTTCCACTCAGCATTTCCGAGTCTGTGGATAAGATACTGGCTTTTTTCGGAAACATTCAGGCCATGCCGGATTATTCCGCGCTCACCAGGGACACCAGAAGTGTTTTCGAAAAGCTCGCCGAGGCACTGAATACTTGGTTGGATCTGGGTCCAAGTCGAACCCCCAAGGCAATGGAAGTGTGCCTGACATATCTCAAAGCCGAAATCAAGACAGTTACCGAGACCATAGTAGCTGTTGAGGGCAAGTGCCATCAGACGACTACACCTCTGGGTGACCAGATTGACAAGGCACATTCCGACTTTATCGCGCTACTCCAAAAGTGCGAAGAGAAGCTAAAAGGTACTGTACTGGGGTCGTCCTCTTTCCTCCTCCTACTGGGCACGATCAGGGAGCTAACGAGCAGATTTGCAAAAATTATTTTAGGTTGTTGCCAACCATGCGATAATGTCACAGTCACGAGAGTATCGACTGGTCTTGACGGGTCGAGTGACTTGAATGTGGATATTGCTCTCGTCCATCCGGACCAGTGCTTGATGGCCCGTCGCCGTGCCGATGCTGCATTTTTTGCAGGGGATTACAACTCTGCCTCTACAATCTATACGACACTTCTTGAGAAGCTTTCTTTCCTTTCGAGAATAAGGACAAATAAAAAAGAGGCTGTAGAAGACGCGCCTGCTGAGAAATGGCCGCTGTACCACGCTTTTGAGAGTATGGAGCAGGAAGAAGGCCTGTGCCTGTGGTGGTTGGATACCTTGGAGTCGATGCGCAAAGAGACCCAAGCACTGATGGGCCAGATGAGTATAGGGATGGATATGTTCAACCTCGGAGAAAACTGGGCCCCGCGACTCTCGTTCAAGTACTATTTTGACTATGCCCAGCAGCAGCTCGGCCGGCTCAAGACATACGAAGCTTCGTACTGGCGTGCTTTCGAGCAGAATCAGACACAGACGGAGATCAGCTCAGCGCTGAGAGCCACAATGTCTGTCAGTATCTATCAGCAGAGAGACGCCGAGGAAAGACTGAACAGCTCGGCCGCGGCATTCCAGCGGATAGAACGTGAGCTGGTTGAGCTGAAGCCGAAGTACCATCAGGCGGCAGAAGAGCTTAGGAAGAATCTGGAGGCTGTTGAAAAGTCATTGAGGGATCACGATTACGTCAGTGCGCCTCGCATTGTCAATACCATCGGTAAAGTTTTTGCAGGTGTTGCCATGTTATTCTCGGGCCCCGTTGGATGGATTGGTGGTGGACTTATGCTTGGCAGCACGGGGAGTGACATAGCAGGTATGGTTGATGATGCCTCGTCAAAGATAAAGGACTCGTTTGGTGTGGTGGTCAATAGGGAGTACATTATTCGCAGTCTGGATACATGCGACGACAACCTCAAGGACCTTGTTGACTCTCTCGGCTACACCACCAAGGCGGATGGCACAAAGCTCATCGACGACGACGGCGCAGTCAAGATTGTGGCTACTGAGAGACAGCTGAAGAATTATCTGGAACAGTTCAAAGACAAATTCCCCGAAAACAAGGCTCTAAAGACTTCTCTGGATGAGTTTGTGCGGATATCCCAGATGCAGAATAACAGGATCGTGGCCTACAACAATGCCGTCATGGATTGTTACCACCAAATCCTGCAGCGGGCCACATTTCAAAAGCAGATTAGCAAAGCCAGCTCTGACCTCATCAAAACAAACCGCGGTCTCCCGTCCATCCTGGGTTTCTACCGGAAACTTCGAGACCAGATGCGGCTCAGCTTCCTGCGGACAGTGAAGCACAGCGCCCTGGCTCTCAAATTCTGGGGTTTGCAGGCCGCACCGAGATTCAACAGCATCACACCTCCCGGTATGCTGTCCAATGTGGACGAGTTGGAGGCGCATATTGGAGTTCTTCTGCTTGAATATGAAGCCTGCCTCATGATCTTCGGAAGGCTCGCCCAGATCACTTGGCCCAGCACCTCAGGCAGCAGGGGCATCTCATATAAGCTCACGGAGAACGAGTTGAAAGCTCTCAAAGGCGGCCTGGACGACCCGCTAAGTGCTGAAATTATGGGCCGAAACATGAAGTGGGACATAACAGGTGCAGATGTTTCGCCAGCATCATTGCCGTCTAAGCCCAGGATATTCACCACGGTCGTGACGGGTCTCCAGCCTCCATCGACCCGCGTTACGACCCTGGCAGAGAGCCCGTTTGCGGGATGCGCAAACGTGCGTATCACCCAGGTGTGTTTCCGGGTCCCGAACCTACGCATTGGCGGGGAAAATTCGAGGGCACTTGACCGTTTAACCGTCGAAATTCGCCACGAAGGGGTTGAATCCATCGTCGACCCCAGTGATCAGGTGCACAAATTTGAACACTGGCCAGTACAGATGCTCAGTATAACAAACCCTGAAAAGAACAGCGTTCTCGTCAGGCAGTCAATGGCCCCGGAGAGTGAAGGCTTGCACCTTAACGAGAAAGTACAGGCACCTATTGGGCCGTTTGCAATTTGGAGAATCGTTATCCGTGAGAAGGATCAGGGTGGATCGCTAATTTGGGAGGATGTGAAGGAAGCTTATCTTGATTTTGAAGGACATGCTGTACCTTTCCAGGTTTAACCACAGCACATCAGCGCAATAGTACTTGAGGGTCTAGACCGTACTTACAACGTGGCCTATGAGCACCCTTTTGAAGAATACATCTGACCATAAAATTGGTCGTTCTTGCCTATCATTCTAATGAACTGAAGTCCGCTTAGGCTCAGCCTTGGTCCAACCTGCTGTATTATCCCCGCAATATGCAAGCGATATAGGCATCTATGCAGAGGACAATCATCTGAATGTATGAACGTTGAGTAGTGTATCGGTCATTTCCAAATATCACCATAGCATAAGGTCTCACAACGTTCCTGAATTAAAAGGGTATAGAGTAACACACGACCTGATAATGGCTTTAGGTACGGACATGGAAAGCCAAATAAATTCATCCTTTAACACATGTCCGCATGGTCGTTGAGCCTGACAAGATATCAAGACAGTCATCAGAGTGGAATAAGAGAGCTAAAGACAATATAACTATCGAGAACGATGGTTTTCAACCACACAACATAACACAATTTTCTCCGAAGAAAATGCTTTGCTTGGATGTATATCAATCCAGGTGAACGCGCGTAACGTTCAATAAAGCAGAAGACCTAGCCTAGACAGCCTATGAGTCAGCCGCTGAAGACCCTCCAAACAGGAAAAGAAAATCTCGTTACCGCTAGCAGTTCAGAACTGTGTAGCCCCGAAGATCCTGAGACGGTGTGTGGTGCCAGTCCCGGCATCTGAAGCCATATTGTCTTCGGCAGAGAGTATCCTCATACAAATGAATGCAGCAGAGCCTTGTTCTGTCGAAATCAAAAGTGGTACCCGCCGGGTTCCAGATCCTGGTGCAGCTGCGGCTGAGTGTGCTATGGATGTAGATAGCTTAGTAGGAAGGTATAGCTATAAGATTAGCGCAAGAATATCATTACCTAGCGATACCTTTTGTTTTGAATGGGAGGTCCTTATCTAAACAACTATAACTTCTTGTATGCCAGGTGCGGGTACAAATATCTTATCCTTGCGTGTCGTGAGCAAAAGTTCTCTGTACAGCCCATACAAGACGAACTTTCTCACTACCGTCACCTCAAGTCTACTGGCTCCATCACCCACACAAATTAGCTGTAGGTTGGAAGATAGCCATCATATGGTCGACTATACACTGATCCATGCTCGAAGAGGATCTGGCGATCTAGATTTTTCGACAGACATCTTCGACCACATCGAAATACTTGTACCTGGGCAGTATTTGGAGCACCCCAGTAACTGCCAAGCTTAGTATATAACTCAGTATCCTATATCAAAACTCAATGGCTTTACAAAAATATTAGACTTTGATTTTAATACCCTCCAGGTCCATTCTATTGTTTCACACTAATTTTACCCTGCCTCACAAGACCTACCCACGCCTTTACGGCTGAAGTAGGTGTCGCAGACAAAAGAGATTCGAAGATGTACCGGCCAAAGGCCCTAACAATTCCTAACCAACAGATAGGCCCGGTGATGACTGCACCTTTTTTAGGCATCGTCGCTCAGCATAACTGAGAACGATAAGTACTGCGGAAACAGAGACATTTGACTCCGTAGGAGCAGATTGGCATGTCCAAGGCTCGCTCCGTTTGCTCAGGATGCCTTCAATCAGGAACCTTTGAGTACGCGCCGATTAAGCGCAGCAAAGTCGCACGTCAAGAATACCCGAGACCTGATTAGGGCTCCTGAATACATTCTTTATCTGCAGCTTCGGATTTGCAGCCTTCAACAATGCCTCCCATTCTGATAAGGTCCTCTCTTTGCCGCCATACAAGCACATCATATCGATGTCGTAAAGCACCGCCGCTGCGGATGGGTTCTTCTCCTCCATGATTTGATCGCAGATTAGTATCCGGCTCCGGTGGGGGTTCAATGCCTCCACGGTGTTCTTCAAGATCTTTATGCAGGCATCGTCCGGCCAATCATGGAAGATATGGCGGAAGAGATACGCTGCAGCTCCTAATGCCGACTGAGCTTGGAGACATATATTTGGGGCGCTTCTCTATCACGATCACGCAAAGCACTGCAGGGACTGGGTTTGCCATACCTTTAACCGGCTGTGGGCAGAAAAAATCGTAGGTCTGCATCTCCAAGCTGGGATGCGTACTCCCACTTTTGATTGCGAACTTGTCTTGAACAATACACTCCAGCCCGAGATCAGGCCAGTGAGAGAGAATGCTCTGTGCAACCTGGCCCATTCCGCCCCCGACATCAACAATCACTCCACCATCGTCCACAAGCTTGTTAAACGGGTACAGCTTGGGAACATCACCCAGCTTGTTCACTGTCACTGCCCGCATTGCTTTGGAGAACCGCTGCCCGCACTCAGGATCGTCCTTCTCCACATAGTCCCAATAGTTCCTGGTGGTTGAGAAGGCAAGTTGAAAGCCAAGAATGTCCTCCGCGGTGGGATCCCGATATTGCAATCTCGCCAGCGCCTCTGCGTGTCGGCTTGCAGCGCGGAACCCATCCTCTAGCCTGCTCAGCGCATGGAGAGTTAGCGTTTCTAGCCACCTAAAAGAGATCGTAGATGCAGTAACAACCTATGACTGAGAAGATCCGTCATGTTTGGCGCACAAATGACAAGGGAAACCGGGGTGTGGGCGTAGAATCCGGGTTCCGGCTCGGCAAATATGCTCTTGTTCACCAGCATTCTCATGATTCGCCCTGTTGATTTGCGTGATTGATTAGCTTTATGCTCCGAACTCTTAAGATATAAGTGTTCTACACTCACTTAGCAATTTCTCGTCGGCACCAACGGCTTTGGCCAATTGCTGGCCAGCGACCGTCCCCTGTTGGGGAACGTGTTCGTGTACTCGGAGGTCCACTGCGGTTTTCAGGCACGAACAGAAGTGAAACTGGCGTGGAGAGAAGTTAGTTAGCCTATCTAATGGGATTGTGATCACCTGCCGTACCTGTAAGGACGTCGTGAATAGGTACATCTCCGGGTCCATGGTCATCGCGATGACCTTATTGCAGAGTGCGACAATCGTTGACTTTTCCGCGACGTTATTGCAAGTGGGCACCCGAGGTGGCGGCAATTGGGCAAATTCTCTTTCGAGATGCTGGACATAGCTGGCCAGTGCAGTGGTAAGATTGAGGCCAGGGTCTTCACGGCAGACAGCTTTGCGATCCGATGGCTCAAACTCTCCGAGCGATCCCATCGTTATTGTCCAGGGTGGCAGAGCCCGCTAAAGTCGAGCTAGTAGAGTTCTAGGAGGTGATAGAAATAGACTGCGGACTGGGTTGAACAAAATATCACCCAATATGTGATCAAGTGCGCCTTGTCACAGAGAAGTATCAAGTGTGTCTCATCAATTCCCGGTGCCAAACACCGGTAAGTTTACTGATGTGGAAGCAAGGAGCTTGCATATATGTATGGAAACTTTAAATCTGGGGCAAGGACCTTTACATCATTATATAGTCATGCAGTCCGAAAAGGAAATAGTAAGGTAAGGGATAGTCGAACAGGATCAAGAGACAGACCCCCTGCGTCATTTAATCAATCGCGTGAGATAATCTCGCTTCTTGGGGATGTACATTCGCTGTACGGGTTGGCGTGGGTCTATTGCCGCCTGAGCTCACTGAGCCGGAGTATGGCGTAGTGGAATTCAATGAAGCTCTATGCCCAGACAATGTACGGTTGGAATAGAGGAGTGTTGATTGACCGGCTGGACTGATGCTGCGAACTGTAGCCGAAGAGCCGACTGAAGTGGCACGGAGAGCACATTCGCATTGAACAAGCCGGCGCATCCTAGCGAAGGGGCAAGGCGCCACTAAAAGGGAATGTAGTGGCTCGCTGCATAGAGACATGCTTGCCACCGTCATGAGGGCTTTTTCCGACCCATCCACTGTTGACAGCGAACGTTAAACATGCCGAAAAGTAGTTTATTTGGGCCAAGGTACCTTGGGATACTCTTTTAGTGAGTAGATTGATGAATCAATTAGATTAGCCACAGCATCACTCACCCGACGCCAGGAATTTGAGCCCAGATGATGGTATGACATCCCATTGCCCTGCCACCTCACGTAGTCATGGTATTTGGCAATTGATCGGTTGAGGTCTGGCTCTTCCTATAATTAACTAAGCCCATTTCATTTATTAGCCTGGGTTTGATTGAGCCACACCCACTAGAACGTAGAGCTTCAGTAGGATTGAAGATGTCAGTCACCAGAATGAGCATCTGGGAACCCAGTCGGTCGAGACATACATATGCATAATCCATGTCTAACCAATGACAATGACAAAAAAGAGCCAAGCCATCTGCGGCCCGAGAGCCTCGACAACAGAGTATTGAAAAGTTCGCAGTCGAGTCCCAAGCCTATCCACATCGGGCAGGTCTGGGCGCTGCTAAATTTCACCCTTGATTTGGAGCATTCTCGACAAACAAAGTTGTCAGAAAAAGGCTTTCCACTCCTGGTTACACTAAAAGCTTGTAGAATAAGCTCTGTTGAAGGTCGAATGAGAATAGAACTGAATTTCTTGTCTTTTTTGTGGAATGAGTGTTTTATGCCTCCTAGCGTGATTTGCGAGTCTTACAGGAGAATAGCCAATCTTTCTGGAGGATACACCTTGATAGGAACAGTCCGGAGTAGATTCAAATCATCAGTAAATTAGAGGCGATTCCCTCGATACATTGGATGCCCAGCTATTTCTTATTCGCGTCTAGGCCCATGCAAGGAGGTGATTCTGCATCCGGGGCCTTGCCCTAGTCCAAGACTGCAAGACCCTGACCTGACGGGTGATTACTCCACGCATCGGAACTTGGCTGCCTCAGCCCAGGATGACAGAATCTCGAGCTGATTGCCGGCTGCATTAAGGGCCAGAAATCGGTTGCTGTACTGGCCATTGGGCTCGACTGGGATGAGTCCGAACTGTCCCCACGTATCACCGTAGTCAGCTATCTGGGCATAAAATGGATTTCTGGGCGCGTAATGGCGGTGTGAAAGTGAATCGCAAGGGAAGTATTCAAATTGAGTTCGCTTTACATACCTCATAAGCACCATCGCTGAAACCGCGTGGTTCGACCCAGATGTGGTAATTCTTGCCCTGGAAGTGCAGAGTCACCTGTGGAGGTCAGGGCGCACTGATTAGCTCCAATGATCTTCATGGCGTAGCATACAGGACAAGATTTTCGGGAGATCTACTACCTTCTTGGGAGATCCAAACTTGCCGATTTTCTGACAGAGGGTAGGAGTTAGTGCGGGGCCTCAGGCGATCGTAGGGGGTTGCCGGCAGAGTACTGACCCCATCATCCTCACAAAGCCAGAAATCGGCATCTGCTCGCAGTTTGGTTTTTTGTTTGTCGTTGTGAATGACCCTGAGATGGCAATGCTCGTCTATGGCCAATGTTTGACCGGTGAACGAGGTGTAAATCCCAGAAAGCGTCGGCATGGCAAGTGGTTCAGAATAGGCGAAGAGGATATATGGAGTAGTATGAGGCTATGAGAGGTCATTTGAAGAAACCCGCAGGAATTCAGATCTTGCCTGTATTATATACGTGGTTTTCGACAGAGATTTCAAGGGACGCGGCGTTGACCTATCTGTGCAATACGCCGTCAGGAATTATTTCCCGAGTCGGGCAAAACAGGGCACATCGATGATCCACACCCCTTGCATCTTGCTAGGATGGCTCCCACATCCCCTCGATTTCTTGACTTGCAACTATGTCCCTATCACGTTGATATAGCGGCTAATCTGATGTGCGTGGGTTTGTCGTTATTCCGAAAGACCATCTCTACCCGGGCCGAACCTGAAGTATAAGTTGGTATACCATCAGAGTAACGATTGTTCAACCCCTATCGAGACTATTACCCTAGCTACCTCCTTCTCTTCTTCCTACCGGGGCTTTTACTGGAATCATCAGCATGGGTTCAATCGAAGATTTACAATGCCCATTACTAGAACGCGTGCAATCAGTTCACGCCCCCTCGGTGATGCAAGAGGAGATGGTATTATCTACACTTGCGGATCCTGCCCACGAATCATATTTTGAAACCTACCACTTCAGCGCCCCCGGGATCTTGAACCCAGATCAGCTCAATGGAGCGATACACGCAGTAGCAAGGAAGCATGCGGTACTGCGATCTGTCTTTATCCATCAAAGTCAATCGAGTACGGCAATTTTGCGAATCGCGGTGCTGGAACAGGCGTACGTTCTCCACCGAGCAAAGCTACTAAGCCTGCAGCCAATAGACGAGGAACCACTCTTCGGCATCCTTCAGCTTGAAGCCATCGAGAGCGATGAGTGGGACGGAGGTATGCCGTGGAAGTTCGCTTTGACTGTCTGTCAGCAGGAGCAAAAGTCTTCTGTCACCCTCAGGTATCACCATGCACTGCTTGATGGTTGGTCTGCGAGGGCTGTTCTGGAACTGGTTCAACAGCAGATGCATATCCCAGGCAATGTCTCGCAAGAGTCGGATTTCTTTTCTCTAGTACGCCAGCCGCTCAAGCATGATTGGAAGCAGGATGAGACATTGCTCCGAGAACGACTGGGGAAAATTGAGACATCGCCCGTACTCAGCCCTGGAATAGTTCCAAATGGTGGCCTTGGGATCGGGGAGGTGATGCGTGAAGTTTCTCTGAGGCAAACTGTCAGTTCACCGGATCGACCAGCCGTTCCCGCACGACTTCTTCGTCTTGCTCTGGCCATGACAGTGTGTGTTTTTAGAAACAGTGAGGACTCCTTGTTCCTGGAAATTAGCTCCGCTCGAAATCTGCTCCTCCCCTCGGACCAGCATGTATTGGGACCGGTACTGAGACCCCAAGTGCGGAATATCTACTTGAAGGAGCAAACCAAGCTCGGGGAATGTGCGCAGCTCTTGCGCTCATCCCACGACCCCCAGCATAACCTGAGCGTTAGCCAGCTGAAGTCCTTTCTGCCCGAGAGTAGCAGAGAGCTGGACGTATGTCTAGTCTGTCAAACCAATCAGTCGTACCCTTCGAATGGTGTCGTTGACTGGGAGTGGGTCAGCGGGGAAGCGCGGAACGACCTCGCATTCATCGTGGAGATTTTACCCCCAGGAGAAGGAGCATTCTTTGTCAAGATCCGATACCACCAGGACCGGTTTAGAAAGGAATTTGCATCTTCTTTTCTTGATTTCTTTTGCCAAACCTTGACGTGGATCCAAGCCACTGGTGATAGCATCGAGCACCGGACATTTGCCTCAGCTGTATCGGATATATGTCACCAAGGGGGTTACAGACAGCGCTATCTAGAGTTGAATCCTAAGGAAGTCCTCCTGGATGAGCCTGCATGTGCGCACGACCTAATTGAACAAGCCGCTGGCAAGTGGCCCAGCAAGATCGCTTTGGAAGCGGAGCATAATCAGTTTATGACATACGCCGAGCTTTGGAACGCAAGCAGTAGGGTAGCCAAAGGCCTGCGACACTACCTTGCCCATGCGCAGAAGGACCAGGTGCTTGTCCCCATTTGCTTTGACAAAAGTGTGGACATGGTCGTTGCCATCTTGGGAGTCCTCAAGGCGGGGTGTGCATACGTGCCATTAGATCCCTCTCTGCCCAAGGAGCGCCTCGTGAGTATCCTAAGCGCCTCTAATCCCGCTGTGGTCGTCGCCGGCCAGACGGAACTCGAGGATATTCTGCATTCGGCATGCGGTGAGCTAGGTATCCTGGTGACGTCTATTGACGGTCTTTCCGGGCATGATGCGTCTCCTAATAAATCAAGTTGGCCGGATCATCCATCTTCGTCGTCCCTGGCATATGTCCTGTTCACATCCGGGTCGACAGGGATTCCGAAAGGAGTCATGGTGGAGCACAGAAATCTTGTGTCCTTCATGAAAGCAGGGGAAGGAAATGCAGATGGTACATGGAAATCTACGCGACTGCAGCTGGCTGCGTACAGCTTTGACGCATCCATCGGAGATATCTTCGCCAATCTATACCGCGGTGGCCGTCTCGTCTTGGTACAGCGGAACAAAATGCTTTCGAATTTGAATCACTGGCTGGAGGAGACGTTAGTTACCCATCTCGCATTGACTCCAACTATTGGTGATCTTATCGTTTCGCATCTGCCGTCCCGGTTGCAGACGCTTATGTTCGGTGGTGAGCCTTTCCACCAGAGTTTTCTGGCACAAGCCCCAGCTGAGACGCGAATTTGGAATACCTGTGGTCCTACGGAAACTGTAGTGGATGTTGCCTGCTGCATACTCGAAAAGAGCAAGACGGATGCCCCCATTGGTCGACCCTTCGGGCAGTGCCAAATCTATATACTACGGGGTGGAAGCAGTGATACCGCGGTTCCTCCGCATGCGGTCGGAGAGATATGTGTCGCTGGTCCCCAGGTTTCCCGCGGTTACCTGGGGCGACCGGATCTGACCAGGCTTGGGTTTGTCACGGACCCGTTTTGTCCCTCGCAAAGGATGTATCGCACTGGGGATCTGGGTCGTCTGAATCACAGAGGCATGATAGAACATCTCGGCCGAGCAGATGGCCAGATCAAGCTGCGAGGACTGCGAGTGGAAACAGGCGAAGTGGAGGTGACAATCAAACAGTCCTCGATCATTTCACAGGTATCTGTCAGTGTCGACCACCTCGACGGCCACGATCGCGAAGCTCTAGTTGCGTGGATAGTGCCAGCAGCCGGTCAAAGTGCGCAAGACATTGAACTTGGGTGGAGTGATGAAATACTGCCCCGTTGCCAGCGGCGGTTGGCGCCGTACATGATCCCGGAAGTGTGGATCATGGCCTCACATCTTCCCCTTACAATCAGCGGCAAGCTGAACCGGGGCACTCTATCCTCGTGGGTGAAAAGTGTTGCAAGGGGCGGAACCCACGAAGGTCTCTCTGTGATAGCTGCACCGTGGAAAACACAAGAGGTCACAAAGAGGCTGCCAACAAGCCCGGCCGAACGGCTCATAGTAGCCACCTGCGCGGACGTACTGGGTGCGGCACTCCATGGCGTATCTGTGGACTCAACATTTATATCCCTTGGTGGTAATTCTCTCTTGGCCATGCGTCTCTTGGCCGCCCTGCGACAAAAAGGGGTACATTGCTCCTTACGGGAGTTGCTTGGCCCTATGACGCTCGCTGATGTAGCAAGGGCTATGTGTCCGTCCAGCGGCCCTCAAAAGCAGGTCGCAAAGTCATTCTACCGTAAGGACAGCTGGAAACAGATTGTTGCTGATACCAGGATTGCTCTTGACACGATTGAGGCAATTTATCCATGCACTCCACAGCAAGAAGGCCTCATCCAGAGCAGCCTTCAAGGAGGAAGGTCCACGTACTTCGCAGCGATAACCATACGCCTAGGTAATACGATCAACCTGGACACGTTCCATGAAGCTTGGAAACGATTGGTACTTGGGTGTGACATCTTGAGAACCGCCTTTGTATCATCCTCGCAAGTACAGCATCCGCCGGCCCGCGAGTCCAACATCCTTCAGGTCGTTCTGAACGAATCCGCCGCGGACGTGAGACGGGTGGCCAGCCTGAACAACGGAGATGTTGCATTTGAATTTGGGGTAGTCCCTCTCTCGGCAGGAATCACCCAGGAGTCTGTTGATAAGCCGCTGAAGTTGCACCTCAGGATCCACCATGCTTTATATGATGAAGCATTCCTATCCAGACTCACAGCCGAGCTTTCCGTCATGTACAAAACACGGGAAATGGGAAGCCCAGGCGCTGCTTTGCCCCCAAGCCGGCCATTCTCCGCTTTTGTGGAGTCCCTCTGCAACGATGATCCAGAGCTCTCAAAGGGATTCTGGAAGGGCTACTTGCACGAAGTGGTTCCCGCAACTTGGCCCGTGGCAAGTGGGATTCGAAGAACGCGAGAGGAGAGAGACCAAGATACAGAGACATATGTCTCCAGAAAATGGGCCGGAAATGCTGTTGTTTTGGGCCAGATGTTTCAAGCAACACCCGCGTCGATTGTCCGTGCTGCATTGGCTCTAGTACTGGCACAGTACTCTCAGACGGACGACGTGGTGTTTGGTGAAGTGTCGAGTGGCCGACTTGATCATGATTGCTTTACCCTTGGGCCTTGCCTCGCCACTCACCCTGTCCGCATTCAAATTGATCGCAAATCGCCATCGTGGATGCACAAGCTTGTGGCCGACGCCCTGGAATCGTATCTAGCTACAATACCGTATCAGCATTGTGGGCTAGCCAATATTCACCGACAGATGTCTGATGTTGACCTGATGGCCTTCCAGGTTCTTTTTGCCCACCAGGAGACATTTGTAGAATATGATGCTGCTGGTCGTTTCCACGTGGAGTCGGCGAGGTTGCAGAACCTCGGGTTTCCCCTCATACTGGAATCGAGATGCAATAAAAGGACTGGTGAACTAGCGCTGGAATGCACCATTGACTGGCGATACTTGGGTCAGCAGGATGCAGCGTGGTTTCTACGAGCTATATGCCGCACGCTCGACACGCTCTCGGCTGTTGTTGAGGGTAAGGTCTCAGAGCCAGGACTCCTGACGGCCGTTGTGGATGAGGAGATGAGACGAACTCTCGAGAATTGGTCGACAAAACGGATCCCGTTTCGCTTAGCAGATACAAAGAACCCGGAAATGTGTGTCCATGAGCTTTTTGAAATGCAGGCCCATTTGACTCCACAGAAGATCGCCCTTCAAGTAAACCAGTCCCAATTCATCACATACAGTGAGCTGAACAGGCGATGCAGCGAACTGTCTAACGCGCTGCTGAACTGGTTCGACAGATTGGGGCTTGTAACCTTAGGAGATCAACAGATTGTCCCGCTCTGCTTCAACAGTGCTGTCGACATGGTGATTGCTATGATTGCCGTGTTGAAGGCAGGTGCAGCATATCTACCTATAGACCAGCATCACCCACAGGGCCGAATCCAGCAAATACTCGCCTTGTCAGGTGCAAGAGTGATGGTGGGCGATGGCTCGGTTGAAACAATGCAAAAGCTTCAGGCTGCGAGCAAGCAGGCAAAATGTGGCATCGTTAGTATTGAAACGCTGCTGAGTCTGCATGGAGGGCAGACAGTGAGAAAGCCCTCGTTCCGGCCCACCCCGGAAGCTCTGGCATATGTGATTTTCACATCTGGATCAACTGGAACGCCCAAAGGGGTGATGGTCGAGCACCGCAATCTAGCAGCTTTTATGCAAGCGAATGAACCGGAGGCAATAGGAACCTGGACTTCAGCGCGGCTGCAACTGGCCACAGCCACGTTTGATGCAGCAACAGGGGAAACCTTTGGTACGCTAGCATCTGGTGGGCGTCTGATCCTGGGGCAGAAGACCCATGAGATACTGGCGACTTTGCCGGACTGGCTGGATAGAACGGTCATAACCCACCTCTTTGTCACGCCTCGCGTGGCGGCAAACTTCTTGACGGATACTGACCCTCCGTACCTTCGGACCCTTCACATTGGCGGGGAGGCCTTTGATCCCAGCATCCTACCACACATGCCCTCTGGTTGTGACGTGTATAACGTGTTTGGTCCAACAGAAACCACCATTTACGCAACACACTACAAAATTCGGAAGGAAGACGGATACCGCCGCAATATCCCAATTGGGTATCCCTTTGGGGGCTGTCGGCTATACGTTCTCAACCCGGAGACCTTGGAACAGGTTCCCGTTGGCGTCACAGGAGAGATTTGCATAGGAGGTCCTCAGGTCACTAGAGGCTACCAAGGCCGGCCGGACCTGACATCTCGGTCTTTTCTCAGTGATCCTCGCGTTCCCGGCCAACGCTTGTACCGGAGTGGGGATCTTGGGCGGTTCTGTGGAGATGGATCAATCGAACATCATGGCCGAATTGATACCCAGATCAAGTTGCGCGGTCTACGAATTGAAGTATCCGAGATCGAGTCAGTGTGTCTAGAACATGCGATAGCCACCGCTTGTGCGGTAATTGTGCTTGATCGAGACGAGGGTCAGGTCCTCCTCGCCTTTATCCAGACCCAGAAGGACCACCACATAAGCCCTTGTTCGCAAAAGTGGAGTAAAATGGAGTGCACACTACATCGCCATCTGGAGAGCCGCCTGCCCAGCTATATGGTCCCCTCTCGCTTGCTTCCCATCGAAGCCATGCCCCTGACCACTAGCGGGAAGGTCGATCGACGAGAACTCGGCGCTCGAGCAGAGCTGATGGACCAGGAGGGAAAACTATTTACCCCACAGAATACAAATCATACCGAAGGCTGGGTTCAGGGTACTACTGAAGAACAAATTGCTGACGCATGGGAGCAGGTTCTTGGGATCGACAAGGCAAACATCGCGTCCAATATTGCATTTTCTCGTCTTGGGGGTGACTCTATTCGTGCCATTCGCCTGTTCTCGCTGCTCCGTAAAGCTGGATTGAAGCTCAAAATGGCCGATGTGAGGAACGCATCTACGATCCGGTCACTGGCACAATGCGCAACCTCCCACGTCAATGTGCCCGAAAGGATTACGGAAGAAGCAACGGACATTGATGCGCATAGTGGACCAGTGGCGCTAGGTCCGATTGCTGCAAGATATGCTAGCATCCAGTTGAAGTATGCTTCCCAGCGTGGAGAGCAGGTGATAAATCATTTTAATCAGTCGGTGCTGCTGGACGTGACTGGAATCCCCACCTTACGCCTTCAGCTCGCCTTGCAACGTCTTCGCAATCACCACGATGCTTTACGCGCGATAGTCCACTGGAGCTTAGATCTCCCAATGGAGGAGTGGACAATCGCGGCTCTTCCTCGCTCAGAAATGAAACTACTAGGCCTGGATAGCCCTCGGAGGCTGACGCTAGAAGCCCTCAGTGCGGAAATCCAGCGTCGACTGAGTGGATTGGACATCCGGCGGGGTAAGGTCATGGATGCCGCTCTCTATCACCTAGACGGACATAATCGTGTGTTCCTGTTCTGGACCATCCATCATTTCGTGGTGGACATTGTGTCCTGGCACATTCTTCTCGAGGATCTAAACGTCTTGGTGCAGGCAAAGGAGGAACCGGAATCTGTCGTTCTGCAGCCAGCAACCATGGGCTTTTTAGAATGGACGCGCCAGGGCCAGATTAAGTATGAAGCTGGGTCACTGGCCACAGGCAGTACACTAGATGCACCAGAAAACCCAGTATCTTCATTTGCCTCCGATAAACTGCCCTTGTGGGTTCGTCAGCCGGGGCTGGTTCCAATTCACCCGCTCAATCGGACCACAACGGTGGCTAGATTAAACTCAAGCATCACAGAACTACTTCTTGGACGCTCAAACAACGTGCTTTCGACGGAACCTCTTGATCTACTACTAGCAGGGCTGGCCATGACAATCTCCAAGCACTTCGCAGGCGCCGTTAGCAGCCTTGTAGTCGGCTTGGAAACACATGGGCGACACACTGGAATCAACAACGCCGATCTCTCGCGATCGGTAGGTTGGTTTACCGCAATTATACCCATGCTCCTTGACTGCAGAGAGGAATCATCGTCTATCGAGTCCATGGTACGTCGGGCCAAAGACCAGCGCTACCTTCTGATGGAAGACGACCGAGGATTTCGCCGTTTCGTACGCTCCCGCTGGTGTACAGCCAGAGCCCCAAATAATGAGATTATGGGGCTGGTTTTCAATTACCAGGGAGTCAGACAGCAGCCCCGGGGCCAGGATGACATGCTTCTACATCCGGTCCAACTTCCAGGGTTACGCTGGAGCGATACTTGTCCATATGCGGTGCCTCTGTCGCATGCCGCACTTGAGGTATATGTGTATGACAAGGAGACTTATATCGAGGCCACATGGCCGTCAGAAGGTGCGATAGACGGCGGCGATGTTGCCGAACTCTTAGGTCAGCAGATAGCAAGTATCTGCCAGTACCTCGATGAAAAGGATCGCCTTGGGCAGACATCAATTAGTGCGTCATCGACGTCCGCGTTCGGGCTGGTGCCGGGTGACTGCTTCGATCGCGTGTTTCGCCTGTACGCCGAAGATACACTGGAGGATATCATCCCTTGTACCCCGATGCAACGGGCCCTTCTTTACGAAGGAATTGCCGATCCTGAATCGCAGTCGTATGTTACCAGCCGCGTCTGGCGCATCCCCACAGATAGATCAGTGTGCTCGCAGATCGAGGAGGCCATTAGGAGCCTGGTACAGGAACATGAGGTGCTGCGGACAGTTTTCCACATCGATCCCGAAGTAGGGCCTTTGGCCCTGGTTTTATGTGATACTCAAACCCTGAATGCGAACGCGATTGGGCAAGTGGAGGTTAGAAATCATACCGAGCTGGAGGAAATGGTGACAAAGTTGTTACGCAAACCTGAGTATGGAAATCCATTGAAGCAACCGTTCTGCGCTCGAGTAGTGCGCGCCACTGATGGGTCGGGGGCAAAATTAGTCTGGCTACTACACCACAGTTTGATTGACGCTTGGAGCCAAGATATGCTGTTTGGCGAGTTGACCCAGATTCTTGTGGATGGTTGCCCGATCGAATCCCTGGCGTCTCGACCTTCTTTTGGATCCTTTGCGCGCTATGTGGCTTTTGACAGCCGTGCAGACCAGACCCATGGGCAGTTTTGGTCAGAGACCTTGAATGGAGTACAACCTACAACATTCCCTCTCTCCTTGATGTCTTCACGCCCGATGGATGCCGATGCAGTTGTCGTGGAACAGACTTGTAATCTAGCCACTCTATCCGAAAACTGCATATCACCTGCGGCACTGGTCTCACTGGCGTGGAGTCTTGTCCTCTCAGAGGTCCTTGATACCAATGATGTTACTCACGGAATGCTATTCTCCGGGAGACAGGTTTCACTTGATGGTGTAGCAGATATTATCGGCCCCTGTATCAGTACGGTCCCAATCCGGACCCAACTGAACCGGCACGGTAGCATTCTGGATCTTCTACAATCAACAGAGACTGCAATTTGCTTGGCGGGCTCACACAGTATGATTGGCGTCGATGGCGTGGCTCGGGCAGCTGGGGTGGAGGCCCCGGCCTTGGTGAACACGCTCCTTAATTTCTTTGGCGTTCGAACGGACGTGCTCGAGAATGATAACTTGAACTCAATACTCGAACTAGACAGTGTTGACGATGGACTTCCCCCCTCAATTACGCTGTCGTGCTGGCAGCGGCAGACAGAGGGCAATACTCTGGTGATGCGCCTCGAGCGTCGACATCCTCTGCAGGCGGGAATTGCACGGTGCCTGATGGAGCGCATGGCCTGGTACTGTCATTCACTGTCCCACCAGACGGATAGAACACTCGACAGTGTTTTATCAATCACTCCGGATGAAGACCAGCTGCTTACTGAATGGAGCCAGGCCATCGACTCGCCGCTATCTGACGCGTATCCTTGCATCCACGATCTCATTTCGAGATGGGCAGCGGAGGTCCCAGAAAAGGTGGCGGTTCAGGTTGCAGATTCACAGTTTGTGACGTACGGTGAAATCGACAAGAGGTCCACGGCCATCGCCAGAGTAATACAACAACTCATGGGTGAACGGTCTGGATCCACTCCGCCGTTGATCCCAATCTGCTGTGACCGGGGGTTTGACATGGTGATTGCTATTCTTGCCGTCCTGAAGGCTGGAGCAGCCTATGTACCGCTGAACATCTCCGATCCAGAGGGAAGGCTAGAAACCATCTTGCGTCAAACCCAGGCCACGATAATCATCGACGGCTTACTTGGCGAGGAGAGCCGTCGCAAACTGCATGCGTTTGGTGATCGCACGTCGACCTCGGTGTACACTATCAATGGTCTCTATACAATGCCTTCCTCCAAGGTCCCTCTGCCCCAAGTCCACTCTGGGTCGCTCGCGTATGTTCTGTTCACCTCCGGGTCCACGGGGGAGCCCAAAGGCGTAATGATCGAGCACCGCAATCTTACATCATTCATAGCCACGCAGCACGAGGAGCTTATCGGCGGGTGGACGAGTTGCCGCATGCCAGTGGCGGCATATACATTTGACGTGTCGATGGCCGACCTATTGACAGGTCTGGCTATTGGTGCCCGCGTGGCATTGGTGGACAGTGAGAAAATGTTGGCCTCCCTGCCATCCTGGGCAGACCGAATGCTAGCCACTACTCTCTCCATGACCCCTACACTGGCCTCACTTCTCGCCAGACAGCTTCCACCCTTTGTAGCGTTCCTTGTGCTAGCCGGGGAGGTTTTTGACCCCAGTATCATGAAGGCGCTTCCCCGTGAATGCCGTGTTTGGAATGGATATGGCCCTACAGAAACTTTCTATGCAACTTTCCACTTCGTGGATGCAGAGACAACGTACACCCAGGTACCCATCGGACGGCCGTTTGGTGGCAACCAAATATATATTCTTCGCCCAGGCAGTGATGAGCGTCAGCCCGTAGGCGCAATCGGCGAGATCTGCATTGGCGGGACCCAGGTTGCCCGCGGATACCTTCGCCGCGAAGATTTGTGGAATCGATCATTCACAAGAAGCGCATGCAATCGCCAGACGGTGCTATACAGGACAGGTGACCTAGGGCGGTTCATGGATCATGGTGTGATCGAGTACCTTGGGCGCATGGACGACCAAATCAAAATCCGGGGCCAGCGAACTGAGCCTGCGGAGATCGAGTCAGTTGTTCATAGTGCCTCGCCTCACGTAGCCCATGCGACTGTTGATGTCCATCATCCCAAGCGAGGAGCCGGGCCAGTGCGCGTGATTGCGTTCATCTCCACAAGAGAGGCAGTGTCTCCCAGTGTGCGCAAAAAGCTCATCCAAGAAGAGGTAGAGCCCTCGTGTCGAAATCATCTTCCAGCGCATATGATCCCATCCACATGGATCCACGTGCGCACGGTGCCCCTTACAGCCAGCGGTAAAGCGAACAAGAAGAAGTTACGTTCCTGGATGTTGGCGTTGGAGGAAGGGGAAACAGTGCCCGGGGTATCAATCATAGAGTTATCTCCGTCGGAGAAGTCGCACGATATGGATGTTTCGCAAGCCCCTGACAGCCCTCGTGAGGTGGCCCTGAGACAATCATGTGCTCAGCTATTTAAAGTTGATGAGGATCGGATATCATTGGGATTGTCTTTCATATCGTCCGGAGGTGATTCTCTGTTGGCATTGCAGTTGAATGCTAGGCTGAGAGAAAAGGGATTCAAATGCACCCCTCGCGACATTGTGGGGGCTCAGAGCCTTGCTGAACTCGCAAAGAATTTGAAAATCTCGAATGAGAGTGTGCCCCCGGTGCCCATTGCAGACTGGACACTAGATCTTGACGAGATGGCACGTCTCCCACCGAACGGCATTGAGGGCTGGGAGACGATAGTGCAACGTGTTGGAATCGATCCCAGCCAGGTCCAATGGGTCATGCCGTGTACACCATTTCAGGAAGGCATTCTCTCGAGCAGCGACGCAAGTGGAAGCTCGGTTGGATACTTGGCTCACATGAATATCGGCCTGGGCAAGGAGATTGATATAGAAGCGCTCAAATATGCTTGGCAGAAAACTGTTGACCATGAGGAGATGCTGCGGACCACGTTTATACCCACCCATATGACCAATACACCAGGACCTGAACAGGACGGCTCACTCCTCCAAGTGGTTTTATCTCCTCAATCGTCGCAAGCAGGTCGGGTCAAGTCCATGCAGGTGGTCAGCACCTCTACTGTTCACCACGCTGCGCTTCCATATCTGCAGGGCGAAAGTGAGCAGGGCCATATCCCTGTTGCTGTCGTTGTTGCTATCGAGAGCCAGGCCGGCGAGGGCCAAGAATACACGCTTCGCATAACAATGCATCATGCGCTGTATGATGAGGCATATCTATCCTTGTTGTTAAAGGATTTATCTGCTAGATATCGATCAATCGCATGCAACCAGGGAGTCGCTGAAGTGCTCCCAGGAGATCAACGAATTCCGTTCTCCACCTATGTGCGTTTCGTCCAATCTAAGCTAGGTAAAACATCGTCCACATCTCCTGCCGGCGAATTTTGGAAACGCTATTTGGCGGATGCAGTTCCCAGTACATGGCCACTCGCGCACGGGATGCAAAGCTCCATCACTTCGGTGATGAGCCCAGAGACGTCAGTGATGGAATGGACAGGCAACCTTCGAGCCGCAGCTTCCAACATCCAAGTCACTATCGCCGCGATCGTTCGTGCAGCATTAGCCCTGGCTGTGGCCGAACACTCTAATGTTACTGACGTCGTAGTCGGGGAGGTTTCCAAGGGCAGACCCGACATTCGCAGCCACGGCGATTCAACATCAAGGCTAATTGCAGGGCCATGTGCAACTACTCATCCAGTTCGAATTCGACTAGCCGACAGAGGTGGATTCAAAAGACATACGATGCTGCAGCTCTTGCGCGAGTCTTTTACCTCCTACATGGAAACACTGCCCCACCAGTTTTATGGCCTTTCACGCATAAGAGAGCAATCCAGCCGCGTAGACCTCCTGCCCTTTCAAGTTCTCTTTGTCTACCAGGATGCGTTTCGCAGCAAAGAAGGACTCGCCGGAGATGGCGCCTTCCAGGTACAGGGGGGTCACTTGGGGCAAATGGGGTTTCCCATTGTTGTTGAATGCTCCTGTCTCCCTGGGGATGCGGGGGTTGTACTTCACTGCACCTATGCACCAGATGTGATTGACAAGCCTAGCATTGAGTGGTTCCTACACCATATTGCTCAGTCGATTGATGCTCTCGTACAAGTGGACGTGACCGGGAGTACCAGTATGAGGTTGGCACGAGTCCCTCTCAGCTCCCAGGAGGCTCGACAACTTGAGCTATGGAGCCGCAGTCATCAAGCAACGGAGGATAGAGAAGTCAATGAGACTCTTCCCATGTCTTTACCGCACGCCTTTGATGATATTGCGACAAGTATGCCTGAGAAGGTTGCTTTGCAATCTTCACAACATGAATATGTTACTTACGGTGAACTGCAACAGCGAAGCACAGCCCTGTCCCTGGTGCTACAAAGATATATAGCCTCATTGGACGGCATCAACTCTCAGCACCTGGTTATTCCAATATGCTTCGAGCGCAATCCGGACATGGTTGTCGCAATCCTGGCGATCCTCAAAGCAGGTGCAGCATTTGTACCGCTTGAGCCTGGCTACCCAGCAGAGAGGCTCATCAGTATAGTGAGGACGACCGGTGCTTCGCTCATTATCTGTGGGGCGACGGAAAAGGACAATGAGACCCTGGTCTCGGTGTCCCATGCAACAAACGCGAGCCTCGTTACCCTGGATGATCTGAAGTCCACCCCTACCTCGGGCCACACTATGCTCGCACACCATTGTAGGGACGACTCTCGCATTGCCTATGTGTTGTTTACGTCGGGCTCGACAGGGACCCCTAAAGGTGTGATGATCACGCACCACAATTTACTTGCCTTCATGCGATACAACAACCCGGATATCCATGGAAGGTGGTATAACTCTCGGATGCCTGTGGCCTCTTATACGTTCGATGTTTCCATGGCAGACATCCTCACAACCCTTTGCTCCGGTGGCAGGGTAGTCCTGGTTCCAGTACAAAATTTATTCTCTTCCCTGGGCGCCTGGGTCGATGTTTCAATCACGTCTCATGTCTCTCTAACTCCGACAATCGCAAACATGCTCTGGGAGCCAGTCAAGAACGCTGCGGTAGTTTTTCCATTCCTCAGCGTCATGTTGTTGGCTGGCGAAGTATTCGATGTGCAGCTTCTGAACTATATCCCAGACGAATGCCGGGTCTGGAATGGATATGGCCCAACCGAAACGTTCTACGTGACGTTCTATCATGTTCCAAAAGCCCGTACCAAGGGACAAAGTTCAGTCTCAATTGGATACCCCTTCGGGGCGAATCAAGTCCATCTCTTGGGCTTCGAATCTCATGATCGTGTACCAGTTGGATGTATCGGTGAGATCTGTGTGACGGGCCCACAAGTCGCACGCGGGTACCTTGGCCAGCCAGAGCTAACAGAGCGACATTTCAAGCGCCATGTTCTAGGCCAGACGTCGGAAGGCCTCCTGTATCGGACCGGTGATATGGGAAGGTTCTGTCCCGATGGGAAACTAGAGTACCTAGGTCGACTCGATCGACAGATCAAGATACGTGGTCAACGCGTGGAGCTCGCAGAGATTGAGGCGGCCGTATCACAGCATAATTTGCTTGACGGTTGTGCGGCCGTGGTGGTGAATCGTCCCACTGGAGATACCCTGAGTGTATTCTGCGTGCCGGCTTCGGAACAAACCCCTGGCAAAGTCTGGGACGCCAATACTGCCGCTCAAATCAAAGCGTGGATTGCCACCAGACTTCCGGCACACATGGTGCCCTCATATCTCTTCCCGTTGGAAGGGGGGCTTCCTCGCGTCCCCAGTGGGAAAGTAGACCGCCGGCTGCTGGCTCAGAGAGCCACAAGTCTGTTAGCAGACCCTGCGCTATCCTGCCTGGACCAGGACACGTATATTGAACCCACGACGGAGAGAGAGAAGGTCATCTGCGAAGTCTTCGAAGAAACATTGGGCCGGCGTGTGAGTATATTGGACAATTTTCTCCACCTTGGAGGCCATTCCATCCTCGCCATTCGAGCAGTATCCAAGATCAATAATCGCCTCCATGTCAATCTTTCCTTCAAAGATGTGTTTGACTTTCCAACCGCTCAGACTTTGGCACAGCGACTCGACTCCACGGCTACGAGCCGACAACTGTACACTTCAATTCCGAGGCTCCCTCGAGATAGGACGATAGTCAGGCAGTCATTCGCTCAGGGCCGACTCTGGTTTTTAGACCAGTTGCATCCTGGCTCGACTTGGTATCTGATGCCCTTTGGCCTTCGCATTAGGGGAGAGCTGCATCTCGAGGCTTTGGAGGCCGCAGTGTCCACGATTGAGGAGAGGCACGAGACACTGCGGACGACCTTTGAACACCGCGATGGGGAAAATATCCAAGTTGTACATCCATTTGCACATCGTCAGCTCAGGGTTGTTGAAGTGCCGTCCGCAGCGGGCGAAGAAGGCCTCCTGCGCGCCCTAAAGGAGGAACAGTCCACCCCATTTGATCTCCAAGTGCATCCAGGGTGGAGACCACTTGTCCTTCGCCAGAACAAGAGGTCGCATATTCTATCGATCGTTATCCATCATATCATCTGTGATGGCTGGTCTGTTGGAGTGCTCCTGAAGGAACTGAGTACGTTCTATTCCGCTGCACTCCATGCTCGCCCCATCCATGCTCAGCTGCCACCGCTACCCATACAATATCGCGACTTCTCAGCGTGGGAGAATCAAGAAGACCAAAGAGCAGAGCATGATCGCCAGCTAAAGTATTGGACAGAAAGACTCAACGGCAGTAAACCGGCAGAGTTCATTGCTGATAAGCGAAGACCTCCAACCCCATCGAGGCAAGCAATCTTCGAGGAAGTTGGCATCCATGGTGCCATGTATGACCGCTTATGCCAGTACTGTAAGCAGCATGAGATAACACCTTTTATTGTTCTACTGGCCGTCTTCAGAGCCACGCATTACCGCCTTACAAGGGAAGCCGATGCGACTATCGGTACCCCAATCGCCAACCGAGGGCGCGAAGAGCTGCACGACATTATTGGACTCTTTGTGAACGTGCAGTGCATCCGGCTCAAGGTCGATGATTATGATACCACGTTCGAGGACCTTGTCAGTCAGGCAAAGTCAGTCGCTACAGAGGCCTTTTCCCACCAGGATATCCCTTTCGACCGGATCGTGTCTGCCCTGCAGCCCGACAGAGAAACAACCCAGAATCCCTTGGTACAGACGGTGTTTGCCGTCCATCCACAAACAGAAGGGAAAGAGCAGCTGGAGGGGCTCGAGACCGAGCAGATCCTCATGTCACGTACCACTCGATTTGATCTCGAATTTCACCTATTCCAAGAAGCGGATGGTTTAAGCGGTCAAGTCGTGTTTGCTCAAGATACCTTCTTCTCTGAAACCGTTCGATCCATGATTTCGGTATTCTACGCCGTTCTTGAGTGTGGGCTGAACCAGCCAAGCACAAACATTGCTTCCATGACCTTGCTCAACGACCGCTCGCTGCATGACATGGACGATCTATTAGACATAAAGCGGACGGACTACCCACGGGATGCCACTGTAGTTGATCTATTTCGTCAGGAAGCACGGTCACATCCGGACAGCATTGCTATTGTGCACGAAGGAAAGGAGCACACATATGGCGATCTTGACCGTCAGTCAGACAGTATCGAAAGGTGGCTACGCAGTCTTTACCTTGATCAGGAGACCATCGTCGGGGTGCTCGCAGCACGATCCGCCGAAGCAATTGCCGTTTTCCTGGGGATTATGAAAGCAGGTCTCGCGTACCTACCACTAGATGCCAGTACTCCACATACTCGCATCTGCAGCATCCTGTCATGTATAGATGGAAAGATAACTGTGATTGTGGTGGATGGGGCAGGGGTTGCTGTGCCAGATGTCGGATTGGCTCACGTCGAGTTCATTACCCTCTCTCGCATCAGGGATGGCGAGCGACATGAAATGTCAGACGATCAGAGGCTGGATGGTCAATCCTCAACATCCGCGACCAGTTTAGCGTGCGTCCTGTTTACTTCAGGGTCGACTGGAACGCCCAAGGGAGTCTTGATCGAACACCGCGCAATTGTACGACTGGTCAAGGAACCCAACTTTACCAGAGCCGCAGGCAAGCCTCTAGCTCACATGGCTAATATTTCCTTTGATGTCTCTGTCTGGGAAGTCTTTATGCCTCTCCTTAGTGGTGGCGTGGTGATATGTATTGATGCGATGACAGTGCTGGACTATAAGCGCCTGAGCGATGCATATGCTCGCCACAGCGTGCGAGCGGCCATGTTCACCCCCGCCTTATTCAAACAATGCCTGCTTGAGACCCCTTTGATTGTCAAGGGCCTGGATCTATTGATTCTAGGCGGAGACCGCCTCGATCCTGAGGATGTCTTCAGGGCAAAGCAATTCACACAGGCTACCATCTTGAACGGATATGGGCCCACAGAGAACATGGGGGCAAGTACTCTATACCCGCTGCTAGACGAGGAGGCATATGCAAATGGTGTGCCGATTGGGAGGCCGATAAGTAACTCTGGGGCTTATGTTACGGACGATTCACTCAATATTGTCCCTCGAGGTGTGGTTGGGGAGCTTGTTGTCACCGGTGATGGGCTAGCAAGAGGATATACAGATCCCAAGAAGAATGAAGGTCGCTTTGTAGACATGGTCATCGGCCCCGATATTGTCCGGGCATATCGGACGGGGGACTATGCGCGATGGAGACCGGTTGATGGGCAGTTGGAGTACTTTGGCCGTCGAGACGACCAAGTCAAAATCCGCGGAAATCGGGTGGAAATGGGGGAGATTGAATACACCCTCCTCTCCCACAGCGCAGTACGCAGCGCTGCCGCCGTTGTGAACGGCCAAGGGGCGGATGTTGACCTTGCAGCCTTTGTAGTCTTGCATCCGATCCATGACGAGGTGGCGGAGACGGAGCGGGTGGATGCATGGAAGAATGTCTTTGATACAGAGGCGTATGACAGCTTCGCACTTCAACCCGACCGACTAGGAAGAGACTTTGTCGGATGGCTCTCCATGTATGATGGATGCAGTATCGACCTCAGTGCGATGGACGAGTGGCTGGATGACACCCTTCGGACTTTGTTGAACGGCCAAGACCCTGGAAAGGTCTTGGAAATTGGCACGGGTTCGGGAATGATCCTCTTCAACATTGCCAAAGGGCTGGACGAGTATGTTGGGATTGAGCTGGTGCCAAAGCTCGCCCGTATGGTCGAGCAAGTGGCCAACGCCGACGAAAGACTGGCAGGGAAAGTGAAGGTCCATACCGGCGTGGCTGACCGTATCGAGGATTTCATTCCTGGGTTCATCCCCAACCTGGTAATTGTCAACTCTGTGGCGCAATACTTTCCAAGTGCGGGCTATCTCTTGGAGATTATTGAGAAACTGACTCGGCTGGAGGGTGTCGAGACATTATTCTTTGGTGACATCCGGTCCTACCCTCTGTACAACGAGTTTCTGGTATCCAAGGCGTTGCACAATAACGGCGCGAAAGCAACACAGGATCAGGTCCGGAGATGCATAGAGGAATGCAGAGCAGCCGAGACCGAGTTACTTGTGGATCCTGCATTCTTCACCTCCTTGGCCTGTCAATTCCCGGATCGGGTCGAGCACGTTGAAGTTCTCCCGAAGCTGATGAGTGCCACGAACGAGCTCAGCTGCTACCGCTACTCTGCCGTTGTTCATATGAAACATGCTACAGCACCACCGCGCAAGATTTACCAGGTTGACGAGAGCCAGCGGATCGATTATACATCGCGTTCCTTGAATTCCCGAAGCTTGCTGGAGCACCTGCAGCAATCGCATGACAGCCCGATAATAGCAGTGGAAAACATACCAAATCGCAGGACAATCCTTGAGACATATATAGTGGATGCCCTTGAAGAGGGGATTCCTCCTCGTCCCATGGACACTCAGAGTCACTGGCAGGTCCGTCACCGTAACCGAGCAGCACAGAGCTCGGCCTTGTTGCCGGGAGATTTGGTCTCCATAGCCAACCAGGTAGGATTCCAGGTCAGCGTCAGCTGGGCTCGACAACGTTCACAGCATGGGGCATTCGATGCAATTTTCCATCGGCTCAGGCCAGATTGCGAACAACAGCGAGTGCTATTCAACTTCCCAGCCGATCATCAGCGTCAGGACATCGGCTCATTCACAAACCATCCCATCCAAGGTCAACAAGATCAACAGCGCATAAGTGAGCTCAGAGAGTACTTGCAGGCGCAGCTTCCAGCATACATGGTTCCACGCACCATCACAGTCCTCGATCAGCTGCCACTGACAGATCGTGGCAAGGTCGACCGCCAGGCCCTTCGCCAGCGAATCATACAGCCACAACCAGTAGCTACCGAACTGCAGCCGAGTTTAGATAGAGAAACAGTGGATTACGGCACTCCAACTGAGCGAACCGTTTGCAAGGTGTTTGCTGAGGTATTGGGGCTGCAGTCTGTTGACAGAGAAAGCAGTTTCTTTAGCCTGGGGGGTCATTCTCTGTTGGCTCCCCGAGTGGCATCTCAACTATCAAAATGTCTGGATTGCACTGTGACTGTCAGAGACGTCTTCGACTGCCCAACGCCTGCGAGATTAGCGGATCGTTTGCTATCAAAACAGTCGGATGATAATATGGAAAAGACCTCCACTATTGACGGTAAAACGAATCTCTTTGCATTTGACAAGGTTAAATATCAGAATGCTGTTCGCGACTGGGGCGTTCAGTTCGACGAAGTGAGTCACTTGATGCCTTGCACTCCGTTCCAAGAAGGAGTTTTGTCAAACTCTCTAGCTGCACCAGGAGACTCCGGCTATTTGAGTGTTGTACGGCTGGGACTGGAGTCAGAACTTGATATGGAAGCAATACGGCTCGCATGGCAAGAAGTGGTCCAGCGCGAAGAGACACTCCGCACTGCTTTCATTCCGGGTGCTGAGGATCTTTCTTCATCATCCATTACCTCCAGCACCTTTTGGCAATGCGTCTTCGACAAAGACTCCCATGAGGTTCAAAGGCTTTTGTTTATCGACGGGCCAAATAGGCAGCGGGACCGCCCTGCTTTAGGCTTTGGCCATATCCCGGTCTCGTTGGCTTTGGTAGACGCACCGAGCTCGTGCAAGGCCAGGGACAGTTGCTCGCCCCAACTTGAACTCACCATACATCACGCTCTATATGATGAGACGTATTTCCGATGGATCATTCAGGACGTTTCCCGAGAGTACCATAAAGCTCGACTGGCGGAAGACCGTACTCCCCAGCGGCCTACTGACAAATCTGTGAACATGATTCCGTTCAGCGCGTTTGTCTCTCAGCTGCAGGCAATTCCAAAGGAGGGTGCAACCTCATTCTGGAGAGAGTATTTAAATGGGGCTCCTGCCGCGTCCTGGCCGGTTGCGAGAGGGCTGGAGAGTGGCCGAATAACAACAATCGACGAGTTCTCGAGCCGGTCCCTGACATGGAAGGGAAACATGCATGAGTTAGCCGGAGCTAGAGCAGTCACTTCTGCCGCGATTTCTAGAGCTGCAGTGGCGCTCGTCGTAGCAGAGCATAGTGGTGTTGAAGACATTGTTATTGGAGAGGTGTCGAGTGGAAGATCCCTCTCTGATGGCGCTGCCGGGTTCGTAGCCGGTCCGTGTATCTCAACACACCCGGTCAGGATACGCATGCAACAGAGGCAGGCATCAAGCACCAGTCAGCAGAGACTGTCCTTTGACCAGTTGGTCAAACATTCGCTGGATTCCTATTTGGAGACAGTGCCCTACCACCAGCTCGGCTTGCCCAGTATCCGACGGCAGTCAGATTCCCCCGATCTCCTGCCCTTTCAGGTGCTTTTTGTTTATCAGCAGGCTTTCAATTTTGAGATGCAGCTTCGAGAAGAAACATTCCCCAGCTTCAAGGTCCAAGGGGCCCACCTTGGCCGGTTTGAGTTTCCCGTCGTGCTGCAAGCATCATGCCATCCAGTCACGGGCCACCTGAGCCTGATGTGCATGTTTGATCCAACAGTTCTAATTCCAAAGGACATCGAGTGGTTTCTTGAACACATATCTCAGGTTCTCAGCTCCATCGCCGACAGTCCCTCTCAGCCCAATGCCACGCTAACTGTTGGTGACGCCGAAGAGGCAGCGTTGGCCAAAATCGCGGGCGAGAGAGGGCAAACCCCAGAACTACCGTTGAGTACTCGTGGCGAGTCTCTGTGCGCCCATGATATGATATCCCGACGGGCCATGCAGAACCCTTGCAAGATAGCTCTGCAGTATGAACTCTCCCAGTTCATGACATACGGAGAGCTTGACAGTCGGAGCACCAAGCTATCAACCATGATCCGCAGATTTTTCGATCACACTTTCAAATCCGACTGTCTTCAACAACCCTTAGTTCCAATTTTCTTCGACAAGGGAGTGGACATGGTATTAGCAATGCTGGCCGTTCTAAAATCTGGGGCTGCTTATATTCCACTGGACGCTTCCCATTCCGAGCAGCGTTTAAGAGTGATATGTGAATCCGCGCAGGCCAAGCTTATCCTTTGGGATGGCCACAACGGTTCTGATAAGCTGAATGCTATTGGGCACTCTTCAGGCGCCACCGTCTCGACCCTGAATGAACTTTCCGACGCAGCGGACTGTTGGAAAAGCACTAGGCGATCTGGCAGAAAGCCTACGCCGTCCTCTTTGGCCTATATTATCTACACGTCTGGTTCCACGGGCGTACCTAAAGGCGTAATGGTCAATCATGCAAACTTGGTGTCCTTCATGAAATCCGCAACAAGTGACACATACATGTCCTGGACCGTGAACAGACTCCAGATCGCTTCATATACATTTGACATGTCAGTCAGCGATATCTTCCCCGTCCTTGCTTCAGGGGGACGCGTCTTACTTGCCCAACAACAGTCGCTCTGGAGCGATCTGGCTGGGTGGGTCGATGCATTTGCAGTAAATCAACTCATGACAACACCCACGGTGGCAGATATAATGCTTTCCAGTGCATCCTCCGACGGATTCCTGTTGGCGCATTTGCGCGATGTGATAGTGGGAGGCGAAGCCGTCAAGACAGACATCCTGGATAAGGCACCGGTAGAAATGATATTCTGGATACAATACGGTCCCACCGAAACTACAGTTGTTGTGACTGGCTGTATGCTTCGAGGACCTACATACCACCACCCTGTTCCGCATTCGCAGATTACCGCAATCGGGTTCCCTCTTCGCGGCTGTCGCGTGTACATTCTACAGCCAGGCACGTCCAACCGAGTGCCTATTGGAGTACCAGGTGAACTATGCATCAGTGGACCACAGGTAACTGGGGGATACCACGGTGGCGTGGATCCTTCCGAAAACCCATTTGTCCCAGACCCCTTCTGGGCCGGGCAGACGATGTACAGGTCTCGCGACATTGCCAAAGTCCACGGCGATGGGATGATTGAGTGGATTGGGCGGATGGACTCCCAGATCAAACTGCGGGGCCTGCGTATTGACTTGGGCGAGATCGAGTCTACAGCCAGGCAGCTCAATGGTGTCCAGTCGTGTGCTGTCGTCAAGGTGGATCAGGGAGAGAAGGAAGCCTTGCTTGCCTTTATCGAGGTAGCAAGCTCTCACCAAGGACAAATTACCCCTTCCATAATCCAGCAACATATTGCGCATCATATCCCGGCCTACATGGTCCCTGCCCATATTCAACTGCTCGACACACCACTTCCGCGCACTGCCTCTGATAAGCTGGATCGAAAGGAAATCCATGCCCTTGCGACGAAGCTTGTGGATAACGGAGAGTTACTGTCCTTCCGCGCCAGCGAGATGCCAGCGGCTGATCGCCCATGCCCAGGTACTCTGGGGGCAACGCTCGCCTCGTATTGGGCTACTATACTAGGAGTCGACCAAGAGGTGATCAGTCTGCAAACGCCCTTTTCTTCTTTAGGGGGAGATTCCGTGCGTGCCATCAGTCTACTCGCGCTACTGCGGCGCAACAACTTGCAGCTCAATTTGACCGATTTGGGTTCATTTTCGACCATCCAATCCCAAGCATCCAAAATCCTCTGTGACGAGCAACTGCAAAGGCTCCCTGCTTACATGCAGTTGACCACACGCAGCAACAGTCGGGCGACGATGGTGTTGATCCATCCCTTCTTCGGTCAGTCTAGTGTGTTCGACCATATAGTGCCGGCTCTAAGCAACCAGTACGATATCGTGCAAGTGTCTGATCCTTTCTTTGGAAAGCCCGAGGGCCCCGCATCCCTGCGCGACTGGGCCGCACATTACCTGGCAGCGCTTCAAGTCCAGCTGACGCAGGGCCGGCCTGTCGTTTTCGTCGGGTACTCTTTTGGCGGCCTGCTGGTACTGGAAATGGCACGATTATTGGAGGTAACAGGAAAAGGATTCCCCTTCTCTACCGTCATTGTCGACACACGTTGCTATGATCCGCACCAGCCGTTCTTCAAAGATGAGGAAGAGAGAAAAACAGCTGCCGATGATGCCGTCCGACTCTTTGGGCCCGGCCAAACAAGGATGATCGAGGAACACTTTGATAAACACGCCCGCATATGGGAAAATTCCGCGTGCCCGGACAAGTACCTCGGCCGTTCGCTCTACCTGGCCACTCCGGATGCCGTCCAGTCAGGTATTGTAGACTGGTGGCGGAATCAGTGCCCGCACATTGAGGTTCAGCAAGTGGAATGCTCACACGGGGAGATTTTCGGGCCTGCGATGACTGCACGCCTAAGTGTGTTGATAAATGAGCATTGCAACCTAGATACCACGCACAATGAGGCTTAGGAACAACGTGCGCCTCATACGAGCATATCTACATTTTCTGGGGTCTGGTAGTTGTTTGGCTTTATTGATATTTCATTAGTATGGGGAGATACGATGAAAATAAATTGGAAATTTTGAGGATCTCAGCCGGAGGGTCCTTGCGGCGATGGTCCTAATCTGACAACTCTGTCGAGCACCTCGCTCGTTCTGCTTATTATAGAAGGTTTAGTAATTAGATCCATTTACTAATAAGAAAGTATACCAGCCACTTTTTCTTATTTAGGTTTGGCCTTATTCTACTACAATTATACATACGCAATCTGAACCCTCATATTCCGCTTCCTATATATTTAACCGCAGTTACACTAGCTGCGGTTCACAATGCCCAGAGAGGATTTCCTCTGCCCGCGAAGGGTTGATTCCAACCTTTAGCGTTAATGTACTATTCTATCCTTATTCTTGGAATTAGGCTATCGCAACAAGCTCTTTTACCCTTATTACTACCTCTCACACTATTTGCAAACCTTCCAAAGGCCAGGCACCTTTATGCTAGTACTATATCTACTTGATAATACTAACTATTATTATTTTAATGATAGTTATCTCTAGCCTTATCTTGACCTAATCTAGTTATCTAATAAAGCCTCTAAGCACTAAGGGGGTGTATTCGCTAGAAGACCTTTCTAAATATTTCACCCTGGCTGAGCATATCACTCGGCGCTCCGCTTAGTTTACTACTAAAAAGGTCTGCTAGGCCCTCTTTTCTTTTTGGGTTTAGATTGTTTCCTATACTTAAATATCTCGCTTTCTCGCTACATAATTAGAATGACAAGACCTTCAATCTTCTCTCTTGATGACCTCCGTTCCTCTCCGGCCTACAGGTATGCCCATGCCTCGAGTAGTTTGGTCCCAGTCAAGCCCAGGGGCTTTTGATCTGTCAAATTCCCACTTAAACAAAGCATCGCATACTTTTCCAACACCGACACAATTAGTCAAAGCTAGCGGCCGCCACGTCCATCTTTTTTAGCATAACAGAATCCACGTTAACTAGGACCTACTTACGGTGTTGACTGTTCCGAATTCACGGATTTGATCAGCACCGGTCAGCCCACCCATTCCATTCAAGACATGGAGGCCGGCGTAGCATGGTTGACTTTTGATCAGGTCTGGATGGGGTGGGAGGATTGCAGTGACCCTTGTATGGACGTCGCTGCCATCGTGGATTGTGAGTTGACCCACACCCACACCTACACCTATTAAATATTGTAAGTACTCTTATGGAGGGAATCGGAGGGTATTTTGAATGTACCTTTAACGTCCAAATGCTATTTTTCAGACCAGATTTGAAGCGGCCGGGAGTGTATCCCGAATCTCGATCCTCACAATTCGACTGCACGTTTATGGATGATAATTTCTACAAGCCACGCAAAAGAGGGCCTTTTTTTTTTTCCCTTTTCCAAGTCTGTCTTAGGACGAACGAGTCGGCGGTTTCGCCGTCAATACGTAAATTGTATCCCGGCTTGGTTGTAATGAACATTTGCTCTTTAGGAGACAAACCCGAAACCCGAAACCCGAGCAGCCGGAGACTCAACTATCGCATTTACTTATGAACGGGCAACGTTTTATACTTCGGAGCCGAAAACAAATAAGAACCATCAAACACTACGCAACTCCTCATCAGACAGACGAGATTGGGATTTATTTATCGTGTATACAGCAATGTGGAATCAACTGCACGGTATGTGGATTCTGAGCGCACATGCGTCTCTCCAAAGACTGTCGACTTTCGCTAAAAGGATTACTAGAAACCTCTCCGACCGTCACAGGAGCTCCCTCCAGTCAAAAGTCATTCTGGACCGAGCATCCTCGGCCGTCCCTTTTACATCGTTCACTCCACGAAAGGCCGCTATTGGCAACGGGTAGCTCGGGCCTCAAAATAACCTTGGAAGATGGGTCACAGGTTTTGGACGCATGTGGCGGGGCTGCGGTCGCAAGCATTGGCCATGGCTGTCAAGAGGTCCTTGCAGCTATCGCAGAACAAGCTCAGTCAATCTCATACGTACACACCGCAACATACACCACTGCCTCAGCAGAAAAACTGGCAGATATCCTGGTAGGCAACAGGCCTGGGGGTATCAGCAAAGCGTTCTTTGTTGGCAGCGGCAGTGAGGCTGTGGACGGTGCGATGAAATTGGCGCGACAGTATTTCTACGAGAAGGGGGACCTTGGGCGCAAACACTTTATAGCTCGAAAGCAGGCGTATCACGGAAACACTTTCGGGAGCATGTCACTGTCGAGCAACCTATCTCGACTGAAACCATATCAAGGGATTCTACTTCCAAATGTCAGTCATGTTAGTCCCTGCTACAGGTATCAGTACCAATCGCAAGACGAAACGACTGAGGACTACATTGCCCGTTTGGCTACAGAACTAGATTCTGAATTTCAGAGAGTCGGGGCCAATACCGTCATTGCTTTTATTGCTGAGACAGTGGTAGGTGCGACCTGTGGCTGTGTTACGCCTGAACCTGGATACCTAGCCGCAATGCAAGCGGTTTGCAGAAAGCACGGTGCATTGTTTATACTGGACGAGATTATGTGTGGAATGGGGCGCACCGGAACGATGTTTGCTTGGGAGCAAGAGCGCGATGGGGATGGGAAACCTGTTGTCCCTGATATAATGACTATTGGCAAGGGCCTCGGCGGCGGATATGGCCCGATTTCTGGGATCCTGGTCCATCAGAAAGTGGTTGACGTTCTCGATTGTGGATCTGGGTCCTTTAATCACGGCCACACATTTCAGGCGCATCCCGTCAGTTGCGCTGCTGCCCTTGCGGTCCAGAGGATTATTCGTCGCCACGACCTTCTCGGAAATTGTGTTAAAATGGGACTAATTCTTGAACGCTGTCTGCGTGAACGACTTGGAGACAAAGAGCATGTTGGTGATATCCGCGGCCGCGGTCTTTTCTATGCTGTCGAGTTTGTGCAAGACCGGGGAGAAAAAAGACCATGGGAGCCAAAGCAGCAGTTCGGGTTGCTGGTGCAAAAGGAAGCTCTCAAACTTGGTGTGGCTGTCTATCCAGGCACAGGGACAGTAGATGGAATTCGCGGCGATCACATTCTCATCGCACCTCCATTGACGGTGAAAGAGAACGAGATCCGGCACATTGTTGAAGTCGTGGCAGAAGCATATAAGATCGCTGTTGAGCTCCTAACGAGGGCAATTCCCCAATGAAGGGCCGGATTTCGCGTTGCCAAATACTTTAACCCAGCTTTCCTGTTGTTTACCCAACACGATATCAGAAATCATGCCCAGGACTTCCAACTAATGATTTGATTCAGGAGTTGGATGTGCCATTAATGATTACCTCAATATAAACCGAGGACTGGGAAGTAGCGTTAAAAAGGAGAATGTGCCGTTTTGCTGAGAGCCGCAGAGCCTATTTTCAGAGCCTTGGTTCATAAACATACGAGGGACTCTGTAGACCATGTTTTTAGTATAACAGTATCATAAGCTATCTCGTCGTTTTGTAAAAGAAGGCCGTTTACTCTCGGGCAAGGAAAGTGTACAACTCAGCCAAATCCCGTTCGTGATGATAACGATATAGAAGTTTTTTGCTTTGCAGTGGCCTGGCTAGACCGATGGGCGGCGAAAATTAGTCCGCAGTGCTGCCTAGCCTTGTTTCACGAGGCCTCTGTCAAATAGAATTAATATGGATTCAATATAGCTACCATGCGGCGGTTAAAGTGAACTAAAAAGGCATATATTCGATACGTGCAACACAATGCTGTCTGTTCCACGACTGGCTTATACGATAAAGCTCATATACCAGCCCACCGAGATCATTGCGTTGCTGTGGCCCGTAGATTCTGAAAGATGAAGCACGCCTCTATCAACTGCGCACTTTGGCTTTGTCGGAACTGCCCTGCAATTGACGTGCTGGGATACGGCTATCTTGCTGAACCAAATAGACCGAGTATCCTCTGCGTGAGCCTTTAATCTCAGAGGAGTGGTCAGAATAGATAAGGGATAATGGGATAGACAAGTGGCGACCAACACTTTGGGCATAGGAAGATCCTCGGGCTTTCAATATCTCATGGCTAGTGCTCTTGCACCTCGACGTTAATAAGCTAAATAACTTCCACGACGAGTTGCTCGTAAGAATGAGCTTTCCGCAAGGCTTTCACGGAGTCGCGCATGATGTCTTTACCAACACACACGAAGTTTCAAATCGATACTCCTCCGCCCTTTCTAGCTTGCCGGCTTGGATACTGTTGTAGACCGGAATTGGTCCGTACCAAGAGTTTCGAAGGTGCATTCGGTGTACATACCCCGGGGGTCCGATCCTGCCTGGCTAAGAAAACTGCAGCCTTGCAAATGTCCAAGTAGGAGTGCGGTACCCTAAGGCCAATCTTGTAATGTAGATAAACCATCCCGGATCTCACGGGGAAAGTCATCGAAAGAAGGTGGATTTGGAGTCCTATGGAACGAAAACAAGAATAAGAGAGGGAGTTAGACTTAAGGTACTCGACGGCACGATCTGATTCGTGATGCCACTGATGTTTACCCAATGTTTGGTCCGGTCAAGTCTTCGAGATTATGGTTCTGGACCTACGGAGTATAGCACTCGCAAAGACTACCAAACCCCGTTTCATAGGGAAAGCCCCGCCTTGTAATTCAAACCCGAGAACCGAGAACCGAGAACGCCCCATAAGTTCGTTGGCTGCGTATTTCGCCCGGCCACCCGGCAAATATGCTAGAGATACGGGCAGGCGAACCAGCGGTATGCTCTCTCCGATAGTGGGCCCAAAACTGTTGGCAGGGTCTCGCGCCAAATTGGTGACATCAACCTGCTTCTATTCAAATTGCTGCGTTTATCACGTCTTGGACAAAATTCACGTCTCCAACTGATCTTTTCGTGTTTATTCCTCATGGATGCAACAAAGAGCTTTGACTTCCGGGTTACTTCAAAGGGGTCTGATGGCACTGTCCAGCAACTACAGGAATTGCTCGACAATCACATTGAAGATTTTATAAACTACCATCCAATCTCCCAAAATCTGCATCAACATGCCCTCACGGCTTTGCCAGGAGGAAATACCCGCTCTGTTCTGCATACAAACCCGTTCCCAGTCTGCATGGATCGAGGAGACAGGAATAGGCTAATCGATGTGGATGGGCACGAGTATTTACGCCGTACCCCGTAAAGTTTTATTCAGAAGAACTTACAATGTCTTATCCACAGGTACCTTGACCTTATTGGTGAAATGACAGCGGGCCTCTGCGGTCACTCTAACCCGAAAATCCGCGACGCTATCATGTGCACCGTATCTAAGACTGGGTTGAACCTCGGTGCTACAACCGTAGCAGAGTCTCTATTTGCTGCGGAAATTTGCCGCCGATTTCCATCGGTGGAGCGACTACGTTTCTGCAACTCGGGCACAGAAGCCAATCTCTATGCCCTCAGTATTGCTCGTCGTGCAACTGGATTGTCCAAGATCATAGTTTTCTCTGGAGCATATCATGGTGGCGTTCTCAGCTTCGTTCACGGGCTCGCTGGGAATAACGTGGACAAAAGTGACTGGATTATCGGGAAATACAACGATACTGAGGGCGCTCAGAGGTTAATCTCTGACAACAAAGGCAGAGCAGCCGCCGTGATTGTCGAAGGTATGCAGGGGGCTGCTGGCTGTATTCCTGGCACTGGGGCATTTATACATGGCATTCAGGCTGCCGCAAAAGCCAATGGCATGCTCTTCATACTGGATGAAGTCATGACTTCTCGGCTTGCACCGGGAGGCCTTCAGTCGATTATTCTCAATCCCCATAGCAACACAGGCTTGAAACCCGATATCACAACATTGGGCAAATACATCGCCGGGGGAATGACAATTGGGGCTTTCGGTGGACGGGAGGAGTTGCTCTCGATCTACGACCCCAGGGAAAACTCTGCAATGAACGAACCAGAAAGGCCATTCCAACCGCTTAGTCACTCTGGAACATTCAACAACAACACATTGGCCATGAACGTTGGCTTAGCGGTACTCTCTGATGTTTATACCCCCGAGGCCTGTACGGAGCTCAATGCGATGGGTGACTGGTTCCGCCAGAGCATCCTTGACAGGTGTCAAGGTACCAAAATGACGGTCACTGGTATTGGCGCCGTATGCAACATCCACTTTCTCTCCGAAAAGTTTAGCTCTCGAGTTTTAAACGTGGAGGAATTAGAGAAAGGACGGACCAAGTCTGATACAATGTTAAGGGACATATTCTGGTTTGAAGCTATCCGGAAAGGGTTTTGGATGGCTAGACGCGGCATGCTGGCCTTGATTATGGGAACAACCAAGAGCGAGCTTCAGGGTTACCTTGATTTTGTGGAAGTCTTTGTACAAGAATACTATTCTTTCCTAGTCTGAAATGGAGTTTCAGGGGGTCTATAATAGATAGTGACACCAAGAAACAGCACATATATCAGAAACTACTGAGGGCGATAGGGTCTGTTGGCCCCGTCAACGAAACGAGTAATTCTCTAATGGGCGTCACGTTCTTGGAATCGTCTTTGATACATCCTTTTCCTCAATCAATGGTCTGCAGTCCGTGGACTATTTAGGTGATGATTCATTTTATCTGCCGAATCCTCCAGGGCATGCTATAGGGCACATGTCTAGACTTGTTAGGACGTGACATTTTTGTCCTCCTCGGCGGCGATGCTTGCCCCCATTGGGGAGGACCCCATCCAGCCATCGGAGGCCACATTCCGCACAGTGTAAAACATCCCAGGTGTTCGAATCAATTGAGAAACACATGGCTCGCCATAACAACGACGGGACGAAACCCACTTGCAAGTTCAGCGGAAGTATAGTGCGAGTCCAGACTCCACAGAGAGCAGAAGTGCACACTCGCAACAGTTTGATTAGATGCAACAATATTGAAGACTGACCTACCAAGAAGGCAGGGTAGTGTATGTGTGTAGTGTCGCTCGTCCGATGGCAACAGCACTGGATTCTGCTATTCGACATTCGGGTTTGGTCTCATTTCCCGGGTTTCGCGATCGGGTTTCGGGTCTAAACTTGGCGGGACTCATTCTTCCAATTTTAATTCCCCAGGACAGAAACCGGCAATTACGAACAGGGAGCCTGGGCCAGACTCCGTGCTCTCCCCGCATCTGCGCTATTCAGATTTACCCTTTGCACGGTACATGGGCGATATCGGTCACGGTCCAGCCAATTGGTCTCCCGTACAGGGGGATTTTCGGGAACCAGGTCAGACAAACTTACCCGCGGCAGTCCGTTAGTTAGGACTCCATTGTGATGATGGATCCAGTACATCCTACATAAGTCGTTGAAATGCCACGATGCATTACTGCATTTTTCTCTTGCAGGCTATGATCTCACGATGCCCTACAAGCTCCAAAATCGAAGTGTTCTGATTGTGGGCGGCGCAAGGTTGGTGATACTTCCCATCATGATTGTCCTATACCGTTATTGATATGCGACTGGCATGTCATAGGGGTCTCGGGGCATGTATAGGGACAAAATTCGCTGCACAGGGTTGTAATGTCGCCATCAACTATCTCACGAGCCAAGAGCAGGCCAATACTCTGGCTACTAGACTTGAGAGTGAATACGGAATCAAGGCAGCTACAGTACAAGGGGTAGGTGCATTGGAACTTGAGAATATGGAGAGCGGAGCGGAGGATATACTGATCCATATTGTGACTTAGGATGGCGGTATACAGCAAGATTGCGTCCGAGTGATTCAAACAGCCAAAGAGAAGTTGGGTGGGCTAGACATCGTCATTTCCAATGTGGTAAGCTCTGTCTGGTTCCTCTTCCTTTTTTTTGGGGGGGGGGCCGTGAGTCTAAGTATATCAGGGATGGACAAAATTTGCACGATTCGGAGATTTATACGCTCTAGACGAAGCCGAATGGGACAAAGTGAGATACCTAAAATCAGCCGTCTTCGAGGTAGATGGGACGCTTCTGACTTTCTCCAAAAGTGCTGGGCCTGCAATGTCAAAAGTAACCTGTACCTGTTTAGGGAAGCACTTCCGACTTTCAAAAGTAATCCGGAAGGCGGGATCTTCATCGCAACTTCTTCCATTGCCGTACGATTCGAGCCTGTTCCTGAATACTGTTAGTCTTTCGCTAATTGAATGTTGCCTAGGGCGCAATGGCTTCTGGAAGCAGTCTGGCATATTCGGTGACTAAAGCTGCGGGTAGGTGAAGTTCGTCCATCGGCCTGGATAGCATACGGACAAAATATATAGGTCTACATCTTTTGAAATGTTTGAAAGCATCTCAACGCCCTATGGTCCGCATCAACGCCGTTGTCCCAGGGCTTTTGTTAACTGACTGGGTATTTAACATGTCTTCTTCCCCTTGATAACTCCTTTCCTGACAGACGTACAGGGCGAAAGGTACTCCACGGAAGAGATCAAAGAGTGGAAAGATAAATCTATTCTCAAAAATGAGGTTAGACATTCATCTGGCTTTAGAGCCTTTCCATCCTTGCTAATAGCCGGACTAATAGGTCGACCTTGACGACTGCGCTGATATGTACGTGACAATCGCTAAGAACACTTCGATGACGGGACAGGAGGTTTTTGTCGGTAAGGAATTCCCCATACTTTGAAAGCGATGTGGTTCAAGGTCATTAAAGACACTAGACTCGGGATATGTAGCCAAATAGGGCGCAGACCAAGCAGGTGTTTGCCCATGAATGAGGGCACAGCCTTAGACAATATTTGCGGGATTTCTTGTGCGCTCATAGCCCTTTGGAAATAGTAGCCATAACCCTTCCCAAAGCTGGTAGAAAATATCGTACGAAGGTAACGTGTCCAAGAGACTACTTATCTAATATGTTTCCTTCATACTAGCTAGCTGTGTCGGAAAGCTTCCGGAGGCATTGTTTCTGACTTGCGCTCCGTGTGCTCTGGCCGCCTTTATAATCCACATTTAGGAGTTTGTACGAGGAAGGACTCCGATCGAGACCGATCATGAAAGTTTAATACCCCCAGAATCTCATGTAAACCAAGGCACAGTTCTCGAAAATTAAGCGCGGGCGCCCAACCAATATGCAGTCCGGCATCGTAGCCTGTCTCAATAATACCGACCCTCCCTCAACCACGGTATATACGTGAGTCCTCAGCGCAAAATAGACCTAGTGCTACAGGTTCTTCATATCACTATTCGGGCAGTTCAAGGGAGCCGTCATACTAATAGGAATTTAATTACAGAATGTCAATCTCCTAAATAAAGAAATTGATGTAAATGAATCGCCCACACTTGAGTACGGTTTAGGGCTTAATGTAGCACACCGTGGCATCTCAACCCCTCCCTTGGTTCGCGTTTTAGAATGATGTTGCCGCTGGGGTCGTGGGACTGGGACTGGCAAAAGAACTGCCCATATGCTGACTAAGATCTATCCACCCGCTGATACGTTAGGCTCTTCTTGCCTGATCCCGTCCGACGCTCTCTGCAAAACCTGATCTGAACCTGCCTCGCCGCGACATAAATGACTCGAGACTAAAGAAAGAGTGAGCAAACGATGGTACGAACGACTATTGCATGCATGAGATGCAGGTACGTGGAGCTGCGTTTTCCGCAGTCTAATGTCCAGCATCTTTCCGCGCCTCATTTATAGTGATTACTGTGTTCATACAAGTTAACTCATTGGGGTGGAAGAGCCGGCAAGGTGAAATGCACTCATGATGGCACCCCACCATGCCGTGGTTGTATTAAGGCTGGAAGGACAGCGCCGGGCTCATGTGTGCTGTCGGGGCCAACCCCGAAGAAAGCCCGGTCACGGTGGGTGGCCCCGCCTTTATGGATTCAAAACCACAATCCACTCACGCCCGTCACGCAGCGGGCCACAAACAAGCATTGATCCTGACAGAGATGCTGCCAGAAGCACTGATGCCGCCGCCCATACACCAGCCTACCATGCCGAGGGAGCTCCTGATAGGAGCTCTTCCGCGTTGCAAATGCGCAGTCCACTTGCGTCGAACCTGTTACAAACTGCCACGTTGTTCATGCGCAAGTTTCCAGAACTGGGATTTCTTCACAAACCTACGTTCTCGCGCGACTTGAGGAATTTGCGACGCTGTCTAGATCCAGACGCCGACATTCAGCAGCCAGGGGCAGAACTTCTTGGTTCCGCCTTGACCACCCTCTGCTTACCTCTCACGGAGCCCAATCAAACCGGCGAGGATACATTGAATAAAGTGCACCGTCGACTCTCTATTACCAAACCCCCAAACATATATACTGTTCAATCCTTCTTGGTGGTTGCGATGTTTGAGTGGGGCCAAGGGAATACCCATGTAGCATGGATGTACAGTGGTAAGAGAGGAGCCAAAATGCGCGCGCAACCGACGGCATAGAGCAGCTGATACTTCATGCCATGCAGGTGCAGCTATCAGGATGATGCAACTGCTCAAAGCAACGGTGTTGACATCATCAGATACCCTGGAGCGGGAGGTTTACAACCGTACTCTGTGGAGCTGTTTTGTCATGGATAGATTAATTTTCCCAGGGTCTCAACAACCGCTGTGCCTCCCAATGGAAGAGATGGCCACACACTGGCCCATCGGAGAGGCAGATTTTGCATTTGCGCAGGGCCACATCCAGCGCTACATGGTCCCGTCACGTTACCCTATGACGGTCGACTGCTCGTACGCTATTCTGGTGCATGGCTTCGAAATTTGGGCGAAGATCTACCGTTGGATTATTAGCGGAGGTAGACGGAGAAAGGATATGCAGCTGGTTAAGAACCTTCCGTGGGAAACGTCTTCGCTATGGGCAACGATGCGTGGAGAACTGCAGGAATGGCGTGATTCTCAGGATCCCAAGCTATGGTACCCGGCCAATAGAGTGGGGATCTACGAGTTCTTGGGCAAGGGTGAAGTATTCGGGTATATCAATCTTATATACTACGTCAGGTAAGGCATTCGGTCTTCCTATTTCCCATTGTTGAAGATCTGTTGGCTGATCACAAACCGCCTTTTGCCGCTCCAGCATACTCTTCTTAAACAGAGAGTATATACCTTTCCTTCCATGGCCGGACGCCACGCCTTGTGGTCCTGTTGACCCGCCTCTTCTCACTGCCAGGGCACCTGAAGGATGGTGGGAGGTTAGGTCGGAAGAGCTCTTTAATGCGGCCGCATGTATCACCAGCGTACTTGCTGACTTGACTGATGAGGACGCGTCGCTTTACACTCCCTTTACGGGCTTCTGCAACTTCTCTGCCGCAACAATGAATATCTATGCCCTATATTTTCCCAGCATGAACATGGGCCGCAGTGGCGACATGGGCGCACTCGTGGATAAGAATTTGGCATATTTGACTCAGCTCCGCCGCATGTGGGCGATTGGTCAGGGCTGGTGGACAACGATCCAGCGCACCAAGGCCATTTACGAGCGCCACAGCCAAGACCCAGCCAGGTATTCAGGCAAGACGCGGGATGACTTCATCGGCCTCGAGGCCTCGATTCACAACGTCACCGAGCGTTCGCGAAACTCGGTGGAGCAAGAGTTTTCGCAGGCAGACGATGCGCCAGTGGCGGGCGAAGACGAGGAGAGTGCAGGGCAGGGTTTGGGCATTCCAAGTCAACGCCAAGTGACTGAAGACCTCGTCCCACTAGATTTCTGGGGGAATGAATGGCCCCTCTGGAGTGAGCTTGATAACGGTTCTTTCAACTTGAATCTCGTCAATGACTAGTTCCAACTATGTATGTACCTTTTTCGTTGATACTCTAAGAGATGACGGCGAATACGCTCTGTGAAGGTCTGAGTATAAGGCCAGTTTACTGTATTAGTTCTCTTTGTTGATCCAGTTTTCATTCAATTCCCGAATGGGTGAAGTCAAGGTTGGCTGGCGAGCCAGATCCCGCAGAAGCCATTAGGCTACTACCCTAGAATGCGTGAACGTAACGGGGTCCACAAAGATATGTAACCTACCAGCGTGTGGCTTAAGTACAGCGGAGCAGACGGGAAGCCCTATTCCCCAAACCCTGTGGTCGTATGTACTCGATAACTATGATTAGCCGAGGATGTTCTCTCGTTTCTCGATTGATCTCCATAGATCACAATCGAAACGAATACCCAGGCTTGAATTGGAACCGGATTGTTGATAGCCCCTGAGATTGGTATGGGCTACTACTTACGGATCATTAGACCCTGGATTCGGAACAATCCGAACGACAAGGGTTGGAAATATTTGTAGTAATAGCTATGGATAAGTGCCGAATCGGACCCAGAACCCCGAAATAATGTGCAAGATTCGAGGAGTGTTATTTCCTAGGCAAATATGTTCACCTTCTGAAACCAACTTTCAGTATAAAAGACTCGATTACGGTTTTTTCGCAGGTCAATGACAGCAACGTAGAAGCTTGATGGCTATCCCATGGACCCATACCATCGAGAGCGAGAGGCTCATGAGCAACATCTGGATCAAACAGGATGGAGATGCTCGCAGTTTGTTGCATGTTAGTATTGCCTATGGCTTATAGAGTTTATACTGCCTCAGGTAATTATCTATTATCAATAAGCTAACCCAAGGGCCAGATTAAAGTGTTGAAATTGTTAAATGTTGTAAAGGAATACATTGCAAAGAGAACACGAATGAGTGAGGCGTGCCAGTGGTGGAATCTGGTGAAACCATGGAGATGGATTGGGTATCGCTTAAATAGAAGCGCATCCTACTAGAGAGGCTCAGACAGGTGTCTCTTCTTTACTTCGGCATCTAGAGAATGTCCCATCGTCTGATGCGCAGTTCATCCGCTTGACTCGACTGTGTATCCAAAGGCCAGCGTGGACTGCATTAGTTGCCTTGGGAAGGTCAATCTGGCCCCATGCCTTAATCAACCATATCCATAGACGGGAGTTTCTCCGCAAATGGCGGCTTAGAGGATGGTAATTGGAGCAATCGAGATGGGCATACTGTATCTGATATTAACATTCCGGACGAACCCCGCCCTTCCGGCCGTTCATTTCCCCAAACGAGAGCGGAGGCGAGACGAGAGGTTGTCTAATGGGGCTAATGGGGCCTGACTCGCACCGTTGTATTTATCTATTAACCGACCGCTGACTAGTTACCCTACCTCGGCTAATAATAGTGAACGACTGTAAAAATTGCGCCGCCGCCGCCGCCGTTGAGGGACTGCGATGTGCTTCCCACCCCAGGCCAGCTTACGCCCTCTTTGCAGACTCCTATTTGGTCCCCTCGCTTCCCTTCGCCAACTATTCAGGCCCTGTCGTCCCTGCTCCCGGCATATCCTTCCAATGGATTCTCCCATGAATTCTGACTGGTCTTTGGACAATTCGGACTCTTTTGAATTTCCCTCGAAATACGGGCCGGACACCCGCCCACCGGAAGGCCACGAACTAGCGATTCCTTTCCTCTATACCCCTCTACCAGATGAGCTACCAACTGGCGTTCACAAAGGTCTTTTACTCCTATACGCTGCCTATGTGGGGAACATAGATCGCTACGTGCGACTCCGGGATCCCAACCACTTCATCAAGCACGAGTTCGGGTGTGTGATCCGGGGCATCTATCATGACACCATGTTCGCGAAATGGTGGTCCCTCCAACCAGATCACCCCGATGCAGGGGGCGGCGAAATTGATGCACCCGGCAAAATGTCTCACATCAGACGCGCGATCCACGCCCGATTTATCATGAACAACGACCTGTCACACATTGAACAGGAAACCGACGAGGATTGCCTCCCCTATCTGATTTGGCATCCGCACATCGCTGATCGCGCGACCTACGAATTACTCGCCCGTCGTAAGCCAGCGATGAAAGCGCAAGCGGCTCACGCATGCATGGTGGCCAACTACCAATGGGTTTACGACCGTATTAATGTCACCTCGGACTGGTTCCTGGTAGACCAGGCAAAGAGACTTGCAGACAGTACGCCTTACTATCTAGAGGACTTGCAACGGCGGGCGGAGCAAATGGGCATCGATCTCACAGAGGATCCCCACATAGACGACCGGTGGAAGATTATTGAAGATCGGTTTCTGATCAACTGGCGGCCCTTTGTCCTTCCAGTGGAAGCAACGCCTGACCAAATGGCTGATGACGACGAGTATTTTGAGAATTATGATGGCTATGGGCTAGATTTGATCAAGTTGGAATTGTATGTTTGTTCCTCGAATCAGTTGAAGCAGAGGTATGGAGATGCGGTGGATCTTCTAGGCATCTATCAACAAGCGTTGCGAACCGAGGAATCAACCTACTAGTATAGTAGTAGGACATCCATCGCTTGGATGATTCAATGCTAGTAGTAGTGGTGAAATCGGAGAGGGCAATAAACTATACAGCTTGGCCTGGAGTAGATGGTAATGTACGTCGAGACACTGATGATAGCCCCAGATCCGATCCTCCAGACAGCCCACCCGGAGTTACCACGGCAGGGAGAGTCATCATAAATGAGGTATTGGGGCAGGTCAGAATTTCCAGTTATACGAGCCCTTACCTGAATTGGAATACAGGAACGAAACTCCTGCCTGGTGATAATGTCCTTCCCAAAGGGTGTCTCGAGCACCGCGGGGAAGGTGCACTGTAGGCCGCGATGGGCGCAGAGAACGCACGCTTGTTTGCGCCATCTGTCTCCAACTTCAGTCCTCGTGGGGCTGTGAGTATGTCTAAGAGGCTGAGACTCCACAAGTCAATATAACTGAGTTGGTTCAATCGGGGAAAGAAACACTACAGTACACGAAGGCGGATCCTGCAAATCAAAACAACAAAGCATTCTCCAGCGCATCCATCAACCCGGCCGCTCTATCAGCCACATCCCTCGCCTCCTTCCCAAGTTCGAAATCCTCTGCCGCAGCCTGAAACCCAGCCTTCCAGAACCGCCACCTCTCTAACCCAAACGCCGCCTTTCCACCGTACAACGGACCCGGTTTCCAGGCCCGCAGCAAGTCTTCATCAACATCACCACTGAATCCAATCCTCTTGAATTGCTCTTGGCCACTCCACAGAATATACTGTGCAGCAGCAAGGACACATTGGTCCTTCATGCCGGGAAAGTACTCGGGGTCATCCTCGGCGTTCTCTTCAAAGGCGCTGCGCATTGTCCAGATCATGTATGTCGGGTGGTTGTTGAAGACGTGGCGCGCGTCAAGATGGGCGTAGAACGCGTTGAGGCCTGGCCACTCGGTCGGAATCTCGTCGTTGGGGCCTTGTTTGGTTTCATCAGGTTCAGATTTATCTCAACGTTCTGGTTCAGGTAGAGGCTACATACCATTATAGGAATCTCGCAAGGCCTCTTTGAGTCTCTGACAGCTGTAGCGTATCCCCTGTGTATATGGTCAGTTTGAGAGCATTCTTCTTCGAGGACATTCCAGGGAGGGTTCTTTTCTTACCTTCTCATCCGGCTTGTCGATGAACTTGTCCGCCTTTGAAAGCTGCTCCACTAGGATAGCGAGCTTCAGCTGAGCCGGGTGCGAGTAGGGTATCTGGCCCGCTATTTCAATTATGACAGTTCCCGCAGACCAGACCTCATTTGACAAGGGCGCATTCTCTGGAAGTAGGGCTAGAATGGAGTCAACAGTCTCCTGTAAGGGCTTTCTTGAGTTGGGTTGAAGAAACTCGTTCAGAATATGGAGGACATGGAGGTCGCTGTATGTTTGGCCGGAGGGAATCTCATTTTCGTCAAATCCTTCTAGCTTGAGGTTAAGAGACATTTTGGACGACAAAGAATATTAGAGCGCCAGTGAAGATGAACAGCTTGAGGTGGGATGGGGGATGCGAGGGATAAAAGTCCGAGAAGGAGGGGCGATCGGCTGGAGTTGAGGCTGTGTCAGCGTCATTCCTGCACAGTTGCCGCTGAGGCTGAAACTGAGCACCGAAAATCGGCCTTCTGGCGCCTGCCATTTAGCGCCGAGACATCCATGATTGCTCACATTGTTACCCAGATTAGCAATTGTGTCAATAAAGCCTGGTCTTACTAGCCACGGCAATGCAACTCGTACCCCTGTGCCTTTGTCCCATGATGCTATTTTTGTTTGTTGCTGCTTCCAGAATTGTGACCATCGACATCGAAGCGTTTATAGAAATCATTCGAATGGACAGCGTTGCGCTCGGCCCGCCAGTACCCCCTGACGATGAAGCAGATTACACCAGAAACTGGCACACACCCTTCATGGAGCCTTGTATGGCTGACAATAAAAAGGGCAGTGCTTGCTGCTGAGATCCCATCATTGAGCTATCGCCCGCCTGGCTGTCTGTCTGTGTTCTGCATACCTATACTCTGCCCTCTGCCCCCTGCTATACTAGAGCCATGTGCTTCTCAGATCCATCCCAGAAGGTACCCTATTCCCCCGACCCCGCCCCAGCCTCGCGGCAATGGTAACGTCCTAACCCTAACAAATAACAGGCGTACAAAATCAACCGCGGAAGAGACGACGACGACCCAAGTCCCTACCACCTCCGAACACGCTCCAGCATTCAACGCCATATGGACCGTTCACCGGCACCGACCGCCGAGAGCCGGAAGAAGAATAACAAGCGGTACCCGAAGCGATACAACGACACCGAGCAGCTCTTCAAAGAACCAAGTCTATACGAGTATCCCACCAAGTCGTGGCCGTATGACCAGCAGAATACAAAAGGGAAGGCGTTCATGACTGTCAATGGGCAGAGGGTCCAGGTCAACCCTGAGTTTACGCGCACGGTGACTGATCGCAATAAGAATGTCAAGGGGGTCATCTATCATCCCAGTGGGAACCCGTCGAAGTTTGTGCGTGCGAAGGAGGTGAATCGGGGGAGGAGGCCTTGATGGCTATCTCTTGACGGACGAGCTGGACTCGTTTTGTCTTAGTAATCCTTTTGGGTGATGATGTATAGTTGTATCTATGAGCCTTCCTGTTTTATTATCGTTCAAGGTGCAGACACGTTCTGAGGGACCTATGTTAAAGATCATCCTCTCATGTTCGTCCCTGTACTCGCTGAAGTTGCGCGAGCGCTGTTTTGGAAAATATAGATATGTTCGTATGTAATGCGACCAGAAGATATTTAATGGGAACCAGCGATGGCAGATGGATTACCTTGCAGGGTAAGAGGCAAAAACTTGGAAACATTGATAATTAGTCTTCTTGTAGTGCTGTGTTGAACATCTGCAATACTACATTAGACAGTATCAATTGCGGTTTCGCATATCCGTTGCCGTCGGAGCCAATCAGGGTATAGAGGGTCTTGTCGGCAGGTGGTGACGTTATACAAAGCGCCCGACCCATCATCTGACCGCACACACCCATGGGGTATATATGCCCCAGATCCGCCTCATTCCGTCGAGAGATATTAATTCATACCATTATACCCAGCTCCGGAGCAACATGCCACTGGACAACTACGGCGTCTGGAAGGCCCATCCAGTTTCTTACAAAGTCGACCGTCGTGGGGTTGGAACACCTCATCTGAGTCTATATTTTCGAAACAATGGAGGCGATGACTTCGAAGCCGCCATAAACATCAAGTCGGGAGACCAAGACGAGTCGCGACTTGCATATTGGATCAATGAGGATATGAACGACCACCCGCTTGTCGAGGGTCTTTCGCATCTTCCTACCGGCTACAGGCGCTTGGACGATACAGAGCCGGAGCCGGGCGGCCTACGACTTGACTACATCCGAGGCAATCTGTTTGACGTGAATACCGGTCGGATTCTCGAGCACGACATAACTGGTCCGAACAATGACATTATCGATGTTCTGGTACCTCGAGTGAAGCACGCAATCGACGAGGGGGCTGTCGTTTATATCTTCGGCGAGCAATACGAGTCACAGAGCGGAATACACAATGTCCACATGAATCAGGGCAACATCCGAAGATACTCGGGTGACGATGGAGTGTTCCAGGATGGAGCCCTCCTCTTCCACTATCCAGAGTCTGATAACTGGATGGGCATCTTCCTCGCCTTTGCATCGCAAGCCATGCATACCAGCGAGGATGGAGGCCATGCCATATCACGAGTGACCTGGAAGGACCTTCTTCCTGGTGACCTCGTCGAAAACTCTGTGGCTATCTGCCAGGCCGTTGTGAATCCGTCTAGCGGAGCGCAGTCGGTTACCCTGGCGAACCTCACCAGCCGCAAGGTATCACTTGCACGGTGGAGGATTCGCGATTCGCGTTGGGAACAACAGGTTCTTTCTAAGAATGCGGCTATAGGCGCAAGAGGTACTGAAGACTTTGATATTCTGGACTGCCCCCTATCTGAGGATGGAGACACAATCACGCTTCTCAATAGCGATGGGCTCAAGGTCGCTGGTGTCAGCTATAACTCTCGGCAGGGAAATCAGGACGGGCCAATTGTTTTTGCAGGTTAGGGTACACAAGTCACTTTCTTGCTCATGGTTAGACTGTCGATCTCTCTGTACTTTGTCGGGAATGATGCCAACGCAGGGTTGATTAATTTAACATGCTTGCTGAATGGAGCGTTTTGTTTGGAATCCTCAAGGAATAACAAACTCAGTGCCACGGGGCATGAGAGCCTATCTGCAAGCAGAACAGAAGGATAAAGCCGGATTCATAAATAGGAGCTCATGCCACGTCCACCTCCGTCCACCTGCCCGCAGTTCCAGAGAATGCAGATCTAAGACAGCGTCTAGAACTTTCATTACATCACGTATACCTGATCTCATGATTCTGCGAACTTGAATTCCATGACTTAAAATGCAGTTCTCTGTTCTCATATTACTGCAACATTGATCAAGATAGGAGATGCCATCATTTAGGTCTCAAGTGCGGTACAAAAATCTACTCGTCACTACCTGTATACATCCTCAAAATACGCAGCAATGGCGTCGAATGGCGAACCCCAAACACAGGGAACTGACGGGCCAGGTATTTCATAGTTCTTTTGCCTTCTGTAAGGTTGTTGGAAGGTCTAACAACAGTATGGTCCCACGCAGCATCTACACCAGCCGTGTCAGCCAGGCCCAGCGACTTCCAGGCAGAATGGAACCAATTGATTGCCGATTTCGATCCAAACCATCTGGCCGACCTGCGACGACGCGAACCTTCATCCCATTCGCTCTATGAGATTGAAACAAGCATCAATGAGCTGTACAGAAGTGTTCAGATGGGCCACCAGTTAAACAGTCGAATGGGGCACGCTATAATGAACGTTGATGCAACTCGAGAACGTGCGAGACAGTTTGCAGCCAACACTTCCGAGGCGACTCGGGAAATGAGGAGGGAACTTGGTTGGAATGTGCGAGAATTTGACATTTCGCTTCTTCGCCAGATACGGCGCTCTTCCGCGCTCTCGCTCGTGCTTGGGGCCGGCGCGTCGATGGCGGCCCCTTGCCATGCTCCAGGTTGGCCAGCACTAGTGGAGGGTCTTCTGCGCCAGACGATTGGCAGAGTCATGGAGCTTTGGCTGCCCAAGCCTCAGGACTTGGAGCAGCTACCTCCCGAAGCTCCACGAGGTCTTATCAATGAGAGATTCCTCTCCAGAGACCCAGTCGAGAGCGCAAGCTCGGCCTGGACACCTACCTTTGACTTCAGCCATACCGAGAATGGCATTCAGCGGGACTTTACGATCGGCTATTACAGAAAGTCAGCAAAAAGGTACAACGCTGATGAAGAGGAGACCGCGGTCGAAGTACTGAGATCCATTGAAGAGGCTCGGCGGAACAATCAGCCAGTTGATGCTGATATCTTGATGCGTGGCGCTGATGTTTGTCACGATCTTTGCGGACAGCGACTGTTTACCCTTCTGACTGCCCTCCTGTACGAGGGAGACAGGATGCCGAGCGAAACACACCGCGCCATTGCAAGGCTAGCACGGAGTCAGTTTGTCCCCGAAAGGAGGGGCCGCTTTATGGGCTGGGATGGCATCATCACATACAATTACGATGATTTCATGGAGCAAGCACTTTCAGACCTACAGGTTCCCAGCGCCGCAATTGCGATGCGTGGGGACGAAATAGCAGGGGATCCGAACCAATTTGCGAGATCAGTCGGCCCAGGCGGACTCCACCTCCCCGTGTACCATCCGCATGGGTATACACCAAACAGACCGTTCCTCATCTCAACGGTACCATACGTCTTCGCCACGAGTGGCTATCAATCGCAATATGGGCGGTCCGTCTCAAAGGTCCTAGAAAGCTTCAAGTCTTCCTACTTGGAGAACCCTGTTCATGTCACGCTGTATGTTGGGTGTTCATTCTCTGACAGCTACATGAATCAAATGCTTCAAGATGCTTTTCAGAGGTGGCCTGAAAGATATCATTATGCGCTGTTACCGTGGCCTGGTGCCCTGTCCGACAATCAGGAACCCTCTGGTCAAGAGATTGAGCAGCAGTCTGAACGCTATCTCGCCATGGGGATCCGCCCCATCTGGTTGAGGAATTTTGGAGAGATACCGCACATTATCTCGGAGCTTGAGTAGCAGCATGGCTACATCTCGAGCCGAATACGGCTAAAAGTTTTCATTACTTTCTGGAATTACCATATCTGCTACCACCTGAACGTCTTGGAATGTGTCATCCAGAGCGGACCCCGCTCGGGTCGTCGATACAGAGATAATCGCTCGAGGTCCTGCTCTGTCGTAACCGCATTGAAAACAAGAGAAACAGTGCTTGAATTTATGTTCTTCGCAGATCCTACTTCTTTTTTTTTTAGGCTTAAATGTTGGCTCACATACTGCTGAGTATGTCAATTCACTACCTCGGCCCTTACTCTAAATCTTAGGCTCGAAATACTATGCCATCATTGCGATTAACAGACAAGGGCCGTGATTCGTGAGGGACGATGCACAGTTTCAATGTCACCCCAGACAGGAAGCTGCTCCAGTGTCCATGTATCGATACCACAGGGGAATGGCGCGCCCTTCGAAATGACCTTTTTTTGACTAAAGTAGTATCAAGTAATGAACGGATTGTGCAGAATGCATTCAGAAGATCTGAAAAAGATACGCCTGTTGTGAAACAAATGCTCCTTCCTTTCCTCAGTCGCTCCTTCCTCGAACTGCGATTGCCCAGGAAGGCAGGTACGCCACCGTCGCCTGGTCAACGACAACGCATCGTGCCTTCCACTTTTGAACTTTCTACTCCGCCGTGCCTGCCTCACAAATTGTTCCTTCCCAAACAGGATTCCCTCATCGTAGCGAGGCCATTGGGGGTGGTATTTTACAAGTCCTTCCTATATCGACTTGGACTGTCATGGCAGCCCACCATTCTCGCGACATAGTACTCGAAATACAATACGCGTAGTAACTGCGCTGTTAATTTAATATCGGCGGCTCGATCCCTAGGTTACGGACGGACATGATTACGCAGTGGCTTTCTTCAATCGTCCTCGAGGCTGCTTGCGGCTGTATGCTTTGGTGCTAGACTGAGAGTTATAGCAGAACCCCAGGCCAAGCATCGAAGCAACCACTATTTCTGCCTGTGACTGAGAAGCCCCCTGATATCTCTAGTTATGAATTTCGCTCTTCTGGAAGAGCGATGTAGAACTGGGTGTAACTCGTCGACAACATTCAGGATTAAACGGTCAAGAAAGGGTCGCGAAGTCGGCAATAAATGGCTAGAATCGCTCGAGGTGTTTTGCTGGGTGGCTAGTGTTTCCTTTTTTTACTTATCCCAGTTGCGCCATGTGCATGCTGAATACGCACTCGGGTTGACCTCTGGGAGCGCGGCGAATTGAAACCCCCTCAAAACCTCCCCGCACCGAGCGCTACGGGAGCCTAGATTACCCTATTTCTCGAAGCTGAAGGGATGCAACCTCCACGGCAAATTCTTACGCCGGGTGCAAAGCCCGGGGCTCCGCATCGGAGCAACGGTAGCATCGGGGGATGTCCGAAGTGGCTAGAAGGGAAGGACTAAGCACTTGAAACACGAGCTCATGCGTGATTCGTCACACTTGGCCGATTGGGAACCGGATCGGCCCTGCAGAGGCCTAGCCTGGTCAAGTCGGGCAGTTCGAGGCACTGCCTAGCACGCGCGATCGATGGGCCTGTTGTCAAGGGCATTGGCTGCGTTTCAACTTGCCATATTTCAGATCTTTTTTTCGTCTCACTCAGGCCATTTGAACTCCGCTCCCCGGTTTATACCCCTTCCCTCTCCATGGGGTAGTTTCTCTTAATAAATGCGCTGATCCCCAAGTTGAGAAGGCTACTCAGTACCCACCTCCACTTCAGAAAAACCCAGCAAGATGGACCCAGCTGATATCGTCGCTCAAGAAGAGCGCAAAAAGTCCCTGTACAGAAATAGGTGGCGAACTGTGCTACACAATCCCAAGCTCATGGTCATTGCCTTCTTCGCCTCGTAAGTTCATCCAACTCCTCAACTCACTCCTCGGTATTCCCGCCTGACCTCGCAAGATTCGGTGGCTTTGAATATGGCTACCAACAGGGCGTCCTCGGCCAGTCCCTCGTCATGTACCGCTTCAAGGACAACTTCCCCTCCGTCGTCGACTCCTCCAGCGCCACTGGCTGGTTGACCTCCGTGCTGCAGCTGGGCGGTATTGTTGGTTCAATCTCTGCAGGTATTCTCGGCGAGATCTTTAGTCGAAAGTATACTATGTTTATGGCCTGTTGCTGGGTCGTGCTCGGAAGTTATCTTTATGTTGGCGCTTCGTACCATAATCCGGCGCTTCTGTACGCTGCGCGGTTCTTCACTGGTGTCGGTGTTGGCACGTTTAGTGGTGTTGGGTGAGTCTCATACTCTGACTGAATGATTCGTTACTAACTTGTTGGTTTTGTGAAGCCCCCTTTACAACGCGGAACTGGCATCATCTGAGCTTCGTGGCTTCTTGGTGTCTTTCTATCAGGTCAGCAACCTTCCTCAGCAGTTCCCTCAACTCCCACTGACCATTTGTTGCCAATACAGCTAGCCACCATCCTGTGAGCACTCCACCTCTGACAGAACCCTTTCCCTTTCGCCAACAAATACGCTAATCTGCGTCTAGCGGCATCTGCATCAGTTTCTGGGTCGGCTACGGCGCCAACCACATCGGCGGCATCGGATCAGCGCAATCAAACCTCGCCTGGCAACTCCCATCCATAATCCAAGGCATCCCCGCCGCAATCCTGATGGTTGGAATCTGGTGGCTCCCCTTCTCACCGCGCTGGCTCGTAAAGAAAGGCCGCGACGACGAAGCCATGCAGACACTCTCCTACCTCCGCAAACTGCCGATCGACCACCCGCTCGTCGAGATCGAGTACAAGGAGATTAAAGCTGAATGTCTATTTGAGCAGCGGGCGTTCGCCAAGGCCTTCCCGCAGCTTGCCGAGAAGGAGAAGCAGAGTGTCCTCATGCGCGAGTTCGCGCAGTACTATAATATCCTCCGCAAGTGGGATGCGTTTAAGCGTGTTGCCACTGCGTGGTTGGTCATGTTCTTTCAGCAGTGGAGTGGGATTGATGCGATCATTTACTATGCTTCGAATGTGTTTGAGGACCTGGGGTTGACGGGTGGCACGACTGCACTGCTCGCTACGGGGGTCACAGGCGTCGTCTTCCTCGTGTGCACCATTCCAGCCATGTTTGTCATTGACAAATTCGGTCGCAAGCCCATGCTTATTGCTGGGTCGGTTGCCATGTGGATCTTTATGGTCATCCCTGCCATCATTGTGGCCAAGTTGGGGCATGACTGGCCTGCTCACCGGGCCGGTGGATGGGCGGCCGTGGTCTCAATTTGGCTCTACACCGGGGCTTTTGGAGCTACTTGGGGACCGATTTCTTGGGTATATATCTCCGAAATCTTCCCTCAATCCATCCGATCAAAGGGCGCGGCGTTTGGTGCATCAAGTAACTGGGTACGTTCCCCGGAGCCCCCCTCATACCCCCCCATCCAACCCCGCCACACAACCACACTAACACGGATACAACCAGGTCAACAACTTTGCCGTTGCCTTCTTCGTCCCACCGATGTTTGAAACCTGGGCCTGGGGAACCTACATCTTCTTCGCCGTCTTCCTAGCGGCTGGCATCGTCTGGGTGTGGTTCTATCTCCCCGAGACCAAGGGCGCGTCGCTGGAGGAGATGGATCGCGTTTTCGGCAGCCGGGCGGGTGAGGAGGATGCGATTATGCTGGCGCAGGCAAGGGCAGATGTCGGGCTTGATCAGGGCGTTGAGCAGGCGGCTGAGAAGGCGGCGTTGGGGAGTGAGCATGTTGCGGATGGTAGGAGGGCGAGTCGTGTGTCTCAGGCGTGAAGCATGGTGGGCTCTGCATGCGAGGGAGACAGGGATGATGACTACGGTGAAGGCTGCATGACCTACTCGTTCTTCAGAGGCTTATATATAGTAATCCTCAGCGGGCCCCTAACAGATCTGTCGAGAATTACTAGGCGAATACCGCTCTCGTGCTCATCGACCTCTAGTCGAATAAGTAACTGTCGCTAGTCATAATCGCATTGATCTCCACATTCACGACTTCAGTTTTGACGAGTTGGCGACGCCCTCTTATTGGATCCCTCATGCCCAATCCCAGGATGGAGACGGTTCACATGACTGTATTCTCGGCCAGGACCGCCCGTAGGGGCTAAAATTCCTAGCGTACTATGTATAGATTCCTTGGCTTTGGAGGACTTGGCGTTCGTCGGTTTCAGATCTCATGCGTCGATGATTTTCATAGCTCCAGTTAACTCACGAGGGCCAGATGGTACCTAGGTACGCCTGCAATGTCCATCATCGTTATTGGTATCTTCAGATCCTCTGCGCTGAATTAGCGCCAGACCCTGGCCACTGCATCATGGACCTAACCTGATTGGAAGTAGGCCCTGGAGGCTGCCTTCGAGGTCCGAGGAAATCCCCGCCGATGGGCTCGTTCCCCGCGCCGGCTTTAAACCCCTGCTGGATCCACCAACACGCTGATAAGATGGACTAACGGCTGTTATCTCCGGCTCAATGGCTCTGTGGGAATATATCGACAATCTGTTCCCTCGTACTCCAAGTAGAAGTAAAGGATCTCGACCATTCCACCTACTTTACATAAATCAAGCAACAAACAATGGCAACGTACCTTATCACCGGCGCCTCCCGCGGCCTCGGTTTTAGTCTTGCGGCTGCACTCGCTAGTGAACCAGTCTCAGTCGCTGGTCTCGTCTTTCTCACCTCGCGGACCACGAATACTCCGCAAATCGCAGAGCTGGTCAAAAGGTCAAAAGGACGCGTTGTCCCCGTCCAGCTGGACCCGAATGAGCCCGAGAGTCTCCGAGCGGCCGTCGAGTTTGTCGAAAATCGCGTCCAGGGGAGGGGGCTGGATGTGCTGGTGAACAATGCCGGCATGATGAGGTTCACTGGGGGGAAGGTAGGGGAGTTGTAAGTTTGTTCTGCCTTTTTACCAGGCTTACCTATAAGGGTCCGTTCTGACAAGCATGTCTAACCGCTGACAGGTCAGCCACGGATCTCACCGAGGTTTTCCATACGAACGTGACACTTACGCAACTGGTTACAAGTTCATTCTTGCCACTTGTACGGCAGGGTTCGAGGAAGATTATTGCGAACATGTACGCTCACATACACAGACACATCCTACCGAGAGACAAAGTGAAACTGACGAGAACCACCCCCACAGCTCCAGCACCGTCGGCTCAATCACCCTCGGGCCCGCATTCAGCATGAACTCCGCCTACGCGTACAAGATCTCCAAGGCCGCGATGAACATGCTCACGATGCAGTATGCGGTGGATTATAAAAGTGAAGGGTTTACTGCTTTTGCGATTAGCCCCGGGGTGCGTTATTTTCTCACGCGTCCAAGGTCCCGACATCACTAACAAGCTCTACTCACAGTGGCTCAAAACAGACCTCGGCGGCCCATACGCCGACCTCCCCGTTGAAGTGGGCACAAAGGAGGTGCTGCGGTATCTGAAGGAGGCGGGGCCGGAGTTCAACGGGCGGTTCTTGAATATCCATGCTCCTGGGTGGGAGGATGCGCCTAGGTCGAATCGGTATGATGGGAAGGATGCGCCGTGGTGAGGGTAGAAAAAGCCTAGGAAACATGATAGATGGATTATTTTGAGGATATGCGTATGAGACCTCTTTGTATGTCTTAAATGGAAGGGTTAGGTCTGATGATTTGGACGATCAGACCTAAAGAAAAGCTAGGGCAGCTAGAGGCCTCCCATAGCAGTGGCGATTTACAAAATGAGCGACTTAGGGCTGGTGTGGCAAGTGTAGATGTCATGGCCCCCGCTGAGTTTTGTCCCGTCCTCAGAGTCGACTGGTTTAACTGCTCCGATAGATTATGCTCATCCGGTTCCTCAAGTTTGGGCCTGAGACAAAGGACTTCTACGCAAGTGTTGTCTTGGCCCTGGTGTATCAGGTCATAGCCCTTTTGTGCTTACTGAGTAGGATTCTTACCACCCGCGCGTATCTCCTCTGACTATGACTTTCCTCCACGGCAGTACAAAATCAATCTACGCTATACGAAGTAGCCTCTAGCCACTCTTCCAGCCTGCAGATTTCCTTCCGCTGTCGGAGAAGTAAAAGGCCCAAAAATGAGCGGGCATGGTCTTATGTGGCCGGTGAGCAATCTAGAAAGATAGAAACACCTGTGTTCCTATATGAGATTGGGGAATGATTTTGATAATCGACGGGTTCTTGCCGCTGCAATGGCTACTCTTTTATTATCTTTCAATCCAGGCTGGTTTTTGGGTGGGTAGGAGAAGGGTCTTACACGGTTCCGAGATCGCAGTGGAGGTACTTAGTTTGGCTTTCTCAAGCTTCAGACAAGAGGATCACTAAGAGGGCTAAGTTTCAAGATCTCGAATTAGAGGTGCTAGCGGTACCCCCTTTCTCCAAGTTCCAAGTTGTTTCTTTTGTCTTCCAAACGAGAATGAGTCAATGGACAAGCTGTGGAATACAGTTGACTACCGGAGATATCGCAATTAGCGGACTTTGGCAGAATTGATCCAGTGCTGACCTGGCGGGGGGATAAGGTTGATATAAAATGCACCTCTTGATGATGGCTGGGCTACAGGGTATTAACAATAACATCGAAGAATCCTAGTCTCGAGTTCTCCGATTCACTATAACCCACGCAACAAACACTGAACAAAAGAACATCATGCCCCCCATCACAGGCTCCAATATCCTGGTCATCGGCGGCTCATCTGGGATCGGCGCAGCAGTAGCAACGCTGGCCGCCGCTGAGCAAGACGTTACCGTCTCAATCGCTTCGTCGAATTCCTCGCGTGTCAAAAGGACAATAGAGCGAATCCAGACAGCCGCACCAAACGCGCAAATCAAGGGGTACACGGTGGACGTTGGCGGGGACGACGCCGAGGCACAGCTCACACAACTACTGGCAGAGGTGACAGCAGCAACGGGGCGGCCCCTCGATCATATCGTCTATACAGCCGTCAGGTTGCAGTTCAAATTCCTCCACGAGGTGACCGTCGACTTCCTGCGGGGCGATTCCCAGTTTTTAGTTATCGTCCCGCTACTCATTGCGAAAACTGCGCCAGCTTACATGTCAAGGAGCTACCGCTCGTCTATTACCTTTACGAGTGGCCGCATTGCAGAGCGGCCCATGAAGGGGGCGGCGGCGCTGGCGGGTTGGGGATCGGCCTTGCTTGGAATCACGCGTACACTGGCCCTGGATTTGGCGCCTATCCGGGTGAATGTCGTTAGTCCTGGGACGACGGATACGGAGATCCAGGGCTCTGGCGAGGAGCGGGCGAAGAGGATGGCGGCCGAGGCGGAGATGGCGCTTCTGGGGAAGGTGGGGGCGCCTGAGGAGGTTGCGGAGGCTTATCTGTACCTGATGAAAGACTCGAACAATACGGGCTCGTGTGTGAGTACCAGTGGCGGGTATTTGGTGCAGTAGAGTAACGTTTACTGGAGCTTGAGCAATTGCGCAGAGTATAATAGTGAAAGAAATAGCATCACCGTGTCTGCTGGAGTTCCTGTAGTGCAAGTATTACATCGGAGATAGAGACAGCCATACAGGCATACAGCATACAATATACTGATCCCGTACCCATTGTACTGGAGCAGTTCGTACCCTATAGAACAATATTTCTCTGCGTTAGTGGATCTCATGTATGCATGACTGCTATCGTTGATGACGTCTGTAAGTTGACAAGTATAGCCATACAAGACGGAACTCAACGAAGAATGTCAGCAGCACAAACTCGCAGCGAATAATCTTCACCTCAGCAAAGTCAAGTTCAAAAGTCTCCGCAAAAGTCTCCGAGTGCAAAGGCCTAAAACATAAGCACTAAGCGCCAAAGGTTTCCAAAGGCTACGGCCTCCTTGTCCCACCATACGGCATCAATGCGATTGGTGACGGCGGACAGCGTAGGGCGTCCAGCTCGTCAGCTCAAAACTCTGGGCCTGGAGAGGGAGCACGTATTTAGTCCCAGCATGGGTATAGTTCACGCAAATGGAATTCGACATGATTCTTCACACCCGCGAAGATGGGTTTCTCGTGCCAATTCATTCTTGTCTCGTTCGTGGGAGCGGCAATCTATCATGTCCTCAATGCGCTTAATGATAGAAGGCGGATGAAGGGCGCGAAGCCTCCTCCCGGTCCCAAAGGTGAGTGTCTGGATATATCCCTTCTCAACATTCCAAGTCTCATCAGAGTCGCTAAACTGATCAACAGGCTACCCCATCGTCGGAAACGCTCCGGAACTCGCAGCCTCCAAGGGGAATCTGATCCCGATCTTCAACAGATGGGCCGAGCAATATGGGCCAATTGTCCAGTTCAGTATACTAGGCGAGAAGCAGGTCGTTCTTTCTAGCGATAAACTCGCCCGCGATCTCATGGTCAAACGCAGCGATATCTACTCTGACCGTGGGACTCCGCATGCCATGGCGTATATCACGCATGATCTCAACACGGCGCTGATGCCGCGAGGTGGTATGTATTTCGTCTCTAGCAGTCTCGATGGTAGGGGTTAGTAGTGACCTGACACCCGTATAGATCGATGGCGCCGCGAGAGGAAACTCGTTGCCAATGCGATATCCATCACGGGCAATGGGAAATACCAGCAATTAATGGAAGAGGAGGCCAAGCGCACTGTCTTGGATCTCCTTGCAGAGCCCGCGAAATTCGATGATCACTTCCAGCGGTATTGCTTCGGCGTCCTCGCACGGTCTCTCTTGGGAATATCGATCGAGTCGGCTGACGATCCATTCATCGTTCGTACGAACTCGTTCATCGAGGAAGGGATGAAGTGTTTCCGCCCAGACGTGTATCCCAGCAATGTCTTTCCATTCCTCCGCTACTTCCCCAGGGCGCTAGTCCCCTCTCTCAAGAAGCTGGATCAGTTGCGAGATCGGACGTACAAGACGGTATGGCAGACGTGCTACGACGTCGAGGCGGCGATAAAAACCGGGACGGCCAGCGACAGTATTTATCGGCACTTCTTGGAGAATAGGAGCGAGTACACAGTGACCGATGATGAGGCTGCGTTTGCCTTCAATGCCATGGTTGGAGGCGGGACCCGATCACCGCATAATGCGCTCTTGACGTTCTTGTACCTGATGATGGAGTATCCGGAGTGGCAGGACAAACTCCAGAAACAGGTTGACGATGTTGTTGGACCGAACCGACTGCCTGGCTTCGGAGATATACCGAATCTCCCCATCGTCAGGGCAATCGTCAAGGAAGGCGTGCGATATCGTACTATCAAGGCCGAACTCGGGCTCCCGCATCGGTTGGAAAGGGACGATATCTACGAGGGAAACTTCTTCCCCAAGGGGACCGTCTTCCACGCCAACTATTCGTGAGTCTTACCACCCTCTGGACCCACTACTCGATGCCTGTGAACAAATCTAACAAACCCAGGGCAATCCTCATGGACAAAGAAACCTACCCAGACCAACGCCCCTTCAACCCCGCTCGCTGGCTCGACCCCGCCTACCCAACCTACAAAGAGCCCCTGACAGTGCACCCCAACTGCCAAAACTTTACACCTTTTGGCTACGGCCGCCGCGCCTGCCCGGGGGCTGATTTCGCCGAGCGCACGCTTGTTATCATGGTTGCGCAAATTGCATGGGCGTGCACCATCAAGAAACCCATTGACCCAGGCACTGGAAGACCCGTCGTGCTGGATATCCAGTATGAGACTGTGCCGAATCCAAAGCCGTTGCCGTTTCCTTGTGTCATTGAGCCGAGATGTGGGGATCGGGCAGCATTGGTTAAGGAAGAGGACTGAAAAGATGTAGTTTGGCTTGGCATTTCTAGACAGAGGCGCGTAGTTAATGGATATTGTTGCGTCGGATCAAATCAAGGGACTTCGGGGTTGGACCTGCGGCACTCGAGGTAGTTTAGATTTAAGGAACCTCTGAACAGCAATGAACGAAGATGATCTATACAAACTGAATTTTGTCTTCCCACGAAGATAATCTTGGGAAATTCATGAGGCAATAGCAATTAATTCAAATCAGCACTTGCGATGGAAACCTTGGAAGCAAAGTCGTCATCGCTTAGATCTGATTGGTTCTTTCCTGGTGCCTGAGAATATAGGCCGCGGTTTTCCGGCATCATGTTCAGTCACATGACCTGGATCACGGGACCGGAAGACATTGCTCGATAACGACTCTTGCAACGATGGCTGTGAAAGATTGGCCTCGTGTAAATCCTCATGTGAGTGCTTACTTGATCCAGACTCTTTTTCTACCGGTCTTCCCTTCTCCAATGCGCTGACCGGCGACCGAAGGTGGCGTCACTACGTAAAGTTTCTCGCGGTCTTGGCGGCCGCACTGCGCGAGTCCCTTTTCTTTGAGCAAATTTCTCCTGCTCAGTGTCCCTTTTACCACCCCATCTCTGCGCTCAGCAGCACGCTCCCCTCCCCACAGTATCTGCGCCAGAATACTAATGCGGCCGTCCATCCGCCTCCCCATTAATGTCGCCGTCGTTGGAGCCACGGGTTCCTCTCAACTAGTCGCAATCCCCCGCGCAACCGACACCCTCACCCTGCAACTTCCCGATCGAAGCCGGGGATGAGTCCCTTCAGGCCCCCCTGGAGGGTAACTCCCAGTACCGCGAAAGAGCCTCGAATGAGCATGGACGAGAAGGAATATAAGATCTCCGAACCAACGCAGCTGAGCTTTATCTCCTCGCAGTTGGATTCTTGTCTGTACGGCTCCAGCATCGAGGAGCTCAAGTCGCTCTACGGACCGCTTTGTCCGCTTCTCGAGGATGGCACATATAATGGACTGTGGTGGCTGGATATAACGGCGCCGTCGGACGACGATATTGAGACGCTCTCGCGCATCTTCAATCTACACCCGTTGACGACGGAGGATATCAAGACTCGGGAAACGCGTGAGAAGATTGAGCTCTTTGGACCGTACTACTTCTTGTCGCTGCGTCCGGTTCGTCAGATTGAGACTCGAGAGGGCGTCCGGACATCTCCGGTGAACGTCTACGCCGTTGTGTTCCGAGACGGCGTCCTCAGTTTTTCGCTCGCGAGCAATCCACACGCCGCTCACGTTCGCAGCCGCATCAAGGAGCACCAGAGCCACCTCTCGATCACCAGCGACTGGATCTGCTACGCTCTAATGTACGTCTACCCACCACTATCCTTTGTTTTTTTCCCCGCTTCTAACATCTTTCAGCGACGACATCGTTGACGGCTTCGCCCCCTTCATCAACCAAGTCGAAACGGGCGTCGAAATGATGGAAGACAGCGTCTCCATAACCCGGCCCGACGACATCGGCCTCGCCCTGCAACAGATCTACAAATGCCGCAAAGAAGTCCTGCACATCCGCCAGCTCCTCAATGACAAAACAGACGTCATCCGCTGCTTCGCCCGCCACTGCGATGCATTTGGCGCCTCCTCGTCACAGGTGACGCTGTACCTCAGCGATATCCAGGACCACGTCCTCACCATGATCGCGAACCTCGATGCAGCGGAACAGATGCTCTCCCGCGGGCAGTCCAAGTACCTCAGCCAGCTGTCGTTCGATTCAACGCGCATGCGTAATCAGATCATGTCTGCGTTGAGCCGGTTGACGATCATTGCGGGGATTGTGGTCCCGCTGCAGTTTGTTACGGGGCTGTTTGGGATGAATGTTACCGTTCCCGCACAGTCGGATGTTGCGGGGAGTTTGACGGCTTGGTTTAGCATTCTTGGTGTACTGCTTGCGATGGTGTTGCTTTTCCTGTTTATCGCGCGTAGACTGCGGATGCTTTGATTGTTTTTTTTTCTCTGTTGGTTGTGAAGTGAGCGAACCGAAGGCCTAAACAGGGGAAGCAAGCATGAGATGAGGGACTTGTTTCCCGCGCATACGATAGACTAGTATATAATCGTGCAGAATGAGGCATCTGCGAAGTTTGAATGTCCTCAGAATGTGGATAATCAATTATAAACGAGATGACCAACTTTGTCCAAACCTAATGTCCCTTGGTTGTTCCTGGGGTCTACGTACCAGCGCTCTCAAGCACACATTCCATAACCGGACATCAGAGCTTGCGCCGAGTGTAAACTCAAGCGTTGGGGCACTGACTAGCGACGTGATTGGGATGAATGCAGTGGCTTACTCGATGATCGACGTGTGGCCAATACAAGCGTCCTACCTACTGGGTCAGAACAGAACATGGCCGTCAAGTCAGACAGATCGAACCTTGCATCTACTGTCGTGAGTCCATGTCCAAGAATCCAATCCAGGTCCGCACTGGGAGGGCCTCGGTCGCGAGCAAAGTTTCAAGGCAACGTTATATACAGGAAAGACCGTGGAGCTAGGTAGTATCTAGTTGGACAGCCTGAATCGCCATCCTCCACCTGCGGACTCGCCGCGATGGCGATGAGCACAAGACGTATGCGCACACACGCCAAAAGCAGCAGTAAACACACCCGTCTGGATTCCTTCCCTCGCTATTTGAGCCAGGCTCGCAGAGTGCCTGGGATGGGGACCGAACCGAGCCGAACCGCATGTCATGGTCTTGACTCTAGGTTGCCCAGCCTTGCGGAGCATGGCAAATCAACAAATGCATTCGGCGAAGCCCAGGCGTGGATCCTGGTAGAATGTATGTCAGAAAATTGACTCGACAGTTATATGGCGGACATGATGCGATGATGCCCGTCGGGTTGCAACGAGCGCCCCGGTCCATCCATCCAGACGTCCATGATGATCCCTGGCGAGGTCAGGCGCTCTGATAGTGGAACGTAGCACAAGCTCAGGCATGCACTGTCGAGTCACATCATCATAGGCGGTTAGTGGTGACGCCCCTCTTGGCAGAAGCATTTTGGGATGACCCACGCTGTTCGGAGGGAAGACTATGCGGGAATAGAGGGCTTTGAGACATGTGGGACGCTCTATACGCTACAAGTAGCGTCTTTCCTCTGCATTATTGTATGTACCACGCTCAGAGAAAAAAAGAACAAGAAGGGAAAAATCCAACAGGACATCAAGAGATGTAAAATCAGATGATATAATGGGATCGCCATTCGCACACCGTCGAAATATACAAGACCCTCTTGATCACAGCTTAGACAAAGGCCTCATCTCCCCTCGGTAGCTCGCGTGTGCCTCTTAGCGGGTATCAACGACCTTTCCCTCCCGCGGGGCGAATATCTCCATATCTGAACATGGTAGTCGTAGTCGACTGATCGGAGCTCAGGGAACTGTGTCAACTGTGAAAGACCTTCAGAGCTCTGGTTCGAATCATGCCCGGCCCGATGGAACATCGATTTCAGTCTCGTCAAGGTGCCGCTCGCAATCTTCTGTGTGAGATAATGGTCATGAGCAGGAGGAGTAGGAGAATGCACGTCCGAGTTGCCCATTTCAACTGCTTCCTTGCTCCCGCGACAAGCCAGATGTTGTCGTAGATACGTCAACGCAGACTCTGCTATCTGCACCCACGTCTTCAACAGGGCGACGAAAACGGGGACGCAGGCGCAAAAGATTCCGATGTTGACCTCGGCCACGCTTTGGATGACGGTTAGACAGGGTTCGAGAAGGGGATTCGCGGTGGTCCATGGGATATGTTCTTACAGCAGCGCTTGGAATCTGACGGAGAGCCACAGGTCTTCGAACGACATGGCTTTGTAGCGGAGCTCTGTCCCGCCTATGCAGCAGCCAAGCGACCTGTACATGTGGTCAGTGTGGAAAAGATACGCCGCCTAGTAGCTGCATGTGAAGGGGTATGCGTACACAAAACTAATGAGGAAAATGCATGCCACGCCTATCCTCCTGAGCATGGGCAGATGCAGACGGAAGATGATGGTCGTGGGGATTGCGATGACGCACAAGTCGGACACCGTACTGAAGACGCCTTGGGTGAAATTGACCTTATTTGCGTGCGTCCCCACACGTACCAAGTGGGCCGGCGAGGCAGAGCCTCCGTCACCTCGGTGGGGGACCGAAAATCACAGCGCGACGCCGGAAAGTGCCAAATAGCCCACAGGGACGACAATGATACCAGCTCAAATGAAGGCTCGGGCAATGGGCGACACGGAGAATATGCACAAGTAAAATGCTAGAATGGAGACCTTGGTAAACATTGCGTTGGCGTTGTAAAGGGGTGCGGCGGCTATCCAGTACTATTGGGATTGGCGCTCGTGGGTTACTAGTTGGTATGACATGCATGAGGTTATACGGGTAGATAGATTCTCATACCTTTAAAAACCACGGATGGATTGCAGAAACGGGGACATTCCATGTATGACGGCCCAAAACATCGTCGAGCACTATTGCAGCGTGAGCGGAGCATGCATCTCGCGATCAACCACAAGGGACAGGTTCTTCCCTCGCGGGCCAGGGACCGGGCGGATTGGGGTTCAATCAACCTGGGCAATTGGAGTGGCTAGCAGCAGTTGATGGAGAATACGCTGGATCCGGAGGGGAATCGGGAGATGTATATGTATGATGGGGGCGATGGGGGTGGGTGGGATTGATGTTCAGGGTTCTTACCGGGCTTCATAGCAGCAGCAATAACCCGTCCGCTCAGTTCGCCCCCTTCTTCATTTAAATCTTCTTTCTCCTCATTGCTTGAATCTTTTCCATTGAGAAACTCGTTGGCCGCCCGGAACGCCAGTTAGGGCCTGATAATTGTAGTTATTTGTATCGAGGTCAATAGCCCGGATTATAGCACGGAAGCTTCAGATATATATTCCGCCTCGGCCAACCGTCCGCAATCCCGGTGCAACAACTGACAGCATCTACGATAGAGAACATCACATTTAAATAATCATATATGATTGATTTCCTATGTACTGATGCGTAACGTATGATGCATCGGAGAGAAAAGGAGTGACAGTGAGAGAGTGGGTATATACAGCCTGGCCCAATGCGGTGGAATGAACAGTGAGTGCGCCAGATCCGAAAAACAAGACCAAAACATGAGATCACCGCCCAGATATTAAAAACAAATCTACCAGTACCAATCTATACATATGTCGTAGGTTAAACATTGCTGTCTCCGTTTCGTTGCTTCTCGGTGTCGGGGTTGAAGGGGTTTGCAGGACGCTCAGATGCGGGAGTCTTGGGTTCGTCTTCCGAGTCGCGATCGCTGTTTTCTTCTTTCTCGTCTTGTTCCTCCTTCTTCTTGCGCAGGCTGCGCAACTTCCGTCCCAGTCGATGCATCCCCCGACTGCAGGGCCGATAAACAAGCACAACAGGCGTCCCCACGAACTTGGCAATAGCCGCAAACCACGCATCTGGAAAGAGGCGGACAACAATAGCCCAGGGCAACGAAATCGCCGCAACAAGGATGACAATCGCCCACTGCTCATCATGGATGCGGACAATACTAAACGCCGACCCGCCAAAGAAGGCAATGATGATCTGGCACCCAACCATGATGATGTTGATCCCGATGAAGAACCAGTTGCGGTGCAGGCCGACGAAGATGTTGAACTTGTTGTCGAGGCGCCGGTTGTTGAACTCGTTGAAGATCTGCATCCACACGAAGGTGTTGAAGACGATGGAGCGGCGCACGTCGTCGGGGTAGTCGAGGAAACCTTCGGTAGGACCGAAGTGTAGGATAAGCGTGACGATAAGCTGGAAGATGGATTGGCCGATGATCATTTTCCACATGATGGTTGAGATGAGCGGGGCGCCGCCCTTGATGGGCTTGCGGTCGAGGATTTCTTCTGTTGGTGGGTCGGTGGCGAGAGCCAGGGCTGCGAGCGAGTCCATGATGAGGTTGATCCAGAGGAGCTGCACAGCTGTTAGGACAGAGCGCATCTCGGAATCAGCCACGGACGAGATGAAGGTCAAGAGCACAGCGGTGATGTTGACCGTGATCTGGAACTGGAGGAATTTTCGGACCGCATCATTGACAGCACGACCCCACATCAGGGCAGTAAGGATACTCGAGAAGTTGTCGTCCATCAGGATAATGGCCGAGGCTTCTTTCGCTACTTCTGTTCCGGCGATACCCATGGAAAACCCAATGTTGGCAGCCTTAAGGGCAGGACCATCATTTGTACCGTCTCCAGTCACAGCAACAATCTCACCCATCTCTCTAAGCCTAGTAACAAGAATTCGCTTGTCTTCGGGAGAAGAACGCGCCAGAACCTGCAGGTTAGGCAGGACTTCATCGAATTCAGCATCAGACAAGGTTCGGAATTTCGGACCCTCCATGACAATTCCTCCCGTGTAGATTCCGCAGTCGGTAGCGATGGCTTTGGCAGTTACCATGTTGTCACCGGTAACCATGCGCACCGTCACACCAGCGTGGTGGCACTTGGCAACGGCCTCCGGAACACCAGGACGGATGGGATCTTGGATACCGACGACGCCGAGGAAGACCATGTCACTCAGAAGAAGACCAAGATCGGCTTCAGAGGAGTCGTCGGGGCTGATTGCGTGCTGTGGCGGCCACTCGGCGAATTCGCGAGAAACGAGGGAAATGGTACGGAGAGACTGCTTCGCGTAGTCCAGGATCACCTGTTCAAGTCTCTCGCGCTCTTCCGAGACCATGTCGATGTTTCCGGAAGGTCGCCAAACAGACGAGCTGTACCCGAGGAGAATCTCAGAAGCACCCTTGACGAGGAACCGATAACCCCCCTTGGGGAGTTTGATGACGGCTCCCATGCACTTGCGGCCGGAATCAAACGGCATCAGCTGGATGATTGTCGCGTTGGCGCGCTCCTCTGGAAGGGATCCCATTCCAAGAGCATCTCGAGCAAATCCTAGCAGTGCAGTCTCCGTCTTGGAACCAATGAATCCAGGCACACCATTCTCCTCGCCTTCGAACGCGGTCGAGTTGATTGCAACAGACTCAATGATCATCCGCTTGTGCTCTGCCGAGAGGCCACTCGCGAAAGCGACGGAGCGGCGTTCCTTGCCTGTCTGGTTCTTATCGTCGAACTCGTCATCGCCAAATGTTCCAGTTACAACTGTCATCTTGTTCTGCGTTAAGGTACCAGTCTTGTCCGAGCACACAGTCGTGGCGTTACCCATTGTCTCGCAAGATTTCAAAACTCGCACGAGGTTATTGAGCTTCACCATGCGCGTGGTCGCGAATGCCAGGGCGAGAGTGACTGCAAGCGGCAACCCTTCTGGAACCGCAACGACAATGACGGTGATGGCAACGATGAGAATATCCGTAACCTGGGAAGCCTTTTCCGTACCAGTACGATCGTTCGACGAGAGACCTCCCAGGAAGCGGAAGAGCAGAATCAAAAACAGAAAGATAGCGGAACTCGCACCGAGCTTTGCAATGGCACTCGCAAGACGATCGAGCTTCTTCTGCAGCGGCGTGGGCTCCATATCCTGACGCATGGCCATGAGGATCTTGCCGTAGCTCGAGTTGACACCGACGGACGTGACCAGACATGTTCCGAACCCTTCGAGGACCTTGCTGCCGGAGATAATAAAAGGATCCAGATCCTGCGGCTTGGTATGTCCCTGCTCGAGCAGGCGGAGGACCTGCTCCGCGCCAGTCTTCTTCAGCTGGTCGGATTCACCGGTAGCTGAGGACTCATCGCATTTGACATTATGCCCATCGATGTAGATTCCATCAACAGGGACGAGGTCTCCAGGCTCCAGATGCAGAACATCGCCAACTAATACATCATGCACGGATATCCTTACTGACTTTCCAGACCGTATCACCGTCACCTCGCGGTCCTCCTTTTTCTTGTTTAATCGGACAAAAGCCCGTTCCTTCTGAAAGTCGTTCAGCGACCCTACTAGGACCACGATAACTATAGCAACGCAGATCGCGCACCCTTCTACCCAGTCGAGCGGCATTCCAGAGCCCGGAGGATGATCCACTCCGAACGTCTCGTACAACCCCAAAGCCAGCGAGATCGCAGCCGCTGCAGTGAGCAAAATCAAGACCTTGTCGTTGTACGCAAGCCACATCAACTTCCACAGCGGCGTTGCCTTCTTCTCCGGGAGCACATTGGGTTTGAAAACGCGTATCCGGTCGGCGAAGGGCTCACCTCCTCCACTCTTCCCATCCCCTATCGTTGTTTCGTTTGTGCTGAGGCCCGCGCTCAGATCCGTGTGTAGCCCGCTCACCAGCCCCGACAACCCTCCCAGAGCGGCGAAGGCGGCCAGCGACTTCGGATTCAATAATTTATTTAGTTGCCCTGGCGAATATGCAAACGGGTTGTTTTCGACGACAAAGTCGGCCTCGGTTCCGGGGTCCGGCCGGAGCGCCTCTTCTCGCTCGTCGGAGGAAAAGACACTGGCGGGGCTCGAAGAGGGTCGGTCTTTGCCTTTGGGCACACCCAGGCTGGAGCTGCTGGGGGTCATTGTGCTGCCGCTCATGGCTCGGTCGCGGCCGGTGTAGTCGCTTCCGACCGCGGTTAAATTGCTAAGGGACCTCTCCCGGGAGGTCTCATCGAGCGCTGGGTTTGAGGCATCGGCTTCGGAGTCTGTCGAAGTTTCCTAGCCAGTTCTGCGTGAGGACAGTGCGACAGACGGGGAGAGACAGAGCTTACCAGGACATCAAAGGTTATCGCCGGGATGGATCCTGGAGCAGCCATGATTATCTATTCGGGGTTAAGGTAAATTGGGCATGAGAAGACAGCAAACAAACGAGCGCTAGCAGCATTTGACGGGCAAGGCCTTTGAAAAGGGCGTGATGGGCATGCTCTGATTGCTTGGATGTGGACTGCACAGCCTCCCTGGGCTTCTTGTCGGCGCCCCCAGATTGGCCAGCCAAGCACCGCACCAAGAGCCAAGCGCGGCCTGCCTCCGCGTCTGCAGCTGGCTCAGGGTCTTGGAACAATCTTTTCCCCCCAAATTATCCTCGCAGAAAGTTTTGTGCAGCGGGTACCCGATTTTGGCCAGGGTTGTGTCGCTTGCCACCATCGTTGCCAGGGTCTCCAGCTCAACCAGCTCCTCCACAGCCGATTTCATAAGCTGAGAGCTCTGGACTGAAGGCCAAGCGCTTGGCTGACACAGCTCTCGATTGGCTGGAGCGTACTTGCCGGTGCCCATCTTACATGCAGGGTTCAGGGAAGGCGTCCTGTAAGCCAAGTTGATCACCCGCCGAGCGCGGCTTCTCGTAATTACATCCTTTTTCGTGTTCATTATTCCTTCTCGGCGACTGAGGGCTCCGAGCTTTGCAGCGCTGGAGCGAACGATGTCTTCTGCATGATCATTGATGGTCGTGGCTTCCCCACTTTCCGTCGTGATGGGCGCTTTCCTCGCCAGGGTCTCCCATTTTGCCCAGAAATAACGTCATCCGCATCATGTTGAGAGGCCCTGAATTCCAATAGTTCCCTCCGCTTCCAGCGGTGTGACTCCGCTGATATCACTGTTGGCACTCGGCGCCGAGGCATGGGCGCTTGCAAGAGCGGCTCGACGCCCGTTTGTTCGAGTGACAAGTTTATGAAGGCTGGATAACGAGATGATTCCGGCCTGATGGGTGAAGGGTTGTCTCAAAGAGAGAGCACGGTATATAAGCTTACGGTCATCATGACACCCGATCGGGAAGGCTGGAGCAGGCTTTGTCTTACTCTTTGGGGTGCCAGAGCCTCATCAGCAGCATGTCATTGTCGAGCTTCGAAGGCTCTGTCAATGGGCGGCCTGACTCCACGTTCCTGCAGGATCAGAGCGGGAGAGAGGTCCGCGACAGGCCTTCAAATCATTGCTCGTTCATCAGCACAGCTTTTCGCACGCCGTATAAATCGCTTAGGCATTTCTCGATCAGCAAGGCTGCTGAGTGACAGCACAGGTCGACAAGAACATCACCCAGTCTTCAGGCTCGAATGCCAATACTTTTACCTCACACTGGATCAGTCCGATATACCCTGCCTAGAATCGTGGCGCAGCGTCGCAGGGTCGGCAGTCCGCTAGTCGTAGTTCCAGCAGAGGCGAGGTCCAGCCAGCCTGGACATTCTAGAAAGTGCCGGCCACAACGGGGCAAACCCCAGATTGAGGAGCGCGGCGATCGCTGATAAGGGCGAATTTTAGCCGGCTGCTGTCACCATGTGTAGTTCTTTGCCCTTGTCGTACGCGCATAGGAACGTGTGCAAAAGCGATCAACGAGGCGTACTCCTGCTGTCTGACCACAGCTGCATTTTGAAACAGTGAGGCCGAAATGGAATCCGAAACTCCGGTCACCATCAGCATCACCATCGCCAGCGTTCAAGACGAACGAGAAACATTCCCAGCTACCTTGATCCAAACGATCGGAACGCCACCAGCCTATTTCCTTCAGAACAGCAGATCTTTGACTGGATCCGGAATGAGAAGAGAATGGCTAATGTGAGGATGTGGGCGGTTGAGGTGACGCGAAAGAGGTTGGCAGCGTGGCAGTGCAGCGGGGCCTCGCTTTCCCACTCAACACCTTTCTCTGCACCTCAACTCATCCAATATCGGGCGGCTCCCCTGTCAGAGCCTGGCGATTCGACTGTGTAAGGCTTGTCCGCCCTTTGCCCCTTTGCTTCTCGCCTTCGACTTTGGCTTAGTCGCCTCCGCCGATGTGAAAGCCGCCTTGCTCCGGTTTCGTTCATTCCGCCTCGCTCACACCCTCAGGAATCCCGAAATAGCAGCCAGTTTGACGTTTCAACCATGAATGGGAAATTTGGGTGCCGCTTGTCATGAATGTGCCTCGGACGTCTGGGGAGTCGGGCCAGCACCTCCCTCAGCATCCTCACGCCGCAGCTGAGAGCGGGCCTGGCCGGGGAAAGACTGTAACGACAGCCTGCGAACGATGTCGAAGGCGAAAGATTCGGTGTGATGGGGAGACCCCGTGTGCGACATGCCGGCGCTTTCGAATAAACTGTGTGCGCATCCAGAAGAACGACACTCACGCACTGGAGACGCGCGTCCGACAGCTCGAAGCTCAAATTGCCGAATTGACATCAGGACTCGCCGGCACGCAGCCTCAGGATCCAAATGTTCTGACATCGCCGCAGCCATGGACGCCAGATATTCGCCTGATCACTGATTTTGGCTCTCCTGGACAGCCTCTAGGGTTGGACCAGCCGTTTAGCCCATTCGCCGGCAACCCTACGTCTCCAATAGAGATTCCAAGCATCCAGGTAGTCGACTATGCAGACTCATCATCACCAGTATCGCCAGTATCTCTTTCCCCATCGCCATCTCTTCATCCGCTAGTACCAGTACTCCCGAAATCGATGCCTGACAGCCTGGAAACCGGGCTGCGACCAACCAGTTCAGGAACCACAGTATCTCCACCAATAACTGCCTGTCCTTCACCAAACTATACGACCATGCCATATCTCTCTCCCCGAAGTGTACCAGGTCCATCAAGATCACGTAGCTCATCCGTTTCATCCCTGAATCTTGACTACGACTGGGCATCCGCACCTGGAGATCTCCCAGTATCCAATTTCGCAGAAAGCAGTCTCGGCGCAAGCATGTTCGAAATGATCCCGAACATGGCCGAAACCACAGCCACGACAGCTCCCTGGACACCAACAAGATTCGAGGCGGAAACCCTGCTGGACAAATACTTTGACCGCACGCAGGGCCACCCGATCCCCGTGCCCCGAAGCAGGCTCTTCGAATTCCTCGACCTAATTGATCTCCCGCGTCTGCCTTCCGCCAGAGGCGATACACGAGATCTTCCCTGCTCAATCTCGATGGCACGGTTTCACGTGTATATGTCGATGGCAATCGCGCTTCGGATGGAGACGGAAGGTCGCGCGACGACAATCCATCTGCTGCATAATTGCTACCGGATGGCGCTGGAGGAGGCGCGTGCGCCGACGTTCTGGACACAGGCGTATGGGATCGAGGCTGCGATGCTGGTTATGATCTTTGCGCAGGTTAGTAGTCAGGAGGCGTAATTGCATCTCATCGATAAGAATCAGGCTGGCGTACCGTGTTTTTCTTGTTCAAATAGCGTGGGTGGATTATGGACGACGCCATGAATCATGACAATTTTCAAATTCCCCATTGTGCTGCACCACTAGACGCGTGGGAGACCTAATAGGAAGGAGCGACTGTAGTCCACTCTCAAAGGCCCGAGATTGAAGGAGCCACGATCCTCTTATAAACGGAAGTGGAAGGTACGCCTGACTGTTCCTGCCTTCCAGTAGAGTGGTCACCTGCCCTGGTTGTTTCTCTACAGAGCGTGGACAACACCCGGGCAATATTGCCAAAGTGTTGTCCGCGCTCTATAGAGAAACAAGCAGTAAATGCCGCTGCCGCAACTGTGTTGCCTTGCCCAGTTTGGCCTTTAACCGGAGTTCTTGGTCCACTTGCAATTATTCTGGCTTCCACCGCGGCAATGTACAGGTGTGCACGATGTATTCGAGCGCTGACCGCGACGAAAGTAGTAAAATACTCTTTATGTCGAAACCCCAGATAGAGCCTGCGCCTGCTTCATTCTCTAATCCTTCTAGGTTCTTCGACTCTTTTTTTTTTTTTGGGCCCGTTCGAGGCGCATCTGGGATACGAGACTCAGGGGCCAGGGTGAAGGAAGATCTGTGTGGGAATGTTGGGAATGTATATTGGGACCATCATGGCAGCCGTGGCGGCTAGCATCGCGGAATATTAGATTTCATCTATGGCAGCTGACTTGAGAGAGGAAGAAAAAGAAAAAGAAAAGAGAGCCGGAGTCGCGTCCACTGTCGTAAAAAGCCTTTCCAGGAACTGGCCTGATGTTCATTATATCGTCTCATGCCGCCGCCAGGCGAATGTCGTGTAATTTCCTCAGCTTCCTGACGACCTTGGTAGGATTCGACAGATCGACGAAGCGCCATTTCGCGCCTCTGACGACCTTCAGGAATATCCACAATACCACAAATGCGATGAGCTAGATGAGGAAGAGTCAGTAACACTATGAGGACGAGTATGCGAGGGATATACGTACAAAGAGATACCCCGAGAGAAACGGGAATTTGTGGAAGCCCTTCCAGAGAAACGCCCCGTTTGCAACGAGTAAAATAAACAGACAGCCGACGAGAGCCATATACGCGAGCACAGGCTGCGCATGGCTACGGTAGGGATAATCGGTAGGATCTTCTCGGTTGAAGCGAGATAGACGTGGAGTCTCCTGCTTCTGTAGGACTTCTTTGTGTCGTTTTATGCAGCGGTAGTAACGAATAAACGCTAGCACTTGGCTCGCCCACACAATCACGACGGCCACGCTTGACATCTGGGCCATGGTCTCTATAAACAGTCCGGTCGGTCTTGTGGTGTCTGTGCCCCCGCGGAGTTGGAGGAAAGGGACCCAGATGAAGGCGACCGCAGAGAAGATCATAGCACGCACGGGTACCCCATGTCGACTGGTCCTTCCAAGCCAAGCGAGAAGCCGAAGGTGCCACGGCTGGCTCGCGCCTCCGTCTAGACGACTCGTTAGGCCGAAGAGGACTCTTGATGCAACGTAGAGCATGGTCCCGGCGCAGGATATACAGGTAAAGACGAGAAAAACATTCGTAATATCGGCGAGGTGTGGAAGACCGGAATCGACGGCTATTGCGACAATCGCTGAGGTGGTATTTGCTGGGATGACCGTGGATGCATCACAGTCTGGATGGGTCGTTCTATTGATCCAGCTGAGTCGAGGAAGGTGGCAATGATTCCAAGGTATGTCAAACGAGACAAGCAGGCCACTGAGTGAATACGCAACAGTCGCCAGAACACAGATGTACTTGGTGGAAAACATTATCGTGTTCGCAACTAGCCAGACATTTGGTCCTGGCGAAACTTGTGATTCGGTAGCCTGTGTCCCTCCAGCACCTTGTTTCGGGTCAGGCGCAGACTCAAGAGCCGATGCTGCCACGATCTCGATGCCAATGTAGGCAAATGTGGCTAGGGAAAGGCACATTCTACACTGATTAGCTGGTTTTTAGAGAAGAAAGGCGCAGTCCGAGGGGGATCACAGAAACGCAATACACCACTTATCAGCGGCATCCGAATCGAAGACCTTTGCAGAGGACCAATCTATTAATTCGAAATCAGTACGCATCTGGAATTTCAACCTTGAGACCAAGATTGACCCACTCTTCGCTCCAATGTAGCCTTGTCTCCCTGCTATCCTGGGGTTTAGTATAACTAGACATGGCGCCACAATTCTTCAAAACTCACCTCCGACATTGATCGCAATGAGAATGCCGGCGATCGCCACAAGAAACATGATCTTGATAGTTCCAGCAACCACCTCGATCCAACCGTAAGCCTTGAGCGAATATCAGCTTCTGGACAATCTCTCGATACTGGATTGTTGCGCAAAGATGGGACGACCACATACCTTAACGCCAAGGGCATTGGTTGCGACCAATAGAAGTGGGATCGCGAGATAAATGACGCTACCATCAAGTACCTTATTCCCGCCTGTGCCTGTCCAGAAATCAAACTCTGCGGCGAGCGTGGCTATCAGGGCGCCAAAAGCGACAGCATATGAAAACCTGGGATGCAGGTGAGCGATCTGAGCACAGTCGGAGTCCAAACACATACCAATAAGCGATACCAACGGCGATACCAAGCTCTGCATCTACGAACTCACTCACGAACACGGACATTGCGCCGGGGATTGGCCATATGCATAGCATTTCAGTGATGCATTGCATAACAGCCCAACACAGTAGCCCAACCAGCGAGAAGGCGAGAACCGCTGCCAGAGGGCCCGCAAGTTCGAGAATCTGCCCACCACGCCAGTACAGACCGATCCCAAGTGTGCCGTTCACCGTTATCATCTGCGACAAGTTAGCAATTTCATCTACTCGGCTTCATGCTATCTGTCGGAGTAAAGTGACTGAGATGCGACAGACGATGATATGGATTCCCTTGAGGTCTCTCTTCACCAGCCGATTTGGGCTTGGCGTAGCAATAATGCTGGTGATTTGCGGGGGATTAAGCACATGGCTTGGCTGTGGATGGATTTGTCCTGGCTGGCTTGAAAGGTTGTGGAGAGCAACACTCTCCATAGGTCAGGTTCGCTGCAAGTCCAGCTTCAGCTTCGTATAGAAGTGTTATGCACAACGAGTCAGCAGCGTAGTCTACCAAACACTGCAATCTGGGCGGCCATTGCCTGTAGCATGTAGAGAGACCTGTAGATACAGCTCGGAAGTGAAATAAATATCATTTCCAAAGTGATGCTTTCACCACCTCTTAGCTGCGCCACAGGGCAAACAAGAGCAAACTCAGCCGCGGAGATCGCCGGGGGTCGGTACATACTGGAAAAGGAATTGATTGACAAGGCCTAATCTCTCCACTAAAGGCTGAGCTCCATTCACACGACCTGTGCGACGCGATCCTTGCTCTTGTTGCTTTTTCCTTTCTGTCGCCCAGAGGCGGCCACGGCGTTGCCTTCTCTGATGACGTGGCATGGTCAACCGACCGGACTCGGCCGCGTGCCACCTGCCAGAGCAATGGAGTTCACTGAGGTGAGAAGGAGGCTCTGTGCCCGTCTGGCTTTTAAGATGACTTCGGGGGCCCTGGATCGCTGACACAGCCCCGATACCCCACTCCTTTTTGGCACCCCAGATCAGCCCCTCATCCACTCTATCATCCTGCGGGAACCCAAGCAAATAACCTCATTAAAGTCGCCAATGTTGGAACAAAACGTCACGAGTCGGTATCTGAGAAGGAGACGCTTGGAGCAACTCCTCAAGGAGCTGTTCCCTGGCGTAGGCGATTTCAACATTCGTGTACCTAGACCACACCCCCTGGCTCCGCCTATCCAACTAACCGCATGGGCTTAGATGAGGGAAGACCAGTGGCTGTTCACTGCCCCAAGATTGGTAACAGATGTGAGTTCACTCCGAGGTTTTCCGGCAGAATAAATTCGCTAACCTACATCTTCCTTGCCCTCTCGTTGAATAGGATGAGCTCGAGTAGGTTAACTTGTAAAAAGATCCAAAGGAGCCTCTGTGCTGATGCGCGAATATCACTTTATTAGGTTGGCCTGGGACTAGTGTTACCAGAAAGGGGTCGCATTCGTGGACAAAGCAATCATGCCTAGCTGTCGCGGTTCTCGATTCCTACTCCAATAACATTCTCCAATAACATTCTGATTCTCCTGCTGTTCACCCCAAATTTATAGATCCCTGGCTGCCCTTTACCGGCCAGTGCGGCGATTATAACACATTCTTCCCCATTGGCTTCGTAGAGCATTAGAGTAAGGTGATCGTCTTCTGAGAGATGTGGAAGGAATCCAAGTTCGCGAGGGCGGAGGTGAGGTATTTTCATCTCTAGTAGGACCATTCGATGATTTGCCGTTTTGCGCGCCAACAAGAACAGCTTTGCATCATTGGCGGACACTATCACCTTCCTTAGGCGGTAGCCTTTGATATCTTTTCTGATGGTGGTAGTATGACCTTCTCCTCTCATGTCGTGTATATACAATTGTCGTTCATGAATTACCACAGCACAAGTAGTACTTGCATGACTGAACGGTGAGAACGTCGTGAGGAGACGGGCGGTACTGTCAAGACCCTGTTAATTTCGTGTTAGCCAACGGGATTCCGTACTTCAGGCAGGGAAGAGTATCGCAAAAGCTCACCTGGGACTCAACTTTCAGAATATGCACATCTTTTTCACGCAGATCAACGTGAACGACCTGAACCTGGTTCTCTCCACCCATTGGCATCAGCGGGGGTAAAACGACGAAGTAGATATGACGTTCATTATGGAAGCAAAGTCTGGTAATGTCCTCGGCTGCCCAACTCAAAGGGTAGTCCCACCCGGTTGAGGCAGGGTTATGCAAATGACTTGCGGAAGACTGCTGGCAGAGGTCTCCATTGGCGGACCTTAGCCTATAGCGAAAGATTAGTTGATGATTGTTCTCAACTCCCAACGAACTAGGACTGACTGTTTTGCAATGCGTATTAATCTCAGGATTGGGACAGCAAATAGTGAACTTGGCTTCCCCGCAGTGTCACTAGCCTTGAGTATGCAAAGAAAGGTACCGCTATCTGGTGAGATTGCGAGCTTGCTAATTGCTGGCCATGGTTGCTCAACCTCGTATGGGTTGGTGAGGTTGCGGTCTCCAAGGTCGAAAATGTAGCACTTCATCCATAACCCAGATTAGACACTTTGCACTCGTTCTCACACTGATAAACGACTTACATGAAACGTAGGTTCAGTAGTAGAAGCCACCAGATATTTTTCTGTTAGGCAAATGCTTCTCCAGTAGAAGCTTTGGCTTTCCAGTGTGTATTTTTGTTGTGATTGTCTAACGTTTCCAACTGCGAAAGAAAGAGAATCTACCGAGTACAGAGAAATCTCGCGATCCGTCCAGTAGGCTACGAGCGAAGAGTCCGGGGATATTTGGCAGCCCTTCGCGGCCTCAACGTCAGAGAGGCACCAAAAGTCGACGTCTGTATCACAGGGATCGGTTCTTGTAACAGTTAGCAAGTTAGGGGAGCCATTTCGGACGCGGTAAACTATGCTATGCCACGGCGGCTTTTTACCTGAATATGCGCCTGCGCCTTCGGTCTTCGCCGTCCTTCTCTAGAGGACGACCTGGTGGTACACCCTGAACAGACTCTTCCAGCTTGCAGTAGTCAATGAACGCGGCGGACAGAACTTCTTTCACGTCATTCGCAGAACATCGCTTGCTTTGGTCCACCTTAAAGGTGTCGTTCTCGACGCATCTTAGCACGCGAAAGAAAATTTCTCCCTCCAGATGATTCCAGTCGTTCGCTGCTTGGATGAGTTGTGTATGTGTTCTGGTGACGACTGGGTTGATTCTCGCAGGCAGAGCTCCTCGACTTGGAAGAAAGAATGTATCGTACTGGACGGCGTCGGCATGATTCCTTCTCTCTGCCGCGTATTGGCCGACCCCCTTACCTCCTGATCCCATGTAACACAGTAAAACACTCAAAACACAGCCTAGCGACCAAACGTCACTCTCAGCCTTCATATTACGCCCCCTCGCCACTGACTCGGGCGCTAGATACGTTCCTTCTCCGCGCGCATTGCGAGTACCTGACGCGGAGCCACGATCCGGTTGGGAGCGTCGAACAAACCATCTATTCACGTCTTTCTCTCGCGTTCTGATCTTGATCCGCGACATCCCAAAGTCACTAAGCTTCCAGATATTGCAGAATGGTTCTCGATCTGTTGGCCGCTCTCTGAAAATCAAGATGTTAGCAGGTTTGAGATCCATGTGGTAACAGGCCAAATCATCTCCCATCCCCTCGTGCAGAAAGCGCAGCCCTTCTGCGAGGCCCATAGCACAGCGGATTAAGTCTTTCCGCTCCTCAATGCTGTTAGGTCGCGCTTCGTGGTTTTCCGTCATGTACTCCCAGAGGTCACAAAGTGCCAGGGGCATGAAAAGACTGTAAACGTTTCGACCAAACTCGAGGCTTCCCAGAGTTTTCAGGATGTTTGGACAGAAGCCTGAACCGGAGGAGCGGGAGAGGATTTTTTCCATGATCTCTCGTTCAATTGAGGCATCGCTGCTAAGTTCGTAGTCTTTGCGAGCGACCTCTAGAGGCTCTCCATCCCCGCTTTGCTCTCCTAGGCCAGGAAAGTGACCCTTCGCAATTTTAACTTTGAATACACGACCAAAACTCCCTTTCCCGATACTGTGCTCTTCAAGGTATGGGAGACGTCGGTGTTCAATGTCTTCGACTTGCTCGTGTTTGTTGCGGAAGATCACGGGACAGAAGTAGGCCTGTTTGCCAGAGAATTTGTCTGCAGCAATTGTGTCTTGATTGAACAATGTGTCGAGGTTGTGCGGCGAGACAGGTAGAGTGCAAATGCTCAGCTCTCTGGAGCCCGCTGCCTCTGTGGTCTCGCTGGCGACGAGTTTCAAGACGGCAGTTCTGGCTGCCGTAATAGAGCACCCTGAAATGATGACAACCGCGAAGAATCTCGGAAGTTCGCGTTCCTTAATGCGCGCAACGAAGTCCTCCTTGGAGATGTCCAATGTAAAGTGCCCAGGCTCAAGAAGACTGTCGTAAAAGCGTCTGAGACTCTCAGTGTTGAGGACTTGCTCGGCCGTGCCAACAGGTGCAAAGCGAAGAGCCTCACTCTCTTTCCTCTCGAGCTTTGAGTATACTTCTCTGTAAATGTCCTGATGGAGCTTCTCGTACGCGTCTAACCCCATCTTTGCGCAGATGCTAGATCGCTATCGCTGAGACATTGCGACCGAAGAGACCTCGACGGCTGAGGCCAGAAATTCACGTCACATGTTGACTGACTAGCGTGTCCTGCTGTCAATGAGATTGCATACATTTGCAGAGCCTTGTCATTGCGTGTGGTCGGGCCACGGTTTGCTTTTTCTTAAAAGGAAACTCGCGCCCGATTTTGGGGAGCCTTACAGGCCTTGTCGCCTTGCTGCCTGACAATTTCCTTGCAGCTCCAGGCAGATGCGACCAGTTGCTCTTTCCTTCCCCAAACAAACAGCGACACCGTGTCACTCAGACATGAATTTTTGCGATGGAAAAGGTCAGATACATTACATTCACTGATTGAAAGAGACAACTATGCGACCAGCCACTTGTCCCCTCCTCAACTTGTCCACAGCCTCCGGCAGCCGATCGATCGGATACACCTCGCAAATCTGCTGAAGCTTGCCCCTCCGTGCGAAATCCAGCGCCCGTGCCGTATCATGTCGGCTTCCTACCAGAGTACCCTGAATGCGCGTGTTTCTGAAGAGCAGAAGGTTGGGATCGACTGGGATCGTCATTGTCCCCGCAGGCGCGATTCCAATGCACATCACCGCGCCTCCAACCCGTTGCCCAAGGTAGGCTAGAGCAGTGGGATACGCCGCCTGCGCTGTGACAAAGACTCCGTGACCACCAATTCCGTCTGCTATCTTGATGACTGCCGCAGCAGTATCGGCCTCTTTCTTGAAATCAACAAACGCCTCAGCGCCCATCTTCAGCGCCAAGGCGCGTTTATCGTCGCCAGTGTCTACGACAATAGGCCGCATACCCATGGCGTAGGCGAGCTGGACTCCTTGAATACCTACACCACCGCCTCCACCGGGAAACACTGCCCAGTCACCTGGCTGGAGACGAGACTCGGTAAGAGATCGATATATAGTGGAGGCACTGCACATCACAGGGGCGGCGATCTCATCCGGAATCCCGTCTGGGATGGGTGATGCATACCGGGCGGGAGACACAATGTATTGCTGGTAGGTTCCTGCTTCCTGTTAGCAGATTGTCGCTCACAAAAGCCAGGGATATATTACCTGGAACCATCAGACCAGTGTGAATTGCACTGCTACAATAAGTCTCCTTGTCGCTCAAGCAATGCGCGCATGTTCCGCAAGTATCCATCATCGGCTTGATACCTGCACGGTCGCCCAGCTTCCAATTTTTGACATTCTCTCCGATTTTAACTACGACGCCGGCACCCTCGTGCCCCGGCGACCGCACTCCGAAGGTTGACATGGAAATGCCAAGGTCATCAAGCATATAGTGGACATCGGACTGGCAAAGCCCGGTGACGTTGAGCTTGATGAGAATGTCGTTTGGACCTGGCGACCGGTTAGCTCACTGGCGATGCCTGGTAGTCCAAGTCTCCTACCAGGTTGAGGTACTGGAACCGTCTCCACCCTGACCCTAAAGTCGGGTCCCGCATTCTCGATCACGCCAGCTTTACAGTGAGTGGGGATATTGTACGAAGGAGTGACCGAGCCCATACTGAGAATGTTTATGTCGCCCTGTGAGATATATCTTGCACGCGAAGTCATCCCTTTCCACGGATATGTGGTGATTTCTTTATAGTACTCGGCTTGTCGCAACACCCGAGGTTCCCCTCATTCTCCCCCTCAGTGCTACGATCAGGTAGGGTATCTGATTGGAAGAATGACGCATTGACTATTTTTATTACTTACATCATGAATGAGAGTCCAAAAGCGCCCAACCCAATGTGGCAACTATCAACAGTGAGAAAAAAATGGTGAGAATTGCTGCGCCCACCCGGTCACCCGTCGTGATCGAACGGGTGAAGATATGGGCCGGTGGAGGTGGGGGATTCTCTGACCCGGCTGCTGGATTGCCTTTACTTGTACCCCCATGCTCCTGCGAGACGGGTGGATCAACCTTCTCGATTAGTGTTGACTGGATCACTTCCAGCGCAGCCATCTGTTGGCCTACATCATTCAGCTCCCCGGAATACCTCTGCTCAGTCCACTTCAACCCGCAAATGCCATCCCTAGGACCGCCTGTGCACGCCTTCGCTGCGGCATTTGCTGAGGCGCGTAACTTTGGCATCACCAGATCATAGGAAAAGGGTGCAAACTGGGTGGATGCGGCCATCCAGCGCGCAAGATATCCTTTAAAGGAGCGTTGGTCGACCTCGCAGGTATCAACAGGTTCGCAGGCTCGCTCGTACATGACATCTTTTGGCTCTTCCGCGAAGAAAACGTTCGCGCCAGCTATTATGCCCTCTGTGCGTTCCTTCCAGACTGGGTCGCCGTTCGTCTATTACTGTCAGCTCATGCAGTCCACAAGTATTCGGGAAGAACAGACAAAGTTATACATCGCCGCAGCACCTAACAAATACACCCCTGGGTTGTATGTCCACTGGATATGGTCTAGCTCTACACAGTTCTTTGTGTCGTCCGCACCGTCATAGAAGGCATAGTCATCGGTCATGAAGCCAACCTCGCGTGTCCAGTCCCACACCTTGATCGCCCAGTCTGCATACGTCTGGTTCCCGGTGTATCGCGCCAGTCTAGCCGCCAGGTTGAAGAAACACCCGTTCGAGATTGTGTTTTTATAATTGTATCCGCCGTTCCACGTAAATATCTGCCATCGCAGTCCTCCGTTGCAACTCGATGTATCCCATCGCCAAGCCTGTGTGTTGAAGGTCGCTTGTGCCATCTCAAGCCAATCTGCACCTTTACTCGGTGGGCTGGGGAAGTTTCGCTCGGCTGCGGACATGGCCGCAAAGGCCCAGAACCCCTGGTCATCGTTACCTTCTGTTCGTGTCTGGTTGTTCGGCATGAATGTTCCCGACTCCCCGGCTTGCCATACGAGGCCTTGCGTGACAAGGTCGTTCCATTGATCATCTCCCGTATAGAACCAGTAGTCGACCAACGCACTGAACATCGCCCCTGCTTCCCACCAGTAGTACGGATCGGGAAGGTTACCGGGGACGTCACCAGGCTGGTTGCCGGTGTAGTGCTCGAGCATTACTTTGGCGATGTCGTGACATGCTTTCTTGACGGAGGCTGCACGTGTTAGTGGCTGCTGGGTGATGGGCATCGAATTCCTCACCAGGATCATCCAGCTGCAATTCGATTGCCTGGACGTGTACCAGGGTAATTAGTAATAGTTGCCATAATGTTCTCATCGTCGTCGAATCTCTGGAAGGCCCATCCGCAACCAGTGACTGAAAAGAAAAGGGTCAATCAAGGGGTACTAGATCTGTTATATGATTGATGCCAATGTTGATGTCAGATGCGCACATTCCAGAGGAAGGAATGTTGTATCGGGGCACCTTTGGCCAGACCACCCAACCTTACGCCAAAGCTGCTTCAATCATAACACCTGGCGACTCGGCTGAGAGCCTGGCCTGACCAAGTCTATTTTCCCCATTGCCCAATAATTTTTCCTTCCTCCTCGATAAGATTTTCGGGACTGGTATCCTATCCGCCAGGGACCGGAGAAATCTTCCACATTCCAGTCTTTCTTCATTTGTCTCAGCGCTTCATCCCTTCTTCGAGCGGAATCCATGCCTGCAATTGACCTTGTTGTCAAAGGGATAGATGAGATCGACAAACATGACAGCAGAGCGGACAAGGCAGCTGCTTAGCCACGGAGCATCTAACTACCTCTTTAGTAGAGCAGATCCCTACCGCGACGGGGGTAGCGTGTGCAACACAGCACTGCAGCACACCTCCAGCTGCTGCTCACAAACAAACTTCCCCTCGTGTTACTCCATCTCTCCTCCACCTTTGTCCACCTTCCCCAGCCACGATGCCATATCCGCACTTGGCCCTCATTCCCCTCTCGGCCATGGCTATGGCCCTCCAGTCTCCCGGCGATCAGGTTTCCATTGCCGGATGGCACCTCCAGTCCACACACGCCGTCACCGGCGACCTCACTCCCTGGTCTCTTCCACACGCGAACGTCTCCACTTGGAACCGAATTAGCGGCCCCGCGACAGTCCTCGGCGGGTTGCTCGAAAGCAATGTCTACAACGAAACCGATCTCTTTTACAGCGACCATCTCGCAGGCCTGTCCAAATCCGATTTCAGCGTTCCATGGCTCTACCGCGAAGAATTTTCACTGTCTCCGTTCGCTGCTGATCAGCACCTATTGCTCAAAACACACGGAATAAGCTCAAAAGCCGACATCTTCTTCAACGGCGCACAGATCGCCTCCAACGAGATCCAGAAGGGATCTTATGCTGGACGCTCGTACGATCTAACACCGCATGTGCTCGTAGGACAAAATGCGCTCCTCATCAAGGCATATCCGACCAGTTATCGTGATGACTTTGCACTAGGATGGGTAGACTGGAATCCACATCCTCCTGACTCAGGTACTGGGGTTTGGCGCAACGTTGAGCTAAAGCTTACGGGGCCTGTGTCGATATCGTCGCCGCGCGTCACGACAAACTTTACCTCCGACCAGTCTACGTCTCCGGTTGTTGTGACTGTCAAGACTGACGTCCAGAATTATGGTGACTCTGCCGTGGACGTTACCATACACGGCTCGATTCATTCGCCAGATTCAGCGAAGGCCATTGATTTCTCACAGTTCGTTCACCTACCTGGGCGCACCAACTCGACTGTCAGTCTAAATGCGACGATTGACAATCCGCAAATCTGGTGGCCTGCAACCTGGGGCGCTCAGCCGCTGTATAATGTCAGTCTGAACGCCTCAATCCCATCCGGGGCCATATGTGATGTCGCTCCCTTGACTAATTTCGGCATCCGTCACGTCGTTTCGTCTCTGAACGCACACAATGATCTCGCGTTCACCATCAATGGTCAGCCTTTCCAGGTCCGCGGAGCTGGCTACGCCCCTGACATTTTCTTGCGCTTCGATATCAAACGTCTGGAGAACATCTTCCAGTATGTGCTCGACATGGGACTGAATACCGTTCGGCTCGAAGGGAAGCAGGAACATCCGGAGCTATATGATCTTGCCGACCGCATGGGTCTGATGGTGATAGCAGGCTGGGAATGCTGCGATAAGTGGGAAGCTTGGAAGGTTAGCCTTCACTCACTCCCTTCATCTGTCTATTCGCGTCTCTTTAACTTTCTTACGTCTAGTACAACGACGACTCCCCCGGTACCCAATGGCAAAACCAAGACTACGCCATCGCCCACGCCTCCATGCTCCACGAAGCGGAAATGATGCAGCCACACCCATCCCTCCTCGCCTTCCTTATCGGCTCCGACTACTGGCCCGACGAACGCGCAACAGACCTCTATCTCTCCGCCCTCCGCTCAATGGACTGGCCGAACCCTGTCATTGCGTCGGCAAGCATGCGCGGCCACCCGAGCCAGCTCCCACCATCCGGTATGAAGATGGACGGGCCGTATGACTGGGTTCCCCCGAATTACTGGTACGGTAACTCGCTCGGCGCGGCATTTGGGTTTGGCTCGGAGCAGGGCGCTGGCGTGGGGACGCCTGAGCTCTCTAGTATTAGGAAATTCTTGTCTGATGCGGACCTTAAGACACTCTGGTCTAGTCCGAATGCTGGGCAGTATCACCTCGCGCCAGAGAATGGGGTATTTCATACACGCAAGATCTATAACAATGCTCTCGCAAAGCGATATGGTCAAGCTAAGAGTTTGGAGGAGTACGTCTTCAAGGCACAAGTGATGGACTACGAAGCGACACGCGCCGAGTTCGAGGCATTTTCCGCCCGCCAGAATGCCTCTCGTCCGGCGACAGGCGTTATATACTGGATGCTCAACAGCGCCTGGCCGAGTCTTCACTGGCAGCTCTTCGACTACTACCTTCAACCCGCCGGTGCATTCTTCGGAGCCAAGGCTGGCGTGAGAGAGGAGCACGTCGCCTATGATTATGAATCGCGGAGCGTCTACATAATCAATCATTCTCTGAAGTCCAGCGGTATTCGACACATCACCGTCGACCTGATCTCCAGCAACGGCACTCGACTTTTGCACCGCGAAGCGACCACCGAGACAGCTCCCCTCTCATCGAAGGAGATCGTCCAAATCCCAGAGGTTTCGACTATTCTCAAAGACACAATCGGCTTCCTGCGACTAACCTTGTCGGGCACCTCCACCGAACCCCTCAGCCGCAACGTCTACTGGCTCACGGCACAAAACGACGTTCTCGACTGGGATAATTCAGAATGGTACACGACACCCGTAACCACATTTGCCGATTTCACGGCACTGAGTGCGCTGAAACCAGCTACGGTCGTGGCGACTGCCGCAACTCTCGTCGATGACGCGTCGCGTGTTTCTGGTCTTGGCTCCGTCGAGGTCACCCTGGAGAACCAGAGCGATGTCCCGGCGTTCTTTATTCGCTTGACTATTCTTGATTCGAAGACGAGGGAGGAGATCGCGCCTGTGTTCTGGGATGATAATTATGTTACTTTGTTTCCAAGGGAGAGATTACGCTTGGTCGTGAGGGTTCGCGAGGGAAGTAAGTGGGTGGTTACGATAAGGGTTGGGAGCGGAAAAGAGCAGGACGTGAAGTCTAAGTGAGCAACGACGAGCCTTTGCGATGGTATGTTGGGCGATACTGCAAGATTTTAGTGTGGGTTTGTCAGATTCGATCTGTTTGATTGTTCTGGGTGATCTACGGGAGTGGGAGAGCAGATGCATTTCGGTGCCGGCGTAAATAGGAGGATAGTCATTTCAGCGGCGCATCACGGAGCTTAGGATGTAGCATATTTAAATACGTCGAATTCAACGGGTTCTTGTACGAGTACCAATGCGCAAAGCCATCGTTGCCTTCCGGCGCATACAAGCCGCAATATATATTTCTGCTCTGATAGCGGAACTACAAGATCTCTGAGAGAATAATCATTCCCTCTGCACCGAAAATCACTATCGATCGAAAACATCAAAGAGATTGGGCAAAAACCTGCTGTTCTTATCAACGAAGAAAAGATCACCCGTTTAGTGTCTGTAACATGATCAGTTGACCGTCCCATAGCTGACGATCCTGCGACACTAAAGTTCCTAAACGAGTACCCGTGACGTCATCGCCGCGGCAGAGATTAAGCTCTATCTTGACCTCCTTTGGCCCCGCCTCGCGACGCTGCTTCCCTTGTTACTTCAATTGCGGCTCTAGAAAAGTGTTTTTGTGGCTCTGCGATCGCAAACAGAAGAGAATGCGCGGCCTCGATGAAAGCACTGAAGCCCTGTTGCGGGTCGGGCACGACGCCAAGCAACAGCTTTCACAGGCGTGGGAGGGGTTCATTGATTTTGCGGCGAGGGATAATGTCCTAGAGGTTGCGTTGGGGTTGATGTAGGGCTCAAAATCTACGATATACCTGCCGGTTTTTTTTTACAGCGACCTCAGACGGGCTGACATGTGAACTACAGTATCGCGCAATCGTTTACTGGGGTCGTTAACTCTTTCGTGTCGGATATGATTCTTCCAATCGTGTCGCTCTTACCCTTCCTGAACCGCAATATGGATGAGAAGTTTGCGGTCCTCTCCAAGGGACCGCATTATGACGAGGAGGTGGGGTATAACACGCTTGGCCAAGCGAGGGAGGACGGGGCGCTTGTGCTGGCGTACGGGTATGCGTTTTTGTGTTGCTAATATGGACAAGCAATCCTGGTGGCGCTAACCAAACCACAGCGTGTTTCTAGAAACCGTCCTTAACTTTCTGGGCATTAGCTTGACCTTATATACCGTTGCACAGGTGTATATGCGCGTCTCGCATGACAAGATCATCAAGCGGCAGGTCAAGTGCAAGTACTGCCTGAAGTGGATTAGCGATAAGGTGAGTTCATCCAATGCGGTGAATGAGCGTCTCTGATGGGTGATAGGCGATACGATGCTGCAACTGTTCGAGTTGGCAGGATGGAAGAGAAGAGTTGCAGGGAGCGGGATGTTGAAGACGACTTCCGGGGTGGCAAGGAAAGAGAGCACACAAGCAGTGCACATGAACAAAGAGCTGGAAAGATAGGTGAAGGGCCTCAATTGGAGTATGGGTGGCGGCATGATCGCTCGATCTAATCAACCTGATAGCGAGTCATGAACGAATCCCATAGATGATGTGGCGGCGTCAAGCTTGATCCCGGGGTATGACTGTCAGTGCGCATGTGAAACAGAGTTGTTCCAGCAGGCGCGGGCACCGTATGATGGCATAGTGAAGTCAACATCTCGTTGAATGTGATTCAAAGGCTCAGTATCGAAGCAAACTAGTCCCAAAACAGTAAGCAGTGCGAGTCAAGGTTGGTTCCGAACGAGTTCGATATGGACCCGAGGGATACCAGCATACTCGCCAACATGTGAATCAGGGAATCGAAATTCGAGTGAGCCATTTGAAGCTGGCGGATGAGTCTTCTGATGCAAAACAGTGAATGTGGGTGCCTGGTGACGGGTGTGAGTTTGCGCGCTCGAGTTGCAGATATCCGGATACACGAGCAGAAATAGATCCTATGGAGGTGGGACACGAAGGGAGCCGGCTTCTGACCTCATACCCTCAATGCAGAGCCTGGGTGGACTGCGTAGAGCATTGAAAACGTGCACCGATGCCCCCTAAACACCCGTGATCGCGCATGAACGTGGAAGCCGATTTGGATGTACGCAGCCGCACAACAGAGGTGGGATCACTCGGATGTCTGCAGACCGTTGGGAGTCAATCCATGAATGAAGGCTGTCGCATTTTGACCTGTTGTTGGGAGAAGGAGGTATCGAGAGGTTTGAGGTTGACTAGAAGGTGCTGACTCATCCCACGTGGAGGCGCATTCGAGGCAACACAACAAACGCATCGCGATGCTCATTGTCGAGACATCATCCAAGCTGTCGAGACCCCTTCACCTCTTTCGCCACTAGTGAGACCGGAAGGAATTCACGAAGCTTCTCTCCACGATGGCGGATCGCCACGCGTCGGGTTTTTTCAACGATAGCCCCTTCCAGACTTCGGTTCGTCGCTGTCATCCAGGCACCAGCTTTGTGACTCCCCTCCATTCATGTCATGCTTTTGACTCGGAACTGATGAAAAATCACTGTCACAGATTCACGCCGAGGTGTTGTCGATCTCCTTTCTACCATCGGACCTCAGGATCACAAGCCGACGAGAGATTGATTGCGCGGATATTGGCGAAGGGCCGGTGACTAGGCAGCTCGCATAACGCCCAATTGGATGCTTGAAGACGACTTCACAAGCACGGCGAGATGGCAACAGGAAAGACAACATAGATATTGTTCGCGCGCAATGATGGGGTTTAGCGCCCGCGGCTGGCGCAAGGCCCGAGTGGTGAGGACAATCGATCGAAGACCCTCAGATAACCCGGAGGAAACGTGATGTTGAAGTCGTGGCGGCACTGAAAAGAGTGAGCTCTGCGAGGTGGGCTAACCTCATGGAAGGTGAAGCCTATCGCCCAAGACTCGCTCTAATTTTCACCCCTAACCATTTTCGTGGCCCACAAAGGACTCTGTTTGGAGGATCTGCAGAGCCCGCGGGGATTAGTGGCGTTTTGGCGACCCAGCGAACCACTCGCCTTCCAATTTCACATGCCCCAAATTCCAAGCCGACGTTGGGGCTCACTAATTGATACCGGGTCCGGGACGCGAATATAAAGATCCTCAAGTGCCCCCGAGTGAGTTGCCAGAAATTCAAACACGCACTGACCTACGACTACCATCCCACCATGAGTGTTCAACGCAACCCCAAGGACTCGATGAAGTCCACCTGGCGGACCATGGACAAAAGCCAGTGGACCTTCTTTCACTGGCTCTATGAAGTCTTCGACATTCATCCAACCTCGCTCAACAAGGACATCCCAGTCCACCCGAAGACGGACAAGGTGCCCTATATGCCAGAATGGCATCAACATCGCTGGGTGCTGATGCACGCCTTCATCCCGATTGCGATTCACCACGTCTACTACGCCTACACCGGCCGGAACTTCACTCGCTTGGGCGCTGTGATCTTCTACAGCCTTGCGTTTAAGCTGATCGCCATTCACGAGCTGCACGTTCTGCGCCGGATCGGTCATAACATAGGATTCCTCGACGGTGACGTCCACGATCGTGATGGAGTGCCGGACGTGAGCGTGCGCAAAGTGGCCGAGTCTCTGCTGTCGACGTCAACCTTCCGACCTGTCTTTACTGTATTCCTTGCCTATCGTACCAGCCAGCCTCCCTCGTCGATCAACTGGTACTGGCTGGTTCTGGAGATGGGGCTGTATGGTATCGTGCTCGACTTTTGGTTCTACTGGTATCACCGCATTATGCACGAAGTCACTCCGCTCTGGAAGTACCACCGCACTCACCACCTTACCAAGCATCCCAACCCTCTCCTCACGCTGTACGCCGATCTTGAGCAGGAACTATTTGATATCGCCGGGATTCCGCTCATGACCTATTTCAGTCTCAAGTTCATGGGCCTGCCCATGGGTTTCTACGAGTGGTGGGTCTGCCACATGTACGTGGTCTGGGCCGAACTGGCTGGCCACAGCGGATTGCGCATTGTGGCGATTCCTCCAAACACACTCAGCTGGCTCCTGCGTCTCTTGAACTCTGAGTTGATCATTGAAGATCACGACCTGCATCATCGATACGGCTGGAAGAAGAGTGGGAACTACGGCAAGCAGACACGTCTCTGGGATCGCATCTTCGGGACTTGCCGCGAGCGCGTCGAGTGCGATGAGCAGAACATCGACTATGTGAATACGGTAGACTTGCCATGGTTTTAGGGAGGCAGGTGGTGTGAGCCTGTATAGCGGCTATGAATTATGTATATACCCAAGTGCTGAGAATCTGAACATTTTGTCTTGTTGAGCGTGTCTGGGGAAGTAGTCTTCGGTACGTGGCAGTAAATTGAGCCTCGGCTGGGGCGTGTCCGTTTTGGGAAGGTGTTGCGAGTTGCGCCTTCCCCTCATTTCTCTCTCTGGCTTCCATATCCGTGGCCAAATCCCAGTTCGCTTCTTTGACACAAGATCGAGGATCTCAGATCTCCCGGTCGCAGACCTTTTCCGCCCCGCGTTTCAACGGTTAGCTGGCCCGGGGTAAACCTGTTTGAACTTCGGGTTCCGACGCGACCGCACAATGCATCATCGGTTGGCGAAACGTCTCACCCGCATAACCTGCACTATGAATGACGGCCAGATATTGGACACGGCAAGTTATCTAGGTACAGTAGGCAGCTAACAATGGACGATTGAATTGCGCCGAACCTACGGCTGTGTCACCACGATGAATTCCCCGGCGTGCGTGCTGTGTTAATCGACCGGCTTATAAGTGCGTGTTGCTACTCAGGATGAATTTGCGAGAACTCGACTGTTTTCTCTGATTCGGACCAAAATACAATAGCAACGTGCGAAATGCCTGCGGAGTGGGAGCAGAAAGCCCGGCAGAAGCGAGAGGCGCTTGCCGACAAGATCCCCTCTGAATGTCGACTACCCTCACACTTAATCGAGAAAGCAAAGGTGACGGACAATATTCTCGGTATCCCTCGCGAGTCTGGTATCCTCAGCGAGGAGGAACTCACTATCACCGAGAACTATGATGCCACGGCGTTGCTGGAACGACTTACCACGGGCCAGCTCACTGCTTCTAAAGTTGCGACGGCCTTTTGCAAGCGGGCCGCAATAGCGCAGCAGCTCACCTGTTGCTTGACGGAGATATTCTTCGATCAGGCCATTGCCCGTGCGGAAGAGCTGGATCGTCATCTGGCTGCGACCGGGAAGCCGGTTGGCCCGCTGCATGGTATCCCGATCAGCTTGAAGGATTCCTTCAATGTCAAAGGGGTCCATACCACGCTGGGCTATGTTTCGTTTCTCGATCGACCCCCACTGTCCGTGAATAGCCCGATGGTAGACCTGCTATTGCGAGCCGGAGCCATCATCTATGTCAAGACTCATCTACCCCAGACGATGATGACTTGCGACTCCCATACGAATGTTTTCGGCCGCACTCGCAACCCATACAGCCGGTGCTTGACAGCGGGCGGTAGCTGTGGTGGCGAAGGTGCTCTGATAGCTATGCGCGGGTCGATTCTCGGCGTTGGAACTGATGTGGGTGGATCAACTAGAATTCCCTCGTTTTGTTGTGGCATCACGGGCTTCAAGGCTTCGGTTGGAAGACTTCCATTTGCTGGCCAGACACCACCGGGACGACTCGGCCTTGCGGGAGGCATAGGAGTTGCACTTGGTCCTCTCAGTACTTCCCTCAGAGATGCAGACCTGTTCTTCCGCACCATAGTATCGTCACGCCCTGAGGATATGGATGACAACTCGCTCGGGTTTTCTTATATCGAGCCGCCACCGTTGAAACACCAGCTTACCATTGGGATTCTGCCCGAGGATCCCGAGTTCCCTCTACAGCCACCCATGTACCGAACAATAACTACCGTCGCCCAGAAGCTTGCGGCTGCTGGCCACCGCGTTATTGACCTTCCATCCGGCGACCTTCCATCCTTGGCGAGCACATGTAAGCTCGCGTTTCGCTTCTTCAAACTGGATCCCGATCGCACCCCTTTGCAAAATATAAAGAACGGTGGCGAGCCATATGTTCCTTCGCTTAGTGTGCTATATGATCTGGATAATCCTGGCCCAGAGCCCACTCTGCGTGATCTTTACGACCTCAATGTTGCCAAAGCGCAAGTAGCGGCGAAGATGCGGCAAGCGTGGTTGAAGAGCGGAGTGGATGTGGTTATAGCCCCTGCCTATCAAAGCTGCGCTCCCCTGCATGACACATACGGCGACAATGTGTACACTGTTATCTGGAACGTGGTTGATGTGTGTAATGCTCTTGGCTGTTATGACCTCTTGCTAATTGCGTCATAGTATCCGGCCTGCGTTATCCCTGTTGGAAATGCCAATAAGGCGGCTGACGCGAAGTTTACACGCGACGTCGCGTATACTCCCGCTTGTAAGTGCATCCCCTGCATATTTTGTGATCGGATCGGTAACGGCTCGAAGACCAGCCGGATCAGATCGAAGGGGCGCCTTGCCACGTGCAGATCGTCGGCAGGCGGTTGAAGGATGAGGTTTTGCTGCAGCATGCAAAAGTTATTGACAAGATACTGGCCGAAGAAAATTAAGATCTCATGCAGCTGGCTCCGCGACTCGTTATTGCAGCATCGCTACAGTGCCAGCCACTTGTCGTTTCAACAACGGAGTCTGCTCCGTCACCGCGCGGTGTGCAAGGGCGGGTTTAAGGAGACGCGCGGAAGACCGGGTTCCAGAAAGGAGGCAATCATTTCTGTTCATGGTATAAATGTGTACTTGGCTGAATGAAGTGGGCTGCCGGCTATTGCTTTGGAGAGCATGTTGGTCGCAACACAGGGACTGGATCTGGAATGGAATGATTGGATGATCCAAGAAGTGCGCTGATTTTTCGGGCTTTCTTCGGCTTTGCTTTTTCTGTGCTAGGGGAATCAACAACAACAGTGACAACACCCATCTTTTGGAGGCAGGTCTTGGGTCGTAGTGTACCCCGCAAAGGGTCCCGGGTTGTCTTCAGGCTAATTCACATGAGCTGATGGAACGGTGTCTGCGATCTACAGCCAAGGCGGAGCTGGCGCCAGCAAACAGCGCTCTTGACCGTCAAGGAAACTGGATTTCATTGATTGCTTCTTCCTGCCCCTGCTCCAAGCCACCAACCATAATGGTGCCCGCTTTTCTTCCCTTGACTCCGGACGCGACGCGATCGGGTCCAACTGGCCAGCCAAGGCTGCACTATTGGCCTCAGATGCGATATTCCGCGAGGGCGGCCCTCCCCTTTTTGAATCGGGCCATAGCACATTCCTGCCGCAGGGGCAGCTATTTAAGATCGCTCGGTCGCAATAATTTGGCCTTTGTGCTTTGATCAAATTCAGTCGCAATAACAATGCGGTTTTTATGCACTTCTAGCACTGCTTCCAGCGTGGTGTTGGCCGCCGCGTTGGCCAGCGCGCAGGTGCTCACCTGGGACCAGGCCTACCAACGAGCGACCGCGGATCTTCAAAAGCTCACTCAGAATGAAAAGATCGGAATGGTCACAGGCGTAAAATGGCAGGGGGGGCCATGTGTGGGAAATACGTATGCTCCTCAATCCATTCCATATCCGTCGCTCTGTCTTCAAGATGGCCCCTTATCAATACGCTTTGCGAATCCTGTTACTGTTTTCCCGGCCGGAATCAACGCCGGCGCGACGTGGGACCGCGAGCTCATCAGGAGCCGTGGAGCAGCCATGTCTGCTGAAGCCAAGGGACTTGGAGTCAACGTCCAGCTCGGTCCTGCGCTGGGGGCATTGGGAAAGATTCCGAGTGGAGGGCGAAACTGGGAGGGTTTCTCGTCAGATCCGTACCTGATGGGTATCGCAACCGCTGAAACTATCCAAGGTATGCAGGGAAGCGGTGTACAGGCGTGCGCAAAGGTCTGTGGTTGAAATTCGACTGCGCTGCCGAACCCTAACTGACATGGTCCAGCACTTCCTTCTCAACGAACAAGAACACAACCGAGAGACCATCAGCTCGAATGCAGATGACAGAACCGTGCATGAACTGTACCTCTGGCCATTCTACGACGCTGTCAAGGCAAACGTCGCTTCCGTCATGTGTTCGTACAACAAGATCAACGGTACCTGGGCCTGCGAAAACGACCGGCTGCTGAACGGCCTGCTGAAAGGCGAACTCGGGTTCAAAGGTACTCTCCTGTCAGACTGGAATGCGCAACATAGCACAGTCTTGAGCGCAAATGCCGGGTTGGATATGAGCATGCCAGGGAGCGACTTTAATACCCCTCCTGGAAGCATCTACTGGGGCCAGAACCTGGCGACCGCGATTGCCAGCGGCTCTGTTCCGCAAGCACGACTGGATGATATGGTCACTAGAATCCTCGCTGGATGGTATTTGACCGGCCAGGACAAGGGTCATCCTCCTGTGGCGTTTAGTAGTTGGAATGGAGGTGCGGCGTCGGTGAATGTCACCACCCCGGCACATGGAGATCTGGCGCGCACTATCGCCCGTGACTCGATTATCCTTTTGAAGAACCAGAACCAGGCTCTTCCGCTAGGCAAGCCGGCCAGCCTTGCTGTAATTGGCTCTGACGCCATTGTGAATCCGAACGGTGCGAATGCTTGTGCGGATCGTGGATGCAACGTTGGGACTCTGGCTCAGGGATGGGGGAGTGGAACGGCTGAATTCCCGGTATGTTCGATCATGCCCAAGGGAATGCACTGAGCCCGGCTGACAGTAATAGTATCTTGTGGCTCCGCTCTCTGCGATTCAAGAGAAGCTGGCTGGGACGGGCACCAAGATCGTCACCAGCACCACCGATGATGCCGCCGCTGGAGCCGAGGCTGCCAGGGCCGCAGAGACGGCGATCGTTTTCATCAACTCTGACGCTGGCGAGGGGTAAGATTTAATCCATGCTCCCAGGTAATTTATCTAACGAAAATAGATACATCACCGTCGAAAACCACGTCGGGGACCGTAACAATCTCGATCCATGGCACAACGGGAACGCTCTCGTCCAGGCAGTTGCGCGGACAAACAGGCCCACCATCGTGGTCATCCACAGTGTTGGTCCTATTCTTCTTGAGACCATTCTTGCCGAGCCGAACGTGGTCGCGATTGTCTGGGCCGGCCTTCCCGGACAGGAGAGCGGCCACGCTCTCACCGACGTCCTCTTCGGAGACACCGCGCCGAGCGGAAAGCTGCCCTACACCATTGGCAAGACCGAGGCTGACTACGGTGCCCGCTGGACGACAGAGCTTGTTGACAGTTTTGCCGAGGGGCTGTTTATCGACTATCGCCATTTTGACCAGGCTGGAATCGCGCCTAGATATGAGTTTGGGTTTGGTTTGTGTAAGTACCACATTGTTTCCCCCATGATTCTGAAACTGATCTTTGCCCTCAACAGCCTACACAACATTCGAATACTCAACCCTTGCCGTCGCCGTAAACGTCATTCCCGGCCCAACAACGGGCGAGACCATCGTCGGCGGCCCCTCCGACCTGTTCACCACCGTCGGAACAATCAGCGCCTACATCCGCAACAGCGGAATCGTCACCGGCGCCGAAGTCGCGCAGCTGTACCTGGGCTATCCCGACAGTGCGCCGTCCACGCCGCCCAAGCAGCTCCGTGGCTTCTCGAAGATCAAACTTGTGCCCGGTCAGAGCGGGCAGGCAGTCTTTGAGTTGCGGCGCCGGGATCTGAGTTATTGGGATGTTGGGAAGCAGAAGTGGGTTGTTCCCACGGGGACGTTTAAGGTGTTTGTGGGGAGTTCGAGTCGAGACATTCGCTTGACCGGCACGCTCACCGTTTAGGTGGGCTTCGAGCCTACCCAAGCTCGATATGTTGAAAATGTCCACGCTGTCCATAACATGTACCAGTGCTACCGATATACATGAGTTTCGGGTGCAGTACCCTTCATCTGCCACACCCAGCGAGCTATACTATCCTGTCTAAGGCAACTCTCTGCCTCTGCGGAGCGCTATCGTAGCCATACCTGCGTCCTGATGTTGCCAGATCTCCTTAATCACCTATATTAGTCATTAGAGTAACCCTGGAATTCGGCATTCACTATCTACTTACCCGGTACAAGTCACTCAGCAGTCAGTGGACACTCCACATCATTCAATTCCCTGCCCTAGTCTGCGTCTCTCGAGCTCACTCGCCCTTCACGATACGTCTCATATTCACTAAACTAGGCCTTGATTCCATTGCCGACTTTTCCTCCAGGTATAAAATTCTCTTCCTCGCCACTTTACTACTCACTGTGTCTTCCCTCCGCATCTCATGATCTCCTCATCCTTTCTCAATTCTACCTCATGGTCTAGTGTTGTACGTCGTAAATTGCGTTCACTCTATCCACGTCCTCTATCCTCGAGCATCGATATCCTCGGCATTTCAGACTTTGCCATGTGCCCTGCTATAGAGCGAGTCTCAATGACTGGCTGAAGGAGCATCCAAGCCTACATCAAGCCCGCGAGGACAACGGAAGCGTCCCCGACGATTACATCCCTCTTGCTGGGTCAATATGCCTAGTCTCGGGGACTCCCAGGCGTTGTCGCCATCGAGGAAAAGAGATATTGTACCCGTGGCTATCGTGTCGCCTTTCTTTGCCCCCCACAGCAAGATAAGACTTGGACTATGGAGTCGACCGCCGCTACCTTGCGACGCATTGACACTGAAGGAAGGAATGATTGACAAATCGCCAGAGACGTACCGAACCATTGCATGCGTCTTGCCCAACCCGGTGCTGCGCGGGTACCGGCGCCTTGGGTACCTCTCGCCAACAGAGGCAAAGGTGGTTCCCTCATTCTAATGCCGATTCTTGTCTTGACCGAATAATATCAAATCATGCTTCTGGATTTACAGTGAAGGCGAGGATACAGAGACCGTCATGTCACTCTGGCTATCTGGTAAGTTTTTTCCACTTCCTTCCTTACACCGATCCCTTCACTTCAAGCCGACTGAAGCCTAGTTCTCGAGCAACAAATTGACCCAACCCGCCGAAGTGACAGCATCTCACTGATAGGATTCAGGGCAGCTTCCAGCTTCCTCGCACCACGAAATCCGCTTTGCGACGATGTCTGTTCTTGATCCAGGTAAGCTACCAGTACCCGAAAAGCAACACGCAGCTCCGCTCGACATGTGCCAACTTGGCTATGCTTAGGTGCTTTCTCGACAACTTGGACCGGTAGCATCTCTCGCACCCTACCGAACCAACGACTTGGGAATAATACGTCACAGAAGGATGGATCCACATAACGGGCGGGTTGTACAGCTTTTCCAAAAGCTGCAACGACATGTCCTTCAACTGAAGTTTGAAGGTCAACCTTTCCCAGGGCCGGCAACAGTTAACGGAGTCACCGTGATAAATATCCCTGAACTCATGAGCGAGCTTTCACGGCTGCATGGTACTTTATCGAAGCTTGATTTCCTCCCCATTATCGTGCCGGCGCGGCCATCATAAGTGACCTGGCAAGTGAGAAGATTTCGGGGTGGCCAGATATACTGGAGTTCTACAAGGAGGTCGGCAACGCATCTGAAGCATTCCGGCTGTTCGGACAATCCTCGCAGTACGACAGGGAGTTTGTGGTTTTGAAGGCGGCCAGAGACTGGAAGATCCCCCACCTAAAGCAAGTAGAAACAGGACTTGAAATGACCCCAAAGGAGTTTCCAACCATCGGCAGGAAGCTGCTCGCTTTTGAAGACCGACCAACGGATTCTTATGTGCTCCAGCTCAGGAGAACTCACAGGGGATTATCAAGGGAATTGACCCTCGCGTGCGAGAACAGCTGGTAGTGCGTTTAGAACGGCTGCAGGTGCCTAGCATGGCTGGCGGCCATTAGAATAGGATTGCAGCTTCGCCTACTCGAACCACACCTGAATAGCATCCGCCGCAGGAATCCATATCATTTGGGCAATTTTAGAGTATGTTGAAAAGTACAGCATACAATCAAGTATTGTTCCAATTAGCACTACTGCCCCAAGCAGACATCAGCGCTAGGTATAGTGCTTCTGAACCCTGGTTTTGCGCAAGCCCATACGTTCAACCCCCGGTAGACAATCTAATCATCAAGCGATACATTCTCTGGTTACCTTCACGGAAATCTCCACCCTCCTTTTCATCAATGTCCCCGAACCTCATTGCATCTGCCCGATGTATGGTTTGTCCGTAATGAGAGGCTTACGTCTTATTTCACACGCAAAGGAATTCCAAGCAGAAAGCAGTCACGTCGATCGAGTCAGCCTTGATGGGTGTCCTGGGGTCGGATTCTTCGGAGTTTCGTCCAGAACTTGATAGGCCAACCAGAGAGCTTTCTCATGTTAGTAACAATAATTTACGGGCATGAGAAGCGCTAAAGGGCATACGTTTTGCGAGTGGCCCTGTCGTAAAGATCTGGTCCGGTTGCGGCTCGGCGAAATTCCAGTTTTTGAGCCTCATATACCTGATACACATGAGCATGAAAAGGCAGACAGCCAGGCCAGTGAACATACTCGAGGATTTGAATCAAGTCCGCGCGAATTGTCTGTTTTTCGTCATCAGTCAGGTCGCGCAAGAATTCAACAATCCTTTGCCCGGCAACCTTGGACATGACAATAACGCTGACATAGCCACCTGGGTAAATATCATAGTGATCGTGTACGAGGCGTGCCTGGGCGAGGAGCTTTGGAGTCGCATCAGAGCCCTCGCATTCACGGAGGGCGAGACATTCAGCATCAAAGGAACCCATTCCCCATGTCACGGCTGCGGTGCGATAGACGGCGGACTCGACGAGGCATGGGTTGCACCTTCACACGGTCAGCAAAGCGCAACGAGCTATTGGAGCGTCGAGACTTACTGAAAACGCATCTTAACGATTAGCCGATTGTTATTTTGCTGCGAGGCGGCCTCAAAAACCACCCAGCGCTCATTGAACCAAGGTTGATGACGCTCGGAGATAAGCGCGTCGATGGTGTAGCGGATTCCATTGATTTGACGCGTGATTCCGATCAGCCTGTCGAGGGTCCGCCCGTCTAAGAAGTCGGATCTCATGATTCTGTTGATATGGCAATCGATGTGGGTTTGGAGGAGAAGAAGAAGGGGAGGAGAAGATGAAGGGGAGAATATGAAGGGGAAGTACCTGGTGACGTAGATTTGGACTTTTGGGTTGAGGGTTCCAGTTTTTTTCCCAACACGGGGAAAACTGATAGAAAGTGAAGTATTTCCCTATTTTGACCGTACTAGTAGTATCTTAAGACAATATCCGTCCCAAGCACACTCGCAGAAGGCCTCCTTTCTATGAAACAAGATCACCAACAGTCATCCTGCCAGTAATGACCTATACCCGGCACGCAATTTGCCCGAATCAATATTACTACCTTATTCTATTCCGCACCTGGCAAGCTTACTTGATTGTATGACGAGTCATTAGTAACGAACACAAACAATAGTCCTCCCTCCGTCCCAGGTAATACGTTTGCGAACCTTGAGCCTAAACACCTCGTGCCTGGCGTGCAGATCATTCTCGTTTTCATCGACCAGTTGAGCCGAAGGCGCAAAAACAAGAGCCTCTCCGGTTCTGAGATTGGCAATGCGATAAAGTCCATCCGGCATCCCGTGCTCGCTATTGTCATTTCCTTTATCAATCGGGATGTGCGATCGAAGCACCTTGTACCAGTCAGGGCTCGTGAAGCGGTGTATAAAGGTGATCGAGCACAGATCGATGAGCCGGGGCGAGATGGTGGGCTCTTGCGTGGAGATGATCGTGCGAACACCAAGATGGCGCTGTTGCCGGATAATTGTCAAAAAGGCTTCTGTGAGCTCTTTCGCGGCAGCGGAATCTGTCATGTACTGTGATTAGTTAGTTGTGGTCTGGTGGCCCGGCCGGGAATGGGGAGGCACATACCTTGTGGGCTTCATCCGCCACGATCATCTTTCCCCGAGAAGGATGTGCGTAGAGAAACAAGTCGATGGCAATGCGGAACAGAACACACGCCGTACTCTGGTCGACGAACGGGCAACTAAGATCCAAAATGGTCACACCCCCGTCCAAGAAATAATCCGCAGCTCCAGCACCCTTGAGATCAAGGTACGAATCCAACAGGTCCAATCGCTGCGCCAAAAATGGGGTCTGAGCTCTATCCAAACGAAGGTTGTCGAGGCGTTTGCGAAAGTCACGGTAGTCGAAATGTCCGCCGCTTTCGATTGCCATTTCTCGTAATACCCTTAGTACTTGGGCCATGTATAGTGGCATCCCGTCGCTTTGAGACATTGACATCAGGGAGAGCATCATGCCGATGTTGAGGTGTTTGGGATTGAGCCTGAATGGCTTTGCCTCGACGTTCGGGATCTGCGAGTACATTTTCGCCAGGTTGTGGTAGTTCGTCGGTGACACCAGAACCCGCACAGGCAAGCGTTTCTGTTGCGATGCGTACTGCGGTAGAACTGATGCGAGGAATGCCGCCTCACTTGGCTGGGAGTTTGCATTTGAACTGTACCCGTTGAAATGCAGAACTAGAGTCGAGACGGACTGCTTTAACTTCCCCAGCACCGGTAGCCCCATTGAGCAGTTCTCTGGTGATATTGTCAGTCCGCCATCCCAGATCGAGGTTGGGGACATACCGATGATGCACGAGGTTGTGTGCGACTTGCCGCTTCCCTGAAGACCGCAGATAAACGCAGAAAAGGGAACATTGGTATTCAGCACAACTCTGGGGTCTGGCGCAATCTCAGTGTTCGGGGCTGCGCTGAGCTTTCCCATGAGCGCGAACTGAGACGGCAAAGTATGCCCAGCTTCCTCAAGGGCGGCGGAGACCAGAACGGCATGCTCCAGGTTCACAGACGATATAGCTCCTGTCGCCTCGTCATCTTCATCGCCCGAAGTGAGAAGATGGAGCTGGTCTTTCATCGGCGGCATCGAGGCTTTGGGGTTGGTTGTCTCCTTCTCATCACGCGCTCCAGCAAGGTCTTCTTTGAAATCTGATCTACTGTCAGGTTGGAGCTCGTTCCATTAACGCACTGGAGAAGATACCTTGAAGAAGCGCATTGTCAAGACCATTGTCTTCATCACTAGAGGCGCCCGTCACATCGCTGGTGTCCTGATCAGAATCCGTTTCGTCGCTCTCGGAAGGCTCGCTAGGAGTGTTGTTGACGCCCGGCTTAACCGTCTTGGGTGCAGCTGGCGCTCCAAAGGTAAACTTGGCCTTGGCAGCCGTTTGTCCAAACGTGAATGGCGTCTGAGCCTTCTTCTGTGGAACTTTCGAGGGTGGTAGAGATTCTTCATCAGACGAAGACGTGTATGATGATGCGGAACAGTAGACCGGCTGAGGTGAAACGGGTCTGGCGGCAACCTTTCCCAGTCCCTGTTCAAGGTGGTTAGAGTAACTGGACAGTAGTTAGCCAACGCCCGGATGAATGATCTGAAAAGGGGTTCTTGTCAATACGCTTCCACAATGTCGCTAATGTACTCAGCACGCTTGGGCTTCTGCTTGGTGTACTTCGCGGTGATCGCGCCCCTGTCGATTCGCTGGTTCTGCTTGTGGATGCCAAGAGTTCCGCGCGGATCGCTTTCCGGAGCACGGGATCCTTGGAATGTTTGACCATCCTGCGCAGGGAACACGGCGAATACGGCGGAGGCGGAGACGAGGCGTAGAGCTGGTGAGATATTGTGTTTAGGAAGATTGTTGGAGGGCGCTTGTTTGTGTTGGTGGAAGCACAGAGCAGCATAAACATAGCTGACTCAGCCAGCGCGTAGAGAGGAAAATTTCCATTTTGAGAATTTATCCCTGCACAATTGACTTGAACTGTATTGCTCCCAGGAACGCAGCCAAAATCTTCTCCAATCTTCTCGGTCTTCCTTTATTTTTGCAATCATGGAGGAATGGCGTGCAATTATTCTCTGGGACGGATCTCACCGTAGCTATTTCATCGCATTGGGTTGCTCGACCTAGATATCCTTGGCAGCTGGAGAAAGCCTGGCACTTGAAAGGTTTGAGGGAGTTGATTTGCTATGACGGTGTTTTTTCGTCGAAAGTATCTGCTTAACAAGCAAAGCTCATCCTTCTTGTTTCTCTTGGGAGATGTGTGGCGACATCTGGGATCTGGAGTGCCGTTGCCAAGCAGCGAGCCCATCTTGCGCCGGAGTTGTCTAAGTCCGGTGTGAACCATGGGCCAGGTTAATCGCCCTGCGGAGAGAGGTATCGGTGGACGAGCTGGGAATAGCAAGCTTGGCATGGCACTCAAACAAAAATGCCATTAGACGAACCTGTTATGGTCCTTCGCTTCAGTGTATGCGGAAATAGAGTTGTGGGTTCCCTTGTTTCGCCGTGGGGGTAAGTGGTTTCCTTGCGGACGAGGATCATACCATTCAGTTCACGAGTATCTGGGTCTAGAGGAGAATAAAGGTGGATGTGCCAATCCAAAGGCGGAGAGGACCCTGTTTGACAGTGTCGTTCTGGCAGCACCGGAGATTCGTACCCCGGATCGTGGTCCCCACGGGGATGATTACCCCGGTCCCACCAGCCCGACCCTCTCAGCGACGCGCGGTTGACATTTTCCGGGGAATCTCGTGGCAAGCGAGGATGTTTGATTGGCTTCGATACGAGGTGGATTAAGAAATGGGCGTGCTGGCTTGGAGAATCTTGTCGGGGCTGCCAATTCTTGGTGCCCAGGCCCGGGTATAAAGCCTGCTATGCGGTCTTTCTCGTTCTCAGAATCATCAAACCATTTCATTTCCTTTCCGCATCTTTCCCTATTGTCACCATTGAACCCTGCTACGATGACCTCAGAGAAGAGCTTTGGCCACCGCGACGAGCCTCTAGCCACAGAAAAGCGCGACGAGGCGTTTGTGGAAGATGCGAGATCCGTGGATGAGAAGGCTCAGAGGAACCATGGCGACTACTCTGGAGCCGTTGCAAAGACAGACCCTGCGGAGATTCAGCTTGTCCGCAAGTTGGATAGGAGAATCATGCCTATCGTCTGGGCCATGTACTTCTTGAACTACGTGAGCGATCTTACCCCGGCCATGATGAAGGTATCAAGTTGAACTGACATGCATTCTGTTAGGTCGACCGAAACGCGATCGCAAGCGCACGCCTCAACGGTCTTGAGGAGGACCTCGGACTTCACGGCACCCAGTACAATACCTGCATTTCCATCCTATTCGTCGGGTTCGTTCGCCTAAACTTCCTCTCCGCTACAACCTTATACTAAGCCTTCAAAATCAGATACCTCCTCATGCAGATCCCATCAAACATGCTCATGTCCTCCGGCAAAGTCCGGGCCTCCGTTTATATGTCCCTGTGCATGGCAAGCTGGGCCGTTGTCTCGGCCTGTACGGCGCTCACGAAGAGCTATACTGGGTTGGTGCTGGTGCGGTTCTTCCTGGGAATCACAGAGGCGCCCTTCTACCCCGGCGCCCTCTTCCTGCTGTCATTGTTCTACACACGAAAGGAAATTGCGCTGAGAATTTCCATCCTCTACTCGGGAAACATCGTGGCAACCGCCATGAGCGGCCTCATCGCCCTTGCAACCTTCGAAACACTAGACGGAAAACACGGACTAAAGGGCTGGCAGTGGCTCTTCATCATCGAAGGTGTTGTGACCTTTGGCATCGCAATGCTCGGCCTAATCATGCTCCCCGACCACCCACTTACAACCCGGTGGTTAACCCCTGAAGAGCGCGAGCTCGCACACACGCGCATCCTCGCAGACACGGTTGGAAGCGAGAGCTCAAAGGGAGTCCTCGCCGGATTGAAAGAGGCATGCCGCGACCCGCGACTCTATCTCCTGGCTTTCATGCAGAACATGCACCTCAGCGCCTGCAGCTTCAACAACTTCTTCCCAACCGTCATTGGCAGCCTTGGATTCAATTCCACCATTACGCTGGCTCTGACATGCCCACCGTACCTCGTCTCCGGCGTCGTCGGCGTCATTGTTGGGATCACCTCGGGCAAGTACAACGAGCGCACGTGGCACATTACAATCACGATGGGCATCGCCGTCATCGCATTCATCATATCCTGCGCGACGATGAATACAGCAGCTCGATACATCTGCTGCTTCCTCTTCACGAGCGGCGCGTACGCGGTCAACTCGGTGATTCTCGGGTGGGTCTCTGCGACGCTGGGCCAGACGGCTGAGAAGAAGGCGGCGTCGCTTTCCGTCGTCAATGTCGTTGCGAATGCGTCGTATATCTACACGGCGTACCTCTACCCGGAGTCCAATGGTCCGCGGTACCTGATCGCCATGTCGAGCAATGCGGCGTTTGGGGCCGCTACGATCATGAGTGCTTGGGCGTTGCGCTGGTGGTTGCAGGCTACAAATAGGAAGATTCAGCGCGGTGTACTGCCTGGCGCGGAGGATGGGGTGTTTTACGCGTACTGAGTTGGGCTGGGCTCAGTACATGCTTGAGCTACTATCGAGCAAGATTCGTGACATGATAAGACATGGTAGTGCTTCGATGCGGGTACTTCCTGCGTATAGTGTGATTAGGCCAGTGGCTCATAGCAGACGAAATCAATGATAAGAATGCCCTGTTTTGGAAGTCATAATCTCCCATCACCCTCACCCAAGTTTCATCAAGGCACAAATGGACTGTTTGGACAAGGCGGAACAAAAAGACCTACAGTACCAGGGAAACTCGTCCTATCGGCAGAGGCGAGATCATCCAGTACGGATATGATGCGGGTGATGGCGAGTATCACATACAGGGTTTCCACATCCATCTGCGAGGATACCTGAGGAAAGCAAGAAACTAGGCTCTCAGGTGGTCAGGTAGTCATCGGCCTCGGAATCCCATTCAGCCAGCCTGTTGTTGTTGTCCTGGTCATAGTAAGGTATTTTGGAAACAGAAGCATCCAGCTTGGGAAGTCTGACAGAGATATATTTGGAGAGGAAAATTATGGATTCGGTAGCTTAACGTGGGGAAGCGGTAAATGGGGAAGTGAGGGAGAAGTTAGACACTCCCACCCAGGTACACTATCTTGTAATCATCACGCAAGGAGAGGTTGAAGGCAATCCCAACTCGCTTACACATGGCCTGGATCGGTGCGAAATGCTGGTCTATCGCAGCCAAGATACGCACATCTGCTGGCGGGCGATGGGGCCCTCTTGGCTGTGGGTGTGAGCTCTCCGCGACTGCTGAATAAATGTATATTTGCTCCAGGTCAGGGAACAGCTCTTTTCGCCCGGAAAGTACACCGAGAAGGCCGTCCGCGAGCACAGCCGAATGTGCTTCATCGCAGTGCGCCACATGGAGCGATTTCAAGCTCCTCGGTAAGACGTCTTTCAAAACGAGCAGGGCGTGATTATCGCTGGGATGAAGGTTGAGGAGATTCTGGGCCCGTATGCGGAGGTCGCGCAGCTTCTCGAACTGGGCAAATGAGCCAAACCATCGGTCAGCCGGGTCAAAGTCGTCCGCATCATCAGGCTCCTCTATCCCGACCCCAGACTCTCCCTTGTCGTTTAGATGCAGTACCTCAAGGCTATGCCTTTGGCCCAATAACGGTTCGCGAAATGCCCGGACACGAAAGTCGCGGTAGCCAATCTCCTCGACTTCGTTTTCATGCTGATAGACGAATTCTCTGAGGTTTGCGCACGCGCTGATCAAAAGCCCCGCCCCGAAGTTTAGATTGCACTGAGTATATAAGTTGAGGGTTTCGATAGGCGATGTACCGACAGCATCTTTCATATTAAAGTGGGCCGCGCGGACCTTTGGCAATTCACCGTTGGCGTAAGGCCCGTCCTTGACCTTATCCATGGAGAGATGTCGAAGAGAAGGTAGGCGTAGGAATGAAACTATTTCTATAAGAGAAATGTAGTCCGTAGGGTCATCCGGGTCCTGTACTGTGAATTCCACTCTACTGAGCGACTGCAACGATGGCTGTGTATCAAATGGAGGTTCTCGGTAGGAAGCTCCCAGGACAACGGTTGACATCCACAAGGAAGGCCCAGCGGCGCCCCAGGTGAGTGTCGTGAGATTGGGTACAAGTGCAAGTAAAATGGCAGTCCATGCATCTGGATGAGAGCCGTGCAGATCTCTGCACCAGTCGGTGGCCTTTTGTGGTGACTTGGCGATCTTGTCCACGAGGGCCCGCACGTCTGCATTGATAACAGGATAGTCGGGCGGTTGACGGAATCCATGCTGATTCAAGACATCTATACGGCGGACTGAGAGGGCGATCTGAGCATTGCCCAGCAGAGTCTCGATGAGTTGCGGTATCTGCAGGGTCTCGAGTTCGACGGCGCTGTAAACAGCCTCGAGCAAAGTGTCGCGCCAGGCGCGGCACACCCGGAGCAGATTGAGACGATCTGTATGTTCAGGCACCTCGTCCGCGATGGCGAGAACAAGCTCAGTTGGCAGGCGATCCATTGCTTCAGGACGAGAAGTGTTTTGCAGCAAGGAAGAAAGATGAGGCCAGTCCCTGCGGCTGAGCTGATCCTGCGCCTTGGCACCGCAAATTTCCCCTCCTTCCTTTTTCGTCCATCTCGTGGCCACGCCTGCTTTCCAGGAGAACAAGCTCACTTCGGGCGAATGGATCAATCGGGCAAACTGCAGATTGCTCGCTCACTATTCAACCGACACGATGATGCAATTCGCGTGTTTGTCTTCAAATCTGGGGAAACGCGCACAATTTCTCCGGCTTGGCGCTGATCACTCCGCATGCCCCTCCGTGGGGAAGACGTTGGATTGTCCAGATCCTTCGCTGCTGGTGCTCCCCTTGTCCAATGGACGAGTCCCTGGGGGTACTCGCTTCGGCTTTTCTATCGCCGACGATGAGCTCATTCTGCACGAAAGCTTCATGAGCTTGGCCTTGTACCTACCCAGACCGTGACGCGAACTCCCTTGACCCGACACCTTTGTCTGAACGGCACAATTAATTCAACCGGGCCGGCGTAATATAAAGCAAGGCCTCGCCCCTCCATACCAGACAAGACACCACACATCACCTGGTTGCTTGAACCCACCTTGAAAACATGCTCTCCTCCTTTGTCCTCCCGGCGCTCGCCCTCATGGGCACCGCTGATGCAAGACCACACTCGCCACCACGAGGGCCCCCTCCCGCCTTCTTTCTCGCCGGTGACTCGACGACCGCTCCGGCCGGCGGATGGGGCGACGCCTTCGTCGCCAGCCTCACAAAAGGCTCGACTGGGATCAACTTCGGTCACAGCGGCGCGACCACATCATCCTTCCGAGCAGGCGGCGACTGGGACGAGGTCCTCACCGCCGTAAAGAACCACACCAAGACCCACCGTCCGTTTGTGACCATCCAGTTCGGACACAATGACCAAAAGACCGAGGAGGGATTGGCCGTCTTCCTGGACAACCTCGTTCAGTTCGACGAGGAGGTACGCGCTGCCGGCGGCGAGCCGATCTTCTTAACCTCACTCGAGCGTCGACGGTTTGCTAGTGATGGGACCATAACACATACTCTGGATAATGTCGTCGCGTTGACTATTGAGGCGGCGGAAGAGACGGGAGCCCGGTGGGCGGATCTGAATGCCGCTTCGAGGGCGTATCTCGAAGCGATTGGGCCTGAGAATTCCGCTACGTATAACCTCGACGAAACGGATCGTACTCATCTGAATGATGCGGGAGGCGTTGTGTTTGCCGGTTTGGTTGGGCTGTTACTCGAGGGCCTTGAGCCGCGATTTGCGAAGTACATTGGTACTGATCCAGAGTTGGAGGCCGCGCTGAAGGCAGGCGAGTACTTCTACCCGGAATGATAAAACAGTATATCGAGCCCGCGGAGGATAACGTTTGGGCGAGTCCGTTTTATGTATCGAGATCTTCCATATCTGTCTTCCCCTATTGAATATATCTAGTTTTGGAGCCAGTGCATACAGAATCAGAGTTTATCCACAAGCACCCTTTCAGAAAATTGTAGATCCACCCAACCTGTTCCAAGCCAGGCTTCTCCGATCAAAAATCGCTTACAGCCCTGCAGCATTGACAAGGAACTGCGCCGCCTCAGCCGCATCCCCACCGTACGAGATATGCGCCAAAACGTTTGCACCGTTCAAGCAAACCGGGTCCCCAGTCGCACACCACGTCTTGAAGTTCTCAATGTTATCGGGCTTCTGCGTCTTGAAGGGGTCGCCGAAAGTGACAGCGCCCACGACCTGTCCAGCAGAAAGCTTGCCGGCCGCGTTGTGCACGACCATGGCGCCCTGCGAGTATCCGCCGAGAACGACCTTGGTGTCCGGGCACTGCTTCAGCGCTTGCTCAACGAGCGAGGCCATTTCGGGCCCGCCGGCTGCGCCGAGTGCTACGTTTCCCTGTGGTTTGTTAGAGCTTCTTCCTCTGGATGGCGTGAAAAGCGGAGGGGGGTACGTACGGTCGCAGAGGCAGGATAATCGACGCCCTGGATAGCGACCTTGCCACCGGTAAGCGAGTCAAGCTCGCTGCCGACCTTGGGCCCGACGACCGTTCCCATGTTTCCGATCTCGGTCGTGCCGCGGGCGAAGATGAAGGTCAGTTCCTTGCAGCCCGTGTTGTCGGTCACGTCGTTGGAGGTCGAGGAGCCTAGTCAGTACATCCATGTTAGCAAGGTAGTCCATCTATACCCCCCGTAGCTCCGGTAGCTCACCACCAAACAGCCCGCCGAGACCGCTGAGCCCGCTCAGCCCACTCGACGACGAACTCGAAGAGTCCGAGTCGGAAGAGGACCCCAAGTTGCCGAGCCCGCTCAGGCCACTGAGGCCACTCAATCCGCTGCTTCCGCTGCCGGTTGTGCTAGTACCAGTACCGGTGGAGGCCGCCACAGCGCTGGTCGTGGTGGCACTGCCAGAGCCAGCGGCAGACTCGGAGCTGGATCCAGATCCAGAGCCAAGGAGGGAGCCCAGGTCGGAGAGGTCAAAGCCGCCGCTGGAGGAGGAGCCCGGCTTGGGAAGGAGGGAGGCTAACGAACCGAGACCAAATTGGCGGGAGTTGAGGGTAGGGGTCGGGGCGCTGAGAGCGCTGGCGACGAGGGCGAGGACAACGGCGGCGGTCTTCATTTTGATTGACTCTTGAGTGAGGGAGTGAGTGATTGGAAAGTTGGTGGGCGTTTTAAACGAAGGTGGAAATCGAGCACAGCTCTGATTTGCAGCGAGTGAATGGAATGAGTGACGAGATGAGATGGGCGCGGCGAGGCGAAAACAGGTCGAGGCTTGCTCTTGTCGCAGGAGAGAAAGGTTGAGGGTATTCAGGGTTTATATACTGCAATGGGCACAGGGACAGCTCCCTCGGCGTTTCAGCAGTGCTGCAGTGGCCCTGCTCTGCTCCGAGACTAAGCCCTGCGCAATATACTGCATGGTGCCCACTATCCCAATAATTCTCGAAGCCAATTTGTCCATAACCAAGATCAGATAGATCTTCTCTCGGCTTCTGTACTTTGTTTCACTCGATCTGATTCCCGAGGGCCAAATGCCGAGGCCGAAAGCCCATGAAGCATTGGTGCGACGCCTAGTTTAAGCCCCTGCCCGCACCATCCCCCGAAGCGGATATAGTTGCGAAGGGGAAATCTTGATTTCGGGTTCGGAAGCGTCGGATATCGGGTGTTTGTTTGTTGACCCTGGTCTAGCCTCCAGAGCTGTAGATCGTTCGTTGTCTCATCGTGAGACTTGGATGTTTGTCGGCTGGTCAGATGATGATACATCGCGCTGGGCGAATATCGACAGATTACCACCGTGTACTTGATCGCCTTGAAGCAAACAGTCAATATCCACGGCATCCAAGGTCAGCCAAGGGACTCGGAACCAAGATGCAAAGTGTACCTGTGCTGGAATGCAGTAAACACCGTTCGTGAACCGTCAGTGCTGGAAATTTAGCCTGTGCAGACCCACCACGGCCCCTGGGGAAACTTGAAGCTTGGCCCAAACGAACTTGAGACCTCCCCACAATTCTTCTCGAGCTAGGCGCATCTTCCTAATTAAGGGGTACCGCCGCCGAACCTTCTGTCGCTCCACAAAAGCCTCAAAAATTCGACGCCTTGATTATGGTCAGACCACACCAGACGGACCCAGTGCTCACAAGACCGTTACGGGCCCGGCCCTCGGTAGATTGTCGGCTCCGAGAGTCTGCTTATCTACGTCAGTAAATACTTATCTACTTATCTTGGTTGTTTTCTCACGACAAACAGTCTTGGGAGTAGCGAGGCTGGTGACCTCTCGTAATTTAATCTCAAGCATTGCCCGCTCCCAGGGCATACATCATGAGAATATCGTTACCCTGGAGACTTCGACCTGATGCTGGAATCGCCATCTTCTCTACTTCCAACCCCACAACCAGTGGGACGCGGGCGTCGAGCCGAAACTGTCAGTCTGTTTGTAGATCGCATTCCACGTGCCTCTGGAGTCTGTCAGGCAGACCTGGTGTCGGCGATGTACCTGGGCATGGCGAGATGGCGCTTAATCACGGTATTTGGTCTTCCAACAGAGTTCATGCTCGAATCATTTCTTCAGTGCTGCTCTGTTAGGGCTAAAGAATCTCCGAGCCCCTTGATCTTCGCAGTATGTGAGTGAGGGAACAGCGCGAGCGAGATTCTCGCGACCCTTCGTACGGTCAAGCCGTCAGTCAGTGCGGAGAACTCGGATTTACGCTGTGTTCGAGGCACAAAAAGTCCTTACTCTCCTAACTTGTGCTTCCAAGCAGCTCAGTCACATCGAAAATGAAGATTCAGTCGGGTAATGGTGATTTGCGGGGTACACTACGCAGGGGCGGCGATTGTGTGAAGTTGAACTAAGATTTTATATATTCCTCAATATTAGACAGGATATGAAGTCGATTGGCTCTTATATTCGAACCGCATGCCGCGGTGACAGACATCAGAGTCTATTCTATCGAAGTCATAGATATATCTATCTGACATTTCGTATTACCCTGTCTACCCTCCACTAATACACTGTTCCTTGGGACACACATAGGCCGGCGATGCCAGCCATCTCAACATCCCGTGTGATGTATCCCATAGGACGTTAACTTCGCACAGAATAGGTTCAAGGACCGGCAAAACAATAGATGCAGTGGAGAACCGGGTCACAGGCGAGAGCCCACCGTCTTGGCGTCCCATATCGACACCACCCTACCGCCGACAACCAATATTCCCATTCTGATACCGCACACACCGATACGGCTTGTCACAATAGTATCCATACAGGCAGCAATTGTGATAGTCCGGGTCAATGCACGAACGGTTCTCGCAGCACCTATCATCATGTTGGCAGCAGAGGTTGCCGTCCTGGCAGCCGACGGGGTAGTTGGGGTCCGAGCACGCGCGGGCAAGCAGCATCTTTGCGCCTGCGGGGGTGGAGCCGACGCCGCGCGAGGTATCCCTTTCGTCGGGGCTGTGGGCGGCGATCACGGTGGAAGGGTCGGCTTCGATGGTGGTGCCGTCATCGAGGGTGAAAGTTTCGAGGGTGGCTGCGAGGGTTGTTTGCGCTGTTAGCGCGAGGAGGAGGTATTTGAGTTGCATTTTGAGCTTGGTAGATGGAGAGAAGGAGAGAGGAGTCTTGAGTAGTTGGTTTCGAGGAGACTTCTGGTGACATTGATGCCCTTCTTATAGGCTGCGCGACACCCTCCCTGCCCTCAGAAGCACAGCCTCCATGTGGACAGTGATAGGCATACGATACGAAGTCTGGTTCGACATCTGCGAATGAGATGTTGAACAGCAGGCACAGCGTAGATCATCCATGTTGATCCTCGTATTGCGGCTCTCATGTCAGGGAACTCAAGCAGAAATAGACTTTCGAACCGCAAAATAGTCGAGCTACTGGCTGACGCCCGGCTGGGACTTGCGTGGGTTGACACTCTAAATGGACGATCAGTTCCTGGAGAGACAAAGCCCTGTCCGCTAGACGAGAGCTCAACACGTACAGCAGCACAGGCTCGCAGCCCAAGGCTCCTTTCGGCCCGACGTACTACTGTTCCCTGGAGAGACATGTCTGTCGATGTCACGCTCAAATGTGTCGTCTTATAAATCTGTTATACCGCACAAATACGCTGCTTATGAACTGCTGACTATTCTTAATCATCAAGGCTGCCTTTTCCGTTCTGCTCCAATCACGATGCACCTCTTCCCCACTGCTCCCCACTTGATTAACTGGCAGGATGGGGCTAAGCCTGAATCGGCCGCTGACAGTCTTCAGCCGCACGCTCCAGCTTCAGGATAAATCTCACCCACCAGCGCCTCTGAGGACGAGAACGAGGAGAAGATCCGCATCTATCTCAGGCAGCTTCACAAATGCAGCCAACAACAAAGGAGCCGCGGCTGCCCACACCGCTAGGCGGACCCCACGTCCTCTTCGACGGCTCATTCATTCTCGAGTTCCTACAGCCCGCTCCCGAGCTGAATGCCTCTGTGCTGATGCGCGCGACGTACAAAGGGGGTCATGAACTGACGAAACTGGGCAAGAATCATCCTCAGGCACCGCCGCTCCACATCCATTTTGCGCAGAGCGAGAGCTTCCTCGTTGAGGCTGGGGCAGTCGGTACGACGACCACATATGACGCGATAGACACGGTGCATACGACAAAAGCGAGCTATAACCAGGTTGTTCCACGGCAAGGGCTTTCGCCGCCTGTGCCGAGTCGCAATGGGGATGGCGCGACGGCCATTCCCCCGTGGACGCCGCACAACTTCTGGCCGTGCGTACTCTTCACATCCGAGGCTTGGTGTTGATCAACTAACTTGCCATAGCGTCGCTCCAACCCATCCCTTTTGGGCTACTCCCGAGGGAGCAGAATACGAGAGCACCCTGCCAAAGTGTCGCAACTCCGACACCACAGTCCTGATCTGGGGCTATCCGAAGTCCACCACTGGCGCCCCAACGGGTACACTCACGACCGACTTCCCACCTGACATGGACGCCGCGTTCTTCCTTGCACTACTTGGTCTCGTCGACGCCGTCAGTTCAAAACGTCTCGCGATGACACCGAGTTTATTCGCGACGTTGTTCTCCATGCAGACTGTGAGTGAGTCCGCGATGATCATGGCTCCGACCGCTTGGTGGCTGGGGTCTTTAAGGTGGCGGATTCCGTGGACTGCGCAGGTTGCCCTAGAGAAGGTGCGGAAGCTGCTTGGTGGAGGGAACCCGGTCAAACTTGTCGAGGATGTTATTGAGAATGTAGTTGTCAAACGGCAGTGAGACCTGTCGTTCTATATAGTTTATCTGCCTGCGAGAGATAATTAATTGATACTGTAATATCTTGGAAACCTAGCATTATATGCTCGAGCCTTGCCGGAGGTGCAGCCTGGGTGCCTTACGCGAAAACTCTTTCACCTTGGTCCATCCGACCTCCTCTGTATGAAATAACCCGTCGAGGATGCTGTTGGATCATTCTGGAACGAGAGCAAAGCCTCAAACCATGTGCAGAGACAAAACATACGCCTCCAGGCTAAGGCATTCTCCGAAAAGCCAGGCAGCTTTGTCAAATCCCGTGGTTAAAACCCAAGAGGCAATTCTGTCACGTCACATCGCAGCCTTGCGAGCATTCCACTGAAGCCAAGAGTGCCAACGTTGTTGCGGGGTGAGAGCGCAATTTCGTCCCCCTGGCGGCTTCACGAATGTAAGGCTGTGCAGCGATTCGCCATTGGTTCTGTCCATCACTGAGCTGAGCAATCACCTGATTGATCTCTACCAGGAATTATGCGCTGACTTGTCCTCGGAATGAGAGCCCGACTCTTAGCTACTCCATCACGCGGCCGGAAACGATATGGTAGTCGTAGTGTTCCATGGGTTTCACCTAGAAAACCCTTTCAAATAGACTACACGACATATCAGGGATCGCATACACGATTCAAACCAAGTTATCTTCCAACTAGGTGGCAGGAATATGGCTGAAACACTTGACCTAAAGCCTTAGTTGGACTGCGTCGCCGGCTGTCGTGCAGCCATGTTCGTCCGTGTATACAGCGCCATCGTTTCTTGGGATCCTTCCTGTCTGATATGAATTAATAATAGGTACACCTCCGCTGAGCACTCCATGCTAACCCTCTGTGAGTGGAAACTGGAGCCCAAGGGCATCGATCTACCCGGGAAACCAAGAGGTTTGTGCACCGCGTAACCATCACCGACGATGATTGCTGTGGCGGGATATGTTCGGTGTGGAAATTGGGGACCAGACAACAGAACTGCATCAGGACACCGACCTCGAGAAATAGACTACCACGAACCTCATGGGCGTTGATGGGAGCTGGTCAGCACGCTGGTCGAGAAGCAAAACGTTCCCACAACAGTACCAGAAGAGTGGTGCTACTAAGCTGGCGATTTGTCTCCTTCAAGATCCTACTTGGGTAACGGCGTTTCCTGTCCTGGGGCCATGATCTGTGGATTCGGGTACTGGAGTGAATTGGGATTACCAAACTCCTTCAGAGCGAGCACCACTGGGGAGTAGTGCTCCAGAGCCTCTCGCCAGAATTTCACAGATCTTTGACCAGTGACGGGCGCAAGGTGATTTCTCTAAAGCGGATTTTCGAGGCCGCGGCACAGCGTTTGCTTGATTGCGAGAAAGCGTGTAGACTGGCTTTGTGATCGGTTAGATGCGAATTTCTGATGAGTTCCAGAGTGTCTAGAGGGAGGGAAAGAAGCGATGGCATAGTTCAACACGAGTCAGGTCGGTCATGTATGCGATGGTAGGCTGGGGGTCCTGTTTGGACCATTCTACTGTTCAAATCTAGGGAGCTTTACTGGTATTCCTGGATATGACTAATGGAATAATAAGGGTTAGAATTAGAGTTAATAGCGGAAGCCCGTTTATGTTATCACCACAGGATTTATTAATCCACCAGGGAGCGATTAGCGCTACAAGACAGCTAAAAGTAGCCAGGAAAGGACTATTAGCGCAATATAATTAAAGCGAGGCGCTTAAAGCCATCTTTCGTCGGTTGAGCTTGCAAAGCTTCCCGGTGTCTGTAGCACGACTGGAGCTTAGGACCTTACTGTAGACTGGAAGAATGGGACAAGAAGGAAATATAAACTGCTATATTTTGCCCACTTAATTCTGACCGTGGTATGTATCCAAGATGAATGCCGCGTCCTCGTGCTCTGAGTTCCATCTGTGTGCTGCAATTGTAGAACAGTTGATGGGGCCATCTAGAATGGGATCCAACGATCGGGCCCGAGCCAGCAGCTCCGCCAGCAGGAAGCACACGAGGAAGATGGTCTGGCCCAGATTGTAGTCGTTACTGGTCATCTTCAAGTCCTGCAGGAGTGTGCTTGCCAGTGCCTGTGACATGTTCGCTCGATCAAGCTGCAAGGCGAAAAAGGTCACACAGGCAAAGGTGCAGACCCGCGAGTCAATCTGAAAGTGCCTTTAAGCGCTGACAGCTAGTATAGACAGGGGATATGGTACCTTTCGGACGATCTTCTGCTCCTCCTTTTCGGTCCATTCAAACTCCGGGTCCCAGCGGTGGATGCCCTCATAGCTGTCAACTGGACGGTAGAAGCGATAGTCCTCCGTTGCCTCGAAGGTACTGTATCCCCCATGATTTCGCTTTTGTCGTTCGTGGTTACCAGAACCGAGGATACTGCCTGGGCGAATTGCCTGTTTCGCTAGCAGAAACCTGCACGGACTTGGATGCTTCCACGGCCATGATGCCGGGTGGAGAAGAAGAGGGAGTAATGTCTCGGATACTCAAGAGACCTTTGCTCAAAGAAGCTCTCTCATGTCTGTAAATGTGGTGGTTATATAGCACTATAGATCTCGTATGTCGTTTTCTTTTTGATAAATTGGATCATGAGTACTGAACGTGTAGAACCTGTATCCCCTCAACCGGACGGCGTCCTTGGCCGGGCTCTAGCTAGTATCTAGCTTTGATTTACGATGTTGAATGCCATCTTGGGCCAATGCTATCTGCGTACTAGGAGGAAACTGTCATTGGGCTGTGATGAAGGTGTCTGTCTATGCGGGCTGCATCACCCAGGAGGCTTTATACGCCATCCTCGCGTCGGGGCTAATACCTCGGCAGGTACTTGTTTATAGAATACGCAATTGAACCGTAAGTAAAGTCTATCTACAGAATAAAGGTCATCGTGCAGAATGTTCTGGCATTTGTCGGGCGATTAAACTAAAGCTTTGGGACATTGTGCGAGACAAGTGAGTCCGGAGATATCCATATTACTATTTCACAAAGGCTTTAATCACAACGTCCTCCGACCGACAAGCTTCACACCTGCAAGACACTACAAGCAATGGTCCGGATTACCATCTGGATTTCCCCACCATGTCGGAAACGGCCGTTCTGTGCCACTTGCCCCGAGCACCGCAAACGACAGAATGAACACGATAAGCTGCGATCCACCGTCCAATGCGGCCCCAATCAGATAGTTGTAGTCGTTATAAATCTTCGGCATCCGACGTCGGAGCCACACCTGGGAAAACACACCCACCGCAATGGAGGACCAGATCCACGACGTATTGCCAAAGTACATCTGCCCGGCCCACGACGCAATGATCGCCGTGTTCAGCGGCCATTGCCGAATCCGCGGGAACACCCTCATCAGACCCCAATGCAAGAAGGGGAGGGCAAGGCCAATGACTAGACCCAGGGGCACGATCACGTATCGTCCACTAACGCCGTATACTTCCTTGGCCAGCGACCATGTGACGGCCTGCGAGTTGAGAGACTGTACGGTCGAGCCGCTCCAGACGTTGTTCCCAATAGGGTCGAGCAGGATTTCGCGCTGGTTGGTGACGATCGTGGTCATCACGACATAGTTCAGCGCGGCCCCAAGGAGAGTCCCATACACCTGGGTGGCGAACATAATGCGATGCGGCACTTTGGTGTACTGGCCGACCTTGAGCCAGTTCGACAAGTTGACCGACAGGAGAATGACTTGGTGCGACCAGCTGGCGAAGTAAAGACCTGCAAGAGGTCGACCGGGGTGAAGGGCGCCGGCGATCATCTTGGAGAGTTGGTTGGTTGCAATGCCAGTCCCGTAGAGGCCATAGAGAATGCAGGAAAATGGGGCGATAAAAGCGCCCAGAAGCAGAGCGATGATGTAACCCCATACCGGCAGCGTAGTCTGTCCTTTAATGTTTACGATCAGCCCGGCGAAGAAAGCCAGGGCGAAAAGAACCAGGTACCACCACATTGGGACTTCCTTGTATTTCAGCATGCCCTGATAATGGCGGTCCGGCTGGGTTCTGCGGCGTGCCTGCTTCCATGCGAGAACCATGTCTTTGCCGTAGAAAATGGCAACGTGGGTGATCAGTGCGCCAATGGCCAGATTCTGCGTCAGGTAGCCCCAGACGGTGCTGGAGGTCAGATAGGGCAGACCGACGTCTTTGAGTTTAGAGAAGTCGACCGTGCCTTTGCTGTCCACGATGGACGTTGCGGAGAACTTTTCTCCACTGCTCAAGAACAGAGACGTCGACATGAAGGGGAACTTTTTCGCGTCCCAAGCGTTGCCGTATTTTTTTTTGTTGTTGACGGCATACTAGATGACATATCCAATCCACGTGTTGACCTGCTGTTTGAACGGCAAGGAGAGATAGGTGCTCTGGATGTACTGCCAGTCCAGGGAAAAGTTCAACAGACCCATTCCCTCATTGGACGAGGCTCCTCCAAATATTGTAGTGAACACTGTCCGGATGTGTTTCGGCGCCTTCATCGAGGCCAGACAGAAGATGGAGATGCCTCCGAACCAGGTCACTATGTAGGATGGAAAGAGCTCCCACACTGCAGCAAAAGTAAGAGCCCAACCGAACTTGATGAGACGGGACTTGTTGGATCGGGGCTCAAAGTGAAGATTCTGATAGAGCACCACTTGAGGCAGTGTGGACCAGTAGACCATCTCGGCCGGATAGACAATGAGCGGCCGGAGTAAGCCTGCCAGGACAAACCCGCACAATGATATTGAGAAGGTCGACAGGACCGCGGTTGTCGCATTCACGCTAATGTTGTAGAATAGACGTTCAACAGCGTATACCTCGACTCCCGACAGGCCATTATTACCGGAAGATGCGATCAAAGCTGCCACCACATGCTCTTTGATGCCGAAGTGCTGGCCAAAATTGAGAAAGCGAATGGTAGTTTGGAGCCATTTCCATTTGAAGTTCTCTGGACGAGGTGTGATCATAGCCCATGTTTTTCCAAAGATAAACACCAGAACTGGAGGTGGTCTTGTTAGCATGTGCATGATCACAGAGCATCAACGGGGATGGGTTTTTACGTTGTATGAAGACGGCAGATACCTGGACTTGGTACGGCTTGAAGACATAGAGCATGGTAATGACACTCGACAAGGCCGTAAAGATGGAGCCCAAGACGATAGACCGGAAGGTCAGAGCGGGATCACCGTCGTCTCTATCCGATATGATGAAGTTGGAGACATCGTTTCCTTTGTGAGATCTGGTTAGAATACGAGAAATTGTTCAAGCAAAAGAATGGCTCACCATCCCGAATGACTGGATGCCCTTTGACATATTGCACCCCGTCATGAGACTGGGATCTCAGGGCATCCGGCTCATCCACACTGATCTTCTCATCGCTGAGCGTTGCTACCGGCCGTTCCGTCACAGTGCCGCCTTTAATGCCGGCGGCTGTCTTCGATACTTGTCCTTCGGCTGGATCTGGCATTGTGCGACCAGGTGAATCTCGAGGATCGGAGTTGTGAAATGGTGCCTCAAGGATTCCGGATCTGAAGAAAAACAAATCGTCGGAGATCCGGGTCTGAGGGTCATATAAGCAAGGACATTTCCACACGATAGAGCCCTTGCATTAGGACAGGTCCAGAAGAGCTAGGTGCATCCAGCGTTACATTAGCCATCACCCACTACCCGCATGATGTGATAGCCTGGCTTAATGGCGGAACAGGCATGGTTGGGTTAGTGCCAGGATAGCGTTGTTCGCCACGCAGACACTGGATCGTGTAGGAAAGGGTCCAAATAGATAGATATGCCTTCAAAGACACTTCTAGATGTGAGAGACTTCTCTTTACAATAGAACGTGGCTTGCGTATCTATCGTTCAGATAAAGTTCGACTGGGATACTAATAATCCTTGGCGATTGCTTGTCCCCTCAGCATCTTATCGCGCTTCCAAATCTCCGATGTAACCTCATCAAAGGACGGCACCGTCGGGAGAAGCCGCCGTCTTGTTTTTCGGCGGAGGTCCGGGTGGCTTCAGATAATGCCATTTTGAGCACGAATGGCGTTATCCCGAGAACAAGCTCGGATAGCCGAGCTCAAGCACGGATGCTGATAAAATTAGGCTATATGTGCAAGGAGGAGGGGGGCTTTCGCCATATCATATGACATAATGAATACAGGAGGTGGAGATGCGATTGCGCATTTCGACCTCAAAAATCTCCGAACTGGGCAAAAAACTATGGCTGTAATGGATGTCTAAACTATCACGTTACGGAGGCCTACGGCAAAACTTTGGGTTGGATGAAGTGGTTGATAATGTTAATATCGACCGCCTGCTTCTACAGGAAGTAGACGTTCGCCGTAGTAACTAGTTCTAATTGAATAATTGAGGCAGAAAGCAACGGGCATCATCAATGCTGGGTGCTCCAGAGTTGCGAGGTAAAACCCCGGGCAAGCGCACCGTTTTGAGTGATGGCAAAAAAAAAAAAAAAAAAAGAAAAAGAAAAAAACGCTAGTGTAGGAGATACGAAGAATTGGAGACCTCTGAATGGTTCCGGTCCGTTATAAATATTATAAATATTGTCGGTGTTAGGTGGCTGCCCAGGTGGGTAGTCTTGTGCCTGGAAAAGACGGCTGCCGTATGACAGGGAAGAACCATGATGTCTTAGAATATTTCCACCCAAGAATATCACGATATGCGGTACGTACTCTAGCCCGCGGAAGGCTGGGATATGGGTAAGCTGTGTCTGCGCAGCTGACACGATGGATAGTTGGTGGCAGGATGAAGGTAAATCCCCGGGTATCTTTACTGGTGAACACACGGACTGGGCCCTCGAAGTTCATCAGTGATTGCTTTTCAAGGCTGGGCTTTTATCTGCCAAAATATCTATTTATCATCACTACCTCTAGCACGGCTTCCTCTGTAAGCGCCCCTCACGCTAGCACAAAGCACGATATGCAGTTGGGTGGGCACCGTGATAATGGCAAATATCTCTACAACCTGACAAAGGCGAGATACAAATGGAGATATTATTGTCCGGGCACGATAGAATGTTAAGATGGCAAATCGTTACCAAATATCAGTCATCAACCTGGTCATTCACGACTGCATCCCCCTTCTCACTACGGATACGGCGATTGCGTTTGTTGTGAATCGAGACTTGATCAAGTAAACAGTGGAGCTTCATATACAGAATGCGTTCCATATTCAGGTTGGCTCCCAGTCAATCCGAATTCATCTTGTATATAACCCCTCAAGTTTTCAGATGTGAAGAAGAACAATGAATCTGCCTCTGAATCACAACGCGCTTGTTAGAACATGGTACGGTGGAAGTAGCTCTAGAGCTTTAACTTGGGTGGAGCCGGTGGCCAGAACGAGTGGCAATCCAGCCAGTGCGTAACGGGCTGAATCTATTTTGTTTTGGAGGTAACCGAGTGAATTCCTTTTATTATAAGTAAGCCGAACTGGCTCATCGAGGAAAGTGGGATAAAGACCAGGAAATCCCATGGTCGCGTTGCATGCCCAGTAAGCCCCAACACTAGGAAAGCCGAATGCAAATGGCGAAGAAGACGAGATTTCACCGTATCGTCGATTTACCGGCGCCAGTGGTATCGATGGATGGACAGTGTGCTTGGTAGTGCTGTGGATACGTTTCCTCACTTTTATGAGCGTAGGTCTGGGATACAGGTGCAGAACCATATCTTGCTATACGGGCCCAGCCATGCCTCCCGAACAAAAGCCAGGAGGTTGATAACTTATATTTGATTTTCATGCTAAGAGACCGATGGATACTATGTATCGTGGCACGTTTCGATTACCCGGCCATTATAAGGATCTAACGGAGGAAGGAACAAAGTCGCTGTTTATCAGGCACCGCCTCTTAAGGGCCTTACACAGTGATATTTCTGAAAACGGGTTGGTCTAAGGCATTGTTTTTCCAGCGAAGTGGAATTTTAGTGTATTATCTATTACAAAGGTCGAATTAAGCCACATTTTCTATTCACTTAATACTAAACAGAGCTCCATTGTGTAGAGCAATCGTAAGAAGAAAAGATATCTGTGGTAAACGACGGTCGATTAGAGTTTTAACTCCTAATTCTAAATCTGACAACCGATTAGAAAAAGCCAAACTAAAAGATTTATACAGTGTAATTCGTGTCTCGATTATTCTTTAGATATCTAATGAACATAGTTAGGATAGGCCTAGTTTTTAGCTTTCTGCGAGGTTACTTACTCCGTATATAAGGCTACTGTGAATAGCCACGTTATACAGTGGATTTCGCTACCTAAAAGTCTTAGAACGCTCTATTATAATCATAGTTGCGTCAGATAAAGCACGCAAATTGGAGAAGATAGGTATTGTAGAGACAGTCAATTCGGCATCGTCGTCAGAGTAATAGTACAGAATATTAGGATATGAGCGCTCACTGAGCCTTGACCGGTGATGAGAAAGACTTAGTGAGCGACCCTCTGAGCGGCCTCATCCAAATAGGGCAAGCCACGTTGGTTCTAGAAAATCAAGTCTGTACAGTGACATATGTTGCACTTTGGCTAGTATTTGGTGCGAGCATTTGTCGGGCTTCGTGGATGGGACGATGTACACTCTATTATAGGCGTGTAGGAGTGTAAAGCACGCGGATCATGTTACTATTAATACAGCTAATGCCTTCACGTTTTCATGTATGGAGATGACGAAAAAATAGAGTACCGTATTAGGACTACGCGCGTTGAACACCACTGTTAAGATCGATTCAAATTCAAAGTGGCTAAGACTAGTTATCCTATCTGCATCACGACACGTTCAGTCTCCAATGGATAATCTTTTCCCCACAGCTATCCATGAACGCTTCACCAACTAAAGAACACCTTCTGTCAATGGGACCAACGGTCACCGCATGCCTCATTCAGTCAGTATAAGCAGTAATGACCCGCTCGAGGTCCGCAACAACCTGATCCGCAAGAGCATTGGCAGTCGACTGAAGTCCAGCAGGAACCTTGGGAGTAAGCGCATCCCGCAGCGCCTCGCCGGCATCCCTAAAGTCGTAGAGGGTAGCAAGGACCTCGTCGTTCAATCCATCAGCGATAAACTCGTCCTCCGCGTCGATGATAGTATCAGCCAAGTCGTCAACGTCGTTGACAAGGCTCGTAACGCGCGAGATGAGCTGGAAGGTCTCGAGGACGGTCAGCGGGTCGAAGGTCGCGACGGCGGTCGCGGCATCGTTGAGGAGATCCACGAGCACCTCGGCGGAGGCTTGAACGGTGGTTCCTGGGACGGTTCCGGCGATGTAGCCGTTGAGGTCGGCGGCTGCGACGTCGATCTGGGCGATGGCCACGTCGAGGATCTCTTCGTAATCTTCGAGGTCGCGCTTCTTGGGGGTGGGGCCAGCGATGGCACCGGCGAGGAGCATGCTGGGGACAAGGAGAGTGGAGAGCTTCATGTCGGCTGTGGTACTTTAGGCCCAGGGAGGCTTTGTGATCTGGTTGTTGCTTCTGCTCTGGCTGCTGGCTGGGTTGATCATCGAGACGGGGCACATACGGTGTATTTATGTTTGTCCCCGCTGCCCGTCAGACTCTCCTCGCCTCGGTCGTCAACATCGATATGACTCTCCTTCTATTATGCTCGACATGTGTGCCGCAGTTACCGTCCCGTCGTCGCCGTCGTGATGGTGTAGATGTGATCCTTCTGCAGGCATTCATGGCTCAGCTCTCTTGGGTGCAGAGTGATGTCAACAGCACCTCACTCGGATTTCATTGTCTCTGACTCGGGTTGAATGACTGCACCGCTATACTCGCGCGGCAAGCAAGGTGACAATAACAGCATGACAACATCAAACGGACGTTATTCTATGACTCGACAGATGCTGCTAATGTGAACCCTTGGTCTGGCAGGTTAGCCTGAAGAAAAAAGATCGGGATGAGCCGCAGACTTTGGCTTCAAAGTGGCATCCCATGACCATCGTACAGCTTCCGTCGAACATAATTCTGAGCGATCTCTCATATACACGGCACTGAACCCTGGTTGAAGAGTCAGGAGCGTTGACTCACATCTGTCTTGGGCGAGGGATATGTACGGCCTTACTCGATGGTTGTATGCTTCCTCCCCATTCAGGCAATACGCGATCCTATGAGCGACGCCAATAAGGCACGATTTAGGAGATTTGACCTCTTACCTGCACCTCCCGAGGCCTGCTGAGAAACCGGAAACAGAGCATGGACCATGTTGCCGTACTCTTTGGCTCAGATATTTTGTAATAGCCAGCCAATGAGGCAGGGAAGAAAGCCAACCGTCGCAGAAATTATCTTAGTCGGGGCTGGGGCTCTAGTACCCTCCGTTGTAGGCGGTAGGTATCCAGTCTACCCTCCACAGGTCTGCTGCTCTTGCCTCTTGATCCTGTTTTGTCCCCCCTGCGTTCCGAGGCCTTCCTACCAACGCAGGTCCCCTGCTGGACCACAGCAATCTGCGCAGATCCCCACCATTGTACTCAATCTCCACAAGGTGTGCACTATCGACCGCATATACCTAACCACTGCCGATTCTTCAGATATCATTAATTGTGGAGCAACCGCACATCTTCAGACCTGATGGCGGTCGTCCATCCCTGTATGTCTGACTCGGGCATATATTAGCGATACGAGTTTACCCCATGTCACTCTACTTCGAGTTGCAGAATTCGTGCCCAGGATGTCGAGCCAACTGCGGGGTACGCGGGGCTGCTGCAGTTCGTGACCCTTGACCGACGTGACGAGGAGCGAAGGAGTCCCCATTATATGTCCTGCATATCCGATTTGTTGGTTAATCTAACGATTGACAGGGGTCGAACCCCGCCTTCCTGCAGATGAAGAGGAGCTCAATTTATCCCGGTATCGCTAGAGAGAGTCGTGCTCTGTCAAAGCGAGGGGCTTTACTTATTCAGGTGCGATGCAGGCCGAGGGTTAACCTGGTGGAGTTGTATCGAGATGTTCCCTGCGGATAGACACGATGTACCCTGTCGCCCACACAAGAGCCGAGATCTACTTCTTCACTGAGACAGCGACCGGCCTGTACATTTGGCGATGTAACGTTCGCTCAGCGCTCTATTTTGAGTATACACCGTCTAACGTAACATGTATCCTTGAACGCTCTGCCTCCCCGGCTTCGCTCCCACCATCTTCCACCCAGACTCAGCAAACCAACCCTACTCACAAACAAGCGTCACACTCTGAATCGTCACATCGGCCTCGACACACTGCGCCTCCTCCCCAACAGCAAATTCCCCAATCAACCCGGTCTCACACCCAGGCTCCGAGAAAATCTTAATAACAGGCGACGTCGAAGCGTCTTCGCACGCTCCACTGATGCCAGAGGAGCCCCAGCTGAGAATGGGGAAGCCTGCGACATTGACGCAGTACCCTTCGACCAGCGTCACGGGGCCGAGCGCCGTGGCGCAGCCTGCCTCAAAGTAGCGGTTGAATGTTGCAGAGACGGCGCCGAGGGCGCTCGTGCTCAGGGCTGCGGTGAGGAGGAGGGTCTTGGCTTTGTTAGCTGTTGACCCATGGTTGGTTGTGCCGGGTTTCAAGAAGGGATCGGACCTTGATACTTGCAATCATTGTCATCGGTGATACTGGTAGAGGAGTCTGATGTCGATGAAGAGCTATCTCTACGACATGGCATCATCCCTCTTTATATGCGTCCCCCCCCGGTGACTTCACGACTGGAGGAATTTGCAGCAGCGCGGGCCATCTCCCGAGTCCATTCCCGGGCTTCTGCAGAGGTGGAGCTTGAGACACGGGATAAGTGCTACAGCAGACCAATACAATGGTCTTCTCCAAGGTGCCTTACTGGCGGGCCTGCCGCCAGCGGACGCACATGCGGACTAGGCCTGCGTACTCGGAGCACGTACTGGAATAGAAGCCGCTTACTCATGGACTGCAATGCGGGAGATTGCTCAGGATATTAACATGGTACGTCGTTCGTGATCCATAATCGGCATTTCCTGATGACAAACTTTACTAAGCATGCATACTATAACTATCTTCAGACGCGCTGACTCGGGGTTCGGACCGGCGCGGACCTGCGGGGTGGGGTATGCTGAATCCTAGTAGACCCCGATGATTTCTCCGACTACGCTGCGGTAGATTCCGTTGGGGTCGAACTGTTCTCGCACAGCTTTGAAGCGGGCGATGTGCTGATACTTGATCAGTCCATATCGCGGAATAGAAAGCGGCATAGAACTCACATCCGGATCCAGGTTCTTAGTTGCCAGTTCAAACACCTCACGAGTATTCTTTGTCCAGTGTGGACGGCAGGGGAACTCGTTGATCAAGGCCCGTTCCAGTTTGCCGTCTATCCTGCGTTAGCGCCGTCATCGTCTCTCGGGATGCACTTACAGAATGGCTCGTTGAACCGGGATCCATCGCCGACAGTCGGCTTGAAGGTGGGAAAGTCGAACATGATAGCACCCTTGCTCCAGTCGGCACCGTCTGAAGTGTTGTACGTTACCTGGCCGAGCAGGTCAAAGTACGGCCGGCCAAACTTGATGTTGATTCCGCTGCGGTAGGTCGAGGTCATGACAATCAGTTTCTTCAGCTCCTCGTCAAACAGTTGACGAACGCGTTTAAGCACAGCATTTGCCATGGTGACGGGGAATGCGAGTTCGAGAGTGTATCCGTTGAGTCCATGCTCCCACACCGGCTGCTGGTCAGGATATAAACCTCCAATCAGCACGTCGTAGGACCAGCCATAGACCGGCCATTCGGTAATATCTTGGTTGGTGGTCTTCTCGCGGAAGTTGGGTGCCTCCCACTGGCCAAACAGAATCTCCTCTGCCAGCATGTTGGATGTTGCGAGGTATCGACCACTGTTCCATAGAGTCTTGATGGCAAAGGCCTCAATCCCGGTGACGGAGAAGGTGTTCTGGAAGCCTTCCTGGGTGCTCAGCTCGGTGGGCACGACGTCGTAGTATCTCCAGTGGAACTTTCTCTTGTACGGCCACCACTACAGCTCGGTTAGTCGTGCACCTCTATTGAAATTCGAGGACCATACCCAGAAGTTCGCCGTGGCATAAGGGCTAATCATGCCATAGATATCCCCGTTCAAGACCTCATCATCATCCAAGCTATCTGTGTCAGCTTGGCCCTCCAACAGATGGGACACTTACGTTTTCTGATCCGCGTAGACCTTAAAGTCAGGATAGACCTTGAACTTCATCCGGACAATCACTCCGAGGAGTCCAAGAGAGGTAGATGCAGCCAGCCATTCGTCACTATCGTCCCGCTCCAGGTGGCGCAGGTTACCTTCGCCATCAACAATATCAAGCGACAAAACACCTGCTGCCACCATAGAGTCTTCACGAAGCGAAGAGCGATGGGCGCCCATAGCGACACAGCCGGCCAGGGTGATGTTCCAGTTAACCAGAGTGAAGCCACTATTGTAGCCTCTCTCGTGCAGCCACTCGGCAAATTGGAGGAAAGTGACACCGGCCTCAATCATGACAGTCTCAGCCTCAGTGTCGAGGTCGTAGATCGCATTCACATTCTCGGTGCGGATGATGACGGTGTTGGGGTCGTCGGAGCACATGGTGTCATACCACATGTGGGCCTTGCCAGAGGCCCGCACCTTTTGGCCGGCGTCGATGGCATCGTTGACCAGTGCCTGGATCTCGCCTACACTCGAGGGAAGATAGACGGCGGCGACGTCGTTGCAGGCAGGGAAGCCTTCGCCGTCAAAGGTGTAATACGGATCCCCCGCAATGCCAAGAGGCAGTGTCAGCAGTGACAGCAGCGGCAGCAAGGGGGTCGCGCGCATCGTGGCGATGGGAATGGGGTCTTGCGGGTCAAAGGCAAAGTCAATTGAGTCGATGGAGAAGCTCTGCGGCAGTTATAACTGGTTGTGCTTTTCACATTCTTCGCTGGGCTGGCCGAGGTACCTGCCAATGTTGCAGTTTGTCGAGGGCGAGTCGCAGTTTCCCTGGCGGTGCCCAGCCTCTAGCACCATCACTTCCCCCGCACTCGCAATCAATCCCCTGGAGGTGACAGGTGGAACAATCTAATCAAGGGCTCTGACCGCTGGCCAGTCATGCGACGTTTGCCCTTGTGAATAAACCTGCAGGATTGCAGGAAACCTGGTTAGACTGATGGCTGCTTACCAAGTCTTCTTACCACATCTCCACGACCCTGTCGATCCCCGAGTGACTGCAGAATACGTCATTCGTATAAATACTCCAACGTTCTGTCAACAATGATCCGGTCTCTTCCTGCTCTACATTGACCGAGATGGCAGTATTGAACACGGGCAGCTGCCTCTGCGAGGCTGTCAAATACGAACTCCACGGAAAACCCGTGAAATGTGCCGTGTGTCACTGCGACAGCTGTCAGCAATTCAGCGGCTCGGTGTTCATGGCCAACTGCTGGTACAAGCAAAACGTACGCCCCTTTCCCGTTGATTCCCGGTCGTGAGGCTAATTGTCTCTAGGAATTCAAGATTGTCTGTGGCCGCGATTCTATTCAGACATACGACGAGCGAGCAACTGTATCCGGACTGACTATGAAGAGGTCGTTTTGCAAAATTTGCGGCTCAAGTCTCTTTCAACAGACTGCGCAATTACAGGAACTTGGATTGGTGTCTGTCACCTCGGGGACCATGGATGACCGGAGCGACGCTCAGCCCACATTAGAAGTTTGGTGTCGGAATCGTCGGCAGTGGTTGACTCTCCATCATAATGGAGATAAATATGAAAAACAGTAGATTTCTGTTGTACAGTGTTGCTGGTTGAAGTCTCGATGACGTCACCACCCCTCCCACTTCACCTCTTGCTTCTCTTCTCAGCAACCACCCTTTCGATGTTCAACAGCCGTTCAAAATGCTGTCTACATTATTCCGATCTACATTATTCCGACGCGCGGGTCCCCGTGTGGTTTCTCTTCGAGCTTATGCGACGAGAAGCCTGACACCGCAGCAGATCCAGATCGTCAAATCGACGATCCCCGCACTGGAGCAGCATGGAGTGGATATCACGACCCTGTTTTACAAGAAAATGCTCGCGGCCCACCCTGAGCTGAAGAATATCTTCAACACCGCCCATCAAGCCACGGGAGAGCAACCAGCAGCACTCGCCCATGCGGTCTGGGCATATGCCAGCAACATTGAGCACCCCGAAGCCCTGGCAAGGGCTGTTTCCCGCATTGGCCACAAACATGCCAGCCTCGGCGTGACGCCAGACCAGTATCCGATCGTGGGAGAGCACCTTCTCGCTGCCATCAAGGAGGTCCTTGGTGATGCAGCAACGCCCTCCATTGTCGACGCATGGACCGCCGCTTATCAACAACTGGCCGACATTTTCACCTCATTTGAACGCAATCTCTACAAACAGGCTGTCCAGACGCCTGGGGGGTGGAACGGATGGCGCAAATTCTTCATCGCCGACAAAGTCCACGAGAGCGACGAGATCATCTCGTTCCATCTCATGCCTGAAGATCGAGAGGGCCTCCCGAGCTACCGACCCGGTCAGTTCGTCAGTGTGCGATGCTACGTCCCCGAGCTCGGCGTCTACCAGCCGCGGCAGTATAGTCTGTCCGATGTCCCCAATCAACAATATTTCCAGATCTCGGTCAAGAAGGAGTTTGCATCTGGTGCTCGACCAGCTGGTCGCATCTCCAACGTGCTTCATGAGTCGCTTCCAGAGGGCTCAGTAGTGGAGGTCAGTATGCCATTCGGAGACTTTGTGCTCGATGTCAACGCCACGACACCCGTGGTCCTGATGAGCGGCGGTGTCGGCCTAACACCGATGATGGCCATGCTGAAGACGGTGACCAGCCTGTCAAAGTCCCGACCGGTGGTCTTTGTCCATGCAGTCCGCAATGGCCGGGTCCACGCGATGAAGCAGAATCTCGCCAAGATCATAAAAGAGAATCCACAGGTCAGGAAAGCCATCTTTTATGAAGAGGTAACGGAGAATGACAAGAAGGGAATCGACTATGACCATGTTGGGCGGGTGGATGTTACCAGAATCAAGGATCTGGTGTTGTTGCCGGACGCTGACTACTATATCTGTGGACCTGGGCCGTTTATGAAGGCGCAGAGTGAAGGTCTCCAGAAGCTGGGTGTTCCTTCGGATCGTATTCATATGGAGGTATTTGGTTCGCCAACAGCTTAATCTTAATATCTCAATTTGTATCTAATGTCATTCGCTGGATCCGGCCGAAGATATATATCTTGTTATAATCACATCCGGTTTCTGTTGTGACTCTTGAAAACACATCCAGAAAAGGAGCCAAGCTGAAGCGTATATAATGGTACAACCTTGGACCATCAGGCAGTGTCTCTCTGTAGCGTCTCCAGTCCTCAGCATCATGCATGCTGGCAACCTACGGTTCCTGCCCACCACGACGCTCAGACAAGTGCTGCGGAATGGCCCCACAAGGTCAGATCTGATTGGTAGCTTGGCCATCTTGGCAGCAGTTAATGCCCCCATCAGCCTATCAGCAGCCAGGGCAGAAATGGGGCCCAAAGATCCTCAGTGAAACGGGCCGGACCGCCGACTTTCCAGCTCTCCCTGTCCTTGTCGGTACTTCCACCCATCGCCACAATGAATTCCACAACACTCCAAGGCTGGCAGTTCAACGACAGCTCCCGATCATCCTGGGACATCGTCTGGACGTGCCTGACCACGATCTTCGCCTGCACGTGGACCGTCCTCCGCCAGGGCGGCGCAACAAATCCCAGGCCCTCATCACCGCCGCGAAGCTCCGGGTCTTTACTTTCAACCTTCTCGCGCCCGAGACGATGGGACTCACTGCCACTAAGGAGCTCTGGCGCGTTCGATCCCTGAGGGAACGATGTAATGCCGCACAAGAAAGCAGCGACCGGAAGACGAACGAGCCGGGCTCGTGGCTCTACTCGCAAACAAAACCTCTTGTTGATGCCCAGGGCGTCGATGATATCGTCTTGTACGCTCCACACCTGGAGTGGTCACTGCCCCATTGCTGGGTTATCCAGATGGGCGGACTCATTTTTGAGACAGAGGATGAGTGGATATACTATGTCCTCCGCGATCAGATCTGTGCATTCATCGAAGCCGGGATCATCAAATGTCCTGACTTTACCAATCGTGAGATCCAAGACCGCGCCAAAGCTGATACATTCGCTAAAGCGTTCACTGTCTGTCCGAGTTTGTGAGTCACGGTTAATATCGTCGGCAGGGCGGGCTACGATTTGCCCATTACGCCATTCGAGTTCTCAGCGCTGGCATACGTGGTGTGCGCTATCCTCCTCTACGCCGTTTGGTGGGATAAGCCGCAGGATATGACTGTTCCAATCTCCATTGGCGTGCCGTATACGCGCAGCTCCTTACCGCAGGAGATCCGCAGCCTGACTGACGCTGGATGCATCGGCGGGTGATCCCACCCAAGCAGAGTGTCGGCGTGTCAGGTCTTTTATATGGAGGAAGCTGGAGGTTGCTTCAGTCGACACACTACAGAAAGTGGATAGGGGCTACCGGGGATTTACTTTGCGAGACGAGACCATCGTCAACACCGCCGCTACATTACATTGCATGGCCTGATCTTCTGCGGCATCCACTTCACTGCGTATGCCCCCTCTAGAAAGCTTCGGTTGCCATTATGTGATTACTGATCAAACGCAGATGGAACTTCGCCTTTCCCACCCACGCGGAGAAGATCGCATGGCGTGTCTTTTCGCTGACGGCGCTGGCGCTGGTGGTCGCGCACTATCTCATTGCCCAGGCGCCGCTTGTTGCACGATGGCTCAAGAATAAGGGCACTCGACTCCCTGCGTTCATGGATAACTATTCCGACCCCCATGGCACATTCACCAAGACGGAAATATTCCTCCCCCTCTGGGTCATATTGTTCTATATCCTTGCTCGCTTTGGAATGGTTGCGCTCATTTTCTCGCGAAGCTTACATCGCCGTGGACTGGCTGGCGTCGATTCCACATATCTGAGAGACCCGATCGTATGAACTCTAGCGATGTAGAAGCTAGAACCCTGCGGCGGACTAGCTGAAGCCCTGCTAAAAATAGCCATGTGGAATTGCGACATCGTTGACGACCCTCAGGTCTACGACCAGCCAGCTGAAACATTCTGGCCCGTTCAGGACCCTTCGCGCGCGAGCTTCAGATCCTGTGCTGACAAGGTTGCAATGATACTAATCCTGATTCCTCTGAGTCTTCAGACTGATGGTTGAGATTGGCCCCCGATGCCGATCGCTTTTAGCATGTCTCACTTGCGCCCGCACAGCACGGATCACTTCGATGCGACATCACCGATCCTTCGATTTTGCTGACGATTATAAAACAGGGGTCTTTTCTTTTCAGCTCTGGTACCATTTCTGCATCCAAGAATCATCATCGCCATCAGTATCCATCATGGCCACCGCACACCCCTTCGACCCGATCGTCATCAACGGCGGCTTCGAACTCGGCGTTTTGGCCCCGTGGATCCCCTCCGACGTCAACGCCGCCACAATCCAGAATGGGACTCAAGCGTTTGCCGGAGACTACTTCCTGTAAGCTTGCCCTCTGCGTCAATCAATCTGACGGTAAGCTGACAGCTCTAGCGCTCTCCAAACGGCCCCCGGAAACCGCGCCAACAGCGTGCACCAAGTCCTCCATGGACTCGACACGACATCTACGTACTCCCTGACAGCCCGCGTCTGGGGCCCTCCTGTTTCGTCGGCGAACTTCTGCCATGCGTACATCTACGTTGGCTCGAATGCCACGACGGGACTGGTTGACAAGGTCGACATCTCGTATGAGCAGTCTGGACAGTGGCTGCCGCTCGAGGGGACATTCCAGACCGAGAACACCAAGTTGCCTCTGTATGTCCAGGCCTCCTGTACACTCTCCGGCGCGTCGCATACGGGGACGCTCCTGTTTGATGAGATTACCGTGACGGAGATTCCTGCTGTCTTGGATTAGATCGGTATGGGAGAGGTGGATTCAGGGGCGACGGAGAGTCTGAATGATTAGATTGTGTATACCGTCAAGAACGAACGTCGTGCTGCAGCCTACCCTGCACATGGTAAATAGAACAACTATCACCGACACAAGAAATCATCCTCATGAAGCGTGATCGTTTGCCCGACCTTGGCACACAGGTCCACCAAGGCCTGGCGATCCTCCGCGGACGGCTTGATTGCCTTGCCATCAACGTATTTACGGCCTCCGCCTTCTTCCTCCTTCCTCCAGATCATGTGCTGCATGTACTCGCACGGCAGGAAGCCGTCGCAGAAGACCACGTAACATTCCTCGTGGAATCCAATGTCGATCTCAGACTCGCGCTCAAAGGGAGTTGTATCCTCGTCCCACCAGTACGGGGAATGCCCAAAGCGAAAGTGCCGCAAGTTCGGTAAGCCCTTTTCGAAAGCCCGGAAGTAATCCACCCAGCGTTTGTCGTATGTCGTATAGAGCTGATCGGGGAGGTCCGGGTGCGTGCGGAAGTCTTCGCGTGGGAGAAGTGTCGGTCCGCAGTCGCGGTGGTAGATCGCCGCTTCCCAGACGATCACGCAGTCATCCAGGTATAGCTCCGTAAGGGTTGAGCCGTGCGATAGGATCCACTCGAGCTGAGAGTCGTGGATGAAGGTGTGGTTGCCCAAGGCGAGTGTCTTGAGACGTGGGAAGTGGATGTCGCGAAGGTCACATATGGGGTAGAACCCAAAGTAAAGACTGGAGTACAGAGTCAAGTGCTCCAAGTTTGACATCGTTGGTTTGAGCCAGAACGAGGGCAGCTCGGAGTGGAACTTCTGCGGAGGGTCTCGCTATGTCGCCGACTCGTTACACCAGAATCGATGAAAGGTACATATGTGACTTACCTGATAGTCTGAACTCCCTGACATGCCACGACTGACGTTCGTGATGTTGAGTCTGAGAGAGCGAAGGCTTCCCAGGACGTTCTGGAGATTTGCCACAGTTTCCTCATCGGTAACGTTCACGTTTTCTATATCCCGCAGAGCCAATTCCTGCACTGGTTGAGGTAACGAGCTTAGAACAGCCATAATGCGTGTCATTACTGCAGATCGAAACTCGGATGATTGCGGTACATCGTAATAATCGTCTTCGTCGCATTCTTGGTGGAAGCGGAGGACGACACTCTGTAAGCGAGGAAAATCTTTCAGACGGTCAAAGACGCTCCAGAATCGTGGATGAAGACCCGTATCTTCTTCTGCGTCTTCATGTTCGTAATATTGGTCTCCAATCCCCTGATATTGATTAGCGTCAACACGCGGCAACGCGGAGACTGACTCACATTGTCCAGATCCAGATCCCAGGTGTTGAGGTAGATCTTGGTCACGTATGAAGCCAGCCCGGTGGATTCCAGAATGCGGTCCAGTCGGTCGCAGCTGGCATCAGTCGGACTGACAATTGCCGTGTCAAAGATCCAGCGTTGGCCGACGGTGCTTAACCGTCGATTCGCGAGTCGTAGCGCTTTGCGCGTCTGGAGGTCGACGAGCGAGCAGACTCGATCGAGAATCTCGGTCGGAAGCGAAAGAAGACCAGCCATTTCGCGTTGTACGGACCTCAGGGTGATGAACTGCAAATGCCCACTTTATATTCGGCGAGGGTCAATCAAGGCAACGATCACAGGCATCCAGCGAAGCTCCCGATGCCTACGCGCCGCGCCTGCCTGACGAAACCTACAAGATCTTGGCAAAGCTTGGCGCGACGAGCCGCTTGCAGAGATAAGGTCTTTCTTCTCCTCCTAGCACTTGTGGAACGAGGATTGTGCTGTGTACTTCGTGATAACTGACACCTGTTGGCTTCTCGCCGGGTGCTGGGGCCCAGCTGAATGAGAACTTTGCGCGGCTCGGTTGCTGGAAAACAGCAGGCCCCGCCATCCTCAAGTACCGCATCAGAACAGAACAGTTCGTCTCTTTTTGTAGGACATGACGCAAAAATCATGAATCGGCATAGAGCAGCCCTTTTGGAAATGAGGCTCAAGAGGCAAGTTTGTTGGAGATGGAAGCTGTCAGGTCCAACGCGGTCACGTGATTCAATCGAACCTATTCTTCTCAATCTGCAGCACGCACTGCGCTTCATTCACTGCTGGAGTGAATGGAAATGTGTGTATTTCTTTCCAGCGAGCCCCGCCGGCATGGCAGAATAAAGGTCAAAAGAAGTTCAAGTCTTATGTGCTGGTTCCCATTATTCCCAACACAGCTCCCGAAGAACACCACTCAAATACCCATTACAAAGCACGCTCTAGAAATAGAAGCTTAGTGCTTCTAACCTAAAACAGCGCTTAATTATACAAAATGCTCACCTAGTCCTGAATTATCTAAGCATGAATCATTTCCCTGGGATCTAACAAATGCCTACTAGCATATTAATTGTTGTCTTTCGTGATCTCCTTGACGTGATAAAGATTTGCCTCTCTATGTCATCAACCCCAACTGTTGTCATGCTTTAATGCACGTTATTAGTACGCCTGGCTTCTGTGAGTTTGCAAGCGAGGAGGCACTGGATTCTAGAAACAGTGCAAACTTCGCAGGCCTAGTCCACGTCTCCCTGGTAAAAGACTCATTTTCACGAACTGCAATTGAAGGTACATGCGCAAAGACAGCGGTTCAAAACGATTCATGGCATTGATGGAATACTCAGAATTGGGTCTGCCAGGCCTTCATAGATCTCCAGAGTATTGGATGTTTGACAGATCAGGAGCGGTCAACAGCTGTCGATAGGATGAAAAACATTCTCCTCGAAGCAGAGGACGAACCCAGGTTCACCTCTGAGCCTCTTCATATCTACGCTACCTAGGGCTATGTGTGTAGTAGACTTCCAGTGATACACTACGAATATGCCTGGATGTCAACCAGAATATACACACCTTGAGCTGGCACACACCCACTGGTCCAAAGTTGGAGTCATGGTACCTTTTCAGCCCACCGGAACGTGCATCACCAGAATCCATTAATGTTTCAGTATCTGTGCACATCTAAGCAGAATCACACTTTGCTCCTACCACTTTACCGTCGCACTTCGGGAGATAGTGTTGGCTTAACATGATAAGAGAACATGCTGAACAGAGACGCAAGTTATTTGGCGTGTGGTTAATCGTGTACTTTGGCAAAAGATGGCTTGCTCTGGAGGTAATAGTCATAAGGGAACTATAATAGTGACTATTACACTATTACAAGCCATGATGGCCACTTGTTTACACATGTAGATTACTCTTACTATTAGTGCTGCGACGTCTTATACTAGGCGTGAACCATTATCCGCAACGTTCCCCTCCACAAAACTTACGATTCTCTCAATACCCTCCTGAGTAACGTCACCTACTTGGGATAATAGTGAAGGCATGATATGCCGGTGCCACGTCAATTTACGAGTCCGCAGCCCGAGACAGTTGTAAGCACTAAGGCGGGTTGACGGGCCACTCGCCAAGGCGAGTGGACATGCACATTCTGAATACGAGATCTGGCCAGCCTCGATGCAAGCCCTGATAAGCAACAGCCTATTATATTTTCAGGTTAACCCATCCTCTGTCTGCGGTCTCACTTCTGCATCTGGCTATTCTAAATTTCGAGGGCTACGTAGCCCGGTTCCTTGTACTTGCGCGAAGGAGAGGGGGTTCAGACCAGACAAAAGCAATGTGAAGAGGGGCCGGGTTAAATAGCGCTGTTCCCGCCTCTATTGAATTTTGTCTTTTGCCTGACTTTGACGAAATCACCATTTGCACCTCGAAACTATGAAGTTCTGGGCGACGATACCAGCCACGGTGTTCCTCGTGACGAAGGTGAATGCAATAGCATTGGTGCGAATAACTTCTCGCTTCAAATCTATCCCATTTACCTCTCTAACGACACCAGGACGTTCGCGAAGTACCTGGCAGCGACTGGATCTACACTACCGTCCAAGACGGCGTCTGCCATAATTTCGACAACCCGTATGTGCACCCATGCCACAACCGATCCACCCCGACTGACCCTCTAATTGCAGCATCATCCAATACTACCTGGACCCCGGGTCCAACGGCGGCAAATCCTTCTTGTGCAGAATTTTCAAGTAAGAACCTTCCCCAAATCCCACCTCTCTCGATCATCGCTCGAGGGTAGAGTGAATTTCTAACGCGTGTTTCTCGTTGCAGTGTGACAGACTGCGCACCACCGAACCCGGGCCTGATTCCTTCGGATCACCCGGGGCCCTCTGGCGAGTTGGAAGTCCCGCGACTGTCGGTTCTGTGTTGGACAGCGTGCTGTTGGCCGTAGTTAGATATGTGAAACGGTGGTATGGGCCTGTTTACATGGGGAAGAGTAGAGGTAGTTGGGGAGTAGGAGGTTGCTAGGCTTTCAAATTTCGCCCGTCGTTTCCGGTGGAACGTTTATAAGTGAAAATAACTGAAGAATATCGCTATGGGGAAATTATGTCAGGGACGCTGGACGTTCTCCGTTGAATCCCTCACCAGGGATAGCTGCCCTTAAGTCGCAAGCTCTTGCATGGCCGGAGAAGAAGGCTCGGAACTCTCACTGTGCGTCAGCATATGAAAATGGAAAGGTCGGTGGGCCATTAATCTCTCTTCATCCGGGCTCCAGGTTACATTACTTCAGGCTACTATCGCATCCGCGTTGGGAAGACTTTGGGTGGACTAGCTTGTGTCCAGACGAGGATCTGACGTTTGCCTGGTTTGCCAATGGGTTTATACTCGAAAAGTGCGACAAGGATAACAAAGCAGACTTGACGTGAGTTCTACGGTCACCCAACTGTTTGGTTATCATGTGTAACGTACGGATATTGCTACCCTGCGACAGGTGGTTCCTGGGCCCAGTTAAAGAGGGTCAGGTGATAAGAACATTGGAACACACTCCATCAACATGATACAGGAGCGCTATTCCAGTCACTTAAGAAGCTAATAAAGACATTTACTGAACTTCATGCATGGGTGGTGGATGGGTACTAAAGGTTGTAGTTAATTTACTCTATAACCACGGGCGTGCACAACATCTGTAATGGTTTTCCATTGCTTGATTTGGGCGTTACTCTAGATGCCTGGGACATTGTTTGATCCGCCAGCACGTGCGGTAATAAAGGCACCCTCAGTTATTAGCAGAGTTCCTGGAACGCTGAGTTTATTCAGTACAAAATACGACGAGTTCGATACCCAATAACGACAAGAAAGCCGAGACATACAATTTTTTGCCGATGAATTACCCTGAAATGTAAACCCCGACTATTATACACTCCTGCGTTCCTCTCCTCTCTTTTCCCCATGCAAATCCACCCCTTGGTCGCTGTCAGTCTGTCCATCCATCCACGCAAGTCGAGTAACAAGCCAGGCAAAGAATATTATGAGAGCCAGAATCAACCAGGTCCCAATACTCAAGATGATCAAAACACTCCCCGCGAGGAGCTCCCAGGTCCTAAAGAGCACAGATACCCACCAATACTGCGCAATGAGATAGCCCATTCTTCCACGCTGGAAGCGTATACGCCGCAATGTGCGTAAGATTCGTCGCGTTGTGGGATGCCATCGGCTGTACATATTATCAGCGTGGTCTAGGGCGTGGAGGTACATGCCCTCTGCCTCAGACAGAAGGCCTTGGGATTGATATAGCGAGCCGATGTTCGTGATTGCTTCTAGTGTTGTGATACTTGATGGTATGGCGGAAGCGTGTTGGAGGAGTCCGCGCATTTCGTCTGCGTGAGGTAGGAGGGATTGTTCCTTGGCGTCACGGTCGGGTTCCTGGGGATTTGTAGCGGCGGCGGCCATCTTCCCAAGTGAGTGAAGAGCAGTAGCTTGTATATTCTGTGGTTTTTGTTCGTTTGTCGAAATGATCCTGCGACACCATGATTGAATCATGGGATGGATGTTGTAGAATTCTGATTTACCTTCGGAATAGACTGTGATAAGTAAAAAGTCTTGAAGGGTTTTAATCGCTTGACGCATTTCGTGATTGCTGGACTGCAGAAGTGCATCAATTCTTGGCATATGCTGCGCATGGTCCAAAACGCTGCTTGCGATATTGGTGTGGTTGTAGCATGAGAGGAAGAACAGTACGTTCGCGGCAAGCGGATTCAATAATTTAACTCCCTGATATGACAGTTTGCAGGCGGTTGTTAGAGGGCACTCCTCCGTTGCAGGTGCTGCCCTACGCGCCGCCAGATACAGGCTAAGATAACTTGATGTGCTCAATCCGGTGTGTTGGACATATGCAGCAGCGAGTATGAGGGCGAATGGAAGGCCTTCTAGGTGGCGAGTGAGCATCATCTTTGCTAGTAGCTTGTTACTTGGGAATGCTTAAAAAGGGGTCCATGTACGGTTTACCCTGTTCTTCGATCTCACTGCTCGGTACCTCGCCGGCTCCATCTGAGGTGAGATGAGTAAGCAATGCCAGAGATTCTTGTGGGCTTAGTGGTTTCACTGTATGGAATTCACCCTCGAGCACTTGCGGCTGCAGCGAGGTAGTCGTAACAAGTACAGAACCATGATCGCCCCCGGGAACGAAGTCGTCCAGTTTAGCCATATCGCCAGCGAGTCCGTCAACAACAAGTAGCCATCTAGTGTCCGTACTGCTCCGAAGGTAATCTGATACCATGGAGGACTGGCGTTTGAGAATGCCTCCTCCGGACATTGGCTGCGATAGGTAGGAAAGGACCTCGCTTGTCGGGAGTCTCGATGCGAGCTGGGCCAGTGACGCAAGCATGGTATTCTTGCTTGAGCCATCAACCCACCATACTGAAGTAAACTGTTCGCTATGTAGTTGCGCAAATTGCGCGGCTAGTCGCGTCTTTCCCAGCCCATCTGGACCGTGGAGGACGGCCACGCGGCGCTTAGGCGGCTCTTGCGGGCGGAGTGAGTCCCATATTTTCTTCAGTTCCCTTTCGCGACCGATAAAGGTACTCTTAGGCGTATTGTGAAATGCTGTTGAGGCTTTTTCTTCAATTGGTTTTATTCGTTGGCGAGGGCTGTAATATCCTCTCGCTGACTGTTGAGACCTAGTGAAAGATATGAAGCCATGGACCGTCGGTATGGGATCAAGAAGATGGCTGTAGGCAGTCAGACGGCAGTGTGTGGATATGCATCGTGTGAGCGGCATAGACGTGGTAGTAAAAGGTCGAAGATGATGTGCTGATTCAGAGAGGATGTTTGCAAGGGATGGATCGCTTCGTATATACTCGGGATCGACCCCGGGACATTCCGGGATACGAGAAGGTGAGTCAGGTGGGCTTTGAGCCTCATCACCCACCACCTGCGCATCTGCCAAGTCCTACCAAGCTCTCTTGTTGATGAATTCAATCGCATTTGTAAACACGGAAACGACCCCATTGAATCCATTCAAAGGTCCCATAACTCAGTTGGTTAGAGTGTGATGCTAATAACGTCAAAGTCGAGGGTTCGACCCCCTCTGGGACCACGTCTTTTTATATTTTTCGCACGGTTTGCTGAGTGCCCGGTCACAGGGGGCACGTTGAACTGGAGCATATCTTGGAAATTATCTTTAACACCTACCCGTCACGTCGCTGTCGTCTAGGCTGGTCGCCTTAACTAAGTATACAGGCGCGTATAGTGACTCGTGAAGAACTCGTCTATAACCAGCATCAGCCATAAACCCCCACGTCACTAATTTCCCTTTGAGTCGACGATGCCCAGCAAGCATAGGGGATGGAACAACGGCGTTGGACGCCTTACGAATTCGGTATTCTTGAAGCCCGCCGCTCCCATACCTACCTACCTGCTTCAATTATTGTCCGATACCTGATCACCGTCATTCAGAATGGCACCTCACCCGCTCAGACCATGCAAAGTTCTCATCGCTGGCGGTGGCATTGGTGCTAGAGAACAATAGCATCGATCGTATTCTGCTTGAGGCGCATTCAGAGACTGTTGCAAAGGTTGGCACGGGCGTATGTCTGATGCCCGCTGGGCTCCGAATCCTGGATCAGCTCGGGTGCTATGATGCACTCCTGGCGGAGGCCCAGAACGTTGGTGATACCATGGACTATCGTGATGAAAATGGCCAGTCAATTACAACGACGGATGGATGGGAGAAGCTAGCTTCTGAGAGGCATGTTTTGGAGATCTTACCATGTGTCTTCTTGTTGATTAGCATGAATAGATATGGGTACCCGCTGTTCTTGATTGCGCGGACCAACCTTCTGAAGGTCATATACGACCGTATTACCAACAAGTCCAAGATATTGACACGGGAAGGCATTGCAAGTGTCCAAAGGCTGCAGGACACAGTTGAAGTCGCTACAACAGATGGACCAGTCTACTGTGGTGATATTCTGGTCGGGACAGACGGAGTCCATTCTTGAGTGAGGGAAGAAATGATCCGGCATGCGAAGGAGCAGGGTACTAGCAAGGGTTATGCAGAGGACCACAGTATGCATTGTCACGCAAGGGCCTTCTAAGCCTGGTGCTAACTAAGCAAGAAATCACTTCCAAGTACGAGTGCTTATTCGGGAAATCGAATGCTGTCCCTGAACCTGTTCCTCTTTGGCGGACCAATCTCCTTTACGGGGTTCTTCCCCAGATACTCCAAGGCGTTTTCAAGCACGTTTGATAAATTCAGCTGGAATTTTCTCAAGGTTCATCCGCGCAATGAGCGTGTGGGGACTGTCTCTCTGCGGTCCGGGGACCCGCGGCACACGCCCGATATTAACTTTAGGTTCTTCGATGAGCGCAGGGACGCAGATCATGATTTGCACTCGATGGGTTAAGGTGTGTGACTTGCTCGGGAAATGTTTAGCAGGGTCTCGAAAGTGGTCGGCGAGCAAGTGGAGGAACATCCGGACCCTCACGTCCAGGGTGACGCCGTCAAGCAGGCCATTAAGGATCGAGCCTTCTCACACCGCGCTAGTAGCACATGTGCAATTGGTAGCGATAATGACCGGTTTGCATGCCTGGATTCGAAGTTCCGTGTACCAGGTGTGGGTGGACTACGCGTTGTCGATACCTCAGTCTTCCCCGGGTCTCCGGAGCATACCCAGAACTACCAATCTTTATGATCAGTGAAAAGGCAGCGGATGTTGTTATAGAAGAGGCCAGATACCGTTAACATGGATTATTTACCACTTTTACCTTACGGTGTGCGACTTTCAATAATTCAGCGACTCACCCCCTTCCAGGTCATGCCCCTGCTCCATCTCCGCAACCCGCTCACCCTCACTGCCTACCCAATCCTGCGAAGCAATTCCCATGGACGCCATTGTAAGCTGTTTGTCGAAGCCCAGCGTCCTTGCCGCGAAAACGAATAGTAGACCCTCGGCTTCCGGTGCATTCAGCGAAAGTCCATGGTTATCCCCCTCGAATATCTTAATTTCTCGATGGCCTTTGGTCCCGTATTGTCGGTATAGCGACTCGGAGCATGAGGGCGAAAGACAGGTATCGCCACCGCCGTGGAGGAGTAGAAGAGGCCGCGGGCTGAGTTTCGAGATCCCCGACGTTTGAGCAGTCTGCGACGCGACGGTGGCGACGCCCACGACGCGCTCGGGCTCGAGTGCGGCGACGGTGAAGCAGGGACTGCCGCCGAAGGACCAGCCGACGACTACGAAGTTGTTCGATTCGAACTTCTCCTCGAGGTAGTCCATTGCCGCGACTACGTCAGGGACGCAGTACTGCGTTCGCGCGGGGACTCTGTAGTCGAGTCGGACGACTGGGATGCCGAGCAGGAGGGCCAGTTTGTCGGCGAGGGAAGGGTAGATTCCTATCCACCGAGAACTGTTATGGTCTATGCCGAATAGCTGGAATCGGCGATCGATGCGTCTTACCAGATGGGCCGCTGACGCCCCCTCCTGCTCCGCTGATCAGCACAACAGCCGCATTATTTGCAGCCGACGCATTGTAGTTGCGGGGCTCATGTAGGATCGCGGGCGCCTCGTGGTCAAGCGGATCGTGCACTTGGATCTTGATGTGGTGGGCTTTAACCTGGTGGCGTCTTGCCTTGTCTATCTTGGGCGGGTGTGTTGGGCCTAGACTAGACAGTGGGTGGTGTAGCGTGGCCATGGTGTAAAAGAACAATAGAGCATAATAGTATTGGCCTTAAGAAAGGTGTTTGCTACGATATTGCTTTTGTCTTGAGGTGATGAGGATGTTGACATCATGATGGGCTGATACGCCATTGGCCAATACGGTAAGTCTGGGTCTGGGATCGTGGCGAAAGCCACTCCTCACTATAGATATGGGTTTTGTACGGGCTACCCTTGCTTCGCCGCCAAAGACTGGTCGTAGTGAACAACACTCTCCAGTAGAGTCTGGGTTCCTAGGGCACTGTCCACTGTTAGCATTCCATTGTTGCGGGGAGAGAAAAAAATTACCAAGCCTCCGGCGTGCAGTACTCAGTCGGATGATGACTGACTCCATCGCGACACGGTACGAAGATCATGGCTGTCGGGCAGTGTCGACTCGTATAGACGCTGTCGTGCCCGGCACCACTAGTAATATCCATCCAGCCCCGTGCACCAACCAGCCCTTCGGCCGACGTTTGAATCGAGGTAATGCAGTCCTTGTAGAACTTGACAGCGGGAGAATCCGTATCAATCCTCCAGTCGAAGCTGACCCCTTTGCCGTCTTCTTGAGCAATGTCCGCAAAAGACTTCAGACATTCGTCCTGCACTGTCTTGACAACCTCGTCCTCGGGATGCCGGATGTCAAGAGTAAATGTGACCTCGGAGACCACTGTGTTTGTCGACGAGTTGTCAGGGATCTTCAGAATCCCCGTCGATGCTAGAGCTCCGTAGCGCTTGGCCACTGCGTTGCTAGCAACCACCATCTTTGAAGCGGCTAGGAGAGGGTCACGACGCGCACTGAATGGCGTTGTCCCTGTATGGGCATCCTGTCCGGTGACAGTGAAATTGAGCCAGCGATATCCCTGCGCCCCCGAGACGACCCCGATTGAGCGACCCGCGTCTTGGAGAATCGGGCCCTGTTCAATGTGCAGTTCGAAATGGGCGCCGAGCGGGTATGCCTCGTGTGAGCAAGGGATCTCACCAAGGTAACCATGTCTCTCGAGCTCAGACTTGAGAGTGACATTCTGATCGTGGATGTCGCGCAGGTTCCAGGCGTCCTCGGTGGGAATCGCTCCGGCCCAGACGCCAGACGAGCACATGGATTTAGGGAAACGGGCGCCCTCCTCACTATACAGCAATATCAGCATCGTCCTCATAGATACTGCTGTAGAGATTAGTGATTATACTTGGTCCAATTAACAATGCCAACATCATCGTGTGTCCGAAACCCATTCTCCTTCATCGTCCGGAGAACTTCAAGTGCACCCACCACACCAAGGATTCCATCATATCGGCCACCACGAGGCTGGGTATCGAGATGACTACCCATCGCAATCATCGGTCTAGAAGAGTTGCGTTTCCCCTTCAGCCTCGCGAACATGTTTCCCATCTGGTCGACAGAGACCGCACAGCCGAGTTTCTGGACTTCATCAGCGAACCAGCGGCGAACGCGTGCGTCGTTGTCAGAGAGAGTTAAACGGGCCATTCCGGTCTCATGGGTTTCCCTGTAAATTTTGATTAGATAGAGATGAAGGGGAAAGGCATAAATCATTCATACTTTCCCCAGCGATGGGAGGCGCCCCATTTGCACGTTTCGTGAAGCGTCTCCCATAGTCGGGACTGGTTGATTTTGAGGCCTGATGGCGTCACTTTGGGAATGTTTGTGAGCCTCATCTTCATTTAATACGATTGCTGAGATAAACTGAGCGACTGCCAATGTCCCGGGTTACAGTGGGTTTTGTGTAAAATTGTTCGGCGACGCCTTCTGTCGACATGTGTGGATCGCGCCTTCTTACAACAGCGCAAAACGAGAAACTGCCCTAACTCCGGCGGAAATCATTTGATCGTTATATTATATACTCAAATACTTTAGCATTCAGAAGATGCTTGTTCATTCCTATGTTACATTCTCAACAACCTCCCTCACGTGCTGGGGGAGATAAAACGCATTCGCCAACCCCATACTCAACGGCCCATTCAATCTTACCAGCCCCAGATCCATCATATCCCACCCGTTACTCTGGCTCTGCAACGCTTGCTGCCACATATATACCAGCTTCTTTGCGCGAATGGCGTGCTCTTTTGTCGGTGCTTGGACGAGGAGGAGGACCATGAAGTTGCTTACTGTTGCGAAGCCGATGCGGCACCCTGTCAAGTGTTAGCGAGAATTAAATAGCGAGAGCACTTGACGAGGGTAGAAGAGAGGGAGGGCATACATGAGTACCAGAATGTCGACATCTCGCGCGCCTCCATGCGCGAGACGAGTCGGAGCATACTGGCCGCACAGTTCTCCGCTGCACTTAGTATAATAGGGACGGATTTGTCTTCCTCGTTTATATTGATCGCGGGCTCTTCTTCGCTTACGAAATTATCGACGTCGATTATCTGCGCGATGTAGTCATCTACGTTGAGGTCCGGGAAGATTGGGAGAGGCTCGGTTTCGTCAATGAGACGCGGCGGCGGCGCAGATCGGACCATTGGCCGGAGTAGCGCGCGGAAGATGAATATTTCGAGTAACAGGTAGGCAAAATGGACGCATGTCGAGAGTTCAGGACGGTCGGATGTGCTGCTCTGCATTGGTGGTGGGAGGAGTGAGAGCCATTCTTGCAGCTGTCGTAGTAGGATTCGGGCAGTCTGTAGTGAGTCTGGGAGATTGGGTGAGAGGCGTTGGGCGGCGCGGAGGGAGCTGAGAGTATTAGCATGGCCGTTGCTCGGTATGTATCCAATGAAAGAAGAACTTACTATAGAGACACATGGATATCGTCTGCAATGCGAGCCATCTTCGCAATCCGCATGAACCTGTCCGCAGGCGCGCCTTCAAAGTCCGACTCGTCGAGATCGGTGACATCCCACTCATCTTGACGGATATACGGTGGCCTGCCGAGAAGGAGCGCTCGCCATTTGTCCTCGATGTAGATTGCCCACCAGAGTCGACGGCGCAGACGCCTTTCCCATAGTGGCATACCCATGGGGCGACACTCGAACTGCAGCCCCAAGGATGATGCAAGACCAACCATCATGCCGATAAAAGACCACAGGAATGGCGTATCGGCGACTGAACTTTGCTGTGGACCATCATAGGGTTTGTGGAGGTATAAAAGCCCAGCTTGGAGAACTGAAAGGTGAGGTGTATGTATTTCTTCCAAGATCAGATCGAGACTTAGCCGCCATAGCTGGGCCGCTGGAGGTGGTTCAAAGGCGTATGCAAGAGAGAGGGCTTCGTCAAATTTCGCGAACGGGAGCGCAGAAGCGTAAAGAGCTGCAAGGAGATGCACGGGGATTGTATGGAGACTCTCCGAACCGATGAAATGGGGGACAATAGGCAAGCTGGGGAAAATGTGTGTGATGAAAAGAGAAACGAGGCGCTGGCCGTGGTCTGCTGGTATGAGGGCGTCAAGTGCATCTCGCGGCGGCACCTGCCTCCAGGTTCTAGTCGACAGTTTCGCTGATTCATAGACAGCGGCATCAGTCACCAGATAATGGACGGGGATCTTTTCCGCAAGAGGCACCCCACCGGCATTACGGAATCGAACGTGCTGGAAATGCAAGAGGCCGTAGTCGTCGAATTTGCAGTGGCGGAGAAGGAATGGGTCCGATTCACCGGATGTGCCCATGACATGTGCACACACGCCAGGCAGTAGATCCAGAGTTTGGATCGCCTGTTGAGGCGTCGCCCGCTCGGAGATTTGGTATGCAAAAGGGTCATCCGGTAGATACGATTCAGACTGAGGGCCGATCGGGTCCGGTTCGATGGTCGGGATGGCCGATTCAGCTTGGTATTCGGGCACAACCGCATCATGTACGTATGTCGGCTGTGAAGTTGGACTAAAGACCGCCGGGATACTCGTCGCAGGCGGGCTCTGAACCTGCAGCCGGTTGAATGAACAGGATACGCCACTGGCCTGGCACCGCTGACAGGCGACTTGGCCGAGGTTCTCGCACCGGAGCTTCTTCTGTCGACACCGATCACAGGGTGGATGTCGTTTAGACCGATACGGTCGGCGAACTGGCGAAGTCATGCTTGGTGAGAAGAGATCGGCCGTTGGGTGCTTGATATACACTGCCGTCTGTCCGCCAGTTCGGCGAAATGAAGAGGCTGTCCAAGTGGGCCTATCCACTCGCAATGTACCAGCGAATCAAAGAATGATTTCAGCGAACCATGATTCACAAGCACAATCTCTGCCCAATAAGGCTTCAAGATGGCCGGCTGCCTCTTTTCTCTCCTTTTTTTCTCAGCCTGTCCGGCGAACGATGACGGACCTCAGCAGTATATCAGTTGTTCAAGAAGCAAGGTCACACATCTCTACAGGAATGCGGCAAACCTGGAATGTCAGATCTACACGTGGAAGAGCAAGAAGTCACCGACTACCCCGAGGGCGGACTCGAGGCATGGCTCGTCGTACTGGGTGCTTGGTGCGCCATGATCCCCTCCATGGGCCTTCTCAACACACTTGGAACGCTTCATGCATGGACTGGCACCCACCAACTGCAAGACTATTCGGAGTCTAGCATCGGATGGATCTACGGCGCCTATGCGTTTTTCCTCTACTTTTTCGGAGCGCAAGCCGGACCGATCTTTGACTGCTACGGCCCTGCCTACGTGGTGATTCCTGGATCAGTTGGCATGGTCGCATCGATTCTATTCTTTAGTTTCAGCACTGGTATGCTGGCTACTATGTTGTCATCCCACTGCGCTAACATCTCACAGAATACTACCAAATCTTCCTCTCGTTCAGCGTCCTGGGCGGCCTTTCAGCATGCACCCTCTTCAACCCGGCAATCGCTGTAATCGGCCACTGGTTTAATCGACGGCGCGGCCTCGCGACCGGCGTGGCATGCACTGCAGGAGGTCTGGGAGGTGTGGTCTTCCCACTCATTGTCATGTTCGCCGGGCCCAAGATCGGCTTCGGCTGGGCAATCCGCATCATCGCCCTCTTCTCAGCTGTCTTGCTCGCCGCTGCCTGCTTCCTCCTCCGCACGCGACTTCCACGGCCCAAGGGCAAATCCGCTGCCGTCGACTTCAGAGCGTTGCGCGATGTCAAGTATGCGACGACGACTGCAGCCATCTTCCTGGTTGAATTCGCAGTTTTTATCCCGATCACTTACATCTCTAGTTATGCGCTGCATGTCGGGATGGACAGGACCCTTGCGTATGCCCTTATCCCGATGCTGAATGCGGGCGCGGTCCCCGGCCGGTTTCTCCCGGGTCTCGTTGCGGACAAAGTCGGGCGGTTCAATGTGATGATTGTGACTTCGCTGGTTTGCTCGATCCTAACGCTTGCTCTTTGGCTGCCGATCAAGGACAATACGGCGGGGGTTATTTGTTATGCGATATTATTTGGTTTCGCGAGTGGTGCTGCGATCAGCCTCACCCCGGTGTGCATCTCGCAGGTGTGCAGAGTGGAAGAGTACGGCCGGCGGAACGGAACGACGTTTACTTTTGCGAGTGTCGGGACGCTGACGGGGATTCCCATTGCGGGGGCCATTCTCCAGGCCAATGGAGGGGCGTACGATGGGCTGATCGGGTTTGGAGGGGGGCTGTACTTTGCGGCGACGGTTGCGTTTGTGGTGGCGAGGGTCGTTTGTGCGGGCTGGAAGTGGTCGACTGTCTTTTGAGCTGGTAGCGGTGGATAGATAGAGATATATGGCGCCTTATCTCTGGATAATTTGTCGATAGATAGACACCCTTTCGTCCTTGGGACATGATAGACGGAAAAATCAACCTATGCGCAGCACTCATTTGCCTCCAAATATGCGAGATAACCCCGCCAAATAAGAAACACGGGGTATTCTGGCCAAGCAGCACCAGGGTGAGTCCAGGCCTGCCAAGGGAGCTGAGATACGACTTTACCCTCCGCACCATACGAGCGCCAAGCGAATCTTTGCTCGGCGGAGGATCCTGTCCAATCTGAGACCCGCCTTGTGCTCGGCGAAAATGCCCGACTATGCCAGGCGAGCCTATCACGCACGCACTTGGCCGGTGGTGACTTTGCAAAGGATTACGCGCAAAAGGCCACGGGACAGTCCTGTCTTTGGCCATAAATAGGGAGGCAGCGCAGCCGTGGTGTGATTCAGAGAATTTGCGCATCTGTGCTACATAGCTGCGAAAATGGCTGGAGAAAGTGTCAAAGAGAAGATTCGCAGTCTACTGCACCCATCAGATAGGGCTGCCATGTCTGATACTGACAGCATAGCGCCTCTCTTCAAGTAGGTGTTCCAGCGGAGAATCCAAGGGTTAAACCGAGGCTGACATGACAGCAGGAAAGAACCAAAGAAACCGAAGCAAACTCCAGAGGTTGCTCCACTGCCATATAACGGTATGTAGCCTCCCAACCCAGACAGCATGTCAGCAGCTCACCAACTCAAATAGGCGACCAATGCTTTGGCTCTTGCTGCCGCGGGCGAGGGTACCCGAGATGAAGGCGCAAGGGACGGCGAGATATATATAACCATTATAAACACCAATCAACCCACCTTGTTAATTGTCCAAAGCATTTCCTACTCTAGTAGACTTATCCCAACGATCATCAAAACAGACGCAGCCCTAAGTGCGGAGTACCGACCATAAAGCAAGAGTGATCGCAACCCCGCATCCCGGGATCTGGTGCGGAACAAAGCTGCGGAATTCGCGAACCCGGCAAGAGGCCCATGACATGCGCACCATGAATCATGGAGTTTGTCCATCGACACATATCTTTTGGTCCAGGCCCGCTCCCTTTTTGTCCAACTTTCGGCCCGAGTCAACATTCAACAGCAACTCGAAACAATGCACCATACACCGAAACGCGTTCGGACCGCCGAGTCGGGCGCTTGTACATACTGCGTCAAGCGCAAGGAGCGATGCTATATCGGCGTCAAGGGAATTCCGTGTACGACCTGTCATCGACTAAAGTTGCCATGCGATGGGTCGGTCAAGGCTCAGAGGCAGTGAGTTGCGAGCCCCAGGTTCCATGTAAAATATGCTCAGCAGTACAGATCAAGATCTAAGCCACGGGTGCCGCCTCCGACTCATTGTGCTGGTGCGACTCCTGGGATCCACGTCGAGAACATTACTGACAGTCACCTAGAAGAACTATTTGCCTGTCAGCTGCAGAAAACAGAGCTCGAGCAGAACCCTCGCTTCATCGCTTCTCGTTCCGAGGTGTCTGCGACTGCGCCCCTGGATAACTACCACGCAATCATCCACCAGCTGCTCGGACCTCGCGCTGAGGTCGAACCACGCAAAGTCCAGATCCCAGACTATGTGACTGCGCTACCCGACCGTCTCGACGCTGCGGATCTGCAGTATCTGGAGGCCAAGGGCGCATTATGTGTGCCGACTGCTCGGTTTCGCACCGAGTTGCTCAAGAGCTATATCCTCTGGGTCCATCCTCAGGTTCCGGTGCTTGATCTAGAGCCATTCTTGACTGCGATTGCGGAAAATGATGGTTCGAATACAATCAGTCTCCTCCTCTTCCATGCAGTCATGTTTGCCGGCGCGGCCTTTGTCGATATTTCGTACATCAACCAGGAGGGCTACACATCTCGAGCTGCTGCACGGGACATCCTCTGCCAGCGAGCAAAGGCAAGCTTCCTTAGTCACCTCAGAGCAGCAGATGATAATGAGATTATAGGTACTGCTGGAGTTGCACTGCGAAGACGACCGGCTAGCAACAGTCCAAGCAATACTCCTTCTAGTCCACTGGCACGATATCCAGAACACAGAGAAAGACGCGAGCCACTGGATCGGTACTTGCCTCTCGCTCGCTATATCAATTGGTCTCCACCGGAGCCCAAACGCAAACTCATTAACCCTCCGCCAGCGCCAGGTCTGGAAACGGACGTGGTGGAGTCTGTACAACCACGCCCGTCTGACATCAGAAGATCTAGTGACGATGATGACGATCGAGGGCGAGCATCATGCGAGCGAGGCACCGGAAGTGGGCATGATTGACTTGGGTGATTTCCATATCGCGGTGATACCCCCTGGGATACGGGCGATTGTCGACGACTGCGAGGTCCTGTCGAGCATCGAACAACAAACCGAGCAGGCGATTTTGTTCGTCGAAAAGACGAAGCTCTGCCGGCTATCGCAGTTCTCGGCCCTTTCAACCACGGTAAAAAGTCTACTGTTCGAACACGACAATCCCGCGACTCGGGTATGTCCAAAGCTGTGGGATTTCTTCGCGACGCGGAACCTGGAGGAGCTGCAGTTCTGGGAACGTCATCTGCCACCCGCGGCACAGCACAGCTTCCCGATCACGTTGAACCCCACAGCCTGGGAGAAGAGTATGTATTTGCACCGCACGTGGCTGCGACTGCTCTATCTTGGAACATCATACGCCGCAGTAATGGAGGAGATGAGAGACATCGGTGACCCGGTCTTGTTCCCGTTTGTTGGTGAGTACTCGACCATGTTGGAACAGTACCTCGTTGGCATCACGGATATGTTCGAGGAGATCTATAGCCTTGGCATGTCGACGTTTCTTCCTGGTCCGGCGGTTGCGCTTCTGGTTCTTGCCCTCACGTACCATCGCCGGCTACTGGACCGACAAGGTGGTGGAACACCGAAAAGCGCGCTCAAGTTGCATCAATGTTGGAATATTGTACAGAGGCTCCGGGATACTTCGGTGTTGGCGAAAGGGATGCAGGCATCGGTTGCACATACGAATGAGCCAGATCCTTGGGAGAGACTGGCGATGGGCCTGTCGATTCCGTGATCTTCGTGTAAGCATAAGATAGATAAGCCAGTATATTTGCGACGACCAAATAAAACTTGTGATGAATCTAAACTCCGTTTGCTGAAGATTCTAAAGTATGCAATGATCTAAACGCAAAATAAATCATTAGGGCGTGACGAGCGTGGAATATGGGCTCGCCGGATAGTGTATCATATCGACCGTCCTCCCTCGGCAGGCGGCAAGAATAAACTGTTCGAATTCCGGAATTGCATGGACATGGCCGGTCTCCAAGATGCCAGTGTACCCATGGAGCGAGACCATCCAGTCACCCGAGTCCTGTAGGACACCCGTCCATGTGTCGATTGTCTCATCCCACAATGCCGTCCGGCGATCAAACGGGAGCGCATCAACGAAAGGTGTGCGGAGGGCAAAATTTTGCTTCATAAGCGAGTAGACGCTGCGCAGCATGAATGCCACAATAATGGTGCGCCGTACGGACTCGCCGAACAGCCAAGCTTGCTGTGGACTGAAAGTACTTGAGAGTTGAATTGGGGCTTGCTGCCAGAGTTTATGGCCGAGTGAGAAGAGCATGTCGCTGACACTGTCAGAGTAAGGGGAGGATGGGTCTTCGCTGAAGATCACCATGCATTGTGCGACGAGGAGAGCCTGGGAGGAGGCGAGAAGGTCCTCAAAGGTGGAAGGATTGGAGATATGTCGGGCAAGGATGGATATCCTATGCAATAGTGATGAGAGGACAGTGGCTTTATCAGCGTTGGTGGCGTGTAATTGGCAGAGGGCGTGTACATCGCGGATGGGAGCCGGTGGGCTGCGGTGAGACCAGAGATCCGGGTGGATAAAGTGGGTTTTCATGGATCTAGCAAAGGACGCTGGGTATGACCCCAGCCCAGAGGCCAGGAAGGAGATGACCCGGGGCTCAAAGTTCTTTCTGATTTCCAAACGCAAAGGCCATGGGACTGTGGTTGGGAGCGGCATATTGGCGTACTCGCAGCGTTTCCCCGTGGTGTGGCACCGGCTACATGTTGGCCACAGCCGGTCACAGCGGCGCCGCCGCCGGATACAGGCTTGGCATGACCGGCGCAGGGTGGGCGGCATTTGTCGTGATATCAATGATGGGAGAATGCGGAGGCGGAGACTTTTGTCGCGTTGTTTGAGGGAGAAAAGCAGGTCGGAGCAACAACCATCCGGACTTCGGCTCTCGGCAGGGCGGAAACTATGCCTATTGTGGCTTCCCATTTCCAGGATCTTTGGCTGGTTTGTAAGCATGCCAGACTCCATCCCATGCTTTCACCAAGTACAAGACCCCCGCAGTCCCTTGGCTATATTATAGTTGCTATTGTGCTATATTATAGGCTGTTCCTGAAACAGAAGTTGCGCGACGAAGTCATGCATTCCTCATCATAGCCAAGCCCATCGATCTGGAGGTACATTACGAGCAGAATGACGAACCGCTTTGTCAACTTGGTCAACAAATTACACCTCATGGCAGATATGTGTTTGTAAGCTCTGTCTGGCAATCGTAGATATTGTCTTGTCTCGCCTAGATAATCATGAGGGTGATATAAACTGCCACCTCACCTGGCTTCTTGAGCGCCATCGTTAAGATTTACCACAACACTTCCCCCAGTGCCGTTTGTTGAATGCCAATACTATGTCACAAAAAGCCATTGTTATTACCTCACCCCACAAGGCAGAGCTCGTTACCAACCACCCAATCCCTCGTCTTCGTGATGACTACATCCTCGTCAAGACAGTCAGCGTGGCCCTGAACCCCACGGACTGGACGGACATTGACGATTTTGACACCCCGGGCCTACTGGTCGGCTGTGACTATGCTGGCATCGTGGAATCAGTGGGAAAGGACGTGAAGAAGTCCTTCAAGAAAGGTGACCGCGTGTGTGGCTTTGCCCACGGTTCCAATACCATCCAACCGCAGGACGGCGCCTTTGCCGAGTACATTGTTGTTAAAGGGGACGTTCAACTCCACATTCCCGATAATATCAGCTTTCAGGAGGCGGCCACCCTTGGTGTTGGCATTTTCACCATTGGCCAGGCGCTGTACCAGAGTCTGAAGCTTGCCCTGCCCGATAATCCAACCAAGGAGCCAGTTCCTCTCCTCATCTACGGTGGATCGACTGCCTCTGGTTCGCTTGGTATCCAGTTTGCCAAACTTTCTGGCTACACTGTCATCACAACATGTTCCCCGAGAAACTTTGATCTCGTGAAGAGCCTGGGAGCGGACGTCGTGTTAGACTACAGAGACCCTAATTCGGCAGCCGAAATCCGCAAGTACACCAACAATAATCTGAAGCTCGTATTTGACACCATCGCTCTCGAGACGTCGGCGGCATATTGTGACCAGGCAATGTCAACTGATGGCGGCGAATACACCTCCCTGCTTCCCGTTAACATCGCGCGAGAAAACGTGAACGACCGTTGGACCCTCGCCTTTACAGTAACGGGAGAGGCGTTTGAGTATGTCCCGGATAATTGGCCTGCGAGGCCAGAGGACAAGGCACATGCAGAAAAGTTCGCTGTCATCGCGGAGAAACTTCTGGCGGATGGCAGGATCAAGGGGCACCGTCCGAGTGTGCGTCCTGGTGGGCTAAAGGGGGTTTTCGAGGGTCTTCAGCTTCTCAGGGAGGGCAAGGTTAGCGGATACAAATTGGTATACAACGTCGATGAGACTCCGTAAAGAAGCAGCATCTCTGTGGGTAGTATTATGAAGACATGATATACACATTCAAAACTTTCCGCTCCGATTGTGGTGTGATGTCATGACGAACAGAACCACGGTTCATCCCCACAAACCCATACAGAAGTAGTTTAGTCTCCACCCTCCGCTCCACTGATCTCGCCAGATGATGGTGGAGACTAGACTTATTCAGGAAAGAATGCGCTTGATAGTGGGCTGGTCTAGTACAACCTCTAGGCTGATAAATCGGCCATCACTTCTGGCACCTTCGCGAGGGCCCTCACACAAGCAAACGATTCTCGTTGAGAAGACGTATAAGAGCCAGGCAACGTCCGACCTCTGAACAAGTATCGCTATTCCGATACCTCCCCTTGTCTATGAACAGCAATGGCATCCATCTACCAAAAGGTCCTCATTATTGGCGCCACGTCGGGCATTGGCAAGGGCCTCGCCGGCAAGTTCGTTGAGAACAACGTATCTCTTATCGTCGCTGGGCGAAGAGAGCAGAATCTTGCCGAATTTGTGAACCAACATGCCGGCCAGAATGTCCAGAGCAAAGTCTTCGACATCACCAAGCTTGATCAGGTAGGTTACTCTGAAAAGACAGGCTGCGCTTTCCTCTAACATACGTCAGATTCCAACCTTCCTCCAAGAAGTCTTCACCGAGCATCCGGATATCGACTGTGTATTCGTCAACCCGGGCATCCAGCGGCCCTTCGACTTTAGCAAACCCGAAACTGTCGACCTGACTATCTTTGACGATGAACTTCTGACCAACTATACCTCGGCTGTGCACTTTACCAAAGCCCTCCTCCCGTACTTGCAGAAACAGAAGAAGCAGACCGCCGTCGCATTCACCACATCTCAAATGGCCCTCGTCCCCATGATGCGCTGCCCCAACTATGGGGCTTCCAAAGCGGCCCTCCACCACTTTATCCTGGCTCTTCGCACCCAGCTGAAAGATGGACCGGGTGATGTTCGAGTCATTGAGATATTCCCGCCCGCTGTGCAAACCGAGTTGCACGACACGAAACATCAGCCTGATTTGAAGGATGGACATCTTATCGGCATGCCTTTGGATGAGTTTATCCAAGATGTCTGGGAGCAATTTATCCAGGGAAAGGACCAGATTGCGGTCGGATCTGCACAGGATATTTTCAACTCGTTCGAGGTTACGAGACAGACGCTGTACAACAACATGACGGCGCAGCTGAACGTTCTGTTGAAGGAGTTCCTGCAGTAAAAAAGAAAGTTAGATTAACAGTAGCCCGATATAAACAAGGCTTCTCTTATCCCATGAGTTGCACTTGCAGTTATATCAACAATGTGTAGACGGCCAGCAACCCACGCATTTAATAGAACCGTCATGGACAACATGACAGAAATCGCTTTCAATAGGCAGAAAAATATCACTCACCCGAGAGTTTAGATCTACTTGAGTAACTGTTGAATCTCGGTGCCTGGTCAAACACGAACCACCTGACCAACATACATAAATGATTACTGCCTGAAGATTGTCCCGCAACGCCCAACCTGATTCCCTTAGCGAGTTGAAGGACTGGGCTTTCTTCAACAAATATGGATTCCTGCTCTGAGAAGGCAAACCCTTCCGCTGAGTGAGTTCTGGCTCTGTCAAGGGTCGATGGCCGCTAATCCATGCGAAGGGGACATTATCAATACCATTTGCGTCTCGTCGGAAACGCTGGCGTCGGGAAAAGCGCTCTTATTAGCCGCATAAACAGGGATACTTTCAGTAGCACTTTCCCGTACGAAAGACACATAGCCTGCGACTGGGTATTGTTTCCCACCGTCTCAGCCCTTCGGAGACAACGGGCTGACTTTCCCTGACTCGATCCAGCTTCGCACTGGGGTTGAAACCGAGACGGCCAGAATCACCCTCTTATACGCAAGTCTTGCCTTTCAATACGCAAAGTATACATTGCCTGAGTGATCGATTTTAGTGCGACACGGCATGGCAAGAGCGATTTGGGCGGCTTCAGTCTAATTTCTACCGGAGAGCGCAATGCGTTTGCGTGATATTCGACCTTACAGATGCGCGCTCGCTAGCGGATGCCGCTGACTGGCTTCACGACGTTGCTGAGTGCGCCTCGCTTGCGGTAAAGTTCCTTGTTGGGAATAAATGTGACCTGGAGAAGGGGAGAATAGATCACGCAGCGGCCGCTTCGGTACGTCGTCCAATATTTTCATATTTGTCCGCGTCCTTTATTTGACGGAAGCTCACCGGTGTGCTACTATAACAGCTGGCAAAGAATTTCGGGGCTCGGTACTTTGAGGTCTCTGCTGCGTCCGGCGAAAATGTCCATGAGCTGCTCGCTGCCATCGCCAGAGATACACATGCTCATGCTGATGCCAGTTCTGGCCCAGATGCTACGGGGGTCAATATTAAAGTAAAGACCCGCAAGAGGTGCTACTGATTGTCTGTCCTCGGGCTAGTATAAATGCCACCTTCACGGTTGGTCGTTTCAGGGGCATCATACTATCATATGAATCACGAAATCAGGTCACCATCGCCACCTGCGGAATTGAGCCACTCTATCGTTTCATCCCCGTTGGAAGGTTCCCGAGATCGCGAGACTTCTATCAACATATTCGAATTCTGTGCTGGAATGCACGGTGTTTAGATTTAATATCCCCTAACTTCGTCGGACATTATGCGACACAGGCTCCTGGAGCAGGGGATACAAAGATCTGCATGGGGGAAGTCAGTGTGACTTCTATACTCTCGCGTTCCGTTAAGTCGTAACCACGGATTTTCTAATAAACGTTAAGATTCTCTCTGCTGTTTGGGCGCAAGTCTTCATATTACCTTCCTTCTATGTATGTATATGATTATCGCTTCCCCAATGTCTTGTATAGAACACGAAGGTGTGTAACTCTCCTACACTTCAATCCTCCCATTATGCAACCCGCCAGTAACCGCAAGCTCGGCACCAGTTGTATAGGAAGCCCCATCACTCAAGAAATACGCAACAGCAAGCGCCAAGTCCTCTGGTGTTCCGATACGTTTCAAGGGAGGTGTGGTTTGAAAAACGTGCTGAATCTCGGTAAACTGGCGGGACATGGACGTTGCCGTGAAACCGGGCGAGAGAGTGTTGACGCGGATGTTATGCGGAGCCAATTCCACGGCCAGTGTCTTACCGAGTAGTTTTATCGCTGCTTTGGACGCACCGTAGAGCGAGACACACTGCGCCGGAATTGCACAATGAGCGGCGATGGAGGCGATGAGTACAACTGATCCGCCGTTGCCCTGTTTTACCATTTGCTGGGCGGCTAGCTGGGCGCTGAAGAACGATCCGAGTACCTGCGTTGGGTGTCAGTGACTAGATTCGGGGTCAAAACATGGATACTGGGTGGCTGACATTGATATCTAGCAGACGACGTGATTCCTCCCACGTGTGTTCGAAGAACGGCTTGTCGAGGGCAATTCCAGCTGATGTGATACTGTCGCGTATTCGTCAGTCTCCTAGAACTCGCGCCGTTCAGGGGTGACCGCACCAATTGTCGATACGCCCAAAGTCATTGATCGCGCTTGCAAACGCTGCGTCCATGCCGGGCTTCGATGTAACGTCCATACTACTCGCGTCAGGAATACGCCGATAAAGTGGAAGGGTAAGGACGCACCGATAATACCTGATTCGTTTTCCATATGTTTTCTCAAGCTCGGACAGCTCACGTTCAGGTTGAAGCACGTCAAGAATCACCACATCGCTTCCCAGTCCGGCTACGGTCTCGGCTAAGGTGAGACCGATGCCCCTGGCGCCTCCAGTAATGACAGTGACCTTTCCTGCGAGGGAGAGCTTCTCGGCCACGGAGGTTGGAGAAACCCCCGCTGGCGCCTGGACTGAAGGGCGGGTGTGGAATTGGCGTCTTTCAAGTGGCGTAGGGCGGCGGCCGTTAGAGACCACCAAGCTGAGGGTAGACCGGGAGAGTCTGGGATGAATTCCACCGAGCGCATTCCAGGTGCGCTTGGCGGTGATTGTTGAGATGATGGAACGCTGACTGATCATGCTGAGGTGTTGAGCGCAGTTTACTTGTTAGATATGTTGGCACTGCCATGCGGCGTGCTTATCAGTTAGCTGACCGCAAGCGACGATCAGACCCCCGCTCTCCCCATGGGGTGTTGACTGCTACTATCCAGCGACTCCGCGGGTTTACTATTTCCGCAGAGTAAATCCATGACTCATGGGCTTGGGGTCATGGTAGGGTAGGCTGGGATGGGCCATGACAAGACTAACGCCAGTAAGTTGAACGCACCAAAAGTAACTTCGAGTGAAACATGCTATGGCCGTTGCTATTACGAGTAATAAAGATGTTGATAAGTAAACAACAATCAACGCATTAACTACGAAATGATGATATGTAAGATTATCGTACAAGGCGGATGGCAGTGCCATACAGCTCTCGCAGGGAGCCAGCCCAGCCAAGATTCTTCTTCCACACGAGGCCAGCGAGGGCAAGGACCAGCACCGCATAGCTCTCCTTTGGGGTCGTCCGCAGCCATCTCGCCAACATGTTGAACACCCACAGCCTGGAGCCCGGAAAAGTATTAAAGACACCAATTTGCGGCTTCAACGATTCCTTCCAGTACGTGGACGCGTACCCAGGCCACGAGGCCGAGTTGCGACCATGCTTGTTAATGTACCAGTTGGAGCACCCAGCCTCAAACACAGTTCCCCTCAAATCCGCCTGCAGAGCGTTCACCCACTGGTCCTCTACTGTGCCCTTGACGTCCAGAGAAGAGATGCGCCTGTCAATGATAGGCGCGACTAGAGTCCGGGCAATGTATCCTACCTGCACCTCGGAAGCGAAGAGAACTGAGTTGTGTGCAGGGAACGTGTTCGGCCCAAAGCTGCAGAATGTTGATTAGCAACGGTTGCTTCTGGGGCAAGAGAGGAAGGTGTATACGTACAGCATGGCAAAGTTGGGAAAATTATGAACATATGTGCCCATGTAAGCCTGTGCTCCTCGGCTCTCTCTCCACTGGTCGGTCAAGCTCTTGCCCTTTTTACCGTAAACCTCCATTGGAACGAGAAACTGTTGGACGTCGAACCCAGTGGCCAAAACAATGGCGTCGAATTCAGTGTGCTTGCCGTCGCTGCTGGTGATTCCTGTCTCGTCTATCGCGTCAATGCCCACAGGAGCGACTTCCACGTTGCTGCGGTGAAGACTCTCCAGGTAGTTGGGATCAAAGATGCGCCGCTTGCAGCCTGCATGGACAGAAGAGTCAGATATAGGTCAGGCATAGAATACCGGTGCCATACCGAGTGGAAAGTCTGGAACGATAAAATCATGATACTTGCGAGGCGCCATCGAGTGGATATACTTTCGCGCCCCTTGTTCGGCCTTTGCCCTCAGCTTCTCCGCAGCTGGGCCGGGCATATAAGTTGCGACCAGGCCATCGCTCATGAGGAAGATGCGCAGTCGGATGTACCTCTCCCAGAGCGGAATGTACCGAAAGCAGAACTTCTCAAAGGCCGTAAAGTTTCGATTCGGGCGCTCGTGGTACCACTGCGCACTGCGAGCGTACTGCTTGACGAAGCCAGCGTCCTTTGCCACTGCAGGGACGACCTGCGCAGCACTGCATCCGTTGCCAATCACCGCCAGCCGCTTGCCCCGGTAGTCGTACTTGTGGTTCCAGCGAGCTGTGTGGAAAATCTCGCCCTGGAACTTGTCCATGCCAGGGAACTTCGTATCGCGAGGCTTCGAGATTCCTCCGACAGCGGATATGAAGACGGTCGCATTGCGTGTGTACTCGAAGCCAGTCCTGGTGTCGCGGAGGCGGACTTCCCAGAAGCCTTGTTCATCCCACGAGGTGGAGACGCATTCTATCCCGAATTGCATGTGTTTGCGGAGGTCAAACTTGTCGACCGTTGCCTCCATGTATTCCAGGATCTCGGGGCCTTCGCATAGTTCTTTGGACCAGTTCGGGTTCTGGTTGAAGGAGAAGGAATAGAGGATGGTTGGAACGTCGCATCCGCTGTGGTGAGTGTTAAGTGACGGTTAATCTAATGCAAAAATATGACTTACACTCCAGGATAGGTATTCTGCCTCCAGGTTCCCCCTGGCCCTTCATCTCGGTCGTAGATCTATCCTTGTGTCAGCTGAAAGAGCTCAAATATCCCAAGTCCACTCACAGTAAAGTCGGTGAAGCCCAGTTTGTGCTTGAGCGTATGCGCCAGTGCAATCCCCGAGGGACCAGCGCCGATGACGATAATCTCAGGACTCTGCATTCTGAACCGTGTCGCAAGGATACTTTGGCCAAGCAAAGTGATGAAGGACGCTGCGCCATTTGCATTACCTTATACTTTACGCATAGGAATTTCGGCCGGAAAATGGACTGGACAGGGCTGCTGACCATAACCGAGGGTCCTGTCCCACGCCTGCTTCCCCAGATGGGGCTGGGCAGGAGGAGGAAGGGGGGCAATACCCGCGGGATTGCAATTCCCATGGGCCATGAGTCAGGGCACCTCAACCCCGGTTCCAACCTTGAAGCCTGAGCTTTCCCCATTTCCTCCCCATACCCACTTTGATCTCCATATCCTGGTTCATCCGGGGTAATTCCCCAGATAAGGGTTTGGGTACTGTGGTATTCTTGTATAAAGGGGGCGAAGTTGCAAGCCCGCCATGCGACTGAGGAGTCATAATATTCCGTCTCCAATATCTTTCGCGTATTATTTGCTCTATCGCTTGCCATGTTCAACCTCGACTTTGCCCGTGGACGGCTGCTGTATCGGCTGATGAGCCTGTGCTGTTGCTTGGTGGGTCGCTTCCTTCACTCCCGTTCCCAACTTATCTAACTCTGTCATGTGCAGGCATTTGGAATGTATGGGTAAGTGTTTATTCAAAGAAAACTGGTTGTATAGTGTCCAAATACTCAGAGTGAAGATATGATGCTGGTGTGCTGGGTGGTGTTCAGGAGACAAAGCCCTTCCGCGACGCCATGGGAGTAAGGAAGCCCTACCAGTGTTGGTCGGGGCCATGCTAACCAGACTAGAATCCGACGGGCACCTACATCATCCCCATGATTGCCTCGAGCTACACCCTCGCGGCGACAGTCTGCTCGCTCATCACCTCCGTAATGGGGATGCCGCTCGGCCGGCGCGGTTGTATCCTGTTGGGCGACATTCTGGTCATCGTCGGAGGCTGTCTGCAGGCTTCTGCGTGGTCTGTTGGTCAGATGATTGCTGGGCGAGTGGTTTGCGTATGGTCTGGGCCTCTACTGTTCGGGATTGATCGCTAATGCTTCGTTCCACAGGGCTTCGGAATTGGAGTACGTCCACTGCACCTGCATCTCGCCAACTGCTAACTGTCAACAGTTGATTTCCTGCGCAGTACCAACCTACATGGTCAGTCACAATAGCACTACCCAGTGACGCGACCATACTAATAGTCCCAGGCCGAAATGAGCATCACCACCAGAGAGCGCGGCCCAGAGGTCGCTATTCAGTGCATCTTTCTGGTCGGGGGCTGCGCCTTTGCCTACTGGGTGGATTTTGGCTTCACGCGCATGGACAACCAGGTTTCCTGGGTACGAGTCACTCATAATCGACATAGTTTATCTGCTCACAGACCCAGCGATTCCCCATAGGCTTCCAGACGGCTTTCGCCCTCGTGTCCGGTATTGGCATGTTCCTCCTCCCCGACACTCCTCGCTGGTACTACGCTCGAGGCCGCTACGACGAGGGCGACAATATCCTGGCTAGGCTTCATGACTGTGCAGTTACGGATGATGCGGTACAAGCGATGAGGCAGTCCATCATTGCCTCTATCGAGTTTGAGGGAGAGTCCAAGAAATTCAACGTCTGGGATCTCTTCTGGGACAAGACCAAGCTTCGCGTGGGGCATCGCATTCGTGTCGCATTTTTGCTGCTGTCTATTCAGCAGATGATGGGTAAATAATCGTATCCAACTCCTCTCCCAGTGGTTGGAGCTGATCACCCTCGTTACTTAGGAATCAACCTCTCCGTCTACTACAGCACGATCATCTTCGGCCAGATCGGGCTGTCTGCATTCTTGTCCCAGCTACTCGCGGCAGTCATGAATACCACGTTCGCCATGGGAACCCTCTTTCTCCCTAGTACAATCGAGCGCTTTGGGCGACGGGCAATCTTGATGTATTCTGCGGCGGGGCTGACCATCTGTATGGTTGTCTTTGTCGCCATGATTGGCGTTTCCAATCCCACGCCGGCGACACAATGGACGGCCGTTGCTGCTGCCTTTGCTTACAATTTCATCTTCGGCTATGGTTGGATTGGCGTCGCATGGCTTTATGGGCCCGAGGTAAGCAATGCCCGTCGAGTAATGGGAGGAGATGGATGCTAACGAGGACAGATTGCCCCCCTCCGGCACCGTCATGTTGGTGGCGCTGCGGCTGCCTTTGGAGAGTGGCTTTTCTGCTTCATCACTGTTTTCGCGGGTGGCATCGGCTTGCAGAATGTGGGTTGGAAAATGTGGCTTTGGTCTTTGCTGTCCTGTGCGTTGGCTGTGCCATTTGTCTATTTCCTGTGTCCTGAAACGACCGGTAAGACGCTCGAGGAGATTGACATCCTCTTCGCCAAGGGAGATGTTCCGCACGAAATCATGGCTTCTGGATCATCCGAGGGGGAGGGCAAGGAAGGATTGGAATTCGAGCATGAGGAGAAAGTCAAAGTCTAGGATGAGGGTAGGCAAAAGCTCTAACCGGGCTACTGTAGTAGATAATCCAGGAATAAAGCAGCAGAACAGGAAACACTTGGTGAATACTATAAATACGAGCAAGCTCTCCATCTCGATGTCCCTGCCAATGAGGCTTCCTGTAGTCATCCTCCAAACTCGCTGTAGCAAATCGTGGGAATAGGAAACAATCTGTGAGTACTACTTGATTTCCTAGTCATATTTACTTCCCATGATTATCCCAGTATGTCGCAGTGATCCTTCAATCGATGACAACCACCGCCACCCGTCGGAGCAGCGGAAACTCGTCTCGCCCATGACTCATGGACCAGTTCCGGGATTCAACTTCCAGCTGTCCAGAACACGTCCACGGGGCATGCCCAGCCAGTCAGCCGCCCGGGGCCCCGTGGGGAACATACTTTGGCCAAGTTTCTAGGAATGTGGCTTCTTCCGGCCGTCACTTTAGCTACCCAAGTTCGGCGAATGTGTATATAAACCGAACCCATACACTGCGGAGCCCTCCCTGTGCTATCCAAGACAGTCAGCTTTATCGTTTCTGACACAATGTTCAACATGAGGGGTCGTACTTTGCAGCTGGCCATCACAATCAGCTCGGGCAGCGCCTATTTGCTGTTTGGCTACGATCAGGTATGTCCTACATGTCAGCCGGCTGGCATCGAGTAACGTGAATAGGGTGTGCTGGGAGGCCTGGTTTCGGAACCCAGCTGGCTGTCTGCAATGGGCAATCCGAGTGCAACTTATGTGGGAATCATCGTTGCGCTCTTCAACATCGGTTGTCTCGCCGGGTGCGCGGTTGCCGCTCTCTGGGGAAACCGTCTTGGACGGAAGAGGACTATCGTCTGGGGATGTCTCACGATGATTGTTGGGGGCATTATCCAGGCCAGTTCATTCGGTGCTCCGCAGCTCATCGCAGGGCGAATTGTCTCTGGCATAGGAAACGGTACAAGAATCCCTCGCCTCGCTTTTTCTGCTCCGAGTCGCCACTAACCTGGGTCTCAGGAATGAATACCTCGACAGTGCCCGTTTATGTGTCCGAGACCTCTCGCAGCACGGTGCGCGGTAGATCGCTTGCCATTCAGATGTCCATTGTGATTGTATGCCATACGCGTCTTCCAGCGATCTGGTCTACCGCTGACGCTCTTAGTTTGGCACTGTGGTTGCATACTGGCTGGACTACGGCATGATTCGGAATCATACGGGCGATGTATGTAAATATACACCGTCCTTCACCACGTCTGATTCCAGTTCACTAAAGTGTCCAGGTCGTGTGGCGCTTCCCCCTCGCTTTCCAGGACGTCTTTGCCATCATCACCGTGGCCACCATGCCCTTGCTCCCAGAGTCTCCCAGGTAGGATAGCACACGGTTTAGCTTTGATCGGATCGCTCTAATGATGACTTTCTTGTGTTAGATGGCTCTATTCTAAGGGCCAAAAGGCAGAGGCGGTTCGGGCCCTCTCCGCCCTCATGGACCTTCCTGATAACGATCGCGAAATCACAACCATCGTCGCCGAGATGGAACAGGCGGTTTCCCTCGAGCAGCGCGACTCGAGGCTCAGCTTCCGAAGTCTCTTCCTCGACAAGACGGACATGAAGAATGGACGGCGGTTGGTGCTCTGCTTCATGCTGCAGCTGTTCCAGCAATTCACGGGTATCAATGTTATTGCGTTTTACGGTACGCGATCCAACTAACTTCCTAATGCACTTACTGACCATCGGCAGTCACCATCGTGCTTGAAACCAACGTGGGCTTGAGCCGGCAGACGAGCAGCCTCGTTGCCGGATTTATTCAGATAGCATTCTGGGCGGGCACGTTCCCTCCCATCGTCCTCATGGATCGTTTGGGTCGGCGCAAGGTGCTCATGTACGGATCAGCCATGCTATGTCTTGCAATGGTTCTGTTCACAGTTGGTGTGGCACTCGACACGTCAGCCTCATCCAAACTCGCCCTGGGGATGCTCATCATCTATGAGTTCTCGTTTGGAATGTCGTGGAACTGCGTCCCATGGCTGTATGCTCCGGAGATTACGCCGCTGAACCTTCGCCATCTTGGAGCCGCTGTGGGTTGTTTCTCTGAGTGGCTTTGGACCTTCGTAGGTGATCCTCTTCCCAATGCTGATTGCGGTGGTCTAACGTGCGTTGAATAGGTGATTGCCATCATGACGCCAACTGCCATTGAGAACACCGGCTGGAAAATATACTTGTTATTCTGCATCTTTCTCGCTTTGAGTATCCCATTTGTCTACTTCTTCTTGCCCGAGGTTCGTCGTTCTCATTCCGGCTCACTGCGATATGAACTAACTCTGCAATAGACAAACGGCAAGACTCTAGAGGAGATCGACTATATCTTCGTCAAGGACAGGCCATCGCTTCCGTCCACCTCCAGATCGTCCGACATTGACATGCCCGTCAAACAGATGGGGCAGAGCAACCAGGTCGAGACTGTTTAAGCGAGGCTTGATTAGATCGGGAACGTGGAAAAAGTACTTCCATAGGGCAAGAGTTAGACAGATTGCAAAGGGGGGTTTTTGATAATCTGATAGAGTTTTCCAAACGTACAAGTTATGTGTCTTATGGGGCATTATAGACTGGCTAGAGCCTAGTCCTGTTGAGCAGGCAAGCCACATGAGACATGATTACGCAGTACAGCTATCCGAACTCCCCAATCTCATGAGGGTTTCGGTTCGTGTTCAAATTGTGACCTTCAATCCTGATACGTAGCTCCTTGGTGGCTATCATTTAGCATAGCTCCCTGATCGTTTCATCTCATGATTGTCCAGGGCCTACCAAACGCATATGAGCTTTTATCACTGATAACCTTGAATTTTTTTTTTTTTTTTTCATTCGCACACACAGTAGTGAATTGTCTACACTAGATCCGGCCCCGAGCCAAGAACCTGTCCGGAATGTCCACCCACTTGCAGCGCAAATACTCGGCGAGATTTTTTCCTAGCACATCGTAGGTCGAGCTCGAGGAAACGCCACGATCCAGGTGATCCTTCAGGAGGAAATGTACAGCTATTGAATGGTTAGTAACAAACTATGCAAATAAGGCAAACAGGAATAGGCGCATACCCCAAATGTGTGGCAATTCGAACCGGAAGATAGCATTCCCCTCGTCATCACGGCCCAGGAGCTCTCGGATCTTCTCGACCGTGAGCAGTGAGCGCAGCCAGTCCCATTCATCACGGTTCCGCACGAAGAAGCCAACGTTGCAGTCGGATCCCTTGTCGCCTGAGCGAGCGTGGACCACGTAGCCCAGGGGTGCACGGGTTGTCGGTCCAAACACTGACAAGTCGTACGGGCTCTTGGTCTCGTATGTGGCCTGGTCGTACTGGAATGGAACAGTGTCCTTTGGTGGTTCGATGTTGATACTGGACCCCTTAAATGGAAGATGGCAAACGTGGCGGATCTGGTCCTGGGGGAAGATGGAGACAAAGTATTCGTAGTACGGCTTGGGTGCCGCCTGGCGAGCATCCACCGCAAATGTGGCTCCTGGATAGCTCTGCATGATTGTATCGGTGCATGGGCGGAAGAAGTTGGCCTGAGAAAGAGCCTCCTCTGAGCGAGATTGGGCGAATATGCGCACGTCGACCGTAGAGGCGTCCTGGCTCGATGGATTCGAAGGGCAGGATCCGTTGACTCGGAATTTCAAGGTATGGAACTGGGTTTCGTCTAGCAAGTGGCGTACTTGCTTTTCCAGCAGTGCTGCCTTTTCTTCAATGTCGAGACCACACAGGAAGTAATGAACTTCTGCCTGGAATCCTCCAATTGCGGTGAGTCCAATCTTTGTGGTGGGAGGAGGCTTAATGCTCTTGACGTTCGAGACATGACTAGCAGCGGTTAGTGAAGACTGTAAACTGTGCAAGAAAGACTCGACATACACTCTGTTGTGGCCGTCCTCCTTGATCACAATGCCATCAAGCACAGCAACAACGTCGGGGTTGTAGTACAGTGGGCCCTGAATCTCATAGAGGAGCTGAGCCTTGCATGTATCGACCGTGACCACTCCATCCTTTCCATTTTGCATCGTCACCACGAACTCCCCCTGGGGACTGATCTCTACAATGGGAAAGGCCAGGTCGGTTGAGGCTCCCGGTAGGGACTTGAATCCAGAAAAGTTACCGCCAGTCACATAGGTCGAGCATTCAATGAAGTGGCCGGCCACAAATGCGTGCGCCAGTTGATCGTAATTTTCACGCGTCCAATCGTGGTAGAAGGCAGCACATGCGATCGTCGGAGACGCATCGGTGACTCGACCACAAAGCACAATATCAGCCCCTCCCTTGAGAGCCTCGACGATGCCCCATGCTCCGAGGTAGGCTTGAGCATAGATCGGGGTGAATTCCCAGTCCGCAAGCTGCTTCCCTATATTTGACCCTGATCAGCAGATGATATAGATCATTTCCTACTATGTACTAACCTGTGGTAAGATTCTTGAAAGCATTTCCTGATTTGACCGACTGCTGAAACAGATCCGTCACCTCGTCACCTTCGATCCAGGCAACTTTGAGGTCCAGATTTTTCGCTTGAATCACCTCGTTCAATGCATCATGCAGCTTTTTCGTGTCGCTGGCACCTGCATTAACTGCTACTCTTATCTTTCGTCTGGCAAGATCCTCCAATGCCGGCTCGATCGCCTCCATGAAGCTGGTTTCGAACTCGGAGGAGACGGGGTTGCCGTTCGCCTTGGCTCCTCCCCTTGTGGTCATGTTGTACTCGGACATCCAGTCACCGACAATAAACTGAACGTCCTCATCTCGGGCCAGCTCCGCCAGGGCATGTCGTCGATCCGTGACGGATCCGGAGGCGGAAGCGATGCGTAGGGTCTGTGCTGACATGGTGGGTGGGTCAATCTAAATGCAACGAGGGATGCAGCAACTTACTGTCGCGTGGCAGGATGTGTTAAATAATGGTCTAGAGTAGCTTAGCCGGACGTGCGGGGGCGGCTGTCCAAAACGCTTGGGGTATACTCCCGAGGACCGAAATTGGACAACGGGGGGCTGCGTTGATAGCCATGAGTCAGGGACCATGTCAGGCCGAGTTATCGTGCCGACAGAGTGGGAATAAAGACAGTATTCACGTAATTGAAGAGGAGTGTATTCACATTCTATCCACTAGGCAGATCTAGTATGTCATGTTGATGAGAACCGTCTTGGGCTCCGTGTAGGCCATCAATGCGTTCACCCCCAATTCCCTACCCAGTCCACTCTCCTTAGTGCCTCCAAATGGACACGAGAAATGAATGGTACTGATGCAGTTCACACCGACTACGCCCGAGTCAAATCCAGAGCTCATTCTCAGAGCTCGGTTGATGTCCTGCGTAAACACTCCAGCCATCAGCCCGTACTTGCTCGCGTTGGAGCTAGAAAGGACCTCCTCTTCCGTCTTGAACTTATTGACCACCACGACGGGGCCAAATATCTCTTCCTTGTAAATTGATGCATCTTCCTTTGTGTCGGTGAATATTGCGGGCTCAATATAGTAGCCCTGATAGGTGTTAGAGTATAGCTGTAAATGCCCACCGGCCGTGGGAGTACCGACCTTGGAGTACAGGGGCTTTCCCCCTACCAACAATGTTCCTTGGCCTTCTTGTTTGGCAGTTTCAATAATCCCCATGATTCGGTCGTATTGTGCTTTGTCTACTACGGGGCCCAGCTCAGATCCGGCAGCGTTTGGGTCGCCAATAACTTTCCGCTTAGCCTCAAAGGCCTTCTGGTACGCAGCCAGAAATTGATCGTAGATCCCCTCCTGGACGTAGACTCGAGAGGCAGCAAAACAGATTTGGCCCGAGTTGTTCGTCAACCCATTCACACACCTTGTGGCCGTCAGCGCCCAATGAATACGCATTCTGCGAGAAAGACTTACCAATGAACTGCGTTTTCCAGGTTCGCATCGTCAAATACCACTGCTGGACTTTTTCCTCCGAGCTCCAAGGTACAGCGCTTCAGGTTACTCTTCGCCGCCAGCACCTGCACAGCCTTACCAGTCGCGACACTCCCGGTAAAGCTGACCTTGGCCACCTCCATATGGCTCGCAAGCAGGGCACCGGTGCTTCCGTCACCCTGGAGCACTTGGAATACACCTGGAGGGAACCCGGCTTCGATCACGAGCTTGCCCAAAGCTGCCGCCATCAACGGCGTCTTTTCACTGGGCTTCAGAATAAAGACATTTCCTGCGGCCAGGGCTGGGGCTGCCTTGAGGCCGACAGACGCCAAGGGGCCATTCCACGGGATTATTCTGTGCGGGCGAGATCAGTACGGCCATTCTTGAGGGCGTATCAGAAGACGAACCCAGCAACGACCCCTAATGGTTCATATCGTACAATCTTGTAGAAGCCGTCATCAGCGGGAAACGACTGCCCCGCAAACTTATCGATCCAGCCAGCGTAGTCTTAACACTTTCAGCTCATATTCCAGGTGCATCAGATACAGCTTTTACTCACATCGGAAGCATCCAATGGCAGTTCCAATTTCCGACTTCCCAAACGGCAGATAGGGGGCACCCAGGGTCAGGCGCGTCAGGTAGGCGAGGTGCTCCTGGTTGTCCTCGAGCAGGTCCGCGAATCGAAGCAGAATCTTCTGGCGCTCGTGGAACGTCATGCGCCGCCATTCGGAGCCAGCAGCAAATGCCGCATTGGCAGTGCGAACAGCCAAATCTACATCTTCGGGTCCTGCAAGGGGGATCTGGTCGCTCACTAGATCTCCGGTTGCGGGATTGTAGACGGACAATTTCGCGGTGTTGATGCAGTCAACATACTATATATATTAGACACGCATTAGCCAAAATCGTCGCTGTCCAGAGCAAAAGGCATTTACAGTGTTGTTGATGAAGAGCTGGGTGAGATGGGATTTGAACTCCATTTGGACGAGTGTTTAATGGTCCTTGGACTCACATTGTCCTGTTTTGCGGAACTATATATCTTCTCCAGACGCCCACCCCGGCCAGGCGCAAGAGCAGCCGCAAAAAGCCCATGAGTCATGGTCCCATAGGTCACGTGCCAGCCCAGGATGAAGTGCGGGGTGCGGTTGCCGATGCCAAGCCTGGAGTTTCTCAGCTCCCAGACGACCATTGATCGCGCGTCTTTCCTCACAACAGACACCGCATCATGAGCGACGCTGAACCTCCGCTCCCCCGCAATGGCTCACGCGTTCGGAGGAGGCCACCACGGAAGGTCTCTACCTTGACCACCCAGCAGGTCCAGCACAAGCGCGATCTCGACCGCAAGGCACAACGCGCCCTTCGCCAACGCGTCAAGTCGCGCATGCAGGACCTCGAAGATGACCTCGCCCGCGCCAAATCCGACTGCTCTGTTCGAGAGCAGAAGATGATGGAAGAGATTCAAATGCTGCGGGAAGAAAATCGAAAGCTGCGCTCGTACCTGGACAGCATTGGCCAGTTCGCAATCAATGGAGCAGCTGCAGAGAACGGTTCGGTCGATGACGCTGCAACTCCCGATCCAACACTTCCGCTTGATGAGGACGAGCCACCGTTAGGTTTGAATCCCGAAGCTTCCGCTGCCTTTGGAAATACTTTGCTGATACTGCCCTTCTAGATACCGAGGACAACCACGAAACGCTTCCCTACGATCAACCCCAGCCAAATCCTGCAACAGTCCCCGATCGTGCCCCGAATCAAACGCAAGGCCATACAATTGAAGGAAACCAGTTGTCCTGGCTCAGGGATGGCTTAGGAGGCCACGACACTCCGCGCGGTCAGTTGAACACAAGTGTCCCGGCCACTTACCAGCACACGAACCCGTCGGTTGCCCAAATAAACCAGATAAACCTTCCGTCTCCAGAAACGGACGGTTCGTTGAACCGTGTGCATACCCGCGAATACCTGGAGACGCCTGTACAGCGAGGTGAGCACAATCTGACTCTGTATCAAGATAGGCATATTGATCAACTACCTCACAGCTCAAGAATCGATCACTGCACCGGCTCAAAGCATGCTCACCCCGGCTTGGGCACCCTCTTTACACCCGGCCTTCTACCCGCCATCCCCCTCTACCGGCATTGCCTCCGTTCTCCCAAAACACACAACCGCTACGTGTCCTCTAGATCAGATCCTTCTCGACTTCATCCAATCGCGACGATCAATGGCAGCAAAGGGCTATAGCATGGATCTGGTTCTTGGATCTCCTCATCCGTCCGTTCAAGCTATACTCTATCCTGGTCCTCCAACACCAGAAGTCCATGATACAAGCCGTGTCTTGGGCGAGGTTCTCACCACCTTCTCACACGTCTCGCTCCCAGAAAAGCTGGCATTCATGTTTGTGATGTATCGCACGATGCGAGTACGTATCTCCTCTGTCGTCCGTACGTTTGATTGGGCTAAGCCGATGATAGTGGCAAATATCGCCGACCGATGCCACTTATGAGGAAATGCCTCGATGGCTACGACCGACCGCAACGCAAATCACTGTTCCACATGCTGCATGGATTGATAACATCCCTTGGTATGCCGTTCTTGGGATAATGCACGCTTCCAGGCTAACTTGGCCCACAGGCCGCGAGTACGGGACCTTTTGATCGAGAACCCCACAAAACATCCCTTTGCCGTCTTTTCTGAGGTCTACTCGCGAAACGTTTCCATTAATTGGCCGTATGACAAGATGGACTGCGTCTCGACTCAGGGCGACAATGTTCAGCTTAATTCCATCTTCGAAAAGCACATCCGAAATCTCAATAATTGGACTGTGACCAAAGAATTCCAGGATTACCTGCCGGATATGGCGACTGCGATTTACGGCAAGGACTAAAAACCATATTTTTCATCTCATTGAAGCTATCCTAAAGCCGGCTGCTGAGTGGCGGAATGGGCCGCAAACTCCTCACTAAAAGGCAAGTCAACGTACCCAATTGGTGACTTGGGGGTGTAGAAAGTGGTCCGGTCATAATCCCTCAGCGGGATACCCTTGGCGAGCCTGAAAGGAAGATCAGGATTGGCGATGAAGTGACGACCAAAGCCAATCACAATCTTATAAGACGAATGTGCTTGGATCATCCTCTCTGCTGAGTCTGCGGAGAAGCCACCGGCGAGAATGATCGGCCGGTCACTGCCGTAGGCTTTGAGAAGAAACTCGTGGTCCTCCTGGTCACCCTCGACGGTTGCCGACCCAGATATCCGGGGCTCGACAACGTGCAGGTAGGCAAGCCCGAGTGGACGCAATTGTCCCACCAAATGTGTGAACTGCGTCTGCAAATCCTGCATCCGCATTCCCTGAAAGGTGCTCCAGGGACTGATGCGGTAGCCAGTTCGATCAGAGCCGACCGCAGCGGACACAGCCTTTGCGACTTCGAGCCCGAATCGGGACCGGTTTTCCACGCTTCCTCCCCATTCATCATCGCGGTTATTGCACGTGTCTTGCAAGAACTGGTCACATAGGTAGCCATTAGCACCATGAATTTCGACACCGTCGAAGCCAGCGGCAATCGCGTTTCTCGCAGCCGTGGCATAGTCTTCCACCCAGCTTTGGATCTCTTCCCTGGACAGCGGCCGGGGAGCAATGCTATCCTCCGTCATTGGAATGTTTCCGCTGGAAATGACTTCATATCCATCCTTGGCCAGGACTTCTGGCTGCGCAGCACGGCCAAGCGCCCACAATTGGCAGAAGATATAACTGCCGCGCGCATGGACCGCGTCTGTAATGGTCTTCCACTGCTGGATCTGCGCTTCATTCCATATTCCTGGGACGTTGTTCATACCGCCCGCCCGGGGAGAGATGAAGGTCCCTTCGCTGACAAGGAGCGTGCCAGGGACACTCGCTCTTTGCGCGTAATACTCGCGCACAATATCGAGTGGTACGTGGTCATCGTCGGCCCGGTAGCGTGTGAGAGGAGCGAGAGCAACGCGGTGTTTAAGGTCCAGTTTCCCGACTCGGAGAGGGGTTGTGAGTGAAGGGAGGGCCATTGTGGGCGAACAGACGGACGGTGTCTTTTTGGCGGCGATTATTTTTTAACGTATTTTGCGGAAAATCGGGGCTTTCATTCTTAAGTATCGACACCAGCTCTTTCATGGCACAGCGGAAAATCGAGAATCCAGCCTCGACCTTCAGGTGGAACCTCAAGTGGGACCAAATGCCATGAGTCATGACCATTGCTTTTCACACATGATTCACGCCCAGACGGGCCCACAAGCGGTCACTGATGGACAAAGTGGTCTACTTCCCCGCACATAAGAGTGTTGACTTGGAGGAACAGTTGATATATATTGGGGGAGGGTCGCCAGCCTAAGGACCTGCTGGTACCTTGGTGGCCAACGCTCAAAATGAAACCGTCAATGCGCGCTGCTCAATACAACACTGTTCGTCAGATCCGGTCAGACCTCAAGACACAACTTGCAGCTAACCGAAGTAGACCACTAACAAGGTGGAGGTGAATGAAGTCCCGATTCCCGAACCAGGAGAGACCGAGATCCTTATCAAAAATGTCTGTGCCACTCTGTGTCACTCTGATCTGGTACGCATTCCCTACCCTTGATGCTTTACCCCGCGCTTATGGAACGCAGATGCTGTTCTGGGGACACACGGCCGAAAAGCCCCCGATGGAGAAGGTCACGATTGGCCACGAGAACACCGGTATCGTTGCGGCAGTTGGTAGCAAAGTGCACGGCTTTAAAGTCGGTGACAAGGTGGGCTGCCTGGGATGTAGCTATGCCTGCTGTATGTCTTGATATTATCTTATTGGAATGGCAGAATCTAATGGCTCATAGACAACTGTGAGGGCTGTCAAGTCCATAACCTGTTCTGCAAAGATGGAACCGGTCGACTCCATGGATTCACTACAGACGGTCATTTCGCCGAGTTTTCACTGGCCGACTATCGGAACGCGATGGTGCTTCCAGATGATATTGATATGGTCGCGACAGCACCGTTGTTTTGTGCTGGGATTACTGGTACGCTGTCTCGCCCGAGTCATGTTGCTGTCCGGGCCTGTGCTTACCCATTTTCAGCCTACCATGCCGTGAAGCAATGCAGTCTCAAGGCCAGCCAGTGGTTGGCAGTAATTGGATGTGGCGGCCTTGGCCATTTGGGTGAGTCTATTTCTACTGCCGGCCCGATTCAACTGTGCTTATAATCTGCCAGCTATCCAATATGCGAAAGCGCTGGGTCTCAAGGTTATTGGGATCGATATCTCCGATGCCCAGTTGGAATCAGCAAGGGAATTAGGGGCAGACGCAACCTATAATTCCTCGAGCGATGCGGACTATGTTGGGAGATTGATGGCACTTACTGGCGGGGGAGCGCACGCAGCCGCCGTCTTCAGTGCGTCCAATGCAGCCTACGCAAGCGCCCCCAACGTCCTAAGGTAAGGATCCCGACCGGTCGCTGTCAAATAGCTATATCTAATGTGTCTATTCAGGATCAATGGTTTGTTAATGGTTGTCGGTATTCCCAAGGCGAATCTGTCAATCAATGCGTTGGACATTCTTCTGGGTAAATACAGGATCCAGGGTGTAAGCAGCGGCACTCCTCAGCGCATGAAAGAGCCCATCGAGTTCAGTCACAGGCATGGGATCAAATCGCACTTGACTACGTTTGACAGCCTGGATGATATCCAGACAATCATCGATCTAGCCGAAAGTGGCAAGACTGCCGGCCGCCTGGGTGTAGTATTCAAATAGTCTACTTAAGAATGTTGCATTAACCATCTCTGTTGCCAATGCATATTTTCAACTGACAGAGCATACAATATGCCCTTGGTCTATATTGCGTAGTGCCTCAACTATACGCATCAACCCCACCCGCCCCAGGGAAGTCCGTGCTTCGACTAAATTCCTCAAACTGGTCCAAGTCTCTCAGTGTATTCAGACACTGATCTCGAATGATATATTGTGCATCTGAGCCAAGCACTATCCGGAGCCCAACCTCCTTGCCAGCCACTGACCCTTCCCGCCGCACCACGTCGAGAATCCGCTCAACCGCACGGACAGGATCGCCAGGCTGTTTGCCGTTCGTTTCTTCCTGCCGCCGAGTGAGGGTTTCTATAACTGGATTGTAGCCATCTATGACCGGAGTTGACCGAGGTATCTGGCGCCGGCCCTCGGCTAAGATATTGGTGCGGAATTGGCCCAGCACAGCGAGGTGAACCTGGATACCCAGCGGTGAAAGCTCTTTCTGCAGGCTCTCCGCGGCGCCTAGAAAAGAGGAGTTAGTTAGACTTCGAGGGCAAGTCGTAAGGGAACGTACCCTCCAAAGCAAACTTGGAGGCGCTATAAGGACCACCAGCTGCGACGCCCAGCCAGCCCGCGATGCTGCTCATGAAGATAATCGTCCCCGAGCCGCGACATCGCATATGAGGGACGAATACGCGAGTCACGTTCATCTGCCCAAAGAAGTTGGTTTGAAACTGGTGGAGTACTTGCTCGTGACTAGAAGGATTATCTGTCAGGAGACCCCGATATTGGCAGGGACAAGGGACCTACGTCAGTTCCTCCCAGGCGCCTGACAGGACATATCCAGCATTATTCACCAGCACATCGACGCCGCCAAAGAGCTCCAGAGCGGTAGCTGCAGTGGCATTCAGTTCGTCCTGTGTAGCTGTTACATCGAGGTTGAGTAGACGCACGTTGGGCGTGTCCCGGAACTCGTCGAGGGCGCTGACGTTTCGTGCTGTGGCGATGACTTTGTCGCCTCGGGCTACAATTGCAGAAACGAACAGTTTCCCGAAGCCAGAAGTGCAGCCCGTGATAAGCCAGACGCGTGGGCGGTTGTGGGATGAGCTGTTGTCGGACATGGTGCAGATACGTCGGGTAAAAGGAATGATGATTTGAGTTGGAATGTTTATCTATTTGAGAATTTGGCTCATTCTTATATAATTCAATCGGTCTCTGACTCATGGGCCTCGGCACTCAAAGACGACCTGTTCGTGCTGAGCCCGTCGTTGCCCCCGAGCACCTTGGATGCATCACCCACCACCAGATTCTCATAGCCAACCATGTAGGTCATTGGGAGCTGCATGAAGAAATGGCAGTCGTCGCTCAGGGCTGCTGCGTACTCTTTGCTTGTATAAAAGGCCATCCAGTCGTCCCACGTCCGCACCCAGAGCTGGGCACATCCATCGTAGTCGAGCACATTCTCACCCAGGCTGCGAGCTCGTTCCTTCATCTCGGGGGTTTGATGGTGCTGCAGACAGTGTAAACGCGTGTGCTTGGAGAGTTACTCGACTGGGGAAAAGCTCACCTGCACATATCGCAAGATGTGGTGTTGGAAAGCCTGGGTGGCAACAGCCAGGTCCGCATGTACAGTGCGCCAGTGGTGATGGAAGGTCTCGTATGCGATATTATCGCGCTTCTTAAAATAGACAGAGACTTTAATTGCAGGCTGGAAGTTGGGCTCCGCTGCGAAGCTGAGCTCGGGATGCTTGAACTCGTAGTCGGGCTTGGTAGGGATGGACATTGCGATCTGGGTTGTATGAGAATAGTACGAAGACTTGTTACCCCACGGGGTATCATTATGGGGATTTATAGAAGGGAAAGGCTGGAGTAACATTCATCGAGATCATATGAGATGTGCCATGAGTCATGGTTTATTTGTCATGGTCTACTCGCAAAAACGTCATGGAACGGAAAAGTGTCATGGGCAAAAACATGTCAATTATCTAGTCATGTACGGTTCAGAAGGCGAGATCCAGCCCCATGGCTCTGCAAACAGCGGATTGCTGCCGATCAGGGTCGAGGACGGGGACATGTCCAAGCATTCCTGCAGCATATCCAGCCCGTCGAGGGTTGGAGGCCCCGGGAACTGTGCATCTGGGCTGGTGTTGCTCGGGCTCAGGCGCACTCTCTTACTCGCTGGGCGATGACTGCCCTGACGCGTGCGGCGATCCGGCAGGCTCTCAAACTCGGACTTGATGCTGGTCACAATCTCGAGCGCCCGCAGTGCGTTCTTATATCCTGGGCCCACCTCCGATAGTGCCTGGCAGCAGATCTGCAGGTGTCTACGCGCCGCCATCCGTGTCGGCTCGCCGGGAGCAAAATAGACGTTGTGGATGTGGACCAGCGCCGCGGTGAATATCAAATGGACGGTATGAATGTTCATCTGTCGAAGCCCGTACAGCTGGCGATACTCTTGCAAAAGGTCGACAATTGCGACCGCTGCATCGGTGCACGCCCGGTGGCTCTCTTCAACGTCGGCGCGCGTCAGGCCTGGAAGGCTTTCGGACCGGCCATGGGTGAATGGCCGGTCAATGACCACGAGAATTGCGTAGTACAGCATGCTGCGAGCGTTAGCGAGTGAAACGCGGGGTCAATTATTATCTCTTGTAGCTCTTCTTACTGGAATTGGAGGACATGCGGCGGCCGTTGGGAGCGAGTCTCGGCCTCCTGTAAGGACAGATTGACCGGCAATGCTTGTGCCCAAGAGACAAGATTAACTCTCAGCTTACCGGCAGCAGTATGCAATGATCTGATCTCCGCCCTGTCTGGGTGAGGTGTGTGGTATCTAAGGATATTAACCTTTGTTTTCGCAGGTTCGCCGCATTACTCACAAGACCTGACGAATATGCGACATCTTTCGACATAACATGGCCGTGTGCTCGGCGACATCGCCTAAAAGACCGAGGAGCGCCCCGGAATTGGATTGGGTGGCATCGTCGATATATGGCTGCCAGCAAGTATCCTCTTGAGCGACATCCGACCGACAAAGGGCGTCGATGGAGATGTGCTTTTCGTCGAGGGACTCGGGTCGACCGACGTAGAAACTCCACATGCTTCGAATGGTCAAAGATTGGGGAGATGCGTCTAGGTAGGGGGGCTTACCGGTCGTGGATATATGCACCCCAGAAGACAAGCTTGCGAAGTTGGGCGTCCTTTTGATATGACGCGGCCTTCAAATGCAACCCAAGGTCCGTTGCGAGTCTCATCGCCATACCTGGAGCAACCGCATGAGTACGAGTAGGTTGGAAAAGATGGCTACATACCGCTGTAGAGCCAGCCCCTAGCGTCGCGCGTCAGGAAGGCCTCCACGCCGCTGAGGATGACCAAGGACTGAACGGTGCACAGAGCCGGAGCGTCCATCTCAACATCCAGCAGGGCCTGTGCTCGACGGCTGAAGAGCTCGCTGAGCGGTTCCGGGAGGCCGTGGGAATGTCGCCGGGTGAGGGCTGCTCCGACGGCGCACCTGGCTCCGAGTCACTGTCAGCATTGGAATCATGGTGAGAAAATGCAAAGCTCGGTCACCCACATGGCATTGGCCAGGGTTTCAGAATACTGGTCAGTCGGTCGGCCAGTCGCTCTGTACTTGGCTCGCTCTGCGTAAAACACATCTTGGTCGACCACTGGGATATTGGGATTCTCCCAACAGAAGTACAACTGCAGGAGGTGGTCCTCCAGCCCCTCTGGGATGTGCGCGCTCAGACCGGCCCGCTGGAGGATATCATTCTCTTTGCCGTATACCGAGCGGATTTTGGAATCGTTCAGAGGAAACATGCCGACATGCAGGATATGAAGATTCGAGGTCGCCCCAAAGAACCGCATCTGGCCGTCCTCCGCCAGCTGCAGCGAACCAAACCGGTCGCTTAACGAGTCTAGCCCTGCAGAGTAGTCGATTTGCGCAGCCGCGGGAGAGTAGACTTCCCCTTCGATGGAAGTTGAAGCTCGCTCGAATCTATTCTGCGGCATGGACGTGGAGCGTGGGGTGGGATATGGGTCGGGCTGCTGTGGTAGCTCGATACTATTGCTCACGAGTGCCGATTCGAGCGACTGGATGTATTGCTCGAGGCGGGCATATCGTTCTCGCGATGGCACTGTACGCTTATCGACCTCCTGGGGCATCAGGCACTCCTGGCCGTGCAGCCCACAGTTGGCGCACTGTGGCCGGGCCCCGTCGCACTTGGTCTTGCGCTGGCGGCATCCAACACACGCCCGGGTGATGTGCTTGCCCTGGCGGACGGGCTTGCGGTTCGATCTGGACTCCATTGGTGCTCGTGTGTGCTCTGTACGAATCCTGGGCTTCCCCGCGTGTGAGCTTTGCTGGGGTAAGATTGAATCTGGGGTTGGCCGAGGTGGCGACCCTGAGTCCAACTGAATGTAGGCCATGACTCATGGTCCGTTTGTCCAAGCCTCGGTTGGACATGATCGGATAACCCCCAACCACGAGAAAGTTTAAGCCAGACAAGGGCAAGATGACGATTTCGGATTGCTGGATCTTTATACTCTATACTCTATACTCTACACGCTGTTCACAATGTCCGTCCCAATGCAGCAGCTGGCAAAGGCATGCATCCCAGCGTACACTTGCCCACCGGGCACGAAAATGCATCTGCTCAACCTGGGCACGCTGAACGTTGACGACGCATGGTTTGTAGGACCAAAAATCCCACACAGTCCGATTCTAATATTTTTCGTATAGGCTACTTCTGGGCGCGAATGGCAGCTCGGTCAGCAACCCAAATCCTCCGAGTAAACGGAGAGATTTAATGCTTATCGCTGGCCTGATCGATCATCCGGAAATGGGCCTGATACTGTTCGAAACGGGAAGTGCAGAGGATGTCACCAGGGTATGCCCGCAGCTCAGTCTGACAGAGTATCGAGACTAAACATAATCGAGTATGCAGCAATGGGGCCCAGAAGCCGTGGATCTCTTCCCTCGAACGCGATATGAGAAACATCATCGTTTACCAGATGCCATATCGGCCGCTGGTTACGATATCAAAGACGTGAAAGCCATCGTAATGGGCCATCTGCACCTGGACCACGCTGGAGGACTGGAGCATTTCCGCGGCACTGGTGTCCCCGTCTACGTGCACGAAGAAGAATTCAAGCACGCATGTTGGGCTGCCGGGACCAACTCTGATGGTGGGCTGTACCTGTAAGTAGCTCGTCCCCATTCTATCTGCGTCTCGCTCACATGGCTATTCCACAGGGGCGATTATCTCAAGCTCGACGGCTCGATCAACTGGCAGACCTTCAACGACCAGCAGCTGGATCTCTTCACGGGGATAACCCTCTACCACTGTCCAGGACATACACCGGGTCTATGCATCATGCAGGTCAATCTCTCAAATGATGGGACCTTTATCTGGACCACCGATCAGTATCATATCCGAGAGAACTATGAATTAGACCAGGCACATGGCTGGCTGATGAGAGACTACCGGAAATGGGTGGACAGTGGCAAGTTCATCCGACGGCTACAGAGGATTTTCTCCGCGACGTTGATCTTCGGACATGACTACGAGACGGCGGCGCGTCTGATTGAAGCAAAAAAGGCTTACGAGTAGCTCATTTGTTCACAATTAGGATCAGAGTTAGGTACAGTAGTTGTGTGCTTTCAGTCTTGACCGTGTTGCTCGTTCACCTCGGCGCTGTACCTTGCGAATGGACTCTTCTCTCGCAGCTGTTTCCCATGTTTCAGGAATATATATGGCGTGATGCAGAAGAGGGTCGCAACCGCCGCGATGATGCTCGTGGCGACATTCGATCCGAGGCCCGAATACATCGGATAAGCGAACAAGGGCAGACACCCCTGAGCGAGCGCGCGCAAGACCCCGGTGACAGCCATGCCCGATGAGGCGTAGATTGTGTACGAGTCGGCGGTATACCCACTCAAAGTGTACGAGAACTCGGTGGCTGCAAAGCCGATGAGGACGAGACCGAACGTGGATCCGATCCAGTGGACATGAACGAGGGGTGGGACTGTCCAGCCAAAGATCCAGAGCCCGGCGGCGAGAGCTGGAGCTGCAATCGCAAAACCGGCAATTTTGTCTTCTGGCTCTGGTCGCTGTCCGGCTTTTCGCCGAGCCTTCAACTTGTGATGGTCCCAGAAGCGAACCACGCCGCTGAGCAGGATCCCAGGCAGCAGTGCAACGAATGGGAGAGAGGTCGCCCTAGAGCTGAAGCCAAACTCGCTGTATACGACAGTGAAGGACTCGGTAAAGAGGTACACCATGCCCCAAGAGGACGCACTGAGGATGGCGACGAGGATGATGATGGGTTCCGTCACTCCGAGTTTGGCCGGGCGCACCAGAACAACCCTGAAGAATTCTCCTGCGTCTTTTATCTTATCGGGATTGGGTATATCCATGTCGAGCTCTCCAACCTTGGACTGCAGATTGTCGAATCGGCGGGCAAGAAGAGTGGTCGGGCGACTCTCGCGGACGGGGATGATGAGGAAGAATACAACCGCGGTGGTAATGGCTGCTGTATAATAGACCCAACGCCTGGAAGGTCAGTATTGGCTTATGCAAAAGACATAGAAGACTTACCAGCCGATCGCATCCACGATGTAGGATCCGTAGATGGGACCAACCGCAATTCCTAGCATGGTACAGCAGTTCCAAGTCCAAAGGAACCAGAGCCGGGGCTGCTGGGTGTACAGATCTTCAATGCTCCCTGCGAGAACAATGGCAGGGACGACCGACGCGTACCCGGCGAAGAAACGACCGATGAAGACTCCAGCTGGCGAGGGGACGACGCCAATGAGCAAGCAGGCGATGCTAAAGGCAGCGGCCGATACGAGGTAGGACTGCCGCCGACCGAGGGCCTCTGAGATGGGAGGCATAATCAGAGCGCCGAGAGCCTGGCCGATGCCGTACATGAACTGAAAGCCAGTGAGCATGACGGCCCTGCTCATGGCATACTCGGACATGGCCTCTTCTGCCGCGGACGGCCCGGTGCTACTGATGACGGCGGTGTAGAACTCCAAGAAGAGCAGCACACAGGCGTCATAGAGCTTGCGCTGGGGGCGCCAGTTGCGGGGGAAATCGTGATGCTCCGTGTCCCAGCCCATTGTCTGAGAACCGGTCTTTCGAAGCCCTCTGCGCGAGGCCTCGCGATCGAAATCGGCATGCGGTGTTTCTTGGCGATTTTCGTCCATGCTGAGTGAGATGCTGGAGAGTAGGTGGAAGACCCTGAAACGGCGACCATTGCGGGCGTATTTATGAGGTGTTGACGGACGAGGCTTCCGTGATGATGCCAAAACTTCCTCACGATCAACATCTGCTCCAAGACGGTCCAAGTGGGGCGATGACGACGATCTTGTTAATCCTTCAGAGGATTGTGAAGCAATTTGAGAAACAACGATGAGACAACAACCGCTGGACAACAGTGAGATTCCGTGAGGCTTGCATGTCGCAGTATAAAGGCACCAATGCAGTATTTACCGGGGCCATGTGTGTGACTGCGAGCCATGGACGGAGAATTAAGGGACCAGGAGACAGCGAGGGTGTTCGTGGACGGACCCACAGTTCATTGCATCATCTTGATCCAGATCTGCGATCGACCCAGCGTTTTGGAACATCTGGAGTAAACATGACGTGAGACCTAAAGATTGTTGTTTTATGCTCTGCCAAAGTGTCCCTTGACCAGCAGCTCCTCGTATCGGCAGGTGAGGCTGATCACAGCTATTAATGGGAATCACACATCTCCCCGCTGAGCTACTGTACGCTATTCTCGACTATGTCGCTCCGGAATCCCTCGATTGGGCGTACCATTACCGTCATGCGCGCTGGTTTCTCCACTTGCGATTCACCTGCAAGTCGTTCAGTACCATTATCATCTCCTGGTTGCTCGCGAACCTGGGCATCGCGAGCAACTGGAAGGCTGCCCAGTCGCTCGACTCCCTCTGCGACCGTCTGCGGCTGAGATGTGCGTACGTTTGTTGTCGGATCAGCTGCGACGCGATGGGCACGCCAGCCAGTATTCGCTGATCAGCATTGTCGCCGATGGGGCCAAGATGGCATCAGAGGTACCCAGAGAATCCGAAGAAGCCTGCGAGGCGGCTTTGATGTCAAGCATCGTGGGTGTCCCTGGCACTTGGCTGCCGCTGGCCCATGTCGCAGGCATGGAAGACCGGTATCATGTCGCCTTGATAGTTGCAGCGACTATGGGCTCTCTGGAGGAAATCAAACACGCGATAAAGACAGGAGCGGATGTCAACGTTGAGCCTGGCGAGCACTGGCTGGGGACGCCGCTCTTGGGCAGACTGCGGCCATTCAACTGCTTGTGGATTGTGGTGCCAATGCCAACTACGTGCGTACCCAGTAGGAGAGACGGCGCTACATTATGCGGCTACTTCCGGCAGCGAATCCGCGGTGGCTCTCCTCTTGGACCTTGGGCTCGACCCTGACGCTTGCAACCACCAGAAAGATACCCCTTTGATCTGGGCCGCAGCTGCAGGGCATGCGGGAACCGTCCACCTCCTGCTGGCGCAACCGACAGACGTGAACGCCCAGCGTGCCGCGGGCAAAACAGCGTTGCTATATGCCGCGTGGAGAAGGCACGAGGATGTTGCTCGCTTACTATTGGAGCGGCCGGAAATTCTTGCCGATCACAAAGACCCAAAGACCAAGTATACCACTGCGTTGGCAGCGGCACCTTTGACCAGGAGCGAGGTACTCTTCAACACGCTTCTTGCCCGGCAGGACGTTGACCCACATGTGGCAGACGAAACCGGCCATGGGATTCTTAAACATGCCATCACAGGAGGAAATGAGGCAATCCTACGGTCAGCTCTACTTCGAACGGATGTCATCGCGCAAGGGGAGGATGGATCCGCTCCGCCCATAGGGGCAGCAAGAGCTGGGAGCGAGACACTGCTACGGTTACTGCTCGCGGAGAAGAATATCCGAGTCAACGTGAGGGGCGAGGAAGGAGTAACTGCCTTGATGTTGGCTGTAGGGTCCCGCAGCCTGCCAGCCGTCAAGGCCCTATTGGAGTACGACGACATTGATGTCAACGCGAGGTGCGAATAGGATGCAGAAGTGTTCGAGAGGACCTTTGCGCTTGGCCAAGTAAGAGGGCCACAAGTAGGAAATACAACCGTCATCGGGGCGTCACATTGAACTATAAACACCTTCTAACCAGGCTAAAACGAAGACATGAACTCATGAATACAGCATGGGCTTTGATATGATGCAGCACCTACTCTATATAGGGTAGTATATGAAAGATACAGCTACGCCCGAACCGAGAGTCTCCTCGCGAGACGAGGCAAGAAAGAAAGCAGATCAGAAATTAGCGGGAATAGCGAGTTGTCCGAACTAGTGTGTGGTCTGTACATGTAAGCTGGTCGAACGAAGCAATGCAGAACCAGTGAGAGACTTACGAGCAAACAGGATCAATCATATCGAGAGACGCCTCCCCACCAAAGAAGTCTAGCTGGGAGACAAAGTCACTCCATTGCTCCTTAGAGGACATGGGTGCGCTGCTGTACTTTTCGACGCCCATTGCACGAATGAGCGACTGTATTTCTGGAAGCAATGCGTCTGCCGCTGTGGCTTCGAGCTCTCTCTGGGCTGCCCTGTTAATATTGCCCTGCTCAGCGTACCATGCAGAGTCTTCCAGCATAACACCACTCTCGTAGAGGGAGAGTAGCTTGGAGTCAATTCCTGTCTCGAGCGCAGCTTCATACGCCATTCGGTGGCCGACAGCCTGGACAAGGGGTAGAGAGATGGGTAGGATGTTACGGTTGAATTGTTCGCTTCGATGACTTCCGCCCATCTGCTGAAGGTAATCCTGGCCTTCAGCGAACAAGGCAGCTTCGTGTCGGGCGAGGAGGTTGTTTGGGTCTTTGGGCGGTGGCACCTGGTAACGTCCTAGCAGCAACTCACTTGCAAGGCCTACACAGCTATTAGCATCTGCCTTCGGAAAGAGGCAAGCAACGTACGGATGGCAAGGACACGAATGTCACCCTCTGCTGTCGACACGGCGCGGAACTCTAACTGCGGCAGAGTTAGCGAGCGAGGGTGAATATTATACCAAGATGGCATCGTACCTCAAGTTGGAGAAGCTGGTTATGTTCAAAATACCCATGCCACCCACAGCCGTCATTCATCGCCCTGATACTCTTTTGGAAATGCTGTATGGCAGCAGCCTTGAAGGCAGTAGCAACCGCGTGTCGAACACGAGGATCCATCGTGACATTTCGAAACAATGTGCCAGCCTTGACTAAGAAAGCCTGAAGAACGTGGACATGTGCAATAGCATGCAGTATAGGGAGATGCTGGGTTCGGAATTGAATGACGGGCATCGGTTTCCCGTCCTGACCCTGAACTGTCCGGCGGACACTGAACCGGCTTGCATTGTAAATGGCGACTTTGAGTGAGGGAATGGCGGTGGCGGAGAGGAACAGGGTTCCCACCGCGACCCGCTGAATCGTGCCGAGGAACTGCTGTCTTTCGTCTGCTGGTTTATCGAGACTTCCCAGCAGCGCGGAGCTCGGGAGGCGAACTCGGTCGAAGAGGGTGAGGGCATGGTCGATGGGATGGGCGCCGGTGCGGGGAGGTAGAGCTCTAGTAAAGCACCGAGTTAGCGACTTTCAATGTGATCACTCAGAGGGATCTCCACGAACTTTGCAGTTACGCCTTTGCACATCTCGCGCCCATCGCTCAGCGGAACGAGGAACGGGCGAACCCCACGGTTCTCGCCATCCACAATCAGCCGAGCAATCACGACCGCAACGGTAGGAAGGCCGCTTCGGGGTGTGGTGGGCGGCATGCATCTAGCAGAGTCAGCACAAAACTTGAACACGGTTAAGGAGGTGACACACTTTGCCGCGCCCGGGGTAGGGCTGTGTAGCTCGAAGCCGCCATTTGGTAACAGGGTTGCTGTCGTCTCCAGGTTACGCGCATCCAGGCCATGGCCCACTTCGGTGAGCATAAACTGCGCACTATAAAGGGCTCAGCTGGAGTGTCGGGCTGTCGTGTCTCTGGACAAATGACTCACGAAATCTCGAACTTCATCGCACGCTGGAGAATGGAGTGAAGCTCCGGACGAGTAGCTGCAAAAGGCGCTACGGTTCCCACAAACAGGTTATACTGAATGCTGACCAGCGTAAATGCTCCCCCATCGACGGCGGCAATGGGGTCCGTATGGATCTTCCAGAACGCGGGAGTGAGATACGAGACATCTTCGACCGTCAAGTCTGGTCTTATTAGCTTGGCCTTTCGCATCTTCTCAAGTCATCCGAGCTTACTGAACGCTTCACATATTGCCCTGGCTCTGGCATAGGTGATTCGAGTCTTTTCGTCAAGATTCAAGGAGTGTGAATATGGCTTAAACAGCGATGATTGAGCCAGCTCAGCGGTGGGCGATGCAGACCCCCATACTTGCTCGTAGATTGTCTGGATCTGGCCGTCAGGCTTGGACCGCGTTTCGGGAGGAGTCATTTTTTCGGTTGTCCAACAAAGCGCAGGGAATCGTCCTGATGTGATTTAGGCATTTCTTCAGAAGGCAATTTCGCTTTATAGGCGAAGGGGATCGCTGCCCAGACAAGCTGCAATTTTTTGAAAGCCCACGGCGATGCCGGAGCCCAGTCGGGCAGACGCTCAGGTTTGCTTGGATATCGAGCTGGTGTGGCTTGCGTGGATGGTTGATGGGGAGCTGGAAAAGGCACTCGCCTGAATCCTCTGGGAATAGTGGTCTACTATTTGCCACGCTGAGAAGAGGGCAGCCAGCCGAAAAAAAATATTCTGTGCTATAGTCCAGACCCGCAGCAGCGTGGACCAGTTGGACCAGCCATTGTAGTGGATCCTGGCATGGCCGGTGCGAGATCAGGATCGTGGCTGGCTGACGAGACACGTCGATTCAGGTCGAGGTGTTCGTGTCCAAGTCGTTGTCCTTTAGTTTCTAAAGCACTGGACCTGCCTTCCAATCTCCCGATTGAATTCATTTTTGCAGTTCAGAACGATGTATGTGTCGGCTATAGTTGCTCTTGTGCTCGCCCACTGGGCCCAGATTGTGGCTGGGCTTGCGGTGTGCTATGTGAGTCTGCATCCTTTGCAACAATACGAGCGACGTATCCAGTGGTGGACCTGACGCCCAAACTTACTCTGGAATAGTTCATCGTATCGTCAGTCTACAATCTGTGGCTCAGCCCATTGGCAGCCTATCCAGGACCGATCTGGGCCAAAGTCTCTTCCCTCCCCGACTTTTACTACTCCCTCACAGGTGACCGTCACCTATGGATTGCCCGGAATCATGAGATCTATGGTGATGTGATTCGCTTTCGCCCTGATGGTTTGCTTTTCCGAACGCCACAGGCCTATCGCGACATCTTCAACAACAAGGCGAATGTCAAGCGGTCGCATTTCTATGACATGATGACCCGCAACAAGCTCGATAAGAGTACCCTCACCGGGACCGATCCTGCTCTTCATGCCCAGAAAAGGAGGGTGTTGAATACTGTGTTTTCTGAGAAGTCGCTGCGCGGCATGGAGCCAATGCTCGTTGAGCACGTTGTCCGATGGTGCGAACTCCTCGTGGACGATGATGGCGCAGACTGGTCTGCTCCGCGCAAGATGTCCGAAGTCTGTGATTACCTCGTTCTTGACGTGCTCTGCGATCTCTGCTTCGGCCGGTCTGTTGGTACCAAGGAGCCTGGAGAGAATGAGTACCGAGACATCCCACACACCATTGCTTTTTTCCTTCGAATCCTTTATTCGGTGAGACATGAAGCGCTGAACTATGCCACTACTGTCTGTAGATTGCTGACGATATAAAGCTCGGTCACTCACCCTGGCTGGGACTCCTGGTGTGGCTGAAACCACGAGGGCTGGACTGGGCCCTCGATGCTCTGGCGCCGGCTCCGGTTCGGTTTCTTTACAACTTTGTCAGCGAATCGCTAGCTCAGCGTCTGAAGCTTGAACAAGATGCTGGCAGAAGCGAGAGCAGCCGAAAAGGAGCATCGCCGCGAAAAGACATGTTGTACTACCTGCTCAACGCCAAGGACCCCGAAACTGGTCTTCCGGGCTATACGCCAGAAGCGCTCGAAGCTGAAGCGATCATGTTGACCATCGCCGGCTCGGACACTACATCAGTCAGTATGGCTGGGTTCTTCTTCTACATCGTTCGTACGCCTAGTGCTTATCAAAGGCTGGTGGACGAGATCAGAAGTACATTTGGGTCCATCGATGAAATCAAAGGCGGCCAGAAGCTCATGTCCTGCCAGTATCTGCGGGCTTGCGTGGATGAGGCAATGCGCATCACCCCAGCTGGGTCGGCTGAATTGCCTCGAAGTGTGCTTCCCGGTGGGATTATTATCGATGGACAATACATTCCCGAGGGAACCACAGTAGGAGTGGCACACTGGAGCTTTTATCGCAACAAGGAATACTTTCCAGATCCAGACGTCTATCGACCGGAGCGGTGGATAGTGGACGAGGCAACGGGCGTCACGGGAGAGGATGTGGCCAGGGCGCGGTCAAGTTGTTTTCCCTTCACGGCGGGTACAACCAGTTGTGCAGGAAAGCCTTTTGCGCTTCTGGAGCTGTACACGACCATTGCCATGACGTTGTGGCTGTACGATGCGCGGCTGTTACCGGGAGACACTACTGGCACTGGTGAACCAAGTCAATGCTGGGGAAGGAGGGATCGGCGCGTGTTCCAGCTCAGAGACAGCTATATCAGTATTAGGGATGGGCCAATGGTGCAGTTTAAGCGACGAGTGTAGAGACTGATCAGGCCTCTGAGATGTCAACTATATTATAACTGCTTGTGAAAAAAAACAATGCTTACGAGTGACAATGAATCGATGTGAGCTGCTCCAGCAACTATATCATGTGTTTTCTCCATGGATGTCCTGCATTACCTATATAAGACTTCTATGACTCACGAGTGAGTGAGATTAACTGCCAACAGCTAAAGCCTGTATTTGGCAAGAGCATGGAAAGTAGAGCTTGAGACGTGCACGGAAAAAGACAAAGATCCTCCCAAACAGCCGAAAATCAAGCCTAATACATCTCCCTGTTCCTCATCTCAACTGGCAGGAACACCATAAGGAAAGACGAAAGCCAGATACCCCCCGCACCCAGCCAAAGAACACCGGACCTGCCCTCATCGATGTACTTTTGCCCAGCAAAGGGTGCCACGATACCAGCAATGCGGCCGAGCGTGGATAACATTCCGCTAGCGCTGGCGCGGTAGGTGGTGTCGAACAGCTCTGGGGCAGACGCGTAGAGCACGGCATTGAAGTATGTTTGCATGATGTACTCGAGGGCGTTCAGACCGACGTATCCGGCTGTGTTCGAGACCTGCGTGTAGAGTGCCATCGACAGGCCTTGTAGAGCAGCCGAGATGACGAGCGACCACTTTCTTCCGATGAGAGGCAGCTGAACCGAGAAGAGGGCGATGACGGCACCGATGATACCCGGTAAGTAGATATAGACGTATTGGCGGTATGTGTCGGTCACGCTGTCGGCACCAGCATCGACGTTGTTGCGGAGCAGGATGATTGGTAGAAAGGCTCCAGCCAGGTTGAAGGACCAGTAATTTCCCTAAGAGAGTCAGCAATAAGTTCGCATATATGTTGAAAGCTACGTACCATGTAGGCAAGACCAAGGAGGACAAAGGTAAAGCACGCAAGCTTGTTGAGAAACAACCCTCGAAGAAAGCTGACTTCACGGATTGCGCGGATGATGACACCTTTGGCATCTGAGCTTCCAGTCTGCTCCGTCGGAGTGACTCCCATTTCGCGGTCGATGGCACGAAAGTCCTCGAGTGTCAATGTCGGTGGAGAAGCCCCATTGAACTTGGCGATCTTGTGGAGGACATCAATAGCATCCTGCTCACGCCCCTGGCTGACAAGGAATTTAGGCGACTCGTGGAATCGAAAGACAAGATAGCGAGCAAAGAAGATGAAGAGAGTCATCGAACCAATGACAATGACCATGTACCTCCAGCCCATATTGCTCGAGACGGAACAGCAGGGTTCCCTATCGCCAGTACAGGCAGGCAATGTTGTCTCACAGCGATATTTGGCAGCGGTGCCGTATGCAATGGCTGATGCAACAACAACACCGATTGGCTGCCACATGCTCATCAGCGAGACGAGGTACCGGCGCTTTGGTGGCATAAATTCAAGGGCAATGGTGGCATCAATGGGGATGTTGCCACCGAGTCCAATGCTCGCGAGGAAGTAGACACCGCAGATGGCTCCGTAGTTGTATTTGCAGGCAGCCTGGGTTTGTTAGACACGGTCCAGAGCACAGTTGGAACGCAAAACCCACAAGAAGCATGCCGAAGACGGAGGTGATGAGGCATGTGAGATTAAACGCCCACTTGCGGCCAATGATGTCGGTGATGATGCCAAACGAAAAGGCGCCAACACTGGGGGATATCAGTGTCCAGTTTCGCACAGCTTGAGAGAAGGGGGTGACTTACGCCAGGCCAGCATTGGCGCACGTAAAGATAAGACCTTGTCTTCCGGCTGGCACACCCATTTCCTGACTGCGAGCTGTTAGCACTCGTGGTGCACGCTGGGATAAAGCAAGCATTACTATATCGCCGATGCTACCAAACCAACACCCTGTGACCAGGCCAGATCAAGAAAGTATCCAAAACCGCAAAGCAGCCAGATACATTGCTGGTACCGGCCGAAGCCGAGTCTATCGAACTCCCTTTGTGGCTTGTTAGTGGCACGATCTTGAACACGCAGAATGGGGAGTGGAACGCACTCATTAATCAAGTGTGCCTTGCGTTCAAAAAGCGTGAGTTCGTGGTGGACGGTCCCCTGCAGAGTGCCCTGCAGTATGCTGCCTTTCGAATGCTCGTGCTGTTCTGGCTTGTCGGAGACGTTTTGGCCGATTTCCTTCTTGTCAGACATGGAGATGTCGTTGGACGTGGCGGGTTGCAGCACTTGCTCACTCGGAGCAGACATTGTATGGTATAACTTGTTTGGCTTGACAGGCTGTTTGTTCCAGCTTCCCACGTGGGCACAAGGCGAATATATCGTGAACTTGCCACTATCTCCAACTGACAAAGTTGGAGGTCATCGGAGAAGCCGATCATCAACGGGGATCCCGCGGCTCTTATCTCCTCCGCCGGGACGATGCATGATTGGCTGTTATGACAACAGGATTGCGGAGAGATAAGGTGGTAGGAAGTCAGAAGCATCGATCGAAGGATTAATGCCTGGCCGGAAACTGAGTTGTTGGTAGGCGATAAATGGCTGGATTGGAAATGTGAAGCTTGGATTTCGCACCCAGGATTCTATATCGTGATAGATCAATGTGGTTGGCTTGTTCTGTACATCACAACTTGACCAGGTATACACGACCCTCTAGAGCAGCGAGAGCCTCCGTTTCCTCTTCGCCATGCGTAGACGTGATCATATCAAGCTTCACCTCCGACCCTTCACGCAACCCCAGCTCCTCGGCACTGGGCTTTGTCCAGCTCTGCTCTTTAGTTGTAAAGTTAAGAACGACTAGCGCCTTGAAAGTATCCGACGATTCTTTTACGAACATGAACAAATCCTCGTCGTCCGGCCGGATATCCCTAAAGTCACCATACACCAGCAAGTCCTTGTACTCTCGACGAAAAGCAAGCATCTTCTTCCAGTGCGCAAGAACGCTGTTCGGGTCATCAAGTTGCGAGGCCACGTTGATTTCTTTCGCCAGAGGATGAGGCTCCATCCACGGCTTCTTCACCTCCTCTTCGCTTTTCCCGAATCCGTTACAGAATCCGCCGTACTTGCCTCCGGTCCAGGATATGGGGAGACGGCCGTGGTCGCGCGCAAAGTATGCCAGCGAGTCAAACGCCTTATCGAGCTCCTCCTTGTTATCCGCCCCGTACTTCTCTTTGATCGAGGTAATGTGCCCGATGCTGCCGATGTCGAGATAGTTTTCGAGCGGGTATAAATCCTTGGGAGCATTGACGGTGCCGATTTCCTGGCCTTGGTAGACATACTGGGTGCCCGTGAGGCAGGCCTGCATGAGCGCAAGCATCTTGGCACTGCATACACGGAACTCGGGACTATCATTGGCAAAACGGCTTATGGAGCGTGCCTGGTCGTGATTCTCCAGAAAGACCGTCGTCCAGCCGTCGGTGTTGCGGATGAGCGATTGCGTTGCGTCCACAGCCTGTTTGAACCCGGGCAAACCGAAATTGTGTGGCCGAGCATCGTAGGTGATGTCGGTGCCCATCCCGACTGTGACAACCTCGAACTGGAAGACCATGCTCAACTTGTTCGACTTGGCGCTGACGTATCCGAGTACATCCTGCAGGTTTGGCGTGTTGGGAAGCTCGCCAACTGTGATCGCGCCGTATCTGGTGAGAATCTCGCCCATCTCGTCCAGGAACTCGTGCATGCGCGGCCCATTGCAGAACAGAGCCGAAGCAGGCTGATAGGGCATAGAAGGGTCGACAATTGGGGCATCTGGAAATGCAGGTGGCTTGCTATACATGTTGACAACGTCGATGCGGAACCCATCCACTCCACGCTTCAACCAAAACTCCATGGCACTGGCATAGATCGCTTTCCGGGTCTCTGGGTTTTCCCAATTCAGATCTGGTTGTTGCGCTGCAAAGATGTGAAAGTAGTACTCTTGAGTTGCCTCGTCCCATTCCCACGCGCTGATGGGACCCCATGCCGCTCGCCAATTATTAGGAGGGAGACGCTTGCCCTCTGGAGAATACCTGGGTGGCCGCCAGATGTACCAGGCCCGTTTGGGGTTATCCTTGCTTGAACGAGACTCTTTGAACCACTCGTGCTGGTCAGAGGTATGATTAATGACCAGGTCGAGCATCAGTTTCATCCCGCGGGCGTGAGTTTCGCGAATAAGAATTTCCATATCCTCCACCGTGCCGTATGGGGGGTGAACGGCCTCGTAATTTGATATGTCATATCCCATATCAACCTGTGGGCTCTCGTACATGGGTGAGACCCAAATCACGTTGACGCCCAAATCGACCAGGTAGTCAAGCTTAGACGTAATTCCAGGCAAGTCGCCAATGCCATCACCGTTGGAGTCGCAGAAGGAGGCTGGGTAGATCTGGTATACCACAGCTTCCTTCCACCACTGCCTCGTGTGCTTGCTGAACGCCATGATAACGCCACAATGCGCTTTATCGCAGAAGGATGAATGGTACGGAAGAGAACAGCACCGAGGAAAGATATGCTGGAGTATAATCTATGCAAAGCCGATAGTGGATGAAAACGGTCGCTGTGAGGAATAGGAGCTTATCATCCCGGACTCAGATTTGGTGCTGAGACGTTTGAGAAAATCACGATGCGCGTCGGCATTACCGAAGCCTTATCTGTGCTCCAATTTACCCCGCAATTTCCCACGCGACGACTGTTCAATCGGCTGTTTCGGAAATGGCGATGCCGATGCGGGACTCCCGATCAGGAATTCAGGTCCGTCATGAGGTGCTCTATCTTTCGATTACCCCGGTTTATCTTGGCCATTCATGCCTTGGCGTAGCTTTTGCATTCGATATCGTTGTGATGACGCTGAAATACCTTTGATCTTTCGAGGTGCACGTCCTTCTTGCTAGGAAAATTCGAAGTAAGCTTGGGATAGCTGTAGGTTGTACTCTGTAGAAACACGCTCTAGTTTATGTGGCTGTGCAGGTAATCTCACAGCACACGCTATGATCCTGTCGTCCACGTCTCGTTGATCAGCGTACCGGCTACGAAAGAGAGGAGACGGGCAAAGTGCTTGGATATAGAGCCAGGTAAATCGTGCAAACTCCCCGACAGAGATCATAGGTCTAGAACACTCCACAAACCCCAAATGCTTGACCAGCCTCACACTTTGTTAGCTATTTCCCAGTACAGGGCCATGCGGTGCGTCTGAGGATGCTTGCTGGCTATTTATTCGACGCCGTGCTCGCGTCCCAGGCATCTTGAATGGCCTTCCAATATGCCACTGGACTCTTGCGCATATGATCAACGTGACCGCTCCCTTCGAATAGCTGACAATCGGATTTCCATCCTCGTTCTCGCACCTTGGCAACATGCTTCTCAATGTCCGTCCACAGAATAATGCGGTCCTCTTTCCCATATAGGTACAAGCGTCTCGTCGCGATGCTTGCCAGCTCTGGCGTCTCGACGGTCCGTACGCTCTCGGCGCCAGCACTGGTCCGCCCAAGTACCTTTTCGATAAGATTCAGCACGTACAAAAAGACGGCCCACAGCCCGCGGGTAACGAAGAACGGCCATGGGAACCACTTGGCTGTTCCGAGTGCCATTGCCAGCGCGAACCGCTTCATGTTGGCCAACGTTAGATCCGTGCTACCAGGGGTCGAATCGAGGACTGCGAGTCGATGGGGCAATGGCCGACCGTATTTGTTTCGATACGCGTGGAGCGTGGCGGCATAGGCAATGCCCCCAGTGTTGGACATGACATGAATCAAGACGCCGGACCCGTCATGCTGCTCTTTTTCGTCCGATGTACTAGGGAAAACCTCGTCCAGGATGGGCTCCATTGCCTCGATTCGCTGGCCCATCGTACGCCATATTGCTTTGTAGATTGGGGATAGGACGGCGATCTGCTTCGCCCCTGGATATAGCGAGCGGAATCCATCGGCATATTTTGTGACATGCTTGGGTTGCGCGTCACCCCAGGCGAATATGATCAGGACTTTGACGTTGTCTGCATTTGATAATGTTGGTGTTTCTGTGGCGGAGTGAGCGTCGCGAACGAAGATCTGATCGGAAACGGCTCTGAAGCCGGGAAAATAGGATGCTACTGCCCCTGATTGAGAGACCATGGTCGAGTTGCGAGAGCCTCTCAGATGTCGAGTGGGAAGCGCAACATGGCAAATTTCAAGGATTGCTTCTTCAACGGAATCCGCCTCAACAGTTGATTAATCAAGCCGGCAGTCTGGACAGTGTAGGCAATAAGCCCGTCCACACTGGCCCACTCGGACATCTTATTGTAGCTTTAATTGGCTCTTTTGCTTAACATGGACGGCTGGTGGAGACTGCCACATGAAAAGAACCTCAAAATCTTCAACAGATTTCCGTATCATCCTGTGCCTCGGCGCTGACGTTGGGAATGAATACTAATCAGTTTGCAAATAGCCTGTTCTTCCGGTCAGAAGTGTAGAGGGTATACTGATGACTCCTCGAGAAGACGAAGATGCTATAACGCGTAATTGGAGCGGAAATGCGATGGCAAGTCATTTTGCATGAAGTTCGTGTCACTATATATTTTCACGCTTGGAGAGACAAGGAGCCTGGGCGTTCCACAAGACCACCATTTGGAGAGTACTTTTTGATTCGTGCCTCGGGCTATATTGCTTACTGATCCTCAGTCACCATGTTGATTCAAACTTCCAGTCTATTGTTGAGCAACAGCTTCGGGGACCGTGGAAGCGGTGCTGCCTCAGGCAGAACATACATTAAAACGAGGCCCCAGGCATCAGCGAGAATTGAGAAAGACGCGTCGCGAGATCACGTGCGCCCATCCCCACAGCAAGATCGCGCGGAATCCTCCAGTTGTTCTCTTGGCTTTCTGTTCGGACTATGTGCCAATAATCAGACTCTCGGGAACGAGTGCTGGGCTGACATTGGGGTGGCTCATGCCCCGCATTCCAGAGAGGCGTCCATGAAGGATAAGATCACCAACACCGGGGTTGCGTCAGCAGCAGAGCAGGAGCACATTTCCACGATGCTGCTTTCAAGTCGTACAGGTTGATAAGAAGCTCGCATTGCTCAAACGTCCAGGGAAGCTGGTCGGTTCACAGAGACTACTTCGCTAGACGCACCACTCCTATCGCCAGCCCATGTTGAGACTCAGGAAAAGCCCTTACCCCGCTCGTAGCGGCACTGCTATCGAGTCAGTCATCCAGAGTGGCGGAGCAATACCGCGCGCATCTTGATCTGGGGCCCAAGAGCAGCAAAGATCAGCGGACACCGGACTTTGTCCGGGCCTCCGGGGCAGAAGGAGCTTCCCCGATTCCCCAGTTCCCCAGCCTCTCCACATCTCCAAGCAACCCTTTTCTCCAACTCCAAGCCTGAGACGCTTGGCCCTCGGGCCAGACAAGAGAGGCAGACCAGCCTGATTCAAAACGCACACTCTCCCCACGCGCACCATCTTCCTCCCGTCCGATTATTGCCAACAGCAGTGGAGATGGACTCGCAAGCTCGCCCAAGCGGCCTCTCAACCCCGACCGAGCAGCTCGAGAAGATCACCGAGCAGCCAACAGACAATGACCTCAATCGTGCTGTCTCCCCCGCGGAGTTTGACCGGATCCTCCGAAAAGTCGATCTTCGAGTCATTCCCATCCTCGCCATTTTCTATCTGCTCAGCTTTTTAGATCGGGGTTTGCACCAGAACTCATCCGTTTGATTCATCTGCTCACACCTTGGTCTAGGCAGCATAGGGAACGCAAACATTCAAGGACTGTCTGAGACACTCGGCCTTGTTGGCCAACAATATAACTGGTGAGAGCTGTCGCGCTGCAGCAGACGCGAACTCTGAACTAACACCTACTCGCAGGTGCTTGACGATTTTCTTCTTCCCATACTCCTTTTTCGAACCGGTTTCCAACCTATTATTGGTTCGATTGAAGCCAAGTATATGGCTACCATCAATTGTTACAGCCTGGGGTAGGAGTAAATACTCCCGGAATTCCTTGAACCACTACTAATGTCAATAGGGATTGTGATGACATTGACTGGAATCGTTCAGAACTACTCGGGCCTCCTGGCAGCACGATTTTTCCTAGGTATGAATCTATACGGCTGGTGGACCCAATATGGTGGCTGACGTTATGATACAGGCTTGACGGAAGCGGGACTTTGTATGGTATCTATTCTACTACTGAGATGAGCGCGACTAATCTTTTCCGATAGTTCCTGGACTGGCTTTCTATGTCTCGCTCTGGTACAGTCATAGATCCCTTTGAAGATGAGCCCCGCTGATGGCACCAGGTATCCGCGAGCAAACGCGCAGTTCCGACTCGCACTGATATTTGCATCTGCCTCCATGGCTGGTGCTTTCTCCGGGTTGCTCGCCTATCTGATCGTCAAGATGGACGGAGTTGGCGGACTTGAAGGCTGGCGCTGGATGTAAGACTACCCATGTGTCTGTCAGAATGGTACCCCGACTGATTTCAAAAAGCTTCCTTCTAGAGGGAATGCTCACTGTTGTTGTCGCCATCGCTGCCTTTTGGCTCGTCTGGGACGACCCAAAAACTGCTACCTTCTTGACCGAGCGCGAGAAGGATATTTTGCTGGCGAGCCTAAGTTATACCGCCGCTGGAAGCACAACGGACACGCGGACCAGCAATGAGCATTCGTCGCATTGGAAACAGGTCAAAGCAGCAATCTTTGATTGGCAGGTCTGCATCTGCTCATTTTCCTGATCCACTCTAGTCTAGTCACTGACGGTCTTATCTAGACAATTCTCCACTGCCTTGGATATTGGGGAGTGGTAAGTCGCGCCACCCGAACTGCGCGGCTCCACGAACAACAACTAACAATCAAACAGGCCACCGCCGTTTATGCTTTGTCGCTTTTCCTGCCGACGATCATCAAGGGCCTAGGTTACTCGGCCGCAATCGCCCAGCTCCTCACGATCCCCGTCTATGCGGCCGCGACAATTACATGTATTGCAGTCGGGTACTTTGCGGACAAAACTGGCAAACGCAGTTTGTTCACCATTGTCTGTTATCTCATCATTCTAATTGGATATATCATCGTTGTGGCCCCTCCACGGTTCATCCCTGGGTTGATCTATGCCGGCTGCTTTATTGCCGCCTGTGGAATGTATCCAGGTGAGACCCAATTTACCCACCGCATAATATGCCTTCAACGTTCTAATGACTCCTTGTTACAGCAATCCCGGGCCTGCTGGCTCTGGCATCGAACAACTGGGCCCCCGATGCGAAGCGAGCCGTTGGAATAGCGATCCAGATTGGCGTTGGCTCGATGGGTGGCGCGGCCGCATCGAACTTTTATCGAAGCACCGACTCGCCCAGGTACCGATTGGGGCACTCGCTTGTCCTGACATTCACAGCCTTGGGATTGCTGACTACTGTGTCGTACTACGTTATATGCAAAAGGTTGAATGCGAGACGGGATGCAGTGGGAGCGAGCGAGCATGGTTATAGTGAAGAGGAGTTGATAAATATGGGCGATAAGGCACCAACCTTCAGGTATAGGGTGTGATACGACGGGCTGGTGAACAAAAGGATTTGAAATAGAGAGGAGTGACTGTAATGGGATATAAGCGACACATGGCGAGATCACTGCAGTCGTCTGAGGTGAAGATGCGCAATGATGATGAGGGAGTGAGGAGTGCCCTCTGCCCCTGGCTATGAATTTAATGCTATACTGCCCAAGGGCTCTATCACTTCGAGCATGTTTAGCTGCAGCCACTGTCATTATGATTTTATGGACAACGACTATGGCCTACTGCTTAGAGGTCCGAGACCCAAGACTTATATGTGCCCTTGCTCATGAATGTGTGATTACTCAGCACTATGCTTCCCTAGACTAACTAAATGAAGCGATTGTCAAGCTATTGCGATTTGCTACCAACACAGCCCTAAGGTACAAGGCTCTCGAAATCCAAGGATCCGACATCCACGAGGACAAAATAGGCTTTACTCGGTCCCGCCTGCGGTGGTGAGTGGATCGGCCGCCGGTGGTGTATTGTCGACCTGGATTCCTCCTCGCTTCGGGTAACAGCTGTCGTGGAACGGAAGGCACCAACCCCCCTCATGCTCAGGTGTCGCGATCCACGTCCGCAGGAGATATCGCTGTGGCTTTGGAGGAGGCGGATCCGTGAATCCGGTGCGCGAGTGGAATGTCTGGCAGCAAGACACGAATTGGATGTCTCCAACCTCGCAGTCGTAGACGATTCCATGCCGCTTACACGTCTCCTCCAGGACCTTCATCGCCTCCAGCTGCTCTGCGGAGAGGGGAGGGATCAGCCCTTTGTCGCTGAAGCGAGTCAAGGATTTGACAAAGTAAGGGTCCCACCTATCACATTGAGTCCAGGCTTAGCATAATGCACATTCCACGCGGGGCGAGAGAAGGGGGGTTAGCAGTCATACTTAACATAGACACGCTCTTTGCCGCCCGGCTCGACCATGAAAATGGGGTTCTTAAACCAGGGCTCTTGGCCATCTGTGACCTCCCCCTTGCGGTCGACATACCAGATAGGCGAAGCCAGCGTCTTTGCCACATCTGGCCTTTCTTTTACCAAGGCATTCCAGACTGTGTGTGCAGATGCACAGCCGGAGGCACCACCGGTCTCCCCGGGAGCGCAGAATAACAGCCCGACGATATCCGTTTCGTCAGTGTGATAGAACTGCCTGAGAAGTATGAGTATCAGGCTCAAGCAGCTGACTGGCAAAGGGGGCTTACGGCGCGTTTGTGGCTGAGATCTTGATCTTATCAAGATCATTGTGATAGTCCGCACCCTGGTTCGTCACATGGCCGAGGATCAGGCCAAGTTTATTCTGCGAGACGAGATACCCAAAATGCACCGACAACCCCATCGTCACCACCGCCGCCTTGTATCGCCCCCATTTGTCAATGGGTAGGCCACTGAAAACGATGAACCCACGCCCGTTCAAGATATCGTTCCGAATTCCTGGCAAAATCTTTTCAATCGTGGGTACCCTGAAGTTCTCCTTCAACCGCACACGTATATGTCAGCCATATGAGCCACAGACAGCGGAGGCTGTTCAAATTACCTTACTGATACTGGTGAGGGGGGTTCCTGAGGCTATAAATGTGTCAACGGCCTGTAGGAGCTCCGCAAGCTCTTGCTCTGTCCACCGGTGAATCCATTGCTCTGGATGTTGAATCATGTGCTCCGCTGTCCAGGCTGTCGGTCCGGTGATGTTGCGCGGGAACTCCTCGAACGGGCGTAATTGGCTTTCGATCGGAGGATGTTGGCCGCTGGTACGAAGCCCATCAGGAAACAGCTTGCGATCCACGGGCACCACGCGAGGAAGGCCAGCAGGGAGACCTCGCAGGGCTGGTGCGACATTCATTTCAACTAACATACCGATAAGACAAACACGTTACAGGTATTCAAAAGAGGTGTTGTCGCTGTTAATGCTCCCGGTTAAAGGTCGTTTTTGAAGCATAGATATACATTAGATGCGGCCGCGAGGTATACTTCCGAATGTGTCGAAGCTCCGCGTACGGTATGCAAAGAGGACGTACGTCATAGTGCTGGACCCGCCCAAGTAAGTACTGAGACCGATGGGATGGCATTCCTGAAGTACGACATTGGGTCTGCATGTTTATGATCAGGGATCTCTTCTTATGCCTCGCCACCTTCCTTGCCATTCCATATTGGCCGCGACAGGGTCGAAAGGCAAAGTGCTTAACAAAAAGGGAAACCGACGGCGCTCCGCTCTGGAGAAAGAGACTACTTAGACGGAAGAAGCCGATTGCAGGCGCGGAAGTTGGCCGAAAGGATCCAAGATTGCCAAAAGTCCCCCGAATTGCGAAACGCGAGTCGGTCTCCAGGATTGGATTCCTTCAACAGCCGTTGCCCAATCACTCGACTGCATTTCTCACCGACCCTCTGCGGCGAGTGCAACTTTGAGAGGTGAACCTGGAACGCAGCGACATTATTGGAAGCCGTTTCTGGGCATGTAAGCGGGGACAGGAGGATCGGATCCGGTTCCTTGCGCCATCGTCAAGCCTCGATTGAGCGGAGGGCGTCATCTAGATGCTGCCAATTCCCTCTCCGTAAATCTCCGCAGTCTGAGGGCATTCCGATTGGCAGGCGACCGGGGATCGGGTTTGCTATGTGGGCCTTGATGGCGTATTGTGATATCAAGCGGTAAAACCACAGGAAAAGGTTTACAAAACAAAGAAAGATCCCGTCGAGTGTGATGTGTCCGCATGTGGCGGATGAGGCTACAGTTGATTCGTGATAGACGACTCCAACAAGTGGAGACACCACAGCGATAGGATTATCGAAACTGTCATGAAGCTTCACGTGCATAATCATTTGCTTATCTGCCTCCCCACTTATAGCCATTATATTGCCATCGACCTGACTTGGATTTCGTTCTGAACTATCATGGCGAAACATGACAAAACAAGAACATGAACCAGTTCAGGCTCGCGAGGAAGGCCACGAGGCTGCCAACGCTACCTCGTCCTCCCCCGTACCCCCTCCACCTGACGGCGGATTTCATGCCTGGGCGCAGGTTGTCTCTGGTCACTTGGTTGTGGCTCTGACCTGGGGCTATGCGGCCAGTTTCGGCGTATTCCAAAGCCACTATGAATCTACGCTGCCTCAGAGCCCGTCCGACATCTCTTGGATTGGTGGTTTCCAGGTATTCTGCCTCTTGTTCATCTCCACACTATCCGGTCGAGCAACAGACGCTGGAATGGCACGACCAGTGGTCGCTGCCGGCGCAGTTCTGCTGGTTCTTGGTACCTTCATGACTAGTTTGGCCACCGAGTATTGGCAGATTTTCCTGGCCCAGGGGCTCTGCATTGGCCTTGGTCAGGGTCTCATGTGGCTGCCCAGTGTGACGCTGATTTCGACTTATTTTATGCGTTGGCGTGTTTTTGCCGTGACGACCGCTGCCACTGGTACAAGTACAGGAGGAATTATCTTTCCGGCAATGATTCAGTACCTGATCCCTCAGATCGGTGAGTCATGGTTGCAAGTCCAACCTGCGATGAGTCATGGGCTAACGCAACGAGCAGGATTTCCATGGGCAGTGCGGTGCATGGGGTTTGTCGTGCTTGCCATGGCAGCAGTAACCCTCGCCCTACTTCGTCCCCGACTGCCACCGCGAAAGTCGGGGCCATTGGTTGAGTGGAGTGCGTTCAAGGAGCCTGCCTACCTGCTGTTCACCTTTGGGGTATTCCTTCTATACTGGACCCTTTATTTTGCCTTCTTCTATGTACGCTCCCCCGCCATAATATCTGCCTTTGATTAAGCTGAGCGCATGCTAGATCCAAGTCTATGCAATTGAAGTATTGGGAATCTCCCAAGAAGCCGGTGCTACGTTGATTATCATCACTAACGCGCTCGGAATCCCCGTCCGCGCGCCTCTTGGGTACCTGGCGGATCGCTACATCGGCCCACTCAACTGTCTCATTCCCTGCGTGGCTCTCTGTGGCGTTCTTATATTTGCCTGGGCCGCCGTACACACCGTGGCCGAGCTATACGTCTTTGCGGTGTTTTATGGACTAGCATCGGCGGCAGCAATGGCCTTGTTTGTGGGAACCGTCCCTTCGCTGACAAAGGACCTTGACAAAATTGGCACGCGAGTCGGGATGGCGCTTACCATGATCAGCTTTGGCCCATTGACTGGTCCCTCTGTGGCGGGAACGTTGATCGCACGCACCGGAGGGAAATACCTGGCTGCGCAGATGTGGGCAGGAGCGGCCTTGATCGTATCGGTCTTCGCTCTGGTGGGAGCACGACTCATAATCTCGGGACCACAACTACGGGCAAAGCTTTGAGGGCGCAGATAGCAGTAGTAGATGAGTTGCGAATAGAATAGAGGTGTTGGATGGCATCTGCTGCCGACTGACTAGTAGCGACCAGAATGACTACTACCAGTATTATCTGCAGCGAAACTAGCTGACCGATATGTATCGCAGTGGCTACAGTCAAACAACACAGAATGTGCCTACTGGGTAAAGTCAAAGATGGATTATTTGTCCGTTTCGATCCCAAAATACCGGGCAACGTCCAGCAGACCTGAGCCATCCACATCGATCCAATAATCAACAAACCCCTCCTCTTTAGCTTGTGCAACGCGTTCCCCATCCCACGCTTCTTCCAAGGGTCGCTCGATGTAGATGGTCTGGAATCCACATTTTTTGGCGGCTTGCAGGTCGTGAAGATGGGCGGCAACGAGGCAGCATTGCGACGTCTCTAACCCGAATCGGCGCGCAGCGGCATGATATACTTCGGGTGCCGGCTTGTAGGCATTAAAATGCTCTGCACTGCTGAGGTGCCTGAACGGCAAAGAGCCATGTTCCTGTAGGTCTTCAAGAAGTTTGACATTGCCGTTGGATAATGTCGAGGTCGGGAACTTTGTGTTGAGTAACGCAAGGCCTTGCACACTGTCAGCGTATGGATCGAGGCGATGCCAACCGAGGGTCAAGTGCTGAAGATCGTCCTCGTTGAAGAGATCGCAGAGACGCCTGTTGGTGAAGATATTTGCCAAAGAGATACGGTTGTGCTCATCTACGGGGACGAAGGGTTTCGATGGATCATAAGTGCGTCCGAAGTTCATATACGAGCGGTGCCACTCGTCAGTAATCTCGTCCCAGGTTGATGTGGGCAAGTCGGAGACACGTCCTCGCACATCCACCCCGATGTCTCGATTTTGATCTTGCAGGGCACTTGCTGCTGCGGCCTTGAGCTGGTTTGCAATGCAAAATCTCCATTCGACGACGGTTCCCAGGACATCGAAAAAGAGCATCGATGGGGTGCCGGGTCTTGACATGTTGACTAAGACTTGAAATACCGAAGGGGTAGCAGGTGTATCTCCAGGCACAAACGCGACAATGATCTCGAGGGAAGGATTTGAAAGAAAAGACAGACGAGTATTCCGAAAAGGGTCGGGAGGAAAGGTGCCCTTCCCATTAACCTCGGGACTTGATGCGCCTGCATGTGGTTGGCAGGGGTCGTCAATACAGTCATTCGGTCGCCTGTACAGATCTCTTTGTCTTGTCCCCGGTTCCCCCAATTCGTTCAATGTTGCCAGCGGGTTACTCGAACGGGAGCACCGGCGTTCAATTCCCCCCGTCGGTTCGGCCAGTTTCCGAGCTTCTCGGCCTCCCCGTCATCACCCGATGTGCTTCACTCACATCGTTCCCAAATATGCTTGGAGCTCACTGCCTTTATCATATTCCGGGAATAAATCTTCATCGCCGTCGAACTGGACTTGACACCCCCGGGGATACATCTTGATTGTTCGTGCCGCCGGCTCGAAAAGGCGTTGGGCACATCCAGATGGCCCGCCAGCTAATGATAGTTCCGTAACTCTCCCGCGCCCGTTAAAGTACCAATTCGCTGCCGCGAATCATTCAAGGAGCACATGATGTCGCGGTGGTAGGGCAAACAAGGCCAATACGACAAGGCTTAGCGGGCCTCTCCCCCTGCTCGACGAAAAAGGGAAACACTGCCAAGTACAGTGCCTAGAGGACTACATAAATCGCGAAAGGCCCGAAGACGGGATAAGAATACTATATTTCTGTTCGTCATCTTCATCTATGGTCGCTACTGAGAGAAACCTGTGCTAACTTGACATAATTTTCTGCCTCATTCAGGGCCTCTACCTGCCCTTTATTGGGCCGATTGCGATACCGAGACTTGATTGTGTTGATCTGCCGCTGGAAATCCATAATTTGCAAAGCCACAAGGCTTCCGAGCAGGTGTAGCCTCTCACGTCGATTGACGCGATAGGTGGCAACGGAAATATCAACGGGGATCGGAGAAGGAGCAGGCTCGCTTCCGTGCTGCGATGAGCTCGTGTCGCTGGGATTGGACCGATGCATTGCCTTGCAACAGTTGGCCATCCTGCTGCAAATGGCCCCGATCTGTCGGGCGGCCATGGCAAGCAGCATGTTCTGCTCTACGCGAGCTGCACACCGGTCGCACGAGATGAATACCGCCAGGGTTTCAATGGAATTGCGAAGATCGGTAAGGAGTAGGTCAAGCCGGTCCTCATGCGAAGAACTTCTGGAAGACAGCCTTTCGAGAAAAGAAACAGAGTTTAGTAGACAGCAACTGTCGGACTCTGCATGCGTCTTGCCCAAAGTCTCAAGCGGCAGCGGTTCTGATCTCGAGTCTATCGTCCCGTTTCCATCGGCGGTCGTCGCCCAAACCATGTCATCTTGTCCCAGATGAACACCTTGCCAACATGCGGAAGATCCTGCGCTCATGATATTTGACGGCTCGAGCAGTGACGCCAACGATGTGTCTACCGTCGATATAGGTGGAACCTGGTCCCGCGCCGGTCCTGTGGTACTGCGGTTCCCTCCTGAAAATGGAGGCCTTCCAACTGTGAGCTCAACAGCAGCTTTCGGAGGTGTCAGCCAGACAAGTCTACTAGTAGGGCAAACAGAAGCCAGAGCGCTTACGGGTTGGAATGCCACCACTGCTCGATCTCGATCTACCAGGTGAGCTCTGCTGCATAGGAGTATCCATGATCCATGGCATAAACAGAGACTCGTCGATACACCCGTCGTCGAATGTATTGGAGTCCAAGTCATCCAATGTTAGATCATGGCTAAACTTTCCCTGGTGGTCCCTGGCGCGAAGTTCTGCTTCATCGTATATATTTCGACTGGAGACGCTGTCGTTACGCCGAATGGCCTGCTTCAATGTACCGAGTAGTGCATTAGCGAGTAAATATGGAGACAAATGTACATTTTTCGTCACTCACTGCCCGAGAGCTTTTGCGGGTATCCTGTCGCTTGTTTCGCCCCTGACTTTCGGGATAAACGCACTCAAGTCCTATCGCTTCGCATCGCTGGCACCTCTTGCGGTTCCCGGAACAGCGCACCTATATGTCCATCTTGTTAGGGCGCAACGTCACGGTAGACTGGAGAAAAAGACCATTATCAACCCACGGTTGCAGGCACGGACTGCGGAGCTGGAACAGCCATACCTTTCGGGCCCGACAATGAATGCAAGCAATGCGTATAGTGTCTTGGACGTTACGGCTAACCGCAGCTACTGGGTCCGGGTTCTCGATGAACTCTAGAGATTCCCGATCGAGACCAGTCGAGACCAGCGTGCCAAACATGATAAGACTGTTTACAGTGATGATAGAGGCCGATGTGAATGTGTAACGTCTGCAGTCGGTTGAACACTGTCAACACCCGTGGGAAGTGCGAGGCTTGAGGTCAGCGAGGGGTGGTTTAAATGATGATAGCACGAGCAATGTATACATTTATAGCTATCCACGCGGGTACTTTTGACCGTCCAGTAGAAGACTTGTATGCTTGATCTATAGTGCGTATGGCGTATTCTGCAGAGCTTGTACGTCTCAAACAAGCCCCTGACGATATTGTATCACTTCCAACGCGTGGCCACTCACATAGAATCACCAAGCGCTTACCATGCATGAGACTTGAGCGAGTCATCGTCCTAGGCTCTAGACGTTGAGAGAGACCTCTTGGTTCGGGACCCCGGGTTCTTCCGACAGCACAAGAGACAATATGGGGGCCAAAAACCAAGGATGCCCGGTGCTATACCCAGGAATTACCTGAAATCTTATGGGTAAGTGAGGTTATACACATTTAATACGCTACCGCAAGTTCCGCGGGTCTGGGCTTAGGCGCCCATGAGACGCTGGACGCCTAAGAAGTAATCGTGCAAATGCAAGCCTGCAGACAAGTGAGTACCTGCGGATGCCGTGAAGAGTGGCGGGTGGATTGTATCCTGGTACTGGATCGTCTGTTGTTCCAGAGTTGGTAGAGCCATGCGACGGTTCAGCTGATCTTGGCTCTGGCTGAGCTAATTGGGTGGCAAGGCCCTTGACAGGGTCCAGAGACTAGACAGTTGGCTGAATCTCCAGTTTGCGATTGGTGACAACGCGTGGCGGGGGAAGCTGGGAAGCTGAACAGAGCAGCCGAGGTTTCCCGCAGTTGCCGAAGCAATCGGCCGCCATCGGGGCCAAATTCTTGCTCCAAGTCGCACTGTCGAGGGCCAATCCACCAACTTCACATGCAATTCGACAGCCCGCATGTGACAGAGCCAAGGCCAGACTTGCGCGACAAGACGGGACGGTCCGTCGTCTGGTATAGCCCCAGGCGCTGCGCTATGTACATATCTCCCCTCACCGGCATCTATGACTATTTGTAATGTCTAATTCGTTGATAACCCCGAACATGGAGGATGTGTGGATTCCAACTCCCGTACTCACCCTCGAGCAGGATCTTCCCAAAATGGACAGCGGCGCCAGCCATTTGCGGACTTGTAGATCGGCAGCATCACCGTATGCGGATAGTTACCGACCCTCGAGCTGCAGACGTTGCAACGCGAGAAACGCTCCTCAACTCCTGTCACCTCCTCATATTCCATTAGTAACCTATGTGTTACATCTAGCACAATCGCCAGTGCCGCCCGCGATCCTACAGTCATGAGTTTACAGGCAATTCCCAACACCGACCATCACACCCGCGAGGCTGATGAAAAGATAGCGGTTGGTCCCTCGCCTAGCGAGTCCATCAGCCTTGCTCATGATGGGTCCGATCTACCAGAGGAAGATGCCGGCGGTGCTGTGGGCAAAAGGATGAGCAACCTCCGCTGGTTTGCGGTATGCGTCGGGCTATATCTGACCGCATTTCTCTACGGACTGGACTCTACGATTGCTGCCGACGTTCAAGGGCCCATTCTGGCTTCTCTCGGGGAGCTCCGTCTGCTCCCCTGGGTTGGGACTGGGTTCTTACTGGGCTCAGTGGCCACTGTCTCGCTCTTCGGCTCGCTGTACACCAAGATAGAGGTCAAATGGTTGTACCTGGGCAGCATTCTGACCTTCGAAGTCGGCAGCGCAATCTGTGGCGCCGCCCCTAACATGCAGGCCATGGTTGTTGGCCGAGTGGTGGCCGGAGTCGGTGGCTCCGGTGTCTATCTGGGGTGAGTGCAGTCATGCCACACTTGCTCGGAGGAAGCCCTGACACTCGAGGAAGAGGTATTAGTTACATTTCCGTCTTTGTGTCCGCAGCCAGGCGGCCGATCTACACTGCCTTGATTAGCACGTATGTCCTCGGGCCACCAGTAGTGAAATCAATAATAACAATTGACAATCACGATTAGATTCTGGGGTCTAGGAGCCATCCTCGGGCCTGTTATCGGTGGAGCGTTCGCACAAAGTCCAGCAACGTGGCGGTGGTGAGTCCGCGCCCAAGAAGAGCCTTCAAGCTTATTTATTCATGTTTGACAGGGCCTTCTATATTAATCTCGTCCTCGGCGGGGTGACTGCTCCCATTTACATCTTCTGCCTTCCTCGCCACGGCACGCATCGCCACGAAAGGATTATTCCACGCATCCGGAACCTCGACTGGCTCGGTGCATTACTCAACGCTGCAACGTACACTCTCTTCATCATCTCGTGTACGTACAGTGGCTCCGCATGGCCTTGGGACTCGGGCTCAATCATCGCTCTCTGGGCCATGACTGGGGTCACCATCGTACTCTTTGCACTCCAGCAGTGGACAGCATTCTTGACGACCAAGGACGGTCGCATCTATCCAGTCTGGTGCCTGAAGAGCAAGTCATTGGTACTGTTGTACATTGCGACTGCCGGGAGCAGTGCTGTTCTACAGTGCAACATCTACTACATTCCTCTTTTCTTCGAATTCACCAAGGGGGATGACGCCATCTCCGTCTCGGCTCGACTCTTGCCCTTCATCTTCCTCATGATATTTAGCTCCCTTTTCAGCGGAACGCTCCTGCCGAGATTCAACGTGTACGCGATTTGGTACGTTGTGTCGGGCATAGTAGCGCTGGTTGGGAGTGTACTATTGTTCCTCATCTCGACTGGAACACCCCCCAGAAACATCTACGGATTCGAGATCTTGACTGGCGTCGGCTGCGGACTGACCTTCCAAGCTGCGTACGCCATCGCCCTGAGCAAATCGCCGCCGGAGAAGGCAACCTCGATCCTGGGTTTCATCAACGTGGCCCAACTCGGTGGTGGGGCTTTGGCGCTGGCGATAGCAGGGACAATCTTCCAGAATGTTGGATTTGACAACCTGCAGACGGCTCTCGGTGGCAGGGGATATTCCACTGGGGAGATTCGTGAAGCTCTGGGCGGTGGATACTCGGCTATCCTGAACGGTGGCCCTCTCGAGGTGCGTGCCATCGCGTCAGATGCGATCGGAAATACCATTGCCAGCGTCTTTGGCATCTCAGTCGGAGGAGGTGCTGCGGTCCTGGGCGCCGGACTTTTGATGCGGTGGGAGAGGGTGAAGTTGTCATAGTCGCATTCGGTGTTGCGAGGAACGATCGACATTGCAAGACATGGACTACGAGGGTTGACTAGAATACTTGAAACAAAATTGCATCGCAAGGTAGAGATTCGGCTATAATACGGGCGATATCAGATGAGTTCTTATCTTTCTTTATTAGATCGCCCATCGTAGACTTATGCCGCTAAATCTACGCCTGTGATGTGCTTTGTTCTTGTGAGAGAGTGGCTACCGGAAGAAGAAAGGAACAATTTCTATATTTTCTTACTTTACCAGTCGGCCTAGACATCATAATGGTCACTCCTCGCCCGCAGACACCTTGACCAGTTGGCTGTTGGCAGCAATCTTGCCGGCGACATCAGCCAGCGGCATCGCGCTCAAAATGTCAAAAACGGAGATGTCGCTCTTCATATCCTTTAGTGCACGATTACGCACCTCCACAGCCTGCAGCGAGTCAACTATGTCGAAGTTAGTACAAGTTTCCCGAGGTCCTGTTTGCAAGTATATAGTTACTCACCACCATAGTCATACAGAGGCTTCTGCGCATCTACCTCCTCCACAGAGACACCCATGGCCGCCGCGACAAGACCCTTGATGTTCTCCTCCACGACTGCAGCAGCTTCAACCATGGTGGTTGCAGCGGCCAAGAGGGTGCCCGCATCTTGCTTCTTGTTACCGTCGCTGGCCTCGCCACCAGAATCCACGACGCGAAGCTCAAACTTCTTGTCCCTCGAGAAGCCACCAGTGGCCTTGTTATGCTCGATGCGGTCCTCCAATCCCAGGACTATCTGGGCGGGCAAACTCTGTCCTTTTGTGGTCGAGCCTCGCATGATGGCGCGTAGCACGACGCCGAGCTCGTCAAGGGATGTCTGTAGGCCTCGCCATCCGTGCTGGTATCTACCCAGGTAGCTGGCAAGATCTCCGAACTCGCCAGCCGCGGTAAAGTGGGATGAGTCAATGACCAGGCCGACGTCAACACTGGTGGCGTTGAGACCGAGATGGTGGCGGGCGTGGTGCGCCAACGCGTCTTCAAACGTATTCCCGGAAGCATAGTTGGCCTGGGCTGTGTTGCCAATCACGCCGGTGATGGACGAGAGCAAGATAAAGAAGGGGTTATCGCCGGGCCAGATGTTCGCAAGCAGATTGCGAGAGCCTTTTGTTTTGGGCTCGATCGCACGGCGCCACTGATCAAAGGACATGTTGTCGAAGATGCCGTCGTCGAGAACCATGGCAAGTTGGATCACGCCGCCAATCCTGCTGCCTCGGGCCTTGATGGCGCCAAAAACTTTGGCGACACTGAGAGCGTCATTGACGTCGCACTGGTACGCCTCTGCCCGAACAGAACGTTCCGTGAACTTGTCCAGATCGTGCTGGTTCTTTGCGCCGCCCGATCGGGACAGGAAAGCCAGGTTTCTGGCACCGCATGCGACCATCCACGTGGCAATGTGTAGACCCAGGGCGCCCAGACCACCGGCCAGCACGTAGGTTGCCTCACTGTCAAGCTTGAGCTCCTCGGCCGGGGGTGGACGCAAGAGCACAGGGCTGGCATCATTCAAGGACAGAACAGAGTGCCCGGGAGAGGCACTGTTAATGGCAGTGGTGAGCTTGTTGACGGGCAAGATTGTTAGTGGCAAAGGCCCTTGCAGGACGTAGTCTTTGAAAGCCTGTTGGAAGAGTCTGCTAATGATGGCGGGCCTGCGCTGCATCAAAGCCTCCATGTCTATGTGAGAAACAGTCACGTTGGTCTTTGCCGCGGGAGGCTGACCACCGGTCCTGTCACCACTCAAGTCGATAAAATGTCCAAAATCACCCAGGACCGACATGGCAGCTGAATCTTGTGCACTGGCCTGTTGGCGGACAATGACATCGACTCCACGGTTCGGGGTGGCCGCCTGAATGAGGGGCACAAAGTTCTCCAAGCCAGCATCGAAGATATGATCCCTGGGGACGCCATACTGCGCCGCAATGAGATCGCGCGCTGATCTGCTGTCAACGAGAGCAAAGATCTCGGCCCCGACAGCGTTGGCAACCTGGAGCAGGGCTTGACCGACGGGGCTTGCAGCGTCGTACAATAGCAGCGCCTGCCCATGAGAAAGATGAGCGGTTTCGATAAGGGCGTACTGCGCTGTAATAAGTGGCTCGACAAGTGCGACCGCGTCTGCCGGCGCCAGCCCGTTTGGCAGTGCTGTAACTAAATCCTCGCTTTGGCGGGCATGGGTCTTTGCTGCAGCGTCAGCGACGACAATGACCCGCTGGCCAAGCTGAAACGCCCTGACTGAGCAGTCCAGGCGAACAACGGTGCCGACAACGTGGCGGATGGAGTTCAGTGTCCGCCCTCGTCCAACTCCAGCATACTCGACCTTGATTTCCACTTGGCCCGGTTCAAGTGCTGTATCAGCCTGTACGTCCGTGACCCAAATATGACCTTGGAGTGTTGGCAGCTCGGTCGCGACCAGCGGCTGCCCAGTGGAACCCAAGGTGGACTCGATTGGTTCGGCGGTGTTGTTTGCCAGCTGAAGTTCGTAGTCGAAGCCAGCTTCCTCGGTGGCACGGGGGATGTAAATTACCCCGTTGCATTCCGCATATTCCATCTCTCCATCCTCGGGTAGAGACGTTCGCCATACATCGAGGATTAGATCTGCGTATCCAGGGTCGCAGATGTCAGCGATTGCCGACAGATCGAGAACCGGCAGGCTGGCCATGGGGTATTCGTTGCGCATCACGCGGAACAGACCCTGCGTTGTCGCAAATTCGACCCCGTTGGACCAGTTCTCCAGCACGCTGCCGTGCGTAATCCAGAAGAGGTGGCCAACCGTCGAGACAAGTGTCTTGAATGTGTGGAACTGGTCCTCGGTCCAGGAGTGGACCAGTGGGTTGTCAATTTCAAGGAGAGCAATAACATGCTTGCGAGCGAGCGAGGCCACACCGACCGAAGTGAAGGCCATCGTTAAGACGGAATGGCCGGCGCTTTCAAGCTTGAGCTGAAGTCGCGCAGCAAGTGTGCTGACCCCCGTAGATGGCGTTTCAGGCAGGAGAAGCAAGACTGACTCGGGCAACTCGATTGAGGCAGACTCCGGACTCGCGGTGCAAAGGACATAGATGTCATCCTCTGCTAGGACGCCGACCCACTTGCTTTCTGGCTGCTTGGGGATGACCTCGCCTGGCTGGCCAGCAGACGTGAGACATGCCAGAGTGCCCAGCCTTGTAAGCGTGGCAGCGTGCTGCGCGACGTCAGGAATGCCCAGACCAAGCACAAAATCGTTGTCCCTTGGAGCTAGCATGTCTAGAGACTGGCTCTCTGACAGCCACTGATAGGTGATGGTGATGTTCCCACTGTCGTCGCCAAGGGTGTCCTTCATTACCTTTGAGATCGACTCGGACGCGGCGAGGGCGATAATTTTCCTGGGCCCATATCTCTGACTTGTGAGGCGACGGAGAACAGTGATACTAGATTCCGACTGATCGAATAAAACAACGAGAGCGGTGGTGTTTGCAGTCTTGAATAAGACCGAGTCTAGCCAGCTCGTGACCACTGCGGCCGCAGTGCCGGCAGAGCTCAGTCTCGCGAGCTGCTCGTTGCTGGTGACAAACGAGAGGTCGGGGATCCACGAGATGCCCGCGCACTTCCGGACGGGGCGATCTGAAGATGCAGCGCCAGAAGATTCATCTCCAGCTTCAGAGGTCACCTGGCGAAGTGCAAAGTTCTTGACAGTCAGCTTTGGCTGCGCCCAATCCTGGTCAGAGACAACCAGTTCGGTGGTAATCTCGTGGCCATTCTGTGACAGCAGGCGACCGTATCCAGAGTAGAGTGCCCCAGCCTCAGTTGGCTGATCGAGGGCAATGTAAATCTCCTCGATGCTGTATGGCACTGCGGCTTGTTTCGCCGGCTGGCCCGCGTCAAGAGACGCAATCACCAGGTGGAAGATGGAGTCCATGGTTGCTGGATGAATAACGTGCGGGGTCTCGTACCCCTTGGGCATCGTCGACTTGGTGTCTGGCACAGCCACCGTTCCGTACGACGCCCTCCTGGATGGTACGGCTGTGAGGGACTGGACATTCCGGAAGGATGACCCATACTGCATACCAATGCTGTCCAGGTTCTTGTAGAATGCGTCAACGTCGACGTCCGCAGACTCCGTGGCCGATAGTAGCGCCTTACGTGAGGCCAACTGCTGCTGCCACAAGACGTCAGTATACTCTTCGATATCGCTTGGCCCCTTCTCATACACGACAGTAACGGTGCCGGCGCAGTGTTTCACCCAAGACGAGCCCTTGGTCATTGAATAGACAGTGAAGACCCATGAGTCGGATCTCATTCTATCGCGGTAGAAACTGATGCGGGTCTCCACGGGGGCATCCTCTTCCAGTGAGATGACCAGTCCACGCTCGAAGATGATGTCGTTCAGGCGGAAGCCCTCAATCGTCCTGGACGAGTCGGCTGTACGCAATGCGCCTTCTACCGCCATGACGAGCATGCCTGCGCCTGGGTAGAGCACCGTTCCGGTTATAATGTGGTCTTTTATCCATGGGTTCTCCGAGATGCGCAGGTAGTTTCTCCATCGTGGCTCGTGGCTGTTTTGGGAGTCCTCCGCCATGCCCAAGTAGTCGTTGCGCGCATGTGGAGGGAAGCGGTACGAGCGGGACGCGTATGATTCGTGCCAGAAGCTCTTTGTGTGGTTCCAAGGATAGCTGGGCAAGTTGCAAAGCATCTGAATGGAGTTTCCGCCGGTTGAGGGATACTGGTTGACTGCAGCTAGATCGATGTTGTAGCCAGCCGCCCAGAGCACACCGGCAGCCTTCAAGACCGACGCTGTTGCGTCCTCACCACGAAGAAGCATAGAGGCATAAGGGGCAGACTTGGCAAACCTGTTGTTACTGGCGTCGGTGATCTGCCGCACAGGCCCTTGGAGGGCGGAGTGAGGTCCAACCTCGAGGATACAACCCCACTGGATTGGCACGGCCCGGGTACCCCCTGCTGTGACTTTCTTGTGCTTCACCAAGGCTAAGAAGGCCTGGGAAAACCTGACGGGGTTTTGCATGTTGTTGACCCAATACTGGGCATCCAGCTCTTTGGGATTGGAGACGAGAGACCCGGTAAGTGAGGAGTACATAACAGTGTTGTCGCCTGTCACGTCCGCTTCCTTGGGCTGTATGTCACCAATCATTTCAAGGTACTTGGGCGAAACCTCACGCATATGAGGAGAATGGTACGCGGTGGTAACCTTGAGCTTGCGGGCGAATTTACCGTCGCTGTGAATCAGGGCTTCCAAATTGTCAATGGCGTCAACGTCACCAGATAGCGTCACGCTGGATGGGCTGTTGATGCAGGCGACGACTGCAGACTCGGCTGGAACCTTTTCAAGGTACGCCTGGGCCTCACTTTCGGAGATTCCGGCGGCCATCATTGCACCTGGCCTGGAGACCGCGGCCGAACTGAGCCCTCGGACGTAGGCCAGCTTGATGGCGTCGTGGTGTGTGAGCAGCGATGCGGCATAGGCAGCAGCAATCTCGCCGCTCGAGTGTCCGATGGTGGCTCGGGGGGAAACCGCCCAGGCACGAAGCAGCTCAACCAGGGCAATTTGCACCACTGTACAAAGGGGCTGGCTGTATTCGGGGCGGTTAATATTCGGGTTGGGTATCTTGCTCACTTCCTCGATTACATTCCACGTGCACCCCAGCCCCTCGAGGTAAGATTGCGATACCTCGATGCTTGCGCGAAAACTGGAGTTTACGAGGAGCTCACGACCCATTGCTGGCCATTGAGCACCCTGTCCGGTAAACACCATGATGAGGTTGTTGCCATGACGCTGGGTTCGTACCGATGGCCCCAGTCCTTTCAACAGCCTATCCATGAGCCCAGATACAGAATTTTCGACTGCAAAAGTTCGATGCTCAAGATGTGTGCGACGGTGGGAAAGCGTGAATGCAAGATTCTCCAACAAGGCCGGGTCATTGCTATCCTCCGAGTCTTGCTGCAACCATGCATTGAGAGACTCGGACACCCGCTTGGCTCCAGTCTGATCTTTCCCAGTGAGGACAAGTAACTTTCTGGGTGGCTGGTCGGTGGCTCCGTTGACTGATGTATCCTCAAACCCGGAATCCGAACCAAAGTCACCACCAACAGTGTTGTGTTTGCCATCGAGCCCCCTCTCTTGGAGGTAGTGGTACGCATCGTCCAGAATAACGTGGGCATTGGCACCACCGAACCCAAAGGAGTTGACACTGATTCGACGCAGCCCTGGTGTTGGCCATCTAGCGACCTCCTCCGGGAGGGAAAGATGCCAGTCTTTCAACTTGAGTTTTGGGTTGACCCGGTCGACGCCGAATGTGGGGACCAGCATTCCCTTTTCCAGCAGGACGATGGACTTGAAGACGCCGGCCAAGCCAGCACATCCCTCTGTGTGGCCAACAGTAGGTTTGATGCTTCCAATGTAGAGAGGGGGTTTTCCAGCCGCGCGCCGTGCTGCACCCAGAGTCGAGGCAATTGCAGTGAGCTCCAGAGGGTCACCAATGGGCGTTCCTGTACCGTGGCATTCAAAGTAGCCAGTTTCCGCCAGATTGAGGCCTGCGTCTTCGTAGGTCTGGCTGATTAGTTCGGCTTGTGCGCTGGAGCTGGGTTGGGTCACGCTGGGGGTTTTGCCATCGGCGTTGACACCAGAACCACGAATCACCGCACGGATCGTGTCACCGTCGCGGAGAGCGTCCGAGAGACGTTTGACTACCATGGCTCCTATCCCATCGCCACGGCCATAGCCATTAGCCCGGTCATCAAACGTGTGTGAGATGCCTTCCGGGCTGAGCATGTGCATCGCGGTCAATTGGTGTGAGGTATTGGGGTTAATGAGGAGGTTGACCCCTGTGACGAGCGACTACACAAACCAAGTCAGTTGTTGGGTGGGCCCGCCAGGGGTAGCAGTGTCTTGACCTACCATGTTTGTTTCTCTCAGCCTCAGCGACTGGCATGCAAGATGGAGTGCGTACAGTGAGGAGCTACAGGCGGTATCGAGCGTCAAGCTGGGGCCTTTGAGGCCAAAGAACCAGGACACACGATTCGCCGTCATGGCTTCGCTGAGGCCCGTTGCCGCCGGATGCCCAATGTCGTAGATGTCATGCAAGGAGATCATTTCGTAGTCGTTTGTCATGCAACCGACGTAGCACCCCGTCCGACTGTTCATCAAGTCTTCCATGGGGATTCCAGCTACACGCTCATTAGTACCACCTTGATCGCGAGGCAGACGAAAGGGGTTGTCACCTACCATTCTCAAAGCTTTCATAAGATACCTCCAGCAGCATTCTCTTTATTGGGTCCATAGACGCAGCTTCCTTTTCTGTTACTGAGAAAAAAGGAGCATCAAAGTGGCCGATATCCTGCTCCAAAAAGTACCCATGCTGTGGACTGATGCCACCTTTTCGGTCTGGATCAGGATGATGCCACATGTTGCTGTCCCAGCGATCACTAGGCACTGGACCGTGGCCAGTCTTGACCTTGCTGATCATATCCCATAGTGATCCTAGAGAGGACACTCCACCAGCAAAGCGACAGGCGGCTCCAATAATGGCAATGGGCTCTTGTCTATCTGAATTTGAAAAGTTCATGGTGAGACTGGATGAATGGGACTGGGTGTAGACCCGGCACGAAACGAATGGCAATCACACTGGAGAATGCCAGTATGCGCAAAGGTATGCAGGCTGGCGAGGGCCGACGTTATCAGTTGGATGCCACCGTGGGGATCCTGATCCCTTGTGTGTCTGGAGCACTTTGCTTAAAATTCAGTCACCTCGGATACATGCTTCAACCCCTAAAGCCTCAGTGCTTGATGCACATTGGTGCGACCCATTGTCTATAACATCCAAACATATTTAGGTAGAACACATCGCCCGCGATGGCTGCAAAAGTACAGATTTCCTGATTTGGCTGGGGCCGCCCCTGCCGGAGACTTGGATTCGGCGCGGGGTGCTGGATTGGGCAGCGGCCTGTTCGCCACGCCGAGTGTGCGACAAGGACAGAGTTTCTCGTCCTCAATTGCCAAGTCGACGCCCACAACATCAAGCGTGGCTGTATACCCGCTGCTCCCCACGCAAGAATGAGGATTCTCTGTTTGCATGGTGCTGGCAGTTCCGGCGCCATTCTTGAAAGGCAAATGTCCAATCTACGGCGCGAGCTCGACCCCAGCTTCGAGCTTGTCTTTGTAGACGGACCATTCGAGTGTGGAAGAGGACCTGGTACGTGGACCGTGTGGCAGACAGGCTGTTGACTTTGGTCACTAACATGTTGGGATCCAGGCGTTTCCCAATACCAGACCGGTCCATTCTTTTCCCACACTCAAGGCTATTCTCCTGCAAACATGGCTCAGGCATTGAGTTACCTTGAGGACATCCTTGAGGACGAGGGCCCCTTTGATGGAATCTTTGGGTTTAGCCAGGGCTCGGCGGTGACCCTGTCATATTTTCATCAGCAACAGACAGTCGGCAACCCTGTAGCAGTCAAATTTGCCTGTCTTTTCTCGACCGCCATGCCGTGCAGCTCGGATGCGAACTTGGGGCACGCCGTTATATCAAAGCTGCGAGAAAGGGAATACGATTTAACGGCCAAAGCCGGAGCCACAGGCAAAGGTCTGACGAGCGAAGAGCGCGAATTGGTCGAGATACTCCAGCGAACAGTCGTTGACGCAGCCATCCAAGACCCCCTTTTCCCGTGGACTGACATGAACATATATCGTCGGGGAGAACTGGACGATATTCCGCGCGTCATGTATTCGTCGGCTCTGGCACACAAGATCCAAGTCCCAACAGTCCATGTATGGGGTCAAAACGACACTGGGTACATGGTTCAAATGGCGCAGCTTTCGAGCAGTCTGTGTGACCAGTCCGTAACCAAAACAGTTTTACACAGTGGGTCACACGACATGCCAAAGAAGCAGATCGAGATCAAAGCTGTACTACGAGAGATCAACTGGGCTTTAGCACGGGGATAGAGATGGCGGTAACTTGTACTATATATATTGAGTTGGCCAGAGGAAAAATCAAAGTTGCCTTCTGCACACATGATCTCCCATAATAATCGCAATCCTCTGCATGAGGCATAACAGTAATTAGGAGGATGTGGGAGCACACTGGAAGCTTAATGCGCCCTGGTCGTCTACGTACGCATCAGCCGACGCTGAGTTGGGGCGAGATTTCACGGGCTCTCCCCATTTGGCAACACACCGTCACTCTGTGGCAGCGAGCAAATATATACTCCACAAACCTCCGAGCCGTATCTGCAGAAAAGAAATACTTCAGCCATATTCTTCCACAATCATGAGAGCTGCACGAGTCCGACCTACCTCGCTCGAGGGAATACCGTATGGTTTTCCTGGCAATGTTGCTCCGTCCTCGGCCATTGAAGTTCAACAGGACATCCCCAAACCGCAGATCACCAAGCCGGGCGAATTATTGATCCAGGTCAAGGCTTCTACCGTGTACAAAGATAATCTCGAGTGGAACGAGCTTTACCCGCCGAGTCAGGCAACCCTGGGAAACGACTTCTCGGGGATAGTCGTCGCCGTGCACGGAACCGAGCCGAACTTTCGAGTCGGAGACCATGTATACGGAATGACCCATGCAGGACGGGGAGGCACTTGGGCGGAGTACGCCATCGTGACGACGGAAGAAGCAGTCAAGAAGCCGGATAACCTGTCGTGGGAGGAGGCTGCTGCGATACCTGGGAGCGCCCTCACCGCGGATCAGGCGCTATTCAAGCATGTTGGCCTCGAGCCGGCAGTACAAAATGGACAAAAGAGGGTCCTGATTACCGGAGCTGCGGGTGGCATTGGCACGTTTCTGGTGCAGTTTGCTGTGCTGGCTGGACACCACGTTGTCGCAGCATCTAGCTCGAACCATCGGAACGAGTTATTCCTACGCTCGCTTGGCGCCCATGAAGTGGTGGATTACAAAGATTTCAATGTGTTGGACAAAGTCGACGTCGTTATTGATTCTGTTGGGTTCCAGGTTCTCGCAGACTGCTGGGGCGTCATCAAGCCGGACGGTACCCTCTTGTCATTTGACGCCTGCAGTTGGGGCTTCAGGGAGGAGCATAGGAAGAAGGGCATCGACCAAGGAAAGGAGGGGGTGCGGGCACTATATATGATTGCTGAGCCTTCAAAGGAGAGTATGGCGCGCATCACCGAACATGTCGCCAAGGGAAATATTAAAGGGCGTGTATCCAGGGTATTCTCTCTGAGTAACGTGCGTGAAGCATATGAAGCTGCTCATTCTAGAGAGGTTGGGCACGGCAAGATTGTGGTGGTTATCTGAATGTACTTTGTGCTTGAATCAAGTGGCTGTTGCCCATAATCCATCGACTGCCTTTACCAGAGCCGGCCATTGAAAGGGGCTGCAAATATTGATATGGAAAGACTAGAACCTAAGCGGTCTATTCAAGGACTTGGACCATGGGGATAGGTTTCAGTTAACAAGCTATGCAAGGAGACACTACGGCATGTTGAGTTCCCAATCAGCCTCGTCTGCCTTGGCCACACGCATACGCTGGCCAAGGGTGACCCAGGCACCGCAATAAAGCAAGAGCCGGAAGGCCTTGGGATCCGCAGCCTCGCCCCAGGCAATTTCCATCGCCTCTTGGATCATGGTCCAGCTAACGAAACCCAGGTCTTCTACAGACTCTCGTGTCAGGAGCGCCTTGAACTTGCGATACAAGGGCCCGTCCTTTGCCCATCGAGTTGGGGCAAGAAAAGGGTGCTTCTTTCGCTTGTACAGCTCATCTGTAATAAACGGGCGCACAGCCTGGCGCAGGATCCATTTTTCATTCAGTGATTGCAAGGCGACACTAGACTTGGTCCAGATAGGGCCCAGTTCGCCGGAATCGCTCGCGGTATCGGCCGAGTAGCGCAGCTTGACGCTGGGGGGCAATCGGTTTACGAAGTCGGTGAGGTGGTGGTCGAGGAATGGTGTGCGTGCCTCGACACTGTGTGCCATCTCCGTTCGATCACCCAGACATGACAGTAGAACGTTTGCCAACGAGTTCTTGTTCCACATGTACATGGAAGTGTGGAGGGGATGCCATCGCGACCGCATCTTGGCTTGGACGGTCTTCGGATACGAGCTGAGGATGGTTTTCCGGCAGTCCTCGTTGCCTTGTCGTGCTCGTATCCAAGGCGCAAAAAGAGTAGCACTGGGATGCCACGCCAGCAGATTATCGCTCATATCTGCTGCCCCCGCTCCTGCAATGGATGGAAGGGCAGGTCGACTCTCGTACGCTGTGGCACCACCTTTTTGCCATATGCCTTTCATTTCCCGCTGCGCTGACTGGAACATGCTGTTCCGAAGATTGCGGTCTTGAGATAAATGAGAGTTTGCGAGACCTTGATCAGCTTCGCGGAGGAACTCGCTGAAAAAGTAAGGATAACCCGCAAAGTGCTCGTCGGCGCCTTCGCCAGTCAGGACGACCTTGACCCCGTGTTCGTGAGGCAGGGTGGAAAGCACAAATTTAGCCACAAAGTTGAGGTCAAAGTGATGGTGCTCGCAGTGGAAAACAGCGTTTTCGAAATTCTCGGCCAGAGTTTCCTCGGTGATGGTCTTCTTGATGGTCTTTACCCCAAGCCATTCGGCCGTGCGCTCGGCAATATCTGCTGTCTGTTAGATTGCGCCGCAAGCATCACCAGCCCTCAAGACTTACGTGATTCGTCGTAGCCGGAGAGCTCGGGGAACCCCACGCTGAAGCAGGTGACGCGGGTCGTCCGTTCGCTGCCAATTTTGGCATTTTCCTTGCGCGCAAGATCAGTGACTATCCCCGCGATAGCAGAAGAGTCGATTCCGCCAGAAAGGTAGATGCCGACAGGCACATCAGCACGTAGGCGAAGACGAACGGACTCGACCAGCCTTTCACGGACGCCATGTATCATTTCGTCTAGGGTGCGAACCTCCGGTTTCCTCTGTGTATAGGCAATGAGCTTCGACGCCAGCAAAATGATTTTTGAGTTGTCCAACCTTGTCTTCATATTCTGCATCCCAATACTTGACCTGCTGCACAACACCATCTTTTGTCGTCTCAAGATAGTGGCCAGGTAGAACCTTTCGAACGCCACGGAAAAGCGTTCGGTCGTCAAACATCCAGCCAGCGTCAGCAATTGCACGCACATCCCAGCGAGGTTTCCAGCCCAAGGGCAAGAATGCCTTGGCCTCGGAGGCGATGAGTAGACTTGACCCAAGGCGAGTATAGACCAGAGGCTTGATTCCATACCGGTCCCGTGCGGCGATCAGTCGTCGAGAGCCCGAACGGTCATCATAGAGCACAAATGCGAATTCACCTCGCAAATGAGTAAAGAAATCTGGGGCACCGAAGATTTGGTAGAGCGCCAGCACAAGCTCACTGTCGCTGTCGCTCCGGAACACGTATTGGTGAACAGTCTCGCATTCATGCCGTAGGCGATCGTAGTCATATATCTCTCCATTCACCACGACATGCACTTTACCATCGCTACTGTGCAGAGGTTGTCGCCCGGCAGATGAAAGATCGTTGATGGAGAGCCGACAGTGACCCAGCCCGACCTGCTCGGTCTCATTGATCCAGACGCCCGAATCGTCCGGGCCGCGGTGGGTGATGACGGCTAGCGAAGCTTGAAGCTGGGTCGCAAGATTCTTTGATATACCGTTGGCCACGTCTGGGGACCTCGTTTCTCCGTTGCAACCAACACCCGTATGTTTCGCGCAGCCATTACCAGTCGGAGCCGAACCAAGGGAGATACACGCAGAGATTCCGCACATGATTGATGCTTCTTGACTGGGTAGTTGGAAAAGCAATAGACAAAGACCGTCAAACGATGCGTACCATTCGCCGATATCAGATGGACTTCCGGCCACATGGTAGTGATCAGACTAGGCGTCTGGAGGCAGCGCATATTTCAGCGACGGTACACCAAACTGGGCAAAGACCCGCCTGCAACCTAGCCACTCAGGAGGTTCAGTGTGAAATCCCATGTGGATCACGGACCTTCTTTTGGTCTTGCAGGATCGCTGTCGGGGCCAAGCAAATCGGGACTGCCGGCGGAATCAGCCAAATCTGGCCACTTGTACTTTTATCGGTCCTACCAAGTGAGACCCAACAGGCGGGGGGTCAAAAAAAGAATGCGAAGTGGAACTCGCATCGTCAGGCAATTTGAGATTCACGGATCTAATTAGCACGTCGATAATACACACGGCGTTCAAGGGATTTACGACGACGAAGCATCCACAAAGTCTTCATTCTACAGTAGATCAGTGCCTACGCTTGGTTATCCCCGCATAGAAATTCAATGGCCGCACGACCAAGAACTCGGGATCGTACGTGACTGTCTCTGGCGACGAGTCGTCGAATTCGTATCGGTAGGCCAATTCGACCAGGACTATCTTAACCTGTGTGATCGCCAAATTAAACCCGACGCACCCGCGGCCACCGGCTGCAAAGGGAGTGTAAGATCCCTGGCGAGACATCTGCGTAGCAAGCCCTGGTTCTGTCCAGCGGTCTGGGTCGAATCGCAAAGGATTCTCCCAATGGGCGGGGTTCTTGTGCAAACTCGGAAAACACGCAATGACAATGGACCCCTTGGGAATCAGGTACCCTCCCGGGAGAACTGCGTCTTGTTTGGCGTTGCGCGCCGTCTGGAAGCTGGGGCTATGAAGACGGAGAACTTCCTTGACAAAACAGTCGAGAAATTTTAACCCGTGGATCTCCTCGTAGGTCCATCGGCCATCGTTACTGCTGCGGTGGCTGTTGATCTCCTCGAACAAACGTTGTTGATTGCCAGGATATCGGACGAGGGAGTACAGGGCCCAGGACAGCAGAGATGAACTGGTGGTGAAGCCCGCACCGCAACTCACAACCACGTTCCCCAGAACCAACTCATACGGCAGCCCGTTGCCTTGGTTGTCGCGAGCGCGATACAAAAAGTCAGCCACGCAAGTAGCGCTCTGAATGGCATTCGGCTCGGATAAAGGCAGAGGGGGGCCGTCTTTTCGGATGCTCGCGTTCATGGCCTCCTCGGTTGTGGCCAGAACTTGCTGGCGGACCCTTTTCAATTTTGCAGTGTCGCCAAAGGGAAGATACTTTAACCATGGAGGCCGCATTGATGATTTCTTCATCAGCGACAGGTATTGGCCAAATAACCGAACTGGAAACGAGGGGGGCGTCTTGGGCGACTCGAAATGCTTCAGGTCCTGGTTGAGCATGACTCGCCAGATAATCTGGGATGCAAGCTTGAACATGTACTGGTAGACATGCATCGCCAGGTCAGCGTCCGCCAACTGGTCAAACGCCGGGAAGACGGATTGTGCGGCATCCTGGATGAGCGGCATGAAGTGGGCTATCGCACGTGGCGACATTGTTGGCGGTACAAATTTGTGGCTAGGCGCAAACGCTGGAGAGGCGCTGTCACAGGTAAAGAGGCAGTCCTGGTCGGCCATGTAGTGCAGTGGGTGTGAGGGGTCAGACGTGGCCTTGGTGAAGAGTTGATCTTCGCGCAGCACATGGCGCGCGATGGCGGGATCATTCGTGTGGTAGATGGTGGTCCCCATATTGACAGTCTTGACCATTGGGCCATAGAGCGAGAACAATCGGTCATAATTTCCGAGAACATCTGGATACAACTCGTAGCGGTTGCCAACGAATGGGATGAGGCGAGGGCCAGGAGGTTCGCGGATGGGCGCATGGGGCGTTGCTCGCACTTGGACACTGTCCTGGGTCGCCCACACGCCCTGGAGATCTGAAATTTCGCGGCCTTTTGCGTCAACGAGCCATAATGCTGTGCTGAGTTAGCCGAAGCTCCAAAGGTTTGGCCCCAACCAGGGGGGAAAAGGCACACATTGTGTATCAGTGAATCCAAACACCTGTGCCAAGGTCACTCGGAGTTGCTCTATGCTGGGAAAACTTGAGATGTCGAGACGGTGGGAACACGCATTGCTGTGTTGTCCGATATGGAATTCCTTGTGCATCTTTGCGACCACGGTTGACCCAATACCACGAGCACAGTAGGCCAAGAGAGGTTTGAAGGCTCGAGGTAATAATATACTGAGCTTTCCTGCTCGGCTGGTATCAGTATCATGGTCTGGCCTGGATTCATGACGGTTAACCTGACAAGGGCGCCTGGTTTTGGCAGCGCGGCGGATGATTGTTTTAGGAAGGCCGTCCCGGCGAGCACAGGTACCTTGTTGTAAGATGCTGCCGTTGCTCTAAAGCCCTGATAGCATCGTTACTTTTTTTTTTTTTTTTCTTCTTCTTTTTTCTTAGCAAGCTTCTTTTGCTTACTGATCCCTTTCATTCCCCAGAACGCAGCGGCCATGGCGTCCAGGACAACCCGGCCGGCCAAAGGCATCACGCTTGAGCAATTGGCCGACCACAATACTTTACAGTCGTTATGGATCGCGGTTCACGGTGTTGGTAGGCTAGCACGAAGAATCATACATACTCTGGACACAAACCTGATTACCTTTTCAGTGTACGATCTCACGGCGTTCAGCTCCGACCATCCGGGCGGCATCGACGCACTGGAAAGCTGTGCAGGAATCGATGGTACCGAAGCGTACGAGTATGCCGGCCACAGCGAGGAAAATACGATCAGACTACAGCAGTACCGTGTCGGCGAGCTGATCGGAACCTCCGGACGAGCTCCTCCTGCCTCCGACAATCCCGTGGTTTCAAACACTACGCATAGTGCTGGATCTGTAGTTGGCCTTGGGCAGGCTATACTCGCTCCCTGGGCGAAACTAGCAGTAACCCTATTCACTGCATGTGGCGCGGTGGCCTTTTCATACCGCCAGATTTTGGCGCAATTTGGAACTGGCCAGTTCCCATTCACAACGATCGTGGGCATGAAAACTGGAAATGGGTTGCTCACAGGCATTGCCATTGCCTCGTCCGTCAGCATGGTGGGTTTTGGGTACCTTTACCGACTATTTCTATCGTCTCTTGACTACCAGAACGATGTATTTAGTTTTCCACCTGCAATACCCAGAAAGGCCCGAAGATAGACCATAAATTGTATTACGTTGAAGCGTCATCCACGCAAGTCTTCCTTGTCTTTCTTGAAGGCACGGTCATCTTTATTGTGCATCTCAATGTCCCACTATAGGCGGTGATATCCTTGTAGTTCTTTATGACATTCTGCACAGTGTTGTCGCTCCATGCTCTCCCCAGAGCATGGTGGAATACGGATGTGGCGCACATATACAGCATACGAAAACGAACCGTCAAGTTTTGTCGCTATATATAAATCATTTGAGGTATGGGGTAGCAAATTCAGCGCTCAGAACTCTTCAACTGCCCAGGTTCCCCCCAAGTTAAGACAGTCACGCCCGCCTTACCTGCCTATTTGTTCCGCCTCTCCAAGCACAGGTATAGTGGGCCAGCCTGCATTGCAAAATGCTCATACATGCCTTGCTCGAACCCAGCTACCGGGTCAGTCTGACTTGGGGCAAACTTTAGATTATAGTGCATGACCAGCCTCGCGATGGTGACTCGGATGTTGGTTAAAGCCAGATGCTTCCCGGCGCAATTCATTGGGCCCAGCGAGAATGGTGCTATCGCATTCTTGTCTTTGATCAACTCGGGAAGACTGTACCACCGCTCAGGGATAAACTCATTCGCTCGGGGGAATATGAGTTCGTCTGGCTCTAGGTCAATAAAGAGTACATCGAAGAGCCATTATCTTGAATGGAGTCGCTTACCTCGCCCGATGACGTACTGGGGGGCTATCAGTTGTGTTCCGCCAGGAATAAATCGGCCGGCGATGATGGTGCCCTCGGGCGGAGAGACCCGCGTTGGGTGGCTGGGACTTGGTGGCCACATGCGAAGTGCTTCTTGAACAACCCCATTCAGCAGGTCCAGATTTCTGATTTGATCGTCCATTACGAGTTCGTCCGGAGACTGCGGAACATATGGCTTCAACTCGTCGCGCAGTCTGTCCGCGAGCTCCGGTCGTTGGGCAAGAATCCACAGGATGCAAGACATGGTGATTCGTGTGGTATCGCTAATCGAGAAATTAGTGAGTCACTCTGTGCTCGTTCAATGTCTTTTCAGGATCAGCTTACCTTCCAGCGTTGATAAGTAGGTGTGATTCTCCAGCCAAGAGGTTTATCGCTGTCTCGTCGAACACTTTCTCCTGTTTCCGGTATGGTGCAAAGAGGGCACTCATCACGTCTGGTATTTTAGGTTCGTTCTGTGGAATGGTGGTCAGATGTAGGCCAGACCACAAGGAAACGGACGAGGACAAACCTCCCATCTCCTCCGCATTTCTTCGGTGCAGTACTTTAGCATGACCTTCAAGTCCTTGTTGCCGCCGGGGAGGGCACGCAGGATGTGGAAAAACCACATTGGCAGATGGATTCCGATAACGCTCATTCCGTTGTCGAGGATGTCCATTGCCCAGTGGTGCTCCCTGGTATCCAGCATGCCAAAGGGGTGACCGAACGACAGATCGCTCAAAACATCCCACGAATACAGCCCCAACCAGTGGTTAACATTCACCGGCTGCCCGGCGTGAGCATCAAGCTCGTGCATGAGTTTGGCCCTGTATGGGTGGATTCGCGTCTCGTAGCTCCGGACCGCTTTTGTAGAGAAGGCTTGACTCCAGACTGAGCGCAGTTCCGCGTGCCCAGCAAAGGTCCGTCGGAGCAGCACCGAGTCCTGCGGCCGAGTAAGGTCATACCAGGGTCCCTTCTGACACACCGAGTCGGCACCAAATATTTGCTGAACCGCCTTCGGGTGCGTTATAGACAGTTCTTGGGTGCCAATGCGCACAAAGTAGCCATATCTTTGGTGCAGTTCGTGCAGCGTCTTGTACATTTGCATGCGGCGAATGGAAGCGGTCATGTAGAAACTGCTAATTCGAGCAATCCATGGCCCGGGGAAGATGTTCAGTGGGTGTCGAAAAGCACGGTAGACGAAAAGACTCGCATATAATCCGAGTAGAAAGATGCCATCATACAAGCATGATTGTCTGAAAGCAATGTCCAGGGAAAGGCCGAGTCGATACTGCAGAGCAACCAAGACTGCAAATGCAATGGTGTGTATTTGGATGTAAGTTATACCATGCAAGTGGTGCTCGCCACGGTTGAAGTACCCCGCGTAACAGATGGCGCCAGTGGCGAAGGCGAAGGCTTGCAAGGCGAACTGCATCGTGTGCGAGTGCATATAACCGAAGAGATATCTCAATGGAGGACCAGCGAAAATTGGAAATTTAAGCGATCGAGAAGTAGCATATGCAAAGGCCGTAATCGCGCAAATGGCAGTTTGGTATAACCTTCCTCTCTTCCTGGCTCTACTGCACGGCGGGGAAGTACCAAATTTGAAAAGGGCCGCGCTCAACTCAGCGTACCGCCGTTCTCACTTCAAGGCATCTGTTTGGCACGCATTTGTATTTCTAACCACACCAGCTTACGGATGACACTCGAGCGGCCGAGCCAGGTGTGTCTAAGAAACAACCACCAAACCATCAAGAAAATCAATAGCACTAGTCTAACGTACGGTAACTTCTCGCGAAATGGTCTACTAATAGCTTTCGAGGGATTTACTACTTTTCATGTTACTACTGCGCGCTTAACATGAGTGATCCTTGAAGCAGGATTTCCCCGATCGATGATCCTTCCACGTGCTACCATTCATCCTCCATGTCCATAGACTATCTATTCCTCAAGGACACTTAGCATGCCCAGGGGCCAACTTGGAATCTAAGAAATGCCCTCCACTGAAAACGTGACTATAGTACCTGCCTATTTTATTCAAAAATGTTAGGCCTAGAAGGATCCAGCTTTAGCTATGTCTATATATTTTATGGAAATGTAATGCAGGATATCCTGTTTCCGGTCCTATTACCCAGAAAAAAAAAGCTCGTCTAGGATCGGTATCTAATGACCACGCTGTCAAGGCATTACATGCGACGGATTAATGCAAGTGCTTTCCATTAGAAATACAACTTTAGCGGTCCGAAGCGGTGTAGGGGCAACGCACTAGCGAAAGAGCCTTGGTGGGCGGAAAAGGCTCCCTAGATCTTTATAGTCTAAGGAATTGCATTGCTTGAGCTAGAGTAGCAGTGCTGAGGAAGTTGAATACTTGTTCTAGAAAATGTTGGGTACTATTTTAGAAGTCAAGGTAAATAACTACATATGCTCCAAGAGCCTGTTCGAGGAAAACAAACGCCGTCGCAGGTATACTCTTAGATAGCAAAACTAACAACCGAAAGTAAGAAAAGGCTGATAAGTCTGTTAATGTGAGCGATGCGTAAGAAACTGAGGGGAAAGTGTCCTACAAAACTGCCAGCTGTTTACGGAAATGGAGCAGGATCAAGTAGGATGAATCGGCGTGTCGTCCCATCGCTGCCCTACTCTTTGTCGGCGGAGACTGATTATCCTCGGGGGGCCAATCCCTCTGGGCGGCTGGAGAAAGCTGGTGAACTGGAGTAGCGTTGTCTTCTGCGTGGTCACGACGATCTTCTTATGTGGAGCCGGCGCCAGGAGGTATCCGTGCCTTTCAGCGCACCCACCGCTACGGAGGCCTATCGGGACAAATCTGCAAAAACGAAATTTTGGTGTTTCGCGCTAGGATTCTGCCAGCAAAACTTCATTAGAACTAGCTAATTACGTACACAAATGACTTGCTTAGTTTCACTAAATGGTTACTTGTCTCGAGCACTAACGTAGAGGTGCAAGTCTCGCTTAAGTGTTGTACATAGGGCCCATATAACTAGGCAAAAAGAAATCCACGTACCTGATTATACTTACCAAGCTGGTTTAATTCATTGAAAAGCAAAGATAGAATAAAATAAAGTACGTACCTTAGAGGATAATTAGATTACCCTCTTTACCCTTATCTAGATCTAAGTTAATTAGATTCTCCTTACCATCGCCCTCCTCTAGGTCTAAGTTAATTAGACTAGGACAGTGTCCTTAAATCCCCCTAGGTTAACTACTAATTATAGGTTATACATGACTACTAGCCTAACCTTAAAGGGAGTACTAGAGTGCCTTATCTAGCTATTTATAGTTAGCGCAGCAGCCCTTAAAGAAGCCTAGAACCTAGTAATATTTAGGGAAGATAGTCTAACCTACATGTTCCTAGTAGAATATACAAGGCTGAGTATAGACTATCCCCCTTAACTAGATAAGTAAGGCGTTAATATATGAGTCTCTCTTATTATAAATCTAATAAGTATTAACCCTGCTAGGAGTAAAAGCCACACCATGACCTAGAAGGTCCAGCAAGCGCCTTTATATATTATTTTTTATGTACTCTACAAGAAGATGACCCTAGATAGGGAGGATAGGGTCCTGATTTACTAGAGTGCTAGCGTATAGGTGAATAAAAAGTATCTCTAGCTCTACTAGGCTCAGAGGGTGATTAGTGGGCATGTTAATAGTGTTTATATTTAAATAAAGACTATAGGCTTTGTATGAGACGCTTAAAACCCATAGGGAATCGCTCGTTTCATATAAAAATAGGTTAGTAGAGGCTTTAAGAGGTAGAGAAGGCATTAGAGGTAGGATAAGCTTATATACCATAGTAATAATAATAGTAGTGTTAATAATAAGGAAGATATAGAAGAAAAGTAAGATAAAAGGTAAGAAGTTCTAAAAGGGCTTCTACTTTATATTATTACTTAGTCATAGGTGAATTAGTAATAGAAAATTAGTAATAGAATACTAAAGGTAAGCCACCTTACTAAGCTATATATATGACTATGAAGAAGTTCATTCACTTTCTCTTTAGGTATAAAGCAAAACAAGTTTAAAAGTAATTTAAGTAAGTATTAAAGCCCTTCATACGAGCTATTAATTCCTCTAACAATCAAGCGTTAAAGCTCGCAGATAGTTGATAGTCAAGCATTAAAGCCCTCTATACAAGCCATTGATTCCTCTAACAATCGAGCGTTGAAGCTCGCAGACAGTTGATGGTCAAGTATTAAAGCTCGCCATACGAGCCATCAATTCCTCTGATAATCAAGCATTGAAGCTCGCAGATAGTTAATAGTCAAGTGTTAAAGCTCACTATACGAGCCATCTCCTAGTTTAAATCTTCACGCTTAGCTAGGATTAGGATCCCAAACTCTACAGAGCGCTTAATATCCTCTAGTTAAATAATATAATACTTTCTTATATAATAAGCAACCCCATCCTTCTTCTTAAGAGGAGTAGATTAGATATTTATATCCTTCTCTTCCTCTTTAATCTTTAGCTCCTCCTTTAGCTACTTATTTAGCTCTTCTTTAAGAGCTACTAAGAATAATCGCTTTTTAGTCACTATTTATACACCTAGTATTAGCTCAGCCTAAGGCTCTTACTTAATCTTTAGCTATACCCTAGGCTCTAATATAGGCTATTATATAGTAGATTACTTCTTTACTTTAGGCTTTACCTTAGTCTTAACCTCCTTTTTCTTTAGACTCTCGGGCTCTTTATTTTATTAGCAAGTATCCTCTACTATCGTATGTTTAATAATAACGTAGATAGTAAGCTATTTATCCTTCTTAGTATATGCCTTGTATAGAGCCAATATATCTCAGGTTGTTTATGGGATATTAGACGATCAAGGTAGATAGATTAGTATAAGGTTTTACTTAATAGTATAGGTAAGAGAGAGCTTATTAGATAGCTTAATCTTAAATATATTAACCTTATACTCAGTAAGGAGACAGGCCAAAATAAAGTCATTATATAAGTAGATAGAGCAAGGATATATAGTTATTCCTATAGTGCCTAAAGATAATTAGGTTAGTATATATATATATATAAATAGATTAAGCTTAAAGCTTAAACATACAAACTTTAGTATAGGATATAGGCTTTAAAATACCATCTATCTACTTCTAATATAGAACCTAAAACTCTAGCTTAATCCATGTCCCTAGTGTCCTCTTAAGAAGTTTTTTATTTATTTAAGTAATTAAATCATTCTGGTAGGTCTCCGCCGTACGATTAAGCTAGGAGAATCGGGTATTTAACTACGTATAAGTCAGGGATCGAGCTAGGGATAGTATAGGCTATGGAGGGGCAAAGACTTAATTTACTACTAAAGGACTTGAGGGAGTAGATAAGTAGAGATTAATAATTAGGATCTCATGGCTTTATACAGGGCTTGGTGAAGCAATTCATGGGTATATAGTGATTATACATGAGGTAGTAGCAAGGCATGAGGCACATGATAATATATTACCATGTTCATGGCCAGTTTATAGGCAGAATCATAATAATAGCATTATATAAGAAGTTTTTACAGTTTTATTTTTTTTTACTAAAATCTTAGAGATAGGAATATTATAATTCTAAAGTAGTAGTCAAGAATTTTCTTTATATAATACTAAATTCCTTAGTCTATCCTATTCTTCCTAATTATACTCTACTTTAACCTCCTTAATTCTATCTTCCCTAGCCGTACGAGCCTATGGAACCCAATCAAAAGCACTAGTTAATAGCTAACATAGTATAAGATATAGTTAAACTCCTTATTAAATATAGGCCTGGGTCCGGGCACGAAGCTAGAGGTATATTATATAGAATAGAATAAAGGCATGGTCCCTAGCATCCTTTAGAGGGTCTTTAGGATCAAATCCTAGCTCTAATAATTAGGTATAAGTCCAATTATAAGTCTCTAGAGAGAGATATTCATTAATATCTATAAGATATTAGTAAATATATAATATAATATAAGTATTTATACTTACCCCATTCTTATACATCACTTTAAAGGGTTTAAAAGAGATCTCTATTAAAGAGAAGCCCATGATTTTGTATATTATAAGGTGGAAAGTTATATAGCATGTATAGCTTGCCTAGTATAAGGTGTAGGCGATTATTTTACTTTTAAATTATATAGATATTCCATGTCCGTATAAAGGAGTTAATCTAAATCTAGAGGAGAGGCATATAAACTACATATAATATAATTTAGTTAGAGAGATTACTATTTAAGTAGTTTCCCTCTACTAAAAGGCCTTAGAAATAAGCCTAATATCTTATTAGTATATTATATAAAGTAGATCTACTAGTGCTTACCTAATATTAAAAGAGGAGCCCATGGGTTAATTAAAGCCACCATGCTTTAATTCGTTAATTTATAGTACTTATACCATATAAATAGCACTCCTGAATTATAATCTTAGGGTGAAGGGATTATTAAAGTCTATACTATACTTTAGCAAGTAGGATAGTCTCCATGCCTTAATTAGATCATACGAAGCGAGGCTATTATTAAGTAACCTTAAGTGTATCTAAGAACTATTAAAGTATACTTATAGCCGTGCGAGTAGATATACTAATATAGACCCATATAATATAGTGAGAATATATATTAATAGCGCCATATATCTTAATACTATACAGCGCCAGCTTCAGGTAGCTATTAATTAACTAGATAAAATTTAGCCTAGGTATAATATATGCTCCTTAATAGCATTAAAGGTCATGTAGTCATCTTTATATAGCCTCTAGTACAAGCTCTTAATATATTAAATATAGCCAATCTCTAAAGGGGACTTAGTATGCATGTAATTACATATATATTATTAAATATACCTTATAATTTAAAACCCATTACTTTAAAAATAATAATAAAGTATTTATTGACTATAGCCCTCAAGCTAACCATTTAAAATCTCTATATAAAGCTTTTCAAGGACCTTCTTAACCTGTTGTTACTTAAGAATTAGGTTAGTTATATGTTATAGGAGTCCTAGTTTATGTTATACATATTTATATGTATAAGGGGAGAGTTAGAAGCCTTCACACTAAAGGATATCTATAATTTCCACCTTATTAAGGCTAACCTAATACATAAGAACCTTAATACGAGCATGAAGAGCAAGGTCCTTTATTACTATATAATTCTACTTTTTAACACCCTATCTACTTAGGCGAGCCCGAATTGTACGCTTACTAATTTTAAGGTTATATTGGTTTACGAGAATCTTAATAATGGAGCTTATAGATGAGCTAGTTTAGTAAAGATTTAATATCTAGTCACAATATGGCTCAAGATTAATTATTAGACGAGGCATCTTTATAAAGGTGGTGTACTAAGAAGTAAGTAATAATTTTAGGAGATTTATTTATTTTATTAAGAAGGGCGGATTGTAAGGCGGTAAACACCAAAATTTCGTTTTTGCAGATTTGTCCCGATAGGCCTCCGTACACCGCCTTCGTCTTATGGGTGCGCCACACATTCTTCATAGTCACACATTCTTCATATATTTTCGATATTTGAAGCTATTCAACAACCATAATAACTAATTATTAATAAAAAAGTCTTCCCTAGCTTCTCTAGATAGTATCTCGTTCTTAATTACCTACTAGATTCGTTCCTCCAAGCGCTGCGTGGGCTTAAATCCATAAACCTTTTTAAATTACTTCGCCAGCTTCCTCTAATCCCGCTCATTATCCTTCTCCTTCCTGACCTTAATTAATTAAATAGCATCACGAGTCTTTAGTATCCCATTACTACCAAGCGGTTTAACCTAGCGCTTAGTATAATTCTAGTGCTATGGCTCCTGCGCGGTCCTAATCCTGTAGATTACTTCCTAGGTCATTTTAAGCTCCTCTAGCTTCTCCATCTAGTGTTGAAAGACCTTTAATAAATTCTACTTAGTCCGCTTAGATAGCTTAGTAAGATCCTTTAGGACCTTTGCCTGGTTCCTAGTAAGCGCCTTAATAGTTGCTAGAGGACTATTTTCAACGCTAGAGGATAATAGTGGTGGAGTTAGTATATGGCCAGGGAGCTCTAGGATTAATATATCTAGTATTTCCAACTAATTGGCAAGCTAATTAATAATATAATGGCCATCAACTAGCTAGATGCCGCGGTCTTTAAAGGATTCTTGAATAATTCGCTGTGTAAAGGCCTTCTCGCGGAGTAGTTAAATAATCTATAAGAACTCTACCTTCCCATATAGCCTACCACCCTAGAAGGATAGCTTATTATTTATAAGCCTGAATTACTGCTTATAGGCTAGAAACAGCTTTCTGTCAAGAGGTTGGCAAAGATGTATTATATGAGGTAAGAAACTAAAGGGGATAATCTTATTATCCTCATAGTATTATAGAAATTCAAGTGTAAGGTGCGCGCCGTGGCTATTAAATATTAGATATCGCTTCTCGCCTTGCTTTATACGATTAGGATCCTTCGTAGCATAGTTAAATTAAACTAGCCAGGCAAGCGCCAGCTCATTAGATATCCAACCATTTAGGGATATCGCGGTTATTATATTAGGTAGTAGCACCTCGCTACTATTATACCAGGCCTCTATAAAGCTGCCGTTAGCTTTAAATATAAAGAATGGGTCTATTAGCTAGCCATCAGCGCTAATACATTCTAAAGTAGTAATATTTTCACCTCGCTCGCCCTCTACAAGGTTAGGGCAAGAAGACTTTAATTTAAAGACCTTTCAAGCGCGCCCTTAACCTGGTTGGAAACCATATTTATTAAAGTTATATATAAGGCGAGCAGGGATCCTATTAAGAAGTAATTTTAGCTAGTAGTACTAGTGTCGAAGCAAGCTAGCATCCTCTGCCTATATCCACCTTAATTCCTTAGTCTTCTACCTCACTAGCGTAAGATCTAGATGTGCTGGTACGCGCGCTTTAAATTAATATGGCCATATCTTACTAACCTACTTAGTTAAACCCGCTCGAGCAAGCGCTTGATTTGCCCACGCTGCGATGATAGAAGTAGGGGGTGAGAGGTTCTAACTACGCATCTTTATAAGCTAATTAATCAAGGCCTTCTCCTAGTATGGCTGTAGGACCGTTTTATCTAATGTGGTTAGTATTATTAGATTTTTAACTTTTTTCAGGCGACTTATTAGTATTGGATAAGACACGTTAAATTCACGCGCAATTTTCGCGATATTTGGTTTTTTCTGGGATGTAGCGATAGCTATAGCTTCAACTAATTAAGTCTCATTAAATTCAGGCGATTTAGGCATGTTGTGTGGCTTTAATATTTAATAATATTAAGGATATTCAAAAATATGAAGAATGTGTGACTATGAAGAATGTGTGGCGCACCCATAAGACGAAGGCGGTGGGTGCGCTGGAAGGCACGGATATGAAGTGCGGCGGTGGGGTTCTGTTTTCTGCGGCGAGGGATCACCCGCATCCCCAGACGGAGATTTGGCAGCCCATTTGATTTATGCGAGGCACATGGACAGGAGGGAACAGTGCGGGACAAGCTGTAGCATGACGTAGTTTTGTTGCAGTGAACCCCTCACGGATTCTGGCCGTATATTAGCCGATTAGCCTTGACAATGTGATCTGCATCCCAAATAGGAAATTATCCGGCAGACCAATACACAAAGCATGGTTAAATAGATGAAATCCGGAGCTTACGCTGAGCACTAAATGTTCGTCCACCTCTCATATTTCCCTTGTGTAAAGCGCAAATCATGATGGTGATAAGAATGACTGCAATCGCTTTTGTGTCACTTCTTTTCACAGCCCTCGGGAGTCCCATTCATGCACGCCTCGACGATGGCCTTGCCCGGACTCCTCAGATGGGGTTCGTCCTTCCTTCAGAGGCGCTATTGGAATGTGACGATACAAAAGTCTAACCACATCCAGATGGAACACTTACAACCAATACAACTGCTTCCCAAACGAGTCCATTGTGCACGAAAACGCAGAAGCTCTAGTTGCTAGTGGCCTCGCAGATATCGGCTATCGATATGTCACGATTGACTGCGGCTGGAGCGTTGAAGACAGATTGCCCGACGGCACGCTAACCTGGAACGAGACGCTGTTTCCCCAGGGTTTCCCAGCCCTGGGCCGATATTTGCATGATTTGGGCTTGTTGTTCGGGGCGTATGGCGATTCGGGTATCTTGCTGTGTGGGAGTCCGCCAAATCAAACGGGAAGCCTATGTACGTATCAATACAATAAGGTGTCTGCATTTGGTGGATCGCGGAAATGCTTACTGGTGCAGACCATGAAGAGATCGACGCGAGGACCTTTGCGGAGTGGGAAGTTGATTCTTTGAAGTGTACATTGACAACCACCCTGGGATCAGTGAATTTCTAAGTATACTGACAGTTCCAGACGATAACTGCTACTCTGACGCGGCAACCAACTACCCAAACGTGAACTACGCCCCCTCAACGTCCCCACATCCACGCTTTGCCAACATGTCGCACTATCTCCAATCGCAGAATCGGCCCATTCTCTTTCAGATCTGCGAATGGGGCATTGATTTTCCGGCGCTTTGGGCGCCTGCTCTCGGCCACTCGTGGCGCATCGGCAACGACATCATCCCCCACTGGCGGTCCATCTTCCGAACGCTGAACCAGGCCGTCCCCCAAACACACTTTGCGGGACCCGGGCAATGGCCTGATTTAGATATGCTGCTTGTTGGGTTGGACGGTGTGCTGAGTGTGCCTCAGGAACAGACGCATTTTTCCATGTGGGCGGTACTGAAGTCGCCATTGGTCATCGGAGCTGCGATTGGTGGAATGAGAGCAGAATCGCTGGACATCTTGCGGAACGAGGATGTGATTTCATTTAATCAGGACGCAAGGGGAGAAAGTGCGAGGCTGAAGAGAAGGTGGTCAGACGCGGGGTATGAGGTTTGGTCTGGACCGTTAGAAGGGGACAGAGTTGTTGCAGCGTTGATCAATTGGTCTGATGAGGAGAGGGAGCTCACGCTTGATCTCCCTGACGTTGGCATTCAGTTTGCTGGAGAGTTGAGGAATATTTGGCGTGGAGAAGTGGAGAAGGATGTGAAGACGTCGTACAGCGCCAGTGTCGAGGGACATGGGGTTATGCTGGTTGAGTTGAGTGAGACTCTGCCTGTAGGGGTGTATCCGAGTGAGATATTCGCCACCACAAATGGGTTTGTTATCCTGAATAGCGGTTTCTGGAGGTTTGCTAATAGGGCAGGCAATCGACGGCGTTCTCCCCCATCTACGCCGTCACATCAAGCCATGGATACACCCTCGACATTATCTTCAGTCAACCATCAACAGCGACTAACATATCCGTCACGACGGGCTCCATTGGATCTCGGGTTTCCATCTCTGTCCCATCCGGCGCTTCGTCAGTCTCTGCTCTGGTCCCTCTAACCGCCGGCTCAGGAAGCACGATCACAATCAACGGCGCTTCCCTTATTTCCTCCATCCATCTGATCCCCCCAAAGCCGACGTACTACCCAGCCGCACAGGACACTACCCTAACAGGAAACACAACCCCCTATGCATGCCCGGACTTATTCTGCCTCCCAACCGGCGCAAAACTTAAAAACCTAGACGCCGACTCTACAGCAATATTCCACGTCACCTCCACCACCCCAGGGTCAAAATATCTCGAAATCGACTACATCAACAACGAGATCGCCTTCGACTCCTCTTGGGGGTGGGGTTCGAATTCTAGGAACCTGACCATCCGAGTGAATAACGAAAAGCCCGTAAGATTGGAGATTCCACTAAGTGGACAGCACAGTGAGCTTTTTGGGCCAGGGCAGGGATGGTATGATTCAGGGCGGTTGGGTGTGCTTACTGATGGGTGGAGGGTTGGTGGGAATGAGGTTGTGTTTGGAAATGAGGGGGGTCAAGCGGGATTTTCGTCTTGGGCTCCGGATCTTGTCGGGGTGGGGGTTTATGATTAGTATGGTCTCCTTGGGTGAGGTTATCCACTGGAAGGGGAGTCAGTGCGTTGAGCTAGGGTCCATGAGCATGATTCAGTCGGAAACTCATGACTTCGCGTTTTCTATCAAGCAGAGCAGGAGCTAGGAGGTGCGGGGTCGACTGTGGGGGGTGGGGCAGTTGTTCCTGAACCTTCCGTCCCAGAACGATGTTGTCAGAGCTTAGGGGATGCTCGAGCATTAGATAATTCTTGTGTTTCGTTGCGACGAGAAGGTGACAGGCGAATATTGTAAGGAAAGAACCCAACACTCGCAGCAGCCTCGCGGGCGTCTCCATTCCCTCCACTATCGTTAGCATTTAACAGATCGTTTAGTGGATGTTCCCATAGTTTGTTCTGTAGTCTGAGAGGGGGGTTCGATTGTCCCGTCAGATTTATGCGGTCGAAAATGCCACAATGAGGGAGGAAGAAGGCAGGCTGCGGCGGTCGGATAGGCTCGTCCACTGGTCCATATTGTCGGGCATCAGGATGAAGTTTCCGGTCACGGAAAGTCAGGGCACTACTAGTAGACAACGTGCTCTGCCCCTAGGCTAAGGCGAAACGTATGCGAGGCCGCCATCTCCATACTGGCTGGATCAGCTTTCCAGTCCCCTAAAGCAACATTAAGCGAGTGTATGGTTAAGGACGTGTAGGATGGAAACAATCGGAGGTCACCTTGAACAAACCCTTGTGGACCAAGCTGAGCTGAATGGTAACGTGATCCTTTTTTGATGAACCATTCCAGCCACAGCAGGGAATAAGGCAATCTTAAGCGTTAGCTGACTGGATGAACTTGTCTTTCACAAAATTGAGGAGATGCTGAAAGCAGTCTCGGAAGTATATCTGCGCAGTGTCCAATCCGAGCTCCACGTTCCGCATCTCTTCAGCTGCTGTTGCTGTACGATAAGGGCATTAGGTTCGAGCTAAACTCTGTGGGGCCGCGATATTCGACAAAAGGATGCCTTACTCGGTGTCATAAATTCTAGCCGTCTGAAAAGAAATCTTCCACCTCGTATTCCAGGTCTGCCACAAATATCCTTAGGGCAGAATCTGCCGAGGAACGAGTTGAACAGTTGCCCGCGTTTCTCGGTATAAATACTGCTCCTGACATCGGTGACATGGAACCTGATCTGCTGCAATTCCCATCTAAAAAAAACTTACTTAGCACCTGTCTCAATACTCACGTTGTCATTTGAAACAATATGGCCGGCTGGGACGAAAAGCATATCCATTGTTCCGTGTGGATCAACCATCCAGAAGTCGACGTGATCTTCCAATGCCAAAAGGATATTCGTCGCTTCCACTTGGCCGACAAGTGGAACGACTGGAGATACGGAGTCAACCTTTTCCACGGGGACATTGCCACCCCAGCAAGCACCAGCACGAACCCCTGGAACAGCACAGAGATGAAAGTCAAAGGAGGAACTGCCGAGAAGTTCCAGTTCCGCGTCGTTCGCAATGGCAAAACACTCGTCGACCGATGGCAGGACATCAATGCCTACACTGGCAACCTCGGCGCCGGAAACATGGGTAAGGACCTTAGTGCGCAAAAGGTAATCAGAGTTGATGGCCTGATTATCCAATACACTTTCTACGACGCTGGCAACTATGGAACTACCGACCTACCAACCGCGCACCAGTGCTACGTTACCGTTGCCCCTGATCGCTCCTCATGGATGACTTCCGTCGTGCCACCTGGCTCAGAGGCCGCGAAGAAACCCTTCCATCGCTTTGTCCTTCCTATGCCTCACAACTTCGGCTTCAACAACATGGATACCTGTAAGGTGATTGCAGACACAATTGGGCCAGCCGCCTTCATCAGCGAGGTGCTCACCCCACTCCTTGGTCCTTTGGGTTGGGTGGGCCATCTCGGTCCCATTGGCGCGGCAAAGGCCCTTGGAATCATGGAAGGGACATCGCGCACCCAGAAGGATGCCGTACCTGACCAGCTGGCAATGGGCGCGAGGTTCTTCGAAATGCGAGCCTCCGGCATTGAACCGCATATACGCAAATTGACTGGCCTGGATGATATTTACTTCCACCATGGCATTCTTCCAGGCCAGCCCATCCGCACGTTTTTCCAGGATGCTGTGGATTTCCTGTGCGCACAGCCCAATGAGATCATCGTTGTCTGGTTTACCTGGAGCCAGACGAGCGAGCATCACCCGGAACGCGATGTGGTGATGAAAATGATCCAGGATTGCTTTGCCGATGCGAAAAGCAAGGGGGTAACGCTGGAACTTGGCACCTTCGACGAGATGAGCAAACCAGTCGAGACACTACGTCAGGAAAACAAGCGCTTCATCATGTCATTCAAGGACGACGGCTACCATCCCTACGACGTCTACGACGACAAGGGCCACATTATCCCCGATGGCTCGGGCATCATCACTGAGTTTGAAAGTATGACTGGTGACAAACAGGCTGGAACGTCCATGACATACCTGCAGTGTCAGACGACTTTGAGCAAGAACATGGTTGCTTGTGGCGCGGCGGTCACATTCCACAATAAGATCCTGTTGGCACAAAAGGCGAATACGGATCCGTTGACATTGAACTGGGTGTATGCAAATGCGAAGGAAAGATTTGGGGATGATCATCTACTTGTCATTTTGAATGATTTCTTTGATCTTGGAACGTCCGATGTTGCGAATCAGCTTACTAAGATGCGACTATGGGACGCCTAGGTCGCCTATGGGGCGCCAGGTGTAGTTAATCATGCCTTGACTCCCTTGATATCTAACAATACGCTCTTGTTGTTTGCAAGGAAATAGGATCGTGCCTTTATGACTGGGGCTTGCGCAGATTGCCTATCCTCCATGCTGAGTGCCGTGCTCGCTAGTTGTCTGCAAATCCAGGTGACATAGCCTGTGGTGGCCCATTAGCACAGAGGACATTGTAATCGTCTCCAGCCGACATCTTGCTGTAAGAGTCGATGCAGAGACATTAGCAGCCACACTTACTGAGCCATCTTAGTCAGCACGACAGCGTAAATAAGGTGCACAGAGTAGAGCTAACCTAGTAAGATCCAGTTGAGACCACCTTCACCACTAGAATATCAAGACTAGGACTTGGATCAGTATCTAGCATTCTACTATCGACCTTAGTCGAGGCACTAAGCGCCGGAGTTAAGGCTACAGACTCCCTTTTATCGTGATGTCTAGCGGCCAGGATAAGGACCATAGCAGACACGAAGTATATAAAATTGGTCGTCCCCAGCGAGGGTTCTCTCAATATAACCGATCAGATCTAACCCAAACCACCCATTGCGCCCGAGGAGAACCACAGCCAAGCAAAATGAGCAGCACCCGTCCCAGCACCGGCCAGAAGTAGTAAACCGACTACTTCAGCGCGGTCAACCGCGCCGTCCTTAAATGCCTCCTGTCCAAAACCTACACACACGAATTCGTCCCCGCCAGCTAAAACCCTCCAAGGGCATTCGCAAAATCTTTGTAGCTCAGGCATAGTACCAGTTTCGGGATGGAGTGCAATGCTCGAGAGTTTGATATGGACACGGGAAAGTAAACGAGGCGATGGCTATGTCAGGCCGTACATTTGACCAATTCGGCCACAACCTCTTTGTTAAATCGCGAGATGAGCACATCCTCGTTTAGATGCAACTCTGCGCTGGTTACTAAATTGGCGTCATGGAAGCAGAATCTCACTGCATCTGTATAGATCGTTCCCATCCGAAACGCAAGCGAGTCGACGCATCTCGTTCTTAGGTATTCTTGGAAGCTTTCAAGAGTCGGTGGTGGTGCGCCAAGTTCCTGCTGCCCTTTCTTCGCAGCTTTCAAGCGTTGGGCTGTGAAATCTTTATGCATTGTGTCCACGGTTTCCCAGCGCCCGAGCTCCATTAGCATAACCCCGAGGCTGTATACGTCGAATCGTCGCGAAAAGGGAATGGTATGTCTGGTAGCGGGATTGGTGCATTGGGGATGTCGATAGCGATCGCCAAACTCGTTAACTTCGGGCTTGATTGTCATCTCGTCTGGCGAGTCTGGCCGCGCATAGTCGAAACCAGAGAGGAACGGATGAGCGACGAAATCCGTGTTGGATAAGATATATTTCTCGTCCTCTGCGCGGCCTCGAGCTCGTGCAAAGAACAGAATATTCTTCGAGTTCAAGTTCTTGTGGTACCACCTCGAGACAAAGACTCGGTGCAACCCTGTGGCGAGACTGCGTGCTATTTCAAACCGTTGCTCCAGCTTTAGGCGTGCAAAGCCTTTGCGGTTGATGAGGTCGTGTAATGTGTATGCTCTACCCGACGACTCGTTGAGAGTGGAGGGCAAGGTGGGCGCTGCGGTCGGAACTCTGTATACCAGCCCAATGCGGCGATGAGGAAGAAATTCGATATCATCAATTACACCTACGCAGTCGAGGGTGCGATACTCTGGTAGGTTCTGGCTAGCGTGTAGCAGTCGGGCAAGGTCAAGACAGGTATTCAGATACGCCGTCTTCTCCGCCGAGTTGAGTGGCGCATGACACGCTCGCCATTCGATGAGGACGTCGATTTTCTTGTCTTTAAGCGTGTACTGTGTGGGGTGGCGCGACATATCTGAGCCGAGAGATGATAACTTGGAGCGATCCACGATCAACTGGTTGGTCGAAGGGGGTAGCGAGGCCTGCCTCTGCTGAAGCGCTGTCACACTCGCGGCCACCGAAAGCGCCTTTCGCCAGTGGGAGCTTGCCTGTTGGATTTCCAAGAGTCGGTCCTTGTCCTGGTCGGCCAGGAGCATCTGCATAAGGGAGCCGTCAAGGGAGACCTGCAGTGGCTTTGGAATCAGATTGTGTAGGCTGGTGTTGTACGAGTGGATGGTGGAGATGAGATCCTTCAAGCGGTCCTCCTCGCCGATCGCCCACCCAAGGCGAGCCAAGGACCTCGCCAGTCGAGACTGTTCATGATTGGCGATTTCGTTTTGGAGCCTCTCATGGACCACCTTGAGGTCACCAAGTCGTACCTCCAGAACCTGCTTGGCGGCTTTGATCGAGGTGGCCTGTCCCAGGAGGGCTCCAATTGCTGCCACGGACCTGTCTACCAGGGGGAGCAGGTCTGGTGGAATGACGCACCGCGAGGACGCCTCGCTTGGCGGGTGAAGGCCGACCTCGGTCGCCCAGCGATGGAGAACCTCGCGTTCCAGCTCCAGCTGCCTGAAAAGAATGCCGGACGACTCGGGGTAGGCTCGGAAGGAGGTGACGAGGCGAAAGACATCGAGGAGGGTCGACACCAGAGCAGCGGTTCCCAAAGCGACACCAAGGGGGTCCATGCTTCCTCGGGCAACGAGACGGGTGTTTGGATTCAGTGGACTGCAAGTGTGTTGCGGGTGGCAGGAGGAACACGAGGAGAGGGGCATTTTAAGCCTCTTGGCGAGGGGGCGCAGTGAGGGGCGATGCATCCATCTCCTCCAACCGCGCCCGAGCGACAGCTTCATCCCCAGTCACCACACGTCGAAATGGAGAGCACGACATCGACATACGCTCCATCCAGCTATGGAACGCGATACTCAACCGAAACGGGCACGAGCCAGTCGCACCAGCGACAGCAAGGCCAAGCGGACCACTATGACTTGTTCCTCCTCCTCCAGGACATGCTGCGCACCGACGAAAATGCCATTCTCGAGTTCCCCATCGACCACTGGGGCCGCGACGATGCGTGGAACATCGGACTGGGAGCAGGCGGGTTCTCGTCCGTGTCGCGTCGAATCGCCAAGGGTCGCTGGGGAAAGCGGAGCGTGATGGCGTACAAGCGCATCCGACCGGTCTTTGACAACGATGGCAGGATCGACGACGCCGCGGCGCTGGGGCAGTTTATTGACGAGTTGAAGGCCCTGTCCGCTCCCGACGTACGGTCCCATCCCAACATCAACCGCTTGAGAGGCATCGCATTCGAGACCCAGTCGCACCGGTCTGATGGCACGCTTTTCCCTGTCCTCATGTCCGATCCGTCCCCGCTGGGCAATCTGCTGGATTTCGTCCAGGATATCATTCGAATGGTCGATGGGCCCTATTGGGAGTGCTGCCTCGACGTCGCCCGCGGATTGCAGGTCCTGCATGTAAACAACTTTATCCACGGCGATGTCAAATGTGAAAACGTGCTGGTCTTTCCCACCGCCGCATTTGAGGGTCGCAAATTCATCGCCAAGTTGACCGACTTTGGCTGTTCGATGGACCTGAGCACGATGGAGGCCAACACTCATACCAAACTAAGAGGCGCAACACCTCCGTATGATGCTCCCGAGTCCGACCGCTTGATTCAACGCGAGCTTCTTCCTTCTACAGATGTGTATTCGTACGGCCTGTTAGTGTGGAGAGTTGCGATCGATGGAGCCGATCCGTTCACTCACCAGAGATATCAGTTTGGAGCAGAGCACGAAGCGACCAGCGCCAAACAAGCCCGGATCCGCGAGGATAAACGCAGCGAGACCATCCTCAGCATTGCCCTGAGCGCCATATATGATATGGGCCTTGGCCTTGAAGCAGACACGGCGGACGGCCTTGGTGAAGTACTTTCAATTGCTCTTAGCTCTAATCCCGCGGAGAGGAATCTCAGCAGGATCCTGGATGTATTTGAGCAACGTAAAGGGTGAGTTGGGCCATTATGCTTCTGCACCTCGATACTAATCTCCCGCAGGACCTTTGATCGACGCCTGTTCGGCCTGTCATCCCCCAATGGGCGCTATCTCCGCGACTTCATCAAACACGATAATGGGCACATGAGGGAAATGGTGCACGAGCGACATGGCCTTTCCGTGTGGAGCAAGGTTCCTCCCAGGGCACACCACTTCTATCACATAACGCACAACTATGGCAGTATTGACGCCGGCTTTCGAGGCTTCGGGCTGTCCAGACTATCGCCGTTTGCCGACTGTGTCCGGGAACTACTACTGGCTGTTGAGCATATCTACACCCATGTCCGCCGCCCTGCCCCCGAAATCGGGAAACTTCATCCAATACCATCCATAGATCTTGGTCCAAATCTCGAGGGCTCGATTAAATCTGTCTTGGACTTCCTCACCGTCGGAGGCCCCGAAGCTATTGCAATTGCAGGCACTTGCGGCAATCGGCGCGTTTTCGAGCAGCTCACTCAACGTACGGCCCCAATGCAGCGCTTATAACACCTGATCAACTTACATCATGTAGCTCTTGAAACAGGTATCAACAGGTGGCAACAAGTAAACAACTCTATGCTTGGGTTGATCACGTCTATTTTGCCATCCAAGCGACCACCTTCCCTCAGGAGAGCGGAGGTATTCCCCTTCTCTTTGGCTCACGATAGTGGGAACTAATTGATATAGGACATAAATGAAGACGCCTTCGGGAGCGTACGCGGTTTGTATGACCGTCCCGGCGGCGTCGCCGCTACCGACACGATGGTCATGATAAACGAGGACACCTCAAAGCTCCTTCATACTTATGAACCGGTATACTACTCTCTATCGTCCCGTCCTTTTCCAACAGGGGGCTAACCAACCCCAGTCTGCCTGTTTAGATTTTCACCTGCTATCAACGTGTCGGCTCCCAGCTGCCCTACAAGGACAGCTCTTCAAAGCCGTCTCATCTCGGGCAAGCCGAAAGGAAGCAAACATTCAAGTCACCCTGATGGAGGAGGCTATATGCTACAGCACTGGGTTTGGAGTCCCGCAAGATCACGTCAAATCACTTTCGATCATTAAAGAACAATGCGACCTTGGATACATGCCTGCGCAGGAGGCCCTCCCCCGCATCCATGATGCCCTAGGATTTCCCGTACCCGAGAATATTCTTGCCGCGCCATGGTATAAACGGATATCCGCTTCTGCCACTTCTCGGCCAATCGGTGCTGATGTATCCGTTGACCAGGTCGACGGCATCATAAGTCTCAATAAGCTTACTATTAACGATCCTCGCGACGGGAATATTGACCGCAATGACATCTCCCCCCCATATGGGGCAACCAGTCTGGCGGCCAGAACTGCACTCCATCGAGCCGTCGGACAAGGGGACAAGACAGCGGTTTTAGAACTAATAGGACGCGGCGCCTCGATTGATCAGGCGACGGGGCCTATATACTTTCACAATGGGCGGGCTGGGCACATGGATCCAGTTCAACTTGCTTGTACTTGGCACGAGGCCGAAATAGTAGAAGTTCTGCTTGATGCCAACCCGTTCTACCCACTGAATGCGGACGGCAGCGGAAGAATCAACCTCCTCTATTTTGCCATCCAGTGTCAGAGTACAGCTGCCCGAATGGCCAGGCATGGTTTCAACCAGTACTTTGCTTTGATGGCCACAATTGACCTACTTCTCCGCCGAGGCTGCACCAACTGCGTCGATAACGATGGGCTGACTGTTCTACAACTAGCAGTCGGCAGTGCCGCGCTAGACGTATTCGAGTATATTACTGGCATTGACAGCTTTATGGAGAGCGTCAACGAGCTCGTGGCTGGGAAAAGCGCTCTTCATCTTGCAATTGCTAGTGGAAGCAGTCACAAATTTGAGCTGCTAATCAACAAGGGCGCCAATGTACTTCAGCCGCCCTCCCGAGGCCATATCCTAGACTTTGCCATCACAATCGCCGCCGGAAATGATTATTTTGCCAAAAGAATACTCGAACTCTCTAGAACATCAACCACCGAGTCCGATAAGCACCAGGCTCTAAAGGCAGCGCTCCGGGCGAGTCAGTGGGACTTGGCCGACTACGCCCTTGGAATCGGTGCGAGCGTCAATGGATTATTTGACCAGGGCCGGGCTTTCCCCAACATGCGATACACTGTATTTGGCGCTGTGCTTAACAGTGGCAGCCCTACCGCAATTCTGCAAGTACTTGATGCCATTATCCCCCTCGCAGAAAAGCATGGCCAGCGGCTTGAATTCATCGTCTCTCCTGAGTTCCAAGTATCCGCCTTGCATCTTGCAGCAGCCGAAATGTTCTTCCACCAAAAGTATGAAGCCGCTAGAATATACTCCACTCTGTTTACTATCTTCCCCGAAAAGCACCACCTCGAGGCCCGAGATATCAAAGGCTGGACACCACTCCACACGGCAATCTCCTGCCGCAACGTGGTGGCCGTACGCGCGCTCATAGATGCTGGCGCAGACGTAAACGCCATGAGCAGTATTGAAGGATCCCCCGCGGGACCATCAACAAAGGACCTACTTTTCGCGCAGCCCTTTGCCCGCGAACCGATATACAATGTCCACGCTGGTACCCGTAAAGCTGGTGACCGCGCCCTGGAACAGATATTCAAGATATACCGCGAGGACCCGCGAGCCCGATGCGCAAAACGTAGTACAACGCTGAGGGCAGAGCAGCGCTTCAATGCTTCTCCGCGTGATAGGCGTGTCATGGATTTCGTCGAAGTCCTCAGTCTCCTCCCAGACTCCCTCTCCCGGGACGATGCGGGGATAATGAGTAGTTTTCTAGCCTCGGCTGCGGTAGGTGACGGAAAGGAATGGCTGCACACCTTTAAACTTAGTCTTCGGGAGATTGCGCGGCGCGTGCAGTGGTCTGGAATTGAAAGAGTGAGGTTCCTAAAGCATCAGGGCATGGAGAAGCTGAAGCAAATGGGGCTTTGGGAGGATTATAATGATTATTAAGTATTTCTATTTCTAACCCCACATCGGGAATATAGCCTATATTTTAGGAGTAGATCCTAATTTTAGGCCCTTTTATAGCCTTATATGTTTATACCGTCTATATAGATGTTAGGGTGTCACAGCAGGTGCCTCAGGCATTACTCGTATGAAGTTCTTTCTAAGAAGGTCTGTAAATGTCTTCTATAGGTAGAGCAGCTCCTCCTTATTCATCCCATAGAGAGGGCCGTACGGTGGTGAATCTTCAACACCATTCTGGTCCCATTTTAGTGGTATTTTGTGGTCAATTCCTGGCTGGTGTGGAGGTAGCTTTTCAGCTAGTTGTTGACTAAAGACGTCCACCCATTGCTAATAGTGCTTTGGTAGCTTGTCCTTTAGGTGGATGTGCTTCTTTAATTAGAGTGCTTTTTTAATATTATCTAGTAAAACCCTGCTGATGCGTAGCTGATTTGGCGCTGTTGAGCTCCGTACCAGGTGGTGAATTAAACAAGCTGTAGCGTGCGCTATACGCAGCATCTTCACGTTTGTAGGTGCAATTATATGGTTGGCACGATTCTAACATTTTATTTGTTTGCCTGCCTTGGTAAAGATATCTAGATACCCCTTCCTAGCTAAGTACCGTCCGCGTGCGTTGTATAGCTAGGGATCTCTAAGAATCATGCTATCTTCCTTTGGTCTAATAATGTATGCGAATACACGGACTTGCTAGTGGCCATGCACGTCAAGGTCGAAATTTATAGCGTGAGTGATTTAGTACTAGTTTAGCACCACACTATTAAGGACCCGTTGGTGTATCCTAATGCGAGGCAGGTCAAGAGCTTGTACTAGAGACTCATTTACTATTACATAATAGTGGCAACCTTGGTGGGATCTATTACACTGGCCGCCCTGTTTCGGCCGGACGGTCGGGCGGTCACCACCAAAAAACGTCAATTCTGCCAGGGGGAGGTGTCGAGGGGGTGTCGCGCTAAATCCGTCCCGCTGGCGCATTGCCCAATCAGTGCCCGCTACTCCGTCCGGCCAGCGCATGGTGGAACCCCCAGTGGGCTGTCTGGCCAATGCACTACCTAATCACCACCTTTACGCATCGTCCAGCTAACGTATCACCCAATCACTACCTCTACGCATCATCTGGCCAACGCATCACCTAATCACCACCTCTACGCATCGTCCGGCCAACACACCACCTAATCACCATCATCACGCCCTTATCCTGCTAATGTATCACCTAATCACTACCTCTACGCATTATCTAGCTAACGCATTACCTAATCACCACCCCCTATGTCCGCGTCCAACTAACGCACCCCCTAATCACTATCATCATACCCTTATCCTGCTAACGCATCACCTAATCACTACTATAGCACATTATCTAGCTAATACACCACCTAATCACTACCTCTATACATTATCTAACTAATGTACTACCTAATAATTATTATTACTAGTACCTCTTATCTTTGTCTGTCTAGCTAATATAATAGCTAAGTATAATCTTACTATTACTATAGCTAGCTACCTTTATTCTCACCTAAGTAGCACTATTTTCTATAATATATATCTAGTTTCCCTTTCTCCTAAAGCCGCTAGCGTTAGAGTTAACCCATATAATCACCCCCCATAGTAATAGCATGCACGACGTATCTAGTATATAACTATACAGCCTCCCGCGTTCGCAGGAGCTTCATAGGTAGTAGAAGTATCTAACCCTTCTTATAATTAAGCACTAGCTAACTATTAAAGTAATCCTAAATCATGATTATTACTAAGTAACCAAGGTAGCGAGTAGCCTAGGAGGCGTGAGAGAATATATATATTCTCTATAAACTATACTATTTTAAATAGATAGCTACCTAAGAGAAGTAACTATACCCTTACTAGTACTATAAAGCATGCCTGTGCCTTATAGGTATAGACACCATGACTTATACTAACATGCTAATATACAGCCCACTACGTCTGGCGCAGTACTAGCGGCTAGTAGTTAGGGAAGTAGTATATAAACCTAGTCTCCTAATCCCCCATGTGGTCCTGTTCCCCTCTAACTAGCTTAGGAAAAGGGGGTACTAGCTTATATTCACGTAGCTACTACTATGACTAGAGTATGTCCTATATACTAAGCTATTCCACTAGGAACTAATCCTCCACTATAAGTATATAGCTATATTTTAAAGCTAGATGCTAGAGTAACTACGAGGGCTAGATTACCTCATGATACCTGGTACAGGTAACTATATGCTACCATGGGTAATATACTAGCTACGCCCATGGTAACACCTAGTGCTCATGCTTATTTAGGATGAGAGGCACGCGAGGCCTGCTCTTAACCCACTAGCTAGCCGCCAGACTAGCACCTATAGGTGGCTCTACTACTAGACCTGTTAGCGAACCTAGTTGGGTACCTATTAACTCGCCTTCTAGCCCATCATCGCCCCTAAGGATAAATTAGTGCTAGATGTTAGATGCCTTGTAGAATAGGTTTAGCTACTTAGTCTATAGGGATATTAGGTGCCGCTCCTCTACGGCGTAGATCTACTAGTTAATCTATTAGTAGTACCCTGCCTAGTGGGCGTAGATATTAAGTATTAGCTCCACCACTATGTATAGATCACCTAGGGCAATCCTCTAGGGCAGGTGTTATTTTGAGATCATGATCATGGTGTACTGATAGCGCCGGGTATTAAAGATAACTATAGGGCTCTAGAAGAACTTATGGCTCGCTACCTTTATAGCCATGTTAATTATTATCTATATAGGCGGGAGTCGCTCCCTAGGCAGGGCGAAGAGATAGTGATTATTAGAGAAGGCCACGCGCCTAGTAGTCTACTATAAGCATAGCACTTACTACTAGAGTAGCTTAACTAGAGGCTATACGTGTACTAGGTAGAGTACCACCACCTCCCTAAGCCTAGTAGGGAGGAAGCAGGCCATGAGCGTGACAAGGCCTCGGCACTAGATAGTCTTATTATACTTAGTAACCAGCATCACCGCGCCCTCACTAATAAAGAGGTTCTACATACTAGATATAGTATTATACTATTTTAGTATCATTAGCTCTGTGCCGCGCGCGGGCTAGCCCTAGGTTAGTTAGATAGTCAAGATTAGCTAGTAGAGGAAGGCCTAGGCCTTAATAAGGTAGGCCCTAATAGTGGGGTAGTACTAGTACTAGCCTATTTATAGTAGGCGACAGCCCTGCCCTAGTGCCTTATAGAAGGGTAGCAGGGGCCGTGCCATCTTACTACTACTAGTGACCAGGGACCTGGGGCTATTAACTAGGAGTAAGAGAAAGGAGAAGCTAGTTATTACACGCGTAGGAAGGTTAGTAAGCTAGTAGAGATTAACTACTAGTAGGGCGCCAAGCAGGAGTTAGTAGTGAAAGATTAATAGGATAGTCGCGAGCATAGACTAGATCCACTATTAGAAGAGAGTAAGGGGTAGGCCCTAGGGGTCACGATGCTAGTAGAGGACTATTAAATCTAATAACCAGGAAATAGTGGGCCGCTGCGGCTAGTCACGTATAATACGCATGCCACCCACCATTAGGCAAAGTAGCTTAGTTATAGGGGAGAAGCTAGGCTAACTACTATAGGCCTAGTGGACCTGCATTACCTACTAGGCATGATTCCAGATTAATGCCCGCGGGCGGATGTTAGGGATCAGGTAGTACCCATGCATTAGCAAGGCGAACTCCAGGAGTAGCAGCCAGGCGACCTAGATTAGCCTAGCAAGGATAGTAGTATAGTTATATAGCTTATAAAAGGCTAGCTAGCCATCCTTGCCCACCTAGAGGCCATGGATCGCTATATAGGCTACTAGCAAGGCGCTAAACCTATCCCCCTCTAGCTTGATCTATAGCGCGGTAAGGTAGTAGATACTTAGGGAGAAGATCACCTGCGTGAGCCATGCCCAGCCTAGTCTAGGGAGCTATACTAGCGTCCTACTAGTGATACCCTAGGGCTTACTTAAGGCAGGATCCCCACCCATGTCCCCTTAGCTAGTTAGAAGGTAGGGACTATTATTATTACTACTATCACTACTAGTACTTCCCTCCAGGTCAAGGTTAATGTTAGTACTATTATTAGCGCTATTACTATTAGTATTACTATCCATTAACGTGCACGAAGGGGCGAACCTATTATCACAGGAAGAGTTATTTAGGTTAGTATTAGTATTATTCCTAGAGAATAACGTCCTAATACTACTAGTATTAACCCAGCGCGGTAGCCTGTATTATGTCTCTAAAGCAACGCCTTATAGCCAAGACAGGGGGTTAGGTGCCATGGCTACTTAATCTAGTAGTCCACCTATAGTACGCTAGCACTTCGCTATACAGGCCCATGGCGTGGGAGTACTTAGTAGTAAATAGTATAGCTTCCTCTTAGTCCCCTTTATAGAGGATAGAATTACTACTATAATTATTACCTAGCTCTATAGAGTTCCTCCCCCTAGGCTACTACTAGCTAGTATATTACTAGTAGCGGGGGCTTGCTGCCTAGTAGTGCCCTGCTCGCGTTGTGGTCGTGCCCATTACGCCTGGTCAAGTTAGTCACTATAGATGTGGTCTAATAGATTAGCAAGGAAGCATGCTACTACTATACCTAAAAAGTCCCAGCGCGCCAGGTCCTTAAGGTAAAGGAGTAGGTATTAGTAGATTACCTATAGGAGCCACTCCTCTAGTGCTATAAGGGAGAGGCTAAGGTATTACTTACGCTATGCTAGTATAAGGGGTGCCACCTAGAAAAGTAATATTAGGAAGCGCTTCTAGTACTACGCGTAGCAGGTGATTATCATAGCCTTCTATAGCTACTATAGGGGCTAGCTGTCACGGGCCTCGTCCCGCTTAGGTCATCGCCACGTGACAATCCTCTGTATATAGTTGGTCCTGCTTCGCGGAACCTCTATTAGTTCTCCATGCTTCGTATTTTAGTTTAATATGACCTTGTTCATCGAGAGACGTTCCTTATATAATATGAAGTATTAAATCAAGCTCCCTGTTTATCTCTCTACATTATACTTTGTCTCTGCGTCTTAGTTTCATCGTTCCACGACCCCTGTATGGTTATTGTTGATGATCCCTGTCACTTCGCCCCTAGTGTCACCCCACCGCATTGGAATTCATCCCTAGACCAACAATATCTATTAAACCTATGCTAAGCTTTTAACCATGTTCCCCGTGAGTAAATCCTCTTAAAAACGTTCCCACGCGAGCTCTGTGGCTAGTGATGGCCCGGCCTCCTATACGCGGAGCTAAAGCTGTTTGATTAGCTCCCGCGTATCTAGCGCCTCTAGGCCTGGTGTATTCCTAGCTTCATCTCCCCTAGAACGACCACCTTTAGCCTCTAGTAGCGTTATAACGCCTCTCTAGGATCCCTTCAAGGCCCCCTCTAAGGGCGATCCTAAGGGCAAGGCCCCCGAGCTCCTAATACTAACGCTAACCATACCTACTATTATTCGCAGGAAATCCGCGATAACCCTACCTATACAACCACTAGTTGCCTTCCCTATAATCAAGCCTACCACCACGTATGATCCCCGTGTTGAGAACCTTACCCACTAACTCATAACCCTTTAGTATAGCTACAAGGGCGAATACACCCGCGCAAAGAAATATAAGGCTATAGTAGAGGAGGCGCTTAATAAGGTTATCTTACTATAGGAGGAGCTTAACTACTAGCATACCATGCTTAGGGAGCTCTCCAGGCGCCTTAGCGCCCATGAGCCCCGTGATCCATCCCTAGAATAACTAGTTCTCCTAGGGATAGTAGCTAATACCTCTAGCGCCCCTTAGTATTAGGCTCTAGCTGATGCCTAACCATCCCTAGAACCACGAACCTCTGAACCTCTATAGCCCCTGGCATAGGCTCTATACAGCACGCCTCCCAGGGCTTACTAGGCCTATGATACCTCGCTAGTAGGCCTCGCTACGGGCTTTACTCTAGGCCTTGAGCCTCTACCTATCCCTCCTTATCCTTAACCTTTCTATTAGACCACCATGCTGCCCCCGCATGCTATAGCCTCTAGAGGCGCCCTCCTATTTAACAAGCCCCTAAAGTATCCCTTTGCTTACTATCCTCTAGGGGCCTACGCCCTAAACTAACTACTAAATTATCCCTTTACTAGCTACGCCGTACCACAGCCTCTAATATATAACGCCTACGTGAACTGGCGCCCCCGAGGCGCGCACCTAAACAAGCTACTAAAGGGGGAGAGCCATAGTGAATATAGCCTGTGGAGGTATGCTATTAACTATAAGTTTGAGGTTGATTAGCCCCTATATCCTAGTGATCACTCACGCATCTAGTACGCGCTCTTGTAGATGGAGGAGCCCATCTTTAGTATTATGTAGACGCTCGTCTAGCGTGCCCTGGAGAAGACTCTAGCGGACTTCCTTAGTAATGTTGAATACTATATAGGCGTGTACCTCCGTGCTAATACCGCGAACTATGAGCTCTAGATAGTGGCCTAATGGTAGAATAAGTTAGTAACTTAGTACTTCCACTAGCTACTCATCCTCTGGGACTAAGCTAACACGCCTGAGCGTGACCACGTGAAGAAGCTCAAGTTAATCCTAATCCCTAGCGTGGGAACTGCCCTATATATTAAAGACCACCTTACTATGCGTGCCGTGCTCGACGACGCCTGGAAGGTGGAGGAAGGCCGCCTAGAGACCTTCTACTACCACCCCTGGGGCCCCTATAACATGACCACTACAAAGCCCACCACTACTAGCACGACCCCTAAACCAGGTGGTATGGCCCCTAAGACTACTATGATAACCCCTAGAGCTGCCACCTCCCTAGGGGCAGGTAACCCTAATGCTTGCTTTGGCCTGGTGGCTACCAAGCCTGAAGGCTAGGTGGGCGCCTGGTTCGACCCCTAGAGCAGCCTGAAGTGGCTTACTAATAAGAAGTAAACTCTACTCTACTAGCAAGGCCGCTGCTAGGCGTGCCGGGGCTCTAGGCACTGCTTAGCGCATGAGGTCTACCCTAAGTAGAGTAGCTACTCTAAGTAACTCAACGAGATTACTATAGAAACCATCGCGGAGGACCTTGAGTAGGTGGAAAACGTATAGTCCCTGGTTATTATTATAATTAGGGACTAGAGGAGCTAGAGATGGTAGTTAAAACTAAAAGTTCTTATTCTTATTACTTATCTTTATTAGCTATTAACCCCTCTATAGAGGCCTATCTATAAAAGGGGCGGCATCTTGTCCTAAATTATTATATAGCTAATAGGAAGACCCCTACGTTAGTTAATAATAGTAGCAAAGTTAATATTTTGGATCCATCTCTAGCCCGTGTACTCTAGCTTATTATGTTTAAGCTATCCTCCCCTATTTCCTTATGCCTCGCGAATGACTCCCCCTATCAGACTATTACTAAAGCCACCCTAGCCCTATTACGCTTTGGTGAGCACGCTGAATAACGCCTAATCTACCTCGCCTCCCTCCTAACCTACAAACTCATCCTTGGAGACCCGTGGCTGAGTGACTATAACCCCTGGGTTGACTTTGCTGACCGCTACGTCTGCTTTAATTTAGCCTAGTGCTTTAAGAAGGGATATCTTAACCATGCCCGCCCCTGTACTATGTACGCCTGGGGCTCTCCTGTATAGCCTACTAAGCGCGAAACCCCCATGGCTAATATCTAGTTTATGAGCGCCCGCCTGTTCTTTATACTAGCGAAGCGCCGCGACTACTATGGCTTTGTTATAATGCCCTGGTAGCAGGCCAAGTAGCTCTACGCTATAACCACGGGGGCTGTACAGCCTGAGGACTATGACAAGTTTATGGCTGGTGCCCTAAAATACACGCTAGAGGAGCTTAAGAAACGTGTCCCCCACGAGTATTATAGCGTGATTAAGGTCTTTATAAAGGAGGAAGTAAACCAGCTCCCCTTACATCGCCCTAAGGACTATAATATCTGGCTTACTAATAGCGCTGAACCCCTATTCTCTCGTAACTACTAGCTAATGAATATCTAGGAATGCGAGGTGATCCTGAAATATATAAAGGAGTACCTAGGTAAGGGTTTTATCTAGGCTAGCTTATCCCTAATAGCAGCCCTAGTCCTTATTATCTGCAAGCCTAGTGGTGGCCTCTATGTGTGCATTGACTACCGCGCGTTAAACGAGCTTACTATTAAGAACTGCTACCTGATCCTGCTCATTACTAACACGCTGGCGAAGCTCTCCCAAGCTAAGGTCTTTATAAAGCTTGACATTATTGCCGCGTTTAACTAGATACGCATGAAAGAGGGGAAGGAATGGCTTACTATGTTTAACACGCGCTATGGGTAGTTTAAATACCTTGTCATGCTATTTGGCCTTTATAACGCCCCCGGGACCTTCTAGAGTTATATTAATAACTTAATCCTTGACTACCTTGACATCTTCTGCACCACGTACCTTGATAATGTCCTAGTATACAGCAACACCCCTGAAGAACATACTAACCACGTGCTAAAGGTCCTCTAATAGCTGCTTGATCGAGGCCTATACGTGGACATTAACAAGTGCGAATTTAGCGTTAAATAGGTTAAGTATCTTAGCCTGATTATGAGCATGGATGGCATCAAGATGGACCCTGAGAAGGTTGAAGTGATCCTTAACTAGGAGACCCCCTAATCTATTAAGGATGTATAGGCTTTCCTGGGGTTCTATGGCTTCTACTAGCGCTTTATCAAGGCCTTCTCATAGCTAACGCACCTCCTAAACGAGATTATGAAGGGCTCTGAGACGTATATAACGAAGACTAGGAAACGTCGCGTACGCTATTAACTATTTAAGTGGAATCCTAAGCGGGAAGTAGCCTTCTAGGCCCTGAAATAAGCCTTTATTAACGCCCCTGTATTAGCGCACTTTAACCCTGATAAAGAGACCTGGGTTAAGACAGACGCCTTAGACTTTGTGACTGCTGGCGTGCTATTCTAGATGTATGATGGCGAGCTACACCTAGTGGCCTTCTTCTTAAAGAAGATGGCCCCTGTAGAGACTAACTACATGATCTATGATAAAGAGCTACTCGCGATTATTCGAGCATTCGAGACATGGCGCCTAGAGCTTACTAGCGTACCCCTAGAGGGCCTGGTAAAGGTGCTATCTAACCACCGTAACCTAGAGTACTTTATGACTATAAAGTAACTAAACTATTGTTAAGCCCGCTAGGTAGAGTTCCTCTCTAAATTCAACTTCAAGATCTAGTATCGCCCCGGGACGCAGGGGACCAAGCCTGATCTTCTTACCTATTAGTCCCAAGACCTCCCTAAAGGTTTTGATGACGAGCGCGAGCAACAACAGTTTCAAACAGTCCTCCAGAACGAACACCTCGACGAGGACGTACAGAAGGCAATCTGCGCGACCTTTGCCGTCACCACCCGCGCTCGCGTCACCACGGTTGAAGAAGCCCCTGAAGAACCCCCTGAAGCTGCCCCCGAAGCTGCCCTAGAGCCAGCCCAGTTAGTGGATGAATACGACGTCCCAGACCTCTTCTCAGACACTAACTCTGAGGTGAGCGAGCCTCCGGCCACCATGCCTGACGAAGATATCCCTGGGGACGCCTATAGGGACGTCACCCCCGAAGCAACCCCCAAACCAGAGGCTGAAGCCCCTGAAGAGCCCCTGGAGAACCTTATCACGGAGGCCTACACGAATGATGAGCTTGTATAGGCCATGGTCAAGGTAGTGAATGAAGGCCTACCACGGCTGCCCGCGCCTATTAGATCCCAAGGCGTTAAGCTCTCCATGGCAGACCTGATAATACGTGATAACTGGCTCTGGGTTAATAAGAGGCTCTATATTCCTAAAAGTAATTATCTCTAGTAAAGGATTATAGAGACTCACTACTAACCAACTACTACTAGCCACCCTAGGCGGAAGGGAATATACTAGAAGGTCATCCTCCACTATTATTAGCCGCGCATGCGCGATGACTGTAAGTACTATAGTGACTACTGCCATACCTGCACGCGCTCGAGGGCCTGTAATACCTAGAAATAGGGCTTGCTTAGGCCGCTGCCTATCCTAGAGTGAAAGTAGCTTGACATCTCTATGGACCTTGTGGAAGACCTTCCCCTATACACGCTAAATAACCACACCTACCGCCACGTGCTGATCGTGGTCGACTGCCTAACAAAACAACGTATCTTCGAGCCGCTATAGACCAAAGAAACTAGCGAGCTCATGGAGGTCATGCACCGCCGCGTCTTCTATAAGTTTGGTCTCCCTTGTTTAATTATATTAGACCATGGGAGTGCCTTTATAAGCCACTTCTAGCGCTGATACTACGCTTGCCACCATGTTTCTATTAAACTATCATCTGCAAATCACCCTGAGACTGATAGGCAGTCTAAAAACGCTATTAAGGGCCTAAAAAATTACCTCCATGCCTATATTAACTACGCCCAGGATGACTAGGCCTGGTTCCTGCCTGATGCCTAGTTCACCACGAACAACAATATCAGTGAGATAACTGGCATGATACCTTTCTTCGCCTGCCACGCCTACCACCCCCGTACAGGCGCTGAACCTCTAGGCATGTATAGGGATCCCCCAAACCACCCCCAGGCACTCGCCGCGGACCAACTAGTTCAATGCACGCGCGAGATCGTGGAATTCCTTTAGGACGAGATTGCCTGGGCCTAAGGCTCCCATGAACACTATGCTAACTAGTAACGCCAGCCCCATCCACGCTATAACGTGGGAGACCTTGTGTACGTGGATGCCTGTTACTTTAACCTCTAGTAGAATAGCGAATCGTTAGCCCTAAAGAACCTTGGGCCGTGGCTAATTAAGCGCGTGATTAATAGCAAGGCCTATAAGGTTGAACTACTAATTCACATGCTAAACGCTGGTATTACCCCTATTTTTTATCCATGGAAGCTCTATCTTGCCTTGAACAACCCCCTCCCTAGCTAGGTAGCCGACCCTAAACCCCTAGTCATTATCACCAACCCTGGCGATCCTGAAGGCCATGAGGAATGGGACGTGCGCGAGATTATTAACTACCGCATGTACCACAACCACTACCAATACAAGGCTATATTTAATGGCCCGTGGGATAAGTAGAATGCTAATCCTCCATAGCAGCCCTAGACAGATTTCAAGAACGTGCCCGAGAAGATCCTTGCCTATTACTAATAGCACCCCGAGAAGCCCCCGCCACCTAATTTCTTTAACTAAACTTTGTGTACATATTCTTATTCTATCCTATATCTACGTCTCTGGCCGCGATATCTGCATTGTTAAGGGGGGGGGTAGTATCACGGGCCTCGTCCCGCTTAGGTCATCACCACGTGACAATCCTCTGTATATAGTCGGTCCCGCTTCATGGAACCTCCATTAGTTCTCCATGCTTCGTATTTTAGTTTAATACGACCTTGTTCATCGAGAGACGTTCCTTACACTAGCGGCCGTGATAGCCTACTTAGTTACTCCTAAAGATTTCAAGGATAGGTAGCTAGGTGGTGTCTAGCATCCTCAGCGCCTAGTCCAGGACCTAATCAAATATAGTACTAACCAGGCGCAGGATCAGCTTGTAGTTATTATAGTCATGGCCAGCTAGCGTAGCGTAGTCCCTAGGAAAGAAGCTCTAGAGCACGGGTAGTAACTAGCATATCCCTAGCAGGCTAGTAGCGGCTAGTATCACACCAGGTAAATGCCCATGGAAGAATTACGCCCACCTAGTCTACTAGAGCCACGGGCTAGAGTTATCACTCTCATGATACTTACTAAACCTAAAGTAATTAGCTATCCCTTGCTACACTAGGGTAGGGAGCATGCTAGGGCTCTAACCTAGACTAGACCACTAGAGCGCGGCCAGGCCCTTAGAGGCCTCCTAGTATAGTAGCTCGCGCTACCAGGGAGCTACTAGTAGGGGATCCTCGTTTAATAAACCCACGAAGCTAGAAGGGGATAGTAAGGAGGTCATAGTAATAGCTAGGATCTTAATACTATAGTTAGGCTCTAGCGTGGTAGTAATGGCCACCTATGGGTAACTCACAACCTAGGGGCATTAGTAGTAGTTATTCTAGAACTAGCTCTAGACCAGTACCTTAGTGTCAGGCGCTAGGGTCCTAGTAGTCGCGTGAGCACATTAAATATACTCATGGAATACCCATTCCTAGATAGCTAGGAAGTAGTAGATACTGTAGTACCACCCATGCTAGGGCATCCCAAGTTCAGGGATAATAAGTATAAAGTATGGAAGTAGGTAAAAGTCATCATGTACTACTAGTAGGGAGGTAGTAGGAGGTAGGCTATCCTAGATCTTATATTAGTACTATACTGTGTTAGTTATACCATGCTTATTATAAAGGTGGTAATTTACTAGGATATATAGCACCACCTCCTCGCAGGGGTAATAGATAAGCGCCTTGTAGTAGGTGTTATAATAGAGGAGTAGTGCCATGCTTGGGTAGGGGATTAGTAGTAGGGTGGATACTTAAGTTAAGAAAAGAATAATATATATATTAGTTATAGAGCTAGGCGTAGAGAGGTATAGAGAAATTCTTTAAATCTTTTCTCTTCTATTCCCTTATACTTTTATTTCTTTACTTTTCTCGCCCCCTTTTCTTCTAACTACTTTGTTAATCTATCATGCTATTAAATAGGAAGGAGATAAGAGACTAGTACTATTTAAGTTTAGAGGCTAAGTATATAAAGGATTATCTAATCCTAGAGCTTTTATTCTTAGGGGAGGGGAGAATAAAAGCCTTTAATAAGCTAATTAGCCTATTTATATTACTTTCTTTCCTATACCCTAAAGCCTTAAGCACGCTACCTAGGCTAGTGGTGGTACCTGCTATCATGCTAGAACCCTGCTAATGACTTGCTATTAAGCTACTATAATCTAACTAGTAATAAGTATTAGTCTTTAAGATAGTAAGTATCCCTATAATAATAAACTTATTACTACTAAATACCTTAAGTAGTAATGTCTGCTTCATGCTAAGATCCTGCTACCGTCTCGCCTGTGGACTGCTATAATAATAATTCTTATATCCTAATAAAGGCTAAGGGCTTGTTTAGAGTTATTACTCTTATAACCCTGGGTGTATAAACTAGGCTATAGGTTGCTCCATGCATGGTGCCACCCTAGTAATGTACTAGTAGTATGCTTTATAACTACTAGGCGCATTGCATAATCTATCTTGGGGTCATGCTAGTCAATGCCTGGCCACAGGGTATGCTGGCAATGATCTACTACCTAGTGCCAACTAATAGTAGTGCCCCGCTTAATACTAAGATCCTGCTAGCACCCTGCCTGGGGACTACTAAAACCCTAATTCTTATATTACTTTAAGAGGGCCGTGGTCTGATTTATAGAAAAGACCTCATGGCTAGGTAATAGTCTATACTCTAATAGCTAGGTTCCTACTATACTATACCCTATTCACGCCGCGCGTGGCTGCCTAACTACCTCTCTATCCACGCACTATCTGCCTACTATCTACGCGTGGCTAGCCTACTATACCTGCCATGGTTAGTCTGCCCTGCCGTAGTTAACAGGCGCGGGTCTACTAGTAAAAGGCATCCTTACTTCTAGGACCTTCATACTAGGTACCTAGATAGTGGTTATATATAGCCTAGTAGCCTGTACTCTACCTACCTTTAGCCTGCTAGCACCTTGCTAGGTTCCCTGCCTATCATTACCTGTCTAGCCCCAGGCCAAGTCCAGCTGGCTGAAGCTTAGGGAGGGAAATCTACTATACTAATAAGAGACTATTATGACTACCTGCTAGTCACGCCCTAGGAGCTTAATAGGTGCCTGCTAGGTCTAACTACTAATCCTACTACCTTACTAACTATGGACTCCTCTCCCCTACTCTTGTCTCCCTAGTAGCCTAGGTTACTATGATCGCGCCGTGCTACTCTAGCTAGTATCTATCGCCCACCCTATGGCTACCTAGTACTAGGCTGGCGGCCTAATACCCTAGCTAAGTAAGGTCCTTGTTATTATACCTACTTATAGCGTGCGTAGATTTCTAAAAGAAATTTTTTTTTTCTTTTATTTATATATATATATTTACTCTATCTCTTCCTCCTCTCTTATACTTTACCCTCTCTCCTTTTTCCTTTATTCTCTCCTACTCCCTATCCTTGCCCTACTTATTAGCTTCGTCTATATCTTCCCCTTGCTATAATAGTATTATATTATATACTTAAAGAAGTATACTACCTTTCTTACCTTTATCTAGTAAGTCTATCACCTGTCTAATAGCGTAGTCTAAGTACTGTAATGGCACTATCCCTGCTAATACTGGCTGCTATCTAGAGCCACTATGTCTATACTACTCTAGTCTATACCTAATCTCGAGCTCTTCACCCTAGTTGCTAGTACCTTAGAGTCGCCCTGTAAGCGCAAGTGTTACCTTAAGTGCGAGAAGGCTTGACATGAAGCTAAACTTTGCTAATATAAGATTAAAGCTAACTAGGAAGATAATAAGCCTAATAGTAGTAACCATGAGACTGTATCACGTGTTATTACTAAACTAGGTAAAGAGTCCATGTCCTTATTACTACCCTACTATCACTAGATTAGTAAAAAGACCCTGCCTAATAATACTACCCCTCCTAACCTAACCATGGCCACGCTATTTATAAGAGCTAGCTATGGTAAAGGCAAGTAGCCGCGCAACTTACGCGCCTGGCCTAATGATAATACTACT